GCCGTAAAAGGCAATGCTTGATTGGTATCTGTGCTCGAGGAAACAAAAAGGCAGGACTGGCCACGAGATAATTTCTACAGAGCCATGAAACACAGGGAGTCTGCCCGTATTTCACAGGTATTTTGACCCTTTGATCTAGCGTCTCTCAAGGCTGTTGTCAAAAGTGAGCATATCGGGCCTTGAGACAAATGTAGTGCATAGGCTGGACGGAGTGACTTGTCAGAGTAACAAATCATCCAAAGAACACAGTCTCTTGACCACTGAGTCTAGCCTACCCTATCTACTATACTCATTGTTGCAAGGGTGAAATTAGTATTCTGACAAGGAGCGATTGTATTTCGGCGGATCTGGATTCAATCTCAACGCGTTGCTGATTCAGAAGCGCCTGACGATATGGGTTTCTCAAGGTCTTGTTCACCCAGACACCCTTCGTTTGGCCTCAGTATGGGCTCGAGTCTGTCCGAGATCCAGCCTTAGGAGACGGTCATTGGCGATGAATGCGCGGATACCGAGAGCCTTCGATTCTAGCAGAGTGAGAAACCCGACCACAAGTAGAGACCCAGTGTTAATTCCACCAGTATCAACACAGACGTCTCACTTTTCCCGTGATTATCTCGCCTAGGGGCTCTGGTGGAAATAGGAACCAGGAAGCCACAGAAAATTGAAGACCTGTGAGCTTCCAGGGCAGCGGTATAGTCATACCAAATGCTTGTGCGCCTTGGAGAGCCTGTGGTTGTGGTTTGGGAGGCCCCTATCAAGGATGCTAGTCCGGCGCAACTTTTGAGGATCAACTTAGAGCAGATTTGAAGTTTCTTCGCAACTTATTCCGCTTCTGATGGAATCTTCTTTTGTGCAGGTGCGTTTGCATACTTGGCAGCCGGGTTGGGGACCCGACCTGTCGTTCGAAACGCACAGCACAGCCCCAATGGAGCAAAGCAAACGACCCGTTGAGCCATCGCGGGTAGTGAGCCCCCCAGCTCGGGAACATGAGATGAGCTTCGCCCTTGGCGATCTTCTTTGCATCATGCAGTGCTACTGTATTGTCTTGTGCCCTCGCACTGAATGCAATAAAACGCAGCTGCTGGCGCGGAGTGGCATTGTGCTTGTCTGGGCGCCCTCGGAACTCGAGAAATTGCTGTGGGACAGGAACAGTAGCCTAAATGCTGCGTCCACACAGCTCAGAATCCGAGAGGGGCGGCTATTTCGCTCGTCCGCATGCTGGACGGTGCACATTGTCTGTCTTGCGAAGGAACGGGACTACACATTGGTATCGTTGTAGCCTCGGCTGGTGATGTTGGCCTGGCAGGTGAGAGACGTCGTCCGTCAGACCCTGGGTTTGTGAGGTGCCTGAGAGCCAGGCATGTCAGGCAGGCACCCCCTGCCTGCTACAAGGGCCGGCTGCCGATCATCCAGGCACTCGGACCAGAAGCTGGTGGGCCTTCAGCCCAGTGGGGACAGCAGCCATGCGACACAAATGTTCTACCGCTTTCGCAGACCCGCTTCCGTTGGAGCGGCGGAATGATGTCGTGTCCGTGTCTGGGGTGGCGTGTCAGAGCTGGACGTGTTTTTTTTCATCCATCAAGGTCGTTCGTGGCAGATTTGACAGACATGTGCACGAAACAGTGTGTTTCGGAGTGGTCTCGCGCAATTGATGCAAGGCTGTGGGATGGCACCGAGCTAAGAATAGTTAGAGCACAGGTAACACTCGACTGCGTTCCTGTGCATACGACGGTGCCTGACATCTTCGAGGAAAAAAACTCTAAAAGACGGCGACGCAATGGCTACGAAACGGTGCGATCATCGGCAAGAGATTTATCAGGCCCTCGTGGCTGCACCCGGGAGTGACGCAGGGCTTTGGGGCGCAGCGTACAGGGCTAGCTTCCGGTCCGAGTCCGCGGCCGTGGATGCCCAGATAGCGACTAAAATCTCGATGAAGATTGAGTGATGAGAATTATACGTGGATGAAGAGCAGTCATGTTGAGCTGCCAAAAGGTGAGCCGAGCTGAGTGTCAAGGAATGCCAATAACCGGTTCATGCCGAAGAGTGGGATCTTCAATGTGGTGTCTCAACATCCTGCTCAGGAATATTAGTATGACTGTGATATTCCCCTGGCAGACAGCAGATAGACACAGCAGAGTCAAAGAGAATGATGGAGGATAGTGCCTGTCCCTCCATGCAGGCAGTGCATGATTAGCGTTGCCGCCAGTGGCCCACGAGCAGCCCAAGTGGTCGAGACGCTTGTCTTGGTGCTCGTATTTGGCTGCGTATAGCTGCGTACTCGGTACTGCTGTCGTGCTCGAACTCGGGTGATTTGTGCTACTGGCCATGCTCCTCGCCGTACTTCTAGGCCCGTCTCATTGTGTGGGTGTCATCGTTGCTCAACACGAGGAGGATCTGTCTGTCTATATGCAGTCTATGCAGTCACAAGCCCGAGCCCGTTGACGGCGACTGTAGCTTGATCAGAGAACGATCACGGCGAACATCGCCACCTTCTATAATGGCTCGGGAAGGGGTACTTACTCAGGCACCACAGGCAGGACAATTCCACCCGGATCAGTCGGAAAGACGTTATTCTGCACGCGTTGTTGGGCATTTTCTTCTGGACACATCGCGGGGAGCGGGGGCGGGGGAGCTCAAGATTGCCTTGGATGCGCCATCGGTGTGTTGCTTTCTCACACACTGTCAGTCGACTGATGGTCACCGACCTCAATGTGGGCATCTGGGCATCTCCACACCCTGGTCAACCACCAACTTTTCAGGCCTCTTCCCAGTCACTCCGCCTGTCAAAAAATCCCCACGATCCACTGCGTGATTCAACTCCATCGATTTCTTTTCGGCTCGCCAGTTCCAGACGGGGCAAGCGCCTACAGCTCTCAAGCCTCGAGGCATCCTGGCAAGGTTACCACTGGCTATTCTGAAGCTCATCACCTTGCTCGAGAGCCTGTCTAGCAGAGATTCATCATAAACGCCGAGTTTCAGATCGCCCAGGGCCAGCGAAACTTCAACACTTGCAGGGCTTCAGGCTCTGCAGAGCTGGTTTCGAACACACACACACACTCTCTCTCCCCACATCAAGCGCGCTCCCGAAGATCCATCGTCCTATCATACCTGTTGCACTAAGTACATGGTACTTGAGCTGTTAAGTGGTACGTGGATCGACCGGGCTTGACGTCAGCTCTGTGTCGGCACCTGCATGGCCAACCGTCTGGCAAGTTCCAGAGGCTCCAGAAATTCCAGAGATTCCAGAGTTTGTTTCTACGTGGATGCCCAGGCGTGCCTGTACAGCACAGTACCGCGTCTTGGAAGAGGGAACCTGCCGCCGACGGGGCTATCTTCCCCTGCCCGATTTTCTCTTGGAAAAGCTAGAGATGCAGGACAATCGGAAACGTCTGATTGCTGTCCCGCCCCTTCGAAAAAGCTCGTCGTATCGCGTCTTGCCTTGCCCTGGCTAGCTCAAAGTCAAAGCAGGCCCGAGCTACCAAGCCCCAGGAACAGCCGGAGCTGGTCTTGGTGCTGGTGCCGCCTAGAGATCTGCAGGAGCTGCAATAACTGATCGATGGATGAAACGCTGCTCATTGTTCGACACTTGGGGGACTTGGGCTCTGGGCTGGGGAAAACAGATGGATCTACTGTACTATTATGTCTAGCCATCCAACTGTCTAAGTACCTAACCTACATGTGGTTGATGTAGATACCCAGGCCAGCCAGGTGGTGACGAGGGGCAGCAGGCGGTGGGATCACCTTCGCTCTGCTGCTTGCGGCCAGCCACATCGTAAGGTAGAGGCCGTCAGTCAACTCACTGGTGGGCTCCCAAGGTGCTGCGCACCAGCGTGGGATGGCCGCGTCACGCCGCCCCAAGGTGCCTCGCAACCAATGGTGGCCCCCAATTGATGCCTGCCAATGAAGTCGATGACCCAAGGCCAGCCCAAAGCATCTTCACTGTGTCTCTCGCTTGTGTCCAGGATCACCAGTCATACCATGTCACGGCAGAGTACAGAATAAAACGTGCGGCTGCCCCGGAACCCAGCCAGGCGTCCTCATCGGCTTTGCTTCACGACCCGTGTCCGTCTCTTGCCCTGCTAATCTATCTATATCTACATCTACATCTATCATCGGGCATCACTTCCTGGGCTGCTTTGGTTCTTGCCCCTCTTCTTTTGCCGCTCCACTCCCTTTGTCTTCCGTTGTTCCTCGCTGCATCGACACCGTCACTACCACCAAACGCTACGGATCGGAACGGGCAAAGCGACAAGCAAACAAAGTCGGTACGGTTGGATTGACGTCTGGGCAGGTGGCGTGCGGACAGCAGACCATCTTAAATTTAGCTGCAGGACTAGGGAATCTACTGCAAAGTGGTCTGGCAGGACAGGGTAACAGAAATAACAAGGCGACAAGGTGAAGGCCTGTTTTCACTGGGGGCCCCGACTGTGCGTTCCCTGTCGACGGGGTTGGTGAGCGCACCTGCTTGCACCTGCTGCACCTCTCGGCACTGCACCCAGCCACTTGCGACAAGCCTGCGAGCTTGCATTGCTCTGTGCCGTTTCAACCTCTCCAACCATCAGCACCCGGCACCGAGACGTCAACGCGACCAAACCCGCCACACCACTGCTGCTGCTACTACAGTAGTCGCATTCCTGCCGTCCTTTTGGCAATATCTCCTCCCTTCTTGCATCCGCAATCTTTCATTTCCCCATAACGCCTCGCTTCGCACCACTGCATCGCGACTCTACAATTCCACTTTACCGCCCTTCCTCCTCTAATCTAGGCTTCACTCACCCCAGTCGGTCTCCACTTCAGTGCACACGCACCAGCACCGACAAAGCACAGTTGTCGATCCACGCACATCGAATTCTCGTTCTATCTGCGGGTCCTGTGTCAGTTGGATCCGCTTCGCAACCCTGCCAGTTCCATCCAACGAGCCGACGAGCCCTGGTTTCCAAGGTTCCCATCGCGATTGACGTACAATCTACAGAGGAACGGCCGGCCCCTGCGAAGTCACCATGGCGTCGCAGTATAATACCCACCCCTTGCCTGCGCCCCCGGGCCAGCAGTCCAACTATCCTAATCAGCAAAACCAACAAGTCCACTATCAGCAGTCCCAGCTGCAGCAAACTCACTCCAACACAGCGAGGCCGCGCCCCAGATCCAGAGGTTTTAGTCTTCAGTCGGACAAGTCCCAGAAGAGCGACAAGAAAGAGCATTTGGTGGAAAGCCATAACGAAAAGGAGCGCCGGCGACTGCACAGCAAGGCTGATCCCACCATGGCTATGAACGAGGCGGAGCCTTGTACGTTGCTGCCACTGTTTGCCAGAACGAGTTGGATAGCTTTTTACTGACAAACTACATTTATAGCTGATATTGCTGCACACGCTGCGAACAATTTGCAGAGCCTACGTGCGCTCGAACACAAGGATCAATCCGGAAATGTCATAAGTTTGTCACCACCCAGTACATTTGTTTTTGCCCGATAAGGTACTGACTCCAACGATGCAGCCGATCCTGACCTGTCCAATCCAACGCGCTGGCGGGAGGAGCGACCTCTGGACACCATTCGTGCATTCGAGGCCGCAATTGAAGGCAATTACAGGAACTCAATGGTCAATGCAGGAGGAGGTAAATATCGACTGCCCCTACCCTCTTTCCCCCACACTCACACGCTTCCCTGGAACCCTGGGCCTCCTTTCTTGGTACGGTTGATAGCAGAAGAAATTATGCGCTCGTCAGGATCCATGAGAGACGATGAGTTGCAACGCAAATTCCGCTTGGAGGCCTTGGGATTTCCCACTGTCATTGACACAACACGCTCTTCAACAAATGGTGCTGTTACTGACATTTCGACCTGTCAAAGATAACGAGTCCGTGATGACATTCAACCCGAGGAATAGCTACTACGGCGGTGGCAGTAAGCTATTATTTTACTAGAATCCCCTTTCCATTTCAATTATTCTTGGGAGTGTATAACTGACATCTCATGGCAGACGCTGGACGTTACCAACACGACAGCTACTATAGCAGCCGGCCACAGTCGACCTTCAGGCCTGAGAGTGGTGCACCCCGGGACGGTTATCAAGATCAATATCGATGGGGACCTCCAGACCGAAGAAGGCTACCTCCACGCATGGGCCCCGGCCCCGGCCCAGGCCCCGAGCAGCAGTACCGGAACCGGCAGAATGGAGCGAACCTTTATGGGGCGGGCAACAATCAGCGATCTTACGAGACAGTCGCGTCGGGCTCAGGAACTTCGGCAGAGCCAGCAGGCTACCAGACGGACCCAACAAGCTCAGACAACAGCTCCATCGAGCGCCAGCAGCCAAGGCGCCAGCCAGAACCCATAAATGATTACGGAATTGGCTTCAGCCAGACACCTGAGTATCAAACATCGTCCTTCACTGTTGCCAGTCCTGGCTCTGCTCAGTACGGGTACCAAAATGGCGGAGGAGCACCTGCAGTGCCAAGGAAGGATGGGGCTATCCTCAGAAAGCCGACGACACAGGAGTCACAACAACGACCAGACACGGGCGAGAAGCGCAAGAGCTGGTTCAAGCGCCTGAGCAAGGGTCTTTAGGGAAGGAACAACCCACTGCAGCGACCTGACGAAGCGAGAGAGCAACCCCAAGTACGAGGCGGACGAGTGTATGACCAAGGCGGGCGATAGACACTCTGAAAGTCGGTTCTCGTCAATCGATTCAACACAAGTAAGATTGACCGAACGATCAAGCACATCGACAAGGACACCTTCCAGATATTCCTATCTGGTATGTGGGATAATCTCGATGTATGCCATCTATGTTCATGATGGCAATGCATCTCTTTTGGATACCACTTTTACCTGCACTTCGAAGCCAATGCGAACGTCTCGATACCTCACCTTTCGCCTTCTTCAGCAAGCTCATACGCGATATTTACACCGCAAAAAAACGGAGCACAGATTCCACGGAATCTCGGACTACGAACACCACATTACTTACTTTTGACTACTTTCGCCACATATTTTTTGGTCGCAAAGAAAAGACGTCAAGTTTTTGAGGCCAGAACGTGGGCATAATATCGGCTTAGCGAAACTTCAGCATTTGAACATTTGTGAAACAAGACGCTCTCAAACAGGACGTTCTGAACCAAATGGAGGACTGAATGGAGCAATACTTCGATTAAGTTTTGCCTCGACGATGTCGGAACATAACGGGATACATGCGTACATATAAGGGGCCACGGAATTCTTGTACAAGGATGCAAGAATGCATGCGGATCGATTTTCACCTTTACCCATATCCATGCGGGTACGAAGTGTTTGGGCTTTGATATAGACCTAGGAGGATTATCCAGGAGCGGGGCTAGGCAGCCTGGGGACGGTAATACCCAAATCTGAACGCTCATTAGCAGAGTCATTTTCCCTCCCAATGATGGAGGAAGTGTACAGGCTATGCCAGGCCAGGCGGAGGCAGGACGGCACGTCCAAGGTTAGGGCACACACAAATTGGGAAGGGCGGGCCTTTTAAGGCGCTGGCGTTTTACTCGATTTCAGATAGAGGCAGCCCAACTCACTCTGTCTAGATGGAGCGGCTTGCAATGACATCGGGAGACTTGAACCGGAAGCCCAAACCAAATCAACTCATGTGCTATGTTGCCAAATCTCGCGATAGTATGCGGCCACCTATTCACATCACAGAGGACACCGGGATTTGCAATGTCCCATCGAAGCCCTTTTGCTTATTCAACCAGCCACTGATGCCAACTCAGACATATCTACTGAATGCCCAAGATTTTCCACCCCCACAAACGCCAGGTTGCATGCGATACATTGTAAATGATAAGACATATGTGGCAGAATGCCCGGGTCAGAATGAATGCGTTGTAGACAAGGCAGGTAGGCAGGCAGGTAAATACACCCCCTCAGCGGTCCTTCTTGCCCTCCTTACCCTTATTCTCCAACTGCTCCGACTGGTCCTCCCTCATGGCGACGATTACGTAGGCGATGAGCACGACGTTGGCCATGATGGCGGCCGTGGCGCCCGCGAAGGTCGAGTTGCCTGTGACCGAATCAGCTGCTTAGCCCTCTGGCTTGAGGGGTGTGCGTGTTGATTGGTTTTGTTTTCCCCTACTATCTACTCACCTTTGAACACGGTGTTGACGGTCAGGAAGTACGAGCCGATGGGCACGACGATCATGGCGAACGTGAAGGCCAGCAGCTTCGCGATCACGTCCCTGGGCAAAGGCCGCCGTGGGCCGTGTCTGTCAGTAAACGGGATGCCAGGACAGACGGGTGTCTCCTCTTTCGACCCTCATGGTGAGTCCGTCAGGGAGAAGAATGGGGTGTTGGGGGGGGGGCGCCTACATGGGCACCGCGGGAGCGATGTTGGACTTCGTGCCGGCTGCTGGGCTGGCGCCGACGATGTCATCTTTCTCGAGGATGGTCTTCTCGCCCGAGATGATTCTTTGGGTGGCCATGTTGCTGACTTGGGGGCGTGAGAGATGAGTGAGTAGCGAGTGAACAAGTTGAGATGGGGTATCCGTACGGGTGAGGTGAGGCCGGGCGTTGTGAGAAAATGTTTTATGATTGCGGCGTCTTGATGATGTACCGGGGTGGTGAAGCTCGAGCTCTCAGTGCTGTGCGTGGGTTTGCTGATGAGGCGACGTAAAGAGCAGCGGAAGGGGCTTGGCCTTCCAGGGGTGTCAAAGCCCACTAACATCGCTGCATTGGCCGTTGCGTACCCGCTGCAAAAGAGCACTCCAACACAAGCGCCATGTCTTAGGCAGTGTAGACCTTGTCTTTCGATCATGCATGTTGATGCCAATATGATACAACACATTGAATCAAGTACCTGGAAAATAAACTGATACTCCTGCTTCTTTTTATTTATCTTCTTGCACGTGTGTTAGTCAATAATCACACAAATCACGATGTAAACTTTATAAAATGTAGACGCCGAAACTGGACAGCAACTCGTCTTTCCGAAGTCAACCAGGGAAACGATCTACACGTGATGGTGTAGTATTAACTATACATTCTTATTACTTTTACGGGTTGTCTAGGGCAGAAGCGACACAGGAGTATCGCACTTGGTCAATAAGACATGGAAGACACAACATCAGGAAACGGGCAAGGTTGAGTGACTTAACCATATTATTGATCATTTCTATGAACCTACACGCGTCTAACTTTAGATGCAATGAGGGGTATCGCAATCAGAATCCTGACGCCTGTATACAACGCCAACTGCATAATGCCTTGCGCACGTTCATGTATGCTACTTCTTCTTTCTTTCACTCCTGGAGCAGCATCTTGGAGACCTCGGCCTCTACATCCTCATCTGTAATCTCCTCATGATGGCCGGTGATCTTGCCTGCGAGCTCGAGCTTGCGCTGGCAGGCCTTGTAGATCAGCTCGTCAATCGTGCCCTTCGACAGGAGGCGGCTGACCTCTACCTCGCGCTGCTGGCCAAGGCGATGGGCACGGTTTTCACTGTTCTCATGTCAGTCGCGATGCCATAGTGTATCCGCGGGGATGAAAGAGGAAACTTACGCCTGAATGTCGTCTTGTGGGTTGTCCGACTGGTCAAAGAGAACGACCTTGTTGGCAGCTGTTAAATTGATGCCTGTCCCGCCGGCCTTCGTCGTTAACAGGAACACTGTGATCGTCTTGTCCTCATTGAACTGATCAATGAGTTGTTGGCGCTCGGCGACTTTGGTCTCTCCCTGCAGGACGAGATGGTTGATGCCGGCCTGCGCGAGACACTCTTCAAGGATGGAAAGAACCATCGCAAATCGCGAAAAGACGAGGACCCGGTCGCCCTCCTTCTGGTATCCGCCGATGAGCTCCAAGAGCTTCTGAACCTTGCCGCTCTTCAACCAAGTGTCCTGTGGGCAGTCAAAGCTGCGGATGCAAGGGTAGTCACGACACCAGAGGTGCAGCTGGAAGTCGGACTCGTTCTTCAACTCGTTGGTAAGGTGAGTAAGATTGGGCTGTCTCAAGATGTCCTGAGACACAGACTTCATCAGGGTCTTGGCCATCTTCTCGCACTTCTCATCGGTGAAAAATCGGCGGAAGAGCTGTGGGTGGATGGCAGCCTTACGGAGCTGGATCCAGGGGTTGTTCATGTCGTTCTTGCGACCACCGCTGAGAGCTTTGTGAAGCTTGGCATCACGAAACTTGCGGACGAAGTCTTCGTAGAGCTCCTTCTGGCTGTCGTCCATGTCGCAGTACACAGCCCTCCGAATTTTGGCCGGCATGTTGCTCAAGACCTGCTCCTTTCTCCGCTGGAGAATGAAGGGTTCAAGAATGCTCCGTGCACGCTTCACTCGGTCGCTCAGGAGGACGGCGCCCTCAGAGACTTGTTGGAGCGATGCCTTTTGCACGAACAGATCTTCCAGATGCTCGCTGTACTGCCGGAAAACGCTCGGAGATAGGAAGTTCAAGAGTGACACCATCTCCATGATGTTGTTCTGGATGGGGGTACCGGTCATGATGAGCTTCCAGGCAGCATTAATACAGATCAGCTCCTTGTAGATCTGGGCGCTGGGGTTCTTCAACTTGTGCCCCTCATCGAAGATTGCTGCATTGATGCCGATCTTGTTCATAGCATTCGCATCCCTAGGTCGACTCATCTGCGAGTACGAAGTGAGGATGACGTGATAATCCTCTGGAGCGTCCCGAATCTCAAGCGCAAGTTCGTCGCGTTCGCCAGGCTTTCCGGAATATTTGATGATAGACAAACCCGGGGCGAACTTTTCGAACTCATTCTCCCAGTTCTCCAAGACCGAGGGCGGGACCACAACCAAGTTGGGCCAGGGCCTCTCCTGGAAGAAACCGTTGTTGTACTGATCCACGAGCAGGGCGATGAATGACACAACCTGGCAGGTTTTCCCCAAGCCCATATCGTCGGCGAGAATGCCTCCGAAGCGCTGGCCGTAGAGCTGCCACATCCAGTTCATCCCAAAAAGCTGATATGGCTGCATAGTGCAGTGCCCTCGCATTGCCTTTGGCTCCTGAGCGAACGGGAGGATGCTGGATGGGTCACTCGAGGGGCCCTTTGTCTTGCCCATCTGATCCATTTTCCATGACCCAATCTTGAGCCTGGTTTTGTGTCCCTGAGTATCGCAGTACTGGACAACTCGGTCGATTGCATCGAGTCGCTTCATGTACTCAACAAGCTCGTCGAAGACCTCCTGCCCAAGGTCATGTCTGATCTTCTTCCCGCGCGACATCTTGAACTTCATGACAGCCTTGACCTGCTCGGCGGTGCGGAAAGGCCGCTTGTCGAGCATGTGCTTCGCCGCGTCCTTCGGGATTTTGGCATCAGCCATGAGGCTCTCCACTGAGCAAACGGCCAGGTATTGCAGTATCTTCTCCTTGCGCTTGGTTCCCACCAAGGAATGCGGGGCAGCAGCCTTGTCCGGTGATCGGCCGCCTGTCTCGCTCTCGTCCTCAGATGACTCCTCTTGCTGATCCATTACGTAGTTATCTCCATCGTCCTTATCGTTGGAGGTAGGGTCGTCGTCGTCATCATCGTCTTCAATGAGGTTGATGAGCTGAGGGGCTGATTGGACGACCTGCGAGGAGCTGGGGGAGTTGTTGGGGTTTCGACCGCGAACGAGTCGTCTGCGTTTCGGTCGGGGCGATGGTGACCGAGAGGGTTCTGAGCTCCTCGAGGAAGGCTGCGCCGAGGGCAGTGAGCCAATGGAGCTGGAGGGCGACGTGTTTGAGGAATACTTGAACTCGCGCAATACCTTTGCCAGCTGTTGTTTTGAAGCATGCTGCTTGTACAGGGAAGCACTAGCAGGTGACGGGGACTTTGGCTGCTGGCGTTGGAATGAGGAGCGCTGGATATCGCCTCGTGCTGGGCTCTCGTCGCCAGAGCTATCGGCGGCGTATCGTGTTGTGTCAAGCTCATCATCTGAGACCGGAGCATATTCGCGCTTGGTGGGGATCTGCTTCACTGTCGACTGATAGACAGGCTTTGTAGAGATCTTTGGAGGGGCCCTAAAGGAGGTGCCAGCAGGAGCCATTCGCATTCGATCGAAAGCAGACGGTAGGGGTCGCTGTGAAGATTGTTGCCGGAAAGGTGAGGAGGCGGGGACCTCAACCCTGGCGCTGTCGGATTGAGGCGAGGTGGATGGTGATTTCTGGACATTTGCACCGAGGCCAAGCCTTGGGCGGTCAACGATTTGGGTTGGAATTTGGGTTGGCTGGGTTGGCTGGGTCGGCGCCTTGAGGGTTGGTCGACTGAGGATCTGAGTGGGTTGTGTGAAGTACGGCGACAAGTGAGAGCCATTGCCCTGCAGCTCGTCGTTGTCGTCGGAGCTGATGTCAATAGGGTCATCCTCGAGACCAGCAGGCGGGCTGCTGGTGGCAGGAACGACCTCGCGACCAGGCGAGGTGAAGGAGGAGGAACTCATGCTTCGAATACAATGATGATTGCAAGGGGATTGAATGGATGGGTGCACAGTCGTGTTCTTGGGTGACAGGATTTGGAATGTCAAGGAGTGCACGCCGAAAGCGAGGGCAGGGTGCGAGAGTGGTGTTGCAGGTAGGCGACAAGGCTGATGTTGAAAGTTGCAAGTGAATGAAGTGGGCGACCGCGGTCTAGCAGTAGCGCGGATCCCCTTGGCTTCCCAAATGCGTTCCCATTTTTGGGAAAAAAGAACAATGGACCGCGGCGCGCGGTAGACACGCTTTTCCAGCCACTAGTGTGGGGTAGTACTGCAAATTACCTTTAGACTTTTGACGCGACTGCACGTGCGGCGGGCGATTCTGATTGATGTCTCTCCCTGCCAAATATTTCCTGGCCTCTGTATGAGGTTGCAACCAGCCAAGTTGCTGATAGTCTGACTCTGCCTATTGTCTCTCTATTGTCTTGCATTGTTCATTATTTCCAACGAGTGTATGTGCGATAACCTGCAGACCGGTGTCTGTGTGTTGCAGCCAACTAACTATGTGATCGAGGTACTTGAACAGAAATCTTACTCTTCGGAAAGCCCAGTCATAAAGTAATCCAAGTACAGAAGAACGTCCATTTCTTTCAATCCTCGTGTCTTCTTATGTGATGAATCAGTCTGCAGACAAACAATCCAACAGCTTGGAAGCTGGCTTGGGTACTTGATGCCTGTGAGTGAGGTTCAAGGTACAGACCAACTGTGTCCAGGTGGGCCCAGCAAGAGTCTGGGCACTCCCTGCATCCGCCCGCCCAAGGGGAGCCCTCGATAGCTGTCCCTTTATCTTATCACCCTCGCCCTCGGCTACGTCATGGTGAAGCTTGCAGTGATACGGCAGACCGTCTCAATGACAATGACACAAATGATACAGGGCAGGCCGCCCAAATTACTCTCAGTGAAACGGAGAGAGCTAGGAAGGGAAAGTTTGCTTGCACTGCCTAGGTCATCTTACGAGACACAGGACTTTGTCCTACAGAGGGTCACCCCGATGGAGATGATTGCAACGAAGTGTGCCCAGAGAAGGTTATCCAGGGAATATTATCCCAGTGGAGGTGTTGATCCCATGTGAAAAACCGTGTTGGGCAAGCCGGCAAGCCACACTCAGTGCTGGGTGCCCTTGCAGCCTGTACTGAATGCGCTGCAAGGCCTCAGGTCAATCGGAACCACCCCACGGGTTTGAAAGACGCCAAATTTAGCTACGTAATTGCTCTTTGTACGCTGCCGGGGCCCAATCAACAGCCCAGCCCGCCGCATATCTCGAATGACAGGGACTCGGCATCAAACCAAGGAATGGCCGTCTTGATCGCTATCCCGCGTCCTTGGGCCACCAGCTGCAGACATGATGCTCTGATGACTGCTGTGATTCGACATGAGCTATGGTGTCACCGACCTCGCAGCTGTCATTTCTTGGGGCTGGGGCTGAATATTAGACTCTAATGCGACCTTGTTTCTACCCGGTCTTACTGCAGCTTTATTTATTGTGACGCTCCCCCTCCCTCCTTCACCCAACGGCCCTTGATTTCTCTTGTACACTCGCGCCAGCAAAAGCAAATCATCCCCCGCATACTCACTCACTCCTCTATATCGTGGCAGATCTCTAGATCGATCTGTACCCACTTCCAAGGACCCACAACCTTACAATCAAAAATCGAGACAGCCAACATGAGCGCCCCTCCTGTGAGCCACGGAAGAGGAGGTCAGGGCAATGTGTACCCAGATGATACCAAGTACACAGATGGCGAAGTCGTCCGTGAGGGAGAGGCTGGCACCGGTGTGAGCACCGGCCGAGGAGGTACGTGATGCGTCTTTTTCCTTAAATTGTGCCAAAGGGTCTGGTCAAGATGTCGAGAAAGATGTCAAGACCGGGGCATGGGCTGGGCTGGGCTGTACGTCTCTTATCTCTGGTGCTATCACCGGCGAAGAACCCACATCCGGCCTGATATGTGGCGTGACCGGCTCGATCGGGAAGCTAGAAAGCCGGCGAAGAAGTACACAGTATTCCGACAGGCCTGGTCTGGAAGAGCCACAGGAGCGGGGCCCCGGTTTTATATACAGTCTCCAAGCTCAGAAAACAAAATGAGAAAAAAAGAGAATGAAAAAATAATAACAATATCTAACATGATTTCTAGGCGCTGCCAACATCACGGACTCCAATGCAGCCGTTCCCAGGACGGACAAAGAGGTTGTGCCAGAAGCGGCCATCAGGCCTTCAACCGAGGATACGGACCACCACACTGGCAGGGGCGGCGAGGGAAATGTCCACCACGCCCACAAGGAGGGTGGGGAAGACGGCACTCACAAGGGTTTGGCGGATAAGCTGAAGGCCAAGGTCTTGGGCGTTTTCAAGAAGTAGGCTGACCTTGACTGATGGGCTCTACTTCCCGACACAGCTTTCTGTTACAATTTCGTTGCTCAATGATATCCAGCCTTCGAGGCTTGCTTTTTTCACGTCGATGGTTGGTAGAATTTTTGGGGGGATAATCTAAGAGGGAGTGATTTGAGTATCTTTGCGTCTCAAGGCTTTCTTCGGACGGTCTTGTTGCGATCTCAGAACGTATGTCTGGTCCCGTGGCCGGTCGCATTGGTATCTCTGCTGGAAGAATTGTTCTCCATGTTAATTTAAATACGCTTGAAAACACCATCCTGCATTCACTTCGCCGACCAATAGATGGCATTCAATATTCAAATGATGCACTTATCATATGCACCCCTTGCATTGTTCCATGATGATGTTGTCAGAAATATCACTGCCGCCGCTATTGGACCTTAGCTGTGAACGCACCCTCAACCAGGCGACACGGCGCTCGTATTTGGACGGCATCTCACAAATCCCAACCCAAAACAAATTCATGAACTCATTTTCTTACAATTGAAATGTATATACCTGGTGCGCTTAATGTGCGCCTCCAGCCCTCACCATGATCATGTCGGCTTGCTCTCGTATGCATCCTGCGCCGCCAACACGTCTAAAAACAGCAGCACACTGACCACGGACAGCTTCCAACAGGGAAAGCTAGGGAAAAGGGCCCTCATGATGGGCAGTAAACAATAGTCGTTTCCTAGCAGAAAGTGTGGTCTGCAAAGCAAGTTGAAGGGCCCTGGCGTCTACGGGCCACGGCGAGCACTCCTATGCATGCGACGAGGTGTTGCTCACATCTCCTATATGAAGGATTGTAGCAGTTTAGCAGCGTTTTGGACCCAGGCACAGTTTGCACTCCACATGTAAACCTTTTTTGATGATGTTACGCGCATAGATATAATGGTTGCTGAAATGCACCTTGCGGTCCTTGATACTTGTTGAACTACGAAACAGGACCTGCTTGATTTCATATGGCTACGCCGTATATGAGTCTTCCTGGATTCCAATAATACTTTTCTATAAAAGAATACTCTGCAGGATGATTTACTGTAAAATAAACCCGTATAGGAATGTAAGCCACAAGGGGCTCTGCAATAACGTTTTCGCCTTAGCCCAAATATGGCGGTGTTGATTCAATGGTGTATGTAATTGAATATCCTCAACATCAATCGGAGATTTCAGTCGGCCGCTCTTGTGTACGGACATGCTTATTTTCGCCAAAGCCGCCAGCCTTGCCATCTCTGAGCACGAGGCACTGATCAGTTTTCTTTGAAATCATCAAATCCGAGATGAAGGGCATGTCTCGGACACTCGAACTAGGTGGCCAAAGCAACTCGAATCGAAATGGGTTGGAATCCATGAATCTCTTCGATCTCTTCGAATGTATAATTTGCTCGAGAAATTTGCTTGAACACACGTGCCCAGTGAAGAGAGTGTCTATTCGTTGTGTCTACCAACTCTCATCTAATTACTGTAATTATTAAACTCTTGGACAGGTTCTATTAATGACGCCAGTCTCATGTCTTCACCCAAGACGCAGCCACGCCCTCATCCCATCCCCAGAACCTCCAAATCCTCTCCAGGGTCTGATCAGGATGAGCCATAGGGAAATCATGACCGCCAGGTACAGGTTGAGCCCAGAAAACATGTTCTTCGCCTCCGACGAGCGGTAGAACATCCTGGCGGTAGTCCTCGTCGTTGACGATCTCATCGCCGATCCCAAAAATGAAACACGTCGTATTGGGCTCTCTCTTCGCGAGCTTCCTCCATGCCTCATGCTGATTGATCATCGGCGCATACCTCAACGTGCTCATGAAAGCCGGGACAAAGCCCGCGTGGTTCGCAACCTGCCAGTTGACGTACTTCAGCACCTGCCGCTGCAACGGTCCCGGGGCCTCGGAGACGGCGGCGTCAGCAATCTCGCTCGTCACGGTAGCGTCGATGGCCTGGTCGCCCGGCAGATGTGACTTCGGCGTCGATGTCCCGCTCGGGCCGCCCTTTGGCTTCCTCTTCGCGCTCTCGGCGATGGGCCTCTTCAGCCTCCATCTTGTCATAATCTCCACGATGCCCTCCGGCACCCACCCGCTTCTGAAGATGACTTTTGCAACAATGCCAAAATTCTCCTCCCGGATCATCCCAGCCGGTGCGAGGAGGATCAGGCTCTTGACGGTGCTGGGAAACGTCGCCGCCAGATGCGCGGCGATGCCTCCGCCCAGGGAATAGCCCACGAGGTGGAAACCCTCTTTCTCGCCCTGCCCTGTCCACGCGAGCTCACTCGATGCAAGCACGCACAGGGCCTGGCTGACGTATAACCGCTCATCGTGGGGCAGATCGCCTACACCATCCGAATACCCGCGGCCAAACAGATCGAACAGCAGAACCCTGCACCCGCGCTCGACCAGCCCATGGGCGATGTGTGTGAGGGTCACTACAGAATCCGAGGTCAGCCGTCAAGGGAATTGGAACACGTTTGAATTGAATTCAGAGCGGATTAGGAACGGGGCCACCGCCAGTCATGGCCTATCTCACGAAAGACAGGCCAACAAAGACTAGCAGCTGGTGACAAACCTCGCAAATGTAGCGGAGGTCTCTACGCGGGGAGTTGAGAACAAAAGATGTCGTAAGCTGCTTACTGCACGAAGTGGAAATCCCGTGGATCAGGAGAACCTTCCTTCCAGAGACGGGACCGAACTCATCTGAGCAGGTTAGCATCTCATCGCGAACCCAAAAACACGAGTCCGGGGTCAGGCACGGGCTTGCGCTCACAGCATCTAATAGACCCATAAGGAGTGGGCACGTCGCGCGCTCCTGGGAAGTAATCTGGTGGGTAGAGCAATTGTGACTGCTCCTCGGGAGACAGGCTGGATATATGACTGCTGAGCGGGTTCTGGAGCACGGAGGGCCGCCTGGGGTAGATGATGCGGTTTAGGATGGTGTATAGGGAGGCTGTGGTGACCACTGTGGTGATCACCAGCATGCTTGTATCCGGGCCCGGGAGGACCGTTTGAGCCGCCTTCTGTATGAAGTCCATCTTGAGAGCTCGGATAGGATGTTGTCTTTCATGGGTCGTGTAGTTTGTGATGAGTATTACAGGTCCCCTGCGGTGGCTCACCCTTGTTTTGGCCGAGCTTGACTAACACGGTTGAGGAATGGAACGACCTCCGGCGGCAGAGCTACTCATCACTTAGGAAACTCGGTTGAGGTTATTTCTCAAAATTCAAGATAAATCTTACAGCGAGCATGATCACGAAAGTCAGAATGGCAGTGCTGCTGACTGTGATTGTAATGTGCTGGGATTTGGGTTCAGCTGAGGCAAGGGGGACACGTGGGCTCCAATAGCGTCATCCACCAGGCCATGTGGCTGCGTTTATCACCTGGGGGCCCTGGATCCAACCACCTGAGCAACAAACCTTCCCACTGAAAGTACCCCCCCGTAGTTGCCTGACAGGAGTGCTGCGGGTTCTTATCCCACACCGAGATCAAATTGCCCAAATGGACCTGACCTGATTCTACCTACGGCTTTTAGGTGGAACGGACGGAGGGAATTATAATGCGTGCTGTTATTAGCTTTTTACTGCAACACGATATAGAAATCTATATACAGGAATGAGTAATTCTCAGAATCGCGTCGTTCTTTTCAAAGATCTCACTGGCGAATCCAGTGCGCAGCTGCTCTGAAGATGCTGAGAGTAAGGCGAGAGAGGACATCGACCAAGATCTCGAGCATCCCGAATGCAATGAACTCCTCCGGGTGCTCTTCGTCATCACCCGAAGGCTCCTCATCCTAGGCATTTGGGTATTCGCACCCCGTCGCATTCGGGTACTGAAGGCACCACTCCATCTGGATCGGGCTCGCCCTGATGCCCCTGCTCACCAGACGCTGCCTCTGCGCGTTCAGCCTCGGCGCCGCTGTGACCTGCGAGCGATTCTGGCCGCTCGAGTCTGTTCGTCCTGACCAGAGCACCTCGCCGGCAGCGCTGGCCCTTGGCCATACCAGGCTGTCGAGGTTGTTGCTGTCGATAGTCTCTGACCAAACGGCGACCTCGCCACCCAAAACGAGGTCCGCTTCCGTGCCATTGAGACCTGCAGCTGGGTCGTGCGAGTAAACAAGCTCCCAGCTCTTCGCTGGGCCGCACCAGTCATTAAAAGGCGTGAACTGGGACCAGATTTCGTTGCCGAAAGTGAGCCACTGGCCCCGACCACAGTCAAGATACTGCAGGCTCTATGTTAGCATCATGGCGTTTGCTTCTGTCAAAGTTGGACGTGTGACTCACCCAGTAGTTGTAGTCACTGTCGATGACCTTGTGACCCTTGGAAGCGATTTCAGCGACAGCACCACCGCCCAGCCACGACTGCACAACGACGTCCGATCCCAGCGTAATGTTCCACTCGGTCACGAGCTCCTCCCAGACCGTAGGCGTAAGACCCGCATTGCGCACACGCGTGTGCTGGTTGTCAATGAAGTCCTGCAGTAGCGGCTGGAGCACTGCGCTGTCGTTGGTGTTCAGGCCGGGATCAAACCTCGAGTCGTTCGCATTCAGTTCGTCTCCGCCCGTGCCCCAGTATTTCGTATAAGGCGCCACACGTGGAAGGATGTCATCGAATAGGTTGCCGAGGAAAGTTTCCACATCCGAGTTGTTCAGTCGGAATGCGCCACACGGAGGCTGTGCGCAGTAGAAAAAGTAGGGCCGCGCATCGTAGGCTACAACGAGGTCCGGGAAAGCCTCACCGACAATGCCAATGTGACCAGGCATATCGATCTCGAGATAGACCTCCACGCCACGGGCGAGACCGTACTCCTGGATCGACTTGATGTCATCAGGCGAGTATACCTGAGACTGGCTGTAAGCACCCTTGGCGGACAGCTCAGGGATGCTTGGAATCTCGAGGGGCCACGACTGTGAGTCAGTAACGTGCACGTGAAGCTTGTTCAACTTGTTGTAAGACATGGCATCGATGGTCCGCTGGATGTCGTCCACTGGGAACCAGTGCCTGGCCGTGTCCAGCATGAGTCCACGGTGTCCATAGACTGGCGAGTCCTCAATTTCGATTGGGGCGTTCACCAGATACCACGCACCGCCGGCGGAATGCTCATAGAAAAGCTGAGAGAAGGTCTCCAGGCCGTGAAGGATGCCGAAAGTTGACTTGGAGGAGAGCTTCGCAGTGCCGTCCTCACCGATGCTCAAGCTGTATGCCTCGTCGACGTCGGTTGCCGTCGGATCGAAGGTGGTGTTGCCACCGGTCAGAGTTATTTCCAGACAAGAAACGCCGGTGGCGGAGGCATTAGGCGATGGCTCATAGCTGGAAAGTGAGTTTCGTGGGACGAGCATCCATGGAACAAAGTTTTGGTTGAAGATGTTGTCCAGAGCCCTGTTGACAGCAGCGGTTGTGATGTCTGAGCTGGTCAAGGAAGCCGGCTCTAAATCGGCCCCGTGGGTAAGCTGTGTTTGGAAAGCATTCTTAGTATACAAATCATCTTCAAAGGATAAGGAACTCTTGTGAGTAGACCACCGTACAGATGCGCCGTTGTAAGTAACTTCAATGTCCTGGTTGATGAACAGGGATGTGGTGCCAGCAGTGAAGGTGGGCTGAGGGACGGGCCACAATCCTCCCAAGCCTTGCGCTGAGACAAGGTCGACAGCCACCAGGAATGGCAAGAGCAGTCGCGAGGCCATCTTGATGATGAACCTGCAGTAGGTCACTTTGCGAGGCGAAAGGTATGCGTGAGCGAGCAAAAACAGGTCGAACAAGCCGAATAAACGCGCCAAGAAGGATAACGCGCCTCGAGGCGGGCAATACGCAGCGACTGGAGGGTAGCCACTTGTGTATTTATTTGAGTGGTGAGTGGGTGGAGTGAATGACTGGACAAAGAAAAGCAAAGCCCGAGTAAAGAGGTGATGGGCGCGTGATAAAATTGAGGGAGTGAATCGCAGTTATTTATTAGACTTTTGGCTCGTAATTGGCAAAGCCCATGCAAACGCAAGGCTTGGGTACGTCGTACTTGATCCTGGGAAAGGCGGGAGCGTCAAGTGCAGTAGTGCCGATCAGCGTTGGTTCATCAAGGATCTCCTGGACCTATCGAAGGGACCTTGCTGGCAGGTGGGTCTCTCCAAAGATAGGCAGAGGCTCAGATAGTTCAGTTGTTCCTTGGGGTCTGCTGCGCGTTGACGCCTCAGAGCAGGAGCATGACCAACGGGGGTCGGATATGATGGTGGCGGGGCGTTCTCTGGGCACGTCTGCGCGAGACACGGTCCTGGGGATCGTGAGGTTCAGAGGGTTGGAGGCGTTATGGCACAAGCGCAACGTTACGTTACGTTGCGTTCACTGCGCAGTGATGAAATATAGTCTAGCGAGCGGAAGGCAGAGGGAAGAGGGCACAAGTGCCGGCCTAGACTGTGGTTTCCCGGCGGCGAGCAAGGTGTGGATGGGCCAAGTGAGCAAAATGGGCAGATGGGACGGACTGGCGAGGATAGCAAGCTGCAAGCTAAGGCCGGCTGACGGGGGCGCGATATGCCTGTATGCCTGTACGTCTGCAAGCCACCGACCGGGTACTCAGCAAGCTGTCAGGGAGGGAGGCATGTCGGGAGTCGGAACTGGCTGGCGGTAGGATCGAAAAAGGAGTTCAAAGAAATAGGGCCATAAGCCCAACTCAGCCAGTCATTCTCCCTGTATCCCAGCCTGGCTGCGGAACAGCGACCCACCAACGATGATCTCAACCTTAATTTTTTGGGAAAGGATGGCAAGCGCATGGGCAGCGTGGGACGGACCAGGCGGATGGGATGGTGGGATCGGGATAGGATGGAGATGGGGATGGGATGGCGCACAGAGCGGGGATCTTGCCGAGTGTCATGCGCGAACCTTAGCTGCCTCTCTGTTCAATTGTGCTGTGGACGATACGAGCCTGCCAACTTCCCCCAAGATTTAGAAATGAAACATGAGGTGCTCAGCTGGGAGCACAGAGGAACTGCGGCTGTAAATGACCACTCACCTGCACACTGTCAGGTCAAGCCTCAAAACAGGACTGGGGTGCCCAGCCAGTCACGGTCAGGGTCGTACCACCCAGGCGGTCAGAATGCAAAGAAAACCGACCGTACCCCAAATCCCCTCCTAAACTAACAAAACCCTTCATGTTAGAATCCAAATTCCTCAACAACCACATAGGATGTGATTGATTTAAATTACACTTACATATTCAGAGTAAGCGTCTGATTTCGATGATATCAAAATATACTTAGAAGTCGATGTTGTGGTGGATAGGTTATTGTGAAACTGCGATATGTTGATTCTTGGTACTGAGCTACGGTCGGTTTTTTTTGCATGCTGACCGCCAGGGAACCACCAGCCAGGAACCATCCCCGCCCAGGCCGTGCACTGTACAACGTGTGGAGACACCGGCTGTGGAGATTTTGCCTAGTCTCACAGACCATAGTAAATGTTGTTCAAGATTTGTAAGTGCTCATGTGAATCTTATGAAGACAAAGTTTTGTAATCAACCGATTTCTTGTGGGGGGGGGGGCAGGGTGGAGGGACATCTCATGCAGGCCTTCCTCTACTCTTATCTATTGAAGTGAATTCAAGAGCATTGAACAATGTTACATTGACGGAAACCTCGATATTTACATTCGCGCAGATCCTCTATGGCTTGCCGACGACAAAAGTGACCGATGACACTTTTGTTAAATTTCTCACACAGCAGGCAGCACATCCTGTGTTATCGCACAAGGCACTGTGCCCCGGCGTGATGGAAAAGTCAGCCCAGTATCTTCAGAAGCTTGAGTTGTGTTCTAGGAGGTTTGAAGAGGCAGTGACCTTTGCACACCGTCGAAAGCAGAGTCGAGCAGATAAAGCTTGACGTTTTCACCTCGCAAGCTCTTTCAGTCGTTCCAAGAGATTTAGCCAGGCACACGTTATTTCTTCCTCTGACTTCTTGAAATGTAGCAGTTCCCATGACATTGCTGCGAAACCTTACAATCTAGAAGTACGAAGGCGCCAACATGACGATGAGGGGGATTTGAAGCATTAGGCGCAAGAGGGCGAAGGGCGCCATGCTCTGGAGTTTGTATTCGCGCATCTCTCCTTCCAAGACTTCAAGGAGTGCCCTCATGGCCTTGCTGTTGTGGTTGATTACTGGGCAGAGGGCCGTATCTTGAGTAGTGACATCGTGTTGACGAGAGCATTGACCGCTGCCGAGCCTCAGCCAACCCAGGCAGACCGGGAACATGACAAGTATACTAACTTACTCCTGGCGAGTGGTAGAGCGCTCTTGCGGGAAAGTGATATCTCTCTTCACCCGTTGCAGTCTGAAGAAACACTTCACGTCTATCGACTCGATGATTCTCAGCCGGGACGACGTCTCTTTAGCAGCCTTGCGGTCATTTTCTTTGTAGAGCAGCCGTAAAAACCAAATGTGTGATCGCTACAAGCACAATGACGGCGACATGGTGTACCACATATATCCTGATGGGTGGTAAGGGAAAGGGCGGCAGGGACGTCTTGATCGATGCATTGTGCGTGAGGTGGATAATCCCTGGTCTCTGGATTCTGCCGGGAGAAAGATGGACGCCAACGCCAGGAGTATGAGGAATAACAAAGAGGCCAGTCATAGTTGGTGGAGGGTATGGAAAATTTCATGCTCATAGATTTTCTAAATCACTTGAGCTTATGTTGTGTCATAAAGCACACTGCAATAGGCATCTTGTGGTTTGAGCTCGGGAAGATGTTTATTAATTGGTGATCTGGTGCCAGTGCACACTCGATCAAGGGGACGAGGACCGGGTGATGGTCACTCATATTTGATATAACAAATTAATCATAGGCCTGGTCTGTTTCAATTTTTGAGTAATTTCTGACTCACCTGAGAAGGCGATAACACCTGATTTCAAAGAAGTAGACCTGCATCTGAGTGGCAAGCACATTGGACTATCTGCTAGTTTATGTGTGTGGTCGGTCTACTGTGTGTTGAGCTGGTGTGAGTCGTCCAACAGGGTCGTCTTAGTAATCAGGTGCCAAGGCCACCGATCCGGAGCTGCCAGCGCCACATCCCAGAAGGCAAGGCTGGGCCGGCATTTCGTCAGTCAGTCAGTCAGACGGACTTAGCGCGCTAGCTGGCTGGCTGGCTGGCTGGCAGGCTAGCTGACAGTGCCTTGCATGCAAACTTCACCCGTCAAATCCAAAACACCTGCACTACAACAACCTCCATGCCAATTCCCCCTCCCATCAACCCAGCAACTCACGCGACTTACCCAACTGCCCTCTTGTTCGAGGCTTGGACTTGGTTCTTTGGCCTTGGGTGTTGCTTTGACTTTGAGAGCAGGCCAAAAGCCTAACAGACCACCACCCGCGTCTCCTCCCGTTCACTTGTCCACTCGACCATCCATTGTTGTCAAGGTCGTGCCGCAAGCCCACCTGCCATCGCCTGCGAGCGCTCTCCTCCACCGTCGAGCCCGCCTTTGTCGCGGCTGGTTTCCAACTGGTTCCTTGCCGTCGCCACGCACCATACTTTCTGTCTCTGCCATCTTTCGACTCGCCTCGCCTCGCCTCGCCTCCACCTCAGCCGTCTCCTCGCAACCACACACAATGCCTGTCTCAGTCGAGCTCAATACCCCTCTGGCTGACGCCCTCAACTCTGCTATCCAACCGAAGCTGGAGCAGTATGGCTGGGCCACCGGAGGTGCTGACGATGCCGCCCTCACCGAATACATCATCCTCATGCTCGTCAACGGCAAGACACAAGAAGAGGTCACTAGAGAGCTATCAACAGACCTCCTCGGACTCGACCCCAACGATTCTGGCCTTCTCGAGTTCTCAAACTGGCTTTTCGCCACCATCGACGCTCTCTCTGTTCAGTTCGGATCCGGCGATGCGCAAGCCGACGCCACGACGGGAGCCGTCCCGGCGGAGTCGGGCGTGCCTGATGAGGATCAGGACATGGACATGAGCACAAACGATGGTCTCGCAGAAATCAACGCGTATGTCAAACAATCGCCGAGGGAATAGGAAGTATCATGCTAACTCAAACCAGACCTACAGGCCCCAAAGCTATGCGTAACGGTGCCGACAGAGGCCGCGGGAAGCGACTCGTAGGACAACTAAACCGCGCGATGGACAGGACGCACGAGAATGTCCTCCACCGCGTGCGCGGGGCGACCGGCAACGAGAGGATCAACTCGCATTCCCGCACACCCCCGACCGGTCCTCGCATGGGTACTGGAAGACAGCCGCGGGGACCGAATCAACGCGCAGCCAACATCGCCCATGGCCTCGCTAACATGAACTCCATGCCTCCCGGCCCACCTGGCATGAACGGGGGAGCTATGGGACCCATGAACGGCTGGGGAATGATGCCCGGTCAACCACAGCAATCGGATCTCTTGCAAATGATGGAAGTGCAGCAACAAATGCTGAACCAGATGCAGCAACAATTGATGATGCAGCAAGGCGGCGCGGCGAACGGCCAGGGGCGTGGAAAGTCACTGTTTGAGCGCGCGCAGAACCCCAACCAACGAGGCAATTTCCGAGGCCGCGGTGGCCACCACCAGAATGGTCGCAATCACTCACATGCGTCGGAAGGGCCCAAGACAGAGCCGACTGAGCAGGGTGAAGGGGATTCGGACATGTCTGGTGTCAAGCGTGAGCAAGGAAACCCCGAGGAAACGGTCTGCCGCTTCAATCTGAGTTGCAACAACAAGGACTGCAAGTTTGCCCATCAATCACCGGCCGCGCCCCCCGGAGCGACAGTCGACGTCCAGGATGTTTGCAGTTTTGGTGCAGCTTGTAAGAATTTCAAATGTGTTGGTCGGCATCCGTCGCCTGCCACGAGGATGGCGCACCAGAGCGAGCAAGACTGCAAGTTCTGGCCGAACTGTCAGAATGCCCGGTGCCCGTTTAAGCACCCATCCAAGCCTCCCTGCCGCAACGGCGCCGATTGCAAGACACCCGGCTGTGAATTCTACCACAACACGGTGATGTGCAAGTTCCGCCCCTGCACGAACCGATACTGTCAATTCAAGCACGAGGAGGGCCAGCGCGGGTCGTTCCCCGACAAGGTGTGGACTGCTGACGGCGCCAAGGAACACGTCAGTGAGCGCCAGTTCGCGGATGGCAAAGCAGCTGAGGAGCAGGTAATACCTGGCTCAGGAGACGACGCGATGGGCGGTACTGAGGCGACCGTGACGGGCTAGAAGCGTTACGTCTTCGAGGTGCACTCGGACGCCGAGTCGGATGGGTCTGACATGATTGAGTGAGGCGGCGAGGGACAGCAGGCTTGGGATATGTGTGCCCTGTATTATACAAACCCTTTTCTCATTTTCAACAGGGTGCTGTCAGGTCTAGGCAGATTGGTTGGCCATGCTTGAGGACCGACCGGAAGGCGTTGGAAGGCTCAGTCAAGAGAACATCAGCATTTATGGAATCTCAGGGAGAGAAAGCACAGTTCCCTGCTAATCTTGGCAGTTTAGACAGGTTCGAGTTCAGGGGGTAGCGATATGGACAAAGCATCGATGTTGAGGCCCTGGGCCTCCCCCCATGCTTCTTCTGTGTTATTGAAACTGGTGCTGTGACTGTCTGTTTAACTTCGCTGACGCCGTTCACCCATCAGAGATGTTTAGCCAACTGGCCAGCCTGCCCAAGATTGTGTCCCTGCATCGCTTCCCGTATTGAGAGGCCAGCACCTCTCAAAATGGTCACAGCAGGGCTATTATTGTGTGCACATGATTCTACAAGATTCTGGACCCCACCTCATCCACAGGCCCTCGAATCATACGGAGGCTATTTCGGGCAGACTAATTCGCCGTCACATCCGCCTTAATCCACACCATGATAGACCAACAACAGCTTCGAAGACGAAAGTCCTTCCCCAAGGGAGGTACAGCTATCACCAAGGATAGGTGTTCCCTCATTTCTAATTTCGCATGGCAGTGTATTTAGAAGAGAGCGTTGGGAAGAGAGAAGCTAGCGGAGAGTGTCTAATATATATAAAAGAGATCTAACATGAACTTTTCTTGGAAAGTGACAAAAGGGCGAAGATATATACATTCTAGGGGGGGGGGGCGCGACTCTGCATATATGCGGTCAAAGAGGCCAGCTTGGGAGAGTACATGGAGTACACAGTCAGACGGTCCAGAATGTGCCTGTGTTTGTGCCTGAACCTCTCCCGAGGAAACAACGGCTTGGGCGGGCAGGGGGTCCCCACCACCCGAATTACATGACAGCAGTAAGAGAGGAGAAGGGGAGGAGAGAGCTTTCCCCGCAGGAGCCAAGCGCTCCGTATTGGCACGCTGTCCCCCTCGTGCATTTAGGCGGACTGGGACTTTTGAAGGTCGCAAAGTTCCCCAAGTCATCCGCGACGGCCCTGTGCCACTTTTTGCCAGCCACTGCCAATGCTTTCTCCCACCCCCCCCCCCCCCAATAGCTCCGCCTTTGCGACGCGTTTTCCGAGAAATTTGATCGTGGCAATTCCCAACGGCGGCAGGGCAATCCAGCTCAAGCTTGCGACCGCATCTCTTCCATCACCAATTGATTGTCGCGCATCGCGCAGTCCAGCCGAGCCATCGTCGGAAGCTGTCGCGCTCCGATTCGCCTCGCATCTCGCACCCTCCCTCGCCAGCTGGTTGCAGCAGGCCCCAGACGCAGTCGCAGTCCCAGACCTTAGTAGAACCTGGACGAGAGACTCTGCCCACCTGGCCCCGTCTCCCCTCCCCCCTCCCAGCCACCCCATCCGTTGCCCGTTGCCGCGCCTACGCCCACGATAATTGTCGCATCCTGTCGCCAACTCTGACCACCCGTCCTCCTCCTCCAACTTCAACCATGGCTGCTCCGCGCAAGCGAACTCGTGAGGTCGACGAGGCCAGCAGGGCCGAGTGCCCCTTCTCGGTGCGGCTTATCGACCCCAAGGATAGGGATCAAAAGAAGAAGCGGCGCAGAAGGAATGAAGAGGATGGCGACGACAGCCACAGCAAGATCCCGGTCCAGATGTCTCCCTTCGCCCCCTCGGGCAAGTTCAAGAGCTTCGAGACCATGGATATCCACTACGTGGTCGAGCCCTCCAAGAGGTGGTCCGAGATGACTCGATATAACAGCTTCGTTCGTATGTTGCTACCCTTCCCTTGCACTCCAGGAGTTCCAGGGTTGACAGATCACGTCTTACTAATTTGCCTGCCTTAGTCAACGGCTCCAAATACTTCAGTGACAACTACATCTTCGTCGCAAACGAGGACACCATCGAGCGCCAGAAATCTTTCGCCAACAAAGAGCAACTCGGGCCACGGGCTAAGAGTAACGATGACTGGGTTGCTCGAATCCTGGAAATTCGCGCGAGCGATGAGCACCACGTCTATGCCCGCGTTTACTGGATGTACTGGCCAGACGAGCTGCCACAAGGTACCGTCGACGGGAAGAAGACTGTTTCTGGCCGTCAACCCTACCATGGGCAGAACGAGTTGATCGCGTCCAATCACAGTGAGTACCAGAAGCCGCGGGAGGGAGGTAGCAATCTGGAGCTGACGCATTGCCACAGTGGACATCATCAACGTTGTGTCAGTCACCCAGCAAGCCACTGTCAACCAAGTGACCGATGAGAACGACGACCAGATCCAGAGCGCACTTTACTGGAGACAAGCTTTCGACGTCCGGACCCAGGAGCTCTCGGTAAGTGTTCACGTGGTTGGCAATGTGGGGCATGGGGCCTATGCTGACTGAAATTCATCCTAGGCCATCGAGAAAGTCTGCAAGTGCGACCAACCAGGAAACCCGGACAAGGTTTTGGTCGGGTGCCCCAACGAGACTTGCAAGAAGTGGCTCCACGAGGAGTGCCTGAAGCATGACATTTTGCTCAAGACGTACGAGGCCCTCGGAACCGACAAACCGCACAAAGCATCCGGTGTCAAGGAGGAGAAGGTGGAAGAAGAGGAAGCAAAACGGCCCCTCAGCCCAGTCGAGCCGAGCACCGGTGCTGTTGCTGCCGAGCTTCCAATCCAGGTCAAGACCGATGGGGAGGGAGAGACAGTCAAGGCCGCCAACGACTCTGTCGAGTTCAAGGAGGAGTCTACTGTCGCGACCGAGGAGGGCTCGGTGCAGCCCCAGAACGGCCGGGTGTCGACAACACAAACCCCGACCGGAGAGACGCCGGCACGCAAGGTCGGCCGGGGACGGAAGAAGGCGGATGCGGGCTCCGCAAAACCATACGAGGGCCTCTTTGAGGCGAACTTCAAGGTGGACCAAGACATGTTCGAGATCACGGACCTGAGAGACGGCATCGACGGCGACAAGACCTGGATGGAGGAGGTCAAATGCCTTGTTTGCGGCACACGCATTTGCTAGAGGCATCAAAATCCTCGGTGTTCCATCACCGGGGGCCTTGCGGGATTGTTTTCATTGGGAATTCTTTGTTAGGGGGTGCATTACCTCTCATGATCCGAAACCCTTTCTTCATTTAGCTTCAGCGCCGAGGGCGAGTATGACGTATACCTTGCTTGACAGGAGGAGGAGTACGGACAATGGTCACTTGCTGTTTTCATTTTATCTAGGGCGTTTTTTGGAAGGGGAGCAGGCAAAAGGCTCTCATTAGAGTTACGTTTGTAAATTCGAGAAGGGGACGTCGTCGTTTACCCACAAAATGAATATCCTGTCCTTAATCAGTCCTTAGTCCCCACTCCGTCCTGCATTGTTAGAGAAATACTGCCTGGGTTGTTACAACTGTCGAAACGTTCCATTCACGACAATATTCTTTGCGACATTACGAGTAACTAGGTAACGAACTCCACCCAGGGCCACAGATGTGATGTATGTAGTAAGGGACCAAGGCAGGTAAGGAGTGCAGAAGATCTTGAGCATTTGGTTGATATAAGAGATAACAACAAATTCTACACGAAACTCTCCAAAGCCACGAAAACAGAGACAAAACATCCAAATCACACCTCCTGCGCCCTCGCTATGCTAGAAACTTTACCGATAATGACTGACGACACAGTCTCAATCCCCGCGGTGTTCAACATCATCATCATCATCATCATCATCATGATGCTGGGCCAGCATCGCCTGGCCCTCGCCGCTCCCGCGCCCCCGTTCGTCGCCCGAATCCCCCTGGCCGGCCTTGTAGCCCTCGATGACGGCGGCCAGCCGCTCGGCCTCGAGCTTGCCGCGCTCGGCGTTGACGAAGTAGATGAGCGGGGCGGGCAGGCCGACGAGGCAGGCGAGGAACCAGAAGGCGGGGCGGATCTCGCCGGTGGCGTCGATGATGGAGGCGACGATGAAGGGGCCGAAGACGCTCGAGCCCTTGTCCGTGATGGCGTAGAGGGCGTAGAAGGCCGCCTCGGACCCGGGCGGGATCAGCTCCCCGTACAGCGCGCGGCAGTAGCTGCTGAGGCCGCCCAGCACGAAGCCGTACACGCCGGCCAGCGGGAACATCTCCCACGCCTGCTGCAGCCCCAGCACGCCCCAGCCCCGCACGAACGGCAGGTAGCCCAGCAGCCCGTACAGCGGGATCAGCTCGAACAGCGCGATGCAGCTCAGCAGCGTCTGGTGCGGCTTCAGGCTGTACCGCCGCGAGATCCAAGACCACGAGAGGGCCCCCGCGATGCCGAACATCGTGGAGATGACGCCGATGAGGCCCAGTGCCCACGGCTCCATGTTCAGCGTCGTCTTGGCGAACAGGATCGCGGTCGACGACGTGGTGGCGATGGCGTCCGAGAGGAGGAACCACGCTGCGAGGAACAGCATGATGTCCAGCAGCCGCCGTGCCAGCTGCACGGTCTTGAAGAGAGATTTCCACGCGTAGAACGCGTACGCAAAGAATGCCCTGACGCCCTTGCGGCTCTTTTGTGCCGGCAGTGGTGGTCCCGGCCTGGGCCTCAGCCAAAACGCAGCGGGTATAGTGAAGATGGCCCACCAGGATCCGATCACGAATAGGACAACGCGTAGGGACCAGGTTGAGCTTCTCATCTCGATGAGGATAAGAATGGAGACACATTGCAGGAACAGGCCGGCCGCGTAGCCTATCCCTATCCCCTTGGCAGATATCTCTGTTGACAGTGCGAGCTCCACCGATGTCTGGTCTTCATGGGTCAGAGTCTTGCGCAGCCTGTGCTGACCTTCGTCAACCAACAGCGCAGTGCTCGAGCTACTATCACGGAAGGTCTCGGTCTCCTCATCATCTTGAGAGTTCTCCAGCTGCTGCGATTCGCCGTTTGGCCCGCCGAGGTCAGGAGTCGATGTACCCTCTGCGTACAGTACCTTCGGGTGATAACGAACGAGCAGAGGAAGAAAGCTATTGAGCAGAACAAATGAGGCTCCAAAGGAAACGTTGCTTATTATGGCCAAGAACGCGCCGAAAATGTAGGTAGCTTTTGTGACGAAGATGTAGAGCATGACGGAGAAGCTGCCGGTCCAGGCAAAGGCCAGGAGAAGCTTCTTGCGATACTGGCCGTGGTCCGCGAACGAGCTAATGCTCACGACAAGCAGTGCCTGCACCAGGACGCTGACGCTGAACGTGTACATGGCGAAGCTAGCGGTGTTGATCTCAAGGCCGAGAACGTGGACCACGCATTGGTGGCTTTCCTTGCCACTCTTCTCATTGCTGGGACCGCATGGCTGTCCATTTTTGAGCAGGACGCCATTCTCCCGTGCAAGACTCTCCAGGAGGATGGGGATGAACGAGCCTAGGAGGATTAGAACACAGTCCACACATATCAAGTGAGACAGGCCATGGGAGGTGCTGCAAAATGGTACAGGCTTGTTCAAGATCACATACCGATTGCTATCACTCAGTCAGGATGGTCTGTTCGTTCTCACAAAGCTCTGGGGCCGGACAGTTTCACTCACCACAAATGACGTAGGTCTCAGCCGCGAAGGCATACATATACCATCCCCTCAGCTCCTTTGGGCTCGTCTCTGCAGGTCAAGGCTCAGTCACTCGTGCAAAGACATGTCAGGGTTCAAAGGCGGCCGGGCGGGACTCACGCCTGGTGTCCTCTCCGGCATAGCGGACGGGTGGCGTGGGAGGGTCGGTGCTGTGATTGGGCTCCATATCGGAGTCGCGGTCTATATCATCGGACGTAGCAGAAATGGTGGCCGAGCGCTCGTCATCGGCCTCGAAGGAAGACGAGTGGGAGAGAAAGGACCGCTTGGAAACGTGGGACTGTCTCGAGTATAGGCGCGGCAGTGGTGGAGGGCGTGAGTCCTCATTCCTCGGGGCCATAATACTGCGGCGCAGGGGATGTAAGGTGTGCCGTGCTACCAAACTTAGAGCGGTGGCAACACACCTGAGAGGAGCGGGAGTGGGCGTGTGGGAATGACACTGGATCCTAGTGGTGCTGTGCCGTGCCGTGCTGGCCTGGCCTGATGGGGCCCTTGCACAAAGTTAAGCGAAAAGGCGTCGGTGTTAGAGTGTCTGCAGAGTGTCTGAGTGGTGAGTGGGTGTGCGTGAGAGAGAGTCAGATGGAGCCTGTGGAACGTTGTCCCGCCATGCACGCACACGTCGACGTCCCTTTAGGCGCGTTACGGTCGGTCTCTCGGAGACCGGAGACAAAAATGGGCTGGAAAGCAACCAAGCCCAGTTGCTGAAGCTTTGCTGGTTGGCTCAGAGCAAGTATACGAGCCTTGCATCCTTTGCTGGATGGAGGAACGAGGTTGAGGACGGCGAGGTCCACGGGACAGGCGACCACCAACTGAGGGGACCCGTGACCGAGGGGGGCGGGTAGATCCGCCTGACTGACTATAGGCAGCACTTAGAGCAGACCGGACCCACTCGGCCTCAGTTCGCCCTTCTCGTCTCAAACAACCTCATGATTCAAGAAGTGGTCATCTCGACCATCGCAATCTGCTGCATGTCTGAAGTGCACCCTCTTCGCGTTGGACATATCTCCTGCTGGTGTGTCTGTTTCCTTCAGCCTCGCGTCGCCAAGCTCATCAGGCTTCGAACCAGGGCACTTGGCACCAGAGCACCTACTGTGACTAGACTGCCACTCAGCGCGCTGAATGTGTTGTTCATTACACTCTATCTTCTCGCCAGCGCTCCATCGTTCCCCTTGGTAGCTGACAGTTGTCTTCTCAGGGCAGCAACCCATCACTACGCTAAGAAGGCGAGGAGCACACATCACATGCAGACCTAGAGTCTGTCGGAGCGAAGACAAGAGAGCCTGATCGAATGGCTACTGTTCAAGACTGTCTCTCTACCTGCTGGTGATATATGATGTTCATTACTGACAGGACAGCCCAGTATCCACTCGTGTTATATCTGTGGCCGAGGTGGCTCGCCTGCTAGGGAACATCTGTCTCATTCATGGATATGCCACGTGCTGAGTCCCTGGATATAGTCACTAGGTCTAGTGAGGATCAGGCGCGGTGCTCGCATTGAAAGCAGTCGATGCAGCGGTGAGGAGTGAGCAATACCTCTGCCGTTGTCGATGCGCTCGATATTATTGCACAAGCGGTTTACGAGGTTTCTGCCAGTAATTTGCCGGCATCTCTTTGTTTGCCTTCATGCTTCTTTGAGCCGCGCCGCCACATCTTCGGAGTCTACATCTGTCAGGAGGAAGCCATCGCGGCCCTAAGATCCTAGGATCTCAATTCAAGTTTCAATCCAGCCGCATAAGCCCTCTTCCGGCTCATAAAAGACGGTCTGGGGATCTTCTGTCCTCGGGTGTGGTAATAAAGCAAATGCACATGGAAGACGAGTCACAAAAGCCGGATTTTATTGGAGTCTTAGGTTGAACATGTAGGCTTGTGGGCATTAGGGACCTCTTTAGGAAGGCCTGCACCAGCAAACCCAGCAATACGACGGTGATCCCCACTGTCGGCACACAGAACCCCATTGAATGGTACCCCTTGAATTTCTAGGCATGACCTTTGCCCCAACCTTCTTTCCCGGATCAGTCAAGATCAGTCAATATGGATAAAATCCCCATTGGCAGTCTGGATATAAACCCGTCTTGGCCCTTTTGACGGCAAATTCTGAAGTACCCATGTCCATGACATACCGCACTTCAAGCTATACTCGGATTACACTTCAATATGACGGATCGTCACTACCGAGCTCTGTCTCCCAATCGGCCTTCACAAAAGCGAATGCCTGTGGTCCCTTTGGAGGTATGCGAGGTGTCTCCACCCCTGAAGGCGAGCGGCCACCGCGCGCTTTGATGTGTTACTCTTCTACTCGAGCTCAATCTGGACACGGCCATGAGGACATCGGATGTCCATCTCCGGGGTCAGGGGCTGAAGGAGGTAGAAGTGTGGCTAAAGGACATATATAAAGACATGGCTTCCCAACTTGTGATGACCACTGTTCATCAAGGCAGAAAAGTACCTCACAAAAGCCGATCAAGATGAAGTCAACCTTGCTTTACCTCCTGGCACCTCTCCTGGCTCTCGCAGCCCCGGCCGCAGAGCTCGAGGAACGCCAGGCCGCCACCAGCATCGACGCGCTGTTCAAGGCCAAGGGGAAGCTCTACTATGGCGTGGCGACGGACCAGAACCGCCTGTCGACTGGCAAGTCGGCCGCCGTGATTCAGCAGAACTTCGGCCAGGTGACGCCGGAGAACAGCATGAAGTGGGACGCAACCGAGTCCTCCAATGGGAATTTCAACTTCGCTACCGCGGACTACCTTGTCGACTGGTAGGTCTACCTTGTGCTGAGAGTTCACTTGCTCATCGAAGTCTACGCGTGTCTTCAACGCCTAGAGTCATGAGACTTATCAAGCACAGATGATCCCTGGGGCATGGTAGTCATATTTAAAGAGACAGAGTCATACTAACCTTTTTGTAGGGCGACCACGAACAACAAGACTATCCGAGGTCACACTCTATGCTGGCACTCGCAACTCCCTAGCTGGGTCAGCAACATCCGTGATAAGGCGCAGCTGCAGTCGGTTCTGGAGAGGCACATCACGACAGTCATGACAAGGTACAAGGGCAAGATCCGAGCCTGGGTAAGTCTGTTGTCTCGACTAGTCAAGTTGGCTGGGACAGGACACTGACGGTTAGCTTGCAGGACGTATGTAACGAGATATTCAACGAAGACGGCTCCCTCCGCTCGTCCGTGTTCTCCCAAGTCCTCGGCGAAGACTTTGTCTCCATTGCATTCAAGGCTGCTCGTGCAGCTGACCCAAATGCCATCCTCTACCTGAATGATTACAACCTGGACTCTGCGAGCTACGCTAAGGTCACCAACGGTATGGTCGCTCACGTCAAAAAGTGGCTCGCGGCTGGAATCCCTATCGATGGAATTGGTAAGCATGCTTTCTTTCCGTCTCCTTATAGACACCTATAGTCATATCGGGAGCCTTGCGAGATGGAGCCGCTGACATCTATATCTACAGGCTCTCAGGGTCACCTCTCAGGCGGCGGAGGAGCAGCCTTTGGCGGCGCTCTGAAGGCTCTCGCTGCTACCGGTGTAAAGGAGGTCGCCGTGACGGAACTCGACATTCAGGGCGCGCCCGCGAACGACTACAAGCAGGTCACTCAAGCCTGCCTCGACGTCTCCACCTGCGTGGGCATCACCGTCTGGGGAGTTCGTGATGCAGACTCCTGGAGGGCTTCCACCAATCCTCTTCTATTTGACAACAACTTTGCCCCAAAGGCTGCCTATGATGCTATAGTGACGATGTTGAAATAGAACTACTTCAGCAGAGGAAAGGTGGAAATCTTGGGAGGTGAAGCAATAGATGTGTCTGTCACGAGTCCCCGACCATGACCCGTCATTTTTGCCGGACCCAAGACATATTTTACCACTTATGACATCCCGAAATTTGATTATGTAAATAAAACCAATCATTTCATGCTTTCCGTTTAAATTGTGACAAATGTTCCTGTCCTGAACGGGTTCAATGCTTGTCGAACTTGTCACGCAAACGCATCTCCTAGAGCGGTCATTTCTGTCGCCTGTCAAACAGGACTTTCAACCGCGGTTGAGAATTACTCTAAATTGAAAGAATAACAGTAATGAGATGAGTATCGGAGACCTGGCCCTTCGACTTGGCAATCCGGGCGGGTAGGGCACTAGAAGATCATCCTCGAAAAGGTTACTTCATATGAGGTTATCCCATATGAGGCTATCCTATAGGAGATTATACCATAAAACATTATCTTATAGGGGGTTTTCCCACAGGAGGTTATCCCACAAGAGGTTATCCTATAAAAGGTTATCCCACAGAAGGTTATCCCATAGTAAATTATCCTATAGGGTATTATCCCATAGGAGGTTATCCTATAGTAAATCATCCTATGGGAGGTTATCCTGTGGCTGCTTTTATTCTAGTTTCCCCTTTTCGTTTTACTTATGCATTCCAGAGATCATGTGATCACGAAATGGACACCCGAGCTCATGCTCGTGTTGTGTTGAGCTTTCAGACCGAAATATCTAGCAGCTAGGCGCAAGGATTTGACGTGCTGGCGTCCAAACGGTGTGCGACTCATAACATGACACGAGATATCAATGAAATTGAGTAGGATGATGTAGCACAAATGTATGTATCTTCTCTTCGTATGTGAAGAATTTACGGGATATGATCGGAGTGCGTATTGTACATCTATTTGATAGGAGTGTTTCCTACCTAGTTTTTGCTTCATCATTCGTGAACTCGTCTTTTACGGCCCTTGGGAGCAGAGATAGCCGGGCCTCCAACGCCATTCGCACACTTATCTTTTGTACTTCGTCACACCTGGAGCCACTCGTTATCCATTACTTATGATCCTCATCGGTCGAGAGCTTGGCTTTGGCACTGAGACACAGAGTCCAGTTAGCATGTATCCAAGATCTAAAGGGCAGTTGTGAGCACATACCATCGTATAGTACACTCCCTTCTGTTTCAACAAATCAGCATGGTTGCCGACCTCTAATACCTTTCCTTCCCCGAGTACGTAGATTACATCTGCGTGCTGGATAGTCGACAGTCGATGAGCCACTGCGACTGTTGTTCTTCCTTTGGCTACCCTCTGGAGTGCTGCAGATATCTGCTTCTCGCTCTCCGAGTCCAACGATGATGTCGCCTCGTCAAGTAGCAACACCTTTGGGTCTCGGATGATAGCTCTCTAAATATTCAGTCAGTAATAAAACATATTTACGTGAATCTCAACGCAGTATCAAAATAACTTACTGCGATGCTAACGCGTTGTTTTTGTCCACCAGACAGTGCCACACCGCGAGAACCAACATCTGTATTATCTGCGAGATATTAGCAACTTGGGACGTAATATGCCATTTGCATCATATAGAGATCTCAAGTCACGAAAAGCTTGTACATACAGCCCTCAGGTAGTGAGATGATGAAGTCGTGGATCGCAGCGTCTTGACATGCTTGGTGAAGCTGGGCGTCAGTGACCGCCGAAGCATCGGGTACTCCGAGGAGAATATTTTCTTTGATGGTCCCTGGACACAGTCAATATCAACTGAAATATTTTTAGACGAGGAACAGGAGCCAAGAAATGGAACGTACCTTGGAACAGTGATGCTTCTTGGGCAACCAACGAAAACAACTTGCGGTACTCATGCACATCCACTGTTGTGATGTCCCTCCCATTGCACCTGATGCTTCCCTGTTGGGCATCGTAAAAGCGTTCGAGCAGGGCCACGGTGCTTGACTTGCCGGCCCCTGAGGCGCCCACAAGGGCCGCGAATTGCCCCTTCTCGACTGTGATGTTGAGGTGCTTGAAGACTTGGGCCTGGCGGGTTGGATACCTGAAGCCGACGTCCTTCAATTCGATCTTGATGCCACTTTCACTGTCGGGGATTTTTTCGATCTCCCGATTACCGCCTTCCGTCTCATCTGTCAAGCTTGCCTTCTCCCCTCGACTCTCCCTGATACTTAATATCCGGTTTGCTGCCGCGCTTGCCTGAGCAGCATTGGGGCCAAAGGAGAACCCCACGCCGGCCTGTTCAGCGCCTTGCGTCACGGCCATAAAACAAACGAAGAAATTAAGAATCTGGTACTCTCCGGTGGCCAGAAGTCGTCCGCCATACCAGAAGATCAGAGCCTGGCAGGCGATAGAGAGTGAGTCGGAAAGGGCAAAGATAAGCGTCGTCCAGCGAGCTTTGCGGTAGGCCGACATAACGTGGGTATCGAGGAGCGTTTGGTATCTTTCAATGATGACGTCCTCCAACGTAAGGGAAGAAACGCATCGAAAGGCGCCAATGGCCTCGGCAGCCCACTTGCTTGATTCAGCAAAAACCTTGAAGACGTCAGTAAAGTTTACCGAAGTAACAAACCTAGCAAGCGGTAAAAGAATCGAGATTGCCCATCGAAATTACGGAGAAAGACTTGACAACGTGGGGGAGAAAAATAACTTACGGCAGCCGACATCTTCTCGAACTCCATCTCATATTTAAATCGGTACCACGCGCAGCCCAGTCCGATTGGAACAGTGACGCACGTTGCCACCAGGGCAAGTTTCCACCCAAAGACAAACGAGATGGTTAAAGAGCCACAGAGCTGCAGAACAGAACACACCACCATCCCCATATTCATGCCAAGCAATTCCTCGAGTTGTTTTGGATCACCTTGAACCCTCGAGGCAAGGGTGCCTATCGAGTTGTTTTCATTGTCGAAGAAAACCATCTTCTGCCGGATGAGCGCCGTGAAGTACTGTTGACGGTATGCCGCACAGATAAAGTGCTGAAGATTCACGGCGACAACACCTAGCACGAGATAGCAGAAGCCCAGTCCCAGAGCCACAATAAACCACATAAGTGACCAGAATTCGGACTCCCTGATGAAGCGGGATGGTGAAAAGATGTACGTAAAAACTTGCAGCACTTGACCGAAAAGCCTTGGTAAACAAAAGTTAACATACCCTTCGTGAAAATTAGCACCAACAAGAGGACTTACCAAGCCTGAATAGGAGTAGCAGCAGCAATACCGGACGCTGCTATGAGTATGAGTGCATAGAACGGGAAACGGCTGCGCTGCTCGTAGAGGAGCCGACCAAAGCTGCCGATGAGACCACGGTTCACCCACTCTGACTCGACCTCTGCCTCTCCTCCGCTAGTGATAGCCTTCGAGGCGGATTTCTCCCGGCTCAGAATGGCTTGGATATCCTCTTCCTCTTTCTCCTCCAGGGCATCGCTGTCTTCTGCCTCCTCTTCCCTGCCCAGGGTTAGTCTCTGTGCTCTGACAAGCCCGGAATAAACACCCGCGTCGTTGCTGAGCAGGCTCTCGTGCGTCCCCTGCTCCATGAGCTTTCCCTTCTGTAGCACCACGATTTTGTCGGCCTTCGCGATCGTCGAGAGCCTGTGGGCGATCGTGATCGTAGTGCGACCCTTGGATACCCGGTCGAGGGCGGCCTGGATGATCTTCTCACTGCGGACATCGATTGCCGACGTTGCCTCGTCCAGGATAAGGATCTTTGGTTTCTTCACGATGCTACGTGCGATCGCAATCCGTTGTCGTTGGCCACCGGAGAGCTTCAGCCCGGAGTCACCCACTTGGGTCTCATAGCCGTCGGGCAGTCGATCGATGAACTCGTCTGCGAAAGCCTCTTTGCATGCGTCTCGAACAAGTTCCTGCTTGGTTTCTAATGGTTCGTCCTCCCACTTTGTCCCGACTAGCCCATGCATCACGTTTGCGTAGATGCTGTCGTTGAAGAGGAAGGGCTCCTGCTGGACGAGACCAATCTGTGATCGCCACCATTTGATGTCCATCTCGTCCAGACTATGTCCTGCGGTAACAACGCTCCCACTCAGCTGTACTGGTTCGGCATTATCCTGTTCGTCTGGGGTAGGCGTTGCGCCTGCGGCTGCGGATGAGTCCTTTTGTTGATCGACAGCTTCGGCTTGATTGCCTTTCGCTTTTCCCCGAGCCCAGAAAGGTTTCTTTTCGCCCGGCTGCTTTTCTTGATCTTTCTTTCCTTTCTTGTCAACCTTTTTTTCGATGGCTTTGCTGATGACTGCCTGTGAGTACAAAGTGTACCAACGTTCAACCAAAGCAACGACCGTGCTCTTCCCGCTTCCTGAAGGACCAACGATCGCCGTGACCTTGCCAGCCTCAATAGTGAGGTTGAGGTCATCCAGGACTTTGGTGTTCGGCCTACCGGGATAGGCAAAGGTGACTCCCTCGAAGACGATATCTCCATCAGCGTTTACTTCTGGTTCCTTCAAAGTGCCCTTCTTCGGCTGCGGTGCATCGATGACGGCGAAAAATGTTGCGGCCGCTACAGTAGCCTTGCTCGCTGCAATCAGAGGACCTGACATTCTCTCGAGCGAGATTGCCATAAGGAAGACAGAGAACAGAACCACCACGATGGAGCCTATACCGTCCACGATCCCTTGCGCGACAGCCTTAGTCCCGTACCAAAAGCCTATCGTACCTACATTAGTCACTTGGGAATATGGTCAGGGCGTGCAACGGTTATACACTTACACAGAGCGAACGCGCTATACAGCCCGAAGAACACTAACGCGAAGTTCAGGCCCACGAAAGGTGACGTATACATGCCATGCTTCTTCGCCTCGACAACCCACGAGCTGTACTTGTCTCCCATTCTTTTCTGGGCCCCGCAGGCATACACCATTCTTATGCCCGAGAAAGCCTCAGTCGCGACCGCTCCGGCTTTTGTCTCGGCTTCAGTCGAACGGCTGGTCCCCTTGATGATGAACGGCACCAGGATACCAACGGCCAAGCCGATGAAGAGGACCACGCTGGACGTCACAAGCGTGACCTGCCATGAGAACGTGAAGGCAACAATAATCGAAGCAACTGTTTGGATGTATAGGTTAGTGGCTTCCCTTAACAGAACATTCGAGCATTCCTGGGGCACGTCGAGCCTATTCTGGAGGGCATGTAAAGGGGGCAAGAGCCGATTTCCTGACCTACCAATGCAAGAAGCGAATTCAAGGAACGTCCCCAACTTCTCCGATATACCGATCTGCAGGACATTGGCTGTGCTGGTTATTGTTCCGGCTGCTGCGCCCGGTGGCATGGAATCGAGGACATGGACAGTCTGAGAAAGCAGACAAGAAAGGTAGTGGAGACGGATGGCCGCAGAGATTCGGATTCCGATAAGGCGGAAACAGAACTTCGAGACGTAATTGAAGGTGAAGCGCGCGAGGAACAGGATGAACATCAGGAGACATTGGAAGTTGAGTTGCCGCTCGAATTGGGCCTTGACATGATCCCGTTAGGGCCACGAACAGTGGAGAGGATATACCTAGGTATGGCTCAGAAAAACTCACCTGAGTGGTGCTTGATCCAGGGGTGCCAAAAGAGGTGAAATTCCCAACCAGACGGCCGAATATCACATTCATGAGAGGCGTGGTCTGACCTCGACATCAGTTTGGGGGTTTTGGACCTGTGTGCCTGTTGGAATTTGTGGACTCACGACACCACCTGCTAATGAAGCAAGTGCAGCACCGACCATCAGGACGAAGTCCCACCTCTTCGCATATGTGAACACGCGAAAATAGTCACCCCATACTGCTTCCCTCTCAACTTGGACTGCCTGTTTTGGGGGTTCCTCTCCAGGAAGTTGCTGCTGGCCGGTCTTGTTGTCGACTGACACGTCGACCTCACCTTTGACAGCCATGCCTTGTATCGCGAAACTACTAGCTGCTGGATACTTTGTCTGCACCGAATCGCTGTGACCTCGTCAACTAATATTGCTGTAGTATAGCCCCCTGTGGGTCAGCCTCGTCGGTCAAAGGGCTTGTGTGGGCTTCATCTATGTCAGTCCAGCGAAAACAGTGCAAGGCGCTGGTCACACGGAATATAAAGGAATCCAAGTCTGACAACTGTCACCTTGGAAATAAATGGACAGAGAAGCGATAAGAAAATACAGTGTAAGAAAGTCAGAAAGAGCTAATGAGCCAAACTGACACATAGATGATCGAGGTTCGTCTGCAGCCCTGTGGGTCCCACGGGGAACCCGAAAAGGAAAGCAACTGCAAGGATTACGATCAGAATGGCAATTAAGGGCTTATTACACATCGACTCGTGCGAGACGGTAGGGACATTTGCCTCAAGGGTGGGAGGGAGTCAGTCACTTGAGTGTGCCAGAGAGGCCGTCATTGCCAAGACCACCTTCATTTGCACATCACAGGCACGACAGGGTCCGAGGACAATCCTCTGGGTGCCGTGCACCCCAATACGACCAATACGAGCAGACTGAGATGCAATCACGCCCGTTGGGTTGGTTTCGCGGCGGTCAGCCGGACAATGAAATCCACCCGGAGCCCGAGCCCAACCCACACGGGCACAGCCCTGCACTGTTGGAGTGCGGATGCGGGAAGACCCGAATGGTTTCCAAGGATAAGATAGTGTGGAGTGAGACATTGTGGGTAAAACGGCGCTGCGGAGGCTTACCCGGACGAGGCTGGCCTGCTGCCATCTATACCAGACTCACGGGATGCAAAGTATGGGTTATGTTGAATCACGTACTAGTATGCCCATGATTGACGGTATCTCGGGTGGGTGCCAGGGGGAAAGTTTGTTTGAAGTGGTACAATGCGCTGATTCATGTACAGTCCTTTTTTGGGGACAAACGAACATGTATGATCCTGAACTTATTGAATATTCGCCGCGTCTGGCATTTTAGCTTTTGTCGAAATCAGGGGCAATCGACAACATACATGAAAGGCCCACTACTCGACGCCAAGCTCTATGACTCCCCAGTCGGGTCCTTTCCATACCTGGCCAAGAATCCTATTGACCGGGCATAAGCAGATGGAATATCAGGCTACGACACTGTAAGACCGGCGGCTCTGTAGTCGCTTATGCCAAGTAAATCCCGATGACTGTTCAGCCTTCCGTACAGTACATTCGAAGCGACGTCAAGTGACACTTTCTCGTCCTTAGGGTATCCTTCCTTCCTGACTGCCAGTGACAATCCAGGTGGGCTTTCACATCCGATAGCTCGTCCTGACAGCCTCTCCAAACCTCCGGATGGCTTCCCTCATGTTCTCGGGCGAAGCAGTCGCAAAGGTCGCCCTGAAGAAAAGGTCCTTGGGCGGCTTCTCGTGCTCTGCGGTGAACCAGCTACCTCTCGCGACCAGAACGCCCTTGTCGATGCACGAGTGGAAAATTTCATCCTCTATCTCGGGAATGCTGCGCTTACCAGTATCTGGGTGGAGGTTGTAATTGACGCGGAACCATTGCTTTGAGACAACAATCGTTAGCAACACTGTTCAATAAATCCGAGCTCGGAGAGTTCAACTTACGAACATGCCCGCAGCCGGTGGGCTGTAATTGACCACCTCGGCCGGCAGGGACTCCTCGCAAGCCCTCAGGAGAGCATCCCTCCTCTTGGTGTACTCAATTCTCAAGTTCATCAACCACCGGAAATAGCCCTCGTGTCCCCAATGCTCGTCGAGCAGCTTGTGGAGGACGACCTGCGAAAGGCCAGCGGGCCCCTGACTGGCCACCTCTGCGTGCCTGATATACCTCTCGATGATCTGCTCAGACCCGGTCACCCAGCCCATCCGCGAGCCGGGGATCACGACCTTGGAGAACGAGTCCATGCGCAAGACACGGCCATCGGTGTCTATGCTGAGCAGAGACGGGATCAACGAGTCGAGGAAGCCCTCGACCGACTCGGGAGCTGCGGCCTCAACGGACTTACCGCCGCGGTTGTACGGCTCCATCTGGAGATAGTAATATGGCTCGTCCTCGAGGATGAAGACGTCGTGCTTCTGACAGACCGCGTAGATGTCCTTCCTCCTCTGCGTCCCCATGGTTGCGCCTGTAGGATTTCCGCCCGAGGGTACCGTGTACACGACATGCGGCTTCCTGGCCCCATTCCTCTCCTTCGGGTCCCAGTTTGACAGCATTTCGTCCATCGACTCGGGTATCATGCCCTCGTCGTCGATGGCGACCCCAATGACCTTAATGCCCAGCGGCTCTGCGGTCTCCAGCGCGGTGGAGAAGGCGAATTCGTCCATCATGACCGAGTCGCCCCTCTCCCTGTCACAGAGCATCCGCAAGGACTGCTCCAGGGCACCGGTGCTCCCCACAGTCAGGCATGACCGCCAGTCTGCGTAAGGAGGGTTGAAGACCAGCTCTGTATGCTCTGTCACCCAGCGCACCATCTGCGCGGACCCCGTAGCCTGGCCGTAGTTCAGTCCGATACTTAGGTCGTACTCCGAGTCCGTGTTTTCTCGGACATCATGCTTGCCTATGATCAGGGTCGCACCTGACTCCTTTGTTGCCTCCTCGGTGAAGCCTGGCGGTATGGGCACTTTCATAGTCATAGACTCAAAAGGGAAATGCTCGGGGCTGGGAAGGCCTCCACCAAGTGAGATCAGCCCAGGCTTTTTGAGATACTTGGCCGCTTGCTTGAGCATGCAGGGTCGGCGTGAAAGTGACTCTTTTGTTAGGTGGTCTGTCTCACGTCAGTATAAAACAGACACACGACGAAGGAGGGAAGGGCGTGAAACAAGACGTACGGTCCCATCTTTTGGCTTTTGGTTTCCCGACTGACTAGGTACAATCTCAGTGCTCATTGTGGCATTTCAATGGGTAGTGAGAGAACTTACGGGAGCCTTGAACATGTCACTATCGCAATACGCAGCGACGCCAGCAACTAGCCTACCAGCCTTGGCCCTTCGCTCCTTGATCTCATTGATCGTCACCCTGTCCCTTGGTGTCTGCACAGGTATCGGCTCTGCCTCTGGCAGCTTGGCCGCGGCACCCAGCGCCTCAGAAGGCCTCTTTGGGGAGTCATGTATCAAACGACGTGCGGCATACACATGGCCAGCGCGAAAGTGACAGTTTAGGGAGGGAACCGATCTCGGAGGTAGCAAACCTCGGAGGGGGATTCCTCGGTTCATAGTTCGGAGCGAGCGTTGGGGGCTGGAGGACGTAACTGAAGCTGTAGTGAGGACTTGAACACTTAGTTCACAATCTGAATGCAACCAAGAAGAATTGGTGTGTGTGTTATGGTGTGTTGTCTTTCGTCTCGAATTAAAGAATGAAGGCAAGCCACGACTTTCTGGTGTAAGTCAGCCTGATAAGGATGCCCGGGCACGATAAGAGTGGGTTGGATGTGTACAAGTACTCCATACGCAGGGCGCTCGGCGCTCCACAGCCGTCGGTAGCCGCGGCCGTTTGCGCTGGGGACGCCTGTTGGCAGTGAGCAAAAGCCAATCCTTCAACACTCTGTTACAAATGTTGGGGCAGGTGACAACAGTTCCTGTACGTAATGAATCTCAGACTTGACAAAGAAGTCCCTGCGCCTCTTCCCCTGTGGTACCTTTCAATGCAAGATGAGGGGCTCGTGACGCGCCATCGAGTTCTTCCAACAGCAAAGATGCCGGTTCTTTCGTGATTCCCCTAAATCTAATTCCATGCTAGTTACACCTCCGTGTTGAGCTGAAGAGTGGGCAAGGGAATCAAATACTGAGGAAAGAATGCGAAGTCGCTCCAAAAATCAACGAAAACAAGAGTGTGCCGAAAATTCAAGACCGGCCCCAACGCCACGCCGCGCTCCAAATGACCCAGAGTCTATAAAGAGCAAGCAGAGGGTGAATCGAATGCACGAGTTCCTAAAAGCTACCCGCACGGGCACCACGCCCCTGTCCCCACACTACACATCCTTCAACATCCGCGCATTTGCTGTAAATGTCAATCTCGGTTGACATCAGCTTCCTGGAGCGGCCCGGCTCATGGAATAGCGTGCTGGTGTACCGGACACCTTCCCGGGTTTTTGGCAAACCACCGCGAGATGCAGTCCTTGTGGAACCGGCAGAAACATTCCAGTCTCGCCATGCGGTCACCAACCTCAAACTCCTCAAGGCAGATGGTGCACTCCGCACTGTCGACACAGTCCTTTTCCGTCGCCATGTATGGGAACATACCTGTCCTCCTCGGTGCCATGTTAGAGCTCTCACCACTCGGTGTCCCATAGGCGCTGTGGGACGAGATGCACATGTTGATGTGAGCTTCTCTCAGAGCCTCGTAATTAGCCAACTCTCGAGGCGGAAGCTCGCGGTGGCAGACTGGGCACTCGTCTTCTTCTGCCAATTGCGGCGGGTCTGGTGGTAATGGTCTTCTACTAGCCGCGGCCATGGAAGACGAAGCTTGTCCAGCTTCAAGCATCGAGCGGTGTCTCGCCCTATAAGAAGAGCTCGATGAGGGTACGGCGTAGGGGTAATGGGTGGGTGGAGTCCCGCTCAAAATTCTATTCTGGGTGGACTGGTAATGGTAGGGTCGACTGCCCGAAGCTTGTCGAGAGCCGTCTGGTAACTGCAGCGAAGGAATCAGTATTTATCATCCGAGATTTGGAGAACACACGAACCATTGTAACACTTCTATTCCTTCCATAAGGATCATCTGCTCGAGTCGCAAAGTAGGTGGGCCGACCTTGCGCCGCTAGATTTGAACCGAGTGATGCCGATCCTCCAACGCCACTCTGTGACCTGCTATGAACCCTTCTGGAGCCTGGAGGCTCCTGAGACTGCGGTGGATTTGTATTCGGGTCAGGCACGCACGGGTTGCAAAGCCTGACCTTTTCACCACCACCGAGGCTACTGAAATCCGCGTACCCGCCTTCACCGCTGAGGAAAGAAGACGAATGCCTCTGGGCTCCTGGACGAGGAGTTCCAGGAGGGTGGACGATGTACTGATAAGGAATAGTGATGCGATGCGGTGAGCAGGAGGCGCATACCACCCTCCCGCATTTTCTGGCCATGCAAAAGTCAGCATCAATGCAGACGGCACCAAGATTCGCCCAGAGCACTTACCTGCAGTGGTGTTTTCTGATGAAGATGCTGAATTGGGTGTGGCAGATGGGGCAGAGGGTAACCTCAGCATCCGGCTGCCACCGAGGTAGAACAAGATCTGAAGGTCTTCTAGACTCTGGCAGCCTTTGTTGTTGATGACTGGCCCTAGTGGCGGCAAAAGCATTGGAGGATGTCCTCCTTCGAGCAGCAGGCGGGGGTGATGGTGGCGTTGCTGGTCGCCTTTGAAATGATAGGGATCCGGCACCTGCAGATCTGTGGGACGATACGCTCGAGCTAGAGGCAGACGGCGGGAGAGTCGGCAGAGCACGCTCAACATTCTGATTTGAAAAGGACGGCCCTGGCTGGGCCGGCTCCTCGGGCGAGTCCCCAGTGAGATCAATCACGTCTCGCTCCAGTCGGCTTCTGCCTTGCGCAAATGGTTCGTCCCCATCTCTTCCAGCTTCTGGAATCTCTGCACCACCCGGGACAATCGCTGGAGAGCTCGATTGATTGCTGTTGGGCGATGGTGCAGTGAGGTCGATCACGTTGTCTTCGGCGTTTTCAGCCTGGGGTCCTGCGTCTGGCCCCGGGCCACCAGCAAGATCATCGTCCAGTGCTTGACCGACTGACTCATCTGCACTTATTGGGGACACCTCGTTGGAAGCTTCTACTTCCTCCTCTACTGCCTCTTCGTCTTGTTCTTCCTCGTCATGTTGGTCGTCAGGGGCTGGAAGCTCCGATCTCGCCCTTTCTAACTGGTGACTCGGACAGTCGAAGTATCTGGAGCATTCCTGGTCGTGAAACTGGCCATTACGATAAGGACATACTCGAAGTGGGCTGCCGCGGTGGCTCGAATCCCCCGAGGACGAGTCGGAGGAATAATCGGGTGATGACATTTGTGCTTCTTGAACCCTCAGGAGGGCAGTTGTGGTGGAGTAAGGTCTCGTGGGCGGGCGACTGGTCGTGTTGAATGAAACGGCATCACAAGCACCGAAAATTCATGCGAGACAGAGGTCAAGTCGTCGTGTTGGCCAATGGTAATGTCAGGGATGAACTGTCTGTTGTTCATAGGAATCTAAAGCTATAGGATGGATCGTCAGGATCGAGTCGATGTATTTCTAAGGGGGCAAAGGGGGGAGCTCACGCGCCTGACGTCTCCACCCGAGGACTGGCAAGAATCATGGAAAGACAAACAAGCCTTCCAGAGAGGCGAGGCTGCGGCGTATCATTTCTGTCGAGAGAATGACCGGTATGACATGATGTGCTGGGAGGAGGGGCCCACGGCACTCAGATAGATGCAGTGGTGGTGGACCTGGACTTTGCCTCACGAGACCATGCCAAGCGCTGTCATTCTTATCGACGGACCTGCCCAGGCTTATCTGTAGCTCCCGCGAAGGGGTGGAGCTGCCCGCGGCTAGCGAGTCGATCTGCCGTACTGACTGTAGACCACCTCGAAACGACCTGTACCTACATAGGGACTAATGTCGTAGCAACGCATCTACTTCATTCGAGTTTCAGTCTTATCGACACGGCCATGCAACCAGTCCACATTTGGCTAACACAGCAAGACTATGTTATGTGTCAACTCACAGAACATCACAAGCGACACTGGGAATTGGACAGCTAACGGTCTGATGCTGCTCGTTTTACCTCTTCTTATTCAAGTATCTATCTAGGTACTGTTCATCCTTCCCAGTCTACCAACCAAGTGACATCGCCTCAGTTTCCAGACGGCTTGACACCTTCCATGCCACTACCATAATCCTCGCCCAGCTTCTTGCCCCCGATGAGGAGGGGCTTCGCTTCCTGGAGGACGTACAGCATCCTGCCCCACTCGGTCTTGCTCCTGTTCTTCCACAGGTGGTTGGTGCCCCTCTGAATGCTCACGTCCCCCCTCTTCATGACCCTCGACTCGCCCGAGTCCAGCACTAGCTCGATCTCGCCCTCCAGCACCACGCCGTAGTCGATGCTCACGGTCCTGTGCATGGGGCTCTCGCCGCCGGGCCGGAGGTCCACGATCCTGACCACAGAGCCGCCCGGCACGACGATCCCTGGCGGGTCGACCAGGTGCTTCGCGTATGCATCCACGTCGGCGTTGTTGGCGAAGTCGACCGGCGTGCCTGAGGTCGTGTAGCCGAGGTAGAACGTGTCGCCGTTGTTGATGATCTGGCCCGGGATGGGCTCCGGGATCGAGCTGCTGAAAACAGCAAGCCCCTGCTCGTTGTGGTCGGTGATGAAGCGGTTGGGTTGTCGGAGGACTGAACCCTTGCTACTCGATTCTGTCATCTTGACAAGTGTTGATGATTTTGTCCCTGGGGAAATGGTGGGTGTAAAACTCGGGCAGATTGTCAAGTTCTCGTGGTATTGATGACAATTGTCGGCAGTGGTTCCACAGCAAGTCGTCGGGACAGATACTCGCTGTCTCTCTCCTTGACTCTTGACGATCAAACAGTGTCTTGAAAAAGTAAGTGATGATCAGTAGCAAGCAACAGACAACCTGAGATCTAAGTTATTATGTGGGCGAGTCGCTGGTTCAGTTCGGACTTCTCGGCCAGCTGCTCGGTTCTGATGGTTCCGGAGTCAAGCATGCACGCCCTTCTGTTGGAAAATAGAGGACCCTTGGTATTCTAGACAGAAACAACATGCCCCTCATCCAATTTCGGTATCAGTCTCCCCCTTATTCACCCAACTTCCCGATAGCTTTGCTGGTCAGTGTCCAGCCATCGTCTGCGGGCGGGAAGCAGCCTCGGGAAGGTGGAGGCGGGGAAGCCTGGGAGCAGCGCGGGGCCGACGCCAAGTCAGGGGTGCGCTCGGGAGGCACTCAACTCCTCCTCGGGAGCAAACCCTCATTTATTAAATAATAACTACGGACTAGGCCAGTCCGCCGCGTGCTGGGCCGTAGTCGTGGCAGTGGCAGTGGCTCATTGCCCCTGAGTGGGCTCTATGGGGCTCGTCAGACTCGCAAAAGCCACGGAGGCTCAGGAAGACCCCAGGTCGTCTTCGTATGCCCATGCGAGCTGTTGGCGGCTCCTGTCATGCCTTTCTAATTCTAACTTGTGTGTACCGTCACCTCTTATGACGTTTTGAAGCCATTAATATGATCATCCTGAATAGATTGTGTAGAAGACAGGCCTGAAACTCGGAGGAATCCAATATGTCGTATGTGCACTGAATGTCAGCGAGAAAAGGGCGTCGAACCCTAATTCATTGATTGAACTGGTTTCGGATTTATGAGTGATAACTAACGTATGTACAAAAGTCATTTACGTGAAAACCCAATCTTCCGATGAGACTGGTATCTTCATGTTCAACAGAGGCCACTGACTTTGATCAACATGGCTTCCCTGCAGATAATCGCACCCTGGGGGCGCACCAAAACGCCATGCAGAGCCATTACGAGTTTTATTCATCCCTCCCACTACATCAAGTCCCTCTCTTACTCAATCCTCCTAGCAGCACTCACATCCGGCACACCCGTGCCCTCAACCACCTTAGCACTCACAATCTCGTAGATAGGAACCTCGGCAAGGGCTCCCGCCACGTGGTGAAGCGTAGGCAATGCCTCCCAGTCCAGCCCATCAATCTCAATCTTCGCGCCCGCCTTCTTGCCCTGGGCCACGGGGGCCCGCAGGACTTTGGTCACCGTCGCCTTGGGCTCTTCCTCCGCATGCGGCACCACGACCGCGTACTCGGCGTCCGACACCCCGGGCTGGCCCACGGCGGGGATGTAGCGGTACACCAGGATGCCGTGGTCGGCCTCGCCGCCGATGGTGCCCGCCTCGGTGGAGACGTCGTCCTCCTCGAGGTCGGTGACGCTCAGGTCGATGAACTTGGCGCCGCGCCAGCTCGCGGCCACGCGCACCGAGCGGCTGCGCCGGTGCACGTCGACGTCGCAGAACAGCTTGGGCATGCCGAGCTCCTCGCGGCCCGACACGATCGGGTCCGTCAGCGACTCGAACAGCACCGGCATGTACGTCCCCGGGATCGTGCTGCCGTCCTTCTTGACGTACTCGACCCCGTGGATGTACAAGCCGATGTGCCGGTACCCGTTGCCGCCCAGCCACGCCATGTTGCCAAGCTCCGTCATCGAGATGGACGCCTGGCACACCGAGGCCGGGCTCTTGAAGCGGAAGGATGAGTTGGGGAACAGTGTCTCCAAGTAGGTCCGCGACGTCTTGAACTTCACCGAGACGGTGTTGAAGGTTCGTTGGAGACCCTCCTGGAGTGAGCGGCCGTATATATCCTGTCGTGGCCCGGGAAAGGGCCCAAAAGCAGTCGGCATGCGCCAGTACATGTTGGGCTTCAGGCTCCACTTCCAACGCTTGAAGATGTTGTTGGAGTTGTCGATCTCATCATGGCCAAAGTTGTAGGCGGTGTATGCCATCACTGGTTATTTCGTCAGCACTTGCGATTGTCTAGGAGAAGAGTGTTCTGCTCTTACTGTCGATTTGCGGCTTTCCATCTATCCAATCCTTGCCAGCTTGGCGAGAGTACTCTTGGATCTGATGAGCGCGGTCGTATCTGATCTTCTCGTACAGCTTCAACCTATCAGAGACTGCTTCAGGGGATGTGCCCCTGGGAAGCACAACGGATATGGTGGCAGCGTCCTCAATGGCCTGGCCAGCTCCCTGGCCCTGGTCTACGGATTGATTCGTGTTAGGATTGTGGTTGCTCCCCACGGATGTCGGATGTGTACTTACGCGGAGTGAAGGGGTGAGCAGCATCTCCAAGCAGCGCGAGCTTTCCCTGCGTCCACGTGGGCAACTTTTCCATATCCATCAATTGCCAAACCTTTATGCTCGTCGGGTCCACCTTCTTGGCTAGGGCTAAGAGCGCCGGATCAAAGTCCTTGTAGACTTTGAGGAACTGGTCGAAATCGCCTTCCTTGTTCCACTCTGCTCTTGTCAGATCCTGCTTCATGACCAAGGCTTATGTCTGAATCGACTTACCGTCACTGGCATTGGCGTGAGACTCAGACTCAGGGTGTATACAGTTGAAGTTGAGTAATTTGTTGTCGTTGCATGGATACATGACGATTCTGCGGTCTGCGCCATACCAGATAACCAGCTTGTTCCCCTTCTCCACGAGCGGCCTTGTGACTGGATCGTCGAGGCCGGCTTGTCGAGGGATCAAGAAGCGGAAAGCGGCCTTTCCAGAGCCAAACAGCTTGGTCTCCTTGATGACAGACCTCGACTTGGACTGAAAAGAGGATCAGTGATGAACCAGCGTAGTTTTGGCTTCATGTCACTTACGTAGATACCATCCGCTCCCAGAATCACATCGCCAATAACAGTTGTGCCGTCCGCAAGGCTCACTTGGCCCTTCTCTGGGTCCACGCTCACGATCCTGCTCGAGGTGTTCAGCTTTGCCGGGGTGCCCACGCCATCCTCGGCCGTGGCAATCGTCTTGAGCTTCTCGTGTAGGTTGATTCGGTGGCTCAGATGCCATGGGTGCTGCCACTGTGCGTTCATTCCCCTCAAGTCCAGGTCCTTGAGTACTTCTCCTTTCTCGGTGCGCTCCTCCATGTATTGCATCAACGTGGCGCCGAAGTCCTCTGCGAAGATGCCCCATTTCCTCAGCGCACCGTTGGCATTGGGTGCCAAGTGCACTGCGGCACCCGTCTCATTGGCGAATCTCGATTGCTCGTAAAGCTGGGAAAAAGAGAGTGTATGTCAGTACCGTGTTGTGTCGGAGGGTATGCTATAAGAGGTCCGGGGCTTACCTCGACTTGGTGACCATTCTTGCGCAAGCCAACAGCGGCTGACAAGCCTCCTATGCCAGCGCCGATAATTAGGACCTTGAGAGGCGTCGGATGATCGTCGACCAAGGGACTTGTAGGTCCAACTCTGTTTGGGCTCGATGAAGGCTGGGCTCCAGCGCCGTTGACGACATCCTTGCCATGACTGGTCCCGTTGAGACCGTTGGCCAGATTCTTGATCTTCTCCATGATAGGGTATAAATCGGTTTATCTCTTCCACGGTATCAAGGAATCAAGGCGGGAAGGCGATAGTAGCAAGCAAATTCGATACAGTAGAGACAAAGCTCTGGTGACAGATATACAGAGATGATAAGTGATAGGACAAGTCCCTCCTTAGAAAACAGCTAGCCGTAGGTGGGAAATATGTCTCACGATCCGCGGAGGCTTTCCGTTGCTCCTGAGAAGTCGAGGAAGGTGTAACAAGTCAAAAGTCTATGGGCGCGCGCGACAGTGTGGGGACCATATCAAGGCGGTGCGTCGGCGGCCGGACGACAAGGAATTCCGAGGCGCGAGAAGGAAGGGGAGCATGGTCCGCACATCGTAGTGGATAAACATATTGGTTACGGTGGTGACCTAGACAGGACTGTCGGTCACCAGACACAGCACTGCTGTGGTATCAAAGCCCGCCAGAGTTACTTGGTATTCCCCGGGGGGCGCCCACCGGGTCGTACGTGGGGCCCTGGGGGGTGAAGCGGGATGAGGATGGGGCACCGTCCCGGGAGGAATGACGGATACGCGGATAGCTGCACACGCACAGACATGACATGCCCCATGATAGGTACTGCACTGCATTCTGACGCCTGGATGGTTGTGGGAGGTGGTCTCGTCTCTCCACCACCTCTCCACTACCAAAACGGCAGTTGGTTATACAGTAGCTCAAGGACTGCGGGGGATCTGCGACCATACAGTGGGGCCATTATTGCTGGATACGAGTACGTTTAGATTGGGGACTGGATGTACGGAATGCCAGTGGAGGAGGAGGTATCACGATGAGGCCTGTCTGCAGATCCCAGGCTGGAAACCAGGGAAACTAGGGCCGACTGGGCTGACCTACGGGAAGTGGGCAGGCAGGTGGGGGAGGGTATCCGTATCATCGAAACCAACCTAACCTAACCTAACCTAACCTTTTCATCGCATTGTCTACCCACAACCTTGGAACGGCCTTCTTCCACCCAAACAAGTTCAGCGCAGGCGAGGGTTCGAGCTGCTGCATGTCAGACATCTGACGGGGCAAGGGGTTCCTGTTCAGTCAACTTGTTTTTGTCATGTATTCTGTCGCAGGTGGGCAAGTCACAGAGTCACAGCGACGACAAGAGTCAGACCCAGTCCTCGGCCTCGGCACAACTAGCGACTCCATACACACGTTCGTCCGCTTCGCTTCGATACTACCTCGACTTAAAGTTCAATACACACACCAAAGTCACAATGGTATTCGCTGAACTAACAAAGTATAGACCTGCTACGTGTAAGTCGCGCAAAGACTCGGGTGCTGCGTCTGTGTGTGTGTGTGTGCATGTACCCATGTGTACTGTAAATGTTTATACCGCTTTCGTAGACTTTTCGGCGGCCATCCTTGCGGGTCGGCCTGGCCCATGGCCCATGGCCCCGTCAACGGAGCCCCCACTCAACCCCGGCAACTTCACGGTGGGACTCGTGCTGTTCGACTCCGTTCTCGCGTGATAAACTTGCGATTCATTAAGCCAACAAGAGAGCTCGCGGGGAAAACAAGATTAGGCTTGACAACTAGATCCAAGACGAGGCAGAGTAGCGAATCATTGTGAGCGTCTCGTCCAAAAAAGGAAATAGAGAATAGAAGGCCTCCCCAGCCTGTGGGTACACGCGTGGATCCCGAACCATATCTTGACTTCACCTTACCGACCGGCCATCTTCTTCTCCCGCCCTCAGAAAATCACCACCCAAGTATCCGGCCATGTCTTCCCCATCCCCGCCTATCGCCCTCGTTACCGCCGGCTCAGCCGGCCTCGGCGCCTGCGTGGCCGAGCTCTTCGCCCGCAACGGCATGCGCGTGATCGTCAACTATGCCAGCAACATCCAGCGCGCCGAGGACCTGGTCACCAAGCTCAAGTCCATCAGCACCCTGACGCCTGTCCCGGGGAGGGTGGACTACCACGCCATCAAGGCGGACCTGGGCTCGCGGGCGGACGTGGAGCGGCTGGTCGAGGAGAGCGTGAGCGCCATGTGCCCCGGGGGCGAGAAGCGCAGGCTGGACGTCGTCTTCAGCAACGGCGGCTGGACGCAGATGCGCAACCTCTACGACCTCGAGGACAACATGGTCGACGAGGACTGGGACATGTGCTTTCTCATCAACGTCAAGAGCCACCTGTGGCTGATGCACGCCGCCAAGCCCTACCTGGAGGCCGGCTGGGGCGAGGACGAGGGCGGCGCCCACGAGAGCGGGTGCTTCATCACCACCGCGAGCCTCGCTGGCGTCAAGGTCAGCGGGAGCTCCCTGGCCTACGCCGTCACCAAGGCCGCCCAGCTGCACCTGGCCAAGGGGCTGGCCATGCTTGCAGCTCCGAAGATCAGGGTGAACAGTGTGAGCCCGGGGTTACTGCTAACGGTGAGTCATGTTCTCGGATGAACACTTTTTCTCCCCGGATGGCCAGGGATCGTCACCTCTAACGTGCTCAATCAATTAGGAATGGGGGCTGAGGTTCCCCCCAGAAAGGATACAGGCCATGACCGAGGCGTCAAAGTTGAAGAGGCTGGCTGCTGTCGAAGACGTCGCGGAACAGGTTCTAACGTTTGTAAAGAATAAAAGTGTTACAGGACAGAATATGGTCTTGGACGGCGGTTTGTCATTGTAAGTCAGGGGCTTTATGAGACCTGTACATAGGATGAGTAGCGATATATCGGCCATGCTGTAAGTGAGTGACGATAGGTTTTGTTTGAAATCGATCATGTCTTGTTTCTTCTCCTGTTCGTTGGAGAAGTGGCCGGCAATCACCTCAATGTCATCCATCTCGTGCATCAATTTTCAGAAACATTATTCAGCTGGGAGTCAGCAGATTCAGTCGCCATGGAGATCAGCAATCCAAGGTTTTCAAGGCTAAAATTATATCTCCAAATGCTGTCGACCGATGCACAGCTGTGATTTTGGACATTCCAAATTCATTCACACACATTTCGCACCGCGAATTTCCCAGGCTACATGCAAACACTCATCGGAAGCGACTGAAAATTATCCAAACAAGTAGAGGGGACGGTATGCAACCAGTAGACGCCTTCACTCGCCAACCTCACGGTCCTCATTCCAGTGGATGTAAGAAATCACAGGCCAAGACCAAGTGGCGTGTCGGATACGCTGACCCCATACGTATAGCACAATCCAAAGAATGAGGATGGCAGCTGAGATACCAGCCATTGCACCGTAGGCGTCCAGGTACCCGGACTGGTCGACCCACGGGTTTGTGTAGAACGAGAGCAGGAAGCCGAACAGTGCTGTATCCAAGTGTGTCAGTCTAGGGTTACGAGATGTTCGACGGTGGATGATGTATCACTTACACTTGAACCCCATGACAGCCAATGTGACCTCACCGGCGACAGGGCGGTAAGCATCAATCACATAGACCAGTACGATATTTGTGGCCTGCACAATCGAGAAGTTCACTGGCAATATTGGGTCAGCTTCCTGTGTTTCGTGCATATCAACATCGTCATGCTCTCCACTCACATAGTCCCAGTCCAATGGTCGGGCACATCCAATGCAGCTTTTGCTGGATCCCCACGCCGTACAGCACCAGTGCCAAGGGCGTTGTGATTAGACTTGGAAGTATAGCAGGCAGCCTCATCTCAGGCTCCCGGATGCCGCCATTCTTGTTGGTGAAGTAGTCCGCCACGACGTCGCCGAGCTTCCCACCGGCGGGAATGCCGATCGCGGATCCGATGCAGGCAGATATGAAACACAGGCCTACCTGCCAGGCCTCGAAGTTGTACGTTGCCAGGAAAGCAGGGTCGACGTTGGAGGTCACGGCGACGAGGAAGCCGATGGTCACGGACTCGACGAGGGCTGCCCACAGGACAGGGGGCAGGAGAATGAGGCCGAAGGGGCGCATGAAGATCTTGTAGAGGGGCTCGGAGGTGAAGACTCCATTGTAGAGCTTGAGGTTCTGCAGATATGTCTTCTTCTTCTTGACAGGAGACGGCGGGCTCTGGGGCGCAACCTCAATGTCAGAGACGCGGTCTGCCGTCTGGTGCGTCTTCTCGGATTCGTGTCCGCTGGGCAGCCGCTGCAGGTGCTGAGCATCATCGATAACCGTATCCTCGCGGACGAATGCTGTCTCTGGGAAAGCAAAGAATGCAAGTAAGAGAATGGTCCCGATGATTGCTGCGGCCACTTCGTAAATGACACGCCAGTCGTTATTGATAGTGATGAGGCTATAGAGGCATCAGAATAGGTATTTCCCAATCGATTGGATGGCTCACTTACCCAGCAATAATCATGCCGAAGCCTACACCCACAGATAGAAACGACGTGTAGAGGGCCATAATAGACCCACGCTCGTGGAGGAAGAACAGGTCTGAGATGGTCACAGGCGCAATGGTCTCTGCTGCACCAGAAGCGAAACCCATGAGAATACGCGCAGCCAGGAAACCCGAATATGTATGGTCAAATATTGCCCAGATGGCGGTGGCCAGGTACAGAGTCTTCAGGAACAGATAGTCAGTGGCTTGTGCCTTGAACAACACGAGGCGAAGGAAACAGGGCTTCTGAAGTTGGCAACCTCCCCCGCTCCCCCCTCCCACCTCCCACATGAATTTGAGATGCCTGACTGCGGTAGCCAAAGACGACTCGAAAAAAGGCATGAGAGATCTCCGAGACTCACATAACTGGCCACATAAACGGGACGGCGACCGTATTTGTTTGCAAGAGGTACCCATATGAAATTCCCAGTCCCCTGGAGCAACGCAGTGGTGCTGAAAAAGTACGCGACTCTGGAGACATTGGCGCTGAAACCCGTGGGGTCGACTGTAGGGGGTGAGGCTGGGAAGAAGTCCAGGGTCGTGTTGACGATCGCGACGGTCGGTCCTGCCGCGAGGAAATTGCACATGAGGATCGCCAGGCAGACGAGGACGGCGATGGACTTCTTGTACCATTTTGGCCTGGGCCCGTCAGTTCTTCAAGGAACAGGTAGAGTGTGGGCTGCGTGCCAATCCGACTCACCAGTTCAGAGGGTCATTAGGGTCGTTGGATGGTGTGGGGATCAGAATGATCTCGTTGGTCTCGTGATGGCGAAGACGAACATTGCCAAGGGTTCTCTGCCTTACGTGTTCGGCCTTTGGATCTTCGTAGTCATCGGGTCGTAGGGTCGGCGCAATATGATCGCCTGCCATCTTGCCCATCCAACTTGTTGTTGTACGAAAGAAATGTTTTAGACTGTTTTCCTGGGAACGAAAAGGAACGATATGTGGAGGAGATGACAATGAATGAGAGGGAGGTTCTTGGGGTCTTGTTATCTGAACCGGGGAGAAGTCGACAGTAAATAGGACCCTTGTCGTCTACCTCCTGTCTGTGATTTGCGAATGAACGCAGGACGGACACACACCCGGCAAAGGCAGCTGCAAAGCAAGGACCAACAAGACTGCCGGCACACAGTCAACCGCAAGAGTAGCAGTATATGCTCCTCTGGAAAGCTACCCAAACTCCGGCCAGTAGCAGTGGCTTCCGTTCTCGTTCAAGGTTCCCCAGACCCCACAGGACTCGCAAGACGCGAGAGGGGCCAGTGGCTGCCGGAACGAGACAAGCCAGGACACCAAGCTCATGAGGCTCTCTGGGGAAAGGATCGTTCCCGTCAATAATCTGGGGAAGTGTCCACTCCCCGTAGTCTTCCCGTGGGTCTCGGCGTACAGAAGGTATCGAGACCAGCCAAACAAAGGGTCAGATGATGGAGATTCGAGCTCCCAGGCCTGTGTGACTGCTGTACACGAACGGGATGTGGCCCACTTCCCGAGGGCGGTGGCTGCTAGAGTGACGAGACCCTTCCTCGGGAGGTGGCGAAGGAGTTGTTGCTATAGGCTGTCAGTGTTGCAGGACAGCTTGAACGCATTGCACTATCGAGATTCCCCACGAGAAGTCGAGGTTTTAGGTTCTGACTGCGACCAGGTTACCCCACGCAATGGCTCAGCCTTGCCGTAACAGGGATCGGAAGGTGGAGGTGACAGCTATGGTGACTTGCAAGGTGCAAAGGGACCGAGATGGCTGAGGAATAGAGAGTGTCCAGAAGTGGCAATGAATATTTGCTGGATGGAGTTGTTGGTGCCCAGTGCAATAACGTAATCTTGTCCCAGAACTACCTCCTTACGTCAAACCCAATATGAGCACCGGAGAGATAACAATACTTCGAAACTTGATTCATGGACCAAATTCCAGGAGACGAGCGAAAAAGGAAGGTTTCAATACCCACCTGGCAGCCCTGAAAAGTCTAATTTCACGTGCATGTTCAACGTCGCGGAATTAGGGAAGTCTACGGGCATATGGCCCATAGCGGCTGCGACATCTTACATATGCGTCGACTCTGGGGGCTCATAGTCCTCGGCCCCAACAAAGTTGTTAGCCCAAAACGCCATGGAACATGTGCGTCCTGAGGCGAAGATCAAAGACAAGAGTCTGTGCAACTGGCCGGCCATAGGCTGCTATGGCCGCCCGCGAGGAATCTTCCCCGCCACCGGCACAAGTGGTGGCAGACACCGGTGGAAGAAGCCTCAACTGGTCACAACCTAGTAACAGGATCTTTTTGCCAGAACGATTTGTAACACTACACACTCGCGTAATAGTCAAATCTTTCCGCTCCGATCTCTGGAGTCACCACAGAGGCGCCATGTTGGGCGACCTGCACTCCATACAGCAATGTGTGAAACCAAGCCCACAGCTCCGCCCGCTATTGACGGCTAGCAGCTGATCCTTGGGCCGAGTGTCGGCGTCAGAGGCACGCCAGCTGCCATAACCGAGGGCCCATTCTCTCGGCTCAAGGTATTGCCTGGTTCGGGAGCCTTTGAGCTCATGAGCCTGACAATGTCGACACCTGGACTTGGTCGGGGAGTACAGGCACTGCTTTGGCGCAATCTTGATGTTCGGCTAGCCAGCCCACCCCGACTCAGCTGGAATGGATTGGCATGGCTTTGTCCCACAATAGAGACACCTAAGATCGCCGCCGAACAGCAATTGCAACTCGCCTGTCATCAATGCGTGGTGACTCCTAATCCGTGGAAAATCCGGATACGCGCCTGTACGCGGATTGATTGCATGACATCCGCAGGCCACGCGTTAGCAGATCCTCTTATTTCCGAATTGAGTTCTGTGATGCAGTCAGCCACGAGCTAAGGAACAGATGGCTGATCGGCTACCGGAATGTCCAATGAAATTTGGTACGGGTGGTCGAGTGCGTGTCCTGTTGCGCAGTGTGTGGTGCCGCGGATTGCCTGCGCCAAGATATTGGAGGTGGGTGCAAATGCCAAGCCTAATTACATAGCATTCATGTAGCCTACTGCGTAATGGCTGTTCCAGAGGAAGAGGGGACCAAGCGGACCCATATCATGTGTGTTCGGGTACTTGCCGTGGTCCAGCGACTTTATGCTTTAACCACCGGAGTTGAAGACTCGAAGTGTGCAAGCGCTGGGAGACGCGACATGTCTCTCGGACGTTTTCCTCTTTCGAACCCAGGATGGACATCCGCAGTTCAGCTGCCCTCAGCGGCTGGCGTTGGGAAGAAGAGAGGCAGAGAGGGTGTTGGAAATTGAGGACGCGTCATTGGCGATAATGTGACGTTGAAGGGGTTGCCCGTGGTGGCCTCGATGGGATTCAGGGGCGTCTGGCTGGCAACCAGTCAAGCTGGCTGTCGACTCGAGCCTGGCTCCACCTTACACGCGTACTACGGGGTTTGGTGCTGAATCTGCAATCGGGCCTGTCCCGGAGGTGGGAACGACAAGAGAAAAAACAAAAACATGCTTAAAAGGAGTATGCAGCCGTTGAAACTCTTGACGGTTGAGGGTACAAGTGGATCAAACAAACAGGCATTGGCGATGTCGGTGAGCCAAATTTGGCCTTCGGAAGATAATCGTGTGCATGTGTGTTCCCGGGCCACCGACTTTATCTGGAGGCTTATTTTATGCCGCTGCCAATGGGTGGCCAGCGCTTCCCTCAGGTGCCTGCCACCGAGCTCCAGCTACCCCAGATTTGCCCATTGCCGCCCCTGGGATTGCGAAAGCACTCGGCCGGCCTAAGGAACCCGTAGAACCACGGCACTTGGGTGGTGGTGGATCATGGATCATGGATCATGGGTCGTAAGACATGGGCGTTCGGAGCGTCCGCCGCAAGGCAGAGAGAGAGACAGGGACGGCCCCAGGCACGTTGCTGGCCTTGCTGTCCTGATGGTTACATAGTACGTCGGTCCCAAAGTGCCCAGACACCAGACGGCCAGTGACAGCTAGAGCGGCGAGCCGGTCTAAAGTGACGAGCAGACCAGGAGCTCTGATGAGCGGGCATGTGCCATGGACCCTCGAGATCGATCTATTCTGCGGATCGCATAACCAGAGCGCGAGGAGTACCGTTGCTGTTGGCACGCACTGTCGATCAGGGACGGCGTAGATCCTGACAGCCGCGCCATGCCCGAAGACAATGGCTGGCTGGCTGGCTGGTTGAGACTGCTTGTCATGGCGATGGCGCAGGTGCAGGACGTAGGACGCAGGCGTGAATGCAAGTGGCTGGCGTGCCGCTGCTTGACGACGGCATGGCGTTCGGGTGGGATGGCGTGAGGTGTCTAGACCACAAACTGCAGTAGGGCGTGGAGGAGGAGGAGGAAGTAGGACGGCACTGTAGACATATCTGGCAGGAAGAAGACTTCTCCTGCAGGTGACGTGCCGGTGGGGTTGGACCCAAAACCCGGCCCCCGGCCATCTCGCATTAGAGTCGAATAGAGTAGAGAAGTTAGGATTGTTTGATGTCGGCAAGAGTCCCCGATCTTGGATCATCAATCGCATCGTGGGACTGCACAGTAGTAGTTCGCCTGTCGACCTGCTGGCGGGTGTGTCTGACTCGTCGAACGAACCGGGCAACTTGAGACGGACGGCAGGGCCTCGCCCGAGCACCAGAAACATCAGACCAAAGAAAGAAACCTCGTGCCCGGTCGAGTCGATTGGGCTGAGTCGAACAGCATCACCATTGCTTTGCATTACATCGCATCGCAATCGCATCGCATTCAGGTCCAGGTCCAGGTCGAGATACATTGCCAGCCCATCCATCGACCCTTTCTCAATTTGTCTTGTCATTATTGTCCGCCACAAACAAGGAAGCACATGCTGGCTCGCTCCCTCCGCTCGCTCGCTCCTCGCCTGTACTCGCTTCCCAACAACAAGCAAGCCCAGGCCCAGGCCCTGGTGATGTGAGACAGACACGGGCATAGTCAAGCCAAACAAGGACGTTCTGCAGCAAGCATCAATCTTGGTTCCCGCGACTATTCTTGGGAGCTCTCGGTCCACCCGCCGTCTCGTAATTCGCCAGTGGCTGGCTGTCAAGAGAAAATAGCTGCATGCTGCCCCCATACTCAAGCACCTTAATCTGGGTAAGCAAGTCGATCATCTACCTGATCTACCTGCCCACGCCTGCCCTACCTGCCCTGGCCTACAGTACGTACGACTCGCGACACTCGACACTCGAAACGACACACACACAGTGTGCTGCAATTCCCTCCCTTATTACCGCACGCCCGCCCTGTCCTCCCGCCCTCCCGCCCGCTGTCTCCCACACTCCCGACGACGCTTGCTGCCAATTGATCCTGAGATCCATTCTCCAGTTGCATCATCACCGCCGAGCTGCTCTCGGATTTCCGCACGCCCACCGCGCCCTACCGGCCCAGAAGGGGGAGAAGGGGCTCCATCCAGCCTCAAACAGCCAATCTCAGGGCCCGGCTGCTGTGCCGATCAGACCTGTGGTCCATTGGCCTCAGCCCTATCCGATCTCATCCATTCCACCACCTCGCCGTCTATTCCGTATCCATCTCGCTCTGCCTCGGACGTCAGCAGGTGCCAGGCCGCGGATACGGCACGGTACGGTACGGTACGGTGCCGCAGCCCTACACGGGACTGACGGCCAGCAGATACGACGAGACTGCGACGGCCGCCGTATCCACCGTATTCACACTCACACACGGCGCCGCATCGCACGGCACCGCACTTGATCGTTTCTACTTCCTAACCGGCCACAATGGCCAGCCCGTCCCTCTCACATCTCCTGCACGCCGACCCTTCTCAGTCCCAACCGCACTCACCATCCCAACCCCAACCTCCTCAACGGCACGTCTCATCACACACCAGCGCTGCACACTCACATCCCGCAGCCTCGTCCCCTGGGAACTACACATACCCAGCTCCTCCTGGTGTATCGCCCGCAGCTTCTGGCACTTCCCATCCAACACCCATCGCCACCCCTGCCACCTCGCCCAGTGCTCCTTCGACAACAGGCGGGAGCACTGTCGGCGCCGGTTCCAGCGTGACGCCCAGCGGCCATGCCGCCAACACCAGCCTCTACCAGTGTGCCGACTGTCTGAAGCGATACTCACGCCCCGAGCATCTCCAGAGACACATCGCCACTCACACCCTGGGAAAGCGCTTTATTTGTGACGTACGTCCCCGTATCCTGCCGCGTGTGCGGTTCAGCCCAGCCCAGTCCAGTCCAGGGACCGCAGGCCTTTCGAGAAACCCACCCAGTCGCTAATGTCATGATTCAGGTATGCGGGAAGGCTTTTGGGCGTGCTGACCTCCTCAAGAGACACCGAGCCAACCACGACGATGATGGCAATGGCACCAAGAGGAGGCGCATCAACTCGTCTCCCGGCGCCGGCCGTGTCGCCCACGCCTGTCAGGCCTGTGCAAAGGCTCGCGTCAAGTGCGAAGAGTCTAAGCCATGCACGAGGTGTCGCAACCGCAACTTGACCTGCGAATATGCCTCTTCCGAGGCAGGCTCAGCCGCGGCGATGCATCTGTTGCATCTCTCCGCGAACGCGCACTCCTCCGGCGCAACCACGCCCACTTCCTCTGCGCCCATGGCTCCAGCCGTCCACGGCGCAGTTCCCACCTCGCATCACTTGGGGTCGAGGTCGTTGCGCTCCAATGCGGCTGAGGCTATGCATACACCTGGGCTCCACAACCCTGCCGCGCCTGCGATGACGAATCTTGTCCACGCCCAGGCGACCGGTAGCAGCCCTTCCATCCTGGCCAACAATCCACCAATCAACGGCGAGGCCGCTCAGCTACCCACCCCTGAGAACATGATGGACCAAAGTGAGTCGTCTCTTTTTCCTTCCGTCGCTGTCTCGTCCCGGACTTTGGTTGTCTTGGCAAGGCTTCTTCATCTTAAGATATTCGCGTCGCGGCTATCTGTGGCTCCTGCAGGCGCCATACTCTATGCCATGATGTCGTCCCATAAAACATCACTAAATATCATGCCTGCTTTTTCTTGTTACTCTCCTTCGGACGCCGCACTAGACTAAGTCATGTTCTACGAGACTCCCTTGTTGGCTTCTTCCTAACCCTTTTCCCCTTCCTGTTGCCATAATCTGGCGTCACCTACGAGCAGTGCCTGTCAGACAATTTGTAGACAAAGTTACTGACCATGGACGACGAAGACAATCCAGACAGCTACGGGGCATCATATCACTCTAATCAAAACATGGTGGATATGAACAGACTGCCCTTCTCAGATTTCCTGCGAGACGTTCTCTATGACCAGCAACAGCAAATGGACTCCCAAAAAATGGCTGAGGCGCAAGGCCTTGCTGTACTGGACTTCTGCGACGACGCCAACCTAGAGATGAACGACCTTGACTTTGGCATGCTGGACAACTGGAACATCGGCAACGTTCACGGCATGCTTGCCACGGATCCAAATTTGGCCAACTATGTTTCCAACCAACCCGAGGACACCGCGGATATGTCTCGGATGCGCCAACGTCTAGTCAAGATATGGACGAATTCACCCTGGCGGTGGATGCCTGACGGGCACAAGGACAATATCCACAACCAGAAGAGTGGTCTCCCATTAGCCGACATAAGCACCACGCAACTAAAGCCCGACAGGATCATCCATGACAAATTGGACTCGTCTGGACGCGACAAGATCCTTGCCATCGTTTTGAGTACTTGCCAGAACAATGTCATGCTGAGCCGCGTGGCGTCGTCGTTTCCCTCGACTGATGTGATGGACTCCCTAGTTCACATATTCTTAGCGTGGCACTTATGTCAAGTGTCAGAGTTCATACATTTTGGAACATTCGCGTTGAATGCACAATGCCCTGAATGGACGGCAGTTGCTGCATCAGCGGGTGGTATCTTGACATCTGTGCAATCTCTTCGAAAGTTTGGGTTTGCTTTGCAAGAGGCAGTCCGTAAGGAGATATGACCGATACCCCGGTTCTGTAAGCTGTTAGTGCTAATGAGTGCGTTAGGCGTTACTATTCCCAACAGATTCGAGGACAACAACTCCAAAGTTCAGGATCAAAGTTTAGTTCAAGCCCTTGTCTTGGGTCATGATATTGGATTATGGAGCGGCAATAGGAGGCGCATGGAGATAGCCGAATGCCGTGAGTAAAGGATTCCTGTGCCTGAATGTCGGCGTGTGCTGACTCAATCGCGAAAGATTTGAACATTCCAATTGCAATGATCAGGGGCAGAGGCAGTTTTCAAAGGTCGTCATATCCGCCACTCCATGTCGACCCTGCAGATGACGGGGCCGTTTTGGAAGAAAAGTGGAAGACATGGTGTCACCGAGAGTCTTGGAAAAGGTGAGTGCCCTATTCTTAAAGAGATTTAGGTGGACATATACTGACGGAGGCGGAAAGACTCATCTTCCACTTATACCTTCGAGACGCACAAACATCCATGACATCTATGAACAACCCCCATATATCTTACGCAGAACTGACGTTGCCGCTCCCTGAGGCGCGGGAGCTCTGGTTTGCGAAAACCGCGCGGGAGTGGAAGATGCATTATCTAGAGAGAAACGCCGGCCAAGATAGGAGGCCACCTTCACTTGGGGACCTCTTCCGCGACATCAACCTCCTAGCGACTGAGCATCACCGCTTGGATGTTCAATATGCTGTCTCCATCTACCTCCACGGCTTCTGGTCTCTTATCCGGGAGTACCGGCAAATGAACGCCATCTATCGGTGGTCTGCATTCTCTCCAACCACTGCAGGTAACCCAAATGTTCTGCTCCAGTCGCGTCACCAAGAGCTTGTCAAGTCTCTCGAGCAGTTCCAAGCCACTGCCCTACAGAGCTGGCCACATATGCTCAGTGCGCAGGAGAAAGTCGTGCTTAACCTCCTTTTTGTAAACCTGCACGTGAGCTTGGAGGACCTGCAGCTATTCTCCGGCAAGGAGGGCGATGACCAAGCCAAGCGGATCTACCCCTCCCTGCAGCGATGGGCACAGGATGCCGAGGCCCGCCGTGCTCTGTGGCATGCGGGCCAGATTCTCAGGTGGGCGAAGGAGTTCCCTCCTGGCCACCTGAAGGACTTCTACGCGGTCGCGGTGCACCATGCCGCCCTGGCGATATGGACCTGGGGCGTGCTGACCCGCGCAATCAGGCGGACTACCGGGTTGCAGCCGGGCTTCAACCACAACGAGCCACTCATATACCTTGATGGGCCCGAGATGAGCGAGACCGCCCAGTTCACGTCGTACGGGACTGGCAGGCCTGCCATCCGTGGACCCGTGAAGAAGGGCCAGGGCGGTGGCCGGGATAGCGCTGGGGGCGGCAGTGGGACGGCAGAGAGCCTCCTCGAGGAGCCCAAGCCCACCATGGCCATCGTCGAGGATGTGTTCCGGACGAATTACCTGAATGGCCCAGTCGCCCCTATTGTCGAGAATCTGATTCACCTTATCAAGCAGCTTGGCAATGCAGCTTGGGCTGTTGGCCTGGGCTAGGGGATCTTGAGGAACGTGGAACCCGCGCCGATATGAGATCCTTAGCCGTCCTTCTGCAAGTATCGTTTACCCTGACGAGGGTATTTCCGGGTGGCCACTCAATTATCTACCAAGACGTTGAGAACTTGGGTGAGCTATAATCCCGTCTCACTTCAGCTTCTTTGGAGGCTGCAACATCCTAGCGGACCCTCCCAATTTCTCCTCACAGTTAAATGTTGAGACGTCACTCGATCTCAAAAGAGTGATAGTATATGTACCGAAAGTGTATACGAGCGTGATGTGGTCCATATGGAGCGCTGCAGATAGACAAGTGTATATACATGGTTATAGACAAAAGGATGCCATTCAATGTGAAGCGCCATAACTCCAGTGAAAGATCGAATTTGCTGCTATGCTCGAGACTTCAGCCCTTCGAAGACTCAGGAAAGAAGAATGCGACCTTGACCCCGTCGCCAGGCTGCAACACTATCTCAGCCTTGAGCGTTGGGTGCCCTCCGTCCACCTGGTCCATGTAGCTCTCGACCCTCTCGAACCGCTGGAATAGCCTCGTCAACACATAGCCCATCTCCGTCAGCGCGAACTGCTGCCCGATACAGATCCGCGGGCCGCCATTGAAGGGAACTTTTGAGTCAAATTAGCAATTGGAACGTTTGGAAATTGGGAGGGCATGTGCCAAGAGAACTTACTGTACTGCCACGGCTTGGGCTGCCAGGTATACCATCTCTCAGGAGAGAACTCCTCCACGGGCTTGAAGTCCTTGGACACGGGCGGGTACAGGTCCTCGCGGCGCTGCATCAGCAGGGTCGAGTACCCGACGGGCGTGTCCTTTCGCACGGCGAGCGGCTGCGTGCCGTCTGGCCCGCCGCCGCGGGGCAGCAGGGTGTCCCTGAGCGCGGTGCGCACGTTGAAGGGCACGACCGGGTAGAGGCGCAGGATCTCGTTCATGACGTTCTGGAGGTACTTCATGCCCTTGAGGTCGGCGTAGGTGGGCGTCCTCTGCGGGCCGACCGTGGACAGGACCTCGGCGCGCAGCTTGGCCACGACCTCCGGGTGCCGGCCCAGCTCGTAGATGGTCCACGACAGGCTGGCCGCCGTCGTGTCGCGGCCGGCGAGGAGCACCGCCACGAGCTGGTCGCGGAGGACCTTGGGGTCCCGCGTGTACGAGGCGAGCTCGTGGAGGAACGTGTACGACATGTCGGATTTCGTGCTCCTCGAGGCCAGCTCCTCGGGCGAGAGGAGTAGCGCCTTCTGGACGTATTCGTTGACGAAGGCGTTCATCGTCGCCAGGCACTTCCGGAACCTTTTCTTCGGAATAAAAGTGCCGATGACTGGGCCGGCGCGCGTGATGATGTTCTGGACGTGCTGAACCTCATTGAAGGCGTCTGCGAACTCTTCCCGCGGGTTACTTTTGAGGGTTGTTAGCTCTAATAGTGGCCATCTCAGCCGGGAACCGTGAGCCCTTACCTGAGAGACTTGACATCCTTGCCCAAGAGGAAGTCTGTCGCCACATCCAGAGTGTACCTGAAGAAGAGGTCACTGATGTCCATTTTGCGCCCGTGAACAGCACCCATGTTGACTTGCTGGTCCTCCCCATTAAGTGCACCTCCGTTTGCCATTGCCCTGAAAAGCGTCTCGAGATGTGACTCGAAACAGTGCAGGTCACTGATCCTGTCTTTGATAAACTGGGGCCTTAGCAGTTGCCTGCTGGTGTGCCATGTCTGGCCATCAGTCGCAAATATACTGTCGCCCAAGAATTCTTCCCATTCCTCGTGGAACTGTTCCCCCTTTCCGAATTCCCCAAACTGCGTCGCCAGAATAGCCTTGATGTTCTCAGGATCCGCCGTGAAGACGACTCGTCTAACGAGGGCATGCACCTCGACTGTGTAAGCACTGTTACCACTGCTGCCGGCGCCGGCTTTTGTGAAGAACTCTTGCCAGTTCTCAAGATTTTTGTGGTGTATGGTTGCTTGGATGGCGGCGTAGATGAAGTCAAGGGCCCAAGGCAGCTTGTGGGAGATCTTCAAAGCCCTTGGACCGAGTTGATTTACACGGTGTTCCTCATATAGCCGTTGAACACATGCGTAGACGACATAGACGCCAAAGAAAATAGGGATCACTGTCTTGAGAGACGTTTGCTCCCATAAAACCTCCAACAAGCCCATATCGAGTGAATTGACCTTGTCACTACCTCTGCGGATAATTTATGCGATGACAATGTTGAAAGACTCGGATGGTCGCGTTCGAGCTACGAAGACTATGAGGCTCTGGAAGTGAGGTGGTGGGTCTAGGTATGAAATCCTTGACTTTTAAATATCGAGATAGGCCTTGGGTTATAACAACAAATGATCAATGATAAACATAAAATAAGAGGCATGGAGGTGAAAGAGTACGAGACAGGACCTGCCGATTGACTTGAGGAATCGATGAGACAGAGAGAGAAGTACTCGGATCGACGAGCTAGGACCGATGTCTGAAACCAGACCGACCAGTGTCTTCGTCAACCACGGAAGTCAAGACTTATTTGAAGACTGGCGAGAGATGGACCGGAGGAGTGTCAGACAAGGCCGGGCAAATTCAGAGGTCCGACTCCTATGTGCACAGCATGAAGGTGTGAGGAAGGCGGAGTAGTGTCGTCAAATAGCCAAGACAATGTGAGTGACCAGCCGGGTCTTTGCGTGTGTCCAAGGCTGGATATGGCAAGTCTGTCGCAAGCTTGGGGTGCATGAGACTTGGATTGGCACAGGCCAGGCGATGATCCCTGGACGCAGCACTTGATGAGACCTGACAGCTGGAGCGGGACGAGTGCATGTTCGTCAAGTGTCTAATTCGCCGTCCCCCCATCTCAGTTCCAATTCCGTTTCCAATCCTGTTGCGGGTCCGGGTCGATCCCGGACAATACGCTGCATCGCCTAAATGTCACATTGTTCTCGAGCCAATCTGCCCCCCTCCAAGGATAAGATCGGCTCAGGACTCGGAACCCATGCGCTTGCACACACTCGGATAGCAGCTCGCAGGCTCTCCACAATCTGAGCGCCCGGCAGGTCTTGTCTCGTCCGTGAGCCATCGCTCAGAGGCCCTACGCACCAGAAGCTCTCCCGGCAGGAACCCCCACCCAAGGGATACGCTGTATTTAGGATGGCCTGGGCAGAGATGAAGTTGTGGATGTGGCCGTGGACAATCCATCCAGGTTCGAATGGTTTCTTGAAGAGGATGCCTCGATCCAAGTCTGGGCCGAGGCAAGGCTCTCGACTGAGCAGTCACAGGCGTCATGTCATGCCTGATATTCCAGAGAAGGATCATCTATGCACCTATGATAGGTCATGACGAACTGGCCCCAGCCGAGGCAAATGGGATGTCTCACGGGCACCTGAACGTGGGGAAGCTTTAGTGCGCCCAGCCTCCAAGATAGATGGGCAGACGAGATTGCTGTTTGCAGAGGTTCAGGACGGTACTTAAAGGCTAGGTACAGTCAGTGGTCTAGAAAGAGTGTGGAGGCGGGGAAAACGGGGCAGATGCGGCTCTGTTCCCTAAGTCCTCGGCTCTCAAGTTTCCAGAGTCCAAAGGTTGTTCTGTCTGCTCGCTGAGCCATTTAAAGAGGCTGAAACACAGCGCCACAGGAACGCAAAAAAGCAAGGACCTGTATACGTGCAGCGCTGTACCTGTACCCGAACCGTGCCTACATCAGCACACGTGAACCCAGCATCTTGGTAACCAGGGGCAAAGAGCTCACAGACACCATACTTACAGTTCTAGACAATTATTGCCTGTGCCTTGCAGTACACATGTAGATATAAGCTGAGATGAGATGAGTGCATCCACATAAGCGTGGAGTTCGTGCCTGGACGAGGTCTTGCCTGCACGGGACGCGACAGCACTGGCCAAACAATTAATCTGACATAGCATGGTACCGTACCCCTCTGTTTGTGCACATGGCGCAAACAAGCAACCGCCAATGCAAAACATAAACAACACCCACATCAGCACCCCTGCCAAGTGCACCTAGTCTACATCGTCAGCTCATCACCTGAACAGCCAATACAACCCTGACCAGAGAATCACTGCACCCCCCGGACTCTCATACGCACACACTCGCCATGGCTCCCCCAACCCCCCTCGCCGTCGCCACCTCGTCAGTCCAGCGCCTCGTCAAGGAGGAGGCATATTACCACAAGGACCTCGCCAGCCAGCAGGCCCGCATCGAGAAGCTCGAGAAGGACATCAGCGAGAAGAGCAGCGACCTGGACGAGAACGCCGAGTACGTTCTCAAGCAGGAGGTCTGTCCACCCCACCCAACACCGATCCCCCTGCCACAACGGACATGACTGACTCACCCACCCGCCTACAGAAACAAGCCGCAGAGGAGACAAAGAACGTCTTTGGGCCCCTGCGCAACCGCATCACCGACGCCATCTCCAAGCTTGAGGAGCAGATCGCCATCAGCGAGAGCAGCGGCGACGACGGGGACGCCGCCGCCGCCGAGTTGACCAAGGCGAGGGAGGTGCTGAAGCAGGGCCAGGACGCCCTCAAGGCTGAGGCGTAGAGACCCAGTCCGGGGTCTGACCACCGCTTTACTAAGATTTTTGCTTGGACAGACAGTCCGCGAGGATGATGCAACCGCCGCTTGACGCTTGGGGGCTGCCTGGGGTTGGCTTCTGCATCGGCTGAGTGATGCGGATAGGCTTGGGTAGTGGTTGGACTGCTATGCCAAATCCTTCAGTCATTTCTTATCACGCTACGTCTGACACATAGAGCAAGGGGCAGGGCGCCGCTCGCAGAGGGAATGAGAGTGGGAACTCAAGGAAATCCAGTTGTCGAGAAATTACAAATTCTACAACAAGGCAGAATTAGATTAGAGTTTTCTTGGAGAACTTGGAGAACGGTCCGACAAAGTGATGTAGGGGAAATAACTGTACTGACACCATTATATGAACCTGCTTGGGTTGCTCGTTCGAAGAAGATGCAGGACTTGCAGTATGGTCACCACAGTCATAGACGTGATCCAGGACCATGGTTGAAGAGCCAATGAAGAAGGGATGACGAGAAGTGCTTCAAGATCTTACATCCGAACTTCAATGACTTAAAGCTACTACTGGATATGGTGGCCTGCGAGGCCTTTCAGGTCCGGCTACAAGATGACATCCCACAACTAGTCAAGGACCAATAATCAGTGTTCCAACGAGCTGTAGCCGTCAATTGCTCTGCGCATCTGTATTTTTTATTTTCCCACGGGGTATCTTGCACGTTATCTAAACAGTCAAGCGGATGTGCCAGGCCGCTTCCCATCGCGCCACTTCCTTGGCCTCAGTCGGCAGTATCATCACGACGTGTCCATCTTGTCCTCGACATTCTGGCCCTCGATAGTGATCTGCGGGGTTGACGCGATATCATCGCGAGGTGTGTCGCCCATCTCGACATCCTCGCCCTCCGGCTGGCGTCCCTCGGGATCGGCGCTTCTCGCAGGTGACGCCTCTCGGCTCCCCGACCGACTGCCAGCCTGTGACAGGTTTCCAGACATTTCGGGCCTCGGTTTGAGACCGTCCATAGCACCCGGGGCGGGACTGTCCCGCATCGGCGTTCGTGCACCCACTGACATCGGCCGTGGTGTCGAGTCGCCGTTCTCTCCGAGCCCCTTTGGCACAGCCGACGCCACAGCAACGTCGGGCCGTGGTGTCGCATTACCACTCGCACTGCCCGGTCGTGGCGTGTGTCCATCAGCACCGCCTTCGCCTTCGCCGCTTCCATCCTCGTCCATGCCCTCCCTCCGCTCAACCTCTTCCTTCTCGTCACGGATGAGCCGACGCAACCTCATGCTCTCGTCCATGATCCTACTGAATTGCTCCCTCCTTTCCCTCCATGTGACAGCATATGTCTCGCTCTCCGCCTCTAGCTGCCTGCACTCCTCTTCCAGCTTTTCCAGCGTTGCTGTCGCCTTAGGCCTCTCCTGGAGAGCCTTGTTGTCATTTATCTTGCGGGCCAGTGCGTCCCATTGAAGCCTCTGCGCTCGAGTCGCCTGAGCCTCCGCAAGCTGGACTCTCAGCTGAGCCGTGTTGTCTTTGACTTTCGCGCATGTGTCGAGAATGGCGCCGCGCTCAACGGCGTACTTGTCGCGCTGCTGGGCGTTGGCAGTCTGGAGGAATTGCAGGCGGCCAATGGTGTAGTCGAAGGCCGCAAAGTCGAACGTGATGTCTTCTTTCAGCTGTGTGAAGTCGACTGCGTCAGCGCCGCTGCTACCGTCGTCGTCGCCTTGGTGAGCTTGATCACCATTGCTGGCGTTTGTGGTGTCGGGGGGCGGTGTGACGGTCTGTCGGATCTTGGAATGGGCGAGGCCATTGATTGTAGAGAGGCGCTTAGTGATGCGCTTGAACGGCCGCTCTTCAACGCTGAATAGGCGCGACTTGTGAATCTCGTTTTCCTCCTCCGGGTCGAGGAGCTGCCAGGACGACATGGCTGTGGCTTCGCGAAAGCTGTCGTCGAATACCAAGATAACTCGTGTGGGAAAATAGAAATGAGTGCTCGGGCTGTTCCAACAGGATTCGCCGGCCTTGAAATGAGATATTGAGAAACACTGAAGATGCTACAGGGGACTGCTCCTTGTGGTAGGCGGCGTGAGTGACGAAGGTGTGAAATCGAAGTTAAGTTGTTTTGACAGAGAGACGGTGGCAGGGTTTAGACAACGCTAAGCGAGCTATTACTACCTGGTCCTGCTAGGTACCTAGCCAGCAAGGTACCTAACGTGCATAGGTGATTGACTACAGATCCCTGGTTCCATTTTAGCCCACCTAGAATTCAGATATTACAGCGGTACTTCAGGAGCGTTGGCATAATGACACTCTCCATGCTGGTTAACCAGGTATCTAGGTCCCAAAATTTGGCATAGAAAGCTCGCAGGTGAAGAATCCAGAATATTAATGGCTCAAGCAGAGCTTAGGCGCAAGAAAGTCGTTGCACAATGCAATTCTGCCGGAAGTACTTAGGTAGTACAGCTCTAACAATAGAGGGACCGAGTGCCTATGGGTCTTGAGCCTATGAACTGAGCTCGGAGAATATCAACTTCGAGCACCAAAGTAGAAACTCGGCAAGGCTGGCGCAGCGACCCCACCACTCCGTACTCCTTGTAGGGAGAGAGCTAGGGGTGCGACATAAGCCACGAGGCTTTCACTTCAACCTCGATTTTCCACCTCACCTCACCTCATCTCATCTCACTTCTACACAATAGAACACTAGCTGCCAAACAATAGACACAGCCATGAGTCCTGGCGTCAACCTCTCGCCCCGCAATCTTCAACAAGGTCCCCCTTAAACGGCCAAGAATGGGCCGAGTCCATTCTAACCGTGACCTCTTATCCGTCCCGTCATCCTCCATTGTTCTCCTTTAATGTTTCCAGCCCCATTTCCACTTCCTCATCATCAACATAAAACCCTGGTCAGCACGCCTCGAATCGACTTGACTGCTTACAACACTCTTCAAAACTTCCTGTCATCTATTGCCCGTACCCAGACAAATCAATCGCTAGGAGCGACATTCGAACTCGATACTCGGTCAGCTTCAAGCTCTCGACCAAGATGCCTGTCCCCAGCCTCGCGGGGCTTTGTCGCAAGACAATTTGGGCTAACATCGATGAGCTCTCATACGTCTCAAACCTGCCGTACTGGAAGGTCCGCGACATTCTCAAGCATGTGAAAACCGCCTCGCAGCTTGCCGTCATTGAGGACTACTCCCCACAGATTGTTGGCGAGGATGCAGAGCTCTGGGAGGCTTTCTGCAGGAGGGACTTCCCCGTGCCCGTGAAGCGCAAGGACTATCAGCCGGAGAATCCGCGATCATGGCGGCAGGTGTACGAGCGCTATGCCGAGGAGGAACGTGAGGCGGAGGCCCTCGCACTGGCACAGCTGGGCGCTACTTACGCCGGCATTAACAAGGCGAAGATGGCGAACAAGACCTCTATTGGCGACCCGAGACACCTCCCGAAGGCTCCAATCAGCGGCGGTTTTGCGAGAAGTCGTGGAAAAGGCCCCGGTCCTGGTTCCGCGACTTTGAGCTTCGGGGGCGGCGCAAGGACGACGAATGCGGTGAAGAAAGCAAAGAAGGAGGCTTTGGAGGTAGCAGCAAGGAAGAGACTCTCAGTACCGAAAGGGGTGAGGTCAACTGCGAATCTTGCAAAGGTCACGAGGGCTCCAGAGTCAATGAAGACCGAATTCCGCATCAAAGCGCAGCCCAAGTTCATCCCTCCCGGTGCACCGGCTGTGGCCAAGCGACCGCGCGAGACGGGAGACGAACGTGAGCAAATGGAAGCCAGGCTTCTTGCAGCCAAGAGGTCAAAGGTTCAGCCAAAGGTGATGAGCGACGAGGAGCTCAGGTCAGGCTCGTCCAAGTCGATGGAGGAAAATCAGCTGGCTGCCGCGGCCCAGTCGGAGTCAAGACCATCCACTACTCCCAAGAAGCCCAGAAGCCTCTTCTCGCGTGCTCACAACACCTCGTACCCACAAAGCAAAGTCACAGTCAAGACTGTCGGCCGGCCTACCTCGAATGCTGCACCTGAGAAGCCTGCAGGTGTCCCGAAGACGAAGGCCGGCCTGCCGGGATCGATAGCGAACAACTCGTCCTCGTCAACTGCGAGAACTGGACCACCATCCACGCAGCGACCCTCTCGTCCAGAAACATCGCGGATCAACAATTTAGCTCGTCGGGGAGACGATTTGTCGCCCATCACCCGGGTCTCATCTCCTGGGTATGAGGACTTCAAGCTTAGCAAGATGGCGCCCAGGCGAGCATCTCGATCCCCTTCCGTCGCCTCAAGTGTCTTCGGCACCCCCGAGCCTGAGGTTTCAGAGCCTCGTGGACGCAGATCATCCTACCAGTCCAACAGCAGCAGGTCCTCGTCACCACTTGCTCCCCCATCGACAAGACCTGCCAAGCGAGCGGGCACACCACCCATAGCTGCGACGGCACTCCAGGGCAAGTCGAGCTCCCCACCGAAGCGCAGGCTCGATGAGGTCGCGGCTGGCGGATCTAGCGCTGCAGCCACGTCTGCTGACGGAGGAGCGGCGGCGCCGCAGCCGCCCATTAAGAAGAAGAAAGTGGATATCTTCATGCGCCGCAAACGCTGAGTAGTCAGAACCAATGGACATACGGCAGCCTTGGGGTCTGTCAGTCGATGAGCATCGAATTCAAACTGCAGCAGCTTCTACATTCAAGCTTGGGGGTTGAAAGAGGAAAGGGCTCTTTAAGTAACACGGAAGGCATCGGCGTTCGTGAGACAGAGATCTCCATAGGAAGGCATTCAATGTCAAATGAGTATCATGGGCGCCGGAGTAAAGGTTCACATTCAAGGAGCAAATTGGACGCCGGATTAGTTAGTGAATGTCTCTGCTGTTTAGCGTCATCATTTGCATAGCAAGAGTCTCTATTATGTGTCATGACTTCCATCCGTACGCCGCTGAACCAAATGCCTCTTTTCCCTCGTGCTTGCCAGTTGCTGATATCGCCATTATGCCATGGATTTCCCTAATCGTCGCCTGTAGATAGATTCGCGGCGGATTGGGCCTTATTGCTTTCCACCTCTGAGAGCGAGGACCAGATGGAGTGTTGCGCCTCCGGTGAGGCTGTAGTCGTCCGCGGTCTTGTCGTCGGCCCTGGGTTGTTCCACACTGTTCAGTTGTCTTGTCCACGCTCTGCCCGGTCTGCCTGCTTCAACTCACATTTGCTTTCCTCCGAAAATCAGTCGTTGCTGGACAGGCGGGATGCCCTCTTTCTCCTCGACCTTCTCCTTGATCGTAGAGACCTGGTGAGAGTCGTGGTGGTTAGAGCCTGTCCACGCGGACGCATGGGGGAGTTGTTGAAGCGGCGGTGCGAACCTTGTAGTCTCTCTCGATGTCGAGCTCGATCTCTTTGCCGGTCAGTGTTCGTACCTTGATCTGCATCTTGGCGGTTGGGCTGTCTACTGAGATGGGGGGTTTGTATTCGAGAGCTGAGGCGCGTTGTAATGGGTAAGAATGTCGGCGCTCACGGCGATTTATTTGTCGGAAGGTTCCTGGGGTGTGTCATTGAGGGGCACCCTCCAGGCAGGCACCCGATCGATGGTGGGGTCGTGCTTTACAACCTGCAGGGATCCCAAAGGTAGCGAGCTCATCCCGCAGGAGATTTCCAACCAGGAGGTTATCCTACATTAGGTTATTTTACAGTAAGTCATTCTACCGCCAACAGCAGGTTGTTTTACAGTAAGTCATCCTACGGCCCATAGAACTTCATCATGAAAGAGTTTATCCTACAGTCCATAGAACTTTATGCTATAAGAAGTTATCCTGTAGCCCATAGAACACTATCCTAGGAAGAGGTTACCGTATAAAGATGTTATACTAAATGACCGGGTTCATATGTGTGAATTAAAACCCTATAGCCCTCCGCGAACTCTCGGAAGGATTCAAGCTTCGTAGTGATTATTTAAGATCTACACTGGTTCGCCGTGATGATATTGCCAGCCAAGGTGCTCTCCGACGAAATGAACCGGGCAGAAGCATAGCGAAGAGCGAAGCGGTCTTTGAGTACAGCAACGCTTCTGGCGAGGCCGGCGCTTCTGACGAGGCCAACGCTTCCTATGGGTTGGAACTCTCCACAAAGGCGCTCAAATACGTGTATAGGGCACAAGCATACTAGATATCCGGACACAAGGCCGCCATGAGCCTTCATTGTTGCGCAGAAATTAGTAGTCTTATACAGGCTGAGGAGGCATGGTCAGGCGGTCCGTTGGCCCACTTAGAGAAGCTGAATTGTAAACTTGGAGAAGCCTTTTTTTTTGTTGCTGATTTGATGTCTGAAATGAAGTTGACATCTGAACAGTTGTCATTATGTACAATGATTCAATTGTATTCTTTTATACAGTATTTCTTTGTCCAGAGCAAGATATCAACTTCTGACCCCTGGAAACAACCTGGACAGGATAAGAACTTTCTGCCTGTAAGTCTGCGAACATCAAGGCGAATTCAGTGCAAGTACATCAAGCTGTTGGGTCGTGGACAAAATTTCAGCAGAAAGTGAAACTTCGGTATACACCTGGGGCAAAGTTGAGTCGTATTAATCTTACACAGGAGCTCCTTACCCGAGGAACTACCCGCGTGGCAAGGGCTCACGCATCTTGTTCCGCTCATTTCTTGTCTGCGTCAGTCTTCTCAAACACGTTGAGGCCCAGTCCCTCCGCGTCCAGGAGCAGCCGGTTCTTTCCACCGCTGTCCTGCATGAATTGGGCGATGGCCCTCGCATTCTCCAGCTTCTTCAACTCCACGTAGGCCTTGTTCTTCTTGATCGCCTCGCCGATCAGCTCCGCAGAGCGTGCCTCACCCTGAGCCCTGACCACCATTGCCTGCTTCTCCTGGCGAGCCTTGTCCACGATAAAGGCCGCGCGCTGCGCATCCTGCTGTGCCACCTGTTTGGCCTCCACGGCGGCTGTGAACTCGGGCGAGAATGCGAGGTGCTATGCCCCAGTTAGCAACGTGACATTTGGACAGTCAGCTGGGACGAAAAGAGAGGGGGAAATGTGGCATACGGTCAATGACACATCGTCCAGCAGAATGTTAAATCGTTGCGCTCTCCTGGACAGGTTGTCGCGCACCAGCCTCGCGACCATTTCTCTCTGTGTGATGAGCTGGCTCGCATTGAACTGGGCCACCACGCTCTTGAGCACCTCGTTGACGATGGAGGGAAGGACACGCTCGTCATAGTCTTGACCGAGGGTTCGGTAAATCTGGGGCAGGGACTTGACGTCTGGTCTGGACAGGACACGGCAGGTGATGTTCACCATCTGCAGGTCCTTTGTTCCAGTGAGCGAGGAGACATTGCGGGGCTTGGCTCGGATATCGTAGGTGATTGGCGTCTCAAACCACGGGATCATCAAATGTGTTCCTATTCGCACCCTCGTCAGCCATGTTTCTTGCGCCAGGACCGGAGCGGCCGGACTTACCCTCGGAGTAGATCTCCTTGCTGACACCATTTATGCGCCTGTACTTGATCGCTCTGTGGCCACCATCAACGTTGAAGAGGGCGTTGCTGAGGAACCAGCCGCCGGCCAGGAGGGCAACAGCTCCGGTGAGTGCAACGCCGGAGCCACGCGGGGGCTTGCCACCAGGGAAACCACCACGGCCAGAGTTGGCCACGGCTTGCAAGCGCCGCATGTACTCCTCCATGGGATTCCTGTTGGACATGGTGGGCGGTGATGGACAGCCCTTTTGCGCGGTCGAGCAGGGAATGCTTGGAGGTGGACGTGGGTGTCGGCGAGTGGAGGCTCGACCGTATGTAGACTATGGTGTGGCTGCTAACAAACTGCGTCGCAAACGAGAGCTACCAGCTCTGGGCTGATCATTGACTTCTAGTCGACAGGGATCAGGACGCCGTGGAGCTCATCACTGGGCAGGCAACCTGCCAAAATCCTGGGGAAGCTTGGACCAGAAAACTTCCTCGCGGCTTGCAGGGGTACCTAGACTTGATCTAGTCTCACAGATGATCCTACTAAGCACAAAGCACAAGGAATTCTTCTGTAAGAGAGAACCTGGCGCAGATCACCCAGAGAACATGTACAAGATTGCTTCATTGGATTGGTTTCCATAGAAGGGTATCCTACAGTACTCTAAGCTACCTCATAGGAAGGTGGACGTTGAAAAACTTCAAAGTGAATAAATGGTTGTGATCCCTGCGAGTTGTAGCTTTCTAGGTGTTTGTATTCTGGACAGGGGGGGCCCACTCGTGTGTGGCATGCGGCTCTAACAAAGCACCTTGGACATATTGGAAACCTCCTCTCACCCTCGAGCTGTTTTCGCACCACGAAGGAGTCACTTCGCAGTCTTCTTCGCGATGTCTACCAAAACCCCCTCGCGGGTTGTCTTTGTAGGCAACATACCCTATGGTAAGAAACCCCGACCCCGGCCATTTAATCACACCTCGGCGCCACACCACTGACCACATCTTCCTCAGGACTGTCCGAAGAGCAGATCAGCGAGCTGTTCAGCAGCGCCGGCCAGGTTCTGAACTTTCGCCTTGTCTATGATAGAGATACAGGCAGACCGAAGGGGTTTGGATTCGCAGAGTACCCCGATGCAGGTATGTGACAACCACTTTCCTACCTCCTTGCACCGTTTCCTCGGCCATCTTGTCTAATTGAACCTCCTCCGCCTCTTTAGACTCCGCCGCCTCAGCAGTGCGCAATCTGAACGACCACGAAATCATGGGTCGCAAGCTTCGTGTCGATTTCAGCAACGAGGGTGGAACAGGAAACGACGACTCGGGCCGCAACAACGATCGCAACGACGCCAACAACTACAACAACAACGGCAGCAACAACAGCTACAACCCACCTCCTGCCAATGGCAACGACGCAACGTCCGGCGGCGGCCCTCTCCCACCCCTCCCACCAGGCCGCGAGCTGCCTCCGGGCGTGACCTGCACCGACGCCATCTCACGCACCCTGAACACGCTGCCCCCTGCCCAGCTGCTCGACATCCTCTCCTCCATGAAGCAGCTCGCCAGCACCGACCCTGCCCGCGCCACCGAGCTGCTCAACCAGGCCCCGCAGCTCTCCTACGCCGTCTTCCAGGCCCTACTGCTGATGGGCCTCGTGTCCCCAGAGGCCATCAACGCCGTCCTCGAGCCCGGCTCCGCGCCCCCCGCCGCGCCCCCGGCCGCCGCTGGCTACCCTCCCGCCCAGCCCGGCTTCCCTGGCGCCACCAACACTCCGCCCGTGGCTGCTCCCACCCCGTACGCGCCACCTCCTGCTGCCGTGCCCACTCCGGTCCCCGCCGCCGGTCCAGCGCCGGCAGCCGCCTCTGCCTTCGGTGCCGCGCCTGGTCAGAACCCCGACGATCTGATCCAGCAGGTCTTGTCTCTCCCCGAGGAGGTCATAGCACAGCTTCCCGAGGCCGAGAAGCAGGCCATTCTTCAGTTGCGGGCGCAGTACAGGGTGTAAAAGGCACGGCCAATACCACGATTGAGGGAGAAAAAAAGAAAAGAAATAGGATGAAAAGGGCGGGCCTGGACAGATTCATACACTTGGCGCAAGGTGACCATCTATCCGACAAAGGGGCACTCATGTGTTGCGAGATGGAACTGGTTTGGTAATACACGAAACTTGCCATTTCTTTGGAACAGGAGGGGTTTCATGCCCGGTGGCCTGGTTGGACTGGGAAAGGCGTTAAGGCGTGAACGGGATCTCGAGAGATTACGGCAGGATAGACTGCTTGACATGATCAGTTCTTGTCGGGCAAACCACCCACATCAAATCAAAGCTTCTACTTGAGCCGGTTTGCAAAGCGCACCAATTGATGATTATGAACTGCCCATGTTTCTATTTACTTTTGACCCATTTTCGCTGTGACTCCCGCCCTTGTATTCCGCTCGTTGTTAAGTATGTAGACATGGGTTCCGTTTGTATCCCCATCGTTCAGGTCAATATGGACCCAGTTATCCGCCATGGCCAAGACGACTAATATGCCTCCCAAAATCGTATAGACGTCATGTACAGAAGTCTCGACAGCGAAAAGGGCGCTCCACTATGTGATTCCGCAAATGATCCAAGTTATTACCAACCATCAGTAGACCGCACCTACACGATCCTGTAGACTCTCTTGGCGATCATGTAACATGCCAGGCCGAATAGGACGAGCCCGGCCGTGATGCACCAGAACCAAGTCAGGTCGTCCTCGTACTCCTGCCCGGGCACCCACACGTTCATGCCCCACAGGCCCGTGATGATGTTCATTGGCAGGACGATGGTTCCGAGCACCGTGAGCTTCCCGAGAACGTCGGCAGTCTGCTCCGCACGCTCGTTCATCCGGATGTTGATCTGGGCAAGGTAGTTCTGGTGTGACCTGGCTAGAATCCTGCGATTTGGTCAGCGTGGTTTATTCTCGCAATGTAAGTACTCTTTGCCTACATCTCATAATGACTCAAATTGCCAGTCATGGTCACAATGTGATCCTGAATGTCGCCCAGGAACAGTCCGATCTCCGAGCGGGGCGCGACCTCCCAGTGCTCGTTGCACCGTTTGGCGAAGCCCTTGATGACGTCTGCCTTGTTTCCAAGCAGCCTATAGAGCCCCATGACTTTCTTGCGACACTCGCCCACCCTGCGATACATATCTCCGCCGGAGTCGAAGGTTGTAGCCCCTGCTTCGGACTTGGACGCATCATGGTGAGACTTTTCGCCCTTTGGTTTCTCTTTACTCGTTGGGTCTTCCTCTGCATGGAGTCTCACGATAGCAGCGTCAATTTCATCAACCTCCTCCTCAATGTTCTGGATGAGAGGGCCGTAAACGTCGGTAATGTCGTCAATAATCGCGTACGAGATCCAGTCCGACGAGAGGACCATGAAGTCTCGCAGCATTCGAATTCGGCGCCGGACATTAGCCGAATGAGGGGTCGGAGAGAAATGAAAACTCAGGACGCCTTCCCTAAAGACGATAACGTAGAAGTTGACAGGCTCTAGATGCTCCTCGCTGGTCGCGTCTTGGTTGAAGGTACGATAGTTGATGAAGTAATAGTTGTGGAACAGTTCGACCTTCTCCCGTGCTTCCTGTAACATGATGTCTTCAACTGTGAGCGGATGGATGCCAAAAGCCCGCCGTAGAACCAGCATTTCGGCATCCGTTGGGCACATAATGTCGAGCCACCAGACCGGTCGCTCCCCGTACCGAACAGGTTTTACCTCATTGATTGGCGGGGCAGATGTCACCGATCTCGGCTGCGAAGGAGTGGCATCACCATATGCTTGTCTGGGATTGCGCTGACTCTCCTGAGTGGCCTTTGGGGACAGCGTCTCGTCTCGGGTCGCTTCTGAGCTTCCCCTGATACTTGCGGCCACAGAGGCCTGGCGTGTGGGAGCCTTGGATTCGCCATTTTGACCGCTCAATGTCCTCCGCATGATAGTAGCCTGCTGTTGAGCATCGTCGTCCTCGCTCTCGGATTCCGAGGAGTCTTCTAGGATGGGTCTGTCCGGCACAAAGAGCTCCCGGAAGTTGGCCCCTTGCCCCTCTGCTTGCACTAGCTCGGAGATTGTGGAGCTGTGGATGGTGCTGTCGAACTCTTCGTTGAAGTACGTGAAGCGGTACGGCGCATCCTCTTCGGGCTGGAACCAGCCTTTGTGGACAGGACGCAACCTGCCATTGACTAATTGAGGCTCTGTGATCATCTTGGTCCTTCGTTCCTCGTTACGACCTTCTTTCTCGAGCCGGCTCCATTCGTCAAGGACTGATAAAACAGGCCATCTCTTCTTTCTCCGTCTGGTGCGTGCGCGTTGCTCGCGCATCTCACGAACCTCGTCGTCCGCCAGCTCCGACATGCCCTCTTGTGGGAAGCAAACATCACCCTCGGCCTGGTAGGAGAAAGTGTGCCGTCGCTCATACGGACTTGTTGGACCCTGCTGACTGGAGGGCGAGCGCAACAAGTCATCCATGAAGCTACCTTCGTCGTGAGGAGAGTTGAGCTCATCCAACAGCATGGCATCCTCGAACCTCAAGTCCCTTTCCAGACCCCCAAGCCTTGGAGACCCGGGCATCGATGGTGGGTAGTTGATGTCGTAACGTTCGGCGCCACCAGGAGTGAAAGGGGGGTTCCTAAAGTCCTTTCTGCCGCTCGCCCTGCTCGATTCGCGTCGACTCGCTGGTCGATCCTTCCTGGTATCAGTCGAGCCGAACCCCTGAAAGGTCATGGCTGGCTCGGAGCGCATACGGCCAGAGGCGGACAAAAGGGGAGCCCTCTCATCCCCATTGGCCTCGTCCTCCTCCTCTTCTGCAGGACTTCCATCGCGGACGGTCCGGAGTCTGTTGTTGCTATGTGATGGTGGTGGGGGGTTGTGCATCTGAGTAACTGTTGAGCTTCGCCGAGGTCGCATGAAGCGCGGCTGATCTCTGTAGTTTTGAGGGAAGGTTTAGCCTGAGGGTCATGGCACGGGTCGAGGTACGGCGGCGGATATTGAACACTCACCTGTGGTCGAGCAGGGCCTCGCTATCAAGACTCGTACCACTGAGGTTGCGGTCTTGGGCATAGAAGCTGCTGGGGTTGGGGCCAGTGGCGACGGGCTCATCTTGAGTTATATCGTCGTTTTGGACAGCGAATGACTTTCTTCTGTCCTTCTTTCTCTTGCCCTTGGTGCCGCGATGGGTCTTCTTCTTCTTGGTGGGCGCATTGCTCGACCCAGGCACAGCGGATCCTGAGCCCTGGGGCATATCGGCCATGATGCCAACCCGCGCTGGTCAGCCGGCTTTGCTGCAGCGTGGACAATGTGAATCTGATAGACACAGGACGTAGGCGAGTTGAAGCTGCTGGACGAATGATTGACAGACCAGGTAGGTACTGGCTAATTATGATCAAAGAATTTTGCAGGGGCGAATTGAGGATGGTAGCTGAGCCGGGATCGAGGCCAAGCAAGCGGCTCGAATTACAGTAGGGTGAGAGTAAGTAAGCTCGGGAGAAAGAGTGACATCAGCACAGCCAGCGCAGCACGATGCAAGTAACCGGGGGCATGGTTCCTGATTTGCGCCGATCGATCAATCAAAAACTCTGTATGTAGCCCTAGGGGGACAAGGGGGGGGCCGACAATGGGCTAACAAAAACCCAATTCTCCGTCATTGCTGCTTAGCATCTGATCAGACCAGTCCTCACTGCGGGGTTCCGGCCGTCTGGGTGGCTTACCTTGGGCTTTGGGAGAAACTCAACCTCCCCCGCACACGACCACAAAGCACTAACCACCACTGGGCAAGCTGAACGACGGCTTCATAATTCGTGAAGCTCTGTTAGCTTTGTGGCCTCACAAATAATGAGCATAGCACATTGTCCTACAACGGGTTGGCTTACCCGTGACGGGCCAGTCTCGGTGTCTTCCACGTACCACATCTGCCAGACAGGAGTAACCCTTCTCCACCACCTCAGGGGAGGTTGAAGTAACAGTAACTCTCTCTGCCGATCCAAGACGGCCTCGGTGACGCCTTCGCTTGGAGAGGCCGGAGGCACTCTGCCAATTAGGTCTACAGGAGCATAAGAAACCCCGCCTCGTTCTGCTCCTAGTCTAGTTGAGGTGAATAATCACCAATGGGCAAATATAAGGAGATGTACATCCTACATTGGCTGAATGTTCCGTCGCCTACATAAGTACTATTTGTCTATTCTCTAGTGCCCACTACGTAGCCAGAACTACTTACATAAACATACACAAACATACCATCACCGCAGGAATAATCACCATGGCCGGCTTCGCTAAACTTACCCCAGCTTTCACAGCTAAAGTGCGTGCATTGCCGTGGACCGCTCCCTGACCGCAATCCTCCATCATACCCACAAACTCCTGACATCCAGGTGGACCCAAACCACTCACTAACGCTACTTCCCCAAGATCCCAATCGACCCACCGAATGCCATTGGCGTCCTATCCACCGGCAACCATTTGACTCATGTCTCCTTCGTAGCCGGCCAGGAAGCGCTCGCCTCCGAGCCGGGCTACCCCACCGCCCTCAAGGGGACCTGGGTCCACGGCTCAGACTACATCAAGACCGATGCCGACGGCAAGTACTCGCGCCTCGAGGTCGACAGCCTCGTCAAGGACACGAGGACCGGCGGGCTGGTGCGGTACAGGTACACCGGCGTCGTCGATATGGCGGGCGCTGCCGGCAAGGTCCTCAGGGGTGATGCGGATGCAGCTACGACTGATTTCGGTGAAATTTGTGAGTTACTACCGCCTGTTTTCTACACCTCAGACGGGGAAGAGGTCGTGTTTTTCTCTTTTTCTGACGTATGCCCGTGTTTGTGCGCGTCCCCAGATACGCATGTCAAATTCGAGACGGGTCATGCAGAGCTTAAGGATCTGGAGAACAAGGTCTTCGTCGGCTCTGGGCGCTTCATCTTGGAGGCAGGGAAGCCTGTCACCGTCGAGTACAAGATCAGCCAGGTTTCGATTTGAAATGCGCCCATGCAGTGTGCTTCGTGAGGGACAGCTTTTTGGAGTCCCGTCGGCTTCTTATTCCAAGGAAATATGTTTTCTGCCGCGTCAGAGATGACTCTATATGACTAGAAGTACAGTAGCATGTGACTAATTCCGTGTCAATGCTATGCCTCAAACAGCCTGCCTGATCGTGTCTTCATCTGATGCACTTGATGCCGTCCTTGATCCCAGTCCCGCGCCCTCTATTCCAACACATTTTCCCAGCAACGCCTCTGATGGCCATCCAACTCTTCCGACATGGTATCACCCCGGCCTCTCATGCTAAGCCATGCGATTCAACGATCGACAGAGTGCCGCCCATATCCCGGTAGCCCCGGCAACTTGCCATGCCCAACCAAATCCGTGGACTAATTGTCTCTAGGCCTCATGAAGCCCATGCCAACTCCGAATGTGCAATGTCTGATTCCCACTCATCTATAAGCTCCTTCAGTCATAGATTCCATCCCGTAGCACACTTTTACCTCCTCGCGCCATGCTCAGGAGACTCCAGCCCCGACCCGTCACTTCCTACGCCCTGGGACCATACCCATCACCTTCAGGAGGCGTTACCGAGCTGAAGCAGCTTCTGACCGCAGATCAGGTTGGCATACTCGTAAGCCTTGGACTCAGGCGGGAACGTGCCACTCGCAGCCCAAAGATCGATCAATGGCTGCATGGGCTCAAGCTCGTGTGGTTTGAGCATATCCAGCGCGGTGGCGGTCAGAATAAAGTGGCTGAAACAGCTGTTGAGCTGTTTCTCAAGGTTCAGGTGATAGAAAGGCTCAACGAAGTGAGCCCAGTACAGGTGTGAGTAGACGCGGAACATTTGGCGGAAAATGGTCTGGCAGACCTCAACGAAATTCTGGGGAAATCCAGATCGTTTGCCGACCCAATCAGGTTCCCCGGGATTCGTCAATTGGGATAACGGAGTGGTGGTGATGTTCGAATTGTGTGCGTAGGAGACTCCAGAAGCCTCAGTGGGGAAGATTCTCGTGTCGTCAATCTTGCCGGATATCCACCGCTGCATAAGCGTGATGTACTCATAAGCAGGAAGCTCCACGGGCTCTCTGCGACTGTTAAGCCACGTAAAAGAGTGGCTCCTGCGAAGACAGCGTCAGCTGTCGCAATCAAAATGAGAAAGTGCGACGGATGTACATACTGGCCTGCAGACATGCGAGGGCAATTATTCGGATTGCAGAGGGATGACCCATCTTCTTCCTTCTCATGAATGACGCGAACGAAGTTCCAAAGGTTGCGGTAGTGTTCAATTACTTGGGGAGACAGTCAGCCTTTCTTTCTTGTTTTCTTTCTTTTATATCGGCCAGATATTCGCAGGGCAGTGACGGCTAGCTCATGGCAAGCAAAGGGAAGCTCAGACGGTGCTAGAGCGGACTTCTCTAATGCTCAGCGAAGATACCCTGTAGCACGCCTGATCTCATACGACAAATTGCCCTGCGAATATCCGTTTTCGTATCTGGACTGGAAATCACAAACCTTGATGAGCGATCCACTCCCCTTGCTCAACGGTCTTCGGTCTAGCGCTCAGGGTCATGAAGTTGCCCTTGACGATATGCTTGGCATAGTTCGGGTTCAGCCAGAGAGGCATGGGCCGAGGGAGATGATAAGATTCGAGGGCATCATGACCACTGGCCATCAAACCGCTCTGCTCGTCCATCGCAATCGTTTGCGCCAGAGAGGGAGACTTGGGCAGAGGTGGAAGATTAGCAGACAGACCTGCTGAGACGGGCGACTGGCTACTGTGAGACCTGTCCAAGCTCAGAGGAGAGACGGGTGGGTGGCCAGCGCTGGTTGGGCTCTTGCCCGGGCCGGGAGACTTGGTGCCCCGAAAACGGGCGTTGCTACAGAGACAGATAATCAGTGTCTGTGATGCGTGACGCGGAGAGGTTTCGAAGTGATATCGAGGTAAAGTAGTGGAACAAACAGACTAGCGCTGGATGAACGCAAGACCGAATGGAGGAAGGGAGAGACAATGAGGGATGATATGAAGAAGTGATGAGTTATGTTGTGATAGAGAACAATGGCGACTCGAGCTCGTGTTCCCGAGCCTCGCTACACAGTTGTCCAGAGATAAGCCCCGTGGGAGATTTACGCCGTTGCCTGGGTGCCACTGGTCTGATGGCACGGGCTCAAGCCTCTCCTGGACGTTCCGTCCCGTAGAAAAAGATCTGCCGCTCCCAAGATGAAAATACGAGTAGCATAGTATGGAATCCAAGGCGCAGCGCACTGAAGGACGAGCAAGCACGTGCTCTTGCTATAGATGCGGCGAATTCCGTCACTGTCCATGGCACAGCGCGAAGGTCCATGGCACAGCGCGAAGGTCCATGGCCCAGGATCGAATGCGGACTGTTGATCCGCTCGAGGGCGGTATAGCGGTCCAGACAATGGCAGCGGGTTGAAGCAAGGGCAGCAAACGAATCAGAAATAACGGTACTCACATGCCAGAGAAGAGGTTGGACATGGTGCGCGCGTAGGGGCGATGCGATGCGACAACTAGAAGGCCGGTCTGGTCGTTTGCCGTGGAAAAAATTGCGCGTTGCGCTCTGAAAGCCGCTAGAGTATGTCACGAATTTGGTCGATCTCTTTTCTGTTGACGGTCCGTGGTCTTTCGGGATTCACAGTTGAGAGGCAGTTAACCTGGTTGAAATTGACGTTGAATGTTTCCAAAGTTCCCTGGGAGTGAACCCCTATTCTTGGGCTGCAGGGGAAGTGCAGTACTTCCGGGCTGGTCCGTGCGATTGGACGGCCCAGCCTGCCTGCAGCTGGATGGGTGTATTGACCCAGGTATGTAGACTAGGTAGACTAGACAGTAGATGTCTCTTTTCTAGCTGTGGCGTCTGCTGTATTTCTTCAACGATGCCTTCATGCACTCTGTAGATCACAAAAATAATATCAAATAATGCAAGCAGACATTCAAGGCACTCACTATAGATCTATAGCACAATAGAGGAACTCATACTGCCAACTCTTGGTAGATACGTATCTGCGTGGGACACTCAAAGGTACCAGCCCAGCCAAGCTTGGCCTTGCGCTGTGCCAGTGTGCCCAAGTCTAATGGGAGGGTATGTGGTAGCTTCGGCGATACTATCCCTGTTCAGGTAACCTGTCTGGGCCGAAAATCCATGAGCTCGACATGCACAACATAAACAACCTTGCTGTCTATCCACTTGTCTATTGACCAAGCAGCACATGTTCAGCCAAACGACTACCGAATCTAAGCCTGATTGACATATCTTTTCTTACCGCCTTCTGTAGCCTTCACAGCAGGCCTACCCACAAACATTTCCACAAGAAGAGCGCAGCGACCGCTTAGCCCTTGCGGATCGGCGAATCGACAGATCTCCGTCTCGAACCCGTCGCACGCCACAAAGCTGTCCAAGCTATCATGTCAGACCTAGAAGACCAGGTTGACGTGTCGGACGGTGGAGGTGATGACCTTTTCGGCGACGATGGGAGCGACGCGTCGCTGATCGCGGACAACCCGCCCCTTCCTAGCGACGATGACCTGGCTTCAGAGCCCGATCGCCAACGCAGCCAGCGCAGTGAGACGCGTGAGCCAATTGGCGGCGACGGCGATGGCGATGGCGAGCGACGAGAAAAAACCGTCGCAGAGGAGATCATCTACCGCCATGGGCTCCCAAAGACAAAGGATGGAAACGTTGGTTGCCCCTTCCCATTCTTGACTTCATGGCTGGTGTATCTAACTACTCCGCAGATGCAAGCTGCGAAAGTCCCCAACTTTCTGCGCTTCATGCCGACCGAGTACAAAACGGACGAGTTTCAGCCTTCCGACTGGGCAATTGAAAACTCGCTGCGAAAGATACCCACCAACCTCGTTCGATACCGGCGGAACCCCGACACGGGCGAGCTGGAGAGCAACTCAAACATCTACAGGTGGAGCGATGGCTCCTTGACCTTACAGGTTGGTGAAGAGCACTTCGACATACAGGTCAAGGATCAGGTGCCTCCAGCCAACAAACCGTACATTCCTGACCGTGACGCTCATCGATACATTGCTGCTGCGCACATGGGCCACTCACATTTGCTTACCGTCGCGCACATCAACGAGGAGTGGACCATCCGTCCGGATAAGCAGCGTGTGGATGAGGACACAGAATTGCTGAGGGAAAGGATGGGTCTGGCAAAGGGCGGAATGAAAGAAGGCGAGATGATCATCACCACCACAGAAGATCCCGAGCTACAAAAGAAGCAGGCCGAGCAGGCTGAGAAGGAGCGCATCCGCGCGCAGCGAAGACGGGAAAACGCAGCAGCGAGGATAGACGGTGGTGGTGGAGGAGGCGGTGGATTTCGGAGGGGAGGTCTCTCCATTGAAGGCCTGGAGGGCGGCCGGCGCGCGACAGGACGGAAGCGTGGCCCGGGAGGATCATCGAAGCGAAGCGGTGGCGGTCGCCGCCGCAATGACGAATACGATTCGGACGACGATCTTCCTGCCGGAGCACACGGAAACGCCAATGAATATGATCGCGAAGACGACTTTATTGCGTCATCTGACGATGGCATGGAAAGTGGGGAGGATGGCGGGGAAGAAGATGACGATATTCTCGACGCTGTAGACAGAGAGGATCGTGACAGACCACGAGCTAAGCGGCAGAGGACCGCTGAGCCTTCCGACGATGAGGATGCTGACGGCGAGCCAGAGGACCCAGCGCCTACGGGCACGTCGGCGGGTGGAGAGCATGCTCGACGGAGGATGCGACGTATCGTCGATGATGATGACAGTGAATAATTTTTACATGAAAGAATCGAGCTGGGTCGTCAGGTAAATTCAAGTAGGCAATCAAGGTCTATTGATGAAAGACTCCATCTGGATGCAAGGGACATCTCCGAATTTTTGAATTGGCTCACGACGCACATTCCTCTAAACGTTCAGTTCGAATCAAGGTCAAACTTATTTTGAGTACCTCAAAGAGACAGTTAATTCCCCGGAAACCTGAGCATCGAACTTCACTGTGCTGATCAATCTATTTTCTAGTGACGATATCCGAGTCTTCGGCATAGCTTGTGATGACCCAGACATGAGCACTTCCCTTCCAAGAAGCAGACCTACGAACTGTTCGGTGCCTTCTCAGGAAGGAGGCCAGTCACTATCGATTCGGTGGCAATCCTGACAGCACTCGATTCTCTCGCCCGGAAAATCGTACACGTCGAGCGAAGCTCTCCAGTACGCCTTCTCCGTACACCTCTTGTAGGCTGAATTGTCCCACGCGTTAAAATGGAAAGACATATAGGCGCCCTTTTCGTCCTGAGCAGAAGGCGGCGGCGGCTTGCAAACCCAGCTGTTGGTGCCTGTACCGTAGCACGTCTCTGCCAACTCCATCCTGAAGCTTTTGCCGCATTCTAAACCATCGCGGCCCCACTGGAAGCATCCGAGGTTAGCTGCTGAAGTACTGGGAGGAGGATGATTCATGAGAAACTGGCGGAAAGCCACGCTCCTCCGTCTGTAACCATGAGCCCGTGTGATGAGCTGCATCCCTGCAACTGCAGGCCAGCGAATGGGTTCGATGCAATCCAGAAGAGAGTTTACTGCAACGACAGGTTGTCTGGAACAAGGATATATGAGAGTGGTTTCTGGAAGGTACTGTACTTACACCACGGGTATAGATCTCAAAATGTTGATGAACGCCGTTCCATCCGCAGAAGCTCCCCGTCTCGTTGTAGACTGGCTTCTCTGGTGGTGGCACGGCTGCCGATATGTCTGGCTGGCTGGCTGAACGCGCCAAAACAGCCAGGAGGGCCGTGGCGAGCAAGGCAGTCAGGCCGTATGCCATCTTCTGAAGAACGAGCACTCAGTCTTGCTGATGTGTTAATGTTTCCAAATGAGGAATTTTGGGCGCCTGTAAACACGACGCAAATGCGATGTTGTAGCGGGAGACTTGTTGACCTTGTAGATCGAGTGTGCAGTGAGTCGCCAGAGCGAAAGGGGGACAGCTGGAGGGGAAACTCGTGGCTCTTAGACCATCAAGGCCATAAAGGCCAGCGACGGCTTCTGACAGGATGGAGATCTACTTGCGTTCCAGATCCTGCTAATTTGAAGCATCCACCGCTGAACATGGTCCGTGATGCAGTCCGGCCTCCTCTGATGATATCAACCATCAAGCAACACGATCGTGCCGTCTGTGTGCTAGATCAGTAGCGCAAGGCTGAGTCTTAACTATAACTGTCTGGTTTGTTTAATCGCGAATAATCGGGCGCAATGCTTGACGACAGCACGAGATCTCCTTCATCTTCCAGCTCTCTTCTTAGAAGACGCTCAGTCCATTTGACCCAAAGAAAACTACAAGCGGCCTCTTTAGTCACGCGAAAAAATTCTAGGAAGCCGAGAAACAGCCAAGAGTTCTTTTAAAAACGTCGTGAAGGCGGATTGATGGCAAGGTCTTGAGCTTCTGACAGCAGGCCGAGTAAGAAAAGTGAGAGGGAATAGACAGTCCCTCTCCTCCCTTGAGATGTCCAGAATTGTCCAAAATGTCACATACACCACAGTCAAACAAACTGCGGAAAAGTCATTACAGAACCCCCTGTGGCCTACTTGTTTCCCCGTATAGAAGGTTATTCAACATGAGAACACTAGACAAGAGACCATCCCAAAAGAAATTATGCCAAAGCAGATTATCCCATTATAAATTGATTTATAGCTGGTCCTGTGACTGGCTATATTTTGAATGATTACCTCACGGCGATATACCTTATGGACGTTTATTCAAAGTTGGTTATCTTGAATTCCCTTTTCCCCTTTTGCTGTTCATCACAGAGATACTGTATCCGCAAAGTGGACACCCGAGCCTAAGTTCGTGGGATAACAATAGAATCAGACGGTCTCCTGGTCAACAGGGGATATTCGAGGAATGACGATCATCCTATCTTTTATCTGTGGTCATGAATCTGTAGGAAGCTGATGGGAGAAAATGGCTCAAGAACCTAGACACTGAGTGTTGTTGAGTGAACAAGAGGTTGTTGACCTTTGGTCCTGATGCCCATTTAGGAAAACCCCGGCCGAGTCGGTTGGTGCATTCGGCCGATGTTGGGTCCGGCATGGAATTGTCTCCACAACTCGTTCCATTCACATGTCAGTTGTCATTACCGTACCGTGCTCGATACTTCGTGTTGCTCTGGCAGCACATGCACGCTCGGGCACTTGTCGTGTACTGCTGCGTTGCGCCCCGAATGACGCACTGCCTAGGTACTCAGCTCCGTATAAACCCCACCCGACGCAGACCAGCCCAAGTAAACCAACAGTCTGTCCAAACGTGCACCACAATGCATTTTCTACCTTTGTCCTAGTTGCCAGCTACGATCAGCTACGATCCTTAGCTCGAGACCCGAATCAACACAGTCCGATCTGTCAACAGCTCAGATGTTCCAAAGCGGCGGCGGCTACAAACAGATATGGGGTCGGTGATGTCGGTGTTTATAGGCGTCTGGGGCGTGATAGTCGAGATCGTTGATTTCTGGCGCAGAGTACGTATACATGGACAAGGACATACACAAAGCAAGCAGCGAGGCTGACGTGTCGCTCATTATCCAGCGATTCCTAGAGTGGTACCGTCGCAAAGCCCCCGCCGAGCTCTGGCTCGACGTCCTCCGCCATGCCGAGCTGTACGAAGAGTGGGAGGAGGCCGCCCTTCACCTCGACAACCTGCTGGGGCTCGACCTCTGGCGTTACAACCAGGTCTCGCGATACTATGATTACCGTCTCATCAACGAGCGCCTCGACAGCCTCGCCCTGGCGCGGGAGGACCAGGATATCCATGCCCTGGTCAACCTCCTGCGCTCGGGTCTGGTGCGCAACCTCGGCAACATCACCGCCACCAAGCTCTACAACCGCAGCTTCGCCGGCTCCAAGTTCCTCATCGAAGAGTATATCACACAGGTGGCAGAGGCTATAGAGTTCATCAGCAGGCTGCCTGCTGTCCCGCCGAGCGGCGTGGGACTCCTAGGGAGCAACTCCTCCGGGAATGTCGCGGGACCTCAGCCCCAGGCCCAGAGCCAAGCACCGCCCCAGATGCCGGCCGTCCACTTCAGTGACAACAGTTCGACGACACCCGGCAGCAACGCCAGCAACGCCAGCAATGCTGCCGCTGCGAACATCAAGGCCCCCATGACCATGTCCAACCAGATGAAGCTGGACTTTGTGCACGACACAAGACAGGCCTTCGGGCGGAGCACGCTTGTCTTGCAGGGCGGCGCAATCTTTGGCCTCTGTCATCTGGGCGTCGTCAAGGCTCTCTTCTTGCGTGGGCTGCTACCTCGCATCATCACCGGAACGGCGACGGGAGCCTTGATCGCGGCGCTGGTGGCTATTCACAAAGAGGAAGAGCTACCTGCAGTCCTCAAAGGCGATGGGATCGACCTGAGTGCTTTTGCGGCAAAAACTAGGGCCAAAGGCGATGAGAACTCAGGAGTAGCACAGTCGGGTTCGACCAGGTGGGAGACGCTGCTTCGCAGAGTGAAGAGATTCTACCGGGAGGGCTACTTCCTCGATGTCAAGGTACTGGAGGAGTGTGTGCGTGCCAATGTTGGTGATCTTACCTTCGAGGAGGCTTATGTCAGGAGCAAGAGGGTGTTGAACATCACCGTAGCCGCGACGGGTCAGGGCGGCATTCCAACGCTGCTGAACTACTTGACGGCGCCGAACGTGGTGAGTGACTCTACTTTGAGTTCTTAACGGAATGTCTTGCTGAAAATATCGTCTAGTTGATATGGACGGCTGCAGTGGCCTCCAACGCCTCTACGCCAACTTTTTATGGCCACCGCGAGACCACCATCCTTTGCAAGGACCAGGACGGAAAGATTGTCCCCTGGGCCCCTGCTAATACCATCGACTTCCGCCACTGGACGCACGTATCATACTCAGATCGAGACTCACCCCTGATGCGTATAGCAGAGCTTTTCAATGTAAATCATTTCATTGTTTCACAAGCGCGCCCTTACCTCATTCCTTTCCTACAGTCAGACATGCATGGCCCTTCACTCTTGGAAACCCGCAACAAAACTACCTCCGTTACCGCGTTCCTGGTCAGGATGGTCGGTCTGGAGATTAGGCATCGCCTCCGACAGCTTGACACGCTGGGGCTTCTACCGACCGGCATCCGACGATTCCTGGTCGACGAGCGGATCCCCGGTGCCAGTGTAATGCTCGTGCCAGAGGTAACCGCGGGAGACTTCATCAGGCTGCTAGAGACTCCGACGAGGGAGACGCTTGACTACTGGATATTGAGGGGCGAGAGGAGTGTCTGGCCGGCTGTCGCGGCGCTGAAGATCAGATGTGCGATCGAGACGGAGCTGGACCGTGCATACCAAATAGCGAGGAGGCTGAAGGCCGGCGGACTGAGGCGCAAGTCCAGTATCTCCGTGAATATATCGGGCAGTGGTAAAGATCAGAAACATCGGGCCAATAGTTTTGGCGCAAGAAGCTGAGGTCGCCGTGTACAACCGACATTGTGATATTGGCATTTTTTACCTGGGAACCAAAATGGCACTGTAGCGTTGCATAGTTAGGAATTATCGTAAGCAAGCATCTTAATGAATTTGTACTGTCCACCCTGTCCTTGGGCTGAATGTGCTGAGAGCCCTCGGACGGCTCACTATCTCGGCCGTACGGCAAATGTAAAGTCATTCTGGCAAACTTGCTACTTGAAAATCCACGATGTCTCAGAACCAAATCACGCGCTAACAAAAGGCCTCCCCAGGGCCTTCCTCATCTATACCAAGCGCAGTCTTGCCTATTCCCGAGCCAGCTTCATTCTCCCGGTGCGCCTCCTTGAGACCCGCGAGATTCAGCTTCAGCCTCCTCTTGAGATGGCATTTGACAGTGCCGTCATCGAGCATGTGTGCCAGGTCCTCGAACCACCTGTGGTGCTTCTCCTCGTCGTCATTAACGTACCCGTGGTATGCGCCAGAACAAAGCCAACACCAGGAGAAAGTTTGCGACTTGCTCATGAACTGCGACCCGTACATGTCGAACTTTGCCTGCACGATACTACACACCTTGCCGAAGGGGGCGACGATGTCCGAGATGGCGTGGATGTACTGCTCGGTCCGGGACGTGATGAACGCGTAGCGGATGGGCACGTCCCGCGGGATGTCCAGCTCGCGGACCTGCTTGACGATGTCCTCCCTGTGGTTGATTACATGGGAGGCACCCATCTCCTTGGAGAACCTCACAGTCTCGGGCCGCGAGGCGGTGGTGATGACCACGGGCAGGCCTAGGACGTTCCGGGCGATCTGGCTCGCGATGCTGCCGACGCCGCCGCCGCCGTTGATGATCAGGATCCCGGATCTCTCGCCCTTCTTGATTTCCAGCCTGTCTACAAGTGCCTCGTAAGCCGTGCCATACGTGAGAGGCATAGCTGCAGACTGAACGAAATCAAGCTTCTTCGGCTTGTGGCCCGCACTGTGATTTGTGTCAATCATCTACCATGGTCTCTGGGATTTTGTCTGATGGAGAGTCAATGGGAAACATATGCGTACTGCCGTTCATCGACCAGCATCTCCTCTTCATAACAGCCCTGGCCCAACGGATTTCCCAGGTAGTAGATCTCATCCCCTTGCTTGAAGTGCTTCACGTCCGGCCCGACGCCGAGAACAACACCAGCCCCGTCGTAGCCCATGACGTGAAAATGCGGCTCGTCCTGTGTCAGAGGCTTGACGCGCTCGTAGTAGTCGGGCGCGTCGTCATAAGTGCCTGCACGGACTTTGATATCGATTGGGTTCACGGCCGCTGCTTTCACGCGGACGAGCATCTGTCGCCCAGTGGGCGGTGACGGTCTAGGGAGGCGTACGGACTCGAGATTCTCAAGAGGCCCGTACTTGTAGACTCCGACGGCGCGGATGGCTTCGGCACTGGTATTCGTCGACGTCATGGTCAAAGTTCTGAATAATTGGAGGTGTGTTGTCGGCTTCGATCATGACACTGGCGACGACCTCGAGGAGGGCCGAGATACCCGTCCTTATATATGTGTCTCTCTTTCCATTTCGTCATGACTATATGACGTTGACTTGACGTTACATTGGATCTACATGAGGTCGAGATCCGTAAGTGCGGATTCGCGGAACGAGGATATTGTAGTGTGATGAATGGAACCAAAATGCGATTGTTGACGTTAGGGACGAGACGCCTTTCGAAAGCTGGCTCTCCCGTCGTTCCCCGTCGGCGATGCTGTGTGACGATGGGATCACTGAATATTGGGGAATCCCTGATGAAGACTACGTCACTCCAGAAAGAGTCCATTCGACAGCATTTTTCGGTTCAAACGGATGGCGTCTGGCAACTAACGAGGGGCCACATGCTTTGAGATGCCGAGTGGAGTGTGGTGCCGAGATGCAAGGTCAAGTTGGTCATTAGCCATGTAGAGGGCTACTGGATGGAATAAGCAACATCAAACATGGAGCGATATGACCTCATGGTGGCCGACGTTGACTTGCCGTCTCGTAGCATTGCATGAAGTCGGCCTTTTCCGGCCCTCCAGGCTCGTCAAAAATCGTGGTCGAGTGCAGAGAAGGAGCCTGATGTTCATGAGATGGAACTCTGAACCTGGAGTCGGGTGGCACATCTGTAAGACCACACGAGCTGTTACACCGTCTGCACAATAAGTTTTGTGACAGGCAAACAAAAAGATAAGGCTAGCTCAATGAGCTGGTTCTCGGACGAAATGCCGAGGGACCGGGCCAGCAAGTGCGTGGGAACGAGAAGAGAGCGCGGAAGAGTGGAAATGGGTCTCGGAAGTCTTTCACCATTTCATCAAAACGGTATGGAACGCGAATCGGCGGCGGGTGACAACAAGAATTGCAGAGACTGTGAAGAAGCAAACTCGAGAGTCAGACAAACGAGGGAATAAAATGAATTGCGAGGCGCAGATCGTAGTTGGACTCGATTTGGATATAATACGAGAGCGATTTTATGCGTGTACTGTGAAGCCGATCAGCGAACAGGAAAACCCGAACCGTGATTAAATTGGTATATAGCCCACTGCCCCGAGACTGTTTCTCGAACCCCGACTGTATTTGATGGGGCGCATAAAAGGTTGCACCGTCCCAGGACCGCTCCTGATCTGACGCGCCGAAGTAGAGATAAACGCCCTGGGTAAATCTATCGGGAAGTTTCCTTTTAATCGCACCTTTTGCTTCCTTCCTTCACCACGACTGTCCCGATCCGTGACTGTGCTGCTCCTCCCTTTCATCCTTTTGGTATCTTGCTGCTCTTGGGCCGCGCTGAATGGCCCGCCGAAATCTGCCGAGTCGCCCTCGGTGGATTCGAGTCAATCCACGAAGTTGCGCCGACTGACTAGGTGATGGGCGGGCGAACTTAGTGGGCTGGAAGCGCTGGGATAACGGACATTGGTGTCTTAATATCCTTCGCCTGCACCGGTTCCATTGTGTCCTGGTTGATACATGTAGTTGGGCTCTGCACCGTCGGTGCCTTGACCAGCAAGGTCACCGGCCTGAAAAGTCGAAGACCCCGAGTTCGATGGTCCTGCAGCACCACCTTGAGCACCGTAGCCGCCTTGGCTGCCCGGACGGCCTTGCTGGTTTTCGCTCCTGTTAGACTGAGACTGCTGCAAGTAGTGATTAGCCTGTCTGCGCGGCGTGCCTGGCTCCCAATCGGTGAATGGACAGAGTGGGCCTACCTCGCGGTACTTGGACAAGTAGATCTTCAAGGCCTCCGAATAGTTCTCGAAGCCCAGGGAAGTCATCGCAAAGAGTATGTCTTCGCCATTCACCGTCTTGCGCTTCTCCTGGTGACATTTTTCAGAGGCTACGCCTGGTCAGCCTTCACGTGCAGTTGACCTGCCGCCTCTTGCGAGGGGGTGGGGGAGGGGGAAGAAGATCAGCTTACCCTCACTGGTGATGAAGCTGATGAACTCGCTCACACATTCCTGCATGCACTCCTTGGCCTCTTTGGCGATCTTGGCGTTCTCTGGGAGAGCATTCTTCATGATACGGGCGACTGGCGCAAAGTTGCGTATGTTAGCATCGTAGAGATCGTATTTGTCCGCCTTGGATGAAGCGCGAGGCGCTTCTGGCGACTTTGGAGACGAGTCGTGGGACATGGACGAATGGATATGCGCGGTGCTTTCTTAGAGGCAGAGCAGGAGCATGCCACTCAACCGAGGGCCAGTAGCCATGCAGCGCAAACCAGAGATGGGCAAAGCAGCGCACGCCCTCACGAATCACGACGAAGCAGAAAGGGGAATCAGACGCACCATTCGCTATCGGCAGCCACCGGTCCTGCTCCTTCACTTCGAACTCATAGGCGAGGCCGCTTGCCTGTGGGTCTTGAGGATCATTCATTTGTGCTTCCTCGTCTGGTGACTGTACACCTTGTTCAACCTCCTTGGGAGGGGATTGGGGGGAATCCGACATATTTGGCTACCTGCAGCGGGTGCAGACTTCTTGAAAATTCCTTGGCCTGAGTGCCTCGCACAAATGCTGGGGGAGATGATGTGTCCCTGACACCCTGACACGTTGCAGGGTAGTGAGGCGTGCAACTTTTTTTGGGTCTGCTTAAGCTGCAGAGATGCGTCAATCGTGCCTCGTCCGCGCGTGGCAGGATTACTTTTACTTCCTTTCCCCGGCAGGTAGTGGTAGGGCTAGCGATGGGCAGCCTGTTAACACCTGGTACAGCGGATGGTGGGATCAGCCTCGGTCCAGATGCTGGGAGTGACAAGTGACAGTAGTCGTCGGGTTGGGGCTGTGATTGTGCACTTGTCGTCCGTCCGCCAGGCCGGGTCGAGGATTCAGGCTGTAACGGAGATTCAAGGCGGGACGCGAGAGAGGGGTGGGATGGGTTAATGCGGGACCCACAGTAGTCGCTGGATGCCCTAGTGCTGGAGAGTACTGCTCTGTAGCTTGTAGCTTCCTTGCCGCCTGCTGCTGGATCGCGTTGCTGCAGGATGTCGTCTTGGCCCTGTCCTGGACAGAGGAACCAGACACGGGTTTAGGACTGGGCAGCAAAAAATAGAGTTTTTGGCTACCTGTACTGGTCCCCGATGCAGTTGCTCAATATCCCGTCCCGATGTGTCGTGTTCAGGCAAGGCTTGTTGTCTTGCCCTCTGCGGGTTACACCGACGGGGAATTTGGGCGACGCTGGTTGGCTGGGGTCCACGAGCTGGGAAGCGGATATAATAAATAGAGACAGCAGGTGTGTTCCCTGAGTAGATGGCACGGGATGTCTGTGGAAGGCGCGCGACAGCTGCCAGGTGACGATAGGTGGGCGGAGCTGGCGAGAGAAGATGGCTGGAGAGGATTGGCCAAGGGTCCTGGGAACCTGCGTGCCTTGTAATGTAGACAGTCTGCAAAATCGCGTCAGAAAGTGGTCCCTCTGCCGGGCTTAGGCAGTTGGAGGAGGTTTCAAGTCGCGCGCAACGGCATGGCGGACGGGGCAAGGCACGAGAGGAGACCCCGGATCTTCAGCGCACCAGCCACATCCACATCCACAACCACATGGACATGGCCTCCATCTGCCTCGATTATCCACGCCCTCGCCCAATGCTCATCCCGTTGCTATCGGCGGACTGGCTCGGGGCACACCAAGTGACATTCCCGCATGTGCCATAGACATACCTGGGGCGCCTAGTACGTTACGGGTAGGCACAAGTAGACAGCGACTGGACCAGCTTGCCCTGACTTGGCTCCAAAGTGCAGCAGACTATGCGTGTGTCAAAGTACACAGTAGACAGGCTGTCCGTGGCCCAAGAAGTGGTTGGACCAATCACCCTGGCTTGGTGACGGGACGCGCCTACGCGGAAGACGGTCAAGGACTGGACGCCTGGGTTTGTGAAAAAGCTGCGAGGCAGATGATTCGGTGACAGCTGGGCTGCAACGAAGACGCGGAGTGGTTGGAGCCGGAGGAAGGATTGGAAAGTTGGAAAAGGCGGAGAGAGATGCGAGAGATGGGTCTCTCAACCTTGGGTGAGCTTTAGACGCGTCTACATGTACAGTCCAGTCCCTGGATCTGCGCAGTACCGCACACCCACACGCAAATAGGTAGGCAGGAAGGTACCTCCCAAGGTTGGCAGGTGCAGCCCGGGGAGAGGGGGGGGGTGAGAATCAGGCTGGCCCACCAACAGCACAACAGATCAGGCGGCCCAATGCCATTTCATCCCATCTCAACCAGCTTCCAGCTTTTATCGATAAAGCAGTGAGCATGGTCGTCCCTCGTCGTCCCCGTCCCTTCTGCCAGGGCCGATGGACACCTCCACCTACTCCCACCGCCAAGTCCTCTCCTCTCCATGCACTACTGCGTTGCGTGTAGATGCTAGCAGCCTGCGATGCATCTATCGTGTTTCCCATGAGACGGAGGGGCCTGCCTTACGCGACACAACACAGGCGCCTCAAGGAGTACAGTTAGCAGGTTTGTGGCACTCCTGATGGGCACCCGTCATGTAAGCCCAACTCCGAACTTTTCCGGGATCCAAGCCTTGGGAGCTAACCTACGAGCTGTAGGTGTTCGTTCAGAGGAAGGGGTCCGCTATGTCAGATGGAACCTCAACCGGGGGTGGGGTGAAGGGAGCTCTAATCGAACCGAGCGCTGACTGCAGGCGGACGCAATCCACAGCTGAACAACGCGGGGTTGCGCAGAAACGCAAGCGATCCTCAACGACACCCAAACACGACGTTGCCCTCGGTGGGAAAGCACCGGAGACCCCCAAATAGATCCCTTGGGCAGACAGACCCCGTGCTGGCTTCGATCAGCCCGATCCCTCAAGCCATTCCTATCCTATACCGCTGTTTGGGCCTCGCTTGCCCAACCCTTGAAGCTTGTTATGTTTTCAAGGTTGTAGTCTCCGGAATGATCCCCTAGAAAAGCCAAGATTCTCGCCTTGACAGCCGCACACAACGGCGTTGCATAGCATGGGGATGGGCGCATCCCGTCCCTGCCGGATCAAGGTTCGTACTGTACATTTCGGCGGTGAGGACTGCCAAGTATCTCCGCGGCGTCATACTATCTCGATTGACAAAGGAGACATTGGCAGGCTGTTGCCAACTATTTTGTCGCCCTGCCCTTGTCGTTTATACGGCTGGCAGACGGAGCAGATAGTTTCTCTGATGTCGACGCCCGGGAGAGTCATGCGCCTTGCAGCAACTCTCCGGGTGGTCCACGCCGCCTGAACTCAACAAGAGGACGGGTTTTTCTGTGCCACGAACGCGGGAAGGTGAGAAGGCTGAGCCCTGAACGGCGCCTCCCTGTCTCACAAAGCAAGGATGGTTGGTGTAGAGCTATTGTCAACGTGGAAATAAGCTCGCCCCGTCAAACAATGCAGCGGACAAGGCTGGGACGCATTGTGCCCGTTTCACCCATTATTTGACCAATGAGACACATTGCTGCCCTCGTGGTCTCGATGAGGGCATGCAAGTTGTCCTTCCGCGGCCCGGGATGAGCAGGCCGGACATGTCGGACACAAGCACGGCCACCTACGCGAAGATAATGGTCTACGCTTCCGTGCGAGATGATCTCAGCGTACGTTATGCAGCGGCCGCGATCCTGCCTCCCTGCGCATGCATCAGCCTGGCTTTATTTTCCTTTTTCTTTCTTTTTTTGGCTTCTGCCAGCTCATACGCATCCATCAGAGTTTTCGCTGTGGAATGGTCTATCGGCCCACGATGTGATGAACACGGTTTGCAGTAGGTTCTCATTCGGTAAACTAATCGACGAGTGCGCCGGACTTGCATCAACTTAACCCCCTGTCGCCGCGGTGACTGCACTCACACACTTGAGAAGATTGATGCGGTGGCAGCCATCGCACAAAGTCCCCTGGAAAAATGAAACCAACATATTAGTATACCCGCCAAGCATGCATCGATGGTGCTTAGCCCTATCCCAATATTCCCTACCTTACGCATCTTATATGGGAGCAGAATCGGCAGTTGCATCTCGGGATTTTGTTGGGGTTCTGGTGGTTCACTCGGGGAGACAACTTGGGGTACAAGCGTTCTTGACTGCGGTCCGTCCCATTGTTCGTGACGGGTGTTTCCAGGCACGAACTCCGCTCGAACAGTCCATCGAAACCCAATCCGCCAGCGTTCCGCCGAAGCATATGCGATCGTGCCTGGCAGGAAAAGTACCTCACGAGCCATGACGGGCACGTGCAGCAATAGGCACCCTGGATCAGGTGCTTTAGCCTGCGGCCGTATGCGAGGCCAAGGAATACATTGGTAACCTATCAGAACCCGACAGCCTCAAAAACGTATCGGACTGCCGCTTGGGTAGAAAGGCGCCCTTGCCGCCTGCCTCTCGCGATATCGACACTTTGTACAACTCACTCCACACCATCTTCATCAAATCCCTGAGGACTCATGACATGGCTATCGGTCGTGTTCTTGTTCGAAGGACTGCTTGGCTTCTCATCTGCCACACCACAGTCTCGTGAACGTCGTGTGAGAAACCTCGTACTCGGTCGATAATTGTGCTTCGACGAGCCATGACTACTTGTCGGGGGCATACGTCACCCATCATTGTGACCTCACTCTCATGCGGAGCAGACTGAAATTCAACTGATTCCAGACTAGTTCATGACTTCGAAATCCCAGACCGTCTGCCGTGGCATAGCGCTTGGTGTGGCGGCGTTTGTTTGCCAGTTCTACTGCACCACCTGGACATTGTTCTTCTTCTGTATTTCTAGTTAGCATACTCAGTCTGTAACTATCACAGAATGGTAGTTGAGAACAATACTTGCCTTCCATTTCTCCATCTCGGTGGTCTTTGTGTTGTATTGCTCAGTGAGCTCAGTCAGAACCTTCTCCAGCCCCTCGAGGTTCGTTTTCAGCGCCGGGACAACATCTTTGACAGTCCTCTCGGCAAGAACACCGTTGATCATCCGGAAGCACTTGCGATCCCCCGACAGCGGCTCCAAGGTCTCTAGGACAGCTCTATTGCGCCAGTTGTTAGCGTGTGAGCGGTGAAGAGCGGACTGAGACAGCGGTGTAACAGTGTGATAGTCCTGAGCCCATCTTAACTCATGAGGGAGCCAGTAACGGGTGTGGAGGACAGCAAAGACAGGGCGGGCAGAGTGACGACGCACTTGTGCTCTTCCTTCTCCTGGTCAACGTCACCGATCTTCTGGGCGAGTTGTTGCAAGGTGTTCTTGTAGGTGCTATATTGCATCTGAAGATCTGCGGGTTCTGCTCAGTCTCAGAGTCCAACCCTTGAGTGGAAGTGTCCTTACCTTGCTGCTTCTTTGCAGCCGCCGACTGGGTCGCCATGATTGCCCTCTACTTTGATAATCCAGGGGTCCGAAAGCAGCCCGCGACCTTCTCGCACATGGATGATTATGAGCCAACCTTGTACGTTTCTGAAGAATTGGCGTGTGGCAGTTCCGAGTAGATAATTAGTCGATTGTAATCAGATGTGTCGCTGAAGAAATATGTGGTTGGAACACTCGGTTGGTAGATATTGGCCGGAGCTGAGATGACTATCCAGTTGAATCCATCTGAAATTGTCAGCGCGGACTCCACCGCTGCCGGGGGCGGCAGGGTGTCAAGTGCAGGTGGTCATAGCTTCCGCCCGGGACGTCGCTGCCTCCAACCGCAGTCGCGGAAAACTCGTTCGGACAACGCCTGGGCGCGCCGTCATTGAAGCGAATCGAACCACCAGGATTCTACTTATTCAATCTCCAGCGAGAAGAGCAAAGAGCACCACACCACTCTTTTTCTGAACATCAGACACACTTCGCGACTTGCCATTTCCTGTCAATATGCATCCCCACCTGCACACAAAAGACAACACCGGTATGGGCCACGATTTCCATGCGATTGCGCCCCTACTGACGGTCGTGTCATACAGCTTGCGAGGACCTCATGACGGCTCTCGAAGAGTGTCACGAGCGCGGGTTTTTGTGGAAGTCAATGGGCATGTGCAATAGCGCCAAAGAGTCCCTCAGCGCCTGTCTCCGAGCAGAGAGAAGGAAACGCCAGGATACCAACCGCAACAAGTCTCAGGAAAAGAGGGATGCCATTCGGCAAAAGTGGAAGGAGATTGACGAAAACTCCTAAATATCCCACCGACAAACGCGCACATCGACGACATGGAATTTGCAAACGACGGCCGAGATCCCCGAATATCGACGTGCGCCGCAGTTTTCTGGCACCAGGGAATAATGGGAAGGCGGGCGCACAAGACATTCGGCAACGAGTGGCTTCTCCTTGGTGAGGCATCCCGTCATCTGGTGTTGCAGAGTCACTCTGCTACAGGATAAAACGATGTGGGACGACTTGCTGTAGGATAAGCTCCTATGGGACAATCTCTTGTGGGCTTTTTCCTATGGGATAAGCTCCTATGGGATAACCCCTTATGGGATAACCTGTTATGGGATAACCACCATGGGAGGGGAGGGGCTGAACAACCTCTTGTGGCATTACCCGGTTAACTGACTCTACCTACCGCGTGACTTCAATCAGGTCGAGCGAAAAGTATTACGATATCTGGACCAGCGCAAGCGAAGCATAGCTGAGCTAGACTCTATCCTCGTCGACGTACGAAATAGTCTGAAAAGCCTTGTGTCGCCTTCTGATTTGCCAGATGTCATATCAACAACGAGAATCGTGGGCGGGCGATTGCATGTCTGCACGGGACTGATTACGCTTGCAGCTATCTAATTGCTCTGCTGGTACAGCCCATTTCCAAAGATCAGCGCCCCAATGGTGGCCAGTATGCTGAGAGCGACTGGGACGGGCTTCTGCAATCGAATGGCCCGAGGAATGGACGAGCCGCCCAGGATAATGGATGCGAGAAGGCTCAACTCGACTCCATACGGCTCGTGGTTCTGCGTTCGATATCCGCCAAGTCCATCTGTTGTTTGTGGTTAACTTTCACTCTCATTTCCACACCAAAGGTTTGTTCGACTTACACAGCAAGCCAACAGTGCACCCAGCGATTATGGATGGCAGGCTCTTCGTCCTTGCGTAGCCCATGATACCGCCTGACGCCTAGTGCCATACATGCGAATCAGCAACCGCATCGACATATCCCGAGCAATTGTGTGACCATGAAGCGCGAGTCCTCCGGGAGCTCTTTCTCATGATCAGGCTCAACGGCCTTCTCTGGGCGGGTAGACAATCCAGGTACTCCTAAGACTACCGGCTGTCACTCACTGTCAGGGCTCCTAGGATATACGATGGAAGTTCTAGACCCTAGCAAAAATATTAGCTGAGGGGCACCCAAAGTCTACCAATCAAATACTCACCATTTTGAAGTCTTTGTGAGGATTCTTGTGTGAGGACGATGAACTGCCAAACTTGGTGTTGCGCAAGTTTGTCCTCGTAAACGTGCGACTAGCGATGGAGCTCACGAGCAACCTGGCACTTTAGCTCGTCGGCCTCGGCCACCTCGGGAGTGACATCGACGGGATATGATGAGTCAGCATTTTCCGATGGAGCCTGCCTCGAGCCTGCATATCCACCGACCTCAGTAGCTTACCCCTGCTGGGGCGTCACTATGCAGTGTCGTACCAATCCCGCGAACTCACCCCCGTCGACAGTTCGAGAGCCTGACAGCAGGCTCGGGGATCTCACCAATGATCATGGGTGTGTTGTCTCTCCGCGGCCGGGCGCGCATAAGAGCATCTGCGGACTTTGTACACATCGGCCACACTGCCTCGCGGCGGTGCATTCGAGGCGGAGCGGTCCCGCGTCGCCAAGACACTTACTTCATCGAAGGGCTGATTATCTGGGATCGGACGGAGTGGCTTGATGGCCTACCCAGATGATCTCCCTACATGGTCGAGATGGTCTCCATCGTAGAGCCTTGAGCACCTCAAAAGCAAGTCGATTGATATGTCATTTGATGCCATTGAGTCTGGGTCGACTCGGATGGTCAGTCTTGCAAGAGAAGGTCTCAAGCGCCATTTTATATGACCTTGTCGCTTACCGCGTCATGGCGCCTAAAGAGCAGGCTACCGATCATTGAAAGGGCTTGAGAATTAACGCTGTCAGTTTCTTGGCTAAGCTTGTGTAGTAAAGCTTGGTCGGTCCATGGATCCAGGGGAGATTGAGATACAGGGTTCTGGAACACGACTCTGCAATTGTCAACTTCTGTCATCGTCTGAAGAAACATCTAGGAAACATTGGCCGGGGCTGCGTTGGGCTGTCCGCTGGTCTGGTGGGGGGGATTTCGCCAATGCGCCCAGCGGAAAGCCTCGTCCCTTCTCGTGCTCCATTTGATGATTGAGCCGCAGGTCTCGAATTCTGCCTGTTGAACCTGCGCCATCGCACGAGACGCAGCGCGCGACCGTGTCCCCTTGCTCCAACCATTACAGGGCGGTCCTTTTGCTGACGGCAAAATCGCGAGCTGACCTCGACGATCGCTACATATCTGGCCGGGACATGTACCACCTGTACGGGAATCCCACTGCGCGGTACTCAGTGGAGTAGGCAGCTGTGACCTGCATTAGCCCGCCTTTCTCACGAGCGGTTGCCTTTCTTCTATTTCGTTCTCTGCACCGCCGCAATGGAATGACACCCTTCATTTCCATCCCGAAATCATCGCCATAGACACACGAAGTCGACTTCCACATGCCAGAGCGCATGAACCGGGAATCAAAGCGTGAAGTTCCTCTAAAAGGTTTATCCATCATGGACAGTTTGATCTTCACCCTTGCCTCCAACCCTGCCCCTGTTCCGCTCCCGCGCTTTTCTTGATTGGTACGTCGTACACCAACATATGGGAATAAGCGCTGTGCCGAATTGGTGAACAGTGCCTCGCCCCCAAGATCAGACTGCACCTCTTCCTCTCGCAACATTTCCTACTTCGTCTTCAAACGAAACAACTCAGTCCGGGTCTAAACGGCACCACAGCGCGACTATCAAGAAACATTCCCCCCGCCTTTGCAAAACCGTTGGCGAGGGTTCCCAAAGCCTCCAGCATTCTGATCACGTACTGGTGGTCCTTGCGACGTGTGCATGGTCCGGTCGTCGAACCGAAGTGACGGATGCTCCCACATGTTTGCCTTGTCACTTTACATCATCCTTCAGACTCAATACATACGCCTGCGCCCCAAAACCTACCCACCTTCCTTTTACTCTCACTTGAACTCCAATGTCTTCTTCGACCTACAGCATACAGCCATCTCTGCTTGACAGCAGCAACGGGAGTGACAGGACATGGCCTGCGGTCGACCGAGAAACAGTTGACCACACCCATTCAGCTCCCACGGCCTCTTTTGTTGCCAACCACCTATCTCCCTACTCACAACTCCCCAAGAACTCTGCGTCTCCAGTATTGCAGGACGCGAGCACGCCAGCAGACTCTCTATCCGCCTTCAGCGAACACTACCAGTCGAGCGACCTGAGCGAGCTCGAGATCGACACCGACCCCTTCTTTGGCGTCGACTTCAACAACGACGGTGGGACGCCCTCGTTCCTGGAAGACCAAAATTCCAGTGAACACAGCGACTCGTCTCTTCCTCAGGCAGTTCCATCGCGGCCCCAATATGCCACCGATTTGCATACTTACCCTTTGAGCCCTGACCCCACCACACCTTCTATCCACACGACTTCCCCTAGCAGTGAGAACAAGAGCCCTAAGCCAGCCGGCGAGGCCCTTCCTGAGTCAAACTCATTTCGAGGGTTCTCGAATGCGCCAAGATCTGTCCCCTCCCACACAACCCTTAGTCGGCTTGCAACCCAGAACAGCCCGGAAACTCAACTCGCTTCGCAGCCTGCTGAAGACAGCATAGTCATGGCTAGCCCGAGCCCCCGGGTCACCGTCTCCATGTGGGGACGGGACCAGGAGAGCATTTATCACGACAATCCGGAGAGCCCAGCAACCGTCCGCGCCACCGGGCTCAGTACCGATGACAGCTTTGTTGAAGCCTCGTACCAGAGCTCGTCAGTCACCCGGGACGAGCATGGAGCATGGGTTGCGGATCCACGAACTGGTTATGGAGGCTGGGGCCCCGAGGCCCGTTCTAGCAACGAAGGTGTTAGCATCAACGAGCAGCACTCGCGCCGCAAAGTCGCGGAGCGTAACGAGGAAGTTGGAAACTGGATCGTTTCGTCCGATGAGAGTATGCCCCCTGATGCACCATCAGAGTTCCCGGATTTCTATGACTTTGGTGGCAACACAATCAGCTCTAGAGAGATAGCCATGGGTAATGCGACCGAGAACAAACCACTGCCTGGTCAGACATATTATACGGGAGGCGGTGGAGCCCTAACTGAAGAAGATGTCAATCTGATGCGCCAGCATCGTGTCTGGTCAGACGCACCTGCGATGTTCAACATAAGCCGACCCGACTCGGACCGCCAGCAGCCAGAGTCCTCAAAGGCTGCGATGGAGAAGTTTGAGCAGATGTGCCAAGACAACTCATCCATCCTTTCAAGAGCAGCCACCTGGGGCACACGTCGCCGGAGCTTGCCGAGCATCGAAGATATAGACGGCATCACCAGTGGCAGCTTTTTGAAAAAGCTTTCGATCAGCCGAGAGAGAAAGCCAAGCGTGCTTTTCAAGGAGATCCGCGGCTTCGTTCGAAAATCCAGCACGACCCAGTTGTTGAAGCGCAACCGCAGTGTCCACGAAGGCGTCGGCTCGGGTGATACCGAGGCTCTGGACCGACGAGAAAGTCAGAATAGCCTGGCACCTCCTGGTCGCACGGGCAGCTGGGGAAAGAAGCAACAGATGCCCTCCCTCAACACCGCTCTTGTTTCTATGGCCGCAGGTGCTGCAACAATTGGCACTAGCCATGCTCGAACTAGCTCTGTGAGCAACGTAACTTCGCCGAAAAGCCCCTTCAATTTGCAGGTTATGAATACTATCAGGCGGCCAAGAAGCAAATCAGAACTTCCAAAGGGGGCCAGAGACGAGTCTCACCCTAACCTGGTTGGCATGTGGAAGAAGAACGGTGGTCCACCAGTCGCTCAAATAGCGAAACCTGCACCGGCAGCCGATCTAGACGATGACGATGACGAGGACGATGAGCCGTATGAGGAGACTGATATCAACACGCAGGCCAACAACCCCATTGACGATATCACGCCCAATATTGCCGGATTCAGGCAGTACGTGCTGATGATGAACCCACGGCTAGCGGAACACAACACCTTCCTCGCTGATCGGATTGCACACCAGCAGGTTATACGATACAAGGCCCTGCTGAACCATAAAGTTAAACACCTTCAGCATGTATCTTCTCGCAACTGCCCATGCGGCACTATGTGCATTGGTCTTGGAGGCTCGGCGAATCTACTTGACACAAAAGGCGACGGTCGCGGGCTGGATCCTCTTTCCAATGTCTATGATGGCTCGGAAGGAGACGTGACACCACTAGAAGGGATTGTCACGGCAGAAAGCTTCCCCCCAGATATTCCGATGCCACCGGCCAGCACGCTACCAGCTGAGTTTGAATGTCAGCTTTGCTACCAAGCTAAGAGGTTCACCAAGCCCTCTGACTGGACAAAACATGTTCATGAAGACGTGCAGCCGTTTTGTTGCACATGGGATAGATGCAGGGAGCCCAAGATCTTCAAGAGAAAAGCGGATTGGGTGCGACACGAGAATGAGGGTCATCGGTAAGCGCCCCAAAAAAAATATCCTTCGCTGTTCTGCTGTCTTTGAGTGAATTGTCGTTTGATACTGAATATGACTGACTGGAGTTGTAGCCATCTGGAGTGGTGGACATGTGATGTTGATGATTGTCGACATACATGCTACAGGCGAGACAACTTCCTCCAGCATCTCGTCCGAGAGCACAAATTCCAGGAACCCAAGATGAAGACAAAGGCAGCCATCAAGCGTTCTGGTGGTCAGGATCCGACGTGGCAGAAGGTCGAGAAGTGCCATGAAGAGACAAGGAGCAGGCCACAAGACGAGCCATGCCGTTTTTGCGGCAAATCGCTTCCTACCTGGAAGAAGCTCACTGTCCACCTGGCAAAGCACATGGAAAACATGACACTGCCGGTTCTTCGGCTGGTAGCTCGCAAGGAGCTCGAAGCTGATTCCATCATCAGCCCCGTGCAGGAGCCACCGCCTAGGAACTTCCCTCCTGCCCCTTCCGTGAAGACCGAACCTCAACTTTTCAACCCCTCTCCACATGCCGGCAACTCGCCTATGCCGCATCAAACGGGCGTGTTGGGCTATGCGAACAATCAACACTCTCCCTATCCCTACCAGGCACAGGCAACCTTTGCCAACACCTTCTACGACTCCTCTGTACATGGTCTGCACCAAAGCAGTGCCACCAACATCGGGCTTCAGCAGAGCGGGATGGGTGGCGGCTTCCAGAGCCAAGCAGGCTACCAGAACATGCCAGCAACAACCGGCCCCTTCATGACGCCGGGTGGACAATATATGTCCATGCCACAACACGTAGAGCCCTTCCCGGCTTTCATGAACCCACTGGGCTTGCAAGATGCCTCAGGGAACCAGATATACGACACGACGCTTGACCCGACCGGCGCTGGAGGACAACACTTCACTCCCCAAGGGTCAGTATCACCGTACTCACGGTCACCGCTTCAGGGCCAGGGTGGTTTCTACTCCCACCAATGACGTAACGACTATTTCTTCAGCCTTCATTTGTTTTATCATGAATTCCTTAGATACCCCCCAAACACTATGGTGCTGTGTGATCCATGGTGGATCATTGTCTTGTGTGTCGCAACAAAGGAGTCTACATTAGTCTCTCAGTGCAAGGAAAAGGAGGTCACTTTTTACAATATTCGTTTGTGGGTCTTTGGGAGATGTAAGCAACATATACACCGGAGACAAATGTGTGAAAATCGGCGTTGGTGCTATAGACTTTTTGTTTTTCTCTTTTTGCCGAGGTGTTCGTCTGGCTCTTGGGACACAGAATCGAAATGACGACAGCAACTAGCAATGACAAGAGTATATCGAACAAGTTCCAACCAATTGCATGCATTCGGCCCAGCAAAAGGGGGCATGTGAGCAAGTTGCGGCACTGAAACCGATGACACCTGATGAGACCAGCACGATCCGTTCAAGCACTGGCAGGCTTTATCGAGCCCGGCTTAATCTTGAATCCTGGCATTGAACCAAGCAATATAAGCGCATTTGCAGACCGACAGGCATTGGATATATCCCGCAAACAGGGCTGAGGACCAACTTGACCCAACTCTTCGCCCGGTAATTATTGTGTGTATGTAAGCGATTGCACGGTGCGGGTTGTTTACCCAGTTCAGTTTGCATGGCCGCGACGCATCCGACGGAATGGAGAAGGGCCACCGGGCCCGGGGCGAAATTGCCGGCTGTGCCCACGGCGATCAGTCCCAGCTCCGAGCCCGCGCCACCGCAAGGATCTGGAAGATTAGATGATGCCAAAGATTGGTGGACGTTGTGTGGCTCCTGGCCATTGGGGATTAAGGGTGGTTGGACATTTCTCCGCGCCTTTCATCATGACAGACGAAGTCAAAACCATCCGCATAAACAAGACTATCGGGCTCAACTCAATCATTGGATCATTGGGAGGCTTAGATACTGACCCCTCTCCCAAAAATGCCTTGGGTCTGAGCAGAAGTACGGCATAACATTCCTTCTGCGCGGCTGAACAGAGTGAACCCCGGCTCTTGTCTCAGACCCCGTTAGCAGCCTTCTCGAAGCTCTGCTAGAACGAAACAAGGCCCAGGGGCTTTGGGGGTCCCCTCGCTGGGTGGCGTAGCTCTCAATGCAGAATGCAAAAGCTGCGAGGTTTGGGAATCATCAAGGTTTGCTGTGACCCCCAAGAGCTTTTCTAAGCTGGGCGCCGTGTGGGCTGTGCCACGGGCATGGACTGGCCTTGATCGCAGTGTTGATATCTCGTTGGGTGTCGTGTGCAGCGAGTACGTATGTGCACTGCGTGTCTCCTCGGTCCAGTCTCCACGATGTTGATCGCTCGGTTGGGGAGGGGGCGTGTGGGTGATATGTGCTACACTGGGTCACGAAAGGGGGTGGCTCTGGGTAGGATATGTCATCAGCAGAGGCAGATAGCCAGACAGACAGCCCAAGCCAAGTACACGTAAAGCCAGACACCAACTGGGTACTATTGAGTTGATGTGTGGCATGGCATTCTGTAGCGAGGCCTTGACGTGTGGCCCCCGGAAGCTTGACGACGACGACCAAGACCTCGTCGGCCCCAAACTTGGTCCGATCAGCTCGTATTTTTATCGCATGCCCAGGAATGCATGCATATATGTACATGCTTTCGGCACATCAACAGATCGAGCCAGCCCAGCCGTCCAGGCCGTCCGCCCATCACTGCCCATCACTGCCCATCACAGGCAGGAAAGCAGGGCAGCCATGGCCAGGGCGCGTGGAGCTTCGCCAAAGAGGCCGTTTCAAAATAGCAGCTAGAGTGGAGCCGTTGCCGCAACGGCGCCAGGTCCAAGCTGGGTTGGCGTGGGCTGCTCTCTCTCTCTTGGGGTGTGCTCTGGCTGCTCTCTGGCTGCTCTGGCCCTGCTCTGGCCTGCTCTGGCTGCAGTCTGACTGGCGTTCACGAGACAGAAGGAAGGGAAGAGCTAGCAGACCTAGGCGGTCGGGGCCAATCGATGCAGTCGCCCGGGGCTCGATCAATCCCAGGAGGTGGAGCTACTGCAGGGGACGGCGAGGGCTCAGCCCCCCTAGCCGCGGACGTTTCATTTCGTGTGGGGGGGCTCTCGGGATGGCCCCTGCTGGGCGAATAATTACTGGTCATGGAGGTCAGGGGCCAGACCTCGCGTTGTCTGGTTCTCCCAATCTCGAGCTCCACCAGCGAGAAAAAAGCCTGCCCACCGGGCGCCTCCTCCTCCTCGTGTCCGTCCTGGTCCTCCTGGCCCCCTCGTGCCCTCCCATCGAGCTGCCGTCTCCAGCCCGTCAGCCCGTGTGCCTGGCAATGGGCATTGGCTATTAGCATTGGCATTGGCAATCCGCCCGTCTGCCAGGTTTTGTAGACGGGTGCTCAGTGGGCAAAATTGGTCCAGCGGTGGGTCGCCCTCATCTTGCCCAGGCCAGGGCCTGCCCAGGGCCTGCCTTGTCTCCCGCCTGGTCGACAAAGAACCGCCGGGCCTGGTTGGTCGTCGACATCGCCGTCGACCCGCTCCCAGATCGAGGTCAGACCCTGGCATGCACCTCGACTGCCACCCTGCCCACCCTGCCCTGAGCTCGAGCCAGCACATCCAGGAGGTGTCCAGACGAGCCAGATGGTCCCATCTCGCCAATGAGCGCTCAATTTCGACGTCCAAGGGGCCTCCGCCGGCACCAGCCAAGGCCCATCTCGACGCTATGCTCCTCCTTGGACCTTGCCTTTTCCTCTCTCCTCCTCCGTGCTCTCACCCGTTCTCTCTAACCACTAACTGCTGATCCATCGTGGTCTTTTCACTCTTTCGTTGTTTCTGGCGTCCGTGAACCAACCATCTTCCCAATTGGCACTCTCGTCCCATCCATTCTTGACTTTTCACCCCCCCACGGCCCTCTTTCTTGGGAGTTCGGAGACTTGTCAGACAATTCCTTGGCTTCATCGTCTCGACGCCGTTGCTGAGAATCGTCACTACACCTCCTTACCCCGTACGCTCGTTTCACCTACCCGCCCGGCTATCTACTACCTCAACTCCTGTTTCTCACCATCACCACCAATACCACCTCTCTCCCGGACCTGACGCTAGCCTATGCCTCTCCCTGCTCTCTCTCTGCTCTGTCTAGCGAGGCAGACCTAGAAGAAGACGACCAAGCCTTCGCTCGGGCGTGCTTGCCACAGACCATCCAGCAAAACATAACACCGCCCTCTTCGTCAGCACACGATAGGGCCGTCATAACTCTTTCTCCTTCGATCCCCAGGTTGACCCTCGGCCTTTCTTCCGAAAAGGACCCTGCTTTGTGGTGCTATTGTTTCTTTGTTACTCCCTTTGCTGTTCCTTCTCGCCGACCGGTATCGAGTACTCTTTCAATCGTCCCTGCCAGCCAGCTGAGACGATCTATCCACCTTTAATCTAAGCCTCAATACCGAATATTGTCATCGACGAATTTCCTACATCGAAACGCTATCTAGATCTGATACCACATAGAGAAAGGGAACGAATCATTTTCGAAAAGGGCACAGGATCAGGCGGATTGGAAAGAGTACGCAACCATTGTCTAAGAACCGAAGGAAGCACGCAGCGAGAACAAGCACGAATCCTTTTCTACCTGAAGAAGGGCACACCCACCCGGAAAAGGTCGACTGATACAGCCAAACAACACAATCGTCAGATATGGCGAGATCACTCATATGGGGTGCGGCATTGGCCGCCACGGCGATGACGAGAGGGGCATTGGCGACAGATGTTCTCAAGACCTCAGGCTTTACCAACTGCCAACAGGACTCGGCGATCCAGGTCAACAAGGTTGATATTGAGTACAACAAGGCCGCCGGGACCGTCACCTTTGACGTGTCAGGCTCCAGCAGCAAGGAGCAAAAGGTCATGGCCAAGCTGAACGTGACAGCATATGGCATTGACGTCTACTCAAACACATTCAACCCATGCGAAAACAGCACCTACGTGGAGCAGCTTTGCCCAGGCAAGTTTTAGCCACTCCTAGCATCGAGTGACTAGCTAACAAAACCCAGTTCCGGTGGGCTCTTTCGCGGCCTCGGGGTCACAGGACATTTCCTCCGAGTATGCCAGTCAGATCCCATCTATCGCTTTCCAGGTCCCCGATATTGCGGCCGTAGCTACGCTCGAACTTGTCGCCATCGATTCAAACGAGGACGTCGCGTGTATCACTTCCGAGATCTCGAACGGCAAGACCACCGATGTTCCGGCAGTCACTTACGTGGCGGCTGCTATCGCCGGTGTTGCTTTGCTGATGGGAGGAGCCACGGCTGCAAGTTCAGCGCTAGCTGGCAGTGCCGGAGCTGGCAGTGCGGCACCAAGCCCCAGCTTCGTCGAGGTCTTTGGCTGGTTCCAAGGCATGGCCATGAATGGCATGTCGTCTGTCTCACTACCGCAGGTTTACCGAAGCTACTCCAAGAATTTTGCGTTTTCGGTCGGCCTCATCCCGTGGACCAAATTGCAGATGGGAATTGACGACTTCCGGGCTGCTACCGGTGGAAATTTGACAGGGGACAGCGTGCAGTTCCTGCAGAACGCTACACTCGTGTTCAACGATGGCTCAACCGAATCCCTTGCTGACGACTCGTCCTCGAAGTTCAAGCGTGCTATGTCCGCCTGGACTCAGCTCGCGACCATCGCGACCCGTGAGATCAGCACCAGCGTCAATGAGACCGATTCGTCTGGTTCATCCGACAGCGGTGTCGAGACTCAGGTGAGGGTTGCCGTGAGTGGTATCAAAGCCTACGTTGAGCAGCTGAGCATTCCGTCTTCCAACACCTTCATGACCGTCCTCTTGATTGTCGCCATTGTCATCGCTTCCATTGCCGTCATTATCCTTCTTGTCAAGGTCATTCTGGAAACATGGGCTCTCTTCGGCAGCTTCCCCAAGGGCCTGACAGGTTTCCGAAAGCACTACTGGTTGACTATGGGTCGCACCATCACGCAGCTCATCCTTCTTCTGTACGGCACATGGGTTCTGTACTGCATATTCCAGTTCACTACCGGCGACTCGTGGGCTGCTAAGACCTTGGCTGGTGTGACGCTTGCTCTGTTCACTGGTATCCTGGCTTTCTTCGGATACAAGATCTTCACCACCGCCAAGAAGCTCAAGGATACGGACGGTGATGCCAGCCAGCTGTATGAGAACAAGGACATTTGGATCAAGTACAGCCTGTTCTACGAGAACTATAAGAAGGACTACTGGTGGATCTTTGTTCCCACTATCCTCTACATGTTGGCCAAGGGTATCATTTTGGCTGCCGGTGATCAACACGGAATGGCTCAGAGTGTTGCTCAGCTCATCGTCGAAGCTCTGATGCTCTGCGTTCTTCTCTGGAACCGACCCTTCGAGCGCAAATCCGGTAACGTTATCAACATCACTATCGCGGTGGTGCGCGTGCTGTCCGTTGCCTGCATCCTTATCTTCGTCGACGAGTTTGCCGTTTCCGAGACAACATCCACTGTTACCGGCGTGGTCCTCATCGCAATTCAGGCGGCTCTTACTGGTATCCTGGCCATCCTCATTGCATGGAATGCCATCATTGCCATCTGCAAGGAGAACCCTCACCGCAAGCGCAGAAAGGAGATGGGTAAGTTCAAGCCCTTAACATCACAGAATTCACTAAGCAGGCACTGACACTTCCTCACAGAGAAAATGCGGGACCTCGACAACCTCACTCCTCTCGATGCCCGCAACTCACTCTTGTTGGATCGCAAGGTCTCTCATCCCGACTCGGACAACTTCTCCGTAGCCAAGACAAAGTTCGACACCAAGGAAAGCTACCGGCCACTGAGCCCATCGGGCGACGACCAGAGCCACGCCAACTTGGTCACTCATGCCGCACCACCAGGCGGCTACGAAGACCACTCAGCAGTACCAGCACCGTATGCCGACAACGCATACGGACATGGGCCTTACAGTCAACCAAGTGGCTATAACCAGCAAACCGGCTACGGTGGCGGGTACAACAATGGGTACAACCGGGGCTACTAAGATAGTACATACTGGCAACACCGCGACAAAGAGTCGGCGGGGTTACTTTATTGATTGAAAAGCCTGGCGTCATCAGCAGCACCGGCACGTGGATCTTGTTCGATCCCGGCAAGCAATGTGTTCTCTTTGTCATTTAACACTTTTTCGCCAACTACACCTTTTATCCACGATTGCGATGATTCCTTTTCCTTTGAGATTCGTGGCAAATCCATCCACTCCCTCGTCTTCCATTTGAAACCAGATACCACGGAAGAAGAATAGGGTGGGATAGGCCAGAGAAAGCTGGTGTAAGGATACATATGGAGAGAGATCTGAAGCAGGAGCGAGAGAGAGAGAGAGAGATCCAACTACATGTACCATTTCCTCTACGGGAAAGCAAGCTTTTCGTAGTATATAACTGCACATAATCTTGGGCTAGCATTCAATACATTCTACCTACAAGTCCGCCTGTGGTGTCTTGATATCAAGTTGAGATCGAGGCACCAAACCAATTTGCCGCATGTGTCTGTACAACGCCGTCACTGCTCACTCGGTTGTCTTAGCCGATAGAAGAGGGTCAAGGAGAATTGAGCCAAATGAATGTCCTCCACAGTGGATGCTAAACGGTTAATCCAACTGCAACACCACCCCACCACCCCTTATCACTCAGTGCTAAGGCAGAACAAACGAGCGCAGGCTCTTGATAGATTCTGTCTATTTTAGGACAAGCAAGCTGCGCCGTTGACCGTTGAACCCGGCCTTAGATAACCGTTGGCAGTTTTGAGACAGGGAGGGAGGTAGGGGGATAGTTGGGACGTTTATGTTTCAGCCCCGTACCATCTGATGGTAGAAAGCAATCGGACAATCCAGCCGTGGTTGGGTAGGCGCATCGAACCATGCAATCCCAAAACACGTCTGGACACGGAGGGCGTGCGGAACCAGCGAATTTCAAGCCACCGAGGCCCAATTAAAGAATGGGAGAGAACAGGTAGATGATGTCAATTATTTGGTACCTTGGCTATTCACCGTAGACCCCCCCTTCCCCTTCTTTCAGGTACTACCGTAGATTGCACGACTTTGCTCGTAGGATTTTAATCTGAGCACGTGAATCCACCAGCCAATATGCCCGTAGATCATGCCTGGTCCGATCACGTAATGGTGTACCGCCCGCTGGCCGGTGCACGATTCTCCGCGTCCGCGGCCGCGATGGTCCCCTCCCTCAGCAGCCTCGTCAGCTCTGTCAGGGCATTGCTGACTACGACCTCGGTATCGCCCTCGATGAGGATGTATAGCTTCGGCTCCGCGCCCGCCGGCGGCTCCTTGCCGGCGGCGTAGAAGTTGCCCTTGGTCGTGATGGACGTGCCTGTCGCCTCGAGGATCTTGGCGACGTTCGTGCGGTTGGTGACGGCCCACCTGGCCTTCTGCGGGAAGTCGTTGATTTCCAGCGTCGCGTGGAACGCGCCGGCGTCGGGACCCTTGTTGTCGATGGGCTGGCCCGGTCGGAGCTGGCCGGCGCGGGCGAGGCGCGCGTTGATGTCGTTGACTGCCTGGGCGGCCTTGTCAAGCGCGCCTCCCTTAGCGGCGCTTTCTGACTGTGCTGCCTCTGTCGCGCCCGCCTTGCCGTCATCAGCGGCAGCCTTGGCAGCATCGCGAGATACGACGGCAGAAGTGGCCATCTGGATTGCTGATGCAGCCTTGTTCTTCTTTTCATCGTCGGCTGGCGCTTCCTCCTTTTCATCATCGTCGTCACCTTCAGCCTTGTGAGTCTTGCGCTCTCTCATGCGCGCTACCTCTCGTTCCTTGTCCAGACGTTCTAGACCCTTGCCACCAAACCCAGACTGGTCCTTTGCTTTGCCAGCCTTGACTTTCTCTCTCCACGCTTTGCGCATCTGCTCAAGCCGTTCGGGGACAGGCTGGCCACTTTGCTCAAGAGCTTTCGCGATGCCTGGTGCGCAATTCTCTTGCTCCTCGGTGATGAACGTCACCGCTGTGCCGGTGTTGCCAGCTCGCCCCGTACGGCCAGCTCGATGGACATAGTCTTCTAAATGGTTTGGTGCATCGTAGTTAACCACAAGCTTGAGTTGCTTGACATCAAGACCACGAGCGGCGACGGAGGTAGCGACCAGGACTGGGCAAACTCCACTCTTGAAATCGGAAATGGTCGAGTCACGATCCACCTGGTCCTTGCCTCCGTGGAGAGACATGCACCCGTAACCTTTCCGCAGAAGCTCTCGAAGCAGATCATCCGCCTTTTCTTGTCTCTCAACAAAGATTAGCGCGCGAACGTCATCATCATCGGCGTACAAATTTCCTAGCAGCTCAAGAAGACGTAAAAACTTGTCTTTCTCTTCCCTGACTTCCACGATCTGTGTGATTTCAGGGGCTACTACACTCTTGCCACCAACCGTGATCTCAACGGGGCTCTTGAGAACCTTTTTCACCAGCGCATCAATGATGCGAGGCATGGTCGCAGAGAACAGCACGGTCTGACGGTCTGGCCGGACATTGGCGAAAATCTTCATTACCTGGGGCTCAAAGCCCATGTCAAACATTCGATCAGCTTCGTCCAGCACGATAAAGGTCGTGCGCTTGAGATTGACGACACGACCTTGATTGGCCGCTAAGAGATCAATAAATCGGCCAGTGGTCGCGACGATGATTTCGGCACCGGCCTTGAGTTGAGCAATCTGGTCCTTTATCGGTGGGCCACCATAGGCGCAGACAGCACGCAAATTGAGTGCCGAGAGGAAGGGCTTACAATCACGGAAAATCTGAGTTGCGAGTTCTCGAGTCGGTGTCAGAATGAGACCGATCGGTCCGTCATCTCGAACGGGGTCCTGATCTTTGATGTGGCGGAACATAGGGAGCAAGAAAGCCATGGTCTTGCCGGACCCAGTCTTGGCGACACCAATGACATCGCGGCCGGACATGATGACGGGCAACGCTTGCATCTGAATTGGCGTGGGCTTTTCGTACCCCAGGTCACGAATGGCATTTGACATGGCTTGAGTGAGACCACAATGCGACCACTTTTGGACAGGCTTTGGAACATCTTTCCCAGAGACCTTGATGCCGTCCAAATCCAGACGAAGTTCAAGAACCTCTGCCTCAGTCATTTGGCTTAGTTCAGACGGTTCGAACCAGAAGTTCTTCCTTATAGGGTTGAGCTCGATCTTGCTGTAGTCGATCTTGGGAATGTCCTTCTTCTTCTTTTTGGCTGTGATGGCTAGTATTGATTCCGGGTTCGCGTCAGCCTTGTCCATGTAATCATACTCATCGTCTGAGAAGTACACTTCTGGCTCCTGTTCCTGGGATCTGGTGGCTTGTTTGCTGCGAGTTTTGGTGGCCTTTGTGGTGGCGACATCTGCAAGATCTCCCATAAAGGCGTCCAACGGGTCCACGTCGTCGTCGACTTCCATAGCCTCGGGCTCAGCAGCTTCTGACTGGGCTGTAGCTAGGGGCGCTTCGTTGTTCGCTGCCGAGGTGGTAACAGCCTCTTTCTCGGCCTCTTTTTCGGACTCGTCTGTCTGCATGGCCATACTTTGCTGTAAAATTCTCTCCTCGCGTCGATCATGGGCTGCTCGAGCGGCAGCGGCAGCTTCCTCTTCAGTCCCAGCAAAGTTGTCACCATCAGAATCAGACTCGTCTTCTTGATTAGCAAAAGGAGTAGCATCGGCATCCTCCAACGATATGTCGGGAAGCTTGGCTAACTTGCGGTTTGACGTCTCTTCATCATCGAGAAGTAGCTTCCGCTTGGCAGATGGCTTTTCACCGTCGCCGCTGGCCTTCTGGAAACCGAAGCCGCTGATATTCTTACCAGTTGGCAAGGCGGAAGCTGCATGCAGTGTGTTAGCAAAGACTGCACTTAACAGACACAATGGTATATCCGAAGGTAGAAAAGAGCTCGGTCTATCATCAGAGGTTGTCAACTCACCCGTAGACTTGGCATTGGCGGCCACTTTTGCGGACGTTGCTGGCGCTCCCGGTATATCGCCCAGGGGCACAGGCGAGTGATGGCGGGCTGCTGACTTCTTCGCAATTGCTTTGGGGTCAAACTTGCCCGCATAAGGCACAGTAGGAGACGCTTCTTGGGCTGGTTGCGGAGTGCTAGGGGATGCGGCCCCTGGCGTGCCATTCGAAGGCGAGGCTACGGCGGTTGGAGTGCCACTAGCTCTGCCGTCCATCTCGGCCAGGAGCTTCCGTGTGCTTGTGGCATCTGTCTCCTTGGTCGCCTGCTTGGTCAGGGTCTTCTTCTTCCAAGCCTCAAGTTTAGCAAGTCGTTCCGCCTGTTTATCACTTTGAGCCTGAGCTTGGGTTTGTGTAGACTTAGCGGCCTGTCCGCACTGATTAGCATATGGAATACAAGAAGATGGTAAGCGGGTACGCACATCAGCATCCTTGGGGGCGGGTTTTGCTGCAGAGGTAGGACCTCGCTGGCGACTGTCGTCAGTCCTGCTTCGTGACGCATTCGAGTCGGCAGTGCCCTCTCGTCGAGCGCGAAATGGGGAATCATCACGTCTCCCACGAGCGTCCCTATCCCTGCTCCTGTCTCGACGGCGTGGCGGAGACCTTTCCCGCTCCCGGGAGCGACGCCTGTCGCCGTCCCTGTATGAGGCACCGTCTCTTCGTCCGCCACGATAGTAGTCATCGTCTCGGTCTCTCCGGTCTATAGAGCGGTCCCGGCGACGATACGAGTCTCGATCCCTGTCGAAGTGGTCTCGGTAGCGACCAGGGCTGCGGCTGCGTCGACGATCCCTCGGGGGGTCTCGTCGGCCGCGGTCACGGTCACGATCACGATCCCGTCTGTCGTCATGGCGGCTTCCTCGACTTCCTGCAGGAGATGGTGAGCGCGATGTTCTGTGGCGAGCCATCATCGAAATCTATGGCTCAGCGCGGTGAGTAGTACTTTTTGGTCAGGACCTGGACTCGTCAAGGGTCCCGAGATGATGGCCACGTCTCGGTCAAGGCTCAAGGCCAGTCGCTCGCTGATGTGGTCGTTTGCCTGGGCTGGGAGGTCCTCTAGCAAGGCAATCAATGGATTTGTCCGACACGGCTGGTTGCCAGTGGCGGGTTTCGAATACTCGATGAGTATGTGCTGTGTGTCCTGTGGTCCACGAGATGGATGGACAGACTTGAGGCAGTAGCGCTTGAGACTGATGCGGCTCCACAGGTCTCTTGGCTGAGAAAGGCGTTGTCAGGCTTATTGCTGAGTGGCGACAGGCTGGCGGGTCCGCGTTAGTGGCCCTAGCAATTTGCAGGCAGCATAGCACACACTCTCTACACAGCATGTACATGCTGCCTGGACATGAATTATACTGGTGACTTGCCACAATCTCGGCTCTCTTGGTGTCTGAGAGGAAGACAATTCATGTAACTCAATAAATTGATCTAGCAATTCTGTAGGTTTTGAGGCGGCTTCAGACTTAGAAAGTGCCACTACATGGAAAGAATATCATTCTTTCTGACCTCTGCTGCGCTATCTTATCTCTGTTGTGTAGAAGCTCCTAGTCTAGGTACCTCGTAGCTTCTTTGTCTCCATATTCAGCGGACAAGGGTGATATTGGCCGAGACAAATGCCCAAGAGTTAGGCCCTGGCCCTATGGCCATTACAGATGGAGCAATCGGACTGGCAGCTGGAAACGGGCCACAGCGACTAGGATTGATGAGGACTACTGCCGCGTGCTCACTGTTTATACCCCACTTATTCCGTAGCTCGTCACCAATGATGGAGCTCCATCGCGGTTGCATTGGTATATGCACTAGGGGGGAAGCTTCATGCGTGCTGTGCCTGGCTGGCCTGGGGGGTTGGCACGACGCGCTAGCCATACCAAGGTCCTTAAAACACGGGGGCTGGAAGTCGCAAACGAGGGAGGGCAGAACATTCGACCTCGTCCTCGACCTGTACCTGGACCTCGACGTCACCTCGGTACTTCAATTGACCCCACAACAAAACAGCCACAAAACACCAAAGTCGCCGCACATCACCCGACCAGAATGCTGCCGGCGACCATGCGATCCGCCGTCACTCTCGCCCTGCGCCCCTGCGCCCGTGGCCTCACGGCCAAGTCGCTGCCCTCACATGGCGCCCTCGTCCGCCGAAGCTTCCTGATCGCACCTAGCTACAAGTCGCGGGTCGCCGTGCGTGGCTTTGCTGCGACAGCCACCGCCAGCAAGACCACGGGCCGGACCGCCGCGAAGGCTGCGACCAAGCCCAAGCCCAAGCCCAAGGCAAAGGCAAAGGCCACAACGACTAAGGCCAAGAAGACCGCGAAGGCGCCAGCAAAGAAGGCCGCGGCAAAGCCTGCGGCTGGCAGGAAGAAGAAGGAAATCTCCCCCGAGAAGCGGAAGGTGTTGCTGCGGCGTGAACTCAAGAAGAAGGCCATGCTGAACCAGGAGCCCAAGAACCTGCCTACGAATCCTTGGTTGGTCTTCTCGACCACGGCTTTGAAGGCGCAGGCGGGCGGGGTCAGCGTGATTAGCAGCAGGGTGCCGGCCCTCGCTGCCGAGTTCAAGAATCTCTCATCTTCCGAGCTCGAGGTATGTATCCCGGTCTGGCCCACGCCTGGTCGAACAGCGTCACTGACTGAACCTGGCATCAGCGTCTGCGGGAGACTGCGATACAGAACAAGGCGATAAATGCAGGCAACTACAAGACATGGGTTGAGAGCCACTCCGTAGCCGACATCATCGCGGCGAACCAGGCCCGCCTGCGCCTCAAGCGCGAATGCGACGTAACTGCGCACCCCCTCAAGATCGTTGACGAACGTGTGCCCAAGCGACCTGCGACCAACGGCTTCGCTTATTTCACCAAGGCCAAGCGCGCCGATGACCCTCACGCAGCCATTGGGGCATTTGCGAAGCAATTGTCCCAGCAGTGGAGGACTCTGTCGGAGGCTGAGAAGAGGCCGTATGCTGACCTGGCAGCTGCTGAGTGGGCCAAGTATTCAAAGGCAATGGAGAAGTTCTCGCTTTGAGGGAGAAAACAGAAGGGAGCAGTCCCACGGACCTGGCGCATGTGTTCGGAATTCAGCGGGGAAAGGAACGGTTCTTTTTGGTGCGAGATCCCGGGTGATGTACGTTAGTAGTACCTTCGATTCCCCAAGGCGGTTCGGTGCGGTCTTCGTATGTACACGACTGTTGGTGAAATTATGACCTTAGGACTGTATGTAGCTTCGTCATGGCAATGGCTTCCCTCGTCGCGGATACCAGCTCTCACGACCACGACTCGTATTTGCTGAGCTGCTCACATCCCACTCGCCGTGTTCCCCTGTAGAAAACATGCCATGCCGTGCTTCACAAATCCCGACGGACCATTGACACAACTTCGCCAGTCAACGCATCCATCGCTATGCAGAACTGTGTCGCGAAGATCAGAAGAGCTGTGGATTTCAGCCCGGAGTAACGCCTCCTTTCTATGCAATCCCGGATATCATGAGGCCTGAATGGTGCGCCCAGTGCGAATGCGTCTATCCAATTTGAACAACCAACTCCAAAAATCATCATTCATCCTCAAGCGAGATTTGATGCTGTGCCTCTGGGGCCAACAACGATCAGGACGTTCCCCGCCGCTCCGTAGAAGGTCATCTCCATGTACTTGAGCTTCCTATAGCTGGCCACGTACAGGAGCATGTAGAGCTCCCCAGCGATGTGTTCCCAACCATAGAGTCTTATCCAATCCCACGACTCGTCACGACAGGCCCTGGTGCCCCATCCCGCCCTGCCCTCCCGGCGGATGTAATTCCCAAGGAAGCCCCATGTCGCAACCTTTTTCTCAAATTCCCATCCGTCTAGCTTCATTAGCCAGTAGCCCCTCTCGAAAGGAAGCATGTCTCTGGCCTGATACTTCGGCTGGTATCTTCCTTTGATGTTCATAGTTGCTGCTAGCCTCTCCAAGTGCTGGGGTGCCCTAGGCCCAAGGCGGTGGGTGGCCACAGCGGGTTCAGTAGATATCAGCTGGGTTTCATGAGTCCAATCATTGATTTTGGAAAGAGATGCAGATCTATCGGCTGGTAGCAGATCGGAGATTGATATCCCATAGTCTTCCGTTTCTCTGGCTGCATCAATATTGGAGTGCATTTCGTCCGCACCGTGATCCTTTGTCGTATCGTTAACATCGCCCACGGCCTCAAGAGAATCCGGAGCCTGACACGTAGGTCTGTCTCGCTCATGGGCAAACGACCGTGAATTGTGACCTGCCCCGCCACCAAGCAGGCTCTCTGAAGCTGCCGCGCGGGTGAGGTCGTCATGGGTGGCGTCTCTACCACCTTCGGGTGCCTGGACAACACTCCCCGCTGAAGATATGGACAGATGCTCCGTAGATTGGAGATAGTAACCCAAGACTCTCGTCGGAGTACTGAATGCAGGAACACTGATATCATTGTCCGGCATGGAATCCGGAACTTCGCTTGGTGGGGGGACCCATGATGGCTGGGAGTTATCTCTGATTTGAGACGATGCAGGAGGTATGGAAGGCTGTACATTGGATAAAGATGCTAGTTGCTGATTCCTTGCCACCAGGTGCGGTGACCCAACATTATCCCAGACGCTCCCAAACGATGCTTGTGGGGATATCAACACGTCTGGAGGGACAGCACTGGGCTTTGAGGATGGGCCTTCGGGGAGATTGACCGTTGTTTTTGGTTCGAACTGCAGGTATGCCAGGGCCAATGCTCGATATCTAGCATCATCTGCTGCAGTGCTAGGTGCTGTGATGTGCACCAATATTTCGGTGGTGTCTTCACTCGTCCCCATCGTCAAAGACTGAGCGTGACAATCGTTGCATATTCTCCATTGGTGTGATGTTGGAAGAGTTCTCTTCTAGATCCTTGGTAATCCCAATAATTAGTCTTGTGGATACGATTAAGGCCATGGATTTGACCAAGACGGAGTTTGTTTGTGAATATTTGTGAATGCCATCTGAGAGTGAAGCGTAAATGTCATGTAAACTGGAGCCTCACGGCAGGCAGGCCCAGGGTTCTGGAAAATGCAGGGTGCAGGGGTCGCAGCAATTAACAGGGCACGGTCTTTGCGGGGGGCGCACTGGTGGGCTAGGGGGGCACCTGGGCAGGCAAGGCAGGAAGGCATAGGATGATCATGGACGGGTGCAGAGGATCCTTGCCCAAAAAGAATCCCTGGAGCTCTGTAGCCATCGATTCATTGGAATCCGTCTTGACTCTAGCCTTGACAGTGACAACTGGTCAAACCAATTGACCCAATTCCTTCCCAACATCACATGCTTCTCCAACAAAAAGGGTGCATAAGCAGCAGAAATGGCTACGGAAAAGACGACTAAGATCGATGTCGGCAAGGTGATGGTCATTGGCGGATGCGGTTTCCTCGGCCACCACATTGTCAAGCTCCTCCTGAAGGACTACACGTGCTCAGTATCCGTGATCGACCTGCGCTGCACACACAACCGGCGGCCCGACTCCGACGGCGTCAAGTACGTCGAGGCAGACATCACCGACGCCTCCAAAATCGCATCCATCTTCGACGAGATCCGCCCCGACGCGGTCATCCACACCGCGTCCCCTGCCCCCCAAGCAGACAGCAAGGTCAACGATGGGCTGTACAAGAAGGTCAACATAGACGGGACGCAGGTCATTGTTGATGCGTGCAAAAAGGCCGACGTTAAGGCGCTGGTGTACACGAGCTCCGCCAGCGTGGCGAGCGACAATGTTACCGACCTGATCAACGCAGATGAGAGGTGGCCTGTCCCCAGGGGGAAGGACCAGTCAGAGTACTACTCTGAGACCAAGGTACGACAAACCTGTCAGGAATACACGGCGAGGACGGCATTGAGACTGACTATTTGATAGGCCGCAGCCGAGGAAATAACCATCAAGGCCAACCGCGCTGATGGCTCCAAGCTCCTGACCACCGCCATACGGCCCGCCGGCATAGTTGGCGAGGGCGACACCATGGCGCTGCACCAGATCATCAAGGTTTACAAGACGGGCAAGACGGCCGCGCAGCTCGGCGACAACAACAACCTCTTCGACTTCACCTACGTCGAGAACGTCGCCCACGCCCACATCCTCGCCCTGCGCGCGCTGCTGGTCACGTACGCCAGCAAGACGCAGCCGCTGGACCACGAGAAGGTCGACGGCGAGGTCTTCATCATCACAAACGACAGCCCGACGTACTTCTGGGACTTTTGCCGCGTCATCTGGAACGCGGCCGGGTCGCCGCACGGCAAGGAGCACGTGTGGGTCATCCCCAAGGACATTGGCCTTGTCATCGGCTTCCTGAGCGAGGTCTTCTTCGGAATCATCAGGAAGCCGCCCACCTTCACCCGCCAGAGGTGCGTCTATTCGTGTATGACGAGGTACTTCTGCATCGACAAGGCGAAGAGGAGGCTCGGGTACAAGCCCATTGTCCCCTTGGAGGAAGGGCTGAGGAGGGCTGTCAAGTGGACGCTAGAGCAAGAGGCTCTTGGCAACATCAAGAAATGAGGAAACATGGATTGCGCCAATATTGGACGCCCCAGCTTTTAAACTGGCCTGATCGGCCCCGTTGAACATATATGAGCTTTGTAATCATCTTCTTGTACATAGCGTACACGACCTATACTGCATGCATGGGGTTCAAGCAGGACAGTTGCAATCGCACACAGCATCACCAGGATTTCAGGGAGTTCACGATGTTTGTTTCAATGTGGCCAAAAGCCGGAGTACTGAGTTGGCTGCTAAGTTGCACGGCCAGCAGATATTTGACCGCATTTGTAGGAACAGCGCATGATGTCCTCAGGCAGTACGTGCCGGCTAAGAATCATCCTCTATGCTTCTGCTGACGGGCCCATGCGTTGGTTCATGGGCTTCAGTATCAGGCACTTGTCGGTATCAACACCCGCCCACATCCAAACAAAACCCTCTTCTCCCGTGACCCCTTTTCTCTCTCTCTCTTCCTCTCTTTGTCTCTCCCAAATAAAAATAAAAGGGAACCAGCCAGTTTCTCCTTTTGTCACACTCGCTCAGTGAGGACCCTATAGGAACTGAACCCACGAGGGGGGGGGGGGGGGAAATAAAATAGACTCAAGCATAAGTGAGAATGGACCGCGACCGCCTTGTGTGATTTTTTTTGTCGAATCGAAACCATGCGCGCATGTAAGCGTAAAATCATTCACACCCCCCTTTTATATTTTCTTGCTTTCCACACGAGGGGCTGAAAAAGAGACACGCACGCAGGAATATGGCAATAGGGGGGAAAAGTGTTCTGGTCGCTATGGCCAAAAGAAAAACATTTGAAAATGTTGAAATAGAACGAAAGATGACAAGAAAGTTAAAGATGGAGCACATGGAACGAACGCCGTCCAGCGATGCTTTGGATATGCCCCTCACCGTCCCTGCCAAGCTAAGTCGTGCGTACTCTAGTTTCAACGGATTACAAACAGCCTCCTCTTTGCCGTGGGTGGGAAAAGGCTGGCTCTTCAGGAGGGTAGGGAAAGAACTATAGGCGAGATCACCAGCTGCAAAACGCTGCCCTACCCTGTTCCACCAACACCGACCGAGTTGTTAGGTCGCCCGTGATATGATCGACGATGATGATCTCCAGATTCAGAGCCCTCAAAGGAGCTGCCATACGCTGGCTGTTGTGTGTCGTCTGGGTTCCGGAACCTAGGTGGAGTGCTAGGATTCGGGGGCTGAGAAAAGGAAGCATTGGGCTCCTGCCAGCCGGGCGGTCGTGTCGCCTCGGGATCGGTCTCTACCCTTCTAGCGAGAGGCCGGGTTGGATTCATCTCGCTGGCGTCACCAAGGACACCGTGACCGCCATTCACCCTGCCACCATAGCGCTTCAGGATTTCCTTGGTGGTGATATCACTATCCTTTCCTTCTTTGTATGTCGGGTCATTGAGAACGTCGACGAAGTTGTCAGGGACCTAAAGTTATGTTAGTAACTCTCAGGCTGCGAGGTAGTATCTCACTCACCAAACACATGGACTCTACATCGTTAATCAGTATCTCAACAACGGTAATGGCGAACATGGGCTCGCTGTCGAGAGCTGGCCCTTTCATTGGGTTGTAAAGGATGTTCGGTGCAATGACTGTTGCAAGGTTCTTGACGTCCATCTTGGATCCCGATTCGTCGTCAACTTGGTGGAAGTTTCCAGCCCATTTCAGGAAGGACAAAAGGACCTCCAGGCAGTCCCTGTGACACTTTGGAAGGAGACAGCAAGCCAGATGAATGCATTGCCGTCTCTTGTCCTCGTCTGGAATCTTGGACGCGACGATCCATAGCCTGTACAGTTTGTTTGTCATCAGAGGATCTGGCATCTCTCGGAGGTATTTCTTCAGTAGTGCCGCAACCTGGACGACGGGCTGAGCCATCAAGTTGATGTTATCGCAGCCTTCGCGATCGATCTTTTCGACCATCTCTGAAAGCTTCTTGATGTTGCCATTCTTCCGGAAGACACCTTCGACGGAAAGATCCATCTGCCTCATAGTGGAGATCAGGTCATCAATGATAGCGGGTACTCGCAAGGTCGTTCCTCCGATGCAATCCGTAGACTCGGCGCCGTCTCTTTCGACGACCATCTCAAGGGGAACACCGAAGACACCCTTTTTCTTGACTCCTTTCCTTCCATCATTCTTGAACGCTTTGCCAAACTTGTTCCAAAATGTCGCCGGTTTCTTAGATTCGATAAGGTTGAGCAGCTCCTCAAGTGTGAACTCGTCTTGGACCATGGGATGCATGGTGAGCACCGCCAGATGGCGAGCGATGAAATACTCCATTGGAGACAACTCAGAGAAGTATTTTCTTCCACCTCGCTGTGGCGAGGGCTCCCCATAGCCGGGTTCGCCAGCGCGACCTGCTGATCTCGACCTCTGGTTTGCGCCCATAAAAGGCTCTGTTGCTGGAGATCTAAATAGCTCTTGACGACCTGGCTTGAACGCCGGGCGTTGTTCGCGAGCCTGCTCTGCGGCAACGATACGAGGTATGTCATCCAGAGTCAGAGCATCTTGGTGGCCGAACATCAGGTCGGAGCCACCCTCCTCGCCGGGAACTTGATCCTCCTCGATGCGTTGACTCTGCATGTTACCACCGCCTTCCACCCCAGGGTCATCCATAAGACGAGACGCCCGCGCTTTTCTGAAGCTCGCCGACAGGTGCTTATCGAGTCGCGTGCTCCTCAAACGACGAACGTCATTGAGAGTGTTCTCGTATGATGATTCTCGATGATGCTCTCGGTCTCCAGTGTAAGATTTGGATCGTGAGTCAAGTTGAAGACGAGGCGCATCACTCGGCCCAATCCCATTCGCTGGCTCATAGTCGTTCACAGCAGCCTGATCCAAAGCAGACAATGCCCCGGTGCTCTTCAGTATATCCAATAACCTAGCGAGCGCCACCTGAAGCAGGAAGACGTATTGCTGCAATTTCGTTATCCTTTCAAAGGGAGGTGCTGAGTCTGAGCTGTACGACTCGCAACCGCTGCAGAAGATCTTTTGGTCATAGGTATTAAGTCGAGCATCTTCGGGATTCCGGCCAAGCTCCTTGCCGCATCTCGTGCAACTTAGGCATGCTATATGCCACCTTTTCTCTCCGTTTTTGGCGCACTCGTCTTCAACAGGTTTTCGGCAGAGGACACACTGGTCGGACTCGTTGGCGGCCAGCCGTGACATAGCAGCTGTAATCTGTAAGGATCCATCATCATTCTTGAGATTTTCAAGGGCGCTCAAATCGTCGAGGAATGCGTAGAGGCCTTCCACATTGGTCTGGTCCTTTTCTATCCGAAGTGCGCCTTGCAAGCAGATGCGGATGAGTAGTTTGAGATAATGAGCAAGACCGGTGACCAAAGATAGCAGCTCCTGGGTAACGCCAAGCTTGTGCGCATTTTTGTCTTGAGTCTTAGACAAGAGGGAGAAGAATTGCACAATCTTTTTGCACAGGAGCTTTGCCTCTCTCGAGTATGATAGAGCTATCCCAAAATTAGCATCAGTAAGCGCCAGCGATGGTGGACAGACCTACGTTTCATTTCCAGCTGCTGCATGGTCTCATCCAGCCTGTCAGCAGACCGGAAAAGAATGTCGACATGCCAAATGAACCTCTTCGCGACAACCACGCCGTCGACATAAGCTCCATTGCTCACATGAAGCAACATGTCGGAGATGCAGGCGGCGGAGGATTCTTCGAAAGTCGAGAGCACACTCCATATGCGGTACACCTTCTCCTCCATCCTTTCCTCCTCTTCCCGTACTTTGTCACGAGTCTTTTCATCATCTGGTGGAGGTTCTTCGTCTGCGACGTCGCTGGGCGTGGCCAGTCTCACATTCCAAAATTTGTGAATCATGTAGCACTCCGGATGCCAGTGCTGGTTTTGCCCGTTACGGAAGATCTCGACAAACTGCTTAAGTATTGCCGTATGACATCCATTACACTTCTGGGCGAACTGGGTGGAGTAGTGGTAGTGGCAGTAAACTTGTGAATCATGCTCGTAGTAGCTGTCTTGGGCACCGAATACTGTTGAGCAAAGCGAGCATGTAAAGTGGTCGACGTGGTACTTTCGCTCGAGTGCCGTGATATAAGACCCTCGGAGGGCCCCACCACATTGGTAGCAGAGCAGACCAAGGCGTCGGAAGTAATCTGTTTCGCAAAGGGGATATTGTCCCTGGCCGTCCTCGTCGTCTGCTGGAAAGAATTTCGAGGCCACGATTTGTCCGCAATCCTGTCGTGGGCAACACGTTAGTTTGCAGGGGCTTCAGTTCGGATTGCTCTACCCACCCGGCATTTGAAGCAGTCCAGGTGAAAAGTCCCGTCCAGGGCGCGCACGAACTGGCCCGTCAAGGGCTCGCCGCACTTCTTGCAGATGCGCTGCCCTCCACTCGCTTGCCGTCCATTTCGGCCTCTTGATCTGTTCCGTTCTTGGCTCTGCCGCGAGTCCCCTTCATCATCCCAGCTGCGGTCACCGGCCCCGGCAGAGGGGGAGAGGGAGGGCCGTCGGCCATCGCGAGGGCCCCCATTCTGCCGTGGCGGTCGATAAGGGGAATAGGTCCTCGGGTCGTCAGTCGTAAAACTCCGCTCTGGTGTTCGATGTCTGGCAGGGCGATCGCCAGGGGGGCCGCCTTCATAGTCGGGCCCCAACATGGTGACCCGCTCTGCGTTGTGCTGCCCGTCTCTTTCTTTCCTCCACTGCGGAATTGTATGCGTGTTAAGTCTTGGGCGTCTGGGGAATGTCGAGCCCGCTGTCTCGAGATGCAGTTCACAATGGGTCGGGAACTAAGCAGCGTCGTCTCTCTGGCATGGAAATCGTCGAGCCAGGGTGGTCGCGCCAGGTTCGGCAGGTCGTGTCGCAAACCGTGTGGCCTGGTCTTGCCGATCGCCCGAGGCGTCAAATGCGAACCGTTCGCGGGACCTGGTGAGGCGGTCCTTCTCACAGGAATTATTGGGGCTTGGGGCCCGTCGCTGGCATCACTGGGAGGGGGTTGCTGCGAGGGTGGCCGCCGCCGACGAGGACAGTTCAACGACGGTCTTGGCGCCAGGAACGAGGGGCGTGTGGGTGCAGGCCGGTAAGGGTCGAGAGCTCAACACGAGTTTGGATATGTGGCAGGTGATGAGACAAGTTGAAGTTGGGATGCGATTCGAAAAGTCACGGTTGGTCCGTCGAGGAAGAAGCGATCGACAAGTCCCCGCCTGTGGTAGCGAAGCGTAATTTCAGAGGTACGGTCCGTAAATGACGGCTTCCTGCGCACTAGCTGAATAGGAGTCAAGGTTGGCCTGTATGTGTGTGTGTGTGTGCGAGGGCGAGGGCGAGGGCGTGGACGGCAGAAGCAGAGGGAAAAGCACAAAAACAAAACTCCCCTGTCAATGCTGCTGACGACGACGACAACGACAGACGAGACTCGGGGAGGGGGGATGGTGGAAAGGGGAGTTGTGAAAGAGATGAACAAGTATGTAGCAGTCACTGTGGTAGTCAGTCAGTCCGTCCGTCTGTCTGTCTGCCCTGCCCTTTCAGCAAGTGGCTGTCGCCCGGTACCGTGTGTCGCCAGCAGGGCACATAGAATACGTGGGTACCTAGTAGTCTGGCAGGTAAAACCGCCCCGGCGTCTGAACGAGACGTGACGGCCCCCCCAGGACACACTTGCTTTGGGCGTGCTCAGGTGGAGCAGGTCGGCAGGTACTTGAAATTGCAGGTCCAATTGTAAGGCCAAGCCCTTCCATTGGCTCCCTGCCCCGGCGCCCCTGTACCCCTAAAAGACCACCTGTGGGCAATGTTGTGCCCACCTGCATGGCTACCTCCCGCGTTGGGTACCTACGCCAGATCCAGGAGGGCATTGATCATGTACCCAGCCAAGCCAGGGTACGAGGGTACATGTAGACCATTCCGAGGTCCAAAGGGCGTGGAAGGGTGCACCCGACGGCTTGCTGAAAATCAAATAGCTCCAAAGCTCAGATTCTGCAGGTCTCAAGCTGTCTTGCAATCTGATGAATTGCCGCCACATAACGCACGCGGTTAGTTGAATATGCTACCAGACCTGCAACAATTTGGATGCCTGCTACTAGATTGCCAAGGGAAGGAAGAATGGGGCCAAAAAGAGCAGAAAAGCAGAAGAAAACAGAAAACATAAACCAAAACTCGAGTGTACTCCTTCGCTCTACACCCCAACCCACTCGGGGAAACCTGACAAATCCCATGTGTTACATTCCTCCCGCGCAAAATAAGTCCTGATGAGTGGTCGCTGCATATTATTGGTCTCACTTCCCATGGACCAGCTGTCTGATTCTCTTCTCAATAACATCCCGTCCGTCCAGCGTCTTCCACACCTGGTGGGGAGCCTTGTTGACTATGTCCCAATCGTGCAAGTTCTCGGTCAGATGCGTGAGATCTCTCTGCCTGCCCTCCCACTGGCTATCAGTCCGGAGCTTGATCGCAGAGCTGATGACGACAAGAGGGACGTCGGGCGCTTGGATAGCCCGGCTCGAGGCGACATCCCGCTTGGTCAGGGAATCGGCGACCAGACTCTCCTGCAGTTTGGCAAATATCTGCTTCCCAGTCTGGTATGAAGCACGCCCAAAGACTCGGTCCTCGCTCGTACGGCCGTTGAAGAGGGCACCGGGGATGCGGTCAAGGCCGAGAGGGGAAATCACTCCTCTAAGCCAGAGCGTGAAGCCCCTCCCAGGCGTACCCAAGCGGTAGAGGAGGTCCTCGTGCAGCGGGTCGATCAAGACGAGGCCCTTGATTTCCTTGCCATGCCGCGAGGAGAACACGCGCGAGTAGATTGACCCAACGCCAGCGCTGGCAAGTACCCAAGGCCCCGTCTCCCCAGCGCGCGCGAGTGCTTCGCTCAAAGCTTCTGTTGCCTGGCTAGCAGAGAAAGGCGACGGCGCTGTATCGCTCTGTCGTGCTGTCTGTCAGCCTTGGTCAATGAGCACATTATTCCAGACATCGACTTACCCATGCCATTCCGGGCCGATCTGCGAAACAGTATCTGCTAAAAGACCCGTTGTTCAGAGCATTGTCTGCAAATTGCCATAACCCATCCTCGACCGGGTCCTCTCCGCCTTCGAAAAGCACGGTTGGCAGCTTATTCCCCTTGGAATCTGTTTCGTTGCCACGGCAGTACAGATGGATCTGATATTTGTCGCCATCCACCCAGTATAGATCTCCTGGGGCCGCTACCTTGGCATCCACGGCCCTCAATATAAGTGTGAATGTTAGAAGCAACGCAACCACGGCAAGCACGGCAAACCCGATCGTCGCAAGGAGCACTTGAGTCCACTCGAGCAGAGTTCTCCGGGGCTCCTCACGGCCGGTTAACCTCTGTTCTTCTTCTTTTTTACCCCACTTGACGATCCGGTCGGCAGATAGCGACCAGACCGCCATCAGAAGTGCCCAGACGACACTTGCGATGCCGGTCCAGGCTTCCTCATGCCTCGTGTTCTGGACAGACACGATGATGATGACATTGACGAGCAAGAGCACAGAGGCTATCGCCGAGAGTATTCGGGCTGCCTTCGATGGGGCGGCAAAGAAGAGGAGGGTCACGATCAACGTGGCTAGAGCAATGCTGGAATAGCTGAACCCAAAGAAGCCGGACCCTCTCGTCGACAGGCCGGGAGGCGACACGAAGATGGACACTAATTGGAGCACCCACCACAGGAACGTGATGATAGTGAAGAAGATGGTGAGGTATCTGGTAAATCGGACAGTGAACAAGTTGTATGGTGAGACGGCTGGATCGTCCGGGCTCAGGTAGCCCGGCCTGTTGTCGCTGTCAACCCTATTGGGAAGCAGACGCGTGTGCTCGTTGGGCGCTGGTCCATCATCGTGGGACTCCGAGGGTCTGCCATCGGAGGAGCCCTCGTTGTCGTCCCTCGTCCCGAATACTCGCTTCATGATCCTGAGAGGGCAGGAGTGTGTTCAGGAAGTCCTTCGAGGCAAGTGATCAATTGGGGAAGGTTGTCAGGAGAGCCAGTGAGTCAAATGGATGAAATGGTTTGATTTTCTTGCTTTCTACATACAATGCTAATAGCGCCGAGGCTTGGATGCTTCCGGCGCGACGCCTTCTCATTTATGAGACGGCAATGAGTGCAGAGTGTCACCATTACCGCGGACAGCTCTAATGACGTATGTCGATGTGCACCGTCATTTGGCGTACGCTAGGCTCAGCGGCGAAGCGATGTTCTGTCTACCTAGCAGCGGCCCTAAAACGCAGACTAACGGTTTTCAATGGCGCCTAGAGCGCCATTGTGGGCGGGAGGCGCCTCGACCTTGGTTACCAGCACGTCTCGATTTCCCATGTGCCCCATTGACTCCTTCGCGTGCTCAATTAGAAGCGTCCAGGCTTCAAGCTATGCGCAGAAGTTGCCTCTCGCTGCATTCTCCACGAACGCCGTTTGGGTTGTGCTGTCCAATGGCCAGCAACCTTCCCGTCGTCCTGCTCCAACATCCTTTGCCTGCCTACATATTCACATACATCTTCCTCGCCTCGCCACCCACGCGTGCAAGTGCGCTATGTGGTCAACCTATGGCGTTGATAGGTTCAATTCACCGTCGGTTACTTCGTCCCAATTGCACAGGAGTTTATTTCCAAACACGTCGGTACTCGGCGCAGCCTTGTTGTCTCACAGAGTATAGATAGCCAACCCACGGAAGGTTATCCGACAAGAGATCCTCCCATAGGAGATCCTCCTATGGGACACTATTCCATAGAAGGTTATCCCATAGGAGATTATCTGATAGGAGATTATGCTATAGGAGATCATCTTATGGGAGATTATCCCATAGGAGATTATCCCATAAGAGATTATCCCATAAGAGGTTATCCCATAAGAGGTTATCCCTAAGGAGGTTATCCCATAGGAGATTATCCCATCGAAGGTTATCCCTTAGGATACAAGAAGGTATCTCACAGGAAGTTGTCTCACAAGAGACCAGACCATTAAGTTGGGTGCAACATGATAGGTTTGAGGACTTCATGTGGCGAGCATGTTGCTCATCCAGGAGAGCGAGGCGACCGCAGTCCTGGTTCTGGCTTCCAACCCGGTTCTGATGAGGTCGTCGAGTAGGACTGCGTGCTGCGAGAAGCAGATGAGTTGGCATGCCGTGTCCGGCTTCTCCTCCTTGCCGCCGCAAGCTCCTCAGGATCCGGGCCAGGCCCAGCTGGTCTTATTGCCTCCTTGGGTATTGTTGTTGCAGGGACACTATACGATACGTCAGCTATGAACTGTTATCTAGAGCAAAGACATGCTTCTCTACGGCCAAGGCCACAGGCATGCCGCAAAACACGCGCGGGTGTGACCAATGTTACATACTGCAGCTTCGCGCTCGCCTGTGGGTCCTTGAGGGAGACCCCTTTGCTTTTATACATCTCCTTTTTGTGCTGCTCAAATGCTTGCCCCGATGGCTCGCTCACCGCAACCCATGATCTGAGCTCTGATAGCCAGCGGGCTATGCCACTTTTCTTCTTCGCTTTGCCGGCCGTCTGGCTGGTTTCGGGACCCATATTCTGGCTCTCGACAAAATGCGGAAATCATATGCCAAATTTACCTAGCGCCCAGGCGACATCAGGTCTTTCGCAGAAGACCTGCGTACTTCGTCGGAGGATGCGTCTGAGCTGTCCTGTGGGCAATCTTGTTGCAGCTTCGGGCAGCAGGTTTGGAATCCCGACCAGCCGGTAGCCCTTGCAATTTGATCGATTCTAAAAGCCTAGAGCGTGCAACGCTCGTAGGTCGCGAGCGAATGCTGATGTCGAGGAATTGCTTCACAATCCTGTATCGCAACAGCCCGCGTCCGAAGACTAGAAATAGCAAGAGAAGAACAGCGGGAAAATGGGGGGCGGATTAATCAATATAGCCGCGATGTAATTGCTTCTTGATTTCTCGGAAGAGAGGGGCTCATGGCACTGAAAGGTCACATCGTCGGATGTACCCAGGCTCAGAGTCCGCTGGGAAAAGAGTACCGCGAAGAAAAAGTAACAGTAAGTTGAAGGGGGAAAGACGAATACCTGGAATTTGCACCGAGAAAACACAGCAATCACAAGCCCCGAGGCTTGCTAATCGGGAAAATACTTTATTAGTGGAAGACAATATTCTGGCCAGAAGAGACACCCTGGTGAAGGCACACCTAACGAACCATGTCCATTTTCATTAAGCCCCGCGCCTCGTCGCGTGCTGGGGCATGTCGCCCTGCAGCCTCCCGAAACCTGGCGCAAGACACCTGCAGTGCGGAACGAGGAAGCCATGAGCCAGAAGAAGCCGACCCGAGCTTCCACACTCTAATACGCGCGAGGGATAGTAGTCTCGCGATGCGCAAGGCTCAGAGCACGAAAAGCAGACGCGAACCTCCGAGCTTCTGACCAGATCTGGGATCTGGGCTCATCTGGGGAATTACAACGGTTGGCGCTATCATGCTTGAGGGAACTACCCAGCAGGAGCAATCTAGTTTGCCAGCTAGGCAAGGTGGTGCCCGCAGTAGAGGCCTACGCCTAAGCCGACTCAGGATGTTCCTTCTCGGGCGATTCGGGCGATTCTTTGCCACAGGCTTGCGATGGCATGAGCTGGCAAACACCATCGTCCTGCAATACCTGCGATCTCAAGGATGTAGGGATAGGTGTGACGAAGCCACGTTAATGTATGGGCACTATAGACGCCAGGAAAGCTCGCCACGTGTTGTGGAAGGCTGTATAGGCTTCCATCGCCGCCAGAGTGGTCTCGGTGAATACAGTGCACCTTCGTTAATATGTTTAGCGACCACTTGAATTCGGCGAGCCCTGCACAGCTCGGGGGTTCCCGAGCTTGGCATGGACACTCGCAATGAAGTAGACTATTTCCAGAGAAGAAAACCAAGAACAGCAGCCCACTTGGTACCCAGGAGTTTAACACGGGGTACCTCAGGGACTATCCTACGTAGGACAAACATGAACGGCGCTGGTCACTGTGTGGTGCCGACAGTTGGGATCCCTGCGAGCTGTGCAGGTGTTGCCCGCTGTCCCGCGCTTCAGTGTGGGACACAAACCCCTGGGAGCCCTCCAGCTCACGAAGGGGGCATCTGCATCCCGAAGAAGCTCGTGGGAGGGCGAAGAGTGAGATGCTGATCCAAGGCTCGTCACGAGACGTCGCATGCCTCTCGGCGGGAGGGAGCTTGGAGGCACCGACCAGCCTGTCTTCACACAAGACACCAGTCGCTTGAGCCCATCGCCGCCGCGCCCCTCCTGATTCGGGCTTCTGCCCGGGCTGTCTTCCGGCCCCAGGCCCCGGCCCCCTTGCCAGCACCGCTCTGTCCAGCTTTCTGGTTGGCCCCCGCCTGGCGAGCCCCTTACCCACTGGCCCCTTCAGGATTGCTGGACACTCAAGAGAGAGGAAGACAACAGACACACATATATTAGGAGGTAGTTCTGCGAGAAGTTGTCTCGTGGATTGCTTCTGTGCAGTACTGCTAGTCAGGTCATACGCGGATTCCTGGGGCTCCTGGGTAATCGACGAGGAGTGGGGCAGCAGAGAGGATGTCTTGTTTTGGAAAAAGATTGAAGAAACTTTACAAGCAGTTCTATGCATAATCGTAAACATATTCGCCCCTTTCCATCTTGCTTTCCTCTCGGTCCGTGGGGGAGGGGTTCCAGTTGTTTTGGGACTCTTCTCTGGGTACCCAGGCATTGGACCCCACATTACCATATGCACCTGCACGACCTACCGTGGAAAGATACTGTACTGTAGATCCCTGCGCCCGCCTTCCCTGTCGATCTGCACGTCACTCCAACCTTACACAGTAGGCTGGATACCTCACTGACTGCTGCCTTACCACCAACTAGCACGTCAAGATCAGGACTCCCAGTGGGACCTCACTTCGTTATTCATCTTTGACAACTGCCAAACAACCTTTTCGGTTTTATTTTGAGCTGGGCATGGCCGGAAACAAAACACAGACCGCATCGCAGGGCGCATCTCCTCAAAGGCAGGCCGAGCCTGCCGCACCAGTGCCGGAGCCCCTCTCACCGCAGTTCAGGCCCATCCACTCAACCACGCCTATCCCGCCGCCAACCATCCCCACCTTCCACCGCCAAACATTCACCCACAAGCAGCATCCCCCACAGGTCGAGGCCATCCCACAGCCGCCACCGCCTGAGCCCGTGGACTTCAGCGAAAATGTCGACGTGATCGCCCTGGAGTCGGCCATCCTGCTCCTCCAGAGGCAGAAGCAGCAGGCCGAGGAGGACATCCGCCAGCTGCAGCGCATCAAGCAAGAGGCCGTCAAGAAGCCGGCCGAATTCGTGCAGGACTTGGCCAGTGGGAAGGTTGGCCAAGGGCCTCAGGGGGCGGCGCCCATCAGCAGTGGCGCAAATGAGGACGAGGACGACAGCGAAGACGATGATGAGGATGAGGACGAGGATGATGACGACGAGGGCAGCGATGCTGAAATGGCGGGCCAGGATGGCGGGCAGGCATCCAGCAGCGGCCTCGGGCCCTCACCAATGAAAGCATCAGGCAAGGGCAAGGCCGCCGCAGCACCACAGCCCCAGCAACGACCGCAGCCATCGTGGACAAACCTGCCGACACCGCAGGACGTGGTGCGCATGCCCGCCATAAACTGGTCCAAGTACGCCGTCGTGGGCGAGTCGCTCGACAAGCTGCACAGTGAGCAGCTCACGCGGCCTACCCTGGGTATGCCGGCCACGGTGGGAGCAGACGGGAAGGCGTACGAGTTCAAGGGGGAGCCGAACCCGGACGACGGCAAGAAGTCTGTTGGGATCGCTGCGCCGTACGACCCTTTACATGACAAGATCAAGAAGCCTCGCAAATGAGCTGTTGTTCTGCAAGCACATGCTTTAAAGTTATGAGATTAAAGATACCCAATCGTTTCCCCAGAACAATAACGCCAAACATGCTGTGAAATTGAGAGATTCAGAAATGATACCCACGATGGTCTTTTATTTTGCGTGTGACTGTTGAGCAGAATTCAAGCACACATGCGCATAACCAACCTACGGATTATATAGGTAACCATTGGTCTTCCGGTAGGAGACTGGCTATCTGATAGAGGAAGCGTAAAACATTATGTGGAGGATATGATGATAATGTTGCTTAGTATGAGGCAACCAGAGCTCCATTGTGAGCCCAGACATTGCTCCATACCTTCAATATCCCTATGACCTGGAGAGACTCCCTGAAACTGTGTGTTCTTTCCGACTGCTATTCTCTGAAGCGAGGCAAACTACAAAAGTAATCTCGACCTCGTTGAGTCTGGACACAAAACCCTCTTCGTTCCCAATTGGCAATCGCGAGCGAGACCCAAGGACGGTTGATGTGAATTTCTACGCCTCATTCGTCCAAGTATCAACGAGCAAGCGCTGTTCGAGAACAGGGTCGACCGCGGGGTCCGTTCCAAGAAGAACTTCCCCATGAAACACTTATATGAGAGCATCGGTGACAGTGAAGACTCGCAGCATTAGAAGACAGCATGATTGTTAGCACCCGCTGCGGGTGATAATAAGTCCATTTGTGTGTATTGAGACTACCGAGACATGAAGAAGGATGTGCTACCGACCCCTCCCTTTCCGAGGCCCAGCAAAGGTATCAAGTGTCAACCTCAATGTGAGCCATAACGCCGTTGACAAGCAAAACCCCGAGGACGTGCACAAGCGAGCTTCCGTAGAAGCCCGACTACTTAGGACAAAATGGGGAAGAACTCACTGCAAATATGTTTCCGTGCCAGTCCTGTTTGCCATCCGTGAGTATGCCTGACCGTTCATGTCCTGTTCCTAAACGCCGGTCCGAGAATATTCATGACTGCATAAGCAAACCCTCGCTCAACAATGCAATTCGGTGTGGTGCTTTCCTCGATCAGTTCTAGAGATCTTCCATCGACGCCTGGACTGACCGGCGTAATCTTTGCCGGTACTGCTTCTTATCCTGAGCACTGCCCCAGTAAAGCTTGAAAGCTTCGGGGTAGACGAGAGTCCGCGGATCGTATGGGGGATGCTCCTCCTCCAGCATCTCGATGATTGCCTCGAGGTGCGTCTTCATGTCTTCCCGCCGTGAGGGGCTAGAGTAATAACAAGGTGTACCGTCTGGGGCGATTCGGTGGTGGAAAATTCTCGTCTCGAACTTGGCACGAGGCTGCTCCTCGGGAAATCGTGGACTCAGGTGAAGCGTGATACGGAACAACCCGTCCTCCAACGGAGTCATGGGCTTGCCGATGTATGTCAGAACCCAGACAAAAGGATTGCCACCTTCCAGTTCCACATGGTGTGCAAGACCGTGCTGCTTGAAGTGCTCGAGGACTTGTTCGTACTGTCGGCGCAGATTGACAGTGACAGTCGCATCTTTGAACTCGGGTGACAGACCCTGAGCCGCCCACTGCTTGCTCTCCTCATCCAAAACTTTCTTGATATTCCGCAACCGCTTTTCCAGCTCGGTGTAGTGGAATTTGCCATCCATGGTATTTCCCTGGCCCTCAAAGGGCATTCTGACAAATGCCTGGCCATCTTTGACCTCCTCCTTAGCTTTGCGAATCGACTCAAGATATGATTCGTAATACCAAAGGAAGCGACGTTTGCACAGATCCTTGAAAGGTTCAAAAGCAGTGCCGGCGTCTTCGAGACCATCCATATCCACTTCATAATCGTCTTTGTCAGCAGTCGAAGACGCCGAGACGTTGCCGTCAGCACCAATGCCTAAGTATTCTTCCAGTCGCTGAATGACGGAAATTCGCAAGCTTTCGTGACGGATCTATTGGTGGGCATATCAATGATTGTTCTTTTGCAATAACATGTTGGAATCTAGTACCTTTTGAACGTAATCCTTCTGGTTCTTTTTGTCTTGGGCCTCGTTGGCGTCCTCAAAACCAGGCTCGTTCTCGTACGGGTTGGACGACATTAGGCTTTGGATCGAGAGGAGGATAGACTCGAGACCTTGTGCAGAAGACCATTCTTCGCCTCGCTCTCCGCGCCATGTTCTACAGTCGAATTCAGTATTCACATCGAGCCGTCGGTTTGCGCGAAGAAACGTACCCGAGAATAGATCTAACAGAGTCAGCTACAGGTTCGCCAGAGGGGTTTGGGACTTGACTTACAGGCAAACTCGTCCCTGAGCATATATGTTTGGGTTGAATCGGCACCGACCGCCATTCGTGGTAACTGCGTTGACGCTGGGGGACTTTCTGGGATAGTCTGCGGCAAGGAGGCATTAGTTGGTGGGAGCTGATACGCTTTGCAGCGGAGGAGGCCGACCTTTGTTGAATTTGAATGTGAACTGCTCGTCTATCAGCTTTCAATCCGTAGCGAGTACGGTAGTGGGAGACAACGAACCTCGAAGAAGCCAAACTCGTAAGGCGTCTCGTGGGGACCGATAATCAGTGCCTTCACATTACGTACGTCGACATCGCGACATGCGACAGCCAGAGCTAATGGTCAGGTCAGCGAAGAATAGCGAGTCGGGATGTTGCAAATTTGTGCGCGTACAAAGGTCTGAGTTTTTCTGGATGTCGCTCAACTCCTGGACAACTAATTAGCATAATGTTGGTGAGCTCCAGACTGAGGCCATCAAGCGCTGGGCCGGCCTGATGTGACCCCGCAATGAGGCGGCGAACATGCCTTGGTTATCCTGATGATGGATTGATCCGCCATGGCGGGCAGTCCTCAAGGTGCGGGAGATAGAATGATTCGCATAGGTCTGATACTATTGATTCCCGGGGACGTTGAGATAGCACCGTCGGCGAAGTGTGTGGAGGATGCGACTTATTACCAGAACTGGTCTGCTTTCGAAGGTTGGCGGAGAAGTTACAGTCAGTCTGCCTGAGCCGATGACTTTCAGCGGCCCCAGGGCTGAGTGGGCAGGAGCGTGCCACTACAGGGTACCTAGCTAGCCTAGCGTGCCTAGGTAGGCGGGGGCAGGCAACTTGAATGTGGGGGCTCTAGCAGTAGAGGGGAACTGGGAAGGAATCAGACGCGTCTCTGCGTTTGAGACGCGTAAATTGGTGTCCTCAGACTTCCAAAAGTCACACCTTCCAGAAAGTCATCCTCCTGCAAGACAATTCCCTTCCTGTGACAATCGAACTGGCTGGACTGGCACATACAGACAAACAGCTAGGATGGCCAGCTTTTTCGACATCAAAGCCAGGAAGGCTGCCGCCGCCAATGGCGCAGGCAAACAAGAAAAAAAGACGTCAGACACGCCACGGGCTCAGCCTTGGGTAGAGAAGTAGTATGTCAGAGACGATATTCTATCTTGCTGTCTCTGCTGCCTGTAGCTGACCATGCGCCAATTGCAGTCGTCCAAAGAGCCTCAGCGATGTCACCGCCCAAGACCACACGATCACTGTCCTACAACGGACGCTACAGGCATCCAATCTCCCTCACATGCTCTTCTACGGCCCACCTGGTACTGGAAAGACCTCCACGATTCTTGCCCTCGCCAAGGAACTCTATGGCCCTGAGTTCGTCAAACAGCGTGTCCTTGAGCTTAACGCGTCTGATGAACGCGGGATTTCCATCGTTCGGGAGAAGGTCAAAGACTTTGCGCGTATGCAACTGACCAACCCACCCCCGGGCTACAAGTCGCGCTACCCCTGCCCACCATTCAAGATCATCATCCTCGACGAGGCCGATAGCATGACACAGGATGCCCAGAGCGCGTTGAGGCGGACGATGGAGACGTACAGCAAGATCACGCGGTTCTGTCTCATCTGCAACTATGTCACGCGCATAATTGACCCTCTGGCGAGTCGATGCAGCAAATTCCGCTTCAAGAGCTTGGATCAGGGCAATGCGAAGAAGAGGTTGGAGGAAATTGCGCAGAACGAGGGTGTGCAACTGGACGATGGTGCAGTGGATGCGCTCATCCAGTGCAGCGAGGGTGATCTACGCAAGGCTATCACCTTCTTGCAGAGCGCGGCGCGGCTCGTTGGTGCGGTCGCTGCCAAAGGCGGTGCTGATGCCGACAGCATGGAGGTGGATACGAAGCCGGTCACTGTGAAAATCATCGAGGATATCGCTGGCGTGATACCCCGTACTACTATTGACAGGCTTGTGAAGGCAATCAAGCCTCACTCATCTGGAGAGGCATATTCAGCGGTGTCGAAAGTCGTGGAGGACATGGTTGCGGATGGATGGAGCGCTGGGCAGGTGGTAACCCAGCTCTACCAGGTAATCGTTTCCGACGAGACTGTTCCGGACATTCAAAAAAACCAGATCGTCATGGTCTTCTCTGAGATTGACAAGCGCCTGGTCGACGGTGCAGACGAACACCTCTCCATACTCGATCTAGCACTTCGCATATCAACCATTATGGCTGGACGGTAGGGCCGACAACCATTGCTGGGGTACTGAGAAGCCAGCGTCCTAAAAGACTGATAGCATTGAGGTCAAGGACTTGCGCAAAAATTGGCCACATGTGGCAGCAAAACCTACTCACAAACATGGGGACACAAAGACTAGGCGCGGGGATCATGCGGAACTATTGGTAGAGTGGAACTGTTCTCAGGTAAATGGCTGATAATGACAGGGAGGACATTCCCAAATAGGGGCTAGATGGCTGTAGGCGAAAACACCCTGGCCGGAGTGGGAAAAGCATGGCGTTCGAAGGACGGTAATACAATGGCTATTCATGACACTTGGTGTTAGATCATTCGAAACTACAGCATTTTTCGCGGGGAGTCTTCGGCATTGATGAGACCGACACTGCCGCCCAGCGTAGACCAGATATCCCCCTTCTCTTTGACCATGTTGCTCTTGTTTCTGACATGTGTGTTCGGCTTGGGCGCTTTTCTCGGGGATGCGGACTCTGCCAGCCAGATGTCGTCTACTGTTGTATCCTCGTCTGCGGCAGACTCGTCTCCTGGGCTCACGTTGCGCCCCAGCAGCTGGTCTATCTCGGTTAAAGACTTTGTAGACTTTTCAAGAGCGACCTGTCCTGCTTCGATTTTCTCTGCCACACTCTCCAGTGTTGCGAGTTTCGCGGCGTCCGCCGCGAAAACCCACGGCTGCACACGATCTGTAGTTGAGTCGATGTCATCACTGGGCGGATCAGCCCCCAGCCCTTTCTGCCGTCTTGCGGAGCCGGGCATTGGATGCTCAGGTATGAGCTGGCTTTCTTCAGTCAGGCGATCTAAAACCCGAACAGTTGCTTCTGTTTTCTTTGATAGAACGGTATTCAAGTGCGACTTTTGTGCGATTAGGTTCCTCTGATCTTGGCCGACCTGTATTAGGCGCTCGATATAAGGCGTGATGAGATGAGTTGATGGGACGGTCTGCGCGATTTTGGACTGAGTATGGGATGTGTTCTCCAATGGGGGCTTAATATCGGGCTGTGTAGGCTGTTGAAGCAGCTGGACGAGAGTTTTGCGCGTTGAGACGTAGTTGGCGTATTTGTCCTTCACTATCGCAAGCTGCTCATGCACATGTCCCTTATCTGCCGTAGTTCCTCGTCTTCCATCGACTTCTTCAGGCTGTAAATCATCAAGACGGGAAGCTTTGCCCAGTTCCGCCTCCATCCAACTGATGAGCTCGTTTCGAGTTGCGCTCAACGCCACAAGTTTTGCCCCGTCGCTGATCGTTCCACGCGTTGCCGTGGAACGAGATCTGACCTCCTCGAGCAGCTTTTCCTCCTTCTTGAGCAGGAGTTTCGACCTGAGCACTGCCTTCTCCAGGCGATCGACAAGGGCCTTGAGGTCGGTCTTTGCTGAGGCTTTGTCGACAGTGAAGCCGCTGACGACAGCCTTGGGGACCCCTGGCAATTGAACAACGTCCTCGAATATTGCCTCTGTTTGTAAAAACTCCGGCGACGCGGCTGGCTTCTGGCCCAGAAGGTCTAAATGCTTCTCAATAGTTTGAAGCCGTTGTTGCTTCTTCTTGAGCTTGATGGAGGCGACATGCTCCTCTAGGCGGTCAGAATCGTTGAGCGTCCTTGCACTGACAGTCTTGCCTTCCTCATTCGCCTGTCGAATTGCCTCTTGATCCCGTTTGGCTTTGATGTTGGCGTGAAGTGCCCTCAGGTAATCTCTCTGAAGACCACGCACGCCAGATGTGGATTTGATGGTACAGTCTGCGCCCGACAAGGCCAAAGCTCCGGGTTGAGGACCATTCTCAAAAGTTGAGAGTAGGTGCAGGCAGAGCACCCTCCGAATGTGCGACACTTCCTCACGCGACCGAATTCGAGGTTCCAGCGCTCTCTGGATCTCCTCGACCGTTTCTCGAGCGCCAGAGCTCATGATTCAAGAATTGTCGGGATAAAAAGCCGCCAACATACAAAGTCTAGACTAAGTACCATCAGGCTATATGCCCGTGGTCCCGTTTGTCTGAGGAAGCAGTATACTGTAGGTGTATTTACTTACGTATGGAGGGGTGAGGCCGTGGAGTGCAGTCTGTAAACACCTGCAAGGGGTGTGCCCGCCGGTGGTGTTTCTAGTGTGCATGGACCCCTGTCGGCTGGTGCATGAAAATTATCACTTGCGACCTCTCTCACTTTGCACCTCGTCAACACGGCATCCCAACATTACTTTCTGCTCATCCACAACAGTCACAAGCCTCCTCTCGACCCCCATCGTTTTGAGAACCGAGTTGACGCACTTCTACTTGCGTTGTAATGAGATAATCGGCACTTTAGGTGACCACCAGGTCCTTGCCGCTACCGTGGCCACCGTGCTACCTCTGCGTGTATAATCCAAACAGGCTGCAGTAGGTCATCCATTTGCCACTCATTCGAAGCCCTACAACAGTCATTTCACTGGCAGGCACACGATACGCCCACGAGAGACTTCACTACCACCAGAGCCTCCGTTTGCCGCGACAAAACCATACTGTCGCGTCCAGCTGGTTGGAGAATATCTTGAGAAACATAGCACAGCCGCCAACATGTCGGGCGACAACTACCAACGCGATGTGTCGCAGTACAAGTACTCGGCAATGTCCAACCTGGTCCTCCAGGCGGATCGTCGCTTCGTTACGCGCCGGACCGACGAGGCCACTGGGGACCCAGAGTCTTTGGCAGGACGACTTTCAATACAGGAGATGGGCGGGCGCGTTGCTCGGGATGCTGCGCCAAAACAAAAGAGATCACACATTCCGGCTGTGGAAAGGGGCCCAATTCGGGAAGGTGACGATATTCTGCGGCAGCAAAAGAAGAAAGGCGCAGATGTATCGAGAGGAGGTGGCATCCTGTCCGGTGCAGAGGCTCTGGTCGAAGGCCTTAAGTATCGACCGCGGACTCAGGCGACACGAGCGACATTCGACTTCATATTGACCATTGTGGCCAAGAACCTTGGCGATGTTCCTCAAGAGGTCGTGCGCAGTGCTGCCGACGCCGCGCTGGAGTATCTCAAGGATGAGGATCTTAAAGACTTTGACAAGAAGAAGGAAATTGATGATCTCCTCGGCACATCTCTAAACCCCAAGGAATTCAACGAGCTCGTCAACCTCGGCAAGAAAATCACGGACTACGATGCGGAGGATGAGGATGAAGAGATGGACGGTGCTGATGATGACCAAGAGATCGATGAACGCCAGGGTGTTGCTGTCGCATTCGAAGAGGAGGACGAAGACGGAGAGGGTATCCTCAACGAAGTTCGAGACGAATCATCAGAAGATGAAGACGACGAGGATCGTCCTGGCCTTGACGAGGAAGCCACGGCGGGAGGTGCCGCGGAAGACAGGGATGACGATGAGGCTGGCCTGGCCGATGGCGATGCGATGGTCATCGACTCAGCTCCAGCAGGCAAAGCCCAGAAGAAGACTCAGGAGACGAACTACATCCCAGCTTTCCAGATAGATGCGTTCTGGCTGCAACGGCAAATAGGCCGCATATACCCAGATGCGCACATACAGCACGACAAGACGATACAGGCTCTGCACATCTTGTCGGGCGAGCCAGACGTGGAAGGGAGCGAAGAGAGGCAGCTTAGAGAGATCGAAAACGATCTCATGGAACTTTTCGACTACGACCACCATGAAATTGTACAAGAGCTCATTTCCAACAGGGAAAAGGTCGTATGGCTCACCAGGATCGCTCGAGCAGAGACTTCTGAAGCTCGTGAGACGCTCGAACGCGAAATGGCCTCTGAAGGCTTGCAGTGGATTCTTGATGAGCTTCACGGCAAGACTGGCGAGGAGAAGAAGGGCAAGTTGGAGATCAAAATGGACCTCGATCAACCCGAACACAAACAGGAGCCGAAGCCAGAGCGTCCCGAGGGCCAGCTCATAGGCGGTCTTCAACCCAAGAAGCTCATCACCTTGGATAATCTCGTGTTCGATCAGGGAAACCACTTGATGACGAATCCCAAGGTGCGACTTCCGGAGGGTTCTACCAAGCGGGCCGGTAAGGGCTACGAAGAAATACACGTCCCGCCGCCGAAAAAGCGCAGCGACCCAAGCGACAACCTGGTGCCCATCTCTGAGATCCCGGAATGGGCGCGCGAACCTTTCAAATCCGTCAAGTCTCTCAACAAGATCCAATCAAAATGCTATCCATCGGCTTTTGAAGACGACGGAAACATGCTTGTTTGTGCGCCCACTGGGTCCGGAAAGACAAATGTTGCATTCTTGGCAATGCTGCGAGAGATTGGCAAACATCGGAATCCAGAGACAGGAGAGATTGATTTGGACTCGTTCAAGATCGTCAGCATCGCGCCTCTGAAGGCTCTGGTCCAAGAGCAAGTCGGCAACTTCGGAACCCGGCTGGCTCCTTATGGAATCAAAGTTTCCGAGTTGACTGGGGACCGTCAACTTACGAAGCAACAAATAGCCGAGACTCAAGTTATCGTCACCACCCCCGAGAAATGGGATGTCATAACTCGCAAAGCGACCGACACATCTTACACTAATCTGGTACGCTTGATCTGCATTGATGAGATTCACCTTCTTCACGATGACCGTGGACCCGTCCTTGAAAGCATTGTCGCCCGCACGATTCGAAAGACTGAACAGACTGGAGAACCTGTGAGAATTCTCGGTCTGTCAGCAACACTGCCAAACTACAAGGACGTCGCCAGCTTCCTTCGGGTCGATCCGCAGAAGGGTTTGTTCCACTTTGATGGATCATATAGGCCTTGCCCCTTGCGCCAAGAGTTCATCGGGGTGACAGAACGGAAGGCCATCAAACAGTTGAAGGTCATGAACGACGTCACCTACAACAAAGTCTTGGAGCATGTGGGTAAGAACCGGAACCAAATGCTCATCTTCGTGCACTCTCGCAAAGAGACGGCAAAGACTGCCCGCTATATCCGTGACAAGGCACTAGAGATGGATACCATCAACCAGATACTCAAAAGCGATGTTGGAAGCCGAGAAGTCCTCCAGGAACTGTCAGATTCAGTAACTGACAAGGATCTCAAAGACATCTTACCCTACGGCTTCGGCATTCACCACGCTGGTATGAGCCGAGCTGACAGGAGTGATGTAGAGGCGCTCTTCGGGGATGGACACATTCAAGTGCTTGTCTGCACAGCCACGCTTGCTTGGGGCGTCAATTTGCCTGCGCATACGGTCATCATCAAGGGGACGCAGGTCTACTCGCCAGAGAAGGGTAGCTGGGTGGAGCTTAGCCCGCAGGACGTCCTTCAGATGCTAGGACGTGCCGGGCGACCTCAGTACGACACGTTCGGTGAGGGTATCATCATCACCTCGCAGGGGGAGATGCAGTATTATCTTTCCCTCATGAACCAACAATTGCCCATTGAAAGTCAACTTGTCAGCCGTCTGGTCGACAATTTGAATGCGGAGATTGTGCTTGGTAACGTGCGCTCTCGAGATGAGGGTGTGGATTGGCTTGGCTACACTTACCTGTTCGTGAGGATGCTGAGATCACCGGGTCTCTACAGTGTTGGTGTCGAATACGAAGATGACGAGGGTTTGGAACAAAAACGGGTTGATCTCGTACATTCTGCAGCCCACGTTCTCCGTAAGGCGAACCTCATTAAATACGACGAGAAGAGTGGACGGATGCAGGCGACTGAGCTGGGACGAATCGCTTCACATTATTATATCACGTACGGCTCCATGGAGACTTACAACACGCACATTCAGCCATCTATCACCAACATTGAGCTTTTCCGAGTATTTTCGCTCAGCTCTGAGTTCAAATACATACCCGTCCGCCAAGAAGAGAAGCTGGAACTGGCCAAATTACTAGGACGGGTCCCAATACCCGTCAAGGAGAGCATCGAAGAGCCTCACTGCAAGATCAATGTCCTTCTGCAGGCATACATTTCTCGCCTCAAGCTTGATGGCTTGGCTCTGATGGCCGATATGGTGTACGTCACACAATCTGCAGGACGTATCCTCAGAGCTATCTTCGAGATCGCGCTGAAGAAAGGTTGGGCTTCTGTGGCGAAGACAGCATTGAACCTATGCAAGATGGCAGAGAAGCGAATGTGGCCCACAATGACACCGCTGCGACAATTCCCCAACTGCCCGAGGGACATAGTGCAGAAGGCAGAGCGGACCGAGGTTCCCTGGAGCAGCTTTTTTGATCTGGATCCACCACGAATGGGCGAGCTGTTGGGGATGCCCAAAGCTGGCAAAATTGTCGTTGGGCTTGTGAACAAGTTTCCAAGAGTCGAAGTGCAGGCGCAGATCCAACCGCTCACAAGATCCATGCTTCGCGTTGAGCTCACGATCTCGCCCAATTTTGAATGGGACGAGGAAGTACATGGTCTTGCTGAGAGTTTCTGGATCCTTGTCGAGGACTGCGATGGCGAAGAGATCCTTTTCCACGACACTTTCCTTCTCCGCAAAGATTACGCCGAATCGGAATCGAACGAGCATGTCGTCGAGTTCACAGTGCCAATCACCGAGCCCATGCCCCCTAATTACTTCATCTCCGTTGTCTCTGACAGATGGATGCATTCCGAAACCCGTGTTGCAGTCTCATTTCAGAAACTTATTCTGCCTGAGAAGTTCCCACCTCACACCGAACTTCTCGATTTGCAGCCTCTGCCACCATCTGCTCTCAAGGTGAAGGAGTATTCTGCTCTATATCCCCAATGGACACACTTCAACAAAATCCAGACCCAGACCTTCAACACTCTATACGCCACAGATAACAACGTCTTCGTAGGCGCACCGACAGGAAGCGGCAAGACTGTGTGTGCGGAGTTCGCACTTCTCCATCACTGGTCCAAGCCTGATGCGGGTCGCGCTGTGTACATCGCTCCATTTCAAGAGCTGGTAGACATCCGGCTTCAAGATTGGCAGAAGCGTCTGTCTGCGCTCAGAGGGGGCAAGGACATCATGAAGTTGACTGGCGAGACGGTAGCTGACATCAAGATCTTGGACGCCGCAGATCTAGTTCTTGCGACTCCGACTCAATGGGACGTTCTTTCTAGACAGTGGAAGAGGAGGAAGAACGTGCAGACTGTCGAGGTTTTCATCGCGGATGAGCTACAGCTCCTGGGTGGCTCCATGGGCTACGTGTACGAAACCATCGTCTCGAGGATGCACTATATCCGGACTCAGACGGAATTGCCAATGAGGATAGTCGGTCTTGGTGTATCACTGGCTAACGCAAGAGACATTGGAGAATGGATTGGGGCCAAGCAGCACGACACCTACAATTTCAGCCCACACGTGCGGCCTGTGCCGCTGGAGCTTCACATCCAGAGCTACACAATCCCTCACTTCCCTTCACTAATGCTGGCAATGGCACGTCCGACCTACCTTGCCATCACTCAAATGTCCCCGGACAAGCCCGCACTAGTGTTCGTTCCGAGCAGGAAGCAAACGCGCGCGACCACTCGTGACATTCTCACTGCTTGTTTGGCCGAAGATGACGAGGACAGATTCCTCCATGTCGATGTGGAGCAGATCAAGCCCCTCTTGGAGCGTGTCAGTGAAGAAGCACTAGCCGAGGCACTGTCCCACGGTGTAGGCTACTATCACGAGGCTCTCAGCACCGACGATAAACGGATTGTCAAATACCTTTACGATAACGGCGCCATTCAAGTCCTGGTCGCATCTCGCGATGTCTGCTGGGAGCTCGATTGCACCGCACATCTTGTCATCGTGATGGGCACACAATACTTCGAGGGTCGTGAGCACCGCTACGTGGACTATCCTGTGGCCGAGGTGCTGCAAATGTTCGGCAAAGCTCTGAAACCGTCAAAGGATGGTCGCGGCCGCGGCGTGCTCATGCTGCCCGGTGTCAAGAGGGAATTCTACAAGAAGTTCCTTAACGAGGCTCTTCCGGTCGAGTCCCATCTACATTCGTACCTGCACGACGCTTTTGTCACCGAAATTAGCACTCGGATGATAGAGTCTGGGGACGACGCAATCGCCTGGATGACCTTCACTTACTTCTACCGCCGTCTTCTGGCGAACCCCAGCTTCTACAGCTTGACGAACACTACAGAAGATGGGCTTAGTCAGTATCTGTCCGACCTTGTCGAAACGACACTCAGGGAACTCGACGAGTCCAAGATCATTGAATTTGATGAGGAAGATGGCTCGGTGACGCCTCAGAATGCTGCCATGATTGGTGCTTATTATAACATTTCCTATATCACCATGCAAACGTTCTTGCTCTCCCTGAGCGCCCGCACGAAGCTTAAGGGCATCCTCGAAATTGTCACCTCAGCCACCGAGTTTGAGGCAATACAAATTAGGAGACACGAAGACGGTCTACTTCGTCGCATCTATGATCGTGTGCCTGTCAAGATGGCACAGCCGGACTTCGACTCGCCTCATTTCAGGGCGTTTGTTCTGCTGCAGGCTCACTTCTCCAGGATGCAGCTTCCGATTGATCTGGTTAAGGATCAAGAAACAATCATCTCCAAGATTGTAAGCCTTCTCAGCGCGACGGTTGACATACTTTCATCAGATGGACACCTGAACGCCATGAATGCCATGGAGATGTCCCAAATGGTTGTCCAGGCGATGTGGGACCGCGACAGCCCATTGAAGCAGATACCCCACTTCACACCGGAAGTCGTCAAGGCGGCAAATAGTTTTGGAGTCAAGGATGTCTTCGACTTCATGGAAGCCATGAACCCAGAAGAGAACCCGCAATATGGCGAATTGGTTAAGGCTATGGGTCTTTCGCAGAAGCAGCTGGAAGATGCGGCCAAGTTTACCAACCAAAAGTACCCTGACGTCTCGCTCGAGTTTGAGGTCGAAGACCCAGAGAACCTCCGCGCTGGCGAGGCATCGTACCTCAACATCCAAATCGAGCGTGAGGTTGAGGAGGGCGACGAAGTCGACACTGTGGTCCACGCACCGTTCTACCCAGGGAAGAAGCTGGAGAACTGGTGGCTTGTGGTCGGCGACGAGAGCACCAAGACGCTCCTCGCGATCAAGCGCGTAACTGTTGGCCTCAAGTTGAATGTCAAGCTAGAGTTTACAGTACCAACTCCCGGCAAGCATGAACTCAAGCTCTTCTTGATGAGCGACAGCTACATTGGAGTCGATCAGGAGCCCAGCTTCGAGGTGACGGTTGGGGAAAGCATGGAGGTTGATGAGGATGACGAGGACGAGGACGAGGACGACGAGTAGGACGAGTCAGGGCGATCGATACCTGGCAAAGCAAGTTCTACTGGGCGTCTAGGCCTCACCTACAGGGTGCTCAAACTGGTTGATGGGTTGTCATGTTGAGAGGGGTCGTTTCATGGACAACATTAGGCAAGTACGCAGCAAAAAGTCAGTCATTTCAAAATGTTCTACATTCCCCGCCTGCTTGTGATCGTTGTCGCACTACCCTCGCGACTGCCCGGCTGTGGCAGGCCTGACTCCCTCCTCCCATTCCACGACTGTGGGGTCCAAGACAGTGGGAAAATCGGACAGTCTCTGTCCGTTCTCTGGGTGGTACGGACATCTGGCATAGCGGGCAGGATGCCACGGGAGGTGTCGAACGGCCCTGTGGACAGGTCAGGCGCTGTAGTGCCAGGCGACCTTGGACGAGGGGGACGATGAGGATGGCCTCAAGGGAGGCGGGGGCAGGCTGGGAGTGATGGCGGTAGCATGGAGGGCCTAGATGACGATGACGATGTCCTGTGTGGGAGGCACGAGGCACCTACGGTGTCAGAGACGAGCTCCTGGGCTCTGACGGTGGGTGGTCTGCGCCACGAAAACGCAGGATTGGCGTGAAGGGGGCCTTCAGGAGCAAGCTCGGGCATCAGGCAGACTTTTGCTGTGTGCTGGTGCCACCTGGGTTCGTAGTTGACCGACCAAGCCGTGGCAGATAGGATTTCGCAAGCTTGACAGGTACCCACCAACGAAAATCAGCTCTCCCCAGTCCCAGTGCCAGTGCGAGTCCCCGTCCCACGTCCCACGTCCCAGCACCGCGAACCCCAGCACGTACCCATCCGTCCATCCAATTCAATTCACCTGGGCACAGCGCGGCGTCTCCAGCCTTCCCACCGGTTCCTCTCCCTCGCTCGCTCGCTCCTCCTCCCACACTCTGTAGAGCATCCGTCTGCCTCCCCCCCTCCCGCCTTCCATTGACTTACGTTACGTTACGTCACGTGCGTGCCAAAGCTCTGCGCCTTCACTGCCATCAGCCATCAAACGGCGCCGCGGCCAATCTTTTCGTCTCCAACTTTCCACTCCAACAAGACAGACCGGACCAGCACCGACATTGCTCGTTCACTGTCACCATCTCTCTTCCTCCTTCCATCACATCATCTTGGCGACTTATCGTGCACCCTTGCCATCAACCCGCATCAATTTTTCTATCCCCACTAATCCTCAACGCGAATAACGCGTGCATTCACGTCGATTCGCATCCACCCCCGGCATTGTTTCCCCCCAACGCGCCTAGGAATCACGTCGCCCACCCATCCTCATTATGTCTGACGAGGGTAGCGCGCAACCTGTTGCCGCCCAGCCTACTGCAGAGGCCACCGGCACAGCTGGCAACAACACTGTTGGCAACAAGGCGACCGACGCGCCGGGCCCTGCAGCTGCTGAGACAAAGGCCGAAGGTCCCAATACTACAGGGGAGGGGGCTGAGAAAGAAGCTGCTGAGCCAGCTAAGGAGGGAGAGACTGCCAAAGAAGTTGAAGGTGAAAACTCTTACTCGTCTGCGCCTGCACCTGGTCGCATTCTTGACGGTTGCAACAACTTGCTGACCATCGCATCAACTTGAACAGACCCAAGCAAAACCTCGACCGAGAAGCCCTCCGAAGACGGCGACATCGAGATGAAGGACGCCCCAGACGCGACGACCTCACCCCCCGCCGAGGCAGGTCCTAACGATGACAACACAGAGCAGGCAGAAGCTGTCGCGCCAGCCTCTGGTGGAGATGACGCCACGGCTGCCACAGCCAATGCTTCCAAGACCAAGACGCCTGCGCGTAGGAAGTCTACTGCTGGTGCTGACAGCGCCAAGGGAAAGAAGCTGAACAAGAAGGGTTCCAAGGCCGCCATACTGCATATCGATGCGCAGCCAGGCCAGCACTTTTTTATCAAGCTCAAGGGCTACCCACAGTGGCCATGCATCATCTGTGACGAGGACATGCTACCTCATGCGCTTATCAAGACGCGTCCTGTCAGCGCTGCGAGATCTGATGGTACCTACCGCGAGGACTTCGCCGATGGTGGCAAGCGCGCTGCCGATCGAACTTTCCCCATCATGTACCTCGCGACGAATGAATTGTAAGGAGTGCCCCCGCCTTCATGTTGACTCTGGATGTGTAGGAACTCCACTGACATTGACATCTAGTGGCTGGGTCTCGAACAAGGACTTGGTTGACCTCGACACCGACAAGGTGGTCGACCAGATCACTCCGAAGATGCGCAAAGACCTACAATTGGCACACCAGATCGCCGCAGAAGGACACGATTTGGATTACTACAAGGACCTCTTGCAACAATTCCAGGAAGAGCTTATTGAGAAGCAAAAGGCAGCTGAGGCCAAAGCTGCGGCCGCCGCCACACCGAAGAAGTCCAAGAAGCAGGCCAAGTCATCCAACGAGGTCGAGGATGTTGAAATGGAAGATGTTGACGACGAACCATCCACTGCTAAGGCCAAGAAATCGGACAAGAAGCGCAAGAATACCGAGGACTCAGAGACTCCTCAGCGTTCCGAGTCTGTTAAGAAGCCGAAGATTAAGCTCACTAATAATGCGACGCCCAAGACTGCCAATGGCGCCACGCCGAAGTCCGCCAAGGCCGGAGGCGAGGCAAAGGCGAAGAAGGCGAAGAAGGCTACCAAGGAGGCCGACGATGAAGAGAAGGCGCAGTCACCAAAGGAGCCCGAGATGAGCGCTGAAGATCGCTTCCAGCGCAAGAAGAAGGAGGTGCTTTTCCTTCGCCACAAGCTTCAGAAGGGCCTCCTGACGAGAGACCAGCTGCCCAAGGACGACGAGGTGAAGGTCCTCTCAGACTACCTTGTGAAGCTTGAGCAATTCCCCGATCTTGAGACCGAGATTATTCGGGCGACCAAGATCAACAAGGTGCTGAAGGCCATGCTGAAGCTGGACTCAATTCCCAAGGAAGAAGAGTTCAACTTCAAGCCCCGATCTCAGGCTCTGCTTGACAAGTGGAACAAGCTTCTGTCAGAAGAGGGCCCTGCTTCTGCAGCACCGGAGGAAGCCAATGGCGTCAATGGGCACTCCTCTGAACCTCCGGCCAACAAGGAGGCCAAGGCTGGCGTAAATGGCGTCAAGAAGGCTGACACCGAGGAAGCCGACACCAAGGCTGAGGCAACGGGGGACAGCAAATCCGAGGTCAAGGAGCTGGAGAAGAAGGACACAGAGGAGGAATCGAAGGAAGAGGCTGTCGCCGACGAAAAACCATCCGCAGAAGAGGTACGTGGGTCATGATTGAGTTTCTCTTGCTATATTGTGGCTATTTTGCCAGGCCTGTCCTTCCGGACAGATTCATATCTGGTCCTCAACCGACACCACACGCTTTCAATATCGAGCTCTACGTCACCCTTGCAATCCCGCCGTCTCAACCGACCCTGCTATGAACACGAGAAGCTAACAGTCACAGGCTGTCAAGGCTTCTGAGGCTGTTGACACCGCGGCTTAAGGATTGACTCGCAATCGGTTAGGAGTGGGTTGAGTGGGGCTGAACTGTTGCTCTGGGACTGAGACCGACGGCGTTTTTTTTTGTAAAATAAGTACTTCCGTTTATGCTTTGCACGCGAAAGGGCCAAGGATGAAATGGGCTGGTGTTCTCGGGGATTGCGATCATTCCCAATGTGATTCTAGGCCGGGCGAGACCGGGATGCGTTTGTCTTGATGGCAATTTGAGGGAGCATTTCCCTCAGCGAGAGAACAAAATGGTTCGGAGGGATGGCCGGGGACGGACCGACGCAAGAGAACCACGAGAGGTTCTTCTGCAAGACCTAGAACGACAAAATGGCAGGAACCTGCTGAGAAAACGAGGGTGCCGCTTTTTGTTAGAGGCGCAAGGCATCATCATTCGCAAGCAAAAAAGGTCGTGGATTCATTGGGATAATGCAGGTAGCTCAGTATCAAGTACGAATCAAATGACTGAACAAAACGATAATTTTTGTAGAGATGGCCGGAAGCGAGCCGTCTCTTGTACCTCGATGTTGATGATGCTGGACTCTTGTTGAAAACTACGGACGGTGATTCTTACGTAACATACGCTGCACCAACAGACGCGACCACTTCGCGTCTCTGTACAAGGGGTTGGACGCAGCCCTGTCCCTTCCTTTCTTTCCACTTTTGCTGCCAATTCAACCAGCAAACAAAGCAGTCAATATGGATCATGATGAAGATGGCTACATCTACGATGACCATCGAGTAAGTTTTGCCCAGCTTGCTGTTGAGCTGTTGCTAATAGAAGCTCTCCAGGCAGCGTTCATCTTTGGCCAAGATGGCGAGACTGACCGGGTCTCACGCCCGGCGAAACGGAGGAGGATCTCTGGAAAGGCGGTCTCGGTGAATGCTAAAGATGGCGTTCGTTCGCAACCCATTTCGGAATTTGTGCCACTGCTCCATGGCGTGGAAGACCCCGAATTTGTGAGCTTGAGGCAGGCGTTGTATGCCGATGCCTGGACTGCCATCGACGCGAGAATACAGGTATGCCAGAACCAGAATGCAATTTCACCGGAGAACATTCAGTTGACTTTGTTTTGTCGTCTAGCATGTACTTAAGGAGTCAAATCGAAGCACGTTGGACGCAGTTGCATCATTCGTCAGCGAGGCTCCGGGCGAAGAGCATTCTCAAATGCCCACGGCGCTCATCGTCACTGGGCCGAATATCTCCTCCCAGGAACTATTGTTCGAGCAACTGGCTGAGAGCCTGGAGGATTCGGTCCAGGGCGCGTTTGTCAGGCTCCGATCGGCAGAAGCCCCCAATTTGAAGGCGACGCTGAAGAAGATTATCCGCGATGTTACGCGGCGGTCCTCCGAGCATGAGGGAGATGATGCCGAGCTGTCTGTGGGAAGGGATGTGAGTGAAATTCGGACTTTTGGCTGTGGCTTGAGGCTTGAACTGACGGAACTCCTCTAAATAGGGTCGGAAATACCTTGATTATGACCTGGAATCGCTTCATGCTCACGTCAAACACCATGAGGCAAAACAAGTCATTGTTGCTTTCCAAGATAGTGAGGGATTTGATACGGGACTCTTGTCCGAGTTGATCACACTTTTCAAGTATGGCATTCACTGCTCGACTATCCATGAGGACCTGCCACTGACACATAATTTCAGCTCATGGAGCGATAGGCTCCCATTTACCTTGCTTTTCGGCATCGCGACCTCGGTCGAGCTGTTCCAGGCCCGGCTGCCCAAGTCGACCAGCCAACATCTCTACGGCGCCCAATTCGACGTCGTGCAAATGTCTTCGGTCCTCGAGAACATATTCAAGGGTGCTGTAGCTCATGGCGCCAATCCCTTGATCATCGGTCCTGCTCTACTTCGCGACTTGATCGCGCGGCAGCAGAGCCAAGTTGCCGGGATACAAGTTTTCATGAATTCATTAAAGGTAAGCCTCATACTTGATATTGACGCAAGCTGAGAAGCTCACAATCTGCAGTATGCTTATATGTGCCACTTTTACGCCAATCCTTTATCGGTCCTGCTTTCGGAGATCAAGCCACAGCCTGAGCACCTTGAGGCGCTTCGCAATCTTCCATCTTTCCGGTCCCATATCGAGGACGCTCTTGAAGCCGGAAGACTCAAGCACGTACGACTGATGCTGGATGACGATGCCTATCTTCTGGCCGAGCAGCAAAGGACAGCCGTTAAAGGTACAGCTAAATGGGAAACACAGCTTCTGAGGTCGTTGTCACTGCTCGAGGCCAGTGGGCTCCTCCAGGAAAACTTCATCGCTACGTACACAAACGCTCTTTGTGACGGCATTAATCTGCATTCCGAGGGCTGGAGCGCTCTCGACACGGTCAAGAGGAGGTCCGCTGACGATATTTCGGCGCTTTTACATCGTCTTCTGGACACAGTCCGGAGCGGCAACCGGGAGCTTGGCATGTCAGGATGGGCCACCGAAGACAAGAAAGTCGTGCACACTCTTTCCGGCTTGCTAGAGCGTCTCGCTTCTCTGCAATCCCAATCGCAGCTGACGGGGAAGCCCTTACGCAGCCAGTACAGTGCCCAAACCAAACTGCTCAGAACCACGGTCGTGGCACAGAAGGTACAGTTGAGCCAGAAAGAGACAAGCTTGTCAAATGAAGACAAAGCTTTCACAGGATTAATTGATGACCTCGTTGAGTTCCTGGCTGCGGAGACATTATGCCAGCCGGCGGATGCAATCCTCTTTCACGAATTATGGATGTACGAGTCCACATCACCTCACAGGAACGTCTTCATTCCACGGCCAGGGACTATTTTCGAACGCGCTCTCTCGAGACCGCACGACTACCTGGCCTGCAACTGCTGTAGCGGAACCGAAGATGGAAACGCCTCGACTCTGCCGGCGACGTCAATACTGTACCACCTGTACGGAGAGGCGGGAGCGCTGATTAATGTAGCTGATTTGTGGTCCGCCTTCTATGCGCTCGTTGGCTGCTCTAACGACGAGGATGGCGACCCGAAATCAAGACCGAAATCCAAATCGGCCGAATCACGCAACGAAGACGGCCTTGACGAACGCACCGCGTTGGTGCTCTTCTACCAGGGGCTGGCAGAACTGAAGGCCATGGGTTTTGTCAAGCCGACTAAGAAGAGAGCGGACCACATTGCTAGACTGAAATGGCTGTGATCGGGGCCATGGTATGATGGGAGAGGATGCGTGACTATTAAGTTTTCACGTGAAGAGGAATGAGTATTTGGCCTATTGCGGATGACACTAAGCGTAGTTCCGGGGTTTGGACGGCTTGACTGTCATGATGTCTCACACCTCATAAAGGTGCTTTGATTCATGGTCCTTGCGCCGAAGAAATGGAGGAACCGTGTGGCTCACATGGCCAATATAAAAGACACAAAGAAAACCCGAGGACCTCTTAGAAACGGCTGGGCCTTTTTTGCACTGTCCCAGGAATATCTCTAATGGAGGCGTCCCGAAAAGTTCAACAAAGAGTAATACCTGTAGCCGCGCACTTACAAGTAGCACTCGTGAGCCCACAGAATCAGACCACCCCCCTGGATCAGCACTGATCACGATTTGGCGTTTTACCAGAGAATCGATTTGATCCAAGATTCTCTTACTCGACACAGAAAAAAGGAACAAACAGATTGTTGCTGCTGGCACAGCGATAGCCTTAGCCAACTGACACACAGTCTTTCGTATCTCGCATCATCCATCATTCTCTTTGGCCTTCCAACTGTTTTTGACTATTGATGAAAGAAGCTCCCATTTGGCTTCCCAGCTTTCCCTTATTTAATCATTACAGTCTTACAGACACTTTCTGATACTATCGTATTTTTGCCTCTCATCTCAGAAGCAAAATACCATCTTTCTGTCTACCATCCCATTACCCACAGCGATGACCAACTGGAGCAATTGGCCCTGTAATCAGGGCGCCGCCCAACAACAGCAACAACAACCGCCGCCGTCGCCTTCCCAGCCACGGATGCCCCTCGACGGCAGCGTGGGCGCCCGGCGGGCGGACCGCAACGATGCACTGGAAGTAAAGCTTAGACAAATGAGGCTTCCACTGGCGCCTTTGGTCCAGTTAACGAGCGGGCAGATCCATCCCAGCTTCCCGCCAACGCTGCTCAACTTCTGGCTCCTCACGGACGCCCAGCTGGACGAGCTCGCGCACTTCTACCACCAGCGGACGCCGTGCCAGTGGACGAGGCACTACCCCTGCCCCATAACCTGGCAGGAGGGGCTGAGCATCGAGGAGAAGCGGAGGAAGATCGGCAAGTTTATCGGGCTTAGAGGGGTAAGTTTTCCTTCCATGGAGAGAAAATCCCGTAGCAAGACCACTTGAGGAACGAGAAAGCTGAATACTGACAGTCAAGTGGAATAAGTGCGAGACACCGTTACACGTCAAGAGCGAGGACGAGATCATCGAGGAAGCCAGACAAGCCCGGCTGAGAGAGGACGAAGATGAGGCAGTCAGGAGAAAGATACCGTGGTATCGATAGTAGCTCTACGGCTTCACTGACCAGCAAGCCCCATTCTGTCCGCATCTAGCATGGCGAGTTGTTTTTGCCCGTCCAGCCTTTGGATAGTATCATAAGATTTTCCATAGCGAGGAGTCGCGGTGTTTTAGAACTTTTTTCCGTAGCAGGAATCATCATTTAATTTCCCTTGGCAGTCCAAAAACTTCCTTGTCTGGATCGAAATTATCTAGATTGGTAGTAAGCCTTCAACGCCGCGCAACCGTAGTAATGCCGTGAATGCCGAGTCGGGTCTTGTTAGAAAAACTGATTGAATTTTGTACAATGTCCATAACCAGACTGCCCACAGAGGGTCCGTCTGACGAGGCAGCGCCCGGGGCTGTCGCGAACGCTCACGCCCTCTTCCGATTGGAGGGTCTTCCGTTGCGAGAGGATTTCCCCTATTTCTTCCCCTTCTTCTTCTTGGAAGCCCCCGTGCCCTCGGCAGGTGTGCTTGCGTCGACCAGAATACCATCGTCGCTGGGAGCCGCGGCCTGCACCTTGTCGGTATCCTCGTCCAGTTCCTTCATAAAATCGGAAGAGATGGCGGCGCGACGTTTCTCCCACCATTGCTTCTCGGCGTCTGTCTTGGCGGTTATTTCCTCGAGCTTCTTCTGGAACATCGTGTTTGCGGCAATTTCGTTCGCAGTCTGAAAGATACTCTGGCCCCAGTTGGGCGCGAGACCGTTGGCCTAGAAAGACAAATTTGGTCAGCATGTTGCGTGAGTCTTGGGAGGGTAGGCAAATAGAGCGATCCACGCCTCGAACGCACCTCCATTACTACATCACGCAGCTCGGCCTCCATCTCGCTTTCAGCACGTGTAAACCTCTGCCACAGGTCATCACCAACGCTTCCTCTCTGCAATAAAGTCGAGCATGCCTGCTTGGCGGTACGGATCTGGATGATACGGTGGATGTCTTCGACTGCGCGGCGGATAAGAGCGGCCCGGAGGATACTCTGGGGGACTTGAGGGGCCTTCTCTTGGCCCTCCTCGGGTTCCATGTGGAGTAGCGACAGGTAAACATTCCGTTGCAGGTGTGGACCGAACCATGGCTCAAGGTTTGCTTTTTGTGCTGTCGCGTCTGTCAGCTGGTGCCGGAACATGGCATAACGTGTAGTGAGAGGCACTCACCAGCCTTGCGCTTCCTGTAGACACTTGAAAATGTGACAAAAGTCCCGCCCAAAACGAGTATGTAAGCGATGGGGAGGATGAGTCCCCTCCAGTCCAGGGAGAACATGGCGCTGGGCAATCTGAGTGGGCACGTAGAATGGTCGAGTCTTGGGAAAGAGGATAAAAAGGGTTATGGTAAAGAAGACGAGATCAGGGCAGAAGAGAGCGACAGGGGAAACGGGAAGTGAATTATGTGCGCCGGCACGTCTGTCTGTGAACGGTGGAAGAGGTACCCTGATGGGAGGGACGGGAACTCGAAGTGACCATATTCAAAGAAAAAGACAGGTTTACCACAGCGCTGCAGCTAGCTCAGCGACCAAGTGCCGCCAGCGTCAAACGTGCATACCCTGACCGGCTGTTTGGTGCCTGCCGGTGGACGGGCCACACTTGGGTACCTGGGTACCTGACACCCGGATATCCACATACGGCTGGCTTCCTCTGCAGTGTAAGATCGATTTAGTCTTGACAAGACCCTTGGAAATGACCGAAAACTGAAGAAAAATGCTATGAATTGATCCTCACTGTAGATCTCTCCCAAAAGTCTAGAGAGAGAGACAGACTCTATAGTATCGAAAGTTATGAAGTGCTTAGATCTGTGCAGCCCACAGAGCTGTGGCCCCAAAGTTTACCAGGTATCTAGAAGCAGAACAAGACTGCGACAAGCTTGCTAGACATAGTACAAGGCTACCGAGCTGTATTGTCTCTTCTCCATTCTGCAGAATGTAGGCAGCACGCCATTCTGCACGGGAGTTGTACAACCCACAGAGATCCCAAATGCTCGGGTACAGTTTGACCAGTACATAGCAACCTTTCCCATATGATAACATGCTACGGAATGGCTTATTAGGGGATGATCTGATATGGGATCACCAGTGATATGATAATGTATAATCTGTTGTAGGATACTCCGTTGTGGTATGTCCTGTTATAAGAGGAATTTCAAGGGACAATCTCCCAATATATAGCTCCTTGGGCAGGTGTTGTCCCTCCTTCTAGTCCCTTGTGAAAGTGGTACAGCGCCTGACCCTGTTGATGCCGAAACTCGCCCATGGTTGGTCAGCCTTATTTCCCTGTGGGACCAGCCAGGTCCGTGCCTGGAGCAGGCAAAAGCAATGACGAAACCCTGAAGCTGCCGTTTTGCCCCAAGGAGCTCTGGCCCTTCCCCCACCCTTTCACCCGCTCACGCCGGGGAGTCGAGCAAGCTTGCGACCAGCACTTAACCGTGCAGACTTGCTTGTTTACAAAGCAGGTATACTAGTCTATGTACTTCACCATCAAACAGCAGCCTTGGTTTAGATCATACTTCTCCCAACTTTCACTTCCACTTCCAAGGATTGCCTGCCTGGACGTTCCTGTCTTACTCTCATAGCATCCCACCATCATCGTTCCGTGTGTCTCCTGAGTACCACCATCACCCTTATCCCACATCCACCCACTGCTCCTGGCAAACATGTTGCTGAGAATCCGTGGGCCTGATGGCATGCTGCGCATCAATGTCCAAGAGACCGACTCCTTTGCAGATGTTGCCGACAAGTTCTTGACCGAGCTGCCGCCCACCGTCGATCCTAACACGATTTCTTTCTCTAACACACCAGGGGGCAACGACTTCAAGTCCCTCTCCGAAGTAGGGAGCTTGAATGTTGCAAAGACTGGTCTCCGCCATGGCGACGTGATCTTCATAAGATACCAACATGCTCAGGTCCTGGGCAACGGCAACGTGAACGGCGACACGGATCAAGCTAAGGCGCCATTGGCATCCTCGACGAACCGACTGAATGGAAAGCCCATCTTACCGACCGAGGACCTTCCCATCGACCCACCGCCGCTGACATCCCCGAACGAGAGAATCAAGAATCCCTGGGAGGTCGTCGTGCAGTCCAAGCTTGACGATGCCTTGGACAAGAAGAGCGGCAAGATACCCCGGAAGATGGATACCATGTGCCGCCATGGGCCCAAGGGCATGTGTGACTACTGCCAGCCTCTAGACCCTTTCGATTCCAAATACCTCAACGAGAAGAAGATCAAGTACATGTCATTCCACGCATATCTCAAAAAGATCAACGCAGACAAGAACAAGCCCGAGTCCGGAAGCTCCTACATTCCTCCCCTTGTTGAGGCATACTACCGTGTCAAACGCGACTGTCCCTCAGGGCACCCACAGTGGCCCGAGGGTATCTGCACTAAGTGTCAGCCGAGTGCTATCACGCTGCAGCCCCAGCAATTTCGAATGGTTGACCACGTCGAGTTTGCCTCTCCGGCTATCATCGACACATTCTTGAACGCTTGGCGCATGAGCGGGTCTCAGCGGATAGGCTTCTTATACGGCAGATATGAAGAGTACAATGTCGTCCCGCTGGGGATCAAAGCTGTGGTGGAAGCCATTTATGAGCCGCCTCAGGTGGACGAGATAGATGGAATCAACCTTAACCCTTGGGAAAACGAGAAGGAGGTCACGGAGGTTGCTAGATTGTGTGGTCTGCAGCAAGTCGGTGTGATTTGGACTGATCTCCTCGATGCGGGGAATGGAGACGGGACTGTCATATGCAAACGACACCAGGACTCGTACTATATCGCATCGCAGGAGATCACTTTCGCCTCCCGCTTGCAAGCACAGCACCCGAAGCCTTCCAAGTGGAGCGATACGGGACGGTTTGGCTCGGACTTTGTCACTTGCATCATCTCGGGCAACGGAGAGGGCGGAATTGAGATCAGTGCATATCAGATGACCAACGACGCCGTCGAGATGGTCAGGGCCAACATTATCGAGCCCTCTGCTGATCCTGGACGAATGCTAGTACAGGAAGAAGAGGAAGACGACGGGTCAACTAGCCGGACACGGTACATACCCGAGGTGTTCTACCGGAAAATCAACGAATACGGCGCCAACGTGCAAGAGAATGCAAAGCCGGACTTCCCTGTTGAGTATCTATTCGTCACGTTAACTCACGGATTTCCCGACAACGCACGGCCAACATTTACGGATCTAGTCTTCCCGGTCGAGAATCGAGAGCATATTGGCGAGGCTCAGGACCCGAGTGCTGTGGCGCAGAAGCTAAAGGCCAGTTCAAAGTCAGACAATGGACAACTTGTTGTCTCAAACTTCCACTTCCTGTGCTTCCTGCACGGCATGGGCGTGTTGAGTAAGGTGAGCAAGCAGAACAGGGCCTGCGTGTGACTTCCGAGCTTCCTCTAATCAAATTTGCAAACAGGATGAGGAAGCCCTTCTCTGCCGCGTGGCGACCGGCCACGATCTCGCAGACGCGTTCCAGCTCAAATCAACAACAGGATGGCAGACCTTGCTGGCAATCTTACAGTCGACTGGTGAGAGAATCCCCAAACGCGGTCGTGAGGAGTTGATGGACTTGGACACCAGCTCCGATTCTTCCTCCCCCTCTTATGCACCCCATTACGACCCAGCTACCGAACATCTTGCTAAGCGCGTTGCTGCCGTTAGGCTGAACTCGACCCTCCCGGAAGACGTCATTAATGATACCGACTCGAATTGACGCAGTGAGACTGGAAGAATGGTCTGTGAAAGGCATGTCGGGATTGTGAGGATGACATTTGGCTTGTGGCGATTAGGAGAAGAGGCAAGGTTTACTTGGGTTAGGCGAATCGGCGTTGTGGTAAACATAGAGAGCATTAGAAAGGTGACGGTGAGGACACTTTGCCTGCCGGCCATAAAAGCATTGAATCTGTACGCAGAACGATTTATTTGATATATCGGGCCCTGAGCCGTCAAGAAAGGGCTGAGATTGGCGTTGTCCTGTCATTGATCGTACTACCTTGGGTGAACTCCTTAGACTTTGATGAGAACCGAAGCAGTACCCCGGTACGTGCGTTATGTGAGCTTCTTATGTCTCATTGGCTTGGTTGAGAGGGATATATGTCTTGTTGTATTTACACTTTCTTGTACATCTCACCGTCGTCGACTGCCATCTCTCCTTCCAGCTCTTCGGGATCCACTGGCGCTTCCACCTTAGGGAGCTCCAATGGAGCGATTTCGGAAGCGCCCATCTCCTCCTGCGCTCTCTTGAAGACATCCCTGAAATGCACGGTGTCGCTATATTCCTGTTCCGCCTTCTTGTAGTAGTACTCCAGCAGTATGTTATACAGTATATGGGGATCCTTGACCTCGCTCGGGCTCTTGTTCGCCTCCGTTTCCGTGCCGTCGCCTTGGCTTTGGGCTTGGTCTTCCTGCTGCCTCTTCTGCATGTTGTGAATCATAGTCTGCAGCTTCATCGTGGTCCGCATCACGACCTTGCTCGTCCGCGGCGAGGGGCGGTCTATCCCCTCGTACTCACCAATCATTTCCAGCAACACGTTGCGCGTGATGTTGAAACGCATTAGATCCCGGAGGCACACGAGCGCGACAATCACGCCAGCCCAGTCGGCGCACTTGCGAAAGCTGTGCAGCATCAGCTTCACCTGCTCCTCCGACAGCTCACCATGACGTGTCCGCCGCCTGTCTTGATACAGCGAGGTCGAGTTGACCATGTCTCTGAAGAAGCCACGAGCTTGTTCCTGTGACTCGGCCGTCACGTGGGGAGCGATCTGGGTGAGTTTCCTGCCCCGTAGAGCGTTGATGGGTAGTGACTTGAAAAGGACGGCGTATGTGTCCGTGTTAGGCAGGATACCATGTTCGTGCACCATCAAATCGTACAGCTCCCGCGCCTTTTCGGCATTTCCCTGTTCAACGGCCGCCATGATTAACTCATTCATCATCATGGCGTCTCCGCCGATCTCACACTCTTTATACGCCACGAACAATTCCTCGAGCCGGCCAAAGAGACCTCGCTCGCGATAGTTCTCGGCCAAGAGAATGAAAGTCTCGGAGGACGCGCGGGGCACCATCGTGTAGTCGAGCTCTCCGCTGTTGTGCTCCCGATTACTGGGCCGGCCGTCGTAGAGTCTGATGGGCCATTCTATACTGCTTTCTCGTTGGCGCAGCTCGACGAAGGCTTTTCGGGCGTGTACCATGGACCAGGCAAGGAGCTCAGCTTTTTTGCGCTCCTCCGCTGTTCTCGATCGGAACCAAGCCCCAATGAGACCATTGACCTGCACAGCTGCGGCCATAACACCATTCTCTTGCATGTATACAAGGACTTTGTAGGCTCCATCGAGATCCCTGGCACCGATGAGCCTCTTCAGCCACTTGCCGAAGAAGAATTGGTTCCTCACAGAGCTGGGTAGCTTGCTGTTGCCGTAGAGATTGACAGTTCCCGAGTATATCATATCCGTGAACGCGTACATCGCATAATCCAGGTGGCCCGATTCGAGGAAGATTGAGATAACATTGTCATAGTCTTCGATTGTCATAGGCTTTTCGATCTCTGTCGCAAGATCTCGCATACGCCTATAAAGCTTGAAGCCCTTGTCCGCAGCGGCGGGGTCTGGCGTGGTGACATATGCTCTTATCAGGTACAGGAGCACTTGGGAGTCCGCCAGGGTAGAAGCACTTGCCCGGTCGAGAACAACTTGACATGCCCTTTCCGCGCGTCCTATATCCCCCCGCTGTGACCATAAACGCACTCCCAGCTCCCAGAAAGCCATCGCAGAGGATGCGCTACTGCCAAGGGTCGGACAAAGTCTTTTCCAATTCTCAATCGCTACCATCTCGTAGCCTTCAGAATATGCCGCTTCGATTTGTAGCAATTGCTGTTCGTCAGTCAATTCTGTCCCGGACTCCACCATAGCATGACATAGGCCGCGAATGTGAGCCATTCGGTGAGGGTTTTTCTCGCTATCCCAAGAGAGAATGGCCCATAGGTCATTCCACGCATTCTTTGGCACTATCCTCTGGGGGTCGGACAAGACAGGTCTTGCCTGTTTGAAGTATGACCATACTTTCGAGACGTTTAGGTGATCCAGCTGGTTCTTCCGGAGGAGGGTTGTAGAACGCTCGATGGAGTTATTGAGGAACTTCAGGGCTTTATTTATCTTTTGCACCTCAGCTCTACTCATGCGCAGGCCACTTTGTTCCTCAACGACCAGAGGAATGGGCGTAGTGCTGGTCTCGGCGTCGTAGGTTTCCAGCACGCTCCTGTATGCTTCGACTGCGCCCTTAGGCCCGTGCTTTGCCAGTATTCTCTCAAGGAACCGAGACTTGTTGTTCAGCGACTCCAGGGTCGCGTCGAACTTTTCGATCTTGGCCAATGCACTGGCCTCGAGGGCTCTTATGTCCTCCATGTCGACATCGTCGCCATCCTCTTCGACCGGCAACTGCCGGACCTCACCCGTTGTATCCTTTTCGAAATATTTGACAGTGTATGGTTTTTCTCGTGTCTCTTCGGTGGACTGTTCGGAGTCTGGCTTTATCGCCTTGGAGCGCTGGCGAGTCTTGCCCTTGGAATCGTTGGCGTAGGGCCGCACGCTACTCTGTTTCGCTGGGTGTTTGCTAAGGCTGCTGAGGCAGGAATGGCAAACATAAGAGCTGCTGCGCGTCGCCAACCTCAACAAGGCAGTCTTGGGAGGCATGAAGAGTCTTCAACAGTTGGCCATGGATCGCAAACTCAACGAAGGAGTGGCGGAGGGGTATACGAGTCCAGAGGAATTCCCCGACGGAAAGCCGTAGTAGTTTAATGGGGGTCGCGTCACAAAAAAAAAGTGACGTCTCTTTCGCAAGCTCCAAATTTTGGGGAGCTTGTTCTTAATCAATTTGCGATAAGCAGCTAGCGAGATGGTTCTGCCAAAGGCGGTCAGAATTTTCCTTTCCCATTATCTTCCTTCGTTCTTTGCTTGCCGCTTGATCTCGCAAAAGAGACTCTTGGGACACAACGCAGCACATTTAAGTATCGACGCCATGTCGACTCCAAACCCTGAGTACCTGCGCTTGACAGGCCATAAATCCTTTACCCACCGCCTCATCCTCTCCACGCTGACTGGCCGACCCGTCCACATCTCTGGCATCCGCAGCTCGTCTCCCACCGCACCCGGGCTTGCCCCTCATGAAGTCTCCTTCCTGCGACTCCTCGAGGCTGTCACCAACGGCAGCTCCATGCAAATCTCCTACACCGGCACAACAATAACATATCACCCTGGTCTGATCACCGGCACTGTGGCCGGAGCAGGCGCGGCCTCAGACGATGTCATCGAGCATGTGTTGCCCCCGAATTGCTCCCGGGGCGTCACCTACTTCCTGCTACCACTGGCCCTTCTCGCACCCTTTTCAAAAGCACACATGAATGTTCGCTTCTCAGGGCCGGGCGTCATCACTTCCGCCACCAACACCGGCGACATGTCTGTCGACTCCTTCCGTACTGCCATCCTCCCACTTTACGCCCTTTTCGGCATTCCTCCTGCGCGCATCGAGCTGCGCGTATTACAAAGATCCTGTCCCGGGCCCAGGGGCACCGGCGGCGGCGGATCGGTCGAGCTGCGCTTTGCAAGCCAGGTGCGCCTGCCGAAGACTCTACATCTCAACAGGTCGCCCGGGCGGATACGGAGGATCCGTGGTGTCGCATACTGCACAGGTGTTTCAGCGAGCAACAACGCACGTATGATTCACGAGGCGAGGAGGATACTGAATCCATTGGTGTCGGATATACATATTGCCGCGCAGTACGACCCTGCGCCACTGGTGCCCGACAAGAACGCTCCAGGGAAGGGGAAGAAGAAGCTGGGTATAGGTTTTGGGCTGAGCCTGGTGGCCGAGTCCAGCGTGCCTGGTGTGCTGTACTCTGCGGATGTGGTAGCACCGCCGGAGGGCGGCGTGGTCCCTGAGGACATTGGCACACGGTGCGCATATCAGCTGGCCGAGACAATACAACAAGGAGGGTGTGTGGCCTGGTCGGCATCCAGGACGATTCTCACGCTGATGGCTATGGGGTCCGAAGACGTTGGGCGGTTAAGATTGAGCAAGGACACTGTGGGTACCGAGGAGGTGTTGCAACTGGCCAGGGACCTGAGGAGTTTTGGCGGAGCAAGCTGGGGACTACGACCTGTGGATGACGACGATTCCGATGACATATTGGTATCTGTGAAAGGCTCTGGCGTTGGCAACGTGGGCAGGAAAATCGCTTAATACCCCAATGATACAAATAATTCCTGAGGAAAGGATGTGACAAATATGATGATGCATCGTCGAAATGTCCATGCTATGCCTATTATCGCCCATCATCGCTGTCGTGCTCGACGCTCTAACCTTGCCTGGCTTTCAGCGGCGAGTGCAGCCCAGGTTGTCGTATATCCGGTCAGGCGCAATGGATAAGCAGCCACATTAGAGGCATTGGTACTCTCGGCGGCCAATGTGCGCATCGAGTGCACGACATGAAAATTGGCCAACAGACCGTTCCCGGACATCAGCACGTCCAACAAGCTCGGCCTGTCTGCGCCTTCTTCTCGAGAATCCGAGCCGCCCAACGATCGCAAGATCCGCTGATATCGAGCTTCCAGTGGCCCAGTACCACTGTTCCCCGCCACAGCTGGGGGCGGTCGCTCCGTCATCAATGGCTGCAATTCGATGCCCCTAGAGTCGTCCTCGCCAAGTGGATCGTCTCTCAACACGCCTCGCTCTTCGGCATCCAAATCCTGTGTCGATGTGGCATCCCCCGTCGTAACAGGTGCCTCCTGCGGAGCCGGAGTGTTGACATTCCTCTTGGGGAAGCCCCCGGCAGCGACGCTTCGTAAAGTAACTTCTATTTTCTTGAGACGGTCCTTTTCCAGCCACACTGCACACATGACGCACTGCAATACCAGGACTAGGCAGTCCAGCAGCAAGAGGCCGACCCTGGACGTGGGCGCCTTCTGTCCCACGAAATCGATGATGACGCCCCCGTGTAGATAGCCTCGCATTGTCTCGCTTGCTTCGGGAAGAGCGAGCAGGAGGTGGAGAAGCATGCATATTACGTTAGAGGCGAAGACAGTGTATATCTGCGGCCGTGGGGCAGGCATGAGTTTGAGGAAGTCTTCGGGTTTCGGTGTCAGGTACATGTACTGCACGAGGGAGCGCAGGACCAGGCGGGCAAAGGAACAGCTTCGTAAACAGCCAGGTCAGCAAAGAAACGCGGGATTGATGATGGGCGAGATGACCATACTCCATGTAGTACAAAACACACAGCTCAGCGAAGACCAGGACATCCAAGCTGCTCATGAGGTGTGTCATGAATTCCAGCTTCTTCGCAATGCCGGCCTTGGCCCGGCGTACCCGAGAAGACGAGCGTCGCCGTCCATTGCGAGACCGCCGATGTCGCGAGGACTGCTGCGTAGATGACTCTCGGGCGTCGCCCTCGTCCTGGGAGTTGGTATCACTGTCGTTGTCGTCGTGGGTAGGCAAGCGGGCCGCGGAGCTCGCTGGTGTGGGATCATCGTTCATAGCTCCGCCGCATCTGATGAGGAAGGCTTGTCGGGTCGGTTCGTTTAGGTTTGGCCGCACATATTATTTTGGTGAGGACTGTATCATCGGTCGTCGGCCTGAGTTCGCACAGTCAATTACTGGGCACCTTTGGAGCCTCTGGGGTCGGCCTGGGGTTGAAGAGTCTGGGCTCAGATCATGCGCGAGATATGGTTAATAAGCTGGGGATGACGGAAGTCGAGGCGAGGCCCGCCAAGCTATTGAGCCGCCCGCCTTAGTCGACAGTATCATGTACTGCATGCCATGCCAATCCTGTGCCTCAGCAGCAATGTATCCACAGACAGGTGTGCAAATAGTTGGAAAGGTGTATTTTTCTTAGTCTTTTGCAGAGGAGAAAAGGAAGCTAACTATTATCAATCCCGACCATTTGTCGTTCGCTCTGGGAGGTCTACTTGCAAATCGAATTGTCGATTGACCTTGTACCAGGGACTCTCAACATGTGCTTGGCTTAATCCTCCGCATCCCAACTCGAGGTCTTTTGAATGAGACTTGGCCTTTCTTGCCTTGAGGCAAGCAGGATTTGAACCATACCGTCGATACTTGACCGTGAGAAACGGAGGTCATTATCGACAACATCTCTCTGGTCGATGTATTCAACGAAAAGACGTCTTTACCTCTGACGCTCAATACGACGAGGCTGCGGACATGTGCTCGGCTACATGAGCTGGTAGGTCCCCTAATGTGTTACGGCTGTCTGTACGAAGGGTTCTGTCCTCCGCACCCGTGTTTGTGACCATTTGAGGTTCTCTGCAGGGCTAGAAACGGCGATGACACACAGTCTGGTGAGAAAAGGCCCGAGCCGACCACTGCCTAAGCAATATCCTGTGTTGCCTCAAATGGGCGTCCTTGGGATGTGAGTGCGCCGGGATTCTATTTGCACATGAACCTCCTTTTTCTTAAGTTTTGAATTAGACACGACAACAAGGTGACAAAGCCCAGCATTAAAACTACTCCACAGCTTGTAGTGAGACAGTATTGACTTGAATGATACCTAGCTCCAGCCTTGAATTGATTTCATGTGTACTAAATAATTGAGACAATGACCTGAATGCACAAATTTACGGCAATGGAATTGTCTATGCCTCTCTGTTTGACCTGCCTACCAACCGACCATAACCCGGTACTTTCAGTACATTGCCAGGTACCTGAATATCTATGTGCAGTAGAACAAGCAATACTGAGATGGGATGGAGGGAGGGGCACAGCGCAGTCAGGTTAACCCCACATGGAACTGACAGGGGTCCAGTGCATTTTCGAGACTTCGTTAGGACCCCTCGCTGTGACTCAAAATGGCTGGAGCAGCATTTTAGATCTACAACTCGCCCAGATAACCTGCTCGTCCTCTTGAATACAATCCACCGGTCAACACTTCGCAGTCGACAGGATGGCGTCGTCTGGCGATTTCGCTTCGGAGATTCTCCTGGCCCTGTCCAAATCAGACCCTATTCTGTCCCAAGAAACCTTCCCCAATGCCACCTTCGCAGAGATCAAAGCAGCTCTCGACAAGCTTGCGTCGCGGTCCATGGTCACATACAAAACGATAGAAAAAGACGAAGCAGCCCTCGAGCCTGAGGCTGAGGGGATAGTCGCCAATGGCAGTCACGAAGCAAGAGTCTTTGAAGCGTTGCGACAGGCAGTTGAGGGCCTCACTGTCCAGGATCTCGAGAAGGCCATCGGTGACAAGAACGTCACCAAGGTTGGCCAGGGAAAAGCCTTCAAGGAGAAGTGGATTTCAAAAACGAGCGACGGCAAGCTCAAAGCATCTGTGAGTGCCTCAAGAACTCACCAACAGAGAACCTGAGGCTGACTGAGGGTGCAGACCGATGCGATCAAAGACACGACCAGGGAACAGCTCAGGACTATCCAGGAGACGAAAACCTTCCCCGATGCCAAAATCCTAACCGATTTGAAGAAGCGCAAGCTGGTCAAGATGCAGAAAGTGATTCACTTCAGGATACAGAAGGGCGACAAGTTCGCCTTGGAAATCACCAAGGAGGAGACAGACCTGACGGCAGAGATGCTGCATTCTGGCGCATGGAAGACTGCGACCTTCAAACCCTACAATTTCAAGGCACTGGGAGCGGATCAGCGGGCGGGAGCCCTGCACCCATTGAACAAAGTGCGATCCGAGTTCCGGCAAATCTTCTTTGACATGGGCTTCGAGGAGATGCCGACAAGCAAGTTCGTCGAGTCCGGGTTCTGGAACTTTGATGCGCTCTTCGTGCCACAGCAACATCCTGCCCGGGACCTGCAGGATACCTTCTACATCTCGGATCCCAAACAAGCAGACCTGCCTCGAGCGACTGGCCCAGACGACAAGGCCGACTATAAGACATACGTGGAGAACATCAGGGCGGTGCATGAGAACGGGAAGTTTGGCTCGATTGGCTACAGATACCCTTGGTCAGAAGAGGAGTCAAAGAAACTGGTTCTGCGGACACATACGACTGCCATCTCGACAGCTGTGCTTCACAAGCTGGCCCAACAGAAGGGCCCCGATGGACGACCACCACCAGCAAAGTACTTCTCAATTGACAGAGTTTTCCGAAACGAATCAGTTGACGCGACTCACTTGGCAGAATTCCACCAGGTCGAGGGTGTCGTAGCTGACTACGGCCTGACCCTAGGAGGTCTGATGTCGTTCATGGAGGATTTCTTCAACAGGATGGGGATAACAGACCTAAAGTTCAAGCCTGCATACAACCCTTACACCGAGCCGAGTATGGAGATCTTCAGCTTCCACAAGGGCCTGAACAAAATCGTCGAGATCGGCAACAGCGGTATGTTCCGGCCTGAGATGCTGGAGCCCATGGGTTTGCCCAAGGACATGCGTGTGTACGGTTTTGGCCTTAGTCTGGAGAGACCGACCATGATCAAGTACGGCATCTCGAATATCCGCGAGCTGCTTGGACACAAGGTGGACCTGAACTTCATCGAACGGAATCCAGCTGTCCGTTTCTAGACGTGGGAATGAAGCGCGGGAGCAACAGAATTAGAAATTTCAAGAATCCATGAGTACATGTCAGAAGGGACAAAAGCGTGGGCTAGAGGATTGAATTTTTGATGCCAATCTGAAGAACAAAAGTTTGGAGTCTGGCTCCGTGTCGATTACATTTCTCTAAACCTGGCGAACATACTTTTGAGGCCCGTAAACATTTTCATGCCATCGCCGCAGCCGCTTCCCTGAAGCTGCCGACCAGTTTCCTTCTGGGGTCGACCGTGATGTGTGTGAATTCCCCGTGCGATTGCGCATCGTCCTCCTCGTCTGTTGAGAGCGAGCCATCGTCAGTAGCCCAAGTCTCGTCGCTGCCGACCCTGTAGAGCAGGGACTGGTATTGCGCCTGACGGTCTCGCACACCGCCATGCTTATGCCGCCGATCCGCGTTGGGGGCTGAATAGACGTCAATCATTTTATCCGACGTTCGGGCGACAACCCGCTGCAGAGCCTCAGTTTCCCGCTGAGCATCTAAAGAGTCGCTGTGCGGCGCCATTGCCATTTGTGGCTCCGCAAAGCTGCCGTAGTGCATCCCGTTCGGGACACTGAAGAGGAGTGGCCCGGATTCCACCTCGTCGTCCTGATCGACAGGATCCCGTGGTTGGCCACCCAAGCATGATGCGCAGACACCCATGGTATGTGTATGAGAAGCGAAGGCGAAGGATGCACAGAGAGAAGACCAGGGGTACAAGTCGGCGTAGATAGTGTACTTTCGGAGGGGTGGTTTATTTTGCTATCCCCTGGCGGAGGCTGGATCGGGAGTAGCGTGAGAGAAAAAAGAGTAAAAAGAGCGGAACGGCTTAGTACGGATTATGCATAGTCTGCATCGCCCATCAAGGTTGGTCTCGTTCTTGAAGGAGAAGGATGCTTCAAGAACAGAAAGACTTCACAAGGACGAGGCGATTTGGGGATGAAGATAAATTACAGTGGTACGTAATGGCAGCGGGGAATGGATCCGAGGGTTCATTGACCAAGAGGAGAGGATACCGATGCTTTTATCAACCCCACGAGCTCCATGGACACAGCTTCTTGCTATGGGACAGAGAGGCAGCTTGGGGATCGGCGCCCATTCCTCGTGAGAAGGGCTAGACTGCGTGCCAGATACACTGTTTGCAGTGTGACTGAAGTTTGATAATGTGTTGACGGTTGTTCAAACCCAGCTCGACCCGATCTACCAATACCCACTGCACGGCTTAAGAGTCATTGGGAGGCTAGAGTCATCTCCCTACGGGCATCGTCATTTCCCCAGGCCTCGATCCAGTTTGGCGGAGCCGATGGGCGGGACTTCCCATGGCCCAAAACGGGAGGCTCCTAACTTCGGAGCGCCGTGAACTGATCAATGCACGCGAGATTCAGAATTTTCCTCTCCCAAACTATGTCAGTCACTGCTCGCCTGTTAGCCCGCGTCCTCGCCCTTGTCCACTCCCTCACAGGCTGCATTGGCTTGCAGTAGTCACGGTACCTGTATGTATGGACGCGTGTGTATGGACGAGTGAAGTGGCGCCCCTCTCCTCTCCATGCACGAGCATGATACCCGGGCGGCGTTGCATTTGAGTCGTAGGATATTTGCAGCTGGGCGGGCTGGGCGGGGCCAAACGGAGTGGGAGAAAAACTGGGGACCTTGTAAAGTTTGGACAGGGGAGCTCCCAACTCCAACTTGGATCTGAACTGATAGTGCGAGCTCGGTGCATAGCATCTTATCGGCCCCGCCAGAAAAAAGAATCCCCCAAGGGTTCACATGTACTTCGTATGAATCACACCCTCAGTTTTTCAAATCCAGCTCCAGCACTTTGTCAATTGGGTATAAAGAGGACGGAAAGGGTTACTACAGCTGCAATTGGGTAACAGCGCCCTGGTCGTCGCCGTCCTCGTCCCCTCTCTATCCCAGATATCTCCGCCCAAAACATGGCGCCTTCAGCGGTGGCAGCTCGAACACCTGCCCTCCTCCGACACGGTCGTCGAGGGATCCCAATTACTGCCACACAGTCCATCAGGGCTTTCACAGCTGCAACGCCCAGCACCTCTGCCAGGTTACAGGCCCAAGCCCAACAGCTTGTTCAGAAGCGTAACTTCTTGACCAGCGCCCGTTGTCTGGCAGCGGTGTCCAGCCAGTCTGCGCCAAACCCGCAGGCGTACCTTGAGAGCGGTGTGGTCAAGCCCAAGGAGACTGTCGATGTAAAGAAGGTCCTGGTCATTGGATCCGGTGGTCTTGCCATTGGACAAGCTGGAGAGTTCGACTATTCAGGTTCGTCACTCAAATCGTGGGAGGCTCTGCTGGTCGAGCCAGATGAGTCACACCATATGATATGAAAAGAGCTGCGCGGAAGTACATGACTGCTGACAGAATATGCCCATGATATAGGATCTCAAGCATTGAAGGCCCTGAAGGAGGCCGGCGTCTCTTCTGTTCTGATCAACCCCAACATTGCGACCATTCAAACGAATCACTTTATTGCTGATGAGATCTATTACCGTATGTTGGGGAGCCTCCTGAGCTTGCGAACTGCCCTTGAACGTCTTCCTCGAAGACGCGAAGCACAACTCCCGCATCCCGCACCCCTTCACGCGCGGCGCACTTTCGCGCTCCTGCCATGCAACGCCAATGACACACCCTGTAGGGCATATGCTAACAGCGCCTCGTGTAGTGCCGGTTACTCCTGAATATGTCACGTACGTTATCGAGCGCGAGAGACCCGATGGCATTTTCCTCTCTTTCGGTGGGCAAACGGCCCTGAACTTGGGTGTTCAAATGCAGAAAATGGGTATCTTTGAGAAATATGGCGTCAAGGTTCTCGGAACCAGTGTCCGAACCCTCGAGCTCTCCGAGGACCGTGATCTCTTCGCCAGGGCTTTGGACGAGATCAACATCCCCATCGCGAAATCGATCGCCGTCAACACGATCGAGGAAGCACTGGACGCCGCTAATCAAATTGGGTACCCGATTATCGTCAGAGCTGCGTACGCCCTGGGAGGTCTCGGATCCGGTTTCGCCAACAACGAGGAGGAGCTCCGCAACATGGCTGCTCGCTCATTGACGCTGTCCCCGCAAATTCTGGTCGAGAAGTCTCTCAAGGGCTGGAAAGAGGTCGAATACGAGGTCGTGCGAGACGCAAACAACAACTGCATTACTGTATGCAACATGGAGAACTTCGACCCCTTGGGCATTCACACAGGCGACAGTATTGTCGTTGCGCCCAGTCAGACACTAAGCGACGAGGAATATCACATGCTCCGTTCGGCAGCCATCAAGATTGTTCGCCACCTGGGTGTCGTTGGCGAGTGCAACGTCCAATACGCACTGCAACCAGATGGCCTGGACTACCGAGTAATTGAGGTGAACGCTCGTCTCTCTCGGTCGTCTGCTCTTGCATCCAAGGCCACTGGTTATCCTCTTGCCTACACGGCTGCCAAGATCGGTCTTGGACACAGCTTGCCTGAGCTTCCCAACGCCGTGACCAAGACAACCACCGCGAACTTTGAGCCTTCCCTCGACTACATTGTCACCAAGATCCCTCGGTGGGATCTTGCCAAGTTCCAACATGTGAAGCGCGATATCGGGAGCTCGATGAAGTCTGTTGGAGAGGTCATGGCTATCGGCCGAACCTTTGAGGAGTCTTTCCAGAAGGCAATCCGTCAGGTCGACCCCAAGTTCGTTGGTTTCCAGGGTGACAAGTTCGAGGACCTGGACTTTGAGCTCCAGAACCCCACGGACCGCCGATGGCTCGCTGTCGGTCAAGCCATGCTCCACGAGAACTACTCCGTTGATAAGGTGCACAGTCTTACGAAGATCGACAAGTGGTTTCTGCACAAGCTGCAGAACATCGTCGACATGACCAAGGAGCTTCAGGCGATCGGTAGCCTTGACGGTCTGAAGAAGGATCTTGTGCAAAAGGCCAAGAAATTGGGTTTCTCGGACAGGCAAATCGCGAACGCTGTCAACAGCACTGAGGACAAGGTGCGGAGTCTTCGTCTGGAGTACGGCATCAGGCCGTGGGTCAAGAAGATCGACACTCTCGCAGCTGAGTTCCCTGCGGACACAAACTACCTCTACACCACTTACAACGCCTCGAGCCACGATGTCACATTTGAAGACAAGGGCACTATTATTCTGGGCAGTGGAGTGTACCGTATCGGTAGCTCTGTGGAGTTCGATTGGTGTGCTGTGAGCTGCACGAAGGCGCTCCGCGACCTGGGACATAAGACTGTGATGATCAATGTAAGTTTGCTCTTTTCTTCTTTTCAATTTTTGGACACGATCAACGTCCGCGCTTTCCGCCACGACCAACCGCCAGCTGCCAAATCGGTGGCACCTTCTGCCAAATTAGACGATTTCTGTCAGTTTTCGAGGCCACCTTCCGTCAACCATGGACCGCAACTGCCAGATGGCGCCTTTGGGCCCTCACTTGATGTCTGATTTCTTGCTCGACCCTTGGAAATTCTGGCAGATCTGGACAAGACACCCTCAACGCCTTCTCTTCTCTTCGCTCCTCTTAGCTTGTCGTCGTCAAATCTGTCAACCGGCCTGCCCTCCTGTCGTTCAAGAACCCAGATTTCCAGTCTCACGGGGCGTCGACGTTCACATTCGCTACCATTCTTGCCTACTTGCTGTCATTTTGCTCCCCATTGCTGTCAAAAACTGTCAAATCTCGTCAAAAACTGCCAATAAGTCATCGGATCTGGCACCACGCCTACCGCCATGGATTCCGATACCGTCCTACAGCTCCTTCTGCTGCAGGCGTGGTTGATCCTGGAGAACACTCCCCTCAACCGCAAGAATGCCTACTTCGACATAATTTTAGGCAGCCAGGACGTCCTGGAAGCAACCGCCATTGCTGCCTGTCTTCAATTCGCTCCTGGTCTGTTGGACGTCGTCCAATCTGCCACGCCGCCTACCATTGAGTTCTTCAAGAATCTGCCAACTGTTTCCTCGTCCCGGTGGGCCGTTTACGTACTAGTCATGGAAAAACTTGGCAGTCGTCCTCGTGTCTACTTTGGATCTGGCACCAATTCTGACGGTGGTGTCAACGCTCGATTCGCACAATACGACAGAGGCGACCGCATTCCCCAGTTCGTTCAAGAGGCCCTTGATGAAGGTTTCACGATCACTCACAAGGGGCTGATCTGCTGGATTCCATTTCCATCTGCCAGTTCAGTGCCAGTTCGTCGCCTCTTGTTCTACCTGTTTGAAGCCACTTTCGCCTATATTTTCTGGGCCATGCACACACTTGCCAAGGATACTGCCAGAACTGATTTCTGCTTGTGGGAAACTACGACACTCGACTATGATGGACTATGTTCTCACTCCGCCCTTGCGGACGCAATCAGCGCCGACTTCAACCTGTCAGAAGAGCAACTCGACGCCCAAGACGCAATCAGAAAAGAGAAAAGGTACCAGAATGGTATTGGCTGGTACCATAAGCAGCTGGCTACCAACTACGACGAATTCCGTGCCAAAACAGCTGCCGCAAACGCCAGATCCCGGGCCAAATCACCAGAACGTCGTAAACAGAATCTGGCAGCCAAAACGGCAGAATTCCTAGAAAATGACACTTTCCACTGCGAAGCGTGCCATCGCTCCTTCACAAGCAAGGTCGGCCTCGATGAGCACCTGGCATCTGGCAGACACAAACGGGTGGTGGAGGGTAATTTTTATTACTTCTGCGACCTCTGCGGCGTCCCGGTTTCTCAGGCGAAACTTATCGGTCGTCACAACGAGTCAAAGACGCACATCGCCAATCTGGCCAAGCAGAAGACTGGCAGCCCCGCGAAGAAAACTGGCAGCCCCACGACGAGGACTGACAGCCCCGCGAAGAAAACTGGCAGCCCCACGACGAGGACTGGCAGCCTCGCGAAGAAAAGTCTGGCAGCAGGCACCACCCAGAAGAGGACTGACAGGCCTCTGACGGGCTTTCCCCCGGCGAAAAGAAACCAGACATCCATCAAGGACTTTTTTGCGGCCGGCAACAAGGAAAATCTGGCACCCATCCGTCAGAATCCTCAGGATTCTGACGGCGATATCTACTAATCTGGCAGCCGCCAGTAGCTTTTTGGACGCCGTCCAACGCCTGGACGCTTCATTCTTTCTTTCCTTTGTGACGCATCATAGATCACCTGCTAACCAGTCCGCGCCGTATTCAGTACAATCCGGAGACGTATAGCACAGACTTTGATACTGCCGACCGCCTGTACTTCGACGAGCTGTCTTACGAGAGAGTCCTTGATATCTACGAGCTTGAGAATTCCAGCGGTGTCGTCGTCTCCGTCGGTGGCCAGCTACCCCAGAACATCGCGCTTCGCCTCCAAGAAACCGGACATGCCAACGTTCTCGGCACGGACCCCAAATCCATTGACCGAGCTGAAGACCGTCAGAAGTTCTCCGCTATCTTGGACAGCATCGGCCTTGACCAACCTGCATGGAAAGAGTTGACCTCTGTTCAGGAGGCCGAGGAGTTCGCGCAGCAAGTCAGCTATCCTGTGCTCGTCAGACCCTCGTACGTCTTGTCTGGAGCCGCTATGACTGTCATCCGCAGCAAGGACGAGTTAAAGGACAAGTTGGAGGCCGCCAGCAACGTGTCGCCTGATCACCCTGTAGTCATTTCGAAATTTATTTCGGGTGCCCAAGAAATCGACGTCGACGCGGTCGCCTCCAAGGGCAAATTGATTGTTCATTCCGTCTCCGAGCATGTCGAGCAGGCTGGTGTTCACTCAGGCGATGCTACTCTCGTCCTGCCTCCACACTCTCTTGACGACAAGATCATGGGCCGGGTCAAGGAAATTGCCGAGAAGGTTGCCAAAGCTTGGAACATCACTGGACCATTCAATATGCAAATCATCAAGGCCAAAGACCCTGAAGGTGGCGAGGATCAGCTCAAGATAATTGAGTGCAATCTGCGTGCCTCTCGATCCTTCCCCTTCGTCAGCAAAGTCCTCGGAACGAACTTTATTGATGTTGCTACCAAGGCGCTCGTCGGTGAGCAGGTACCCGAGCCCACGGATCTGATGGCTGTCAAGCGCGATTACCTTGCCACCAAGGTCCCACAATTCTCCTGGACCAGGCTTGCTGGCGCCGACCCCTTCCTCGGCGTCGAGATGGCCTCGACGGGTGAAATGGCTTGCTTTGGTAAGGACCTGGTTGAAGCCTATTGGACGTCTATGCAATCATCCATGAACTTCCGCATGCCCGAGCCGGGTGAGGGTCTTCTCTTCGGCGGCGAGCTGAAGAAGGAATGGCTCACCAAGATTGTTGACTACCTGTCTCCTCTCGGTTACAAGTTGTTTGCCGCGGACAACGAGGTGAAACAATTCATTGAGTCCACAGCCGGGAACAAAGTGAGCGTGGAAGTGATCGAGTTCCCCAAGGAAGACAAGAGGGCCCTCCGTGAGGTGTTCAAGAAGTACGACATCCGCGGTGTGTTCAACCTTGCACAGGCCCGGGGCAAGACGGTGATGGACGTGGACTACGTCATGCGAAGGAATGCTGTCGACTTTGGTGTACCTTTGTTCATGGAGCCCCAAGTAAGTTTTGTTGCCCCTTCTGCGAGACATGGCAAGCATGCTGACCCGCGCGTGATAACCAGACTGCAATCCTGTTCGCCCAGTGCATGAGTGAGAAGCTGCCCAGGCCGGAGGGCATTCCATCTGAGGTTCGTCGGTGGTCTGAGTTCCTAAAAGGCAAGCCTTTGTAGATTACCCAGTCTAGATGGGTGGAATAGTAGAGGGCATAAAAAGGCCCTGGATATCTCTTGGAGGGCGTTCATAGGTCTTACTCCTTATGTTTTACTGTTGCGATTATATGCAAATAAGCTGTGGCATCTGAAATTATCAGAAAAGCGAGATACCACTCTGTCTTTCCAGCTCCAGAAGAGCTTTGGAAGCATGAGGATTTCAAAGCAGCTAGGGCAATCCTGGTGGATTATGTTCTTAGGAGCAGTGGCAACCAAAAGTCTTTTTCAGTCAAATAACGCTGTAGATGAATTCCAATGGAACAAGCAAACTGTCAAAATGATGTGATACTTAGATTCGTCTTGTGTATAACCATAATCGAGCATGTGGTCTAGTTTAATTGATTATAAATCAGTCTCCTACAGAATGACATCTAACAAGCTATAGTCAAATCTCTTGGTGAATAACCCTCTGTATAATAAAGTTCTATAAAACAGCCTTCTACTAGACAACCTCCTATGAAATAACCTTCCATTGAATAGTCTCTTATAAATTAATCTCTTGTAAGATAACCTCCTGCAGGATAACCTTTTATACTCTGTAAAACGAATTCCTGTTACATAACCTCCTATAAGATAATATTCCAGGAGATAATTGTCCCTAGGATTATCTCTTACAGGATAAACTTCTATGGAGTAGTCTCCCATAGTAGAATATCCCACAGGATACTTTCCTATAGGGAAACCTTCCATAGAATAACCTTGTATACTTTGTGGGATAACCTTCTATAGGATAACCTTTTATACTCTGTGGGATAACCTTCCATGGGATAACCTTCCATGGGATAACCTTCCATGGGATAACCTACAACACTCTGTGGGATGATCTTCCATGGGATAACCTTCTATACTCTGTGGGATAACCTTCTATGGGATTACCTTCTTTACTCTGTGGGATAACCTCCCATGGGATAATCTCTTATGGGTTAACCTCTCATAGGATAACCAATTTTGGGACAACCTTGTGTGGGATAATCTTCCGTGGGATAACATCGTGAACCAAGCTCCGTGTGAGATAATCTCTTGTGGACCAACGCCTCGTAGGATAATTCACTATGAGATTACCTCCTATTGGGCAACCTTCCGTGGAATGACCTCATTGGGAAACTGTGAGCCTGACAGTATAGTTGGAGTCTGTTCCCGATGATGGGTACTACGGCCACTGTCAGGTTTTGCCACAAAAATAGACGGGTAGCCAAAGGCTGGGCAGGGGGGCTTCAAGCACAGTCCCGTCCTTAAATGTCCATCGTGAGATATCTACAACACCCTGGAGCTCAATGGCTGTGCTATGTCGTTGCGCATAGCAATTCGTGAGATTTACACTGTGCAGCGAAGTACCAAGTAGGGTGCAAAGGCATGCGATCCAAATAATGTATTATTTTCGTGCTCCCATGGAAACACCGAAGACCCTTCGGCCCAAACCCCATAGAAACGCCAGCACATACGAGGCCAACAGTGCTAACCATACTAGACAATGCTGGATTTATAAAGAGACGTACCTGCTCACGGCCATCATAGTCTCGTAATTCCCGGAACTCGCTTGCAATAACATCAACCGTGGGCTAGATAATGCCCATTGAGAGTAATTATATGGCATCCTCAAACGGACAATCCACGCTATTATGCCCATCCTTCTCACATAGCGCGCACCACGCCTCCGCGTCAATAATGCCAGATTCCTTGCCAGCTACTGGACCCGGATCGTTCAGATTCGGGATCATCTTGACGGGCTCGGATACACGCCCGGCAGGCTCGGCTGCAGCCGGTAAATGGGGCGACAGAGGGGCCACCTTGTACTCATCATGCTCGTGTGTCTGGGGTGGTGCCAGGGCCCCTTGATCCTGGACTTTGGGCGTCGGCAAAGGCTCAGCTGCAGCGGGCTGGTTGCCGAACATATTCGTGCAGGTCAGGATGTCATGACCAGAAGTCTCGCACAGCTCGCACCAGAGTGTGCTGTTCTCCGTGACTGATGACAGGGCATCGCTCTCGGCCATTGTGTCCAACGTATGGGCTCGTTGATGCGACCGCCTCTGCCCAGGCTGCTGCTGCTGCTGCTCCGGCGAGCGGTGCTCGAGCTCCTGAGCCAGGACGACCGTGTCGCGGGAGTCACGGGCAGATGAGCGCTGCGCCATGGTTCCATTACCGCGCACGGTCGCGGCGCTGCCCCTTCTAAGGGCCTCGATCTCGTGCTCCATGTCCTCCTCCTTGCTCGTCTTATCGTCCAGGGCGGCTCGGAGTTCCGCTACTTGGCGCTCAAGCTTCTCGCGCGCGATGCGGTCGTCTACATTGGTCCGGGAATCGTGTGATGCAGACCTATGAGGCTGCGGCCTATCGGCTCCATCTGGTAGTGAGTCTCTACCGAGAGAGTGAATGATTGCTTTGAGGCCCCGAATCTCGTCCTCCTTTTGCTCCAATTGTTTGAAAAGCGCTGAGTTGTCTCCGTTCGATTGACCAGCTGTGCCGTTGGGTGCGCCGGCCGCCTTCTCTCTTTCTCTCCTGAGCTCTGTCCGCGTCCTCTCGACTTCACCCCTCAGGAACTCCACCTCGCCACGGGCCTCGGCCTCTCCTCTCCTGGCATCCTCAAGACCTTCTTCAAGTTCCTGAACGAGTTCCTCCAACTGCTTTAACTGTGTCGCAACCACATCAACATCACTATTCCGCTCTTGGATTTGTTGTATGTCCTGCATCAGCTCCTCTATTCGCTTCTCGTAGACCCTTTCCGTCTCTGCGCTTGCCAGCTCCAATGTGTCGATAGTGCTTCTGAAGTCGGCCCTGTGAGAGTCAAATTCGGACGTGAGCATTGCGATCTTATCATTCTTTTCCCGAACCAGCGCTCGCAGCTCCCCTGTTTCTTTGTCGCCCAGGCTGTCCTTCCGACTCGGGGGTGGAGGCATTTCGGCCTGCTCCATTAGACTCTGCACCTCCGTGAGGCTTTGTTCCATGTCTGCTAATGTTGCCGACTGTTCCCTGAGTTGTCTATCGCGATCCTCCAACTCAGCACGTAACCGCTCAATTTCCTCATCATGGCCGCTGGTCTGCCGCGATGGAGCCCTGTGCCTGAGGGCTGATGCCCTTCCGTTTCCAATCGGTGTCGACTCTTCATCCGTGGTGAAGCCTGCAGTCGGCCCCGAAAGCGCAGATGAACTCCGCGGTCCCATACTGAAATTGCGACTCGGCTGTAGCATTCCTCTCTTGGGCGGATCGCTTGGCGCCGCACCGCTGTGTACGCTCTTGGAGAATTTTGTTTGCGTCGGACTGCCATATCGAGGGGTAGGTTTGCCAGGTGTCGCGATGCTAGGCCGCGCCGCTGGTGTCATCTGTAGCTTTCGTGTTGGCGACTCTGGGCGCGGCAGTGAAGGCCTCGATTTCTTTCCCAAAGGGCTGGCTGCGCGTGCAGGACCGACTGATTTGGAAAATTGTGGTAACGAAGGCGTAGGTGGTGTAAAGTTGGTAGAATTCTGTGTGCCGGCCTTCAAGCCAGTCGCAGCAGAGACAGGAGTCTTCGGGAATGAGATCGACGCGGAGGCTGACGAGGGTTCGCGCCTCACGGCCTTGTTCAGTGGGAGGAAAATACCGGCGCCAGGTACGCTGGTAGCAAAATAAGACACGCTACAAAGGGGGTGTTAGCAAGGCAAGATGCGATGGCGACTGCGCCAGAGAGCAGACAGAGCCGGAGCCAACGTACCCGTCCACGTCGCCATTGTTCTTGCCGCGTGACGCAAAGTCAGAATGCAGCTCGACGCCGGCAAATATGCCTTTCTTGCCCTCGACAGTGCCGACGAAGCGAACCGTGCCGCACATGTTGCCAGGCACATCCACTTCGTCCCCCAGAGCAAGGTCGTCGCCAGCAGCGGCTGGGGCGCCTGCCCTGGGAGTAAGAGGCATCTTGTCTTTGCGCGGAGGCGAGCCGTTCAAGGAGGCGAGTGGGTAGCTCTCGGTAGCATCTGGGACGGTGGCGAGAGAGGTCGGCGTCAGGGTGGCTTGAGAGGCCTTGCGCTGCAGGGAGCCGGGCAGCGAAGCGAGTTTGGAATGCGCCGAGAAGAGGCTGCTCAAGTTGGGCGTCGAGGCCGTCACGATCTTGCTTATGCCTGAAGCCTTGCGAGTGGGATGTCGGAGAGCCCGGGGAGCTGCTGGCAAGGCAGTATGTGTTTGCTGTGGTGACGAGGTTGCAGGGGAGGAGAGGAGGGTTGCGGTTTGCCCAGCGGTGGCCATGGTGGGGGAGGGGGGTGGTCAAAAGGAGGCGCCGGATTTGTACTGTTCCTTCAGCTCGTCGTATTGATCATTCATCTCATTTACCACTCCGGTCCAGCGTGGTGGTCCCAAAGCGCCCCCTATAACCCTGCTCCTTGGGCGCCAGAGACGCTGAAAGACAGGGGGATCCAGCACACCAGCGCTCGGACAGGCTGGCGCTGAAGCTGAGAATCTGCCAGAATTCGAGGGGTGCAGGCGGCGACACGCTCCAGACGCGACTTTGAGCCTCAAGCTAGGACGGGCCGTCCCAGATTTTGTTGACAGTCCGCTCCTGACGCGGAAGCGACAAAGCTGGGGAGAGAGGCGACTGGAGGTTTGAGTTTCGACTCTTGGCCTGAGCGAGGGCTACTGGCCCGCAAGGATGTTTCCTGCTGGTGCTTCCCGTCTCCGACTTTTAGCTTCCACGGTTGTGCTTGTCCAAGGCCCGTGTCGCTCGTGCTGTTAGTGGCGTCTGTGTGTCTAGGGGGGTTGACTTCAGACGATCCAACGTCTGCCCGATGTCGTGTCGGAAACTTCAATGGATTTCTTCGAAGGTTGGTCGTAAGGAGTGTATCGAAAGGAAACTGGGATGCGCGGCAATTAAAGGGCTCCCCTCCTTCAAGAAGAAGACAAATCCAGGTCAACAAAGATTGGAGACGCGGATTGTGACAGGCCAACGCGCTCCCTGTTGTTGCTGTCGCTAATGGCTGGGTTGGTGTTTATCTGCGAGGGCCTGCAGGCGAGATGCACGCACCAAGATGGTTGGGCGATGGTAGATGCTCGCCCGGCTCAAGGTTGGGCTCAATCTGTCACGAACTTGTGACAGATAGACAGGCAGCTAAGCAGCACAGATACTACAAGGAGCCGATTGCGCTTCGGAAGATGCCATGCGCACAGGAGATCTCCTTATTATACACACATGCCACAATCTCCTCTCTCCCAATGACGTGCCTACGTTTGTACATGGTAGTGTAAAGGCATGCCAGCATGCGTCCTGATGCTGGTGGCCCGTCGTATCAGCGTCCAGGATCGTGCAGATAGACGGCCTGGTTCAATTTCCCCCATCTGGTCGTCATCTCCCTCGTGCGCAGCAGCTGATCGGGCACAGAAAAGGCAAAAGAGATGAAAAGGGTCTGCTATAGGGGACCTATAACATGACCGAGATTTCATCAAGCCGGTTCATCGGCAAACTCTTCTCACGTAGAATACCAGAATACTACCCACACCAGAGCCCTGTGACCGGTTCGCGAATTTTTCTACGGTACAGACGCGCCACAGGGAAACATCGCGGTCTGCCTCGGGATGCTCTGACCAAGAATGTTCATCTCATTGGGCTTGAGCCGAGATCATGACGAGGCAGTCCGAGAAAACCCCAGATTAGTGCCCAGCATTGTCTGGAGGACTAATCCAAGGCTCTCTGTGACCACTCGGATGTGGCATGTTGGTCGCACGCCTGAATATAAATCATCAAAACTCGGCCAGATACCCGGGAGAAGGCGTTGGCGGGCGGCGGGCGGCGGACGCTTCCCTGCATACGGGAGCATCCCCCCACGATCCCAGGATCCCAGGCACAGCCCTAGCTGGCCTCGCACGACCTGATGACCCACATCAACACCTGGGAGCAGGGTCTGGGCCGACTGGGGCAACTCGGAGATTACCCATTGACAGTCATTGACAATGACGCCCAAGTCGGGAAGTGATCCGGCACAATGATTTGAGCCCAAGATGCTCATCATCTTCTGCCTCAATAGCGCCGATCAACAGGCCTGGTGTCCTGCGTCAAAATGGCAATCGAGTGGATTCCTCCGCATGCCCAATGCAGGCTAGGTAAAGTTACTTCAAGATCGGAAGATACCTAACTAAGTTTTTGAGATGCTAAAGGCATGTGGACTAGTCTATCTGTGGGGCGAGGCCGACCGGGCCCGGTGTCCATCTCCGGGCCACCTCCCCGGCGACACATTTCGCGCGAGCATTCCAAAGTTCGATGCGGCGTCTGTCATTTGGGCTCATCCGCTCTTGGACAACGCGAGAGAATGCTTTCAGAATCGTCAAATACGGAGGAGTCGACCTAAAGCCGTCGTACTGGTCCTTGAGGTGACAAGTGTCACTGTTACCATCACTATCAATTGTGTCTCTCATTGCACCCCAAGGGTGAGGACAACTGGCCCCAACGCATTCCTGTCAACTCAACACTACGCGGCTAGAGCTGCTACCAACTCCGAAGCTGACTCGCTCGTCGTGAAATGGCTGTTCTTACCAAACCGTGTCTGGAAGTGCGTCGCTGCTTCCGAAGGGCGGGTGGTTGGCTTGGTCTGACAAACCGAAGTAACTCGTCGAAGCTCCTCCGATGTCTCCGGCCCCGACAATGCCAACGCTACCATGTCAAGTCCGCGCTCGATGGCCACATTGTGATGATGATGTTCTCACTAATGGAAAGGCCAAGTGAAATGCAAGAATAGCCATGACCTTCTGGGCACTAGCCTGCCCTTCGATTAGCTAATATCGAATAACATCCAATTCGTCTCGATGCTCCCTCAAGGTGGTGGCGTGTGATGTTCCCGCTCGATGATATCGGACCGCCCCAACGGCCTTGTCCCGTCGTTCAAGACCATGGCCTCACGGTGTCGGTGTCTGATCCTTTGCTCCTCAGGACTCTGTTCTAGGTTCCTCGGCGTGGGCTCCGCATTGTCACCGTCCAGTATCTCCGTCTCGATATGTATCGATGCGAAGACGTCGAAGCTCTGCGACACTGTCTTCGGCATGAGCCCCGCCTTTTCCAGAGCGTCCCGGCCGATAGCACTCTGCTGTATTTTCTGGATAATCTCGACGATCCTGTTCGTTTTGTACATGTACTGGAAGAAATTGTGCTCCCTCTCCTCAGGCTTGTCACCCCAGTTCTGCTTCGCCAACCACTTCTCCACGATCCCTGCCTGGATGAATCTGTCCGGCCCGTACTTTTGCATCAGCTGTGAGATAAACATGAAACAGAGCTTCTCGGCCATATCGCGAAGCCCGTATTCGTCAAACCATCGGTCGTCAAGCTTCTCCAGGGGCGCGCGGTCGGCGAGGCAGTGCTCGAGGGAACGGACGAATGCGGAGTAAGCGCGTGTGGTGTTCAGCTTTGAAAGGCTTTCTGTACTTAGTGTCAGTTTGAATTAAGGTCGGCCAGGTCTGCTATAACGAAGCAAGTGCCGGAAGCGCAGAGACATTTACTCATGCCGAAGCCATCGGGATGTCCGGTTGCTTCTGCTCTATAGTATTGCCACCTGCCCTTCCGCCACTTACCAGTATACCAGCGGTGGTAACTCATACGCGGGTCTGTGATGAAAGCAAGCGTGCGCAGGTTCTTCATGCGCTCATCGTAGTCCGGCCGAGTGATTCCCCAAAGCAGATAATCAATCGTCTCACCGTCGTTGACGGCTCTATCGCAAACTATCTTGGCCGCAACCTCACGGATCGCAAAATTGTAATGACCGAGGAGCATGTCTAGGGTGCTTGGTCTGAGCGAGTCCTCGGTCTCCTGCGTGATGTACTGTGTCGTGGGCTGCTGCGGCTTGATCTCGGTCCCGTCGCGCCATTGCTGGAGGAGCACGCGCATGGTGGCAACGACGCCCACGAAGGCTGCTGTCAGGCCCACCACCACCACGCGCTCATCGCGCGCATATGTAAGGAATGACATGGTGGCGGCCTGTCGGTCTGCTCCAGCAGTGAAGCTGGGCTGAGATGCGGCGTGTATGAGTCTGACAAGTTAACCCAGGTACCTAGTACCTCAATTATATGCGAACGACCAATTGCCAAGCAGTGCCTGCCACTAGCTCCCGTTCTGCCGACCCCAAGCTCTCACCGCCAAAATTTATCGATAAGATAAGCATGGCGACGACTGGGACGGTTCGAAATTTCATCAATCACCGCGACATCTGCATCTACATTTTGAGGCTTTCGTACAGCCTTCCAATTTGCCACAAAATGCCTGCTTCACAACTCAAGAGGCTCAAGGCCTCCCTCCGCGACCAGGGCATAATTGGGCCTCAGCAATCGAAAAAGCAGAAAAAGGCAACCGCCAAGGATGGACGGGCTCGCAACGAGAAGCGCCTGCAGCGCGGCGCTGCCCTCGAGAATATTCGAGAGCAATTCAACCCATTCCAGTTCAAAACAAACGCCCGAGGTCCAAAATTCGCTGTGACCACCGATAAACCCGACCCAAAGAAAGGGATCGTGGGTCGTCCTGGGATGGCGAAAGCGCTGGGCGAGGAGAGGAGGAAAGAGACGCTGCTGGTCGAGATGCAGAGGCGGAATCGTATTGGAGGGATTTTCGACAGACGGTTTGGTGAGGGCGACCCGAGTATGACCCCAGAGATGGCGGCCGCACAGCGATTTGCGCTCGAGAAGCAGAAGACGCACAAGAAGACATCGATGTTCGATTTGGAAGACGACGACGAGCCAGTTCTGACCCACGGGGGCAAGTCCTTTGAGTTCGACGAAGATGGAGAACTCAAAGATGACTTCAACGAGGAGTTTTCCGACAGTGGCTCGGATATGTCAGATCTGGAGGATCACAATCGCAAGAGACTAAAGCGGTTGCGAGAGCAAGTAGAGGCAAACGAGGAAGGCGATGAAAAGGAGCCCGAGAAGAAGAAGTCAAAGAAGGAGGTAATGGAGGAAGTCATCGCCAAGTCTAAATTCCACAAATATGAACGCCAAGCTGCGAAGGAAGATGACGAGGACCTCAGATTAGAGCTGGATAAGGAGACAGCCGACATTCGCTCCCTTCTCATGGGCCAGCGCATGAAGAATGGAGAGAAGTCACATGACGGCACAAAAGACGGCAATGGATTGACACCCGTCGCAGCGGTGGATAGGGATGCTTTTGAAAAGGATTACGACCTTGCAGTCAGGAAGATGACGCAGGACAAGCGGGCAAAGCCGACAATGAGGACCAAGACAGACGAAGAAATTGCAGAGAAAGAGGCTGAGCGACTTCGCGAGCTGGAGGAGAAGAGGCTCAAGCGGATGAGAGGCGAGCATGTAAGCGACTCGGAAGAAGACGAGGAAAGTGAAGCAGACGCCGACACCGAGGACGACAACGATGACAACAAACCTGCCTTCGAAATTATCCGGACCGATGGCGAGGAAGTTGATTTCGGCCTCGGCAAAGGTATCAAAGTACGTCCAACTGCGACAGAACTTGGGTTCGACGACGAAGATGATTTCATAATCGAGGACGACTTGATCGCAGATGGGTCCGACTTGGGTGACGTTGACGATGCTGATTTTACGTCAAGCGAAGATGAGGGCCAGGCTGCCGAAGAGGATGACGACGATGAATTCACGAAAGGGCTTCTTACAGAAAGCGAAACAAAGGACGCCATCTTTAGCAAGGAAACAAATTTGGGCAACGCGGGCGTAACAGATGACGGCTTGCCATACACATTTCCGTGCCCGCAAAGCCATTCTGAATTCCTCGACGTTGTGGAGAACATCCCGTTGTCTAAACAACCGACTGTCATTCAACGTATACGAGCATTATACCACCCCAAGCTCAGGAGTGAATATAAGGAGAAGTTGTGCAACTTCTCCAGAGCTCTGGTGCAGCATATCGCCTACCTGGGCACTGTCTCTGGCGACGGTCTGTACGTCACGTTAGAGAGTCTGATTCGGCATGTGCATTCTCTGGCCAAAATGTTTCCTGTCGAGATTGCACAGGAGTTCCGCTCGCACATCGAACAAATGGGACATCAGAGACCTTTGACACTGGAGGTTGGGGACTTGTATATCTTGACAGCGATTGGGTCTATGTTTCCCACCTCGGACCATTTCCACCAGGTTGCGACGCCGGCGATGCTCTCAATGGGGCGTTTCTTGGGCCAGAAAATTCCGGCTAACCTGGCAGACTATGCCACTGGAAGTTATCTGTGCATCCAGTCCTTGCAGTACCAAAAGCTTGCGAAGCGCTATGTGCCAGAGGTCATGAACTTCACATTGAATACCATCTGCGCCCTGGCACCTGAAAAGTCCAAACGGAAGCTTGGCCTGTTCCCCATACACGAACCAAGTCCTGCGATACGGACCAAGGGTGCAAAGAAGACTGCGATCCGCAAGCTTGGCTGCAATGATTGCCGAACATCAGAAGCCGAGCTCTCCGTCGAAACAAAGGTCTCAATATTAAGTACAAACATATCATTACTGATGGCGGCTTCCGAGACATGGGCGGGGAAGCCTTCCTTCTTCGAGACATTCGAGCCAGCACTCAGAACATTGGAATTCCTCACGTCCAAGCCCAATCGACCGCATCTTCCTGACGCACTCCTCCAGGATGCTGAGAAGCTAGCTGCACACCTCTCTCGTGCTCTCAAGGTTGCGACGCTGTCGCGGAGACCGCTGGAGCTCCACCACCACAAGCCACTCGCCATCAAAACATTCATTCCCAAGTTCGAGGATGGCTTTGACCCAGAGAAGCACTACGACCCGGACCGGGAGCGGGCGGAAATGGCCAAGCTGCGGGCGGAGCACAAGAAGGAACGTAAGGGAGCGATGCGGGAGCTCCGCAAGGACGCAAACTTCTTGGCGCGCGAGAAGCTGCGCCTCAAGAAGGAGAAGGACGCCGCCTACGAGAAGAAGTACAAGAGGCTCGTGGCAGAGATCCAGGGCGAGGAGGGCCACGCAGCGAACGAGTACGAGAGAGAGCGGCAGAAACGGAAGCAGTCGAAGAACCGGTAGACGTCTATCCAGGTGGTCTGGAAAACCTTAGTTTACTAGTACCCTTCACTCGAATTGTACAATTACCAAAAATCGGGCCTTTACTTTAACAGGCCTTATGTTCAGATTCCGCATATTATCATCGCAACCTGAAGATATTATTGCCCACTATTTGAACTTGTCTCTCTCGTTCGATATCAGAGGAGGATCCGCAGCCAAATGCTCATCTGTCATTTTTGATGCCCGATCGGTGACATATGTGGTTGCTGTTGTCCTTGGGTTGCAACATGCGGCCTGCATCGATCTTCCAGTATGCTGCGCTGAGACGTTCAATCACTCTGTCATCGCTGACTTGTCATCAGCGGAAACGAAATTTTAAGTATTGGTGATAGCACACCGTGCGTTGTGAGCGACCATTGCCCAGAGATCCGACGACTTGGCGGAAGGCCAGTGGTGAACAAGCTGTTGATCTAGGCCTCATGCTGCCCTCATCTCGACGTATATCCCTGGTCATCCTTGGACATTGAAGTATTTAAGTACCCAGGCTTTGAACGGTAAAATATATTTCCCAAGACTTAAATTATGCTGACAGTTTATGATGTGCAGGACTGTTCGGTGATTCTCTGTCAAAGAAATTGCACTGCTGAGACATCGCCTTATCGCAATACTTTATAGTATGCTCACTCAAGGTCAATTAATTTAGACCGCCTCAAAAATCGCAAGAGGCTGTGTTCTAAATGAACTAAAACCAGAACCTGCATGTGTTCCTGTGACCACGCGGTATGTGGGAGTCTTCCTCAATTCCAACTATGGCTTGGATCTTCCTGTGTCAGTCTCTGGGAGTCACTGCCAACTCCCCGCGCATCTCCTTCTGCTTTGTCTCGACTCAGGACTTGGGCAGGTCGCACCGAGCACTCGGGTGGGCTGTGAATGCAGCATCGAATGTGATGGGTTCACTACGGGTCACTAAGGACCTAGGTACCCAGATAGGTCTTTAGGTACCCAAGGCTGCCTAAGCACGTAGACTTTGTACTTTCTACACTTAGTCCCGGTTAGGTACGCCATCGCCCTACCGATCTCATGCTTGAAATACTCACCTGGATTTAGGCAGACACACGGATTTGGCAAGCTATGATGTTGTGATGGAAGTCTTCGTGCCCTCGACACCAACTCCGTCACAACGGAGGCTGCGATATCAGCAGCCACCTGGACATGGGCAGCGTTTAACTCTCACCTCCAGACCTGTTACACAAATATGTCTCTCAATCGTTCATCTTCTTATTTCACATAAGCTTAGCTAGCTGTCACAACCTACGCTCTCGACCTACCTTGTTCCGCATCATCCACTTCCTAACCTCAACTTCGCTTCAACAGCCATTATCATCCTCCATCCATCCATAAACAGACAGCCACGAACGACAGCTGTTATGGACAGTTGCCGCTGGGACAACATGACAGTCCAAAAAGTGAAGTAAGTCGAAAGGTTGCGACTGGTGGGCGTGTTGTCTGAAATCTTGGTGCCGAGCTGCCCTCTCGCCAAGCAGTCACACTCGGACCATTCTATCGACGACAAGGCGGCCGACAAGACAATCATCTTCGAGACAAAGCCTGCCCCCTCCCTGTACGCTCGATTTGGGAAATTTGATCCACACTCCTGCCACATCTTGGCCGCTCTCTGCTCGTGAACCTCAAGAGGTCATGAGATGTGGTCACGACCCCCCGAACACTGTGGTACAAGCAGAGAGATGTCTCCAACCATTTCCCCTCTCCCCAAGTACTCCATTTCCGGTCTATCCCCGCTGCGGTAGTCCCAACCCCGCACGCTCCAGTGGCGCCGTCTGCCCCTGCGTCGTCCCACAAGGTTCCGGGGTCAACAACACCGCTGTGTACCGTAGGAGCTCATGTGGGCCCAGGCAGGTTACATCACTACCACAGCTGTGAGCTCCTCGCGAGCTTGAAACAAACACGAACCAACAACATACGCTATTCGTTGTCATTTTGGTTTGAGCACCACAATATACAGGCGTTTCTATAAGCAGCATATCTGCTATCTATTTCTCGAGCTTGCCCACTAACACCACTCATTTGCTCAGCAAGGCTTCTGTCGAGAGAAAGGACACCATGGGCGGCGACCGAAACCTCTCGCGGCTCTCGCAGCCAAAGGCCGACTACCCTCTTCTGGCTCAAAAGCCAGTTGGGAAGCTGATCGATAACCTCTATCTCGGCCGTATTGAACGCGAGTACAAGGATGGCCAGTACGGCAAGGTCACTCTCTCAGCGTTAGTCCCTCACGGTCTCTGCAGTCCCAAATCCCCTTATTCCTTCCCGCTGACGAGACTTGTATGAGATTAGGATGTATGATGAAGGTCGTGCCTCGGGCCGACCACATGTGAAGCTCTCTACTTGGGCTGCTCCAGGACAAGAGCGGCCCACGTTCAAAGATGCCGTCTCACATGAATTCAAGGATACCGAAGTCGGCCATGCCTTCGGTCCCTCATGGACTACTCACTGGTTCAAGGTCGAGCTCACAGTCCCAGACGATCTTCGGAGCAAGGAGCGTCTGGAGTTTCACTGGGACTCCAACAGTGAGGGCATGGTTTGGTCCGCGGATGGCAACCCGCTGCAGGGCTTGACCGGCAACAACGAGCGTATTGAGTGGATTCTCCCGGAGTCTTTCCTAGACGGCAAGGAGCACACTTTCTACGTCGAGATGGCCTGCAATGGCATGTTTGGGAACCCGACCGGAGGTGACACCATCCAGCCCCCTGACCCTAACAGGATGTTCCCTCTCAGCAAGGCCGACATTGTTGCTGTCAACGTGCAGGCTCGACAGCTCCGTATTGACATGTGGATCATTGGGGATGCTGCCAGAGAGCTTCCCAGGGACTCTTGGGAGCAGCACCAGGCCCTCGCTGTTATCAACCGTATCATCGAAACCATCGAATTGGGCAATCAGGACTCCATTCTGAAGGCTCGTGAGATTGCCCGGGAGTATATCGGCAACGTCGACTCTGCGAAAGTTTACGACAGCGAAAAGGAGCCTCTCATCTACGGCATCGGACACTGCCACATTGATACGTGTTGGCTCTGGCCTTGGGATGAGACGAAGCGAAAGGTTGCACGTTCTTGGACAAATCAGTGCAACCTGATGGACGAGTATCCTGAACTGAACTTCGCTTGTTCTCAGGCCCAGCAGTACAAATGGCTCAAACAGTACTACCCTTACGTGTTTGACCGGGTCAAGGAGAAGGTGAAATCCGGACAGTTTCATCCAATTGGGGGCAGTTGGGTTGAGCACGACACAAACCTGCCCAGCGGAGAGTCTCTTGTGCGACAATTCATCTACGGCCAGCGTTTCTTCGAGTCTCACTTTGGCCAGCGCAGCCAGACTTTTTGGCTTCCTGACACATTCGGGTACTCCTCACAGCTGCCCCAGCTATGCAGACTGGCCGGCATGGATCGCTTCTTGACCCAGAAGCTGAGCTGGAATAATATCAATAACTTCCCGCACACCACCTTCAACTGGGTCGCTCTAGACGGCTCTCAAGTCGTTTGCCATATGCCGCCAGCAGAGACCTACACTTCTGACGCGCATTTTGGTGACGTCAGACGAAGCATTAGCCAACACAAATCTATGGACCAAGACCACACATCTCTTCTCGTATTCGGCAAGGGTGACGGTGGTGGTGGCCCTACCTGGGAACACCTCGAGAAGCTTCGACGTTGCAGAGGTATATCGGACAAGACCGGTGGCTTGCCGCGGGTGCATATGGGCAATTCAGTTGACGACTTCTTCGATAAGATTATTCCCAAAGCTGACAAGCTCGTAACGTGGTATGGTGAGCTTTATTTCGAGCTTCACCGAGGCACCTATACCACACAGGCGAGGAACAAGCGCAACAACAGAACCTGTGAGTTCATGCTGAGGGCTATCGAGCTCTTTGCCACCATCGCCTCGTTGAGCAACTCTTCATACAAATATCCAAAGGCGGACATCGATGACATGTGGGAGAATGTCCTGCTTTGCCAATTCCACGACTGCCTCCCTGGTAGTTGCATTGAAATGTGCTATGACGACTCTGATAAGGTAAGCTCATTCTGTTGTCCCCTCCGCTCTTGACACTCGTAGCAGCCGACGATAGATGTGTGGGCTACGTTTCGGGCCCGCCCAAACGTCCACCTTCTATTCTCATCTACTGAGCTCCCACCTTCCCACACCGCTGCCCTTTGTCGGCCAAATTATTGACGATCTAAAAGCTTTACGCCAAAGTGTACGAGACTGGCAAGAAGTGTCTCGCAGACGCTAAGGCCGCCCTTGGCGTTGGTGAGGAAACGACCAACACCACGTCGATCGAGGACGCGACAGCACTCAACAGCCTTTTCTGGCCCAGGAAGAGCCTTGTCGAGCTAGGTAACACAGCCGCTATCGCTTGTGGAGAAGGCCCATGTCTGAATCTGAAGGCATTCAAGACTTCATCCACTGAAGGAAAGGCTGTCGCGATCCACGAAGTGTCAAAGGGAGTTTTCGTCATGCAGAATGACCAGCTGCGGGTCCATGTCGAAAATGGTGTTATCACATCGCTCTACGACCGCCGTGCTGATCGTGAGGTTCTCTCGGGCAAGGCTAATCAATTCGTCATCTTCGATGACAAGCCCCTGTACTGGCAGGCTTGGGATGTCGAGGTCTTCCACCTGGATTCCCGCAAGGAGCTCTCCGTCTATGACACTCAGATCAGCGAGAACAAGAGCTACCGTGTCAGCCTAACCAGCCGCGTCAAGATTAGCGAAAAGAGCAACCTTGTCTCGACCATTAGTCTGTCCGCCGCTCTGAAGGGTCAGCAATCATACGTCGAGGTCAGCACCGAGGTCGACTGGCATGAGGACATGAAGTTCCTCAAAGTCGAGTTCCCTGTCGACGTTAGGAACACCGAGGCCAGCTATGAGACTCAATACGGCATCGTTAAGCGACCAACCCATTACAACACAACCTGGGATATGGCCAAGTTCGAGGTGTGCTGCCACAAATTCGCAGACCTGTCAGAATCCAACTACGGTGTCTCCATTCTCAATGACAGCAAATATGGATTCGCGACCTGCGGCAACCTGATGCGTCTATCTCTCCTCCGCTCCCCTAAAGCTCCCGACGAGCATGCGGATATGGGTACCCACAAGATCCGATACGCAATCTTGCCACACGATGGACCTCTCGGTAGCGGAACCGTCCGCGCCGGCTACGAGTTCAACAGTCCCCTGGTACTGGCTCGCAAGCCCAAGACACTGTCAATCGAAAATCCTGTCAAGCTAGTAGGCGACCCAGCTGTCGTCTTGGACGCAGTCAAGCGAGGCGAGGATGATGTGGACATCAGCCGCGGCGATCTTCCCGCTCGCAAGGGCAAGTGCGTTATTATCCGCCTGTACGAGTCGCTAGGAGGCCGCTCCCGCACCGCTATCCACACGACTTGGGACGTCAAGAAGATCACCAAGGTCAACTTGCTCGAGGATGAGATCCCCGGCGAAGATGCGTTGGAGAAGGACGAGGACGATAATTACCCAATAACGCTGCGGCCGTTCGAGGTCGCTACCTATCGTTTGTGGCTTTGAGTGCCTTTGTGAACCACTGTACCAGCGATGGAAGGTCGGAGTTGGGAGATTGTACTAGGATGTCAGCCGCCATGGGTGCTACTTCAGTGGTGATTCATAGATAGGTGTAGTTCGATCAAATTGAACCTTTGCTTCTCATCTTTAAACGGTTCAGACCACATCGATCATAGTCGTGAGTCATCGGACCTTTCTGGACATATCGCAACATAAAGGACAAGAAGACTTTTGTGATGGGATTCTGATTCGGTCCGAGAAGAAAGTGATGGCGTACGAATGCTCAAAGCAGGGAGAGGTCACAAAGGAGGAGCTTAACATGCATGCCACGAAAAGTTTGTTCCGCGCATTCTCGCCTCGCTACTGCGAAGAGAATAGTGTTGACACAACGACATGCCCTATCGAAATGCGATGATCAAGAGGACTCGATAACCAGGCTTGAGTTGGCTTGTTCAAGGGCACACGGGGATTATAGGCTACATCAGCAACGCTCATGAACAGATCTCTACAAAAGCTGAACCTTGGAAATCGTTCATTCGCCAAGGCTTAGCAGGGTCACAACAACAGCCATGTTAACTGTAGCGTTCTTGAAGGCGTGGCCTGGATAACGTTGTCATTCTTCCATACTTGTCTAGACGTACGGCTTGACTTGTTCTTCAGTCCATCTCCAAAATCTCTCAGCCAGTCCATGCCCGCCCTCAGACCTTGGCCTAGCTGCTTGGTCTATGTCTTCTCGGATCCGGCAGAATCGGCCCCATGGCCCAACTAAAAATTCGATTAGTTTCTCCCCTCTTATGTATGCGTGCACATCCGAGACATGTCATTAAGCAAGTGAACAATTCCAGCCAACTTACTCCAATTATTATCTCTGACCATTTCAGCCGTGATTGGGTCTGATAGCCCCGCGAACAATTCCGTGTATGCTCCAAAAACGGGTAGGTAAAGGACAAAAGTACGAAGAATCTTGGTCTCTAGCCACGAACGATCTCGCCCCAGCTCAGTATCGAGATTGCCGGGATTTAAAGCGACGCTCACCACGCCGTCTGAACTTGCCCCATGCCTCCTCGCCAATTCGACCGAGTGAAGAAAGTTGCCGACCTTGCTGACTGCGTATTTGGTGACAGCCGATTTGTCCTCATGATAATCCAAATTGTCCATGTCAAGCCCACCTTGCTCTGAGAAATTCACGGCGATCGAGGAGACCCAGATCACACGGACCGAGTCCTTTGGGCTACTCTTGGCCGTGTTGAGAAGCGTGGGCAACAGTAGCTTGGTGAGCAAGAACGTTCCAATGGTGTTTGTCCCCAGATTCAATTCGTAGCCCTGCGCTGTTTTGGGGGCATCGTGGGGAGCGAGGACACCAGCGTTATTGAACAACACGTCAAGTCGTGCTTCCTGAGACAAAAATGCGTTCACAGATGACTTGATAGCAGAGAGGTCGGCCAGATCAATCTGTAGATAGACGAGGTCGCCTTTCGAATGTGGGTGTGCTGCCTTGATGAACTCAATGGCAGCCTGTGCTTTTGCTTCTGACCTTGCGGCGACGTAGACCTTTGCATTCTTGGAGTAAAGTATGCCTGACAACTCTTTGCCGAGGCCAGAATTTGCGCCGGTGACGATGTAGACTTTGCCTAAGAGATCCGGTATGCTCGACTCGGTAAAATCTGGTGCCTGTGGAAATACTTGTGCCCACGCATTCTTGAGGGAGTTGAAGCTGCCGAACATTGTGATATCCTGCCTCTCTAAATCCCCTATATGTTGCAGCCTACCGGAAAGACGAAAAATATGCCCAATTCTCAGAAATTTGGTCTGTACTCAATTCTGCCTTCAGTCTTGCTATGAGAAAATGATGCTCAAGTTGAAATCCGATGGGCTCTGAAAATTTGTCGACTTGTTTGTAGGCGAGCACAACAGGCAACCACAAGAGCAGCTCAAAGCAGAACCCAATTTTTCCTGGATCATTCTGCGTCACACTCATGGCTACCTCTCCGAGAAGCCGGGACTACGAATGTAACAAGGGAACAAACTCCCTCTAACTGCATATTGAGCATTCACGCCAAGGGATGGTCGAGAAGGGGGAAAGCGACCAGGAAACAAAGAGAGACGGCACCATTTCAGCCGAGTCAAGCAGGTCCTTACTCGTGCGAGCGACCTAATCTATGCCAGGGGCCACAGCTCCTTAGTGGAAAGTAACGGATAAGCTTTAAAGTGGATCAGTAATAGACGTCCACAAGAAATCTTGGTATGGATACTTACTGCATGGGTGACTAGCTTTTGGATGATATGCGGAAAGAGCGGAGAACAAATTATTTGGCCGAATGGAGTCAAGTGGTGGCATTGTTTTCGAGCGTCCACGATGAGTGTCTAGGTTCTGTTTCATTCTGGACATACGGTGTCTATTATCTAATGCTGTGTTCGTTGCAACAAAACTTGATCTTTAGCACTGGTCCGTTCGAACAGGCAAATGATAGGGGTATGCAGATTCCAGTAGTCTCTATCATTCAGCACAATGTACACGGTCTCGCTTCCACATGGGCCTTTCCTGGGCAGCCGGGCCCAAGCAGCCTTCGTCAGCTTTTCGGTGAGTGCAATATGTCTCCTCAGGCTGTCAATTCGCTGAAAAAGACATGTGACTTACTGAATTTGCAGGTTCTGGGTCTCACACTGCTTTTTAGCAAGCTCTTTTACAACGCATATCTTCATCCTCTACGCAAGTTCCCTGGGCCGCTCTTAGCAAGGTTGAGCCGCTTGTACTACTCGTATTACCGTAGTACGGGCCGACTTGAATGGAAGACGCTTGAACTTCACAAAAAATACGGAAGTGTAGTTCGTATCGCACCCAACGAGTGTAAGAGCATACCCAACATCTCCGGTCAATTGTCGATTGCTGAGTCTAATTAGTAAGTTTCAACGCTGGTACGGCATGGGACGACATCTATGGACATACTACCAAACGCCGGAGTGGACGAAGGCTGCAAAAAGAGGCATTTTTCTACCTGGGGGCCGTCGCCCCGAACGGTGAGAAGAATCTCGGAGCCAGCTCCGACGAGGACCATAGCCGCATACGTGGAGTCCTGTCCAGTGCCTTTTCCGAGAAGGCAGTCTTTGCCCAGGAGGATCTTTTGATGCGCCATATTGGTTTCATGATAGAAAGAATCCGCAGTCTCAACGGGATACCAACAGATGCCGTCCGGTGGCTTCACCATTGCACGTTCGATATCACCACGGACCTCTCACTCGGCGCCAGTGCCAAGACCCTCGCCTGTGACGAGTGGAGTCCACTGGCTCATCTCATGTTCGAAGGTATCAAGGAGGGAATTACCGCTGTCGAAATACTGCGCTTCGCGCCTTTCAAATACCAAGCCTTCAGCCTGCTAATCAAAGCCTTCGGAAAAGCGCGGCTTGAAGCATTCCAAGCAGCAATCAACCAGGCCCACATACGCATGGCCCAGGCAACCACGGACAAAGAAGACAAGAAACCCGATTTCATGTCGTACATCATAAAGGCAAATAAGACGTCCAAGGCGCTGACACCCAGCGAAATAACTGCAAATGTCGCGCTCCTCCTTGATGTTGGGTCCGAAACCACGGCCTCGCTGCTTGCTGGCTGCCTGTTCTATCTCACCAAAAGCCCGCACATTCTTGAGAAGCTGACTTCAATGATTCGCAAAGATTTTCAAACACCTCAGGAGATCAATTCCAAGCATCTTGCCCAAAATTCCTATCTGACAGCGGTGCTCAATGAGGCCCTCCGCATCTATCCACCTGTAGCGGGAGCCACGCCCCGAGTAACGCCCCCAGAGGGATCTCAAAGTAGGGAAATGTGGTTCTATTGTCATGAAAGCTACGCTAACATGAAATTAGTCGATGGCCGATATGTTCCGGGCAATATGAGCGTTGCTGTTAACCAGGTTGCCATGAACAGGTCCCCTAAGAACTTCACTAATCCGGACCAATTTGTACCTGGGCGCTGGTTAGGCGACGGCTGCTTTCCCGATGACCAGTTGCAGTTGTGCCAGCCATTTTCTCACGGCCCCAGAGCCTGTCTGGGTCGCAAGTATGTGTGCATTCTTCGTTCTGCAATATGGATACTGATCGTGTCAACACAGTCTCGCTTGGGCTGAAATGCGTCTTATCATGGGGCATCTTCTCTGGAATTTCGACGTAGAATTGAGCTCAGAGTCTGCAAATTGGAACAGCCAGAAAACATGGTTTATTTGGGACAAGCCAGATCTGATGATACGCTTCAAAAGTCGTGAGGGACAATAGGCATGGAAAAGCTGCACAAGTGGCTTCCAGGCCCCAGCCTAGTTCTTGTAGCCACATTAGTTTTTTCTGGTGATTTCCGGAGAATGAGAGCAATTTTCCCTCACATCACGGTCCAGCCGGGACAGGCTCATGGCATCCAAAAGGCTCGTCAGACTTCAGACCTTCAAGAGCGGAGCAGCTCTTACGAATGTATGTACATAGGCATCAAGGAAATCAGGAACGTGCAGAATAAGTTGATTGAGATCCACTCTCATTGTGCATCGTGAGAATATCCTGGACATAGCTGGGCCAAGCATTGGGACAGAGACGAGTAAGAAGCGAGTACCGCACCGCTGCCAAATGATGAGACCCTTCTCTTTTGAATGTTTTCAACTGAGCAACTTGCTCCATAGACTTGGACAGCGACCTGAGCATGAAAACCAACATTCCGTTTTGCTATGTAGGTCCGTAGGTTTGAATTGGGCGCGTCAAAATGTGAAGTTCTAGGTCGTGATTTCAAATATTGTTCGAGATTGAAGATATCTACTTTTTTCAAATATCCGGAAACAATAATTCCCAAACCAAATCGACATCTCAGCATTGGATAAGAGGCAGTTGACATGCCACTCACTTCTGATAATAGATGTTTGACCTAGCGCGGGGGTCTGGAATTGGCACAGGTCCCTTTGGAGGACGATCTCCGGCCAGCCATCCCTGATGAGTAGTCCGAGTGCCCATCTCGATCGGGTAATCAATCTTGGAGTGCATCACACCCCAGTTGAAGAACAACAACTGGTCTCCTTCTTCTTCTGGGCCAACATAAATGTTCTCTGGTCGAATGATGCGATACTGAAACTTGGTGAAGAAATCTCTCACTTCCTTCACGTCATCAATGACCTTGGGCTCCTCGTCGGGTCCGCTGCGGACAAAGACCCGGCGCACAATGTTAGGCTGCACATGAAAGTGCTTCCCGCCGGTGACTGGGTTCACCCAAACAAGTGGAAGCTGCCACAAAGTCAGCTTGAGATCTGGATCGAAGCTGAAACGGTTTAGATCGGGAAAAAACCACTCTTGACATGACTTACGACAAGCTGATCCTCGGGATTCCTGGGCATGGCATCCATTTGCTCATCGGGTACCTCCCTACCCTCACAGGCGACGTTCAAGCCTTGAGGGTTTCCACGGCAACGAAGAATCCACTCGTAGGGGAAGTACATATACTCAGCCCAGCTGTAATCAGCGATTGCCTGCTCTTCCTTGGTTAACATATCGTAGAGCTTGGCTGAGCTGAAGAAGGCAGTGCGACCGGCCTTGACTTTTTTAGTCAAGCCGGAGCCATCAGCCCAGTCAACTGTCTGCTCGCCCTCCGGAAACTTGATGATGCGGAAGGATGTGAACATGGGGTGGTCGATTTTATAAGATGGACCGTCGATGTGCCACGACTGAAAGCGTGCCACGCCATTGTGGTAGTCCTCATGTGGCAGAGGCTTGGAGTAGTAAGCATCTGCAAACACTTCGGGAATGTCGATATCTTTGAGACCCCAGTGATCCTCGCCCTGATAGCCTTTGCCCATCAGAAAGAGGCGCTCAGTCCCTGGGAGCACGAGGTATCCTAACTTAGGCTGAGCCCGACACAATTTGTCAGCCGTGAAAAGCAAGTAGCGCCTGGAATGTATTTTTACGTCGGGGACATACGAGGATACCAGCACCTTGTGGGTCTGGGTTGTACATCAGAGCCCACTCTTCCGGTGTGAACTTTGGGGCATCGGGACTGAGGCGGTTGAGAAGCTCCCAGTTCTTTTGCGGAGTCTCATCGTGTTGATGTTTGAGCACCACCAGCAAATACCGCTGGATGGTATCGCGCAGTCTGTCGACTTGTTCATCTGGTATACAATGATCTCAGCTCAAGAACAGAATTCTCTAATCAGTGCAGAGGCTCTGGGGCTCACTGACCTGTAATGTTGTTGACGTCGAGGCCGTAAATTTCAGCTCCAAACTGTACGACCGAGATGTAAGCTTACTAAACCCTCATCACTGTACAATTGGCAAGTGAGTTGTACGTACACCGTGTTCGCCTTTCATAGGCTTGATAACGAAGTCTTCAGCAGTCGATCCCATTTTTTTTGTTCCAGGTCTCCGCTTCTCGCTTGAATGTGTTGAGAAAGAAGGAAGTATTCGGAACTTCTTTTGAGACCCTCCAGGTTATCCAGCGCTTCGCAGTGTCGTATTTCACTTCGCAGCTCGTCCTCATACTAGAATTACTGTTTTAACAATATTCCAGCAATATGCGATGACTCGCGGTATGACTTCAACGCGACTCGTTCCACTCGTTATGTGCATATAGAGAATACATAGAATACTGCCAAGCTCCTAAAGTTAATAGCTCGGTTTCGCAACTGCGGTGAAAGTAAGGTTACTTCCGCAGGTGGGTATTGTGTTCCCATCTCCACTCCATTCAGTACAGAACACTGATACGAAAGATACGCCGATTTCCACTTCAGGGTCTCACTTGCCAGCTCACAAGGCGAGTCAAGTCAAACTTTCGTCTTTATGTTGTTTGGTGGAAAAAGGCTTCCCCGGCAAGTTACAGGCTGCAACGCTCATGCCTCATAGCATATCCATATCATGTTATTCTTTACATTTCTGGAAATAGAGGGTCCTCAGATACGGCCCCATTACCCAGTACCACACCGTCGCACATATGTACGCAGAGGCAAACCTAAAATCATCAGCACTGTGCCGGTCCCACTGCGAAGAGCTAAAGATTCTCATACCATCGTGGTTTAGAACCAAACAAGGTTCACTGACGCGGCCTGGGCTGGCCAGAGGTGCGGTTTCATTTGGACCCGGAAGTGTCTCTATGGAGCATAGAAGGTTCAAGCCGACGGATATAAGCAAGGTCTGTCGGGCTCCCCATGTCAGACACAAGCTAGCCCGCGCGTAGCCCTATCTTCGCCCAGTCACCGCTGCCTGTTCGAGAAAGTGTTGTATTTATGGATACAGTGGATATTGTGAAGACATTCGACAACTTGACTCGCGAAATCAAAGTAAACCGTGATATCGTGCCGTACTTTCAAACTGTGCTACTCTCTTCGCGCAATACAGTACACTATGTTGCGTGGAGTACAACGACTTCGGCTGCCCAAATACTAAGACAGGTAGACAACTGGACATGGATTGAGGCCCACTTGAAATCATACCGCCTTGACCAGGCAAAGCCAAAATCTGATATAGATGCGAAAGCGAAAGCGAAAGCTAGCAAGTTGATCCATTTCCTCAGCGACCTGAGTAGTGGCACTTGTGGGGTGTTGCCCGTCCCAAGAAAAGCTTGGTTGTCGAACTTGGGATTGTTGTTGCGGTAGTTCTAATTTGGCAGCGTAAAAGATGTCTGGAATTTTCAAGACATTCAATGCTAAATCTTGTGTGAATGCTTTGCCTGGACAGCCCGCATGGATCTTGCATGCTACGATTGGTAACGTGGGAAATTTCGTTCGGGATCATGGAATACGTGAATAGAGAAATAAATTTGATTGCTTTCAGTACTGAGGAAAAAAGCGCACTGTCATCATCTCGTTGTGTTATGTACAAGTCATCGCAGCAGCGATTATGGGCTGTGTCCGGTATGCAATCAGATGGAGAACACACAACCGTCAGAGTTGCGAGCCCCGTTCCAATCTCGATTTCGTCTGCCATTATGTCAGACTCGCAGAAGCTCCAGCAAAAGCCTCATGGCAGGGTTGGGAGAATCAAGCAGAACCTCAATCCGTCCTATTTCAGCGCGCAGCTGAACGTGCAAGCCCATCATGACGGATCTGGTATAGTCCAGACTTTTCTCCTCCTCTATGATGTCCAACACGAACTGCTTCTGCTCCAAAGTCATGCCACCATGCTTTCTCCCCGTTGATAGCACATTGAGTAATGCCATATGACTCCGCTGTTTGTGAATCATGTGGATCAGCGCTAGAGACCATTTCCCTTCATCAAGATCCTCGCAGAAACCCTTCTGCTTTGTGTACTACAAAGTTATTGTCTTGTCAGACTGAACCGCTTTCTTCTCTAGCATATCATTGGCAGGCTGCGGGTACTCACGTCGGCAGAAACAAGGTTCTGATAATCGTCACGTATCTGGAAACAGCGTCCAAGTAGACGCGTCAGCCGGTGAAGACAACTTTGAATTTTTGTCCTGGGAATCTCATTGTCTGCTGCATTTAGAAGAAGACTGGTGGCGATTGAGAACAGCTGCCCAGTCTCTGCGATGGCGTTAGTTTAGACAGGATCATCAATGGCATGTGCAAATATGAGCTTACTTTGATCGATCATCCGGTAATATTCTTCTTCACTGGGTACGTGTCCATTATATGTCCAGAAGAGATCCATGGCTTGGCCTTGAAACAAGATCATAATACTGTCTGCATATCTTGTTAGCCATCCATACAGAGGTACCAGGTCGAGAGGAGCAGTTGATAGATACAAATAGCTACTTACTCATTACCTCTTGGACAGATTCGCCTGCAGAAAATTCCATGATCTGGCCGATTGCTTTTATTATTGAGTAAGTCGCCGTGTTCACAGTCTGTGCTGACCCAAAGATGTTATGCGTCGACGGTTTGCCGCGTCTTAGGGGAGAGTTGTCTTGGAAGTCGTCGAGCCTGACAAATCGTAAGTTTTTCAGACCCCTTGCATATAGGAAAAGAGCGTAAAATGTTCACTATACGTACAGCAGCGAAGAGTTGTGCAAAACACGGACAGCATCCTTTATCTTTCCCACCTTATCATCAGGAACATGCAACCAGTCGTTCAGAGCATCGACAAATTGATCTCGGACTCCTTTAGATGGCATGGAAGCAATGTAGGCATAGGGCGCCTCGAGGACCGCTTTCTGTCGAGAGATAATGTTTAGTTTCTTTTTTCTGTTCCTGATTGCAACGATCACGCTAATACATTCAAGCTGGAAGGACATGATTGACCGACCTCGAAGAATATATGGTCGGTGTCGACTCTCTGCAAATCCTTGCCTTCGTTGCTGTGAACAGGCGACAAAGACAACCCAGTGCTCAGCGAAGAATCCTGCCTACTTCCGCTTCCCAAGCTATCCTCTGTAGAGTCCGATTCATCTGCGGTGGGTGAAACTCCAGATTCGTCTGAGTCGATCTCAGGGCTTCGTGCCAGTACAGGACATGATTCCAAAGATGGCAGTCCTTGACGCATCCATTCCAATTGTGTCTTGTTGAATGAAACATCTGGGTTGTATCGTGGGCATTCAAGACTCCAAACAACATTCCCAGAAATACTGTAAAGCATGGCGTCGAGGTACTTGCGCAGGTCTAACGAGATCGACTCATCGTTCTTAGTAGCCTCAATAACCTCGAGGTACTTGGCGACGTACTCTACGATGAGCTTCCGACAGATCTGCATAGCTCCATCTACGTCCGTCTGATGCTCCTGCATCAGGACCCAGATTGCGTTAACGACGTGGTCCTTGCCGTGGAGCGTCGCGGCATATCGCTCCTTTGGCCAAGACCAGATGTCGTTCTGCAAGCCCACAGCAATCCAGGCATTTGCCATAAGTTCGCGGCAAAGTTCGAGCTCATGATCGGGTATGTGAAGGCCAAGCCCAAAGGTAACAAGTCCAAACCAGAACCTGCATGAGAAACACATATGTCAGTCCGCGCCGACTGTCAAGCCGAAGGAGAAGAAAATATCTTTTGGTATGTAAACACTTACATCTCTCCAACGTCCATAATGCGATACGGTATGTACTTAGCCAGCTCGACAAAACGAGTCTCGTGTTGTCGGCTGGATCCGACCTCTACGAACCGTGCCCAAGATTTCATAGTGGTTTTAGCACATTCAGGATCGATTGCCAGCATCTCAAGGAATAACTGTGATTGAATCCGTTTCTTTCCTGCCCGCCGAATATCGACCTTGTTTGAGGTGTCGATCGCACCGGTATGGGCGGCCTCGAGGAAAACCGTCATCATCTCATCATTTTCGACCTCGCCCTTTTCATGCATGATCAGTTGATATTCTTGAAGCAGCCTGCAATGACAAGTATGGAATGGTCAACTCACTGTGTCGTGACCAACATGGTCGGTAACATCTGTGTGCAAAACATCATGTGAGCTTCCTATCATACAGGCACAGAGAGAGTCTTGGACTTTGGTCAAGTTTACGTCTCAAAGTAAAAGAGTTACACTTACCATCGTGCAGAAAGGCAAACTCGTTCGCGTACGAGATGACCTCCAGTCTCTCCGGTATGCACTCCGGTACAGCCACCGAGATGAAGCTGAATCTGGGCCCAAGCGTTCCGCGGTATTCACGGCAAGGACCAATGTGCTTGTTCCAGTCCTCGTGAGCACGAATGGCACCTCGATCCTCAAGAGTGGTGAACTTGCTCTTGCGCACATCGATACCTTCGCAAAGTCCCTCAGTGTAATAAGTTGAGGGTTCAACGACTTCCGAGTATTTGAACTCCATATTTTGAGATGACTGGAATATAAGCCCACGCCACGAAGACGATGAACACACTGAAAAGAAGGTGAAAACGGGATTCAAGAATTTCAAATACAAGAGGTTTAACGAGACGAGAGTGCTCCAATTGCATCTCAATGTTCAAGGGATATATATGTATGAGGAATCTTTGTGTGGTCCTTTGATGTGGATTCCAGAGTTTGCCTAGAGTGAGAACTTCGAGGACATTGACATATATAACAGACCTGTGCCTCACGATACACTCGTGATATATTCAATCTGGATTTATGTGAGCTCAGCTCCATTCCCAGTACCTGGGGCTTGATGTGTTCGGAACCAGGTTAACCGGGTGGTATGTCCGAGCTCGAAGATTCAGCCTCCGACTCGAACGCATGCGAGCATAGTAGATAGTGGAGATCCTAAACATTGATTTCATGACGCTAAGTTGGTCTCTGTGGCTCCATACTGTATCTGAGTCAAGGTACAGTATGGGATACTATCTCCCGTGGGTCAAGGACAGTGCTGGGGATGACCATCACCAGGGCCGCATGGGCGGACTGTTTCACGACGAAGCTTGAACGCTCAATGTATCCTTTCAGCCGTAGGTACTGATAAGCAGAATGTGGTGAATCGATGATACCATACTTGAGAGCCGGGCATTCTGTTACACTTTCCCTGGCAGTAAAAGGTCGCAATTAGGCTGGTATCATGGGTGACATCTGCCACTGGGGCGCCTGACGCAGACAACAACAAGGATGTCACTGACCTGCCTGCGTGACCAACCCGCCTTTCTGGGCAATATCAGACATAAATCGCATAGTTTGGCATTGTGGCAACTTCCGAACGAATCCTTAGGTGGCTATTGTGTGGCCGATGTGACTACTATGACTCGCTTATCTTTGAAATAGATCTTGTCTAATGTGAGGTGAGAGAATTCGTGCTTGACCCACAGAAGAAAAGGGGGCCCCATACGTAGAAAGGAGATCATCTTTAGTAAATATTCAAAACTATAAATATAATAATTAATACTTATATAAATTCGTACACGATTTGAAATGGAAGAGCTCAGTCTCTCGTTTTTTGTTTTAAAAAAAAGAGGAAGAAGAAGTTAAAAAGGGGAATAACCAGTATTGAGGTGATATTCAATCCTCTACATCAGTGGATTATGCTGGAGTGAGCTTGACTACAAACATCCAGCGTGTGTCTTGAAGGGTCTAAATTTGATTAGTTACGTTAGCGGTTTAGATTAGTTTTGTATAATATTTAAAGAGGTGTGAAACAAAGAAATCACAATGAAGTATTGATATTAGACTGATATCGAGACCCTCTCCGTAACAATGTTTTCGATATTAAAAGAAAGTCAGAGAAAGAGGTTTTTTTCTCTTTTTTCTCCTTAGCTTAGGCGATGGGTTATGATTCTCAGTGATTGTCGATTATTATTTGTGCAGTTCTTTTACATATCATGTATATCGCCTTGTAGCTGTGTATAACCCTTGCCTCACCCCTAATTCAGGATTCTTACAATATGATTGGACCAAGCGGTTAAAGCTATCACCCAAGATCTTTACCGAAATATTTGTAAAAGGTAGAGGACAGTAAAAGCACACGAGTACAGCCTGGTAGGATTCCTGTTCCACTATCTTGCCGCTTGCTCTGGATCCACAACTCTGGAACTTGCGATTGGTTGATGAGCTCGTAAAGGACAGTCTTGAGACGATGCTCAAAGAGACTTTGGATTCAAGTTTGCGTGTGTCAGAGGTGGAGTTTCTTTGCGGTGAATGGGGTGGACACTATCGCAAGCCACACAGTGTCGAAGAAACTTGGCTGTTCGCCAAGCGCTTGAATGCAGTGTTCAGCGGACCAACAACCTCGATGTTAATTCTGTGCACGACTCGCTGAATGTGTGTGATTCTACGAACGCCATCTAAGCGCTGGATCTGAGTACCCAGACACCACGAGTGGGTATTGCAGAGGCCGACATCGAGATCGTTGAGTCACCCCGCTACTGCATAGGTCATCCGACTAGGAAGAGGATCAAAGCTACATCGTCTTAACAAAATAATCCCTCGACGCAGTACTTTTCTAGGAGACGCAAATGAAGTCGCTCTTGAATCCTCAGGGGAAAACATATATATACGTCGTCGGGCCCATCCGCGACCAAATGATGCCAAAGCTGAATTTTGATGTACGTAGAACTGGCCACGGTTGTGACACGCTGATTTCTGCATCTGCAGAGTTCATGCAATCTGTGATATCTGGGTTCTGTTCACAATTGTTGTACCATGAGCACGCTACAGGGGCTCTTGGATGCTCTCCAGCATCACAAGTTACAACTCCTCTGCATAGGGCCACTTGTCTATGCCTGTGTCTCTTTCATCATCAAAATCGTGTACCGGATTTACTTCCACCCTCTTGCTAAGTTTCCTGGTCCCAAAATTGCAGCTGCAACGCATCTTTATGAGGTGGCCTGGGATTATTTTGGCCAGGGGGCGTATCTATACGAAATTCAACGCATGCATGAAAAATATGGTACGTGCTCTGGTGCCAGAAGAAGTAAACGATGCTTTGGTTGCAGACCGCTGACGCCGTCGAAAGGACCAATTGTTCGAATAAACCCGATCGAACTATCGGTCAATGATCCGGAGTTCTATAACGTGCTCTATGTCGGAGGATCGGTTAGGAAGACAAATGCCTTGCCAAGTTTTGGAGATGGAATGGACTTCAATGGTGGGAAAAACCTAAAGGACAAAAGTCTCGTGACTCTTATAAATGACGAAGCTAAAGTTTCGGCACAGGCTCCCACGGAATGACAGTCGACCATGATCACCACAGGCTTCGGCGGAAACCGATGGAGCCCTTCTTCTCCAAAGGAAGCATCGCAAGACTAGAGGATCGACTCCAGGAGCTCACTGTGACCTTAGTGCAGAGGCTCCATGAGTACAGAGGGACCGGCAGAGTTCTGAGACTCGACCACGTTTTTGCTGCTATGGCAGGCGACGTCGTTAATGTCTTGTGCATTGCTAATCCGACTATGTCGTTTTTACGTCATTCAGACTTCAATCCATACTGGTATGAGTTGTTTCACACGCTGATTCGTTCCATGCCTCTGTTCATGAACTTTCCGTGGGTCATCAAGTGCGTATTCATCCTTTCCATTGAAGACTTTTGATGTACCGGGATGCGTCAAATTAACGGTGTGATGGTGCAAAAAGAATAGTAAGACTGATTCCTACGTCTTTGCTGGAGAAACTGGACCCTCGAAGTCAAATGTTTCGTGACTGGCGAATGGTATGTCAAGCCCCTCGACCGTGCATGTGGGCGAGTGCCGGTGCTGATGAAGGACAAACTAGATGTCAGTCAACCATATCATTGATGCAAAACAACGCAAAGAGAGAGGTCTCATATTTGTGAATGAGGAGGACAAAATGAAATGCGAGACACTGTTTGATCACATCGTCAATAGCGATCTACCAGAGGCTGAGCTGTCTGTTGAACGACTGGCGTCTGAAGCACAAGTGGTCATGGGGGCTGGTACCGTGACCACCGCACGTACTATGGACTTTCTAGCTGTACGTATTCTGCTGAACGACAGCGTTTGCCAGCGTCTCCGGGACGAGCTTCGAGAGCCGATGAAGGATTTCCCGGAACGAATACCATCCTACGCAGAGCTTGAGAAGCTGCCGTGGCTTCAGGCTTGCATCAAGGAGGCCTTGCGTCTTAGCCCGGGCTTGACTCACCGTCTGCCGCGAGTGTCACCACACGAGGAGCTGATTTACAAGGACTGGGTCATTCCTAGAAATGTGAGTGTTCGGAACCACGCGATTTTGTGAGATTATTGACGGCATTTGGCTAAGCATCTCACAGACACCCGTCGGTATGTCGGCTTTGTTTATGCATATGGACCCATTGGTGTACAAAGATCCGACGGAGTACCACCCGGAACGGTGGCTTGAAGATGTCACTCCCGAGATGCATAGGAACTACGTGCCTTTCACCAAAGGCTCGCGTCGGTGCTTGGGTGTTGAGTGAGTGGATCCAGCTCCGCCCACCGCATGCGTCTGTCTAACACGAAATCACAGGCTATCCTACGCCGAAATTACCCTAGTATTTGCGTCGCTTTTCGGTCCGAAAGGACCGAAGCTGAAGTTGTATGAGACGAACGAGTCAGACGGGGACCCAGCGTGCCATTTCCTCCTCCCGCTGCCTCGGCTTGATAGTAAAGGTATCCGTGTTACCGTGGAAGCTTAATTTGGCCAAGACATAGTCACTGAATTCACCGTCGAATTCTATGCTTGAAAGCGGATGAGGGCACGAATTATGTATCACTTGCATTACGGGCGGCTCTATCCATGGTATACTCGTCTCTGCACTGTGTCGGCTTCTTGGTGGGTTCCACCATGTAACGTTCCCCTTCTTAAATATGACCAGACCGAGGACAATTAGATCGCATGTGTTGTTTCCCCATTCAGAGTCTTTACACCCTTCAAACAATACTACCTCACACATCTGCCTCTTACAGGGCTTGATAAGCATTTGAACCTACGTCCTTTCAGGGGAAACTATGTCCCCACCTACACAAATCAAACCGCCTCAGGGGACCACCCCGGTTCCTCCATCCGAGCTAGACCCGCGCAGTGATGAGGAAATAGTACGGTCCATTTCAGCGCATGTCAAACCGACAGATAGCGAGAAGAACATGTGGGCCTATTGGCACAGCGGATGGGAAAATATGCCCCCGTGGACCAAGCGCAATGTTGTGCACTGGGCGCGCATGCTTGGGACGGAATGGACCGTGCGGGTGCTGGACGGGATTCCAGGCTCAGCCAACTACTATGAGCGATTTGTACCACCGCATCTTCTCCCGTCGGCTATGAGAGAGAGACGCATGTCTGGACCATATGTCGCCACACACTCTGCTGATTTCGTCCGCCTCCCGCTGCTTTTCCTATATGGAGGATGTTGGCTGGACGTAGGAGCTATACTCGTGCGCTCTATTCAGGACGTCTGGGACGTGCTGGCCGACCCGAAGCAAAGTTACGAGTTCGCTGCATTTACTTACATGATGCGTCCCGGCGAGGCCAGCATCATCAATACCTGGATGATGGGTCGCAAGAACATGGAATTATTGCGTCGGTGGCACGACACCTTTCTGCACTTGTGGGGCGACAAGTCATCATGTGATGGCCTGCACAAGCACCCACTCCTCTCACACTTGCGGCCGCTGAGCAGTCTTACTCATGGACTGATTACCGACGAGAACAACGAGCCCGTGGCCAAGACGGACAAGATAATAGACTACGGAGCCCAGGTCTACTGCCTCGACCGACTCAGAGACCTGGTGGATACCAACGACGGCTGGAATGGCCGCCAGTGTATCGAAGAGAAAACTTTCCTCCTGGCAGCGCTGGATGAGATGTGGTACTATCAGCCAAAAACCGATTATCTCGGATCAAGGCAATTTGAACTGCTAACCACCCGATACGATGCGCCTGAGCCGCAGCGGGGCGATGCCGAGGAGTTTGTCAACGACATGCTTGCCAATACAATGCTCATGAAGTTCTGTCATGGATTGAAGGATGCGATGGTCTCGAGTCTGGCAGATATTTGGGATGATCCGAAACATGACGGGACCGACTGTGCTCCAGGTACCTTTGCCGAATACCTTCGATGGGGGACTCTCCACTTGCGCCAGACAAGAACTCTGGAGCCAGTGAAGCTCACCGCCCCGGCTGGCAAGCTCCATCACGTCGCGATGTTTGAACCATTTCCTTCCACCAATTGACTTTTGTCTGCTACTGTGTTGTACCTGATTTTAGCTTCCTCGTAATCGTACATAGATGACCCAATAGTCTAGAACTCCTAGTCCTGTGCTGTCAAATTCTAAAAATTGGGCTGTCAACTAGACCGTGTCTCAGGTGGTGCGGGCAAGTATCCTCGACTGCTGTCGAGTCAACCACAGTATTCCTGCTTGCCCAATCAACCAGTGACTTCCCCCCCCCCTCTTATTTTCTTGGCTAGGCTTGGAGGGAGAGGGGGTGGAGACAATGGCTGGCGCGGTAGATTGAAAGTCCGGTGCGCGCTTAAGTGGTTCGCTGCGGGGACGACATGGGGAAAGTGCGGGATGCTTCATCCAGAGCCTTGTCACGGACGGCCTGGACGTACTGCATCCTCAAAAATTGTATGGAGATGTCGCACCTAATTTTCTCCGATGAAATACGCGCCGGGACAACTATTGAAGGGGTGCTACACTGTGTGGCAAGCGGCTGCAGCCTGACTCGTCAGCCTTGTGTAAGTGACCTCCTGCGCCAAGCACATGGTTCGGCAAGTTCCACGTTGTTACCTGACTCGTCAGCCTCGTCTCGGCAGCCCTATGTCTGGCGCTAAGCGTATTGTTTGGCAACTTTTATGTTAAGCTTTATCATCTAACTCCTTAACCTTATGTCAACAGCCCCTCGCGCCAAGTATGCAGTTCAGCACCCTTTCGTATCAAGCTGTACTGCTGACTCGTCAGCCTTGTGCTAGTGACCACACTTATCGCGCCAAGATCTCATGCGGCAACTTCCACGTTAAGCATCACTGGCTGTGGGGACCGCGCGGGGTGGATACTACATAGTCGAGTTGCCTCAACCATCTCGACTATGTATCCGCTTTTGACACCTCACGAGGCTCCATGGAAACATTCATGAATCTAGTTAGTAATGCCCACTTTTTAAGAATCTTGCACGAATCAGTCATGACCACTTGTTGATTACTCGGCGAATCCGTCGGCGTGATGTTTGGAAGCACAATACGAACATCTTGGCATTTAAAGTGGTTGTCAACATGTACGAGTCGCGTGATACGCGTATGAGAAGCGCGGTGCGGTGAGATAGCTAATCAATTACTGTGCTTAGCCATATACTTTGTATCCCATGCCATCTCGAAGAGACGGCATTTTTAGGTTTTAGTGGACTAAGCGCCCTGGGCTGTGCCCCTCCGCAACCTTGAATTTTAAGCAATATGGCGAGGTTATTGATCTCACGGGGCTTATGGCTTGGGTCTCACCACTCGTGTCCACAGCACTTGATAAATTCAAATTCCTAGACTACTTTTGGAAATATGACGTACGCAGCTTCGCTTGTTCATCTACTGTCCACCTGCTGCTTGGTAGTGCATGCGTTCGCTTGCAACTGACTTGCGACTCCTGGCACTCTTTGAACGCCACGATGCTCTCCACCATGGACACCGTGGCAGCTCTGGCTGCTGTCTTTGTTGCTGGAACTCTGCTTTCACGCCTGGCGAGTTGGATCAGATATCATTTCAAAATTCGCAAGATCCCCTTGGCTCACAATCTTGGCCTTTTGGATAGGATCTTCACCCGCAAGGCCACCGAGGAATTTGCTGTCGATTTCAAAAACTTATCACGCAAAGGACTGGCCAAGGTTAATGTCCTCCACTTGATTGAAATTTACAATATTAGCTGACCAGTATTTGACCTGCGTCAGGATAAAAATGCATTTCGAGTCCAAACAGACTTTGGAGAAATGGTCATTCTGGGTGGCCACTACGCGGAAGAAATGAAGGGCGACAACGGACTGTCCACGGGCGATTACACAAAAATGGTAAATCTGAAGTCTGGAAGGAGTTCGAAAACGACAGCCAATTCTGGAGCTAATACGTGATCTATGATAGGAACTTATGGGTGATATTCCGGGTTTCGAACCATTTTCGTTCGCAGGGGACCATCGGGAACTCATGCACACTGTCATCACTAAAAGGCTGAACCGAGCTCTTCGTAAGCATAAAAAAACACTGGTTTTGGTGACCTAGAAAATTGGGAGCCTGAATAGTCTGCTGATCGGTATCTTGCCCATCCTCCAGCTCGGCTCGCAATCGAGCAGTCCGTGGAGGTCGCTGACTTCTTGAGCCATAATTGGACAGATTCGAATGGTACGTGAGAAAATAAACTAATTATGTTAATCGAAGCAATGACTAAGGGGAATTTAAACACTAGAATGGCATTCTATTCCTCTTTACCAGATGCTCATGGGCCTGGTAGCACGAGCATCCGTGTCGGCTTTTCTGGGACCTGAGCTTGCAAGGAACGAACGTTGGATTGAACTGAACGCCCAGTACACAGTTGTCGGAATCGGCGCTGTGCACGCGCTCCGACCGTGGCCGCGCTTTCTTTTACCCCTTGTCCACCACTTCCACCCCAAAGCGAAAGCGGTCCGGGCGATACTGTCAGAGTGCAGGCAAATTATGGAACCGATTTTACGTAGGCGGGCACAAGCCAAACAAGGCAATCAAATCAAGTCCGCAGTAACTGACACTGCCCTGGACTGGTTCGAAGAAGTAGCTGCCAGCATCGGGCAAAGCTACGATCCCACGGTGGCACAGCTTACTTTTGCTGTTGCGGCTATGCATAGCACTACAGACCATCTCTGTCAGATATTGATCGACCTTAGAGACAAGACTGAAGTCGTAGCTGCCGCAAGGAGTGAGCTGGTCGATGTTGTGACCAAAGACGGGTGGAATCAGACAGCACTTTCGCAACTGAAATTGATGGAGAGCATCATGAAAGAATCCCAGAGGTTGAAGCCTATTAACAGAGGTCAGCACCTTCGATAATGATACATCATGCACTAAGATCAACATGCTGACCTCAGGATCTAGTCATTAACAAGCGGATTGTCACTGAGGACCTTCACCTCAGCAATGATGTCTTCCTACCCAAAGGTTCCTATGTGGCAGTATCGGGCGAGCGGATGCATAATCCGAGCGTCTACGAAGATCCAGAACAATACGATGCTTATCGTTTCATCAAAAAAGCAGAGGAAGGTCCAGAATCAGCACGTTTCTCAGGCTACACATCCATAACCACGGATTCTGTCGGGTATGTTGCACTCAAATCAGAGCTTCAGAGCGAACATGTTCACCGTTGACTGAATAACATAGGTTCGGCTATGGCAAACATTCCTGTCCCGGTCGTGGCTACGTTTCACAAGAAATGAAAGTCATCTTGTCTCACATTTTGCTCAAGTATGACTTTCGTTTTCCGGAGGGGTATCAACCGAAAGGTGTGAACAATGGCTTTGATAGTATCACGGACATTATGGCCTCATGTATGATCAGGCGGCGTGCAGAGGAAGTTAAGTTACCAGGTTGACCGACGCCGGTGAAGAATTGTCTTTGTCTGGGTGGTGACTGTGTTGAGAAGCCGAGCGGCTCTGACCTTAACGATCATCAGGGCTGGAGGATATGCAGGCGCCGTAAGTAGAGACTTTCATTCATCCACAATGACTACATGTCGAGTTAGGCAAAGCGGCGGATCTTCGGTCAACACTTGTCACCCGTTCGATGTAATGTAAATGTGTGAAGGCTGTGAATTTAGTACCCCAAGGAGCGTTTTACGATCTATCCTTATAAGTTCATCTTGCAAAGTGCCTTGTTCCACACCAGAATGAATTTGCCAAAGACATGGCTCCATTCTCACTGGGTCAACAAGAGTTTGCTTAAAGCTCTTGTCACGGTAGTGACATTTTGATGCTTTGATGAAAGAACAATGGGGTTCAACAATGGGTGCCTAGAGCGAAATGGTACTGGAGAGGCATTCTACAGATTTGTTCAAGAAAACACGCCCAGGAACAGTCTAACGTCACTGAGTACTTCACAATCCATATTACATGGAAATCTGCTTTGATGAATGAATTTGACAAGTGATCCGTACTAGTGTACGAGCTATCTAATAACAAATATAAAATCTCGACGTTTGCTAAAATGGACGCTGAGTAGCCCTCCATGATGTTTCACTGCTTAGGCGTTGAAGACTACTTCAATCAGGGCCAACATGGAGCCTTCCGGTTGAGAGATTTGACGAATCTTGAATCTGGGGTCAGCCTCAGTCACAAGCTTGTGCCACTCATCCACGCTTCTCTCACGGCCGTTCATATGGGCAACCAATCCCAAGTCCATAGCTCTATTCAGGTTACATCGTTAGTATATATCCTTGAATTCAAAGTGTGCATTGGGAGGAAACTTGCCGCATGTCCCGCTCCTTCCAGAGGGGAAGAGAGCTGCCTGGAACTTCAGGGAGAATGCAATCGTGGATAAGGACACTGGATCCGGCCTCGAGCTGGGAAGTATGGGCTCGAAGGAGCTTAGTGCAGTACTTGTCGGACCAGTCGTGGAAGATCTGACGGATGTAATACACATCGGCACGTACAGGCTGTGTGGTGAAGATGTCGCGGGACATGAAGTGGACACGGTCCTTGAGCGCGCTGGGCACAGCGGCATGGGCGTCGGCCTCGTTCATCTCCATGTCTTGTACAAGCAGGTCGAGGTCCGGGAAGCGCTCAGCAAGGGCAATAGAGATGCGGCCCCTGAAGCCGCCCACGTCGATTACTTTGGCCTTGCCGAGTCCTGTCCAGTCATAGCCGTCCAGGAGATGATGGAGCTCATAACCGGGAAGCTCCCATTGCGTTGCCATGCCGCTCGCAAACAGCTCAGCATTCTTGGCACTTTTGGCGACGTTTTCGAAATAAGTTCCCTGGACATCATGTGCAAGATTGAACGCCTGAGTTTCGAATTAGCATCACGAATTTTGGATTTGAGGCAATATGCTATTTGACTCATGCTTACCGTCTGATCCTGTTCTTGAACGTCCGGCCACTTTTCCGCCGCGTCTACAAGCTGGAATGAGACGTGCCGCGTTAGCTGACTAAGATCCTGATCCTGAAATTGCAATACATCTTACCTTGAAAATAGTGTACCACCCCATATCGGCACCCGTTCTCAAGAAAGTCAGTAGAGTCTTGGATCGCATCGCTTTGGAAGCCTTGGTGTGCGCGACGTAGCCAGATTCAGGTTCCTGAAAGATACGCCTGCAGATGGCGGCACGCAGGAGCCGCTTGACTATCCCCTCCTCAAAGCCGGTCTTTTTGGCGATGTCGGTGAAAGACACTCGGCCTCCAAGAGGAACAAAATTGGGAATGTCATAGCGGGAAATGAACCCCAAGAAAGCAACATATTCATTCTAAATTAGAGTTAATACTTTAAACACTGCTGAAGGGGATTTGTTCTTGCTCGATCACAGAATCAATGACTTTTACTCACCGAGATGGTCTTAAGAACAAGGGCAGTCGGCTCAAGAAGAATGTCATGCAGCTCTGCTGTTGCATCGAGCACTGCATCCTGGGCTTTTTGGGCCTCGAATGGGAGTGGATCGGGGGAGGCATCTTCGGCGAATGACGGAGCCGGTAGGCCTTTGCTATCCAGCACAGCCTGCAGCTCTGCCACAGACTTTTGAATGGTATTTGCCAGTGCCACTATACGAGAAGTATTCTGGCGGCCGTTTGTCTTGCTGTCACCCATTTTGTCAGATAGATTAATAATCAATTCCGAGTTGAGCTTAATATCTTAGCGGGCGAGTACAATCAGGTGACTTGGTCGATGTGTCTCACTGGAATTAGTTCGGAGCGTGTTCGTTCTATATAGACTGTCGGGTCATGATAAGCAAAGCGTATCCCAGCCTGCTCTTGTGCACATATTCACCTACAGCCTCAATAACTTCCGGGCTGGTTCAAACATGCATTGAAGGAGACCCAGCCCATGCCCCGATACAACGGCATCCGGAAGAAAACAAAGTACGAGAAAGATAGCGCTCAATTGCTCCAGGTTTAGCGAGCAGGATCGAGTGGAGCGTTCAAGTATACACACTGTACTCAACGGAGCTTTCCACGAGCGCGGACTATAAAGAAGTCGGCCAGGTTACTAAAGTTTGTTGACTCGAGTTCCACAGGCATAGTGGGATCCTTGCAACTCTTCAACACTGCACTTGACTCGAGATTCTTGGCGCAAACTCCTCGATTCCACTTGGTCTAGCTTTAGAAGTAATGGCGATAACTTCCGGCGGAGACTTCTCCTCGGCGGAATGGCTCCAATACTGGACCCTCTAATTCACGAACGTCTTTTGAGATAAGCCGGACTTCGATTGGGAACTATCCATGATAGAGTTAGGCCAGTCGTATTCGACAATGCAAGCAATGACAAAACAGAAGCCCCTGAAATCATGGCGCCAACGCGTAAAGGAGAATCAGACCTCTCCAAACAGGTCGCAAAATCACCTCGGAATTTTGAGACCTAGCTTTTCACAGCACTCTCGTGAGCAAAAAATGCTTCACTCTACGTCGTGGCTAGGTAGGTTGGCAAGCTGAGCATCCATTTGGATAGATACTCAATGCAACATGCTTACATCCGCTGTAGACGGCCTCAGAGGCATCTCTGCAACTTGTGTCGTTGTCCACCACTGTACGCTTCAGTGGTTTGGCTGGCATATTCATGAGCCTTGGTTTCCTGGGCAGTCTTTTCTGAAGTTGCCTATAATCCGTCTGCTCATCTCAGGATCTCCCCACGTATACATCTTCTTCGTCATCGCCGGCTATAGCTTGTCATACAAGCCACTCAAGCTCTTTCGACAAGGAAGATTCGACGAAGCAGCTTCTGTGCTTTCGTCCTCGATCTTCCGCCGACATGCACGGCTTTTCGTGCCGACTACTATAGTTACCTTTTTCTGCGCTATCATGACGCAGCTCAACTGGTACGGCAAGGCAGAGCACATGCCTGGTGTCGCTGTTCCAGCATGGGAGCCTCCACATCTCGACAACATTTGGGCGCAATTAAACAATTTTGCGTGGAACGAACTTCTCTTCATGGACCCTGTCGGACGCACTGTCGCAAAGGGAGATCCTGGTGACCAAGTCAAACAGCTTCATAATCCATACGACTACGTGCTGTGGACTCTTCCTGTGGAATTTAACAGCTCTATGGTGCTGCTCATGTTTCTCATGGCATTCTCTCGGGTGAAAAGTAGAGCTCGCATGGTATTCTGCCTAGCCATGGCAGTTTTCTTTCAATGCTTCTTTATATACTGGGCCCTCTTTCTCTTCTTCTCTGGGATGCTAATCTGCGACCTGCGGCTGGAGCTGGGTGAGGCCTCGTCAACAAGAGCTCCATCGAAAGATACCAGGTCGTGGTCAAAACATTTATTTGTCAGGGCTATCGGTGTAGGCTGCTTCGTTCTTTCTTTATGGGCTCTCAGTACACCACATCTGGCGTTTGGAGGCCGTGAAGCACCGGGCTTTGTAACCCTAGCATCCATGATTCCTGAGAGATTCGGTGATCAGCTTCTTATGCCCGTCGCAGCTATAGGCCTGGTCCTCACTCTTGACCATCATCCGTTCTTGCAAGTCCTCTTCACAAATTCGTTTGCACAGTACATGGGACGGATTTCTTTTGCTTTGTTTTTAGTTCATGGGCCATTGCTCAATACTCTGGGTCATGCATTAGGACGAAGATTCATTGCGCTCATCGGTGGTGATACGGAAGAGAGATACCTTGTTGCCATATCACTGACTGCGATGGTCTTCTGGCTTATGACTATTCTTTTGGCGGATTTCGTCTACCGATATGTTGATTTGGCGTCTGTTCAAGTGTCGAAGTGGGCTTATCAGAAATTGTTGCGCACAGAAGAACAACCTGGCAAATACGAATGGAAGAGCAGATAGTGCGTATGATAGACAACGATATAGCTCTAAAAAGATTCAATTAAAGTTTTGGACTTTGGGTATGATCTGACCAAATCTAACGGAAGAGAACAGCTCGCTCCGATGAAAACCGATTCCGTCGATGCTGGAGCCTAGCGCAGCTATGTCATGATTTGGCTCTCCCAGGGACTGACCGAAGACCACGAACGACTTTGCAAAGGTTGCCAAGCCCGGGTTCAAATCAGAGGCTCAGACCATACGAGACAAACAATACCTATCGTCCAGATCAGGAAATTTGGCTTGAAAATGTGCCTCGGGCCGTGAGGTTGTAGCATTTGATGTCCAGGATAAAGTTGCTAACAGTAGAAAAAAGACTACCCCGACCACCACGCAACTACCATAGTGCGCGGCAGTCTTCTTTCTCAACGATCGATGCTGTCAAAGCTGTCCAAGTTCAGCGCACCTTCTTCTATCCTTCGACGAACAAGAATTTCAGTTGTGAAGTCGTAAGCATGTTGGTTCAGCTCTCCGTCTGGTAGCTTGAACTCATACTTGAATAAGATATGGGTCAGGAGCATCTTGGCCACAGTGGCCGCGAAAAATCGACCAGGACAGGAATGCTTGCCGTAGCCCCAGCCCATGTGCTCTGGGCTGACTGCTGTGAACTGCTTAGGTTTGTTAGGCTTCGATTCCTCGGCATGTCTCAAGTGTCGACCAGGATCGAACTTCTCGGGCTCCGGGTAAATGGCCGGGTCGTGCATCCAATGGCCCGAGACGACGAACAATGACCCAGCGGGTATAGTGTTGCCGTTCTCCACCGAGATGTCTTTTTGAGCTCTGCTTTTGAGGAACACTGCAGCAAGGGTTACTGGCTTTGCCCTCGAAGTAATTGACTCTTTCTTCGCAACATGTACTTACCTGCACCAATAGGCTTCAATCGTTGACTCTCTTTCATACATCGGTCCATCAAGTCAAGCCGTGCGAAGCTCGATTTGGTCCATGTATGATCTCTGAGCACATCAGATGCTTCCTCTTTCAGTTGCTCAATAATGGCAGGGTTCCTCGCCAGATCGCAAAGCAGCTGGCACATGAAATCCGTGGTGGTATGAAAGCTTGCAACGGAGAAAGAGACCATGGCCACACCAGGGTTGTAGTCTTCGTTCCCGGCTTTCTCGTCGAGCCATGCGACCCATTCATCAGCGAGTGGCGTCTCCTTCCCGGATTGGGCTGCTTCAAAACGACGTCGGGAGATTTCAGCCCTGCGCTCTCTGACGAAAGGGAAGATATGTTTGTTAACGTTCTCAAGAGCGCTCTGAAGATTCCGAGATGCGGGATGGAAACGAGCAACGAGAGGATGGAGTACTCGTGGCCATTTCATCAAACTGCGACCCTCAGTGAAGGCGAGGCTTGAATAGGCGAACAAGCTCTGTATGTATGCATCATTTCGACAGAGCTCTCTGTTGGTGAAGAAATACTGTGTGGTCTGCGCCACAATTGCAGTCATAGTTTGAAACAAAGACACAGCATGCCAGTCTATCAGGATGCTCGGGTCAGGAACAAGGCGTGTTCATGAGGTCATATCAATGCTTGCTGGGTAAGGGAGCATACCTGTGGAATTCGTCCAGCGCAACTCCAGAGCGTTCGAAAGCTCTTCAGAAAGCTCAATTTTGCGGTTGGATACAAGACCGGTGAGGCGATGAAGAATTATATCTGCATTGCGCTGCCTCCACTCATTCGAGGCAAAGGTGAAAGGTTCGTATCCAGGTGCACTGATAGGCAATTCCTGGAATACATCGCAGGTCAGACTTGGAAATAAAGACTGGGGTTCTCTCATTTCAAATAATTTTTGAAGCCGTTAGGCTATGGGGAACGAATTTCTCCTACGAACTTACACGCTCTGTATATGCCGCCGCGCTGCAGCCATGGCCATATCGAAACTTCTCGATATATTTCGGTGATACAACGAGGACCTCTCCAATCGTGGTATTGATCCTCCAGATTTCCTTTCCCTTGATTTCAACATGTCAGAAAGCCCATAATCCCGAATTTCAAATTTTCTGGACGACTTACTTGTGATTTTGCGAAGCCTTTGGCGATCAAATCTCTGGAGCTGTGCAGCTCTTCTATGGGCGTCACCTTTTTGTCCTCGTACAGAGGGTACGCAGAAAGTCTCCAGCGCTTCAACAAATAATTGCAGCCTCTTGATACAATCAAAGCTGCCAGTACGGCTATCACCGTGCTTATGAGGAGCAGATGGCGTTCCAAACTGGTGACGGTAAACTTGGCCATCTCTGAGTGCCTTCAGATAACAATTTCACTGGAGATCTCCAGGCTTCGATTCGTTTGAAAGAGCCACCCTGCCACACAAGTGAACAGTCAACCCCTACAAAACGTAAGTGAGACGAGCTGACCTCGGTATCGGTCCAGTAACTTGGCCATGAGTACCCACTTGGGGCATCCGGCCGGGAAGGCATTCGTTCCATCCTGGCTGGTCAAGGCACTTTGGATAATGGAGCATGCGTTACTGGGGTGGTACACTGTGTAAATATGGGCGCTTATTTACCATCCAAAAAGAGTATATGGTGGATACATGGCGCAAAGTATATTGTCTCCGGCGTTGAAGTGGGTCGTGTTCAGACGATAAACAAATGTAACTTCAACCCACTGACCAGAGCTTCATGAATGTACATGTCACTGCCCTGGATAGTTCCGTGTGATAACTTTAGCTTCATCCGAGTCAGTAAACTCTGACCGCCCCTTGATACTCAGCTGAAGAGATGACTGTCGTACATCGTCAGACGTGAAACTAGACTACTACGTATTTGTTTATATGCATGTACCGAGGTGATTGCAAGAACCTCGATAACTTCATATTACCTGGGTATGTAGGTACTCTGGATTAGATTCGCGCGTTGGGTATCTCGCACAGCAACAGGATTACATGTCCCAGTCTTGAACTTGACGTGGATTTTCAGGAGCATTGGAGACACCTGCAAGTTGTTTGAATATTTCACAAAAATGGCAAACGTGGTCCTGGATGGTAGCGCCGCTCCAGCCAAGGCCGGCCTTCCTCTGGACTGTAGTTTTCCATCAAAACAGACCAACTTTCCCACTGAACTCGAATCAAACAGCAATGCCGACTTCTGGTGGAGGCTTTGCAGGCCCGAGATGGCCGGTCTCTTTAAACAGGCTGGTGGCTACACTGAGTTGCAGAAAGAATCTCACCTGCGCTTTGTTCGAGAACACTGTGCCCCATGGATGGGCACCGTCCCAACCGGACATATGGCCAACGAGGCCGTGGCGCCGGTAGAGATGAGCGTCAACTACATCAGCAGTCGAGATGAGGGCGTATTACGGTTTCAAATGGAGCCTTTTACTGCTGTGTCTGGGCCACATACCCAGGCAGACGACCCATCTGGCAAGAAAGCGGTATGCTCTATGCTGAGGTCCTTCCAGCGCGCGTTGGGAGACGTTGACCTGACATGGACGTGGCAACTCGTGGATAAATTTATGGTGACGGCACCTGATGAGGTGACACGACTTCGAGAAGCTGAGAGGACTTCACTGCCGCCACCTCTCAACCTTTACCAGCGCACTCCTCAGTTCAACTTTGCTTTCGACCTCAGCCCTGACAAAAAATCCATGAAGACTTATTTCCTTCCACTGGCGAAATCCCTGGTTACTGGAAGCCCCGCCTTGGATTACTGTCTGGACGCTGTCCGTTCACTTGAACCTCACGGTGAGGGGCTGTCGCCGGTGGCAGACCTTCTTCATCAGTTCTTCAATACTTCTTGCCCAGGCCACATGTCTTGCGACTACCTGGGCATCGACTCGACCAATCCTAAGAGATCCCGTGTTAAGCTGTACGTGTCTTCACAACAACACAACAGCTTCAACTTCATCAGAACTGTGTTCACCCTCGGAGGGATCGCCAAAGACGAGGCAACGCTGCGTGGCTTGGAATTCTTACGTTCCATTTGGCACTTACTGGTCAATGTCGACGAAGGCGAACTGCCGGACTCTTCTGATCGGCCTGCAAAACAGCTCCCCTTCTTTTTAGGCTGTCTTTATTTCAGCTTCGAATGGCGAACCGGTGACCGCTTGCCGCTTGTCAAGCTCTATGTGCCACAGTGGCAATATGCCCAGAGCGACCGCAAAATAGCGAGAAATATATCTGCTTCTCTGAGGAAGCTGGGCCGAGATGAGGCTGCTGATGAGTACTTGACGCACATCAAGCAGACTTTCCCAAGGGCAGACCTGGACGGTAATATATCTATTCACAATCAAGTGTCGTACGCGTACAGTGCTGAGACTGGCGCGTACTTGACGATATACTACAGTGTAAATAGCAAAGCTGTGACTAGAGACTAGATATACTAAGTGGAGAGTCTTCTTCTTCCTGAGTCAAGATGAGAAAAGAATCTCGTTCAGAGTTTCCCACAAGATATTCATGCCTCCTGAATTCGAATCTCGTTCTGCCCTTGATGGCCGATCACCCGAGGCTTCAGGTCTGAACACTTGCGAAATTTCCTGTGAGCGTAAATTCCTCCTATGGAAATCATAGCCAGATCCTTGCTGTGCTCGACCAAACTTTGTATTTCCAATCAAGGCAGCTTTTGCATCTCCTCCTCAATTCTTGGCCATGCGCGCGGTGGCAACCATGCAGCAATCCAGTAGTTACCCGCCGGATCCTTGCCGAGGATATTGAAGGCGTCTCGCGCCGTCTGGCTCCGCTTTGTATGGAGAGAATGATGATACACGGGTTTGCCCGGTGCAGAAATCACTGGGCCCTGCTTGCCACGCCTGATCACAGCTGGGCTGAAGTCGACAACCTCGCAGATCTTGGTTTTGCTCCAGTTGCTGAAGATCAGCGGGCTGCTCGTTGCCGTACCGACAACAAGAGCTCCCATCCTAGTTTTTCGAAGTTCTTGAAACATGGCGCGGATCTGAGCTTGTGGGGCCTGCTCCAGTAGAGATTGACGCACCGTATGTGCGAGCTCGCCCAGCGAAGTGCTCATAACCCGACCGACTGTGGTTGTTGTGAATAGGGCAAAAGCGAAGTTTCCGACGTAGGCGGTGTTCTGCTTGAAAAGGTCCGGTAGACGGGCCCGAACGTCGAGTGCATTTATGATCGTGATTGACTGCTGTGAAGTTTGTTGTGATGCCTGGTGCAAACATGCCATCCGGACAGCCCATGCTGTAATGACATCTCCATCGCTAACAAAAGGTTTCTCAATGTGACCTGGTACGAGAGTTTGAGTCTGTTCGACCAATGAATCCTCGGCTTCCCGTCGTAAGGCTTTGATTGTTCTAGCCGGGAGGTAGATGAGCTTGCTCTCTTGCGATACCCATATGATGGTCCAGATATATCGAACAACCCAGATGACGAACCAAATACCACTGACGAGACTGCTTTTCAATATCCATTCTTCTTGCTTCAAGGTGCCCCCTTCACCGGCCTCGAGGTTGTCCAACGGGTTGCTTTCAACATCTTCCAAATGCTGCACTTCGATCTCCCGTCCTGCCATGACTCTGCTCCAATTTATCAATAGTGTTTGGATGCCAACAGCGTCGGACATGGTGTGTGGCCATGAAACCGAGACGAGGGTGGCATCTGTGAAAGATACAACATGCAATCCAATCTGTGGCAGGTCTGAGTTGCAATAGTCCTCAATTGTCAAAGGGGGGTTCTCTCGTGTCGCGAATTCATGAAAGGTTGTTGATGATTCATGTAACCTTGGCTTCTCTGTAGCTACAGGTAAGCGGCGTCCGAGAGCGTGTTCGTCGATACAACAATCCAGCTTTGTGTGGGAGAAATCAGCTGCTGGGTGCTGAGGAGTGAAGCTCTCTGGGATATGGACCTCCAATTTGCCGTCTCTCTACATGAAGATCAGTATCTGACTCTTCCATTTCCTGCTTCCCGCCTACACATGAGGACCGCCCGCTCACCTTCTTCCTAACTCGACCACCTAGGCGTTTCCAGTTCCCTATGCTGAGAAGGGCATTAAGAGAATCACGAAGTTTTGCGGCATCGAGAACATCGTCGAATCGCAAAGTCCAGACTAAAATAGAATTACGTAGACCGATTGCATCATCAAAACGATGAAAAGGAACTATCCTATCGACAGGGACGGTTGTTTGAGACATGTTGCCACCGAACGCTTGTTCCTTTCAGGACTTTGTCGTCAGGGATTTCTTGTTGTATATCCGTTAAACTGTGGCTGATTGGAACAACACGAGACCTAGTGGATCGAAATTCCAGTCTGCTCTAGGGATGGCAATCTTCTGAGTTCAAAGAGTGAGCGAGGGTGGCGGGCAATGCCTCGGAGCTGCAGCGCAAACTTCGGAAGGGCTGTGACGCTTAGCCTGGAAATAATCCAGGCAGATATCAAGGCAAAATTAAAGTTCAAATATCGGCATATAATTGACGCAAGAATATGGTACAAGACGAACATTTATTCTCTTGACTCGTACTCCTTTGAAATTGCAAAAAGCCCCAATTTTATGGTGAGTATGAGGATAGCACGATATCTCCTAATTGCACAATGTTCAGGATACGATTCGTGGAATTTATTAGCATCTCGCTCCTCACACTAGGGACCTCGAATCATGTCCATCACTGGGATACCGGCCATGCTCCGTCGTAACGAACTTTGATAGCCTAGTCTGAATGTACCAACTGCTTGGCAAGAAGTGAAGGTATCCGCAAATCAGCAAGGGCTAAGGTCCCTGCCGCATGCGAGCCAGAATGGGCAAGAAATGCTACGCTAGGGCTGTGTGTACATTCCCAGGTATGTAACGGTGTTTTGTTCAGATGCAGCAGTTAAAGTGGCACCAGGCCATATCACGATGGTTTTCCAATATCATATCGACTTCTCAGTGTACTGTCAGCGTGATTAGGCCTCGACTTCTTCCTGTTTAGATGACGATACGAGCTCTTGACCCTGAATATACATCTGCACTTGACGGTAACGCACCATTTGAAGGTCATAAAATGCCACAAGCAATGAAGGAAAAACTTTTTATGGTGGTTGATGATTTGCATCGGCTTGCAAGCAGTCAATTCAAGCTTCCTGTGGCTCCAATCCTCTTCACAGCATTGGCAGCGACACTAGGGGCTTTTCTTCTGTCATCTCTAAGAAGCTATATTTCATATCATCGCAAAATGTCCTTGTTTCCCGCGCCTAACTCTGATAGTGCCTTCCGATCTTTCTTTTCCTCTAAGGCTCGCGACAAATTTCTTTCGAATGCCCAGGAGCTTATACGACAGGGCTTCTCTCAGGTACCTAGATTGCATTGCTATGTGTAGCAAATCCTGCTCTCCACTAATGAATCACTTAGAACAAATTCGCGATTCGTCTCAAAACAGATTTTACTGATGTTTTGCTGCTATCGCCTCGCTACCTGCCACAGCTTCGCACGGAAGATCGACTGCAAGGCGGACCTTATACCGTTCAGGTTCGTCAACTTCACATTCGCCCCGACCCTATGCATCTAGTCCACAGATTTTCTGAGAAAGACGTCATATGTACAGGAACTCCTAGGGTACCTCCCAGGTTTCGAACCATTCAGATTCGCGGACCAGATGCCCAAGTTCATACCTGATGTCATCTTAACCAGGATGAATAGATATTTGTGTTAGTGCCCATGCGCCTTAGTGGCTACTGGATTTCAATGTCATGAGCATTTATGCCCTTTTTATCTCTCTAAGGATGGGCCGTCACTAATGTATGATTGACCGTCAACAGCCAACGTACCGGCTTCCATCACTGAGGAAGTGGAAGTGAATCTGGCTGAGAATTGGACAGACGAAAAGGGTGCGTTCTGAAGTTGTATTTTCTGGAACCTGAAGATAATTTCCCTGCTTATTTTCAGTTACTGACTTTGTGCATTAGACTGGCACTCTGTTCATCTTCACGGTACAATGCTAGGTCTCGTTGGCCAATGCTCAATTCGGACATTCTTGGGCCCAGAAATGTGCCGCAAAAAACGCTGGGTAGATCTCCACACAGAATACACAGTGGCCGTTGTCACAGCTGTCCAGGCATTACGGAAATGGCCCAGGGCCCTCGTGTCCATTGTTCACTGGTTCCACCCGAAGGCCAAGGCGGCTCGAGCTCTACTCAACGAGGCGCGCGCAATGATACAGCCGATGCACGAGCAAAGGAAACGCGACATGGCCGCGGGAAAACCAGTACCCGCCGATACCTTGACTTGGTTCGAGGAAGTAGCCAAGGGTCAGGCATACGATGCAGCTGTAGTGCAGCTTACAATGGCCTTGGCTGGCCTCCATTCTTCCACGGATCTTCTCTGTGCAGTAATGCTGAATTTATCTGAGCACCCCGATGTTGTCGAGCCCCTGAGACAGGAGCTTGTACAAGTGTTGAAGAGGGAGGGATGGAAACAGACAACTTTCTCCCAGTTGACACTTATGGATAGTGTATTGAAGGAGTCACAGAGACTTAAGCCTGTTGGTCGCGGTAAGTACACTTGCGATTGCAACCTCCTCCACAAGACGTAGAACTTCATGATTCGTGGTCCGACTCAAAAACCGACGGCTAACTTCTACAGCCTTCTTCAAACGCGTAGCAGTAGACAACATCAAGCTGGACCACGGAGTCGAAATACCTAAGGGGGCCTTCGTCGCGGTGTCGAACCACGGCATGTGGGACCCTCACAACTATACAGACCCTGACAAGTTTGACGCATATCGTTTCGCGCGAATGTCGGACAACAAGTCCAGCGCCTTCTCGACCGTTAGCGTAGAGCATACTGGCTTTGGTTTCGGGAAAAATTCTTGCCCGGGCCGGAATTACGTGGCCCTGCAGCTGAAGATCATTCTGGCTCATCTCCTCCTCAAGTACGAATGGAAACTGCCTGACAACTATACACCAGCCACGTTTAATAATGGGTTCGACTTGATCGCCGATCCATTTGCCCAGGTTCTTGTGCGCCGACGATTGGAGGCACCTGAAGTCTCTTTGAGACAAAATACATGAGCGAGTTGAATTCGCTCTGTCAGTGCCGTTCAACAGGGGCTCCGGAACGGTTAAGTGGGTTTAAATTCCCTGAGACCTTGGTCGATCATGCATTAAATAAAGATGAAGACGGTAGAGGGGGGAGGCAGGAGAGGGAGAAAGGGAAAATATCGATTCCCTCCCCTCGAAAGCTAGGATAAAAATATAGAACGCATTGAGCTTAGTCTCCCCCTGCTCTCAGCAGCCAGAGTCTCACATGTATCCTCTTGCTCGAGTATAGCGCAACCAAGTGTTTAATTTGAGGTCCGCGGCCAAGCAGAAGAGTCAGAACAATGCTTACGTGCACTCACACTCCTACTCGTGATGTTATATGCTGGAAATACTGAAATAGTAATTGTAAATGAAACAGAATGGATGATTCGCTTGAGTTGTAAGTAAATTTGATCAAACGTTAAGCTTCTGTGACACCAAGGTATTCTCCGCAATAGCCGACCAAGCCGCAGCATCCGCTGGAAGCGTCATAGCGTTAAGACGTCAACTCCGCACATTCCGACTCACCCACTCTTGCGCCGGGCGGCATCAAGTCCATCGTCCTCCCTCCTATCCGCTTAAATTTGCACGATGAGCTCCCTGAAGCGGAAGCGTTCCCGTCAGGCCTGTGGGCCTTGTCGAGAGCGCAAGAGAAGATGCGACGGGCGTGAACCTTGCCTCACTTGCACTGACTGGGGCTATTCCTGTTACTACGAGCCTGAGCCTCGACAAAGGGCCCCCCGAGGCGTCAGGCAGGCCATGCCAGGGCCCCCTTCATTCGGATCACAGCCTCTACAACCGCCTGCCCCTGCACCCAGTGCCGTCGAATCTGATCACAGCGGTCTGGTCCGACGCCTGGAGGCCAACTCCGGAGCGGCTTTCGTCAGGAACCTCGGCCTCAAGATTGACCCTACAAAAGCGCCTAAGCTCAATCTCTTTGGATGGAATATTGGAGCCAGGCAACTCTCTGCTCAACTAAGTGCTGTTTCTTCTCCGCTGCCTATCGTTGAGATCACCTCGCTGGAACATATGAGATCTTTGTCCCAGGTTTATTTCGAGAAGGTTGACCCATGCTACGGGTTCATCGATCATGAGCAGTTTTATGAAAAGCTGACTACAAGATGGGAGACGCCTCAGACACCAAGCATATATGATAGTATTCTGGGTGGCGTTGCCGCTATTGGGTGTTTATTTTCTCAACGAAACGCCACAATCACCGAATTACACCTGGTTCGCTCAGCTCGTGCCTGTCTAGACAACTTTCATCTCTGTGGTCCTCCGCCTATAGACCTTCTGATCGGTTGGGTGCTTCGGGCAAGCTATCTTCGAATGACAGACTCACCGCATTCAACATGGATAGCCAGCTCCATGTTGATGCATCTTGTGGAAGCCTCAGGGCTTCACCCTGAATCACCATCGGTTCTTCTACCAAGCGCACAATGTGACCCAGATACCAAGAGAAGGATCGTCGGCGTCGCGCATCATCTGAATGCGTGGACTTCTTTCGACCTTGGACTTTCCCGAGTTTCTTTTCGCACCGACGATCTGCCCTTGCTGCCAGCACCGAGGCCGGGCGACTACACAGCTGAGGTCCTGGGTCTCCTCCCGGTGTCAGTCAGTCTAGACCCTGGAAGGCTGAAGGATGAGACAGATCTCACGTCCAAACTTTCTAAAGTTGTGGAAGGTGTTCACACCAAACCACCATCGGTCCTGGCACAGTGCAACCTGGTGCTCTGCATTCTTCGACGCATCCATACACAAAACCTCGACATCTCTCCAAACCTAGTAGAGCAGGTATTGGCTCTGTTGAAGAAAGGACTTGGCTGCGCTCGGACTATGGTTATAGAGTGCTGTCCATGGCACCAGGTAGCGAACGTGCCCTTCCAAATAATCTGCGTCCTCCTTGTCATGGATACGCGATCATCTCTTGTGATGCTAAAAGAGGCAATGGAAACCTTAAGTCTCGTTGCCTCTACGTATGATACGGAAGTAATGAGGGAGGCGTACAGTACGGCATGTCTTTTGGTTCTTTTACACCAGCAACGTAGGAAGGACGACATAGCCATCCTCGGCGAGGCCTTGAACGTCCACCACCAGGAGCGACAGATAGCGCCAACACCCCAAATCAGTCCCAGTGCCGAGGATTATTCCTGGCTGGAAGCACTAGTTGCTGACTTGCCCGGGCTTCAACGGATCGACATTGATCAATTCCTTCATGCGGATTTAATCGCTGGTTCTTCTTTTATGGGCGGATCAGAGTGATTAAATGCATCATAGAGGACTGTATGAATCAACTTGATTAGATGATTGCCGTACTCTCAAACTTTTTCCTCAAAGTAGGTTTGAGCTCTAATGTACGTAGTGCGGATATTGCGGATTTCACTAGCGCTATCATTGACAACACATAAACCAGTATGTGAAATCGCACCAGAGCCGCAACAACCGAGGGCGTTCAAATGACAAGTTGGGTATGAAAAGACCACTATGCATTCAATGACTCATGAAGAAACTACTAAACATATTTGGACCTTTTCTCATGTGCCTACCACGATCCGAAATCTCGAGTGTGCCTGCAGCAACCCACGCTCGGAGCCCAGGTCCGTAGGCAAATCAACACGAGGCTCTTGCATGCCAGAGAAGTTGGAGTCAGAGTTGTCTTGAAATTTCAGAGTCGTCTTTACTAAGATTATTCTGGGAATTGGTTAGATGATGATCGAGAAACTATCCATGGGCATGGGCAAGCCTATCCCACCAATGCTTCCCGACCAGGATAACTACACAGTCGAGTTCGATGAAGCAAACGATGCCTTGCATCCCTACAATTGGAAACGCTCCATCAAGTATGATACTTTCCTGCGGAAATTATAGAATGGCAGAAAAACTGATATTGATATTTTGAGGCTTTTCGCATCCATCCTGGTCTGCACGGGGACCTTCATAGTGTCCTTCACCAGCGCCGTCTTCGCGCCCGCCACAAAGGCTGTCAGCAACGAGCTCAATGTCTCTACAGAGGTCGGGACTCTGGGGACCACTTTATACGTGCTCGGCTTCGCGTCTGGCCCAGTAGTCTGGGCGCCTATGTCTGAGTTATGGGGTCGTAGGTGGCCGCTTACAACCTCAATGCTGGCCGGCGGCATCTTCACTGTCGCGTCCGCCTCTGCCAAGGACATTCAGACGCTGCTCATATGCCGCTTCTTCGCGGGCGCGTGCGGCGCCGGTCAGCTTACCGTCGTGCCCGGGGTACTGGCGGACGTCTTCGACAATACCTACCGGGGCGTTGCTATCTCGCTCTATGCTCTGACCGTCTTCGGCGGTCCATTCATCGCTCCCTTCGTTGGGGGTTTCATTGTGTCCAGCTCTTTGGGCTGGCGGTGGGCTCTGTATATCCCGGCAATACTGAGTTTCGCCAACGGATTCATCTCGCTTTTCTTCTTGCGAGAGACATATGCGCCGTGCATCCTTGTCGAGAAGGCTGCTGTGCTTCGGCGTCGGACCAAGAATTGGGGCATTCAAGCCAAGCACGAGACGGTTGAAGTGGACGCGAGAGCACTGATTGAGAAGTACTTCACTCGGCCATTGGTCATGCTAGTGACCGAGCCAGTGATTCTTTTTGTGTCGCTATACATGTCGTTCATCTACGGACTGGTCTACTGTCTTCTCACTGCCTACCCTTTTGTCTTCGAGGAAGTCCATGGCATGACCCCAGGAGTCAGTGGTCTTCCATTCCTTGGCCTCCTTATCGGACAAGTGCTAGCCCTCATCTTCATTCTTTCGCAACACTGGGCCTATGTGGAGAAGCTGGCAGAAAACAAAAACGTACCTGTTCCCGAATGGCGTTTGGCGCCTAGTCTTCTGGGGGCGCCCATATTTGCAATTGGCATTTTTTGGTAAGTGAAATTTCATATCTGCCTAAATTTTCGAGTATAATAAAACTAAGCATTGTCACTACCGTAAGGTTCGGTTGGACTGGATTCAAGCCTCAGATTCACTGGGCTGCACCCACACTCGCAGGCTTATTCATCGGGTTTGGCATTCTATGTGTCTTTCTACCTTGCTTCAACTATTTAGTTGACGCATATTTGCCGCTGTGAGTTTTCAACAAGCCAATCTCGTGCATATTTAATGGATGCTTTACTAAGTCGTGACAGAGCCGCATCTACAGTTGCTGCCAATATTATCCTTCGCTCGGCGGTCGCGGCAGGGTTCCCACTCTTTTCCAGACAAATGTTTGAGAACTTGGGTGTGCAATGGGCCTGTACTCTGCTCGGTTGTCTGGCGGTGATTATGATTCCGATCCCTTTCGCATTCAGGGTCTATGGCCCGCGTTTGAGAAGGAAGAGCAAGCTCCTCCAACAAGATGAAGTACAGGACTAGAACAATGAATTTGATAAATTTTCGATCCAGTCTTCCGATCGAAATTGTGTAGAATGTATAAGTGACGCGCTTCACAAATGATCGGTCTTCCAGCCCGTCTGGGAACTTCCAGGCTACAAAGATCCCAGCCCCAGTTCCTTTATAAAAATATCAGCCGCCCTTTCGCCGATAGCTAGCGCCGTGTTGTTGGTATTGGCGGCCACGTTATGTGGAGCGATGCTCAGATCGGCAATCTTGAGGTTTCCCACACCGTAAACACCGAGACCAGAATCAACGACACCCATCTCGTCGCGAGGAAGCATCTTGCACGTCCCAAGCGAGTGCCACGTCGTTCCGACGTTCTCGCGCAGCCACTGCTCGAGTATGGCGTCATCCTGGGCCGAGTACTCGATGTCTGGAATGCCGGCGGGCAGCGGGCCGTCGGTGAGTTGGACACACGCGGCGCTCGACCCGGTGGCGAAGGGCGGGTGGCAGTTGGCCATCTCGCCGCGGTAGCATGCCATGCGCCTGATGACCTCGCGCTGCTTCTTGTACATCCACATGTGCTTCTTCACGTCGAGCTGGCCCTCATCGGCGAAGAAACCCGTCTCGAAGTCCACGGGGACGCCCACCTCGGGGCTTGTGATGTGTATTTTCCCGCGCGAGAAGGGGTATACGGTGAATACCGTTACTGAGAGACAGGGTTCACCAGTGGCAAGGCGAGGGTCTCCTGGGAAACTGTGTCTCAGTTAGTACGGTCCTCCGGAGAAGGCCTCGGCTCCCATCTCCAGAGCTCTTACCCAGCGATTACGCTTAACACCGCTAATGGTTTATCTGGGTAAGGTTTGAATTCTTGATTCCAGGCGGCTTGAAAATCAGGTCCGAGGGCGGTAACCTCACTCTCTCTCGGCCGCACTTTGACCTGTATTTCCTGAGCATTCCATCCTAGCATCTCGTGGTCAGCCTTCATCAGCTCCTCGAAGCTGACCGATGGCCCGTAGATAATTTTATCGAGCGTATCAGCGGCTTCCAGTTCATTGAGATATGGGTAAGCAAGCAGATGATGGTCTTCATAGCCGTTGCCGACTCCGGGCAAATCAACAAGAACAGGGACGCCGACACGCTCCAGAACCTTGTGGTCACCGACGCCAGACCGTTCCAAGAGTGGCGGCGTTCCACAAGCGCCGCTGGACGCGATGACAAGCTTCCTCGCCTTGACACTGCGCAGTGGCTGCTCCGTACTGTCTGTGTGGAAAAGTGGGTTGGGCCTGAATTCGACCCCAGTAGCCTTCTTATTCTCGTCTATCAAAATACGGCAGACCTGAGATTCAACGAGGACGTTCAAATATGGGTGCTTCCCATCGCGAAGTCGCGGGAGGAGGTAGGTGGATGCTGCGTCTTGACGCTTTCCACTGGGTGAAATGAATCGCCTGGCTCGCCACGTGACATTGACGGAGTCGATATCTGTCAGGTCCGGTGCTTCCTGCCAGCCCACGTTCTCTGCTGCGGCGATGAATTCGTTCTCAATCCTGGGTGAGTTATATGTGCCACGGGACACATGTATCGGGCCGTCGTGGCCGTGGACACCTTTTGCATCCTCGCCGTGGTATGTCTCGAGCTGCGAGACAGGCCATCAGCTGGCATTTTCCAGTTTTCAGGCCGATGAGAACTTCGAGGTTTGGTTTACCTTCTTCAAGTAGGGCAGCATCTCATCGGCGGACCACCCTGGGGTATTCCAAGAGTCCCAATCGGATCGCTGAGCCCGACTGTACATCATGAAGTTGATCGATGATCCGCCTCCCAGTATACTAGCCGTGGGAAGAATGAGTGATCTATCAGCAACCTCGGGCGACTTCTTTGTCAGGTAAAACTGGCTGGTCTTGCTGTCTGGTGCGAGATGGGTCAAGAAGCAGGCTGGATACTCGACGGTTGGCAACTCATTGCTCGGTCCGCTTTCGATCACCAAGATGGACAACCCAGGGTCTGCATCGGCGAGCCTCGCAGCAACGACACAGCCAGCCGTCCCACCTAGTGAATTACCAAGCTTTAGCAGAGAGGGGGCGAGAAGGCTGCAAAGTTGTTCATAGGCATGAGGAGTTCTCACCTCCTGCAATGATCACGTCCACCTCATCAATTGCCTCCGGAAGGTTTGTATAAAGTGCCATGATGCCGCAAGCCACGCGAGCTTTGCAGTCCAAAGGGCGAGTGTCCAGACGTGCTGCGGAGATTGATCGATAACCGAGAAGAAACGAAGAAGTCTTCGTGTGAGGTAATAATGTAAGCCAGGCGCAGATGAGGCCGAACCCCGCTCTGCTACCCTGACCTTGAGAAATATTGTTGGGCGATAGTAGTGCTGGTGGTACTTGGCGTAGAGAGGGGAGGATCATAGGGTGTGCTGACGGTGCCCTCCTCACGGCTGACCGAATTTGACCGACGCCATGGCCCTAACACGCCTCTTGTGTTATTTTGTTTGTGGTCGGTAAAATGTAAGATGACGGTGTGATGGCCTGTAAGTCGCGGAGCTTGCAACTTCCTTGGAGTTTTTTCTTGTAGCCCAAGCCGGGCGCAAAACCACTAATAAGCCCCAGATATCTAGAACAAGATTGACCGTGTCGCAAAGCTGCTGGGCGATGTGGTTGACGTTCCGTACAATATCTTGTCTCCAAGGGCAAGCGGGTTGCGGTGCTGGGGACTAGCCGTTGTACCAGACAGCGGCCTCGTCACCGAGCATTCTGATCGCAAGATGGAAGTGAATGGTATCCGGCAGTATGCATTGATGGTAGAAATGACATCTGAGCTTTGCTGGACATGCAGGACCGCCTTGGATGCGCATATCTGGGTCATCTCTACGATGGCCCGACCGCATATTTCCCATCCATCCGGAACCCTCTTTCACCATTTACCTCGTGGGCCCTGAAAAGCCAGGATGGTGCACTTGCATAATTTCGGCGGGTATTCAGCGGGCTGTTGGTATCCAGATCAGGTGGTCGAAGTTATTCCTGTCGACCTGCCTGCCTTGAAGATGGATGCTAGAAGCCCTTTCTGTTGCAAGGAAGGATCAGCTTCTATGCTGACGCTCATCGTTTACCATGAGTATACGAGAACCCCAGTGACAGATTAGAATTCGTCATTTTGATACAAAATACACGTGTGCACGAAATGCGCAGCGGACTTTGGGCAATAAATCCTCGGGGGATGAACAGCTACTGTGTACAGTTAGATTTCGATAAAGCTCTAGTCGCGATACAGTATGTAGATGTCTAATGGATGGATACTCAGGTACCTGTTATAGTGCGAGGGAACCAGGCCAGGGATAGGTACCGCTCAAGGTGGCAGGGCAGTGTCGTAATACTGGAGTCCCCTGGCGGGAGCCCACTCACTGGCGCATGGAGCTCTCCCGACGAACCCTGGAAACGGGCGCAGCTTACGTACCGACCACCCGGGCAGTGTAGTTAGTATCTACATCGCCCGTTTCAATAATTGTAGTTGCCATCCTGGAAACAATCCATCGTGTTAGTATTGCATCTTCAATTGCACATAACAGCGAACGCTTGTCTTTGTCCCGACCAAGGTCATTTGTCCAATTGATGCCGCCCCATCCGTGAAATCTTCCAGGACCGCCGACGAGCCCAGTTGAAACACGCGCCACCTCGTCTCACATTGGGAGTTGACGCCGGCCGAGAGCTGATCGTGGACAAGGCGCCGTGTCCACCTCGGAAGGTTGACGATACCTTCCTTCGGGAGCCCAGGGCCTTTGTTTCTGTTCTCGCGCCCGCCCAGCAGTCACAGTCACAATGGCGCAAGTATTCTTGGACCTCATCACTTCCTTCGGGAACTGCCTGAACTGCTTTCCAGGCTCCCCGTCGCTCAAGATCAACAGTCGCAACTTCAAGATCCTGAGATTACTAGGCGAGGTAGGCCAGATTTCCCAATGCCTTCCTGTAAGTCGGAATACTGGGCTGACGAGCACGAACCTTACAGGGCGGCTTCTCCTATGTCTACCTCGTCCAAGACACATCGACCTCTGAACTGTTCGCCCTGAAGAAGATCCGCTGCCCGTTCGGCGCCGAGTCCGTCGCACAAGCGATGAAGGAGGTCGACGCGTACAAGCTCTTCGCCAACACATCCGGCATAATACATAGCGTCGACTACGCGATCGCCTCGGAGCGCGGCGGCGGCGAGGCCTCCAAGACAGTCTACGTTTTGCTGCCGTATTACCGGAGGGGGAACCTTCAGGACCTCATCAACGCAAACCTGGTCAACCACACCAAGTTCCCCGAGAAGAAGCTGATGCACCTTTTCCTTGGGGTCTGCCGCGGGCTAAGGGAGATGCACGTCTACACAGGGCCCGGTGCTGCGGGCGGCACGGGGGGCGAGAGGATGGAGATGCGGGTCAACGGCGTGGACGAGAATGTCGAGGCGGCGCAAGGCAGGTCAAAGAGGCCGCAGGAGTCGAGTGGCGCGGACGAGGACGACGAGACAGAGCAGCAGAGGCCGCTGATGCACGGGAACGAGGGCGTGCCCGATGGCGAGATAAAGAGCTATGCGCATAGGGATATCAAGCCAGGTGAGAACCCCGTCTGCCTCCTCGTCCGGCTCTGAGAGGCTAACATGCGACAGGAAACATCATGATCGACGACACTGGCTCCGCACCGATCCTCATGGACCTCGGCTCCATCGCCGTCTCCCCTATTCCCATCACATCCCGATCCCTCGCCATCGCAACACAAGACACGGCGGCAGAGCACAGCACGATGCCATATCGGGCGCCCGAGCTCTTCGACGTCAAGACGGGGACCGTGGTCGACACTAAGGTGGACATCTGGTCGATGGGATGTACGTTGTACGCCTGCCTAGTAGGGAAGTCGCCCTTCGAGATGCGCAGCGACGAGACAGGCGGCTCGTTGAGTATCTGCGTGCTGGGCGGGGACTGGCGGTTCCCGGATGAGGGGCCTGGTGGGACGAAGAAGAAAGCGCCGGTAAGGAGGACCAACACCGGTATGGGCCAAGGCGGTGGTGCAAATGGTGCAGCAGCAGAGGACCTTGTTATCAGTGACCCCATCAAGGAGGTGGTGAGGAAGTGTTTGAGTGTGGAACCCAGTGAGAGACCGGACATGTGAGCGCCTACTTCCTCCTTTGACGATTTTGTTGATTTTCCCACTGACTTTGTGACTGCAGAGATGAGTTGATTAGGATGGTTGAGAAGGTGGTTGACGAGCTGCCCGAGGATGACTCAACATAAGCCATTAGCTGGGGCTATCGAAGCTGATGTGAATCAATGACAATGGATACATCTCTCTTGTGGATGACTCGTTTTATTCTTCATGGCGGTCAGGTAGAACTGCAATGTTTGGGCGATATTTGACCGGCGTCAGGACTCACAAATTTCCTGGGAATGGCTCAGAATGAGTAGTAATGCACTGGAGACTTTTTATGAGTTTTCAAGGCGTACAGAAATACCAACTGGCAATGTAGATCTTTGAAGTTTTGATCTGTATCAATAGGAACGTGCCAGAATGTGAGGTGGTTGATGCAAACATCTCTGGTGTGCGGAATACTCAAATGAGGTGAAGTGAAAATCGCAGCTCCTTCCGAGTAAACCTCATAGTCCCACCAGTAGAACAGCCCAAAAGACAGTAACACTACAATAACCGCCGTGACCACACACACCATTTACTGTATTCCCGGCAAAACTTTTCACGGTGTTAACTACGGAAAATTCAGAGCATCAGCGCAATGCGACATTTCAGCAACAAAACTGAGAAGGCCGACAGCCTTGGCCGCGAAAACAGCACGGATGAGGCCGACCCCACCACATCTGCTTCACCCCCTGATATCGACAGCAAGCAGAATGCTGATGCCGGAGCAGGGGAGGAGGAAGATGAAGAGGACGACTACATGAACATGACCTTTGATGACGCGCCCGCCAGGCAACCAGAGACATCCCTGCAGCGCAGCCAGCGCCTGCGGAAGGAAGGCCTGAAGCGCGGCATGGTACCGTCCAAGGCCGAGCTCGCGGCGCAGGAGCGGCAAAAACGCGAGGAGGGCCTGTCGAGATCGCTGATCACGGGCGCGGCGGCAGGAGGGGACGACGTGCCGGCGGCGGCCAAGAAGCCGAAGAGCAAGGGCCTGGCGATGATGGCGCGCATGGGGTTCACGCCAGGGTCGGCGCTGGGCAGCCGCGACAACGCCTCGGCGCGCAGCGAGCCGCTGCACATCGAGACCAAGGAGGACCGCGGCGGCATCGGCGCCGATGCCGAGAAGAAGAGGAAGCTGGTCGAGGCGGCCGAGGCGGCGGGGCTGGCCAAGCGCGCCCGCGTCGAGGAGCTCGGCGACTACCGCGACCGCATGGCGCGGGAGCGCGACGCCGCGCGCAAGGAGAAGCTTGTCTTTGCAGCGCAGAAGATCGCGGAGAAGATGGACGAGGACGGTGCGGGTGGGGGAGCACCTACTGCTGTGGCTGCTACTGCCGCCGGCCCAAGGGCCAAGACGACGTCGCGGCCGCTTAAATCCGTCCCCATCATCTACCGCGGCCTCGTGCGCCATCGCGAGGAGGCCGAGCGGGACCGCAGGATGCGGTACGACCTCGAGCAGAGCAGCGGCGGGCTGTCGGCCAAGCTACCGGCGTATGAGGACGAGGGCATGGACGAGGACGACAAGATGGCTCTCGGCGGCCGCACGCAGAAGAAGACCGTCTACATGCCGGCGGACGACCTGGACGAGGAGGACCCCGAGCTAGACGAGTTCGAGGCGCTGGAAGTGGGTGAGAAGCTGGTGAGGCTCGTTGCGTATCTGAGGGAGAGGCATCGGTACTGCTTCTGGTGCAAGTTCGCCTACCCTGATGAGGAGATGGAGGGCTGTCCTGGTTTCACGGAGGAGGACCATGACTGATCATAGTCACCTGAGATTGATACGACTAGAACAATGGAGTAGACCACTTCGAAGTCTGCCTACTGGCTGTGATCCTGACGGGCTCTCAGTGGTCGATTGCATGTCCATACAGGTGTTGACCAGATCTGGGCAATTGCCGGTGTTCCGCCTGAAGATTCGTGTACTACACCTGTGAGAATACAAGAACAGAATCAGACAAATGCATATAGTAAATCACACACGACACGCTTTAATTATTGAATATGTTTGTGTTTTCTTTGCGCCCTACATAGTCCAATCCTAAAACCCTTACAGTGTGACCCGAACTCCCAAAGCTATGTAAGGCTATCCATTGTCCCCGACCATGCCAATTCCCAAGCGTCAAATGGTGACTCAAGATACCCTTCCCATATGTATATATGTCCGCGCTCAAACGAAGCGCCGATATGGGTATCCGAATTATTACAATCGAATGGAAGCCATTGAACTCCTTTTAACTCCTCCCTGACGTTGTGTCAAGTAACGTGCGTGTGCGCGATTCTCCGTCGTCCTGCCCGAGATCCATTCCTTTAGATTGCGAGACGGCGCTTTGGTTCTGGTACGGTCACCTCAAGTTGTTCCATGTCACTGTCACTGTCGCTGCGCTTTCTCTTCAACGACCCTTTGCCGGTCCCGTTCAGCGCCTCCTGGGAGATCTCGTCCTCAGACGGGTCCTGAGTCTCGTCTTCATAATCGATGTCGTCATCGTCATATTCTCCATCGTCCTCCCCGTCATCCTCCATTTCGTAGTCCTCGGGCGCATAACAGAAGCGTCCCACGTCGTCGTCGTCGTCACTCTCACTGTCGCTGTCGTCTAGGTTTAGTGCCCCCAAAAGAGGGATGTCGATCTTGGCCAGCTGAGACTTGATCATCTGGTCCGCGACAGAAAAGAGCTGGCTGTCCTTGTCGGGGGTGACTTCCTTCTCAATATCGAATTCTCTCTCTTCCATGTCCAGGTTCGCATCGTCCCTCATGCCGTTGTTGGGCGACAGCGCGGCATCGGGGATGTTCATGACCCACTTGCGGACAATCTCGCCCTTGGGCAATCGCCTCATGGCAGCAGCAGTATTCTTCTCGCGCAGACCACGGCGGAAAGCCCGCTTACTCTTGCGCCTCCTCCGCCCAATCCGGTCCCGGATGTACCATGCCACGACAAGCATGGCGGATTGCATCATCTCCTGGCATTTCTGCCTGTGGCCGGTAGCCCATGTCTGACATCTTTGTTGCTGGTAGTTGAGAATCGCCTGGCATCTCTGCTGGTAGAAGGCTGCCATCCGGGAGACCATCTGTACGTACTTGGGGTCGGCGAAGGCTGGATGATCGCCGGCGAGGTCAAATACAGGTTGGTTTGGGGTGTTTGGTGACGCGGATGGCGGAGGAACTTTAGTGTCTGCGCTGGACTCACTGGCAGACGGTGTAGATGAGGACCTAGCAGATTGTTGTGATGATGGCGGGTGTTGCGGTTGCGTTTGCTGTTGCGGTTCTGGTTGTGACTCTTTTTGTTGTTGCTCTTTTTCCGCTTGCTCCTCGTTCTTTTTCTTCAGATTTAAGCGTTGCTGTTGTTGCTCTTGGAAATGCTTCTCCAGGAGCGAGGGTTCCTTCTTAAGCGTTGGTCCGTTCATCTCCCTGGCGAACGTCTTGAGCAGTGAGGGATTCGTAAGATTGTGCGCAAGGCCTGGGATGGCTGCAGGGGCGTGACTCGGACCGTGTTTGAAGAATAACTTGTGGTCTGGTGGAAGTGGTAACGGAATTTGAGAGGTAAGGTTTAGCATGATGGGAAAGGTTGAGGCGTCCATTGCTGCTGATTACACGAGGCAGCAAGGAGAAATTCGGTGACTGAAGTGGCGTGATAATCGACGTTTCTCGGGCCACTACACCGGCCGATTTCGCGAGTTTACACTTGCAGGTGACTAAGTCCCTGTTGGTCCGCAGCCTTGTATGAGAAAGACTTCTTGTTTCGGTGAAACCCGTAAGGAGGCTCAAGTACTGGGCTGGAGCAGCAGGAAGAGTAGAAATATGCGGGAGCAAGGAGATAGATATCTATCAAGATGGAAGGGGGACAGGAGTTCCTGCACCCCGGAGGCTGATGGTGGAGACTAGGGGACGGGCTGAAATAAATACAAGACGCAAAGAAAGTGAGTGAGCAGAGGGGACAACAAAACATGAGATGCACTCGCATCCTCGCCGCTCAGGGGGGCCGGCCCTATGGGCTGGAAGCAGTCAAGGCTGCGGAGTGGGCAGGGCGAGAGCCAGCGTGGGATCGCCAGGCAGCGTGCAGACGTCAGTACCTGATGTTTGGTATTTCGTGGAGAAGATGGGCTGGTCCCAATCTAGCTCGCAATGGGCCCATGGGGCAACGGCGGCAAGGGGATCATCAGCCTGATCGGTGAGATGGGATGGTGGGACTGGGGACTGTGGGAGACAAAGAGGCTCGCAGCCCGCCCAGCACAGCCGGCACTGGCGGCCAGCAAGACGACTGCATTGTCGAGGAGCTGCTGACAGCTGGTGAACCCCGCTGTGGAACGGCAGAGGAAGGGGAAGACTCTGCAGAGGACGGGCAGACGTCTTTCGACTATGTCGTGAACATTAGGACAGGTCTAAGCAAGAAGCGGGCCTAGCTGATAAACATCGAACGAGACGTGATGAAATAAATGCGGGCATCGGTCGATGCCGACGGCTGGCCGCACATGGGCCCTGGCGCGCCCTGTCCTGCACAGCTGCCATGTGCCATGTGCCCTTGGCCTGCTATGCTTTGCTTTTATTTGCTTTGATTTGATTTGGTCAAGCTTATGCTATCATCAGCCCAGTTCTGACTCCAGGTCATTTCTTTGGGAAGTGATCCGGGCACAAACCGCCCGTCTCTACAAACTCTAAATCGCGGCCCCGACAGCCCCCGCCGTTGGGTCCTGGTTCTGCCCACGCGCGTGGTGTGGTCGTACAGGACACACAGAGAGGGGAGGGGAAGCGCGCGAAAAAAAGCAACAGACTGCGTGCCGGGTTTATTTCGTGGCTGCTGTTTCTGTCCGACATCGAACGCGAGATGGCCAATGCCAGATTCTAGATCATGCGTGAGCTGTCGGACAGGCTGTCGATCTGCCCTCGTTCCTGACCGGGTTGGTCGACCGGCATAATGGGTGAGCATTGGTGGTGTTGTGTTGTGTTACTTGTGGGCGTTCAATCAATCAATCCACGACATGGCATGGCATGGTCGACGTGGTGTTGCGTTCCAAGGGCCAAGCGGGTCCGCGGCCCGGGGCGGAGGGCTGTTATGTAGTGCGAAGCTGTCTGGCAGAACTCAGGGTCCTGTCCGCCCGTCCCTGACTCCTGGGTTTTCACCCATGCGATCGATGATATGCGATTCTCGATTGTCGATTCTCGATCGCCTGCGACCAGACGAGGCGGGTGATCCACATTACAGATTACCTTCCGAACTGCCGACTCCGCCGATTGCGATTGCGATTGCCATTTGACGGCTAGCCATGGTTCATGCGACAGGTGCATGCCATGTAACGGCCAGTCGTGCATTTGCTGCTATGTGCCCAATGATCGCAGTGGTACGTGGTCTGTTGTTTTGTGGTGTGGAGGGTGCTAGGTGCTGGCTGCTAAACATCGGCCAGCAGCGAAAAGTGCCATAAAAGATCACTCCACGATGCCCTGCAGGACATCACACAGCATACACGAGGCCATACTGCAGGCAATATTCTGAAGCAAAACATTGTACTCCGGCTGTGCTCGCGCTATGTGCCGATGCATGGGGGCACTGTGGACGAAAAATGGACATCGTGTCTCAACAACCGAGGCGGTCCTGGATGATCTGTGAGAGGGTAGAGACGCCAGAGTCAGCGAGGAAGCGAGCCTGGCCAGGTCTAATTCGCAAGTGCGAGGAAAACCGACACCCACCCGGAAGCCAACCAGGCCTGAAGAAAAAAGAAATGCCCATTACTGGAATCGAACCAGTCACCTCATCATTACTAGTGATGCGCTCTACCGATGAGCTAAACGGGCGAATCATGCTAAACATTGCGTAGCAAGTATTATGACGCTTGTGCGGAGGGGAATAGAGCGGCGATGTTGTCGTGATCCACTCAATGCCAGGTGGGAGCAGGGGAAGGAGCCCTGGTCTGGCTGCAACCTCGAACCCTGACCCTTGTCCCAAATAACACCACACTCAGTCAGTCCACACCCAATTCTATTGGGACGACAGGCTTTCCTTGCGCACCTCACGTCAACGTGCTAACTCATCACCAAGTCTCCTTGTGCTTCCTGTTGTCTTAAACAATTACTTGTGCTTGGGATAGTAATGGCCAGGTCGAGGCCAGTCCACTACGACACCCTGTCTTGATGCTGCCCTCACGCCTGGGTTCAGCTGCTCGCTCGTCAAGAGCAACATTCCACAAACGGAGATTTCACTCTCACCTATTGGGCAGCAGGCCAGCTCCGACGGCCACCTTACGATGCAGGTCAAGCTCTCAACACCATGGCATCCCGTATCGGGCCCAGGTAATACCGCGTGACTTCCCCCACATCCAGATCCGGGGGAAGAAGACCACCACTGTTGTCAGCCTCGATGATCTTCCCCAGGGGCTCATTCGCGCAGACTCCCTGCCAGCCCTCCCGCCCGACGAGGATGAGGCCCCAGCTGCTCCATCCTACCCGACCGTGGTGCTACAGGCGCGCCGCAACATGCAGAGGTTTGACAATTGCGTCCTGTTGACACGTGTCGGTGGGTTCTACGAGCTGTACTTTGAACACGCGGACGAGTACGGCCCGCTCCTGAACCTCAAGGTCGCTCAGAAGAAGACGGCTGCCGGGCCTGTGCCAATGGTAATTTTCAGCCCGGCCGTGTCCCCTCACTTCCCTCCCGCTCGTCTGGGCCAGCCGTCGTACGTTTCTGCCCGGGGCTGGCGCGATCTTCTCAGTTTCTGATGGTTGTCTCTTGGGTACTAGGCCGGATTTCCGTTTTTCCAGCTAGATCGGTTCCTCAAGATCTTGGTCCAGGACTTGAATCGATATGTGGCCGTCGCTGAGGAGTTCCCAAACACTGCTGCCGACAAGGCAAAGTCGGGTGGTTTGATGCATGACCGTAAGGTCGCCCGCATCATCACCCCTGGCACTCTCATCGATGAGCAGTTCATGGATCCTTATGCCAACAACTACGTCATGGCCATTCACTTGCCTGGAGATGATGTCCCAGGAGCGTCGGTGTCTGCGGCTCTTGAAACCGCGTCTCGCGACGCGGGCCCCAGTCCTGTGTCTCCTGATGCTCCCGGAAATGCCTCTATCCCCATTGGGCTTGCATGGTTGGACCTTTCGACAGGCCACTTTTTCACCCAGACCACTACCCTCCCTTTCATAGGCTCCATGCTATCACGCGTGTGCCCGAAAGAGGTCGTGTTGGACGAGGGCTTCCAATCACGCACGAGTCATGTTATTTTCTCCATCCTCGCCGAGGAGAGGCATCTCATCACATATGCTCATCAAGGCGAGCTGGTGGCTATTTCTGACTGGGCGCCAATGCTTGAGTCGGAAGTACCACCCCACACTCTAGAGTCGTTCACGGATGAGGAGACCAAAGCGGGCAGCTTACTACTTCATTACGTGAAGGATCGCCTACAGGGCATCAGCATGAAGCTTCAGCCTCCGCTACGTCACGAGACCATGCAGGTGATGGACATTGACAAGAATAGCATGCGATCGCTTGAGATCAAACAGACCATACGGGATAGTGCTTTCCGCGGTAGCCTGCTTCATGCAATCAGGCGGACAGTCACAAAGAGCGGTGCCAGGCTTCTTAATGAGTGGCTCAGCGCCCCTTCGACGTCCTTGGATGTCATTAGATTCCGTCAAGATCTTGTAGCTTGTTTCATTGCCGACGAGGTACTCCGAGAAGGTATCACTCTACTATTGCGAAGAAGCCATGACTCCCAGAGGCTTGTCCAGAAGTTTGCGCTCGGTCGGGGAGATGCCGATGATCTCCTTGACCTCGCGAGCACAATTAAAGCTACAGAGGACATTATCGCTATGCTCTTGGGAGCTATTTCTACTACTGATGCTGAGTCGACCGCAGCGAAAGAATCTTTAAAACACCTAACAGAGCGCATCGACCTCGACAGCCCCCGCAAGCTGGCCAGCCGCATCCGTGAAGCAATGGACGAGGAGGGTATCGTCCAGCAGCATCAGATCGAGGACAGCGAGGCCGGAAACATGATTGCTTTGGCCCAGGAGATTGTGGACAATGAGGGCTCGGCTGAGGACTCATCGCTGCTCCCAAAGTCGGCCAAGAAGCGCAAGCCTGTTTCCCTTCGCGATTGCTACGGCGAGGACAACGAAGTCTGGATCATGAAACCAGATGCCAGCCGACATCTCAAGAAACTCCACTCCCAACTCGAAACCCTCCTCTGCGAAAAAGAAAACCTCGCCGCAAGCCTGCGCGACCGCCTCGGCGCACCATCGCTGACGCTGAAGTGGACCCCGGGCCTCGGCCATATCTGTCACATCAAGGGGAAAAAGGACCTTAAGTCCGTGTCGTCTGCCGTCACCGATATTCCCGGGCTGCTGGGCCGCCAGACCCAGACGTCACGCTCCTTCCACCTGCCCGAGTGGACCGAGCTGGGCCGCCGGCTGGACCAGGCTCGCTTCCACATCCGCGCCGAGGAGCAGCGCGTGTTCCAAGAGCTCAGGCAGCAGACGGTGCTCAACATCGTCAAGCTGCGGCGCAACGCGGGTGTGCTGGACGAGCTGGACATCGCAACGTCCTTTGCGCGCCTGGCGACCGAGCAGAACCTCGTTCGGCCGGTGCTGAACAGCGGCACCGGGCACGTCATCGTCGGCGGCCGGCACCCCACCGTCGAGGGCGGGCTGAGAGAGGCGGGCAGGACGTTCGCAAGCAATGACTGCTTCGTCGGCGCCGGCGGCAGCGGGGGCTCCGGCCACCACGGGCGCGTCTGGCTCATCACCGGGCCCAATATGGCGGGCAAGTCCACCTTCCTCCGCCAGAACGCGCTCATCACCATCCTGGCGCAGATAGGCTGCTACGTGCCGGCGTCATACGCCGAGATCGGCGTTGTGGACGCCATGTTCAGCCGCGTGGGATCGGCCGACAACCTCTACGGGGACCAGAGCACCTTCATGGTGGAGATGCTCGAGACGGCGACCATCCTACGGCAGGCCACAGCTCGGTCCTTTGTCATCATGGACGAGATTGGCAGAGGCACGACGCCCGAGGACGGATGCGCAGTGGCCTTTGCGTGCTTGCACCACCTCGTGCACGTCAACAAGTGCAGGACACTGTTCGCGACGCACTTCCACGATGTCGCGGACATTGTGACTGAGCATGGACTGCGCGTGGAGGATGGAGGGGACAAGGGCGCGGTGGAAATGTACTGCACGGATGTGGCCGAGGATGAGCAGGGAGGGTTTGTCTATGTGCACAAGCTACGGAGGGGTGTCAACCGCCAGAGCCATGCGCTCAAGGTCGCACGGCTGGCGGGTCTACCGGAGGCGGCTCTACAGACGGCGAGAGAAATCCTCATTCCTCAGCGAGGGAGGGAAGTAGGTGGGAAGGACCCATGACCATGGCCATGTACAGGTCCAGGACAGACAGACGCTCTGGGTTTGTGAAGAAGCCTGGGCACATTTATGTCACGTCGGGTTTGTAAAATCATCTGTACATCTTTGAGTAAGTTAGCAAAGGATACCCCTCTGTATAAACAAGAAGATATTTCTTCAAAAAGGTCAAAGCAGTAGGTAATGTCTCATTGGGTGGTGATGAGGTCATCAGAAAGATTCAGGGTTAAAAAGCTCTTGAATAAGTTGTTTTTTTAATCTTCGACACACCTTTGCTTGGAGAAAAAGAAAAGTGAGGCTTACCATTAAGAGTGATAATGCGTAGCCGAACGCAATACCTGTCACGGAGCAGTCCAGTGAGCACACCCATCCTCTGAGCCACATGGCTGGGAACATATGATCCGTAATTGTTCGCTAACAAAGAGGGTATTGTCCCGTAGTAAGATCCCTATTCCGACGAACCAATTCATCCCTTTGCGTGATGTTCCGCAAAGAACCCGGGGAGGTCTGCTCCCATCATAAGAAGCCGAATCTTCATCGATCGTATGTCATCAGGAAGTCGTGACGTGCGCGAAACCGCTTAGTCGAAGAGACCGAAGCCCATGTCGTCATCCTCCTCCTCTTCCTCCTCCTCCTTCTTCTCCTCAGCAGCGGGAGCGGCGGCGCCAGAGTCGGCGGCGCCAGCAGCAGGAGCGGCGGCGGCGTAAGCATCGGGGTTGGCGATGCGGTCCTTGAGCTCCTCGATCTCGGGCCAAGAGATCTCGGTCTCGATGGCCACGGCGATGACGTTCTTGTAGCCGTTGACGAAAGAGTGGATGACGGAGGGCAGGGTGGGGTAACCAATGGCCAGGGAGACAGTGGCGATAGTGGTGATGGCGCTGCCGAAGGACTTGAGGAGCTGCTCCTCGCCGACGTCCAGGACCTCAGGAGGGAAGGTGTTGCCCTGGTCGTAGACCTGCTCGATGCCCAGACCGTAGGTGAAGGGGGAGATGTTCAGCAGGTTGAGCAGGGTGGCCTCGGAGGGACCGACCTTGGTACCGGCCTCAACGAGCTTCAGGTCGGCCGTGATTTCAATGGTACCACGGGCAATCTTGGTTGGGACACCGAGAGCCTGGAAGAAAGAGGTCTTGCCGGGCTCCATACCGGTGTTGCCAGCGGGAACCCACACATCGGCGGGGGCGAGGGCACCGGCACGGGCAGGAGCAGCGACCTTGTTTTCCAGGATCTTGTCACGGATGGTCTTCAGTTCGGCGTTGGTGAAGACGAAACCGACGTTACCCTTGACGAAGGGCAGGAGACGCTCGTACTCGGGGGAGTCGGGGATGAAGGTCTTAAGGGCACGGCGAACCTAGTAACGATCAAACCGTATTAGCCATTGCTGATTGCGCAGAGCAGGAGACCCGAGAGCGGCTTGTCACAAGGCAGCGCGTTTACTCACCATGGTGTTCTTGCCCATCAGGACGACAGCCTCGCCACGGAGGGCGTGGCGAATCTCGTGCATCTGCTGAGACGAGACATTGTCGACGCCGACGATGAAGATGGACTGGTACTCCTCGAGCAAGCCCTTGAGCTTGTCGAAGTAGCCGGCCTTGTTAGCGGATTTGCCCCCCATTTCTTCTTTTGCTGTCGAAGCTTGAAGATAGGAGTTTAAGGGCAAATGGAATGGGATTGAAGAATTGGGGGTTGTTAAGTCGTTGGGGTTGACTTGACGTTTGTCTGGTGATGATAGCAGGAGGGATCTCAGGCAGAGGCCCGCCCGTTTTTGATTTTGTTGCTGCAATTGTGAATTTTCGGATGTGGCTGATGAAAAATGTGGCCGTGCATGAGTGTGGCTTAGCCCAAAAAGTTTTATCGATAAGGCCGGGAACTTTTTACCAGACGACCTACACGCCGTACCAACATCTACTTCAAAGTTTCGACTAACCTTTTGTCGCCTGGTGAGATGCTCAGAAGCTTGCGAGTTGCATTGAGAGTCAGCTTGTGAGGCTGCAAGCAGTTCGATTCAAAATGAAGTTGCCATTCCACAGTGTGCAGGTCTGTGGCGACGTCCTGTTCGCCGCAAGAGGCGGCAACCTGCACTCATTCAGGCTCACAGACGGCTCTCACATCTCGAGCTGGAGATACCCGTTGGAGAGGAAGGACGGCAAGCACGGTGTTCCCAGACCGGAGGACCGTCTGGTCATCAGTGTCTCCGAAGAATCGACGCCGAATCCTTCGCAAGATGGTCAAGATGGCCCGCCTGCGAAGCGTGTGAAGCTCGATGCCGCCGCCACTGCCCCTGGAGAGAACGGGAAGCGGATGAATGTATCGTCAACGGGTGATGGTCAGCCCAGTGGCACCAAGGATGAGCAAGAAGACCAGAGCAAGGACACGGCGAATGGAAAGAAGGGCAAGAACAACAACCCTCGCCCTGGACCAAGGTCACAGCCGTCAGAGCGACCCATGGTCATCATCTTTACTGCTACAGCCGACGGAAAGCACGTCGTTGCGGTCACTCAATGCAAGTCTATCTGGGTGTTCGAGCACGATGGGGCCGGGAACCTCAAGCAGCTCAGCCGTAGGTATGTAGTTTCAGGCCGCATGAAAAATGCCACGAATGTAAAGAAGCATAGACTCACACAGCCGTAGGACCATGCCCAAGCGCCCATGCTCCCTAGTGATCACACCGGACAGCCAGACCATCTTGTCAGCAGACAAGTTCGGCGACGTCTACTCCGTGCCCTTGATCCCATCTCAAGACCCACCCACTGCCAGCCAGCGGCCAAAGGATGCCTCCCCAGCAGCCTCAGCCTCTCCCAGCCCAGCACCGCCAGAGACCAAGGTGCCTTTCAAATCACAGGCCAACGAGCTGACAGTCCACACGAAGCGCAACCGCCAGGCCCTCCTGGATCAGCTGATCTCGGCCAAGAGCCCTAAGGGCGGCCCTCAGAAGGCCGAGGTGCCCCCCTTCGAGCGCACGCTCCTGCTGGGCCACGTCTCCCTGCTGACGGCCGTGACGCTGGGCCACGACGCCAAGGGCAGGCCGTACATCATCACGACGGACCGCGACGAGCACATCCGCGTCAGTAGGGGCACCACGGAGCAGGCGCACGTCACCGAGGCGTTCTGCATGGGCCACGACGAGTTCGTCAACCGCCTGTGCATCCCCGAGACCGAGGGACTCGGGGACCTGCTGGTCAGCGGCGGCGGAGACCGGGACCTGTATGTCTGGAGGTGGCTCGAGGGCAAGCTGCTGGCTAGAGCGCCGCTGTTGAGCGTCGTCAGGGGCGTGCTGCCTGAGGCGAGCAAGGTCGCCGTGACGGGGCTGTGCTCATGGAGGGGAAGATCAGCGGAGGGGGCAGAGAATGGCGCGACCATTCTGGTTGTTTGTGAGCGGTATGTGTGACTACTTCGTACATGCGATCGGAGTGTCGTGGGTAGGACTGACTGACTGACTGATCTGTACAGCGTTCCTGCGATATTCATGTTCTCCCTAGGAGCTACCGGCGCCCTCGATTACCTACGCACGATCAGTATTCCTGGCATGCCGCTTGAAGTTCAAGTTGTAGACGAGGCAAGGCTTGTAGTAGCGGTTGAGCCTGTTAGGACAGGAGGAGGAGAGTACGATTTGAGCAAGTCTCTTCTGAAGGTGGAACACGTGGGGGACCAGTACCAAGTCACGGATGGCCTAGTCGGCAACGCCCCGGACCTAGGCGAGCACGAGACAGACCTTGCGGAAGATGAGTTGCAGACGCTGCTGTTCAGTGCGGAGAACCTGCGCAAGACGGACTTCGAGGAGGGAGTAGGAGAAGTAGAGTAGCATGCACTTTCAGCGGGAAAGCAAATAATGAGAACCTCTTCAAAGCGAATTATCCATTGCAAACCTAACACGGAGTCCATTGGCAGCTAATGAGCTCCCAGATGCCTGTCTATGCCCCTCTAAACGCCCACAATTTGCTTCATCACGACGTAACCAAGGAAGGACAGAGCACAAGCAGTACGGTCTACCCTCCCCAAGCGTTCCTCATTACGTCCACCGAATCTCCACACCTGATGTATCAAATCTTCCCGTAGCGTGTGTTGCAGGGCAGAAACCCAATAAAAGCGCTGTCTTCCAGGATGCAAGTTAGAAGGCAAACCAGAACGCTTAAGGCAGCTAAGTAGGTCTGTAATCTCCCTCCCGCCCCCAAAGGCCTCTCTATCCCGCAGCCCCAATCCCCTGTCAAAAGCAGGACTCCTGAGATATTGCACTGCTACTGCACGGTTCCGCGCCCCGAGATGATATCTGTCCGAGCCTTCATGGCTCGGGAGAGGAGAGCAGGGGGTGGGTGTTGAATTCATTCATCGCCGTTTACTGAGATGCGCACTGCACGCGCTCGGCCTGTGGGTGGCCGTCCTCGTCTTCCTCGTCCATACCCTCACCACCGCTGAAAGCCCTAGCCCCGGCGTTGGTATCTGGGTCCTCGAGGTCGGCTGGCTCAGTCATGGCCTCAGCAGGTGGGACGTTCTGGACAGAAGGCGAGGGAAGGATCTTGCGCAGCTCTTCAAAAGCAGCGTCATCGGTGGTCCAACCCTTCTCGGGGAACTTGACGTTGAATTGGATGTACAGATTTCCGAAGTCGTGGTGGCGGTACGATGGCATACCTTGGCCACGGAGCATCTTGACAGCATCTACAAACGGGGTTAGCAACCAATCATCGGCTTTGGGATAGCTCGGGTGTGTACGTACTTGGTGCGATGGCCTCGCCGGGCAGGATATCGACGCTCAACCACCTGTCGTCCAGATGCTCGATGTAAATGGTGCCTCCAGCTAGCGCAGTCACCAGCTCGATCTCGCAGTTGTACAGGAGGTCGTCGTCCCTGCGGGTAAAGCGGGGGTGGGGCTTCTGCTCTATCTCGAATACCACGTCACCCGCCAGAATGCCAGGGGCTTGGTCACCCTCGCCTCGGAACTCGACGCGGTTTCCACTCTTGACACCACGGTCAACGTTGACGTGCAGAACCTTCCTATCAACGACGGTCTTCTTGCCGTTGCACTGCTTGCATCGATCCTTGTCCTTGATGATCTCGCCTTCACCATTGCAGTCGGGGCAGGCTGTCTGGAAGCGCTGGATCATGGGGCCCATCTGTCGCATCATAGTCTTCATACCGTGGCCATCACAACCGGCGCATTTACGGACAGCACCCTCCTTGCCTCCACGACCCTCGCACTTGGGGCAGATGATGGATCGTTGGAGCGCGAGCTTAGAGACCTTGCCCCGGTAGATGTCTTCAAGAGAAACCTTGTGAGTGTGGTGGATTGTGCGGGCCTTGGGCGGGCCGCGGTTGGGCATACCGCCGCCGCCGAACATTCCTCCCAAACCACCGCCGAAGCCGCCACCGCCGCCAAAGAACTGAGCGAACAGGTCTTCGGCAGCCATGCCGCCACCGCCGCCTGCGCCGCCCTCGAGGCCGGCCTCTCCATATTGGTCGTAGATTTGGCGCTTCTGGGGGTCGGAAAGGACCTCGTATGCATGGGAGATCTCCTTGAACTTCTCCTCAGCGGCAGGGTTGTGGGCGTTCTTGTCTGTTTCGCTGTTAGGATGGTGGGACATTGAGGTGGAGGCTGGGAGCGGAGGGGAGAGCACGTACCAGGGTGGTACTTGAGGGCGTTGACCTTGTAGGCCTTCTTGAGCTCTGCCTCAGTGGCGGTGGGTTTGACCTGTAGGTTTTGTCAGCCTGTGCGCCGGCGCAAGGCTGAGGGCCGAATAGAAGCGGTTTTATGTGGTCAACATACCCCAAGTTGGTCGTAGAAAGCGGTCTCGCGAACCATGTTGCCGGTTTATGATAGAACGGAAATGTGGGGGTATCTGTTGGTGACTGTAAAGATTTCTCACGGAATTGGCTGCGAGTTCAACAGAATGGTCAGTCTAGGTTCGCACAACTCTAAAAGGCTAGAGGGAATGGGAGATGAAAGGACCAATGAATGGCAGTCACTCAAGAGATGGGAAAGGAGACCGTCGGACATACAGAAAGGGTGAAGAAGGGCCGGGCTGGCTGGCTGGCGGGTGCCGCAGAAGCGGAGGGACGATAACGGGAGATGCGAGACAGGGCCGACAGCAGAGAGGAGGGTATCAAGAACAGATGTCGGGGAGTCTTTTGATGTAAGGCGACGACTGGGGATGAATCACCAAGACGAGTGATTTTGTGTTGGTGGTGATGTGCAAAAAAGTTGGTGGATAGCAAAGTCGAAGTCGCAGTCTGTCGGACAGTGGACGAGGCGGCTGCGGCGACGCTGAAATGAATTTAGCTTGCACGGCAACGGCAAGAGGAGGCTGAGAACCGGGTGCAGAGGCAGGCAGGTAGCAGAACCAACCGGATTGTCAGCCCGCCCATCAAAAATCCATTCTATGGAAGAGCGTAGAAGCTGCTCGATCTGTTAGTGGGGGACCTGCGCCATCGCCCCTGCTCCTGCATCGGTTGGGCGTGTTGGGCTGGTTCTGGCTGGGCCAACGCCTGGCGAACCGGGCAGATCTGGAAATAGACTTCGTCCCTCCTAACAGGCAGGGATGCCCCGCAGCCCTCGGGGTTTCTCTACCTGGGCATGCTGTTGCCAGGCTGCAGGTTCCATGGTTGCTAAGTCCCGCCTGGCTGGCTGCCATGCACCCATTACGTCGTTTGCGGAAACCACAAGTACTGTCCCAGGTTCCTGCTATGTATGTATTTGGCCTACTATAGATTGTGCATACAATACACACTACCGAGGTACTTGCCTTTACCCTCCCTTGGTCCCTGACCTGCATCGTCGACAACACTGGCGAGGACCCTGGATCCACAGTCTCCAAAGTTCCAGACCAGGGGACCAACACAGGCCTGGGCTTCTCCTCGTCCTACAGTACTGCCTCGCCTGCCACCTGCATCCGGCCGCAGGGCCAACGCAAACAGGAGCATGTTGCCCAGTATGTGTGTAGCACATTCATCAATTGATTAACCTAGTCGTGAATATGCCTGTAGCTCGTCAGGCTGCATACCCAGGGTGCCAGGTACAGTATCGCACTCTGCGACTCAATTCAATCAAGTCAACTCTACCCTCACAGACAGTCCAAGCAGAACAACTTGGGCATCAATCAATGTACAGCCGAAAAAGACCATCTCAACAATGAGGCAATGTGCTGGTCGGCAATGTTTTGCACAGCTCACATCCTTCAGCATCGAGTGATGGCTGTACTACTCTCATCTGCGGTCAGCGGGTGGAATCCTCCCCGTCGGACTTAAGCACTCTCTCGGTCTAGCCACCGCTTACACCCGTCTCACCACCTGGCTTCCTTCCTGTCTGTCAGGTGCCCGAAAACGAGACGTCCCCAACGCTCTCACTCCCTGAGTTGATTGGCTCCTCTAGCGAGACAATTTGATCCAAATCTCTCATCATTTTCGAACACCAGAGGGCCGATAGTACGGTATCGTGGCTTGACTATCGTCAACGAGGGCGCATACACGCACACATCATGGGGCCAGACGCATCAGGGGGCGGTGGGACCACGCGTCCAACACCGTCTGCTACCAAGAGGAACAGCGCGATTAGAAAAGAGCAGAACAGAAATGCGTCTCGCATTTACAGTCTGTCACCCTAGCCTTCTCAATCGTTCGGCCCGTCCCGGCGAGTGCTAACGGACTCATAATAGGAGAACGAAGAAAGCAGAGGCTGGCATTGTTGGACCGACTCCTTGAGAAGGATCAAGATCAGGCACTCCCAGATTCGTCACAGGAAAGCGCTCCAGCGGGACCGGCTTCGTCGCAGCCGGAAAATGTGCAGACTGTCTCCAGCTTGACGCCCTCTGACGGGCCAGGCGCAACGCCCTTGGTGCAGCTCCCTTCCTCGGAGCCTTTGGGTGAAGTTGTCGAGGCAGAGGTACCATCTGCCTTCGACAGCCTGTCCTTTGATGGAACATGGCCGTTATCAAGCAATGATCCGATATGGAACTTCGCGGTAGAACAAGATGGCACTTCTGGAATGGCTCAGCCGCATCCAGAACTGCCGACTCTAGCTCCGAGTCCTTCATCCATACTTGGCTGTGCTGGCCAAGACGCCAGCTGTAGTGACGATGGGGTCGTGGAGGGCGGGAAACGGTCCCAAAACAGAGACTTCTCAGCGGCGATGGCATTCGGCAGCACTGGCACCTTCTTCTACACTCCAGGGCAACGATCTATGTATCTCCTCGAACCCTCGAGCTCTCCAGAAAGCGACAAGGGAAAAGCAGTAGCCTCAAAGGCTGCATCGCTATCGTCATCATCAAGACTATCAACGACATTGGTACCATCATCAAGATCAGCAGCTTCCACTCCCTGCCCACTGCCAGGCGAGGAGAGCCTCGGAGAGTTCATGGATCACCTCATGAAGCTCCGGCCCCCGGACGCCAAGCGCATAATCTATGTCCAGCAACACGGCCTCTTCGCTGCGGTCCTGGACAACACCCTTGCAATCGGTGTCTTGGACGGCCCAAAAGGGGTCTTTGCCGACGAGGCGAACAGCCCGTTCAACAGGGACTGGATCGACAGCAAGGGCTCCATGGAGCTCGCGCTGATCCGGTCCAAGTTCTCGGGCGCGCCCAAGGACCTGCAGCCCGTCGACGTCCAGATCACCGTCGAGCACCACGTCTACCTGGACGTCATCCCGTTCCCGTCGTTCCGGGAGAGGACGCTCAAGGCCCTCGCATGCGACCCGCCCCTATTCGATGAGGACGAGTTGTGCTACGACATCTGCAACTTGGAGGGGCTGATTGTCTGGGGCTCGCAGGGAAACAACCAGGGCATGGATGCGTGCAGACCCTGGGACATGCGCTGCTGGGAGCCGAAGCCGTGGTTCCTGAGGAAATATCACTTTCTGGTTGGTGGATGGGAGGACGAGATGTGGAGAGCCGCAAGGTGGTGGCATGCGATGCGGAATGAAAAGATAGCTGCTGGTCCTGTGAGATTGTCGGCTTTGACCTAGGGTGTTACTTTCTGCTGCCGGACATTGCCATGTGGCTTCAAGATAGTGCAGGTGTTGTGCTCGGCACGGTTGACAAGACAATTTTCAAGCCATAGAGGGGATGGGATGTAAATTTAACAAGGCTTACTTCCCTCATCGGCAATTCTTCTTCAGCGAGTCATCTATGTTGGCTCAAGAATTAGCAATTTCTCATGTAGATACCCCATCTCAAGCACATTATACCAGTAAGCTATTAGGCTAACAGAGCCAACTATCTCCGTCCATCGTCAGAATCGACAATTGACGTATCCAGAATCCCCTAATTAGGTTGTGTCCGTGAAATAACGTCAACAAAGCCGTCTGCTCTCTTATCAGCACAGTGACGATAACGTCGGGCAATGTCATAGTGGGGATGACCCTGAGAGGGGTCTTTCACTGAATGCGACAGGCTCGTTCCAAAGACACACCAAACTCTTCAACTTTTTAGCTTCATTCGAGGCATACAGTTCAATATCATTGTCAAAATGGACGACTCTCAAGGCCTTGCCATAGCATTCGAGGAAGCCAAGCAGTCCTACTCCGAGGGGGGAATTCCAGTAAGGACGACCGGGATCGGCCTCTGGACGGGCATCGCCGTTCTTCAACATCAACAACATCGGAGATCGACATAAGCTCAAAGTGCTTCTGACTGACAGCTCCTTACATCTAGATCGGCGCCGCACTGGTTTCAAAAGATGGCAAGCTTCTAGGCCGCGGCCACAATATGAGAGTTCAACTGGGCTCAGCGAGTAAGTCTGACCATTCCATTCAATTTTCTAAAAGGGATCTTGGCCTTCCTTGACGGCTACAGTGATACCTCTACATGAGAGGTGATAAAAAAGAATGAGAACCTTCCATGCATTCCTGACATTGTTCCCTACGACCACCATGAACCACTGAAGACGATTCCTTGCCCAGAAAATGTTGGATGAGCATGCTAACCAAGTCACAGTTCACCATGTAAGCCTGTCCAAAATCAGACACATTCCCCATCCTCAGCCATGTCCCTCCATACCTCATGGCTAACATACAGCTATAAGGGCGAGACGTCAGCCCTCTACAACTCAGGACGCCTGCCCGCGCGGGCCTACCAGGGGAGCACGATGTACACCACCCTCTCGCCCTGCGATATGTGCACGGGCGCCTGCCTGCTCTACGGCATCGCGCGCGTCGTCATAGGCGAGAACGCCAACTTCATCGGCGGCGAGGCCTACCTGCGCTCGCGCGGGGTCGAAGTCGTAGTCGTAAGCGACGCAGGCTGCAAGGAGCTAATGGACAAGTTCATCGCTGAGAAGCCTGACCTGTGGTAGGCTGTGTCCCTTTCCCCCCAACCCCTTGCGCCCCTTTATCGACTTGTTCTCGTGCTGCTTTTCATCAAGTCATAGGCTGATCTGTTGCTCTGAGCAGGAATGAGGATATCGGTGTGGAGGAAAGGGTGTATTCCAAGGAGTGAGGACAGAGGCTTAGTGAAGCTGGCGAATACGGACATGTCATATCTCAATGCACAGTACAGCATGCTTTTATAAATGTTTTCATGATTCTTCGCCAGTGTTTGGCCGTGAGCGCTCGCGGCGCCCTTCTATGGCTATTTGACACAATGTCTTACTCGACTCTCTTGAAACCATCTGCCCTGGCGGCAGCGGCATGAATCTTAACTTCTGCTCTTCTGAAAGTCAACTCCTTTGTCAACCCAGGACCATGGTCAGTATTTAAGAATACTTCACTGAGTTGACAATTCTACGAGTGACCTCCGAGACCTCTCCTGGAATACAAGTTGACAAAAATAGTGTCGCTGACTGGTAGGATGCAAGGTTAGACGTCGGAAAAAAGCCGCAGTACGTCTTGAAGTATGGCTCAGATGTCATTTTGACCGAGTGGTCACAACCTCGATTGGCGTGCGTAGGGAATGCCCAGCCTGCCGTGGTCATCTCGGTGTGATTCGATCGACTCGCTCGACGCCTAATGCAGCAGGTTTCGCAAAGACGGGCTTGCGGAAGCACCGCTAGGTTGCCGATTGTCTGGCGCGCGTGGTGGCATGCTCGTCTCTCGGCTCACCATGACGCTGTCCCTCGTCATGGGAGGGCTGCCATGTGGCGTTGAGAATGGAGATCTCTGAGGATGGAGACCATGTGAGAAGGGATGTTCTGCTGCACGCGGCGGAGGCCCGCCATTCGTAAGGTGATGAGGAGGCGGAGGAGGCTGATGATGGACCGAATGGGGCTGGTGGTGCTGAGGCAGATAAGGGCCTCCATTCGGCAGAGGTGGTGGTGCGCCAATGCCTCTCGGAGATGGCGGCCTGCCGTTGGCTGTCGGCGGAGGACCATAGTGGTGACCAAGCCCATGGCCGTTCTGCAGAGGAGGTGGGGGCGGTGGGATGCTCGACAGTGGCGGCGGACGCAGATGATTAGGTGGGGCTAGCGGCGGCATACTGCTGGGTGGGATTTGCGGATGTGCTCCGTTCATGTGGTGAGACTGGGGCGGCGGCGGTGGAGGAGGGTGAGAGCCATGCTGTGATGATGGTCGACGCCATTCACCATAGGGCGGTGTTTGGGGTGGTGGGTATTGGTGAGAAGGAGGACCTCGCGGTGGCAAGCCAGCCTGCATAGACGGGGCTGCGATGGGTTGAGCCAGCTGCGGCGGCTGTTGCTGTGGTTGCGGCGCCTGGACAATGGGAGGCGCGATGGGGGGTGCAATGGGGGCTGGGGCTTGTACAGAAAGTGGTCCTGGAGGCGGCCCAAAAGCAGGTCCGTGGTTCGATCCAGACATCGGCGGAGGTTGCGTTGCCGGAGCGTCCAACGAGGATTGGCGGGGAGGATGGTCCCACGGTTGCGGTGCAATGTTTCTGACGCTCATCAGATTTTGAGGACTCGCAGCTGCCTGGATGGCTGGAGGAGGTGACCTGGGCACCTCGACAGGCGGCGGAGATGCCTCCTGCTTGACGACTGGCTGAGGCTCGACCCTTCGGTTGGCCTTCTTGCACTTGTGACACTGGTAGTTGCGTTGTGCCACAAACTTTTGAGCCTCTTCACCCAAGCTACCACCATGGCCGTTCACCAGTAGAAGGCCCTGCGACTCGTCGATTGAATGCCACCTGGGGCTGACGTCCGTGCCGCAAGTAATGCAAACCTTGCCCACTGGCTGCATGATATACGGTACCTCCTCCTTGACTGCTCCATTGACCTGGACTGGCGATGTCACAGGCACGAGGGTGGTAGTGGAAGCTCTCCGGTTTATCGGCGTCGTGGTCGAAGCAGTGACAGGCTTTGCAGCTGCCGGGATGAGATTGGCCTTACGAGCACAGCCTGTCAGTGTCAGATCAGCCTGTTTGAAGTTTCGGACATAGAGCTGCAGCGCATTCAAGCCGGACTCATCGACCACGTCTTCGATGTGATGAATGGCAGTCTTTGGCACGTGATCCTTGCACCAGATTGCTGCTGCCATGGTTCCACTCTCGCCGCCGATGCTGACAATATTGTGCTGGTCCCGACGCGAACCCTTCACGGGGGTGATATCGAATCCGACAGCGTAGCCTTGTTGGTAGGCACACTCGACGTGGAATGTCGTTCGACAAGTTGGATTATGACACGGCACACAAGCGCCACCCAACTGCTTGCAGGCTTTGCAGATCTCTTGATAACGAGACCGGGGGATGGAGGGGATGCCTTCGCTGGGCTCGAGCGCCTTCGCGTTTCCGAATTTGATCTCGGGGTGAAAGACAGCGCAAGTTACATGAACCCAGTTGTTGTCTGCTGTCCTCTTCAGCGGTTCCCTTGGGTCCACCGGTCGGCCGAGCTCCTCTTGGCGCTTTCGATAGAAGTCGGCTGCGTTGGTAGCGGACTCCTTCTCTAGCCGTTCTCGCTCGCGTTCTTTCTCAGATTTCTTCTTGTGAGAGATCTTCGGAGGCTCAACAAAATCATGCTCAGTTCTCTCGACCGGGCACAAAACACACTTGTAGTGCTGCACAAAACTGGTTAGCTTTCTGTTGCATGAGAGGAAAGTGACACATCTTCTTACCAGTGAGATTTGCGGGTTCTTGTCGTTCGAGCACATGTCGCAGATCCATCTCCCGTTCTGCCTGTTGTCAATTACGCCGTAGCAGTTGCGGTGCACCGTCATCCGACATTCCCTGCATTGCAGGTGCTGATCTCCTAGAGGCTCCAATTGGCGACAAATACTGCATGGCATCGTCTTCGGCTTGGGCATTGGCGGTGGAGGTGGGGGAGCGGGCTTCTCGGCTGGTTTCTCCTTCTCCTTCTCCTTTTCCTTCTTTTTAGCCGCGACCGCGCCACCAACACCTCCCGCCTCCGACAACGCGGGCTCCGAGTCTCGCTCGGACTTCAGCTTCTTGCGAGGCGGCTCCTGGGGTCCCATCGGTTGAGTTGAGGTGGCTGCAGCTGCATTTTGTGGGGCGACTGGAGGAGGTTCGGGCGTGCTGTACTTGGTCATCCTCATCCTCTCATTAGCTGCTTGCAGCTCCTTATACAACTCCTCGTCAATTTTTCGCTTCCACGATCGACCACCAGACGCAGCGACCTTTTTGGCCGCCTCGTCGAGATCCTCCCACTGGATGGCATAACGGCGCCAGAGCTCAGCACACCTTCGGCAGAGAGCCACGACATATTGTGTGCCTTTCTCTTTGTTTTTGCCACCATTTTCGGTGACAACGGCGGAGGAAACGTTAGGGGCGCGACGCCATTGTCGTGATGACTTCGTGTTGCAGAACTTGCAAGTGAAGTTCTTTTTCTTGTCTTTAGCCTTGACGGTGTCGAAAGCCGAGTCATCGTGGTCGTCCGCAACCTCGTCCGCAGCCTTGCTCGCCTCTGCTTGTGCACGCTTGATCTCTTTCTTGCCCTTCCGCTGTGGGTGGTTACCCCAAATCTTCTTTCCTTGTGGCGTTTTCTTCCATTTGTAGTAATGGCGAACAATCCACTTGTGAGGCACTGTCTTGACATATCTCTTGACACTCTGGAGCTCAGAACCGAACTTCGCCACAGCTTCCTCGAATTTCTTCTGTTCCGAAGCGGTCAAGTCGGGTTCTTTGAACAGAGATTTGTCAGTTTTGACAAGTTGTCGCAGCGATTCCTCCGCGTCATAGTTGTTTTTGTACAGCAGATCTCTCGCAATGTCTTCCAGGTTCGTACACCGGTCGGGAAGTCCAAGTTCCTTAGACATAGATCTGGCTTTATTCATGTAGTCGTCAACACCAGCTTCGGAGATTATGATATCGTTGTCAGCATCTTTGACAGGCCCTCCATCCGCGTCCTCAGCAGGCTTCCAGAGACATGTTGATGTGCAACTCGGGTCGTCCTCGGGGAAGTCTAGTCCCCGTGGGACAAAGCCGGAGAATGGCTCGTCCTGGACCCATTTAGGACGTTGCTCGCGCTCGCGCTTGTCTTTCTCGAGCAGGGCTTGGATCTCTTTGGAGTGACGTCCATCTTTGCGGCCAGTCTTCTTGATCTCCAGGGGCTTCACAAACTGCACGGCTCGACCTGGCCAGTTCCCGACGGTGGCCTGATGCCGGGGACCCAGCCTGGAACTGGCACGAGGGTAGATGCGGTCGTCGTAGTCCAGGGCATCTTCGATCTTGCAGTGCATGCCAAGATACCTGAAGGGCCACAGGCTGGCCTGGTAGATCTGCTCGGCGGTTGGGGGTGGGTGATCATGCTCCACGCTGGGGCTAGTGCGGTTGGTGTTTGCCTGTGCAGGATCCTCCTCCTCCTCCTCCTCAAGCAGCTCTTCATCCTCGGCGTGGCTTCCAGAGTCGTGGAGATGCGGCGCATTGAGGGCCTCAAGCTTCCTCTCCTGGGCCAGGTTGCAGGGACCACAAGCCCAGCCGAAACCACGAGCGGGTTTCTTTTGCAACGGCGGCCGCACGCATTGCATGTGGTAGGTATTCTTACAGAACCCGCAGTCGACCGAATCAGCACTGCCCAAAGGGGTTAGCACGTACAGTGGGGGCGGACGGACATTCCCAAAAGAGTCCTAGCGTGGCTTCAAGTGTCTACCAGCAGGGAAGGCGAGTGACACCTTGGTTTTTTTGGGGGGGCCGGCTGGGGCCTAGCTGGACTACTCAAGAACTGCTGGGTGCTGATAATGGGAGAGACAAGGGGCGCCGGAGAAAGGGAACAAGAAGATGATGAAGGGAATTAGGGGCGGGTGCCTTTGGTCACTGGGACCTTGTTTGATGGGGGTACGTACCTGGCACAGTAGCCGCTGCATCGCTTGCATGACTTCACAGCGCTGGTAAGCTCCTTTCCACGACCCTGTTCCACCAGGATGTATTTCCAGCGCTCATCCAGCACCTTCTTCACCCGCTCTGGCACGTTGATGATTTGCGAGGTGGGGATGGCCTCGTAGTTCTTTTGGATGTAGCGGTCGTACATTTTGTCCCACCAGAAACAATCTGGGTTCCTGCGGTACTCTTCCGCATTGGGGATCTCTGCCTTGTGCCTCACCTCGCACTTGCCACGAAGCGAGTTCAGAGGGCAAATGTCCGAATGCATTGTCGCAAACAACATGCGCGTGTCCTGTGCTTTGCGGCCGATGTCCTTGGGTCGATAGAACCAATTGACTCGAATAGAATCTACCGGCCGAGATGCATCGTTCTTGGAGTGCAGGAATTCCATGATGCGCGCAATGTAATATGGCTCACCAGGCGGTTCACAGATCAGGTAGACATGGTCTAGATAGATGCATCAGCCTTTGCTGCTCCGGGGGTCGACAACAGAATTTCACTTACCGTTTACAGCCAGGATGGTCCCGTCATCGGCTGTGAGTGTCTTGTTCTTGGGCCTGCCTTGGCAATCCTCAAAACTCATCATGTTTGTCTCGGCATAACCGCTCATACCGCCGCCACCACCACCAAGCGACTTTCTGTGGGCGGCATTTGACGATGTTGATGAGTTCCCTGATCCAGTCTGCTGGTTCAGACCAGACGAATTGCCTTGGTTGCCTGCTTTGCGCTTCTTGGTTGGTTGGGAAGTAGTAGCAGAATTGACAGCGGGTGCAGGTGTTGACGCTGCGCTAGTGTGGTTCTGCTGTTGCTGCTGTGATTCTTTGTTGGCCGTAGAAGTGGTGTTGGTGGTGGTGGAGGTTGTGCTGGTGGCGGCCGCAGCGGTGCCGCTGTGCTTGCCGTCATCAGAGGTTGGCAGAGGCTTCCGTGATGACGATGAGCCTGATGAGGGTCCTAGCTGTGGGGCGTCCTGGGTTGGGTTGGAGGAGTTGTTTGCTAGTCGTGTTGACCTTTTGGCGTCACCATCATCCTTCCGCTCGGGAGCTGCATCAAAAAGATCTGAGTCGATGTCCTTGTCTTCTGCGTAATTAGGGCGGGCCCGGCCAGTCCTGTTGCGGGAGCGCGTGCCGTATGGTGATGGTCCAGTGGCTGCGTCCTTGGCATCGGCCGGATTCGACCCTGATGACGAGGAAGAGGTTTTGGTCATGGGCTGGGAGGTGGATGCGGCTTTCGCAGGCGCTGTCTCAGAGTCTGCCCTCTTAGGTGGCGCACCGGTAGATGATGAGGGTGAGGCGTTTCTGGATTGCTTACTCGGGGTGGGTGCCTCGGAGCCCTCTTTGGATGATGGTGCAGCAGTAGGAAGTGAAGGACTTTCTGTGCCGGCGGAGTGTGATTGAGATTTGGGAGCCATGATGAAAGTTTTTGGCCAGAGCGCCGTTGTCCAAGGTAGGGTGAGAGAGAGGTGGAGGGAACGGGGCGCCGACCTATTCGTTTCCTGCCGGCGCCGCGAGAAGTGACCAGACACGGGTCACTCAAACAGCACAAATTCAAAAAATGGGGGGGTTACATGTGGCGGCTGAGGTCCATACGGACAGCAGGAACACCAAAATCCGGGGCCGGTTGTTTTGGGAGAAATATGGCCTGCGATGAGAGAGCTGGGAAACCCCTGAGCAAGCCTCTCGAACGTGGCAGATGTGTGAGGACGCTGCTGGGTCGGGGCGGCGGGTCACCAAATGAAGGTATGCCAGCTGGGGAGAGAGTGGGCGGGTGGTGTGGTGGTGGTGATGGTGATGGTGGTGGGCGGCTGGGAAGGGAAATAAAGGCCACCAAAAAGTTAGGAGGGACGGGGTGAGAAAGTCGAGAGTGGATGTTGAATGACAGGCCGGCTCACAGTACCGGGGATGAGGGCGAGGGGAGCAAACAGATCAACAAGGGAAATGGGGTTGTGTGATGCAAGGTGGAAGTTGAAGGGAAGATGTTATATCGGGAGGGAATGGGAAGAGTGTGGAAAAGGGCGAGTCGAGGTATGGGTGTGGATGGGCATGGGTAATGCATGGGTATGGGTATGGGTATGGGTATGGGATGGGTATGCGTGCGCGCAATGGGTAATGGGCAATGGGGCGGCCATGGACCATGGGCCATGGGTGACTATGGGAGGACGTCTTAGGTAAGGCAAGGCAGGCAGGCCAAATCTGTTAGCCTGGTCATACGGCGAAGGTGTACGGAACAGTCGATGCGATGGGCAGGCGGGAAAGTCAAAAATGATCGAGGGCCAGAAGAAGGCCGGGACAGCTCCAGAAAGCGCCGATACGTGGGTAGCGTGGCTTGACAGCTGTGTGGTCCGGTTCGCCTTGGCTTTTCTGGGGCCAGGGAGATAGACGCACGCATGTAATGGGAAACGGGCCATGGGCCGTGGGCAAAAAGCAGGAGAGCTCGAGTTCTACACAGCACGGCAGGTCCTATGCACGATAGATGGGAGTACGGGCGGACCAACGAGAGAGACACACACACACAGAGAGTGTGAGAGTGGGAGGGCGAGGGAGAGAGGGAGAAGAGAAAGGGTGGAACAAGCCCTCATCTACGGGCTGGGCTTAGTCTGATCTGCTCTACTCTGATGGTATGCTATCCTAAATTACATCTGTTGTGTGTTGATTTGTGTGCTATGCTGTCAGGTCAGTCAGGTCAGGTCAAATCAGGTCAGCCAGGTCCGAGGACAGCACAACGAGCCGACCTGGGCCGGACGGAGATGGGAGTGAGCGAGCGAGTGAGTTAGTCGAGTGGAATGGAATGGAAAAGGCGAGGTGCAAGATGTCGCGGTGGATTTCTCGACATGGGAGGGCAGACGAAGGCCGTGACGCCTCCGCTGCACCAAGCCCACCCTAGTTTTGCAGGGGTCCACAAAGTACTGCCATGTAGACGTGACTTCTCCGGCTTTGCTTAAACCTAGACTGGCTTCCTGCGTTGGGCCACTTCGACGACATGTCGTTGCATTCACCACGACGTCCAACCACGTTCGGATATATTCAACGATCACGGCAACGATGGGGTTGGGGTTCCTGCAGTCGTGGGGCCTCAGCCATCGACTGACCAAATGCCACATGGTGATCTTCAGCCTTCTCACTGAATGACGATATTCTGGTTGAGACTCGTCCCCATGATGGCAACGGTGGATGAGGCTTAGGCAGTAGAGGTATGCAGTGCCCTCGCGGGTTTTTGAGTGAGCAAGGGTGGGCTCCGCTAAGCTAAGCCCAGGGCCGCCTCTCGTCGCCTCTCGTCTACGTAGCCTGTCTCGTCTGTCTGCCCATCTGGCTGGGACGGCCGAGATCTGAGCTGCAGAAACAGAGACGAATGTACCGGTGTGCCTGGGTACCTGGTGTGTGGGAAGGTTCTGGGTACCTCAGTGCTACCTGGGAAGATGGGGTGGATCAACCCCAAGGTAACTTCGGCATCCTCCCTCACCAGCCCAGCCCAGCTTCAGGCTGCATGCTGCTAATGGTGCGTCCAGTACCGTACCGTCCCGTACCCATGATTGAGGAGAGGTAACTCAGTTGAAGCCAGGTGCGAGGATATCTCAAGCACCGACCGAGCTGACGCCTGAATGCACACTGAGGCCTTGCTGGGGGTGGTCGACTGCATATAGGCAATCCTATCGACAGTCTGGCGGTTGACGCATGCCAACGTTTTGACTCGCCGGCAGATGGTCAAATCCAGTACAACATTGTGGTACATATGACTGTCGGAAACCCCATTATGCTCTGCTAACCCGTGCACAGAAGTATTTGGCGGGATACCAGCAACTGGTCTGTGGGCGAGGAGAAAAATGCGTGGCACTACATTGGCCGCAGATCGAGAACGACCACTCCAGGCTCAGTCGGAATGGCGACTCGCCGTGTCACTCGGTCACTCAGTCACTCAGTCACTCCCTCACCTATCGCCAGGATCCCAGCTGCCATCGGCAGCAGCCAGATATGCATACCTAGTCTACTGTACAGACTGCAGTAGCATCCGGGCAGCACGCACTTCGGTTCTGGAACTCGACAACTCGACCAACCTGGTCCGCGGCTCCCACTCATCACCACCATCAAGGTCACCGCGTGCACTGCACCTACACTACGGCGGCGCCCTGATCTCATCTCATCTTCTCACACTGTTCCCCCACCTCCACCCAAAAAGTCCCCTTGTTTGGTTGAATATCCTTCGAGCCACGGGCCATTGAAACACCACCGTCGAATTATCGGAAGAGAGGCAGATCTCACTGTTTCCACGGTCCTAGACACTTTCCCAAGCTTTCGCATGCACGCAATCGCGTGGATCAGGGCTGCTAGTAACTGGGCTAGCTTACCCACACGGGTCAAAGTTCAGTGTCCGTTTGGGTTTAGCGTGGCATGGTCGACCACGGCCTGCGTTCCGACCGTGTCTCTTCCGCCTCTCCCTGTCCCTATACGGCGCCCGCCTTGCGATATTGCTCCTGAAAAGGCCTGTCTTTTGATTTTAAACCATTCAGTGTCGCAAAACACCGAGACCCCGGCCTCAGAGTTTCCAAAGCCCGTAGATTGATTACGTTGGACTCGTGCACGAAGCCCGGCCCAGCGATGTTGCTGTGTCGTCAAGCGCCGCGGGATCGCCACCCCGTTACCCACAGGAGCCAGGGCTCGGGCTCGGTAGATTTCAAATATTCGACGTGGGCGCTCTCGTCGACTCTCCGACCTCGACTTGCACGTTTCGACCTGCCAGGACTTATAGTCCGAGTCTCGCATCTCATTTGTCGTCTCCCAGCTCGGGATAATTGACTACTATGTGAACCAATCAATACATCGCAAGCACACGCCAGCCTCAATGGCAGACGGCAGTCGAAATGAATGTATTTTCAGACTCTCGTTTCTCACAAACGAGTCCGATGATACAGCCGAGACTTCCCCGGTCTGCCTTGTTAGATGTTGACCGGGGCTGAGGGTGAGAGGGTACGTCGCTCCGGCAGCCCCTAACCACTGTAGAGAAACATGGAAAGGGTGCGACTTGCATGGGCTTCATCCCTCGAAACAGCCTCCAAGGTCACTTTACTCTCGCACAGATTCGCCTCCCAACGAGCAGGTAGGACCTCAGGATGCCGCATTGTCACTGCAGGCGCACTAGAAGAGGCGCAATACCCTCCCACCTCCCCCTCCCCTCCACCCCGGAACAGAAGATAGAAGCCGTATCTCATCATCCATTTCATCAAAGTTTATAGGATGTTTGCTTGAGCATATTCTTCACGACAAACTCGCATTATTTTTGGACTGGCAATGAATGGGCAGGCGTTGTTTCAAAGGTCAAACCGGCCATTGGTCATCGCTTGGCAGCCCTGGGGGTGGCTGGCCCGCTGCCACGCTGCTGTTGCCAACGGATCCATGGTTCCCAAGTTCCAACCACACACAGCAGCCTGATATCAAAATGCTAAGCGAGACCGGTCAAGCTTCAGGGCTTCATTGGGCTGCGTCTGGGGGAGATCGCAGGTAGGCAACAAATGCTTTTTGCTCACCGACAGAAAACGCACAAATTCATGGGCGAGGGCCGACATCGCCAAAAGGAGTCATGCTCGCCTGAGTCAGCATGGCGATTTGGGTCAAGGAGTCGAGGCCGACGCCCAACGCTCTTTCAGCCCGTGCTTGCCGACAGCCAGCGAGGACGCTGGAGTTGGATTAGGAGCGCGACCGATGAGCCGCTGTCAGTTGGCGATCCTGGGCGATTGTCTCATGTGGCCCTCTAGGCTAGAGATGACGCCGTCTCTGCCATCTGCAGCGATCGGCTGTGGCGGGTCGAGTTACTGGGCCTAACGCCCTGTGACTAGCAGCGCCACCTACCTACTGTACACGTTGTGTTACTATCATGTGTACCCTCACCGAATCCAGGGGCGATGGCCCATGGCTCCTGTCGCGAGAGCACCACGGGAGTCGCGGAGGCATGCTCGGAAAGGCGGGCAATGCACGCGCAAAGCCGGAGAGTCTTCCGTCCGAGTCGACGAGGCTTCCGAGGGCATTGCCGCGCCTTCAGAGCAGTGGTCCCAACCCTTGCATGCGTCGGATGTGGTGGCTATAAGGAGAAAGGGACTAAATACAGTGGTAGTGCTCAGCACTTCCGCCCCGGCAAAGGTGTCCGTCCATACAGGTAAGGCTTTCATGATGTGCCCCTCCCAAGACTGCCGAAGGTTGTCTGCTGCCTTGCCGGGGAGGATAAGCTCACACACGAAGCAAGCCTCGAAGCCAGAACACTGCTGCGGAAGTTGGCCAGCTAGGCACCGCCTTCATATTGTAAGAGCCGCAGCCTGATGGTTTTGTGAGAATCAAGGGGAAAGCAGAGAACTCCAGCATACACCAAGTGATAATGATCTGTTAGAAGTCGGCGTGCACGCATAACACGGCATCTATACTGCCGAGGATCTGTCGTGGCATTGGAATAAACCGGCCACGCTGTATGGTAGCAGTACCACAGTAAGCACGAGCCGGGCAGACCAAGGAGGAATGCAACGGTCACAAGAATAACTTCAGGTTAGCACCGTCGTGGCTCCTCTCAGGGGAGAGCCTGCGCTCAGGGTTTCGCAGCCCAGGGCCGGTGATGTCGGCTTGCAACCCACGATTGTCGGACAACAAGGCCCGTCAGGTGAAGAGAATATAACGATGCCAATCTCGGATCGCAAGGTACAAGATAGGCTCTGGTCAGATTGTAGACATTCATTTCAGACAAGAGTGGCGAACTCGGTAAACGGGACGCAAATCTCGAGGAAGTGAGGATGTGATTTCTTAAACATGACATGACGTTTCGAGAAGGTCCGCGGGTCGGGCTCTCGGCGGCCTTCTCTGGCCTCACAGGGCTAATAAAAGTAGCGAGACAGATGCAGACGAGGCCCGGGCAGGGAACTCCGTTCTGGGCCGTGTGCACACAAAGACGCGAACAGGAACAGTAGCAGCGCGCTACACAGCCAGACAAGCTGCAGACAACCAGCGCAGCGCAGCGCAGCGCAAGAGCACAAACATCGGGGGCAGGGGCGGGGGGCCCACCTTCCCGGAGCTTCCTGGCCAATTGCGGGGTGGCTGCCCTTTGTGGAAAATTTGCATCCCAGATTTGGCAGATTAGCAGATTCCAGGCGCAGCCGCAGCCGCAGGGTTTGCCTCTTTCTCACTCTCATCGGTCAATCCATCCATCAATCAATCGATCAATCAAATCAAATCAAATCAAACCAACCCGGCTGGAGGGAAGGATGGGGGGCAGTTTGGGGGGGGAGGGTGTAAGCAATGGCCCAGATGGACTGGGCTGGAATGAATGGAATGGCCCGTCGGGCGGGCGGCAGGCGCAGGCACAGGCACAGGCAGGTGTGCACGTGTCGGCCAAGAACCTTGCACCCCCATGCACCACCCCCTGCACCCTGCGCTTGGAGCTGGGCAACAGGCAACCTCCCTCGCCCTCCCAGACAGCCAGACAACAAGACGACCCCATTATTAGACTATCAGGCATGCCTGGCAGTGACTAGGATTCGGCAGCACCGCGCTAAGCCTACCTAAGCCAATATCAGATTCACACCTCTTCAACATCGTCGCCGTCATGAGCGTGAAAACCTCGTCTCCTTTCAGAGTCTGTTTTGTGCAACTATTTACATTGCTTTGCGCTCCTCAAATACCAGGCGGCCTTTGAGTGCCCCCTATTGTCGCAAGTCCAAATCCCCCTATAGGTGATCCAATCGTTGCTGATTCCTTGCTGACCTGAGCAGATTCATTGCCTACGGTAGCATCATCAGCAGCAGGGGACAAGCAATGGACGAGCAGATATTAGCTCAAATACGAGTCACGTCGCTGGAACCTCGTGCCGCCCTTTGTTCTCGACGCTGCTCATAGCAGACCTGGCTCACCATGACCATGGCCACAAATAGTGGCATACGGCACAAAACAACTCTGCAAGCGGCCAAAGAACATCAAGCGGAGTACCAGACAACATCTGTACTCAGCAGGAAACGTCAAATTGATGCCTCTAAAAGTGATGATATCAACAACGCCCAACCAACCGTCAAGCGCATTGCTCCATTCCAGTCTGCTTCTGCTCTTTCCAAGGCCCCACCACCCCTCGCTGCGAGCGAAATAACAAGGCATCTGCCGCAAGTTGCCCATAGCAGCACGATTAATGGCTTGTCAGAGTACTCTCAGAGGAGAGACTTCCCAGCCACGCCCACTCCAGCCCACGATGCATTGCTGAAGCTGTCACACCCTGCCTACAGACTTCCCAAGCCACTGGTCGCCAATTTCGAAGCCCTAGGTATAAAGAGCATCTACCCCTGGCAGAAGCAGTGTCTAATGGGGCCAGGTCTCCTCAGAGGCGAGAAGAACCTGGTCTACAGCGCACCGACCGGCGGGGGCAAATCTCTTGTCGCCGATGTGTTGATGTTGAAGAGAGTCCTGGAGGACAGGGAGGCCAAAGCTATCCTCGTGCTACCTTACGTGGCACTTGTCCAGGAGAAGGTCCGCTGGCTGAGGAACGTGGTTCAGGGAATATCCAGAGAGGCCATCACTGGACCCGTTCAGGAATCTGACCAGAGGTTTTGGCGGAGACGATCCGATGAGGATACGGTTAGAGTTGTTGGTTTCTTTGGTGGAAGCAAGGTCACGCAGACTTGGGCTGATTTTGATATCGGCGTCTGCACCATTGAGAAGGCAAATTCACTCGTGAATACGGCCATTAATGATGGCTCGGTCACCAAGTTGAAAGTTGTAGTCCTTGACGAGCTTCACATGATCGATGACGACCATCGGGGGTATCTCTTGGAACTCATGGCTACGAAGCTTCTTTCCCTCGACGATCATGCCGTGCAGATCATCGGCATGAGTGCGACCCTGACAAACATCACGCTCCTGGCGACATGGCTTCAGGGCCACTTTTACGAGACACAGTACAGGCCGGTCCCAATCGAGGAGCACCTCGTCTACGACAGCCGAATCTACGCTGCCGGGACAACCAGCCGACTGATCAAAGCCGCCGCAACCCAGGCAAATGGGACGCAGGTTTCTCAGGCTCCATCCACTGCGATAGGAACGGTAGCGGCATCGGATGCCAAAGAACTGCAAGAGCCCGTGCTAAACTCAGTCGTTGCTCTAGCGAGCGAGACTGCTCGTGCTGGCTACGGTGTACTGGTATTTGCAAGTAGCCGCGCGGGCTGTGAATCGGACGCACTCATAATCAGTCGGGTAATGCCCCCTCTTCACGAGTGGAACATTGACGTGCAGGAGAAGCGAGCAGACTTGCTCGGAGATCTCAGAAGTTTGCCCGGGGGTCTTGATCCGATGCTGGAGCAAACCATACCAAATGGTGTTGCATTTCATCACGCAGGACTCACCACTGAAGAGCGGGACCTCATCGCGAACGCCTATGATTCTGGTACCATCAAAGTCTGTGTGGCCACATGCTCTCTTGCAGCCGGTATAAATCTCCCAGCGAGACGGGTCATTCTACATAATGCGCGCATGGGTCGCGATATTGTAGGACCATCCATGCTCCGCCAGATGAGAGGCCGCGCAGGGCGGAAAGGAAAGGACGAGGTTGGCGAGACTTACCTCTGCTGCCGCCAAAAAGACCTTGAGGACGTCACCGAACTCATGCAAGCGGAACTACCACAGCTTACGAGTTGTCTCACGAGCGACAAGCACCGCATACAGAGGGCGCTGCTTGAAGCCGTAGCGGTGAGGCTGGCAACTAGTCGTGGTTCACTCGACGAATTTGTTCGAAAGACGCTGCTCTATCAGTCCACCGATATTGTCAGGGTCAACGAGATCGTCGAAGGTAGTCTCTTAGAGCTGCAGGCAAGAGGCTTTATTTCAACCGACCAATTCTCGAACTTCGAAGCCACACAGTTGGGTAAAGCAATCGTGACCTCATCTCTTGACCCAGACGACGGCATATTTATACACAAGGAGCTGAAGAGGGCCCTTCAAGCCTTTGTGATGGATGGAGAAATGCACATCCTATATACGTTCACGCCTGTTCAGGATATGTCAGTCAATATCAACTGGAAAGTCTATGCAAACGAGATGGAAAATCTGGATGAGAGCGGACTCCGAGTTCTGAGCTTCTTAGGCTTGAAGCCCACCGAGATCAACAGGATGTAAGTCTTCAAAAGGCTCGCCTAGCAGACCTTGGCTGATAAGTGTAGGATGCGTGGAGGGTCCATGAAAACAGAAACAGCCGCAGAGAAGGAACTCGCTCGAGTCTATCATCGATTCTATCTCGCTTTGCAGTTGCGTGACCTGTGCAACGAGATGCCCGTGTACCGCGTGGCGCAGAAATACGCCATGCCGCGAGGGACGGTCCAGACGTTAGCACAGTCCAGTCAAGGCTTTGCAGCCGGCATGATCAAGTTCTGCGAGCAAATGGGATGGGGAGTCATGGCAGCTGCTTTGGATCACTTTTCAGACCGTCTGAAGGCCGGAGCCAAGTCTGATCTGCTGGCCTTGGCAAAAATAACCTTTGTCAAGAGCCGCACCGCTCGTGTCTTTTGGGACAACGGCCTCCGAAGTGTCGCTGCCGTCGCGAATGCCGATCCAAACGAGCTCGTTCCCGTGCTTCTGCAAGCGCAACCAAACAAGATCCGTCTAGAGGCCAAGGATGAGCAAAAGTATATGGAGAAGCTGCTACTCAAGGCAAAAGTTATCGCTGATTCAGCAAATAGGCTTTGGCGTGAGTAGTAAATGAATATTTTGGAATTAGGTGGATCTGCTGACCTTGACTACAGAGATCGAAATGCAGCAAGATATGGACGAAGAGTGACCAACACCGAATGAGACAGCCGAGCCAGGCTATCAAGTGCCTCTACGATGACCACATACTCTGGGATCGGGCAGAGTCAACAGGAGCTTCTGCCGTCCTGTTATGGGCATGCAATTGATATTGCACGGGTAGGCGAACCTCACCATGGAGAATATCAATTAGCACACCTGTTTCCCTTTCGCATCGCAGAACACATATACGATTTCGAACAATGCCAACGAGAATAACACATTGGGCTATGTCTCTTGACTGCAGGCCTCTCCGGTCGTGCTCCTGAGCTTCGAGGGTGACTAAGGAACACAAGCTAGCCGCTGATATAGCAACTCGACACAAGTCAACCGAGACTGCCAATAACATTTTGTGGCAGTTCTGAATGGCAGGCCGCGTGTTTCTCCTACCTTTACTGGCGGGGCTGAGTAACACGTGGGGATGGCTGGCGCCCTGGATAGAAAAGCCAAGTCCAGATGATATTGCTACCTTTGGTAAGTTGGGTCCGTCTTTTGCCGGAAATCGCTATGAAGCTTGACTTTGTGTGTTTTCGTGGACCTGAAAGGAGTTCGTGGGAAATCGTCAAAGGTCTTGGCGCTATCTCGATTTGATTGCGGAAGCCTGTCGATGTACTCGCATCCGCCACAAGGGTATCATTCGCCATATATCCATTCGAGACATGGTCGCAATTAGCAGTGGTCCTATGAGGTCGGGTATTAAACCGTCCAACATCGGTGCTCCCACGGCCACACCACCCACACGTTTGGTCCAACCGTCCAGTAAGCGTGACCCCAGCCTCCCAAGCGGCGGCAAGCAGGTGGCCCCATGCGGGCTTAGGCAGGATTCATGCCATGCGGAGGTAATCAAGTAAAATGCAGCTCCACAGCCAGTGCGTCTGGACGGTTACACAACGGCACAAGAAGTTTTCACCTCTATTGACCGGCCGTGCGTACCAGCCGACTCAGCTTCAGTAGGCTGGACGAGCTCGAGTCGCCCCCCATGCCGCAGCCTCTCGATCTTTGTCCTCCGTCTGCGCTTGAGGCAAATGCAGCTTCGAGGAACCAAAGCCAGATGCTCACTAGAGATATGTCTCGACCCGCTAAGTAAGGCTTGCGGGAGGAGGGAGATTGGTTGGAACTATACATGAGCCGGGCGCCCTCTGAAGGCATACCTAGCACACATAGATCGCAGAAGCGACATCGATCGCACAAGCCGTACATTCTTTTTACCGTCCTATGCCAATAGGATGTGGTCCGCATGCATGTCATCCGACAGTGATCCGGTGTGGGCTGCCTGGCTAGCTCCGTGTTCTACCACCACACCCTCTTCGTCTGCTGCGTCTCAGCCTACTGCTGATTGCTTAGGAACGGCCGCCTCTAGCTCGTATGGCTCGCGCAAATGATATATATCTTTCAGCCTGCTGTTTCTGTGACCCCCAGAAGCTTTCTGCTCGGCTGCCATCATCCCCCCTCCCCTCCCAGTCGAAATAGGGCGTACGAGATCATAGCATCCTTGCCCTAGAAAACCAACTCTCGTCGTTGGGACAGCTAGGAAATCAGACATGGCTTCATCCTCTAGGGCCAACGGTGAGGGGAGCTCCCAGAGAACACTTCGCGAAACGATGCGTGCGCCATCAGTGAACACCCCAGACATTGTTGTGCTAGACATACTGCCGGATGATCTGGATCGCAAGGAAGTCTTGGATCCAAGCCAAGACTTGTGGCTTTCTACGAGCGACGGGTAAGAGACCTATCTCTCGTCTCATCCGCTCCTCTATTCCCTGGCCCAGTACCACCCGTTGTTTGTGTCACTTGACACGATGTACCTATTTACCAATATACAACCATATTGTCTCAGCCCCATTTCCTAACTGACATGCGCTCCTCAGTCGATACAGCTCCGCTATAATTCCTCTTCGCGTCGGCACTCTGCCGAATCAGGAGATTTTTCAGGTTGGCTCAATAGTGTCTCACAGCTGAGTGAATTTGTACTCATATGGAAACAGGTGCATAAAAGCGTTCTTCTCAAGGCTGAATGGTTCCGCAAAGCACTGCTGGGCAACTTCCTCGAGGCGGAAGCGCAGTCCCTCGACTTACCAGAAGAAGACCCGGCCATCTTCCATTTCCTGGTCGCATACCTCTATGAGGAGCGGTATCTGCCGACCAAGCCGCTATCGACTGTCTTGGAGCTGGACCCGGACAAGGGCAAAGGGAAGGACGTGGCCAACGACACAGCCAACTCAGATTCAGACTCGGACGCGCTCAGCTGGCGCAGTGACTCTAGCGCCCAGTCACGAAGGCGCGAGGAGCGCCGCCGCCGACGACAGGAGAGACAGCTCGAACGTCTCCGGCAGAAACACCCCGGGGCGCACCGACCGAACTGCAACTGCCCGCAATGTGCTAATTCTCAAGGACCACCGTAAGCAGACCCAAAGACGATCCTCGCATTTCCTTCAACGGAATTTTGTCGTAAAGACCATCCCTCACAGGCTGTTCAAAAGCCCTTGGTTGGCTATGGAGCGTGAGACATTGTACGGGCAGAAGTGCCAGTTCCCGCCGAATTTGGTTTCGAAATCACCTTTCCCGTTGCGTTGATAGCTAACATCGGTTGCTGCAGCTGCTGGGCCTGCTCAGCACCACGGTTCCCTCCCGCCATCGCCCCGCCCGCCTATCCCCCAGGGGTCATTATGAATGGACGAGACAGGTCACGGAGGAACCAACACCATCGGAGGCGGGGTCCGGACGGCAGGCCGATACCACCACGGCCCGGGTCGCCACCAGCCATGGCGACGTCGCCGACCGACGCACCACGCATCAAGGGCGAGGACATGCGCACGTGGCTGATCGAGTACGAGCTGAATATCGACGTGTACATCTGCGCAGACAGGTACATGCTCGACGGGCTGAAGGAGAAAATCTCGCGCGCGACCATCGACATGCTCGAGAGCGCGGGCCCCGACGCGGCGCAGGCCGAGGTGCTCAGGCTCTGCCGGAAGATCTACGACGGTGTGGGCGATGATGATCCCCTGCTGCGGATGGTGTTTGCAAGGGTCGGGTTCCTGCAGCCGATGCTGTGGAAGATGGCCCCCGAGGAAACGGGCGCATTCCTCCTCGAGAACCCAGAAGTGGCCATGCTGATGCTCAAGGAGACGTCGATCAGGAGGGCGGACTTCCACGGTGCCATGCTGCCGAGCATGGAGAGGGCTGCCTGGAACATGCCTACTGGGCCGCCGTTCGACCACCAGTTATACCCTCGACCATTCCCGAGGGGCGTGAGGTATTAGTGCGTGCTGGTCGCTCTAAGGGCTGAAAATTTGGATGCCAGCACACAGGGGGCTCCATATAGCGGACTCTTCTCGAAACTAGCATTTGCTTTCTCTGAATTCATGATCGACTTGCGAGGCATGACTGATTTATACCTGGATTGTTGAGCGTTGTTTCTTTCTTTTTTTTTTTTTTAATGTTTTTTAATTGGCGGGAGGGAGGCAGGTTCAGGATTTACAAGAGGCCCCTGTATTTTCATATGCAGGCACGATTGATGAAGCTATATCGTGATTTGTGGTGTTTAGTGAACGAATTAATCAAGCGAGTGCAAGCGGAAACGGGTTGAAATGGTGCTTCGTTGTTTACACCCTCGCTCGGGCTAACATTGATGGCAAACGCCGAGCGAAGTCGAAGTTGCGCTTGAGCTTCAAGCCAGCACCATGCCCCCTTTGGGCGAGACTCGTCCTTTCGCCTATTGGTGGAACCGTGGTCCCTACGTACTAGGTGAGTGAACCTACTGTTAGGTGGTTGTTACTGTTCCTGGCCGGCTTCTTCTGCTGTCGGTTTGTTCCCCACAATCCCCGGATTCTAGCCCAACTTCGAAGGTGCGGAGGAGATCCCCACTGCAAATAGGGTCATCATGGACAAGTTGACCGATGTGACCATGGTCCCGCTCCCGCCGGGTTCCAGGTCCACTAGACATCCTGCTTTCCGCCCCCTCGGGTTATCTTGTTGACGTGCCTGACTAGATGAACCGTTCACCCGGAACAGCCATCCGAAAGCAAGCAATAAGTAGGCATTATTTCCCGGGGTGAAAATGGAGGACGACTTCAGCCGTGGGAGCGACGACAGTTGCTGTCTTCACTCGCTGCTTCAGACGTCAAGATGGCTTCCTTGCTTGTGACAGTTCTTCTCCTCCTGTCAGGGTTTCTCGCGACAGGGGCCGCAGCCCAGGATCTCGTCGCCGAACTCGACTATGGTACCTTCGAGGGGGCGTACTCAGCCTCCTACAACATCTCGTACTGGCAGAAGATCCCATTTGCACAACCGCCTGTCGGCGACCTCAGGTTCAGGGGACCGCAGCCCCCGCTGCCCATCACGAATGGCACCTTTAACTCCAGCCAGCCCTTCGACATGTGCCCCCAGCGCACTGTCAACGGCTCTGAGGACTGCCTGTACCTGGGCCTGTACTCGCGTCCCTGGACTCAGGGGCAGCCCCTGCGCCCCGTCGTCGTTGTCTTTTACGGTGGTGCTTTTATCCAGGGCAGCGCTTACTTCACCATCCCGCCCTCGGCGTATCCAATCCTGAACGTCTCATCTGAGACGGACCTGGTTTTCATCTACCCGAACTACAGGACCAACGCCTTCGGCTTCCTCCCGGGGAGGGAGGTTGCCGAGGACAGCGGGTCCGACCTCAACCCGGGCTTGCTCGACCAGGACGCTGCCATCCGGTGGGCAAAGGAGCACGTCAGCCACTTTGGCGGCGACCCAGATTCCATCTCTATCTGGGGCCAGTCCGCGGGCGGCGGGTCGGTCGTGGCGCAAGCCATCGCGCGCGCGGGGGCCGAGGACCGGCCAAAGCTGTTCAAGAGGGCGCTGGCGAGCAGCCCGTTCTGGCCCAAGACGTACGACTACGACGCGCCGCAGGCGCAGGCCGTGTATGACCAGTTCTCGACGCTCGCGGGGTGCGGGACGGGCGCGGGCAGCCTGGAATGCCTGAAGAGGGCGGACCTGCAGACGCTGAGGAACGCGTCGCTGGTTGTCGCTGCGAGTCACACCTACAACTCAAGCAGCTACACATGGGCGCCAGTGATCGACGGGACGTTCCTGACCAAGAGGCTGAGCGAGGCCGCGGAGGCCGGTGAGGTCAACATGGATTATGGATGGGGCATGTACAACACCCACGAGGGCGAGAACTTCATCCCTCCAGGCCTCGCCAATACCAATAACACCGGCACACCGCCCTTCAATTCCAGCACGGCAAGCTTCGACAACTGGCTCTCCGGGTTTATGCCCGGTCTCTCCCAGGCTGACCTGGAGGAGGTGAAGGCGCTGTACCCGGAATCAGGCACTGCTGAGGCTGTACCAAGCTATAACGGCTCTTACACTCGGGCTGGGCTGATATACAGGGACTCCATCCTGGCCTGTCCAGCCTACTGGCTGGCCGGCGCATCGCCAAACGGGAGCTACCTGGGAGAGTACTCCATCTCCCCAGCCAAGCACGGCAGTGACACCATCTACGTGAGTTCTCCCTCGTCCTCTCATCATACAGCACATTCGGAAAGCATACTAATATTCTATCACGGGGCAAGTGGAACCAAGTCAACACCGCGCAGACTACTGACCCGCTCCACTACAAGGGCTACGCCGGGGCCTTTGCCTCGTTCTTCATGACGTCCGACCCGAACGCCATGAAGCTGACCGGCGCGGACGAGCCCGGCGTCCCGCCGCTGCTGTCGTCGGGGAAGGAGTTCAACATCAACGCGGCCGGCTTTGCCCAGCTCGAGCTGACGCAGTTCCAGGGCCGGTGTGATTTCTGGAAGAGCGTTGCGCCCAAGATCCCTATATAGAAACGGGTGTCCTCACCGATGTAGTCGTAGGATCTACAATGATATATATAAATCAGTAATGCAGCTCACGCTAGCCTGATCCACACTGAGCAGTCTTATTGTGATCAACGCCATGTGGTTGATATTAATTACAACACATGTGCAGGGTGCATGCTTCGCCAGCGTTGACGAGCCTTGTGCTACCTGCATCTGACCGTTCATCCGCCCACCCCCCTTCACCCCAACAAAGCAAAGGTATCGCAAAGAGCTGCCAATTCAAGAGCGGACCAGGATTGCGATTGCTGCTTTTGTGGTGGCGGAGGATGAGACAGCGGCCGTCGCCACTGACAACTTGTCCTACTCGACAGAGGCCGCCCAAGTCGTCAAACGTGCCACAGACGGCGGCCCAGAGTCACGCCGTGGTCGTACAACCGCTGCAGAGTCCAACCAAGGAGTTGTTCAACCTCGTGCACGCCAGGCAAGACGGTGAGATTAGTAAGGCTAAGCGCTCCCATCCCATTTTACCGACACTTTGGTAGGCTTGGACAACTTATCAACATCAGTCAGGAGGATGAACACTTGGAGGATATGGTTCCAATATCAAGCTATCAATCTGAGTGGGGGCGAGTAACCCGATTCCAAATATCTGATCTTTGTCCCATGAATGCTCAGTGAGTATCGCGTCTCGTTCTTACCGCGCGCAGCCTAGAGAAATTGAGTCCCCTCGACAGTTCCAGGCGCGAGTTGTCTAATTCGCCTTGCCTTGATGTCCATGCCCGTAAAACAAGACCGCCCAACGCCATGCCACGTGTACCAAAACCATCAGAAACGCCCTCGCTCGCTGAAAATCTACAAAATTACAATCTTGATCATGACTGCCGCTGAAAATGCTGCATGAACTGAATCGCTTGCTCAATGGGATACCCGATGAACACCGGGCCGTTGAACACCATCTGGGGGGCCGGGCCGCTGGCGGTCGTGGCATTCGCGGCCCCAGGTGCGTTGATAAAGGCCGGCTGGTGAGACGGAGGAGGACTGTCTGGGATTGGAGGTTGTGGATGCTTCACAGGCGTAGTAAAAGGCTGGCTTGCAGCTGGCTTGTGAGCGGTAGGCCGTGGGGGGCTTTGGACCTCCTCCATTTTCGGAAATTCGGCCAGGCCAGGTCCGTCTAATTTGTTCATCTTGGTGTGGTCAAATGGGCACTTGGATGGCCTGGCCTCTGAGGCCTTTGGTGCTTGATTTGGGCTGGGCGAAGGCATACGAACAGGCGCCGGAGGCGAAGTTGGCCGCTCCACGGGCTCATCCGGGGGAAAGGGGACGGAGATGCCCCACGGTCTGCTGGGCGACTCGCCGACGCGGATCTCCTTGAGAGGCCGTTCGAAATGACCGGTCCGGTCGAGATAGTCTTCGGCAGTAGGCACATTACCATCATCCTTGATGGTCTCATCGACCAGGCCGTCCACGGTACTAGAGCTCACGTTCTTGGCCCAATCACTAACACGGCGATTCGAAGCTTGGTCCGCCTCGGCTTCAGCTTCGGCCTCAGCCTCAGCCTGGGCCTCGGGTAACATGGGCGCATGGAGGTGGCTGAGATCGGTGATCATGGAGACAAGATTGCCGTACTTGGCGTCGAGCTTCCTTATTTGCTCTTCGTTCTTCTGGTTTCTCTTGAGACAAACCTCGTGGCTTCGCGGCAACTCATGCTTGTGAGTCTCGACGTAGCGAGCAATCTCTTCGGGAGTGTGCTTGTCGAGGTATCTGATGGGGCATTTGGAGGCCGAGGCGTTGGGCGGCGGGGCGGACATGCTCTCCTCAAACATTGCCGCGCATATCGGGTCTTTGGAATGGTGCGGTGTAGGGTCGGAATTTTTATTTTCATTCGCATCATCTACCTCAACTTGCTCGACGGCGTCCTTTTTCATTGCCGAGAAGGGACAGCCCAAATGACCCTTCTTCCCCTCGACCGTGAAGTCCCTTTCGAGGAAGGTTGACTGTGAGGTCATGTTGGTGGAGAATGTCTCGCGGCTGGATCCGCTTTCCTTGCTGGCATCAGTCACCATCGCCAACTGCCGAGCTACCTTTCTGCCTTCGCGGATGAACAAAGCCAACTCAGCCTGGGAGCTATCGGACTGGTGGCGCTTGGGGAGAGGGACGTGGCTGGAGGATGCGAGCGTTGGGCTGGGAGGTAGTTGGAGCTTTGCCAGAGTTTCGGCAATGTGAGGAGCTGCTGGGGCGTATTTGTCGGCGAGAAGCTGATACTGTTGCGGATGCGACATTGGTCAGCACGTTTGGGGGCCCCACGCCGAGACGGCGGCAAATCAGAGATTGAGTTGTGGGTAGATGGGGGCCAAGAGAAATATCAGATAAGTGGTAAAGGTTGTCTACAGAGTCGCCAAAATGGCGACATGCAGATCTAGAGCTATGGTAATCATCATGTAGAGGTGGCATGGGCGGGAAAAGAGAAGACAAGAGAAAGAAGAGATGACGACTTGCCTGTTCTCGCGCGTAGGCCAACTTGTGCTCCAAGATCGTCTTTCTGTCGACCAGGTTCTGCACTTCGTCGGCCAAAATGCTGAAGGATGAGACCAGAGTCTGGATTAACTGGGGCGAATCCATGGCCATTGTGCGGATGCGGATGCGAATCCGGGGCGGCCGCCGTGTCGTCTCACATCTGGCCCTGCAGTTAATACCCAGGGCTTCTGACCCAGTGAAAGCGCGACGGGTGTCGTTGGGGAAAGAAACGAAGAGTCGACGTTGAAGATGATGAGAGAAATCCCAGATTTACGAGATTTGCCTTTTTATCGAAGGCCGGGGATTTCGCGCTTGCCGATGCCGGGGGACCCGCCTGACTAGACAGTGCCCAGGTACCTGTACAGCTCCTTCCTAGCAGGTGCCTAGGTGGCATGTCTGGGGCCTGAGGGTCTGCTGATCAGCCCAAGCTCCAGGTATCTCTCAGAACCCCGCAGGCTCTTATCACCTGTGAACGGTCGATATGCACGCCAGGCTAAGGACGGGGATGGCAGCCGGCGACGACGACGACGACTCGAGCTCAGACAAGACACCTGTAGTGGCTCCTCTCCTTTGCACTCAGCACTCGATCTCACGCGTGCTATCTTTCGGTCTTTGAGCAACCCTGTCCCCCAGGAAATTCTGCTCAGTCTGTCTCAGGCGGTAGACAGACAGACAGAGACAGACAATACAGTGCAGTGTCTAGAAGAAGAGTGGATCCATCGGTGCCCTCTTACACCAGCGTCCCTTTCGTCACTCACTTTTGACCATTCTCTTGCCCGAGTGTACGCATAGTATACACTGCAATTTCCAGTTGCGTCATGGCCCTCGAGATCCCGAAAGCCAAGCTCAAGAGCTTCGTGAGGCACGTCGTCCCAGGTGAGTGCAACAAGCGGTCCAATAGCTGCCCACCGCGGCCTACATCGTGACCATCTAGCTCTCGATGCCATGGTAGATAGTATGGTGTAGTGTAGTTGGGTATGATACTGCGACCGATGTTACTGGACAACGCTGACGCCAAAACCTCGACCTAGGTGCCCTCTTGGTGACCGAGTACTTATTCTCGGTGCCCTTGGACTACAAAAACCCCTCCGGTACACACATCCAGCTCTTCGCCAGGGGGGCTACCAAGTATGATGTGCCTATCAACCCTCAACAGCCGCAGTTCCAGTCGTCCTTGAACCGTCCATGGTTTGTTTTCCTCCAGGGCGGCCCTGGATTTGGCAACCCTGAACCCCAGGACTCTTCCTTGACCCGTTTCCTCCTGAACAGAGGCTATCAGATCCTCTTCCTCGACTACAGAGGGGTTGGGCTCAGCACCCCAGTCACTGCCGACACTTCTCCGACCCCAGACGCCTCTTCAGAGGAGCAGTTCAACTACCTCAAATTCTTTCGCCAGGTCGACAATGTGCGCGACTGTGAGGCTGTCCGGAAGTGCTTGACCGAGAGCTTCGACGAGAGCAAGAGGAAATGGTCCATCTTTGGCCAGTCATTTGGCGGCTTTGTCTGCCTCAGCTACCTCTCCCACCACCCCGAGGGGCTTAACGAGGTCTTCATGACCGGCGGTCTCGCTCCAATCTCCAAGACCCCAGATCAAGTCTACAGGGCTACTTTCCAAAAGGTCTTTGAGCGAAACATGGCCTACTACAGGAAGTTCCCCGAGGACATCCCAGCCGTACGGAGGGCTGCCGTTTTCCTGCACACTCGCCCAGAAAAAGGTGTTCGTCTGCCGGGTGGCGGGCTTCTGACAGCCAGACGACTCCTCACTGTCGGCCACATGTTTGGTTTACACGGCGGCCTGGACAATGTGCATGCTATGATCCTGAGACTGAATATGGACTTGGAACAATTTGGGTTCCTGACGAGGCCGACCCTATTGCAGTTCGAAGCGTACCTCCCGTTCGACACGGCACCCATCTATGCAGTCCTGCACGAGGCCATCTACTGCTACAAGAAGGGCATCGTTTCCGACTGGGCCGCGCAGCGGGTTGGCCAGCAGCTCGACAACTTCCGCTGGCTCGATCCAGAGTTCTCGGCGTTCGACAACATCGACACGCCGCTTTGCTTCTCCGGCGAGATGATATTCCCCTTCATGTTCGATGACTATCCCGAGCTGCAGAAGCTGAGGGATGTGGCGGGCGCGCTGGCCAAACACGACGACTGGGATGACCTGTACGACGAGGCCCGGCTGAGGGTGAACCAGGTCCCTGTCTATGCCGCCAGCTTCATCGAGGACATGTACGTCGAGTCCGAGCTCGCGCGGGAGACGGCACGCAAGATCAACCTCATCAGGGTCCTCGAGACCAACACCATGTACCACAACGCCATTCGCGCGCGGGCTGACGAGGTGCTGCCCCAGCTTTTTAAGCTCCGGGACGATGCTATCGACTAGTGACATAGTGTATGGTGGAGGAGATCCTTTGCTTGCCAACCTTGGGGAGAAATAGCTCTTTGTTGGACAAGACATGCTTCATACCCCCCTGTCTTATCTAATTATTTCTGACAATAATGGCCTGGAGGTGTATGTGCCTAGGGTACTCTTCACCGCATTGTCCAGTGCCGAATTGCATCTATAGCATACGCAGCTCTAGACTACCAGTTCCTCATTAGCTGCTTCCGACAGAGCTGATGGCTCGGTCTGAAAATGATTGTTGTTAACACATTGGCTTCTTCGTAATTCATGACTGTGTGTGCTGTTTGCGCGCTTGAATCTATGAACACATCTATCTTGGGTCAACACTAATCTGCTCTTGCTCTAAGTCTGCGTGGCATCGCCTGGTTTCCTTGCTGTGCCATGGCCCCCGACAGCCTCCTCCTCATCTCGATATCTCGCAGGCGCGTCTTCATCCTCAAACTGGCTGTCGCCCGTGGTATCCCACAGTGAGATGTCATCATCGTCAACCATCAGCGCAGCAGCGTCATTGGGATCCATCAGCCTCGCGTCCTCGCCGCCCTCACCTATATCATCATCTGCGTACTCGGCCCCCGGCGCCCTGCCGTCGAGCGGCCGCCCCGCCTGTGCCTCCTCCCTGGCCAGCTCCGCGGCCCTGGCCATCGTGCGGCGGTAGATGAAGTACCCGACGCCCATGCCCACGAGGCCGCCGACGAGCATGGAGGCGTAGTTGACGAGGCGGTCGCCAAAGGTCATCTCCTTCTCGGCCAGCAGGGCGAGGCGCGACCCGATGAAGACGTGGACGAGCAGCTTGGGGCTGGAGAAGGCGGTGGCGATGGCGAAGCTGAGGGGCTGGATGCTGGGGACGGTGGCGAGGAAGCCGTTGCTGAGGCTGTAGGGCAGCGGGCAGAAGCGCACGAGCGCCAGCACGCCCAGCCCGTCGTGCCGCAGCACCTGGCCCAGCGCCACGAAGCGCTTGTCGCGCCCGACCAGGCGGTCCACGTAGCCGCTGAGCACGGTGCGCGACGCCACGAACGCCGCCGCCGACCCGGCCACCGTCGCCGTCGCCACGATCGGCCACCCCAGCGGGAACCCGTACACGAACCCCGCCACCGTGCACGCCGTGCTGTACCCCACCAGCGGCGGGAAGGCCACGAAGAAGGTCGCCGCCCAGATGATCAGCCAGCCGGCGGGGAGGGCTCGCCACGAGACCGCCACGGGGCCGAGGAGGGTGAAGATCTTGTGCGAGAAGATGAGCAGGACTATGGTGAGGGCGCCGAGGAGGTTCCCGCCGACAATGAACAAGACCTTTTGCGTGGGCGTCAGGCCCTCGTACATGGTCACGGACTGCCGGTACAGGCCGTTGGCCGTCTTGATCGAGGAGGAGGCCAGGGCCGACAGCTGGCTGCGGAAGCCGTCGCGGTTGGCCGAGGAGCGCGAGTTGAGGGAGTAGGGCGTGGAAAGCCGCCGGGAAGACCGCGTATTGCCATTGGCATTGCTGCTGTGGCGGACCCACGGGAGAGGGGGTTCATTGTCGCCATATGAAGGGGTCGGGGACGGTCGGGCTTGCTCTTCGGGGTCGCTGTCGTCGTGGAAGGGGGCACCGCCGTGCTCGACCTGAGTTGAGGTGTTGGCGAGCTGTGCGGCTGCGGATGCGGCGGAAGGGGTCTTGTTGTCGGGCGACATGGGCACGGCCAGGCCAGCTGCCGCGGACTTGTAGTCGGCCGGCATGGTGTGTGGTTTAGGGTGTTGGAATGAATGGGTTCTACCGTGGATGGTTAGCTGTGTGTGTCCTGTCCTCAGAGACCAGCACGACGACGTCAGGATGACTAGCCGAGCAGTGCAGCTTGCTTACAATTGGCGACAGCGAGGACTGAGTGCTATCTTTTCGCAGCCATTGAATCAATAAAATGCTTGTAAATTTAGGAGAGATGAGCGGTTGTTTCGGTCAACAATGACGATGTTCACGGGCTTCGCGGTTGGAGTCTTGGGGGAGCGAGAGATGGATTGTCGAAGAGGCGCAGCTCGTCAATGCAGCGCAGATCTGGTCTACACTCACTACTAACTTAGACTGTACACTCGACACAAGCGTAGCGCAGTTAGTCTACCTAGTCGACTACCTAGGCGTGTTCTCAGTACGGTGCTTGATTGGGCCACTGCCGCAAATAGCAATGTGGTAAGCAAGCTGTGACGCCAATGACGGCAAGTCAGATCTAATCCAGGTGCAAAGAACAATGATTGACAAGCGTTCGGGATGTTTCATGCGCAGGTCCGAGGGTTGCAGCTGTTGGGAACCCACCCACGCGGGAACAGGTAAGGATCCAGGGTCCTCAGCTGTCACTGGCAAGCGTGGCATGGAAGCCGTCCCTCGCATGCGAGCCGCATCATATGCCAAGACGCCTGCATGGTACAATAATACCCTGCGCATGCTGGAATTGCACGTTGGGCTTTGCTTTTATATAAATTTGATTTATTTTGTTTTCTTCATGTCTTCTCTATGTCATCGGCCGCCACGAGGTCCTCGAGGTGGCTCTTTGCCAATCGTCGTATCCCTCACCAACAGCTTCATCTTCCCGTCCCCTATCTCAACCCCCTGCGACAGGATGTCCACCGAGTCCTCGCCCACCTCTTCTTTCCTCGTGCTTGCGCCACCCTCCCTCGACGCCGACCTGTCATAGCTCCGCGCGTCTACTCCCAGGATGCCTCCCATGTTGTTACGGTCGCCCGGCACCGAGAACTCTCGGAATGCGTACCGCCACTCGTTCAAGAAACCCCGCACCGCTTTGCCCACCTTGTCCTTCCCATTCTTACTGTGATGCCCTGTCCCTGTGATGGCGTAAATCGGCCGGCTTTCGTGCTCATTCTCCAGCAACACCCGTTCGAGATACTCGACAGCCTCATCCGCGTGCAAGCCGTGCAGATCCACGTAGATCTCCGGGCTCGACGAGCTCTTCTTGTTGCGGTCTTCATATAGCTTCTCTGCCGCTTCTCTATGTGCCTTCTTCATCAGATCGTTCTCGCTTTGACCACGTAGACTGAACACCTTGGCCTGCCTGGCGTCCTGTCGGTTCCAAGCCTGTGCCGCACTATGGGTCCGGTCAGTATAGGCTTCATACAAGCTTCAACCATATCAGTACTTACTTCTGCAAAAACTTGTTCCTAAGAGCGCTATGCCGAATGGCCTCTTGGCGGGCCTTGAGATACGCTTTGTTGGAGCTGTCACCTGTCTCTAGCCAGGGGATGTGTTTGGGACTTGGGATGGCCTGAGCGGCGGCGCTGTTCTCGCCGTTTCTCGATCCTTGTGAGCTCCCGTTACGACTCATTTTCCTACTATCGGGCCTTGAGGAGGTCGGTCCTGGAGATGGCGACATCTTCACAATATCTGCAAGAGAGCTGGGAGTGTACGCTTCCTTAGGTCCATGACCATGACCGCCGCGCTTTCCATGATGTTTCTTGCCAGGCTTGGCTGCAGCAGAACCCAGAGTCGGGAAAGCCTCATTGTCGTCAAGTGAAGGCGCTGCCTGAGCGTTCTCCTTATTCTGCTGGTGGCGGCTGCTAGGTCGAGACCGAGGCCGAAGATCACTTCCGTGGATGTTTTTGAACCCAGGTGGAGGTGTGACACCTAGTGAAGGCGTAAAAACAGGAATCGAATCAGGCGTCCCGGACCCCAGAGACGGGAAGTTGGAAAAGTCCTGGATCTGGATGTTTGCTGGAGACTTCTGCACAGGCGGCGTGTCTGTTCCGTCAACGTTGAGTTTGTTCATTAGATGCGCTGGGTCATGTGAGAAGATACACGTGTCCCCGGCGAGGCAGTTGCCCGACATCCAGTATCTAGATAAGCAATTTAGTAAATGCCAGAGGGCCTATAAATCAGCGAGCAAACTTACTTGCAGATGTGGCTGCTCAAGTCATGGCTAAAGCGGCAATCCGCCCGCATACAGCTGCCGGATGCGAGGTAGAACTTGCAGATGACCCCGGACCTCTGATCGGCCGGTGTGGTTGGGCGCGCATCGGGAGTCATAGACTTGCCAACCAAGTAGCCGTTGCCCTCGGTCGAAACGCTCGCTGATGAAGCATCCTGGTTATCCATCATAGATATAAGCACTGCCCCAAGATCATAGCCATGAACCAGTAATGCTTGGCTGATCTCCTCGTCCGTTCTGGACTCCCCAAGAATCGACCGCAGGACGTCGTGCGGTCTCATGGGGGTCTGTTGCGATGAGAACTCGGGCGCATTTGCATTCAGACCGCTGGACGTGCCAAAGGATGATGCGATGCTGACAGCATCATCCCCAACAAGCCAGTCCACGTTATCAGAGGCGTAGTCCTCGAATGTTTCTTGCGACGGTTCTGGGTCGTTCGCAAACTCGTAGGCGTTCAGGTTGGGGCTGTGAGGTATGGCTGGTGTCGAAAATGCCAGCCGGGGCGAAGGACGCGGAGAGGAAAAGGGGGAAGCGGCCGAGGAGAGGGTGCGGTTGAATGAGGGAACGAAGCCTGGAGGTGCAAGCGGACTCACACCAAGACGGGGTGATCCGGAGAGAGGGGTAGCCGTGGTCCTGAACGAGGCTGGCGAAGGTCTCCTGAGGATCGTCTGGCGGATAGCGGGAGGGGAGGCGTTATTACCACCTCCTTCTCGATAGCGCCAAAGCACGTCCAGCACGGCGTTCTCCAGGGACTGACCGGTCAAAGATGTCTCCTTTTTCAAAAGTTCTTCGAGTCTGTCTGTCTTGTCCTCCTCTTCTATGGCCGAGTCCTGGAGGACTGGCAGGCAGATCTCGTATGTCTCGTCGGAGACCATTGTGATGCGCTCGTGAGGGCTCTATCTTGGCGCAAGTTGTATGGGGGCTAATACTGGGGGGAGGAGGGTACTGGAATCGGTTCGAAAAGGTCGTCTCGAGATTCCGTAGATATTAACAGTAAGTGCCGAGGACTACAACAAGGCTGTCTCAGTCAGCCTCAAGTCGTTGTTGAGTGGTAGCTGAGGCCGCAGGGGGTGCCACCAGGGTTCGGGGGATTTCACGCAGCGAGCGAGAGACACACCGATCAGGATCAGGAAAGCCGATATTAGATTTGAGTCAAAAACACTGGCGGCGACGTTTTATTCGGGTGTGGGCGGAGCTGAGTCTATAAGACGGTGGTGGCTTGGGCGGGAGGAGGAGAGACAGGCCGGAGAGCATGATGCTATTTCAGAGCGTTGAAGTGCATTACGTATGCAGGCACCGGCGTCGTGTAACGATCAAGGCTGCGCCCTGCCCTGCTAAAGGTGCAAACGGACGGTGTGATCACAGAGAGGTACCCAGGTAATGCGCAGGCGGATGGAGGTTGCAGGCTGGGGGTGGGAGAGCGGGATAGGAGGCCGGCTCGGGCTGGAAGTGACACGAGCGATGCAGGCAGGCCGAGTACCTAGATAGATATAGCTTCGTGCTGACAAGGAGCTCTCCTGAGTCAGCCAGCACGGCACCGTGGGCGTGTTGGGGGCGGGATTATTCGAGGGTTGGCGAGGCCAGCGAAAGCCAAGGATATGCACAGGTAGAGATGCGCGATATTGGGAGGTGGTGTTTAGCAGTGATGGGTGGTGGGCGAGTGAGGACGGGTGACGGCTGAATGGGTGATACGACGTGATTGATCATGGGTTGCCGTCGGTCGGTCGAGCTGAGACGGGACGGGGAACGGGGGTGATGAGCTTTGGGGGGCTGCCACGGCTGCCTCATGGCCTCACAGCACCCTGACTGAGTGCCCGACCCCGTGGGCCTAGCCCAAGTGAGGTCTCATCCACCCAAAGAACCATGCTCATAGGATACCTGGTAGAAGGGAGAGGCCGAGAGAAGAGCGTGGGGTCTCAAGGGGGTTGCGGTGGACCATCCCTGTCGTTGTCGGCCGGTCCACGGATGACCTCTGCACGCCTGCGTGCCTGCTTAAGGTACGTACCGCTAGGCGCTGTCCAGCTTGCCTAGGTGCCCAGGTAGCGCCTCGAGCTGAATAGTAAACAACGATAGCCGATGCAACTGAGCTAGTACAGAAGCACTGTAAACGTAAACATAAATCCAGGAGCTCACCTTTAAAGATCAACCTAGCTCTTGGCCGCGTCGTATTAAGGGCAGCTGAGGTGTATCGTATGTGCGCTTGCGAGCATGCAATTCTGAACCAGCAGAGTACCTAGGTATGTCTTGAGGCTTCTATCGTTAGGGCTCTATCTATGGTGAGTGATACTGGGCTATCATTCACACTATCTCTCTTTTTCAGCAAACCTCGCTCCTATACAGTAGCAGAGACTCTTTTCGACTGCCTCTAAATTCATGGTATTTCCTCCTCGTCCCCGCCAAACCCAAACCCGAAGCTGAATCCTCCAGCCCCCGATGTCTGCTCTGTCTCTTCAACAGCAATGGCCTCGTCCCACTTCCTCTTCTTCTTGCTGTGCCTCTGTTCCATGTCGACCAAGGCTGCATCCAAGAGCTCTGGAAATTGTACCCTGAGACGGTCCACAAACAGGCTATAGGGATCGGCGACATCCCTCTTGAACCCCGTCACCTGGTCCGGCTTGTCCCTCAGAAACTCGAGGACGACAGCCAAATGTGATTTAGGTACAAAGTTCTGTGTGAGCGCAATCCCACTCTCAAGATTCACGACCAGATGCCACCATCCGCTCGGCACGTGGAGGATCTCGCCTTCCTTACAGATGCCTTCGATGCAGTTTGGTAGCTTTCGGGCTTCTTCGTGGAACTCTAGAAGCCACTCCGCGATGCTCAGAGGGCTTGTGACTTCACTTTGATCGGCCGAGACGAAAACACCAGGCACGTCCGTGGAAGGCGGAAACATGATCCACTGCAGTAACACAAGTTAGCAGATGTTTAAACAACACAAACGGTTCTTTCAATCCGGCCTGCGGTCACAGGAAGTTGCTCACATATTTTGCTCCTTGAAGCACCGCATTCCACGCCGATGTCCCGTTTGGGTCTTTGTGAAAAGTTGAGCCGGACCTTGCGGGCCCTACAATCAACCACCTGTGTGCTGGTCTTTCCGAATCCAGCACTTCGAAGAGGTCTGGACCAAAGCAGTCCGGTTTCCAATATGCTGCTCCCTCGACTTTTCCGATTGTGACATCCATCTTCTCGGCAAACTTCTTGTCGAATAGATAGAGGGGGCTCTCATCTTGGTTGTTCGACATGTACTGACAATATGTCGAGAAGGGCCAGTCCACTGCTTCTGCGCGGAATTCCACATCTGTGTACATCCTCGATAGCTGATTGATATTCCATTCTTTGCAGGCGGGCCACGAACGAATGCAATCTGTCAGAATGAAGGGCGTATCACTCCACTTATCCGCAAACTCTTCGTATTTCATGTTCGAAATCCGTTGGATCTCATTCGAGCCGGGGATCCTGGAGCAGAAACGGCCCAGAGCCACTTTGCTGCAAACAAATGGCCGGTGCAGGACATCAGAGAAGACAGTTCGACAATCAATCTTGGCCTCCTGGTCTGATGACAGTTCAAGCAAGGTTGATCTCCATGTCCCTTTCCACTGGAAAGGACGCCTTTTCTCTTCATGAGACCTAGAAAACCCGTCAATCAACCACTTGTTGCGGAATTATGCCCTTCAAAAAGCAGTAGTACCAAATCATTTGCCAAGTGTTATATGAGGGCCGGGGGGGGGGGGCGGCGAACAGATAAGCATGTCAAAGCCATGGCTTATGATGTGGTAGATGTGTGTCAGGAAATGCTTCCATTGCAAAGACAGCCCCGGCTCCTTGGCTCAGGGCGAAGTCAAAAAATGGCGTGTTTCGAAACATACAGAAAGTAACTGCCTTGAAACAAAATACATGTTCTCCAGCATCGAGCAGGAAACAAATGTCGCGCCCGATACGAACAGGAGGGGCTGTTCGCCAATGAAGTTTACCACCCGGCAAACAACAGTACAGGAATAAGGCATGACTGGTAAGGGGAGGTTACTTACTCCAGGAATAGAGTCTTCCAGAGATCGTCAGCATGGCAGAAAGCAAAAAGAAACCTGCAGGTGTAGCCTAGTGTGCGCAGAGACTGCTGTCCGAAATATTCGAACAGTTGGGCCAGCACCTCGTCCGGCAAGACCTGGAGGCGCCCTATCGAGCCTCGCGCGTTGACAGCGGACGATAGATACTGGTTCCCCAGGGGCTTGACTCCCAGAGGATGACTGGGAATCGGTGACTCAACGCTAGGTTGTTGCTCATCCATCCTGCCTTGGCCCAATGTGTCACCAGTGACTGCCGTGCCATTGTGGTTGCGAAGGACAATGTCCTGGTGCTCGAGGGCGGGAGCGGCTTTGAGGAGCATGGCCTCTGGTGTGGGAAGGCGGTGGGGTGATTCTGAAGACTGGAGATGCTGGGACTGTCAGGAGTAAGGCCACTTCACGTTGGCCCCGTTGATCCGCATTGAACTCCTGGTTTGTACAGGATGCAGAATGACAGAGCCAATTAGGCCCAAGGCAGCAGCGAAGGCAGCACGAGACTAGAGCCAGGGAAAAAGTGAGTCTTCATGAGTCTGATCAATCCACCTGGTTCCCTTGGTTGGCTTTTCCGGGCCCGAGCCTGGGAAAATTGAAGCGCATTGAGGCGGCCGAAGGACGAAGTGGGTGAATTACGGTGGTGCCCGTGCCCCACTAAAACTTTAGCGTGGCGAAAGGGAACAGGGCAACGAGGCACTTCAACTTTTTTCCACCTGCAGTTAAATTTTCTCTCCCAGGTCTGCTCTTACCCTACGACATCACCCATCCAGATACACCCAAACAGCAAACCTCCCCCTCCACAACTAGATTCACTTGCTCTCGACATACAGAGAGCATCAGATCTGGTTTTTCCTTTAGTCTCCAGACATCACGACCAGATTCCACAGCCCTCCGTGTGAGACCTGTGGATTTTCCCGACTCTCAACAACCCCCACCTTCGATTCTTTGATTCTAGGTCTCAAGCAGTGCTTGTGATCTAGATCCATAGCAACTACAAACCGCAATCATGGCTACCGACAAGGGACTCGAGGATGTCCCCGAGGGTAAGATCTCCCTTTCTCGCACCCTCCCCGCGCCTGAACGGTCCGACTCGTCGACATCGTCAGCTTCTGCGACCCCGCGCCAGAGGGCGGTCCACCCCCTGCGCCCACAGACTTTTCTGAAGCCGCATGGGAGCCTAGACCCGGGCACCACATCCAACCACCGAGACTGCGAGAACAAGATGGCTAACATGCGACGACGAACACAGGTCAGATCGAGTCCAACTATGACGAGACCGTCGACTCTTTCGATGAGATGGCACTCAAGTCTGAGTTGCTCCGAGGTGAGAAAATCTGCGCCGCCGACTGCCGCCGCAAAACACCGTTGGGCTAACGCGGGGATAAAGGCATCTACGCTTACGGTTTCGAGCGCCCCTCTGCCATCCAGCAGCGTGCTATCATGCCTGTCATCAAGGGTAAGATACACCTCACACCTCGCTGGGTGAACAAAAGCAGCTAATCATTTGCTGCTCAGGCCACGACGTTATCGCTCAGGCCCAGTCTGGTACCGGCAAGACCGCCACCTTCTCCATCTCGGTCCTCCAGAAGATCGACCCCAGCCTGAAGCAGTGCCAGGCCCTGATTCTCGCTCCTACCCGTGAGCTGGCCCAGCAGATCCAGAAGGTCGTCGTCGCCATCGGTGACTTCATGAACATTGAGTGCCACGCTTGCATTGGTGGCACCAGCGTCCGTGACGACATGAAGGCCCTGCAGGACGGCCCCCAGGTCGTCGTCGGTACCCCCGGACGTGTCCACGATATGATCCAGCGTCGCTTCCTCAAGACCGACGGCATGAAGATGTTCGTCCTCGACGAGGCCGATGAGATGCTTTCTGTAAGCCTTCAATGCAATTCCCAGGGTTTCGAGTTTCTTCTTCTAACATATCTCCCCAGCGTGGTTTCACCGAGCAAATCTACGACATCTTCCAGCTGCTGCCCCAGTCTACCCAGGTTGTCCTCCTGTCCGCCACCATGCCCCAGGATGTCCTTGAGGTTACCACCAAGTTCATGCGTGACCCCGTCCGGATTCTCGTCAAGAAGGACGAGCTTACCCTTGAGGGTATCAAGCAGTTCTACATCGCTGTGGAGAAGGAGGAGTGGAAGCTCGACACCCTCTCCGATTTGTACGAGACTGTGACCATCACCCAAGCTGTCATCTTCTGCAACACCCGCAGAAAGGTCGACTGGCTCACCGACAAGCTCACTGCCCGTGACTTCACCGTGTCTGCCATGCACGGTGACATGGACCAGGCTCAGCGTGACCTGATTATGAAGGAGTTCCGTTCCGGCTCCTCTCGTGTCCTGATCGCCACTGACCTGCTGGCCCGTGGTATCGATGTCCAGCAAGTCTCCCTGGTCATCAACTACGATCTCCCCGCCAACCGGGAGAACTACATCCACCGTATCGGTCGTGGTGGTCGTTTCGGCCGAAAGGGTGTCGCTATCAACTTTGTGACCGCCGACGACGTCCGCATGATGCGTGAGATTGAGCAATTCTACAGCACCCAGATCGAGGAAATGCCCATGAACGTTGCCGATCTCATCTAGACACACACCGAAGTCGAGTTCTATACTCTTTCCTCTACTACAGATATCAACTACGCCGCTTCGCATACGCTTGGATCTCAACAGGGTTCAGAGTGTTGAGTTGGTCATTAGAGGGGAAAGGGCTGCTTTGCCAGGGTTGACTGGCACGAGTGCAGCACAGGAAGGGGTTACGCAACAAAAGTAGTTCTGATTTCCTTAGGGGTGCGCGAATTCACTGATTGCTTTTCGATATCCGCGGGGAGGTTCTTGGCCTGGGCCTACCTAGAGGTATCTGGACGGATCTGCATGAAGTACTTTTCCGTTTTGTACTTATTGGTCCGGTTCTGCAATGAGATTGTCATTTAGAAACTTACCTCTTAACTCCACGGCCTGCGACCTCGGGATACCCTTTCGATCGAAAAGCTCCCATAGACCTGCTTTGGCAAACGAGTAAGCGTTTCCAGACGCTCCAGATAGACAGACGGGTAATGATAATGGACCATGACTAGACTTTTTGGACTTTTGTACCCATTGAATCTTATTCGTCCCCCCTAATGGGCACTCTGAAGTACATGTTGAAGGTGAATCTTGATCGAAGTGAGGCAAAGACGAAGCACGTTCCGGCAAGCCGGGGTGGGGCGACCGTTGTGCACGGGCCCAAGGTACCTAGCACCTTGACACCCACCCTGGATTGCCCAGACACCTGAGCAGTACTGAGTGCCGGAGTACCTAAAAAAAGCTCCAGCAATTGCCAATGGCACTAGCTACCTCGTCTCACCTAGCTAGTGGACACTGCCCATACTTTATTGTCTGACCTTGAATCAGGCGTCGTCGGGTCTTCAACAACCAACACAACCCGATCGCTCTACTTGAACCCTCATCAGTTGGGAACAGATTTGCAAAGCAGTCACAATGGATCGCAGTCTTGACGAAATTTTAGCCTCTCGTGACGAGGTATGCCTCTTCCCTGGCTGCTCCAGAACGATCTGTCCCTGTCGGACCTTCTCTGAGCTTACTTACTGATTTCTATTCAATTTACAGCGAAAGGGCAGCAGGCCTCGCGGTCGCGGTGGTCCTAGTGGCCAACGGCGAAGAGAGCCTCGTGAAGATTTTCCTCGTGATGGCGTCAGAAAGGTACGCAGCAGCTATCCAACTATGGTTGAATTGAAGCCTGACCAGAACCACGCCCGGCTCACAGGTGCCCTACCTCCTTCCCCTCCTCTGAAATACGCCTGCCCGCCTATTCATCACCTCACCTTCGGTCTTCGAATGTCGTTGCAGCTGTCTTAGCCATGCGCGAGGGTATCCCTCTGGTCAAAGGCTGAGGGAGTCAATTGGCACAAGGCAATCCGATCCGCAGAAGCTGACATTTCCCACCTACACGAAACAGTCCTACCGCGACGATGCTCCCAGAAATCTCGACTCGTACGTATTAGCTTGGAATGCGACACGGAAGAAATTTACAATTTCTAACGAGTTACTGCAGCGAATGGGTCCACGATAGATTTGAAGACAATGGTATTGATCTTGCGCACAGCTGTTCTCGACCCTAAGCACCAAGCTGACGGCCTCGCAGGACGCAGGCCACGCCAATCACGACGGGGTCCAGACCGAGACGAGACCGAGGACCTGTCGTAAGTGGAATATATGTCTTAGTGGGATGAGGAACCAACACGCTGATAAGAGGTATCAGTGAATTGAATGGAACAAAGATCCGCGTCGAGAATGTCCACTACGAACTCAGCCGGGAGGATTTGGTGGTATGTTATCCCCTTTGCGCAACCACTGTACAAAAAACTGACAACTTCAGGGGCTCTTCAATCAAATTGGACCAGTTCAAAAGCTCGACGTCGGCTACGACCGTGCTGGCCGTTCGACGGGCATAGCGTACGTTACTTACGATTCATACCAAGATGCTAGGGAGGCTATCCGGGAGTTTGACGGTGCCAATGCCCACGGGCAACCGATCCGCCTCTCGATTGTTCCTCCTCGCCGACAGCGCAACCCCTTCGACACCGCCGTTATGCCAGGCCGGCCACTTGCCGAGCGCGTCACCGTCCCGCCCGGGCGAAACCGCTCACTCTCGCCAGATAGAGATCTGGAAGATGAGGCTGCCCGCAAAGGCATCGACCGTTACGTACCCGGTGGACGGAACAACCGCTCTCGCAGTCCCATGCGGGGTAGGAGACGCGAGGGCGGGCGCCGTCCCGGCGCGCGACGTGGAGGCGGTGGTGGAGGCGGTGCAAGAGATGGTGGAGAGCGTGCAGGCAGAGATGGACGCCCTAAGAAGACCCAAGAGGAGCTGGATGCTGAGATGGAGGATTACTTCGGTGGTGGAGGTGGGGAGGCCCAGCCAGCGAGCAATGGCAACGGCCAAGCTGCTGCGGCCCAGGCCACAGAAGACGATATCGACATGATCGAGTGAGGAACATTTACAGTGGCCTTAAGGACGTTGGGAGGCTTGGTTTCATCAAAAGCCAGGCGTGCTGCCAACATTGCTGTACCAGCAATGTTATTGCGCGGCGCTTCAAAAAATACGAATTCTCGTCTAAATCAAGACGTTTGAACCTCTGTTCTGCCGCAGACATGCCTACCCAACCCGACTCGATCCGAACCGAACCACGCTTTTTGCTGTTAAATTTACAGAAGAGCCTCCCACGCCATGAGGAGAAACCAGCCAACTTGAGACAGAACAGAAGTCCCAAACCAGACCACCGATTATAACATAGTAGTATTCCAAACAAATCACGCACATCCTCAATTAAACAGTTCCAGCGTGACATCGCCGTGAATAGAAGCCTTCAACTCGATTTCGATTTCCAAGTTGAGCTTCAGCTCCACCGCGAGCGCGGCCTTCTTGCCCCCGGCCGGCAAGCTCGTCGCCGCCGCCGGGCCCCTGGGCACGAATTCCACCTCGGACCCTTCCTCTCCATCGTCGGCATCATGCTCCCCGTCATCCTCGTCTATCTTCCCAGCGACGACCGTCCGGGGCGCGCGGGGGACGATCGCCTGCGTCGGCTCGCGGGCCGGCTCGCGCACGACGGGCTTGCTGCGCCTCGACGCTGCCGGCGCGGGCGGCCTGGACGGCGTGCCGCGCCCGGATGCCGTCGTCGACGCCGGCGCGTAGGGCTTCCAGGGCCCCATGGCGGAGGACGCGGTGGAGGACGCGGTCGACGAGGAGGTGTAGGGGTCTTCTGCGCCGCTGGGGAGGTCGATCGCCGGCGGCGGCACGGCGCCCGCGCGCTGCCTCCTGGGCCGGGAGGACCTTACTGGCTGCGGCGGTGCTTTGTTGCGTTGCTGGCGGAGCGGCGAGGGCTGCCGCTGCGAGGGTGGCGTGGGCAGGTAGGAGTAGCTGTTTTGCCGGTACACGTTGTCCTCGCCGTCGGCGTCCTCGTAGCTTGGCGCTGATGAGCCTGTGGCTTGTGACGGCTGCTTTTTTGTGCTGCTCCTATTCGCCTTCGTCTTTAGGGGTCCCGGAGGTGGTCTTTTGATGGGTTGTTTATCGTCGTTGTGATTGTTTTTGTTATTGCGCCTTGCTGGTGCTTCATCCTCACTGTCCTCTTCTTCTTCTGATTCTTCTGAATCGCTTGACTCCTCCTCTGAAGATACCTCATCTTCGTCGTCATCCTCAACCGGTTGTTGTGGCCGTCTCCTCCTTGTGCGCTCGGAGTCTGGTCTCGCCGCCGGTGATGACGCGGGGGGTGTTGGGGCCATTTCCCCAGTATTCGTGTAAGTGGTCGTGAGGGTTCGGGGCACAGCATGTACATATACCTCAGTACATGTAGATGAGTCGATTGTGATGCAGATTCAGGCTTCAACTTATTCGTGCTATGGAGCCATCATTCGAATGGGTGATTAACTTGCGATGATCAAGAAGCGTAGTTGTTCGAAAACGGCAATCCCCAGGCTCTAATACCATCGCAGATCGACGGGATCTGCTTCCTTAAGGCTGCGTCCAAGGGACCTACAAGGGGGGGCAGGGGGAGGGGAGGGTTGAGCCAGTAGGGGGCGGCTGCTGCAGCGTACATGGATTGACGACGTGACCCAAAAACCGGCTTTGGGGTCGCCGCACCCGCAGGTCACGGACCGGGCAGGGCAGGGTGCGGCCGATGACATCGTTGCCAAACCTTGTTTCTCATAGACCACTTTCCATGTGCCTAGGAATAGTTACACGGCACGTGGTGTTGTCGCAGACACAACCCAGGCGTCCAGGTTCGCAGATGAGGGAGCCTCCTCACACGAGGTTTTCTCCATTGTCGGACATGCCTCGTCCCTGGATGACGCCGTTCCTGTTTTGATGTTATTGCCATGCGTTACTTAGTAGACTAAGTTGCTGTCTCCCGGTCGACAGGCTAATACATGGTGGCTGGCTGCTTGTGAACGCAACGGTCCTCGGGTGTCACCTTGGATGAAGGGACTTGTTCCTGACAGCTTCTGCATCGGTATCCCTTCCTCGACCGAATTTTGCCCGGTTTTGCAAACACCTGATTTGACTCGTGACTGGTGACGATCTCCCCGTTGGGACGAGGTTATGGCACTCTGCTACAGCTCTCCGCACCAAATTCCTGTTTGGACCCTGACTTCCTACCGGCGTTGGGCCGAACATCTCGTCGGCCTGGCTTGCCACACAGGTCCGAGAGTGGCCACGCAGTGCTACCGGGCATGCTTTAATGCCCGAGTGTCGCGGGGGAGGCAACTCGTCCCAATGGGATTCATTTGTGGTCTAAGAGGCGGTGGGCCGCTGTCGCCTTGCATGAATGATGTTCATGGCATCGTGGCAGCAGGATCACGCTGTACTACACACAATGGCCGGAGGACATCCGAAAACCTCCAGCCTAAGGCATCTCTAGGGTGTAGAGTTCATGATCGTCTTGTCGACACGAGGTTATTATGTGTTCCAAACTCGGGCATCCGGATTGCTTGGTCAGGCAATTCCTGCTCAGATCCGATGAAGGGATCAACGGGAAATGTATCTTCGGAACTTCGAGGTCCTTAAGTTGCTGGGTGAACTTGGTTTTCGTGTGCTCAGTTCTTGGTTGCCGAGATTCGTTATATTTCTCGTCATGTTCCCTGCAGGCGCCTTTTTCCAAGGAATGAAGCCCTCGGAAGTTGCTCACTTATCAGAATTCACATTCACAACAACTGTCTAGCCCCTGACCAAGGACGTTATGTGATATTTCCACTGAGATTGCTCATCAGACATTACGCCGTCAGGACGTTACTCGACTGCTGGTCGTCCTGGAGTATAATGCCATATAGCTGAGGGACCGTTCGTAGATCACTCTGTACAACCAATGTATTCGCTGCAAGGTGTGCGTGGACACCCTAAGATTCTGTTTTCAAATATCAGGACATTTCAGCAGGATGAATCTCGCACACAGTTAGTCAATGCTTCCAAAGCCTTGCGATCAGCTGTTGCATAGACTCTCAAGTTTCCTTCGCAAACAGTACGTAGATATAAGCTTGCGAAGTTGGTCTTTCATCAGTGTAGGCCACGCTTGGAAGAAGAACGGTCATTCCGAAACCTTTCTCAGTCCATCTTTTTCCTCCTCTTTTCCATGCCCTCCGCCATCGCAGCAGCCACATCCTCTGCCGTTCGCCCTCTCTTCCTCTGGCCAACTTTCTCCTGCCCCAGGACTGTATCCTGAGCGACAGCCTGGAAGACCCCAGCTGCCCCCTTGAAGAGGTAGTCCTCGAAACCACCCTCCTCAGCATGCGTCTTGGCAATCTCCTCCATCTCCCTCACCCACCTGTACGCTTTCGGCGGCATCCCCGTCAGTGCATTCTCCGTCTGCTTCACCCGCCCGGGCGCCGTATCCTGCAGCGCCTCGCGCAGCGGTTCCAGCACACCCATCCTCTGTGCAGTGGTGAAGGACTGTATCGCGATGGCAGCGTAGCCCTTCGAGAGCGACGCGTAGCACATCTTCAGCCCTGAGCTGGCGCCTATATCGGGCGATATGTGTTTCACATTCAGGGTCTCAGCCAACCTGGCCCCGTATCCGGGAATCTCAGCGATCTGAACCGGGCCTGATGTTGGCATGAGCGGCATGTCCCAATCACCGCCGGCCGATGCGCTGGTGCCACCACTGGGCGTAGAATCTGTCTCTTTCGGCTTCGGCGGCCCTCCCAGGATCGAGCCATCGATCAGGGTGATGGGCACCTGAGCCCTATTGATGTTCTTGGCCATTGCCTTAATGGTGCTGGGCGCTACCGCGTTCATGTCGGCAAAGTACAGCTGCCCCTTGGTAACGAACTGCATGGCGTCGATAATCCGCTGGGCGGTGCCCTCGGCGTCGCGAGGCGGCACGACGGAGAGTATCACGTCGCATTCCTTGACGAGGTCCGTGTCGGACGACAGGTTGGTGACGCTGGCGGCCTGCACCCTTTCCAGCGTCTCTTTGCTTCTGCCAGACCCGTTCGTGGCGACCGAGAAGCCCTTGGCCACGAGCAGCTTGGCAATCCCCATACCCATATCTCCAACAGAGAGGATGCCGACAGTTGCGAGTTTAGACGACGCCATTGCGGTTGAAATTCCTACAGGCTCCGGGCCTTTCTTTTCACTGAGCTCCGCGAGATGAACACGACACTAATGATCAGATACCAACAGAGAGAGACCGGCTACGTTTCTCCGGCGAGATGGTATTCTCCTCTCGTTCACCGGGATCCGTCCTTGGTGACTCAGTTGAGGGATGGAAAGGTCTGCGCTGATCCTTATTGCTTGCAATAGAATGGACGAGATGCCAGCATTAAATAGGATGGGTGACATCCTCGTGGATTACAAATCGCATTGCGATACTGCCCCAAAATGTTAATCTGAGGGAGCTTGTATATGATTACATAAGATTCCCGCCTACTCCAGGTTGTAGGCCCCCTGACCACAGACTGCAACAGTTCATCCTCCCTGCAACCTTCAGCACCCCATTTTTGTGAGTCATTACTGCTTTTCTCGGTGTTGATACAATCTCACGAATGGACGGTAGGCTGCCTCGGAGCCCTTGACTGTTGTCATGCTCACCGATGCGCCAGGGACATCAATCTTGGTATTTGGGCCGATCTCACCGGATGACACGTAAATGCCCTCTGCGCTATGTGCTCCAAAATGATCGAAATAGAGCTGTTCAGTGTGACCTCGATCAACTCGCCGACTCATGATGATGCTGTCAGGTCGGTCAATATCCCCCATGTGCATGTCCCCACAACCGAACTTCACCGGGGGGTAGTCTGATCGTGCCTTGAGATGGTGATGCCTCTCTGGAGGCATCTGTTTGCCATCTCTCTCTACGAAGAACTGCACAAAGTCCCCGGGCTGCGCGATGGAATCCTTGGCGTTTTCTTCGCCGTGGAAGGATCTCATGAACTTGTCCAGCTCATCCGCCTCGGACTGCGGAGTGTGACTGGTCTTAGGATCCAGGGACAGAAGACTGGCTTTGGCACCCCATTCACCACCGCCGCCCACTGTGAAAATGAAGAAATTGTGTCAGACATCAGGTTTCCATCTCTGTGCCCCGTGTTTCATATTCGAAATGCCTTCGACCGACCGAATTCGAGGTCGCTCTGTTAATGGAGATGATTTTACTCACGTATCTTATGTAGTCGGGCACCTTCAAAAAAGGCGTTCCGGAGAACAGTCTCGTTTTCCCAAGCTAAACGCTCACTGTCGGTTGACATCTCAAAGGCCAGTTTGCCCAACGCCGATCCCAGATAACGACCCTGTAATGAACGATAAAACCTGTGAATGTCTTCTTGAGGTAAGAACATGTGTTTGGGATATATCATAGCCCACACGCCAATGGGCCCAGAAACGGATTGAGAATGAGGCAAGGCACGGCGAGCGTCTAACAAGCGATGGATATTGGTCTGTAGCTCCATAGAGGCAGGTTGCGGCTCTCCGGCGACTTCAACCTTTGCAAGGATATTTCCCAGTCCCTCCAGGATCTTCCGTGGCTGCGTTATGGGCACTAAGGGTGCCCGCATGTCAACTTTGTCAAACAATATCGAAGCCGGAAGGTCAATGACCTGGGTGCGTTTCTCAACGGTCCTGACCGTCTCGGCGCGAGTGTTGGAAAAACCTGTTGCAAGTGTCCACTCGGATGCCAGAAGCGTTGACCTTCTGCCATTGGAGAATAGTGTATTCGCAAGCGGCAACGTCACTGATATCCTAGCGTCTTTGCGAGTCATCTTTTGTGGGAGCAATATTGACAGATTTGACGGTAGTTCTGAGTCTCCCAGCGAGCGGGACAGCGATTGTGCTTCATCCGCGGGGCTCGTGGTGTCCCACAAACCAGGAAGCAGGCCATCTAGGCGCCCAACATGGATCGAGATGCCCTCCTGAAGCTCACGGCTGGGTGATCGAGCGCAGAGTCCATCGACCACTGCAGCCAGCAAGTGAAATTTTTCGTCTTGCTCAAATGGCCCGTGAAGTGCGTGGACCAGTTCAGCAGTGAAGCCGTTCTCGGTCAGCCACGAGGCATGCCTGGGACTTGCAAGGACAACAGCTGCCCGCTCTGGTTGGCCCGGTTCGGAAGGGCCAACGGAAAGTTTGCTGCGGATTTTCTCCAGAACAGATCTCTACAAGTGTGATTAGCAGTCATACGGCTAAACAAGCCAAATGCCAAAGGAGGATACTGCTAATGAGCATGACAGTACCTTTGTAGCACGGGGTTGAGTGAATATTGTCAATTTATCCGAGGGCCGTTTATGCCTTGGCTGTTCAGGAGCTATTGGAACATCGGCGGCACTGCTCTGAGCTCGGATACCGACCTTGACGATCCTGGTGGAAGGCGACTTGGATATCGCCGTCAAGTGCACCCGGAATGCAGATGGGACCGGCGACGCCCTCATCGTGAGCACCCAAGACTGGCCGCAGTTTTATGTGGTCCAGCAGAGAGGGAAGCGGCAGGCTATGGCATTTCTCATGGGAAAAGTGAGATATACAACACGATAATGAGAATTTGTGAAGTGTCTCATGGAAGTTGAAGTCATTGAAGTCGGTTGAGCAAGGGTTCTCAAATTAAGGGTTTTGCTTCTAGAAGGCCAACCCTCCCCCCCCCCCAGAGCCTTGGAGTCAGCCCGAGCTACCCCTCCATCTTCTCTCCCATCCAAAAGTAGGTCGCGTTTTGACATCCTTCGCCGGTGAGTCAAGGAATTTTAGACGGGCTCAACAACAAGCCTGACTCACTCTTTTCCTCTCGCAACAAATATCTACAAATTGATCTCGCCACGCTGTCGCGTCCAATTTTTCGTGCACTTCTGGTGCACTCGTCAGTACTGCGGCGATATCCTTCAAGCTTCCCACGTGCGACAATGGCTACCAATTCTGGTCGCGGCAACCCGTAAGTCCACACGCCCTGTAATTCCAGAGTCAAGACTCTCTTGTGGCCGATCAACAGACGAATGGAAATGCCCAATCGTTTGATATACTGACATTGCGCTGTCTAAGAATTGCTGCTCCTGACGGTCCAAAGGTCGACACCCAAACACCTCCCCCCGTCGCAGAAGAAGCGAAGGCCACAATCCAGACGACACCTTCCAGTGGCGCCACGGGAACGCATGCCGCCGGCCAGGATGCCGGCGCAGCTTCAATGGAGGGCACCGGCAAGGTGAAATCCGCCAAGGAGCTCGAGAAGGAGCGCAAGAAGGCCGAGAAGCTCGCAAAGTTTCAGGCCAAGAACGCTGCTAAGCAGGCTCCGCCAGCCGAAGCAACCACCAAGCAGAAAGAAAAGAAGGCCAAGGCTGCCGAGGAGGCTATACCAGCGTATGTCGAGATTACGCCCCTCGGTCAGAAGAAACGGCTCAGGCCCTTAGATGATGTTCACTACAAGGCCTACAATCCTGTTGCTGTCGAGAGCGCATGGTACGAATGGTGGGAGAAGGAGGGCTTCTTCAAGCCTGAGTTCACCGAGACTGGCGATGTCAAGCCTAATGGCGCCTTCACGGTCGTCATACCTCCTCCGAATTGCACAGGCAGTTTGCACATGGGTCACGCCCTGGGCAACAGTCTCGAAGACATCATGAGCAGATGGCAGAGAATGCTTGGCAAGACCACCCTGTTCCTGCCTGGCTGTGATCACGCCGGTATCGCCACCCAGAGTGTCGTGGAAAAAATGCTCTGGAGGAGGAAACAACAGACTCGCCACGACTTGGGTAGAGAGAAGTTTCTGGATCTCGTCTGGGAATGGAAGCAGGAGTACCACGACAAGATTAACAATGCGGAGCGAAAAATGGGTATATCCGTGGATTGGTCAAGAGAGGCCTTTACCATGGACAAGAACCTGTCTGCAGCCGTCGCTGAGAACTTTGTGCGCCTTCACGAAGAGGGAATCATCTACAGGGCAAACCGACTTGTCAACTGGGACTGCAATTTGACAACCGCCTTGTCAAACTTGGAGGTCGACCAGAAGGAGCTTACGGGCAGGACTCTGCTAGACGTGCCAGGATACGATAAGAAGGTCGAGTTTGGGTAAGCAAACTTCACGTGTCGCCAGAGAGTTTGGAAGAGTGCAGCTGACTCAGTCTTTTGTAGTGTCATTGTTCACTTCAAGTATCCCATCGAGGGCTCAGATGAAACAATTGAGGTGGCTACGACCCGTATTGAGACGATGCTCGGCGACACTGGCATTGCGGTCAACCCTAAGGATAGCCGGTACACCAATTTCGTCGGCAAGTTTGCCACTCATCCCTTCATTGAGGGCCGACGGCTGCCCATCGTGGCTGATGAGTATGTCGACATTGAATTTGGTACCGGAGCTGTGAAGTTGACACCGGGACATGATCCCAATGATTTCAACCTGGGTAAGGCTCACAACTTGGAGTTTATCAACATCTTCACCGACGACGGCCTGCTCAACGAAAATGCTGGCCCATACGCCGGCCAGAAGCGTTTCGACGTGCGGTACTCGATTCAAGATGCCCTGAAGGCCAAGGGATTGTATGTCGACAAGAAGGACAACCCGATGAAGGTGCCTCTGTCTGAACGAACGAAGGATGTCATTGAGCCGATCATGAAGCCGCAATGGTGGATGTCGATGCGGGATATGGCCGATGAGGCCGTCAAAGTCGTTCAGAACAACGAAATCAAGATCAAGCCGGAGTCAGCGGAGAAGAACTTCTACAGATGGATGGAAAACATCCAGGACTGGTGCATCTCAAGACAACTCTGGTGGGGGCACCAATGCCCCGTCTGGTTCGCAACGGTTGAGGGCGAAGAGAAGGACACATCGAACAACGACCGATGGTTCAGCGGGAGGACGCAAGAGGAGGCAGAAGCCAAGGCCAAGAAGGCACTGGCTGGCAAGAAATACACACTCGAGCGCGACCCCGATGTCTTGGACACCTGGTTTAGCAGCGGTCTTTGGCCCTTCTCAACGTTGGGCTGGCCAAATACCGAAGCGGAAGACTACAAGAAACTGTACCCCACGTCAATCCTTGAGACTGGCTGGGATATTCTCTTCTTCTGGGTGGCTCGAATGATCATGCTTGGCAAGAAACTGACAGGAGACGTGCCTTTCAGAGAGGTTTACTGTCACAGCTTGATCCGTGACAGCGATGGGCGAAAGATGAGCAAGAGCTTGGGCAACGTCATTGATCCGCTTGATGTGATCAGTGGTATCGATCTCGAGGCCCTCCATGCCAAGCTTCTCACTGGCAATCTCGCGCCTACAGAAGTGAAGAAGGCCACGGCCTATCAGAAGAAGGCTTTCCCCAAGGGCATACCTGAGTAAGTTGAACATATCGATGATCTTCCGCTTGATAGTACTCACCAGATATTTAGGTGTGGCGCAGATGCCTTGAGGATGTGCTTAGCAGCATATACAACTGGTGGTGGTGATATCAATTTCGACGTGCAGGTGATGCAGATGTACCGAAGATTCGCCAACAAGATGTACCAGGCAACGAAATACGTCATCGGAAAAATCGACACCGTCGAGGGATTTGTCCCCGCAAAGACCCGGACACTGCAGGGTAAAGAGTCTCTATCTGAGCTTTGGATTCTTAGCAAGATGAACGCTGCGTCCAAGACTATCAACGAAGCCCTGGAGGAGCGTGAGTTCATGAGGGCTGCCAACGCGGTGTACCACTACATTTATGCCAACCTCTGTGACGTCTACATCGAGAACTCGAAAGGCTTGATTCAAGACGGCACAAAGGAACAGGCCGAATCCGCGCTGCAAACCCTTTACTCCTCTCTGGAGGCTGGCCTACTGTTGATACACCCATTCATGCCTTTTGTGACCGAGGAGTTGTGGCAACGCTTGCCAAGGCGTCCTGATGACAAGACCAAGTCTGTCATGCTAGCACAATACCCTGTCCACCAGCCAGAGTTGGACCAGCCGGCCGCCGAGAAGGCGTACGAGCTGGTTCTGAACAGCTCCACCGGTATCCGCTCCCTCATGTCCGAGAACGCGCTCAAGGACGAGGCCAAGATCTTTATCCAAGCTTATGACGCCGAGTCGCACAAGATCGTCACCGAGCAGGTCGGCAGCATCCGGGCACTTTCAGGCAAGGGCGTTGGCAGCATCAGCATCGTCGCGTCCGACGAGCCTCGCCCTGCCGGCTGCGTCGCCTACCCAATTGGCGCGAGCGCGGCTGTCTTCTTGGCCATCAAGGGCCGCGTGGACCTGGACGAGGCGATCCAGAGCGCGACCAAGAAGCTAGAGAGGAAGAAGGGCGACGCCGACAAGCAGCGCAAGCTGGTTAATGACCCGGCTTACGTCGAGAAGGTGGCGGTTGCGACGCAGGAGGCGGACAGGCAAAAGCTGAAGGATATGGAGGGCGAGCTCAAGGGCTTCGAGACCACGATCGAGCAGCTGAAGCAATTGAAGCTGGAGTAAAGAGGGAAATCGGTGGAAATTTGGACTGCTCTTCAAGTTCGACGATGGAAGCGGTTCTGGTGTAACCTTTTGATAGAACACAGAGGGCCTAGACGACGAGATAAAAGAACAAGTGTAGCGCTACTAGATCATGGCCATACAACGCCTGATTCTATAGATCGATGGGAGTAAGAACCAACTTTGCTTTGAGAGAACCGAGTTCGAGACTTTGACAGCTGCAAGTCTACTCTAAAATATTGCTGCGATTTTAAGCTTAGCGTTGAGTGTTCGAGAAAATCACATTGTCTGGAACAATCGCCTATTCCCCTTTGCTAGATGTCAAAACAGCAGTGCAACAAGAATCAATGCCTTATGTTTGCTCGGTTGCATAACCGGTACAGGTGTTGGATATCTCTATCCTTTCGAGAGCCAAAGGTGACAAACTGCTTTTAAGGCCGGGAAAAAGTCGCGGAAATTCTAGCCAAGGGGTATTGAAGGCGCAGGCCGCAGCTGAGGCGGTCAGCAGATGAATATTTTAGCCAGTTGTATAGAAAACTTTATGTGCGAGACCTAACGTGATAATCGCCTTTGAAGACATGACGCCTGAGGTCGAGCCATGTTGACACGGGAAAGCACCGACAATGGTAGATGAGTCGATCACAGGATAATTACGTTGCCAAAGAGCATTCTGTACAGATATTGAGCAGGATAACAGTCAGGCAGTACATGCCATCGATATTGGTGTACTAACGTATACACATTCGTTGTGACCCTCGCATCGCTATTAAAATAGAGCGGAGAGCGGCGTCACAATTGTTGTCATCTTGAGGACAGAGCCTCAGCAACATCCTCACTAGGCCGTGTCTTTACAGATGCATCGTCACCTCTCTAAAGGTGGTCTTTCGAAATACATGTTTAGTCATAGCCCATTCCGAGTCTCTCTAACATCTGCGCATCTGGCTTCGATCCGAAACATGCGATCTAGGCACCCCATCCATTCTGAGCCAGCCAGGTTGCCACATCGGAGCGGTCCCTCTCCAGCCATTGGATCTTGGACCTTACACCATCTAGACTCTGGGCCAGAGACTGATCGTATCCATTGGTGTTCTTGTCTTTGAAAAACTTTTCAACCTCGGCCAGCTGCTCCGGCTTTGTGAAGCTGGAGGTCATGATCTGGACCATAGAGCCCAGCATGGAGAGCGCAGGAGGCAGGCGCTTGTAGAGCTCGTCCCAGTTATCATTCATCCATTTGAAGAGTGCGTTAATACCCTCGGGATGGCTGCGCAGCCCGCTGGTGGGGAGATAGATGTCCTGGTCCTTGATCTCACCGCTAAAGAGGAGGTCCAGGGTTCTTTGGATGAGTTCCGGCTGCTTGGCGCGTCCGAGGGAGCGCAGCGCCGTATTGCGCTCGTCACTGTTGGTGGACTTGCGATAGAAGTCGATAATTTTATCGTACTGTGCACAGAGTTAGTATGGAAGATACCAGTATCTTGGAAAGGAACGACGTACCTCATCTTTGCCACCGTACTTCAGAGCCATGGCGAAAACGCTGCCACGAATGTTTGGGTGGATGGCACTCTTGTCACCAGCCATGTACTTGCCAAACATGTCCTTGGCGGCACTGATGATCTTTTCGTCTCCAGACAAGCCAGCACTTCCAAACAGCAAGGCCTTGAACTGCTGATCGACATGTCCATCATTTTCGGAGAAAGTCCAGCCCTTCGCGTGAGCCTTAGAGCTCACAAGGGACCGCTGGAAGTTCTCCAATCCCTCTCTCACACTTTCATCCTCAAAAATCCAAGCAGCCTGCACAGCGCTCAAACGGGCCACGATCTCGCCCCAAACGACGAATTCCGTCTCGGTGTCAAAGCCGTTGAGCAAGCTCAGAACACCAGAAGTCTTCTGGTAGCCTGACTGTGCAAGCGCTCCCGCGTCGGCGATCATGCCTGCCCGATCCTCGACACTCACGAGGCCCTTCTTGGCTGCATCTCCCAATTTTGCAAGACGCTCAGGGGAGTAGGAGGTTCGGTAGGGGTTGGTGTGATCAGCATTCAGCTTGTAGAAGTCCGTATTTGGGACGTAAAAGTCTGCTTCGCGCTGATTAAGAATCAGACCCCTGTTGACGCCATCCTCGGTCCGAAGACCAAGGAGAACGGGATATAGTGTCTCATCTTCCTCGGGCTTCACATCACCAGTCCGCAAGAAACGGTTCTGCTTGACGTGAATCTTATCTGGGCCGCTTTCGGAGACAGTCACAACTGGAAACCCGATCTTCTTCGTCCAGGTATCCATGACTTCCTCAACTTCTTTACCGCTGGCCTCAGCGAGAGAAGCCCAAAGATCACCAGTCTGTGTGTTGCCGTAGGCATGTTTCTTGAGATATTTCCTTACACCCTCGAGAAAAACATCCTCACCGAGATAAGTAGAGACCATGCGAAGGACACAGGAGCCCTTCATATAAGAAATTGCATCGAAGATCTGGTTGATCTCGTCAGCCCGCTTAACAGGGACCTCTATAGGGTGACTGCTTCGGAGAGAGTCCAGAGACAGGCCGCCCTGGAGGGTGTCTGTGACGAAAGTTTGCCACACATTCCACTCTGGGTAGAACTCGTTACAGCTGTACCAAGATGCCCAGGTAGCGAAACCCTCGTTGAGCCAGAGGCCCTCCCACCAATCCATTGTGACAAGGTTACCAAACCATTGGTGCGCAAGCTCGTGCTGCACGACCTCGGCGACTCGCTCCTTCGTAGCGGCACCACTGGCCTTCTCGTCGAGGAGAAGGTCGACAACGCGGTAGGTGACCAGACCCCAGTTCTCCATGGCTCCCTGCGCAAAGTCCGGGATTGCGACCTGGTCCATCTTTGGCAACGGAAACTCGATGCCGAAGACCTTTTCATAGAATGCCAATGTCTTGGCCGCCAAGTTGAGAGAGAAACGCCCGTGCTCGATGTCCTGACCTGGAGGTGCGTAGACACGAACAGGAACACGGAAGTCATTAGTTTCGATGTAGTTGAGCTCACCAACAATGAATGCGATTAGATACGTCGACATGAGAGGGGACTTGTTGAACTTGACAGCCTTCTTGCCAGACTGGACCTCAGTCTCCGATGCAACATCCATGTTGCTCAAGCAAGTCAGGTTCTTGTCGGCGACCAGGGTCACGGTGAATTCTGCCTTGAGTGACGGCTCGTCGAAGCAGGGGAACGACCTCCGTGCGTCAGTGGGCTCCATCTGGGATGTTGCCAGAACGCCTTCAGTACCATCGGCCTTCTTGTATGTTGAGCGGTAGAAGCCTGCCATCTTGTCATTGAGCTGGCCGGTGAACTTGATTTCCACCTGGGCCTTGCTGCCCTTGAGTATAGCATCGGAGAAGTCGATCTTGGAGACTTGGGTCTTCTCGTCGTACGAAACTTTGGGTGAAGAACTATGGTGACCAGTGAGCACGGATTCGATTCGCGACAGGGGCTCAACGGCCAAGCAGCATACCTAATAACCTTGCCGTCCGAGGAGATCTTGACGGAGTGGATGTCGAGCTCGAGTGTGTGCAGCGAGATGGACTTTGAGTCCTCGGCCACATCAAGGTCCACCACGACAGTACCATCAAAGGTGAAATTGGTAAAGTTGGGCTCCAGGGTCAGGTCATAGTGCCTCGGGACGACATTGGTGGGGAGGAGCTCTCTGCCGTTCACGTTGAGCGAGCTCGAGCCCTCGGTTGCGCCGGCGTGCCTGCACATGTTGTTTCTTCTGAATGAACAGTGACGAAGTTGAGGCCTATTGCGGGTGGGTATTCTCCGGGCACGAGGCAGTGGGAAGTTGTCTGAAGTCGAAGTCTTGATTATGGAATATAGCCTCTTGTTGAGGGGTGGAGGGGTTGCACCTCTGGCGGCTGGAGTCAGTGACGTTTCACGGTCTAGAATGGGATGAAATGTGGGTAACAAGACAGGCCCCTTCCAGCAAGCGGGAATAAACCTCGGTTGCTCTGGTCGCTTGGAGATGAAGGCGTTTTACGTTTGCGCTCAACAGACAGAGAGAAAGGCCAGCGTCCTTCAGGTGAGGGGATTTAAGAAGGCACGTACGATGGTCTAAAAGAGGATGGCGGCTGCAGTGTCCAGGGCAACCTCGAGGGCAGCAACAGAGCAGAGGCGCTTGCGGATCTCGAAGTCAAAAGTCTCTGCGAAGCGGCTGATCTCAGCGATGAGGAGAGAGCTAGAGACATGACCCAGAGACCAACCAGAAGACGAGCGAGGCTGCAGAGAGGATTAAATGATGGACTATTAGCTCGAGCCCTCTGTCTTTTCTCCTCACTCGCCGTTCCGCGCGTAGCCGACTGTCGATTGGGGAATTTTGATCTGGTGGTCCTGGTAGTCCAGTAGGTCGTTTGCTCTAGTCTTCAGATGTTGCTCTCGCCGTTTGTTAGGCGCCAGCGGCAGGCAGGGGGAGTTCACCCTGGTGACCGTTGGGCCTGCCGATTGCTGGTCAAGTAACGCCGGCCGGACAATACGGCCCTGGGCCCTTGCGAGCTCCCCTCGACCTTCCATCCATGTCGGCCCCAGCTTCAGTGGTCCCTTCTGTCATTATCATTTGATCCGTTGATTGTTGCAGATGCAGCCCCGCCAAAGCTTCCCACGCCTCTCAGAAGCTGCTACCACTTGCTAGAGACAGACTGACAGCCTGACAGCCTGACAGCCAGCTCATGCTTGTCGCATTGACCTGTGCAGGACCAAACGGGCCCGGGCCGTGACGGGCAATTGTCTGCGCCATAGCAACACGGAAAACTAAGACACCGTCTGAGCTGGTAGGCACGGTGGTGTTCCAGAAGCCCTGCTCGCCAAGTCGCGGCATGGCGGCTCCAACTCGGTGATTCAGCGGTGATACCTATGCCACGCGTTGGCTGAAGTCAGAACCCAGCACAGTCCATTGAGTAGACTTTGCACTACTTCGCTCGTCCTGTGTCAAGTGAGGCCACTGCCGACACAGACAGGCAGATAGGTCTCCCTTCCATTCTAGCCTGAAAGAGCTCTTCGTGAATAATGGCATCCCAACGGCGTCGAGGTTTTGGAGCGGTCCAAGCTCCTGGATTTTACCGTATTGGCGGAGGAGGGGGCATGGCGCCCATCGCATTGCATCTGTCACAACGGATGGGAGTCGAGGCCAGACCGGCTGTTCATAAAGGTGCAATACACCTCCGTCATGAACTGACGCAGGTGGTGTTGTCAGAAAAAGAGGAGAGCAGACAGCCGCATCGATCCCGAATTAGAATTTAGGCGAGCAAAGCAACGCAATCACGCCAACGCCATGTTAGACCGGCCAAGCAACGGATACTCCACTGGGTAATGATGTGATGTTTTGTCTCGGTCCAAGCCGCACTGACTTTGAATCCACACGTGGTGGTGTTGTTGGATCAAGATTTTGCGACGCCTGGGCTGCAAGCGGCACTCGAGACGAGAGGGCAGCCCGAGGGAATTTCTGGGACTTCTGGTCTGGGTGTCAGGGGCTCCGACAGCGGGTCTGCGAGCGACAAGGCGCGCAAGCTGACGATGGCGGCTCAGAAACATGAGATGTTGGCTGGGGTGATGTGAGCTTCCGGCGGTCCGGTCAAGCGTCGCGGAGCCCAGGATGAAAAATATCGCCCACGGAAGATGTCCTTGGCCGTGCTCAACCCTCAAGGCTCAGGTGAGGTGAGAACTCAGAAGTGAGCAGGCCCTGGCAGTACGAGTCTCCAGTACTGCCCGAAGCTGCAGCTGCAGCAGCAGCAGTAGCAGCAGTAGCAGCAGCAACGACAACAACGATGAGGCTGCTTGGTGGCCCACTCCCTGCCCTGCCGCAGCTATAAGCTGTGCCAATTGGCGGCGGGCCCCCTGCTTCCTACAGGAGAGATGCTGAGGTGGTACTGTAGGTGTGTTCGGGTGGGTACTGTGCAGCGATCCTATGCTTCTCAGGCTTTCCAAGGTTGTCTTGCAAGGTTCTAATGCAGGCCTACGTCGGTATGCACGGTACTGTATGCGTGTGTGGCTACCCTACTGTATGTACTACTAGTCAGCCCCTTGAGAGATGAGATCACCCCACTACCGCTCTGAAGCTGGACCCCTCCATCTCATCCCACCAAGACCCTAGACTCCCAGCTTGCCCGACAGCAACCCCGCCGAGAGCTTTTTAAAACGTTGAGGCTCCCTGCTTCCAACTCTCTCACCTTCTCGCCTTTCTGTCTCATTCTCAAATCCCTCAAACCACTGTCATCGTGAAGCTCGACGTAGTCATTTTCACCCCAGGTATGCCTCCTCCAATGCTTCCCCTTGAGCTCTTCCAGCTCCCCAGAGCTTCCCCTGCCTCGTCTTGCGTCACATCACCGAGCTCCTTCTGAGGCATTATCACCCGCTGCCTGTGAGGAGTCATGCTGGCTTCCTCAGAGTGAGCAACAGTCACCTCGGTGGGGCTGTCCCCCTTCCCTCAACCAGGAGTCTTGATGCTACTGTTTGATGAAGCCAATGGCTGGCTTGGCTTTCTCTCGAACACCAACTCAGACCCATTAGCTTCGGGGATTACCAACACGGGCATCACTGCGAAAACCATCCCTCGGGCACCTCACCATAGTGGCTATAAGAAAAGGCCAACACCCACACACGACTGGTCCACTGACGATTGTAACGCTTAGAAACACACATCCAACATGGGTATCTCCAAGATCCACGCTCGCTACGTCTACGACTCCCGTGGCAACCCCACCGTTGAGGTTGACGTTGTCACCGAGACCGGCCTCCACCGTGCCATTGTTCCCTCCGGTGCCTCGACCGGTTAGTTCACACCTGCAACAGGTCTTTTGCGGCGGTCAGTGCTGATACATTCTCTCACATCCAGGTCAGCATGAGGCTTGCGAGCTCCGTGATGGTGACAAGTCCAAGTGGGGCGGCAAGGGTGTCCTGAAGGCTGTCGAGAACGTCAACACAGTCATCGCCCCCGAGCTGATCAAGGCTGGCCTGGACGTCAAGGACCAGACCGCCGTCGACAACTTCCTGGTCAAGCTGGATGGCACCCCCAACAAGACCAAGCTGGGCGCCAACGCCATCCTCGGTGTCTCCCTGGCTGTTGCCAAGGCCGGTGCCGCTGAGAAGGGCGTCCCTCTGTACGCCCACGTCTCCGACCTTGCCGGAACCAAGAAGCCCTACGTCCTGCCTGTTCCCTTCATGAACGTCCTGAATGGTGGCTCCCACGCTGGTGGTCGTCTGGCCTTCCAGGAGTTCATGATCGTTCCCTCTGACGCTCCTTCCTTCACCGAGGCCCTGCGCTGGGGCGCTGAGGTCTACCAGCAGCTCAAGAGCCTGGCCAAGAAGAAGTACGGCCAGTCTGCCGGCAACGTCGGAGACGAGGGTGGTGTTGCTCCCGATATCCAGACCGCCGAGGAGGCCCTTGAGCTCATCACCGACGCCATTGAGAAGGCTGGCTACACTGGCAAGATGAACATTGCCATGGATGTTGCCTCATCCGAGTTCTACAAGGTCGACGAGAAGAAGTACGACCTGGACTTCAAGAACCCCGACTCTGATCCCACCAAGTGGATCACATACGAGCAGCTGGCCGCCCTCTACGGTGATCTCTCCAAGAAGTACCCCATCGTCTCCATCGAGGACCCCTTCGCCGAGGATGACTGGGAGGCCTGGAGCTACTTCTACAAGACCCAGAACATCCAGATCGTCGGTGATGACTTGACCGTCACCAACCCCATCCGCATCAAGAAGGCCATCGAGCTCAAGGCTGCCAACGCCCTGCTGCTCAAGGTCAACCAGATCGGAACTCTGACCGAGTCCATCCAGGCCGCCAAGGACTCTTACGCCGACGGCTGGGGCGTCATGGTCTCTCACCGTTCCGGTGAGACCGAGGATGTCACCATCTCCGACATCGTTGTCGGAATCCGGGCCGGACAGATCAAGACTGGTGCTCCCGCCCGGTCTGAGCGTCTCGCCAAGCTCAACCAGATCCTGCGTATCGAGGAGGAGCTTGGCTCCAACGCCGTCTACGCTGGCACCAACTTCCGCACGTCTGTCAACCTGTAAGCTGGCTGCGAGGAGGCACGCCGAGTGCATGAAGGCGGTTTTGAGCAATTGAGATATCCCATTGAGCGTCCACATAATTGAGAGGACGCATTAGTGCTAGCTACGAGAACCTAGCTCGATCATCTGCAGGATAACCAGCCTGCATTCTATGACCTGAGATGACCGAAATAAAAGTTATGAACATTTACAACTATTACGTGCAACAAGAACTGTGAGGACCTTTCAGTGACGCTGTGTGGCATGATCCGTTGTCTGCACTGCACTGCACATTATTCTGTGTATTTACGTAAGCCCAAATCGACCCAAAGCTACGCAGCGGTAGTTTTTTTTCTTCTCCCGCCTGTTTCCACAGCAACCGTGACGCACCATGTAACCAAGCAAGAGCACCCCTGTCTGAGTCAACATCAACAACTTACAGAAAGACGGTACCCTGTTCATCATAGCTTGTGACATTCACGCACGCACACAGCACTCAGCTTCAGCACTCGAAACCCGCCACTACCGAACCCAACCTAGACTTTTCTTCACATTAAAGAGACCACAACACCAATCTATTCCCTCATTCGAAACCACATTTATTTAATCAGCGTAAAGGCTCGACCCAGAGCAGCAGCAGCAGCACGATGCCTGCAGAAGACCTCATCAACTTCGATGTGATCGAAGCCCACAAAGAAAATATCCAAGCGCTTCCCAGCGGCCGATCCGCAAAGAAACTTGCCGAGACCTTCTCTCCTTCCACGGCGCTTACGTCAAAGTCAACAAGACCGGCTCTCCAGAGCCTTGCCACACCAACACCAGCAGACACAAAGAACATCAACGACTGCATCCGCGCCGAATACGAGTCAGAGCTCGCCAACATTGCCGAGGCCGATGACCCTCTCGACGTGTATGACCGCTATGTCCACTGGATATTGGACGCGTACCCCTCGGCACAGGCAACACCTGCATCACAGCTCCATACCGTGCTTGAACGTGCGACCAAGGCCTTCGTCAGCGCGCCCCAATACAAGAATGATCCTCGCTACTTGAAACTATGGCTTCTCTACATATCTTTCTTTGCCGACTCGCCACGCGAAACCTTTGTGTTCCTCGCCAGACATGGCATCGGTGAGACGCTCGCTCTATTCTACGAGGAGTACGCGGCCTGGCTGGAGGGCGCGGGAAGATGGGCTCAAGCCGAGGAAGTCTACAAATTGGGAATTGAGAGGGAGGCGCGACCGACAGCCAGGATTGTGAGGAAGTTTGGCGAGTTCGAGCAGCGTCAGGCTGCACAACCTGAGGCTGGCCCTTCGAGCCCTGCTCTCCCAACGGTCAGACCTGCACTGGCGGCTAAAATTGACCCTTTTGCAGCCGTAGAAAGGGACCCCCAGGCCCCCGGTCAGACAAATGGTCTCGGTGGACAAAAGTCTAAATCCTCTAAGTCGAAGCTACAGATTTTCTCGGACGCGGATGCGGCTCCCCCTTCTGCTATGGGCTCGCAAGCGTCTGGTTCGAAGGGCTGGGATTCAATCGGATCACTAGCGGATAGGAAGAAAGAGAATGAAATGGAACCCAAGCCATGGACAGGCGAGACTTTGCAGGCAGGAGGCAAGAAGAGCAGCGGGCTGAAGATGGCTGTGTTCAGAGATCCGGTGAGTCCGCCCGTCTCCAAACGTTCCCTATCATAGTCATTTGTTGATCGAATATCAGGACTAATTATTTTTGGCCGCTTGGCCTTTTGTATTGTATCAGTTCAAGTCTCAGCTTTCCAAATCACATATCACGATTGCCCCATCACACTACCAAGTGACCGTGAATCCTTCTAACGGCAAGAAGGAGCGAGTGTTTGTTGACCTACAGGCTGTGTACCCCAGCCCTGAGGTACCAGGTACTGAATTGAGTTTTGAGGAGATCTGGGCGGCAAATCGCGGTTGGCTTGACCAGACATGGCAGGATAATGAGCTACTTCATGGCAAAGCTGCAAAAAGCGTCGAGGACAGCGCGCCAATACTGCCCCAAAGAGAGGCGGACAAGCTGGTTGTGCGCCAGGATATCATCACGTTAGATGAGAACGGCCGCATTCCAGATACACATCGCACAGGAAGGAAGAAGAAGTTAGCCGAGGTCAACGAAACGCAAATTAGTAGGTGGATGTCTCATCGCAGGAGAAAGACGTTATCAGCTAACTATGAGCAGTCAAAGTGAAGCTGGACTCACCCACCGGTCCTAAGACCATGAAAAAAAAACACGCATCCGAGCCTACGATGACCATGCACACCAGGGCTGCTACAGACGACATTTACGACATTTTCAACGCCCCATTGAAACGCTCGTCCGATGAAGCAGATGAGAATGCGGATGACGAAGACTACGAGACAGACAGTAATTATACTGCGAGCGTGGCGGAAAGCACCTGCACGACTCGACAGATCACCACAAGCGAGGCAGGTGATACTGAAGAAGACCAAGCAGCTCGAGACGACGATACATCGGACGTCAGAAGCGTCAGTGGATGGTCCGATTTCTCCACAGGGCGACACATCCCTAGTATTGACCGAGATGATGATGACGATGAAGACAATCAGTCTGTCGTGTCCGACTTGATCAACATCAGAGATGCAGACCCATCTTTAGCATTCACCGAACACACCATCACTGCGCCTGAATTCGATGATGATGATGATGACGACGACGAGGATCTCGACCGTCCAATGCACGACGACATGTCTCCGCCTAGGACGCGAACGACCTTCGTTCCAGTGCCTCCGGAGGACTATGTTGCCGTGACGCGAACATTCCGGGACCCGGCTGAGATGGCTAACAACCGTCTCCCCTTTATGACGCCCATCACGGAGAAGACCGAAATGTCGCTGAAGGTTGACTCTGATGACCATGACCGGTACGGCACCAATAAGACTCCTAGTAGGAAGTATGGCGCAACACCACGAGAGGCTGGGAATATGGATTACGAGCCTATGAGCAGCAGTCCACTAGAGGAAGTCATCAATGAGGATTTCTCTCCAGTAAAGCACATTCCATTGCCTTTGCTTCCCAAGTCAAGACCAGCTCTGGCGCCCAAGATGGACGCGAAGGTAGCACCAGCCAAAGGACCCATCATCAGGGAAGCCCAGTGCAACCCTGTGGACGATGATGTTCGCAACAAAGTCCTCGAAGAAACACAACCGTCCTTGACTTCTGCCCCTGGTTTCTACGACCACCGAGCTGAAAATTACGGGAGGGGAGGCGAGATCCGAAAGTTTGTCAAAGCTTGCAGAAGCAGCAGGAACAGTACAGACAGAACAGCCAATCTCGGCGCCTCACCTATCATACGTCTCCCTGGCATCGAGTCAGAGTACACCCTGAAGAAGGAGCTTGGGGCCGGAGCCTTTGCACCTGTCTACCTGGTTGAAAATTCCCTGCCTGACGACGCAGAGGACGAGGAGGCACCGGTAGCGATGGGCAGGGGAACTTTCTCAGTCGCACATGACCACCGCAGGCGCCTTGAGGCACTCAAGATGGAAACGCCTCCCAGCGCCTGGGAATTCCACATGATGCGGCTGGCCCACGCGCGTCTCGGTCCACAGCACCACGCAAGTGCCTCCCTATCCTCCGCGCTAGAGATGCACCTCTACCAGGACGAGGGTTTCCTTCTCCTCCCATTCCACCCTCACGGCACGCTTCTCGATGTGGTTAACATCTTCCGCGCGGAATCCTCGGGCGTCATGGACGAGATTCTTGCGATGTTCTTCACTATCGAGCTATTCCGTACGGTCGAGGCTCTGCACTCGAAGCAGATCCTTCACGGAGACCTGAAGGCCGACAATTGCCTCCTTCGCGTCGGCGGCGACGCCCTGGGCGCGCAGTGGCGAGCTGACGGCGCCGGGGGCTGGGGGTCCCGCGGCGTGACGCTCATCGACTTCGGCCGGGGGATCGACATGCGCGCGTTCGTGCCCGAGGTCCAGTTCATCGCGGACTGGAAGACCACTGCACAGGACTGCGCCGAGATGCGTGAGGGCCGCCCATGGACGTGGCAAATTGACTACCACGGCCTGGCTGGGATTGTCCACTGTCTCCTGTTCGGCAGGTACATCGAGACGGTCAGGTGCGACGCTGGCGGGCTGGGAACGCAGTCCGGCCGCCGGTACAAGATCAGGGAGGGCCTGAAGAGGTACTGGCAGACCGAGATCTGGGGCGAGTGCTTTGAGATGTTGTTGAACCCTGGCGGGCACGTTGAGAACGAGGAGGGCGGGCGGATGCCGGTGCTGAGAAGCATGAAGGCTGTAAGGGAGCGGATGGAGGCGTGGCTGGAAAGCAACTGCGAGAAGGGTGTGGGTCTGAGGGCGCTGCTTGGTAGGGTGGAGGCTGTCGCCAAGGCGAGAAGGGTGTGATGGGTCCTCTTTCTCGAGGTTGTGCTGGACATGTTGTTTGGGCATGAGGGTCACGACTTTGGCATGCGGAGTTCACATGGCGTCAGCGGCACTTGGATTGGACTTTCATTTTGTTTTCTTCATCCAGGTTTTCATGAAGTTTTGTTGGTTCTCGTTGTCCCTGTCGCGCAGCGTCAACACACGCAAATATACCCTTTCCTAGCGATCATACAAAGTTTGACTGACGGACAAAGTCATTGTGCTGTCAAATACACCGATCATGATGTTTGAATCCTTTCCCCGACCGAACGCCGACGCCGCTCAACATCAACCTGTGAACAAGGGAAATAATGACTTACTCGCTGTCCTCGTCGTCTGAGGAGGCTTTCTTGCCCTTCTTCTTGGTCCCCTTCTTAGCATCCTTAGCGACCTTCTTATCGACCTGCTCCTGTATCTTCTTCCTCTCAGCCTCGCCCTTGGCCGACAGCTCGCTTTCCCTCTCCTTAAACTCCTTGCTCTCCGAGTCTGCCCCGATAAGCCACTCCAGCAGCTTAATTTCATCAGCCCAAACCTGCTTGTCCTCCACCGTCTTGCCATCCGCACTCTTCCTGTCTATAGGTGTCTCCAGCACCATAGGCAAGTTCTGGAAGCCGTCGTAATTCATGACATTGTGGAAAGCTCGTAAGCCCATGAAGCCAGTGCCGATGTTGGCGTGAAGGTCACGGTGCGACCCAAAGGGCGCCTTGCTGTCGTTCAGGTGCAGCGCCTTCAGGTAGCGCAACCCGACTACGCGGTCGAACTCGGCCATGACGGCCGCGAACCCCTCGGGCGTGGCCAGGTCGTAGCCCGCGGCGAACGAGTGGCAAGTGTCGATGCAGACACCCACGCGCGATTTGTCCTCCACGCCGGCGATGATGTCGCGCAGGTCCTCGAATCGCCCCCCGATGATGTTGCCGTGCCCGCACATGTTCTCCAGCACCGTGACGACCGACCGCGTCGCGCGGTGCGACTTGTTGAGCTGCGCCGCGATCCGGCCGCACGCCGAGGCCATCGTCTCGCCGCCCGTCGAGCCAGGGTGGAAGTTGTAGAGCTTGATGCCCAGGGCGTCGCACCTCTTCAGGTCGTCGACGAAGTTGTCGTAGGCCTGGTCGGCCTTGGCCTTGTCCGCCTGCGCGAGGTTCACGAGGTAGGACCCGTGCGGGAGGACGTGCAGGCTCTGGTCGTACTTCTGCCCCTTGGCTGCGGCGTGGAAGGCGTCGCGGTCGTCGTCTTTGAGGGCCGGGGAGACCCACTTGCGCTGAGACTTGAGGAAGAGTGCGAATGAGTTGGCGCCGATGTGCACGGCGTTCTGGATGGAGTTTTGGCAACCTTTGAAGGGAGCGTCATGTCAGCTAGGACGTTTGAAAGAAAATGCGTCATGATAATGACTACTGACCTCCTGCACCGCTGACATGTGCGCCGATGAACATCGCTCGCTCAAGCGAGCTGACGGCTGTCCTCGCAGCGAGCGGCATGGCGTCTGCTTCTTTGTCCTTCTTGGTTTTCCGCTTCTTGGGGCCGGGTTTCTCCTTTTCGTCCTGTTCTTCCTCGTTGTGACTATCACACTGGTGATCCTCGTCTTCGGTGTCATCAGCTGCCTTGCGCTTCTTGCTTGCAGTCCTCTTCTTTGGCGTAGCGGCCTCAATTTTGGTCTTGATGACCTTGGCCTTGGCTGCGGCGCCGTTGGCTTTGTGAACGACTTCCTTTTCGGCTTTGACGGCTGTGGTGGTTGCCTTCTTCCGAGGCGACGTCCGTGGAGGCATTGTGACTTTGGATCAGAAGCATCGATGATGCATTGGAAGGACTGAAAACAACTTGGGAAAGATTCGTGTTGAAGAAAGAGCGAGGTATGTCGATTACGTCGAGGGTCAAGCTCGAGAATGTGAGACGAGCTAGATCCCTGTCGACGCGCACGACTGAGACGCGACTGCACGTGGTACTGGCGTTCCCCGACGTACAGTACCAATTAAACTTAAACTCGTGAAGCGGCACTTCCTTTGAGAAACCTGCCGACATCTTTTATTTCACTGGAAGGATTTACTATCTGGCAATCGTTTCAATCTTTACAGTGAATAAGTCCTTAGTTATTCCTCACACTTATGTCCCATAAGAAAGCAAATGGCATTTTATCATATCGAGTTGCACATGTGGAATTCCTTCGACTGCCCTCTGTACCTTTGTTTGCATTCGTGTCTAACTTCAGTATCACAGCACAGCGGAGTTTAAAATTCTAAGAAGTCAGACAGGAGCAAGTCCAATTTACTCCACGAGTCTCTTGCAAGTTTTGGTCAGTTACCTGAACTACGAAGTTCGGTCCTCAGCCCAGAAGAGGCTGTAAGTACTAGAGATGATCCCCAGGTGCCATCGGAGTTTACCATTGGAAGCTACCAGGACATTACCCATCCTAGAGAGCTTGGGACACAATAGTCATCTACGAAATACTATAATTCGGCAAGGACGAGTCACTGAGTGCCCAGGTAGTTCTTCTGGAGTAGTCGGAACTGTTTGTTACACGGCGGACTCGCCGGCCCCGACAACCGGGTTCCAAGCCGAGCTTGATTCCGTATACTCCTTTGTCCAGACATGTTCACCCAGCGCTACACGTGGCTTGTCGGGTCCGATATTGTTCAGAGGGTAATTCTACTAATTGGTTCCTTTTTGTAGGCAATCTCATGTTTAAGGAGTATACATGCTGTCCTCTAACAAGCTGTTCGGGCTCCGGGTAGTGGTGGCAGCCTCTGCTTTTTGAAAGCGGGCCCTTTGTCCGCCCACATCCTTCTCGGATTCCAAGCGCCCTCCCCGATTGGCAATTAAGTTTCGGATCAGTCTAGACACGCGGCACAACGCCGCCTGAAAACCCTGCAGGGTCATCCGCTTCATGCAGCAACAACATAAGCCACAAATTTTTCTCAACTTGCATCCACATTCGGCCGTGTGGCCTAATGGCTAAGGCGTCAGATTTCGGTTGAAATCATCCTCTCTGAAGATTGCGCGTTCGACTCGCGTCATGGTCGATTCTTTTAGTTTTCAATTCGAGTCCCTTTTGGCTACTGGAAGTCTGTTGTTATGATGTGGTGATCTCCGATTAGTGGTGAGGCTCACTGATGATGCGACATGGTTGTAACCTGGGGAAGAGTATACACTGCAGTATGAGGAGCACCTCATTATAGTGAAACCCTTTAGATGCATTGTAGAGATTCGACATGAATGATCTTTTTAATTGCATGCGGCAATGCATGAAAGAAATGGCACAACATCTCTGTACCTATTGCCAGGTGCTGCGCATGGACCACATGACACGGACTGACACGTGAGCGGCTGAGAAAAGCTTAAACCTTATATCGGGTGATGAGTCAGCAATTCCGGTCAGGCAATTGTATTTCAATACTAAGAGCCGTGAGCGAGTTTTAGATGCATTTTCCAATGGGCAAGCCCCTGAAGAAAAATGCAACCAGAACCGGCCAGATTATCAGCCTCAAGAGCCTAGTATATGTATTGTCTATATATACATATATATATAGACAAAATCAGGCATCATGATAAGTTGTCGATATAATATCTGAACCTTTTCGAAAAAATTCGGGGACCTTTGAGATTTCAGGGATTTGAGTTCTGTACTATCTAGGTGCAAACGACCCAAGTATGAGATACCTGAAGTCTTTCAGCCTCTGTCATGTTTTCTGAGCGAATGTGATTGCCTAGAAACATTCAATGCGATCCCAAGATAAGAGATCCTCCATTGATGTCCCATTCTCCACATCCGTACCATGTTTTCCGTGATCATGTAGTCAGCACCTCAGCGGCGCTTGGCAACACCATGTCGCTTGAGGAAGTCAATACGCTCCTGGCGGTCGGTGAGAGCCTCGTACGCAGGGGCATGTTCCGAGTCGCGCGACAGCTTCCAGACATGCGTGGCATCTCGGACAGCATAGGCCGTGGGCTGCGTCTGGCGCCAGCCGTCAGCAGCACGCTTGACCTTCTTGTTCTTCTCGATCCAGGTCTCCTTCTTGGGCGAGACGTCCCGAGCATGGCGGCGGTCGTGGTCACCACCGCCATCGTCCTCGCCATCCTCCTCACCGTCGGTCGGATCCTTGTCAGTGCTGGGGTCCTCGTCGTCGCCGTCGCTGCCGAGGGCACCGGCGGCCGAGCCCTGCGGGACGTCGGTCGTGGCACACTCGTCGTCCTTCACGAGCTGCAGGCCGCAGCGGTTGGAGGATTCGGGGTCCTGGCCCTGGTCCAGCCCATAGAGTACGACGCCGCCTTGATCGTCGCTGGCCTGGGCCGAGCTGTACATGGTTCGGACAAGGCCGTTGCAGCAGTCGCCGACTTCTTGCTCCTCGCAGACGATGCTGATTTCATCTTCCGGGCAGTCAGAGTCTTCGTTCAGGTATATGTCAAAGGCGTGTACGTGGTGCGCGAGGAGGAGAAGGGAGGAGATGCAGGTGAGTGTGGCAGAACGCATGATAGAATTTTAGATTCGTATAAAGTCTGGAATGCTGTCGGAAAGTGATCACTGTGCAGTAGATAGGCAGTGCTGAGGTGCTTGGGTGTCCAGATCCAACTTGGACTTACCGTTGGGACTCTCGCCTTCCTTTATATTTTGCGACTTCATGTTTGTCGGGCTTGGAAAACGCATTTATCGGGCGCCTGGGCTCTTGATCGAGTAAGGAGCACGACTGCAAGTCACGGGCCATGGATTACAGACTCACCTTTAGGCGGACATTTGGAATCGTGATCGCGATCGAAGAGAACTTTTGTTGATGTCTCAACTGCGGCTTTGCCGATCGGTGTTTGCGTGAGGCTGCGAGGCTGGGTTGTGTTTGAGCCGGGACTTTGGAGGTTTGTCGTATCACAATTGTCTTACCGCGGGAGGGCATTTGCGGGTGAGGTTGGGGGTAGAGGATTCGTGATGATGTAACCCCGAGGATTCACAAGAAGGAACTTGCACTGCACTGGGGATACAGAAGCCGCGATTACTTAATTACTGAAGTACCTTCCTAGGGTAGATAGTACAGTTGCCCTGCACCACAACCTTCATTGCTCCTACGCCGCTTCCCATATGCCTCTAGGGTAACATTGAACTCCATTTGTGCGTCCCCGGGACATTAACAACAATCTTCACTCGAAACAAATTTGTTCTTCCTCATATATAAAACAGGCGACAAATACCCACATATCAACCTTTGACCGTCTTAGAACCTCCATTTCAAAAGTATTGAATTCTAGAGATGATACTGCAGTGAGTGTTGACATCTCCCACAACCATGTCTCTCATCTGCTTACTCTAATGACATCACCCACAACCGTGTCTCTCATCTGATTACCCTACGTCGTTATATTATCTGGGTAAATCTTATGCAATGTACCACCTGTGCCTAAATTGTCTCAAATCCATATTAATCATTGCCAGACACCCGATAGATATCGGTAAGATAGCTGTGGTCAGTGGAACGTTGGGCGCCGGTGAAAGACAGTAATAATTCACCCAGACATCATGACCGCGTAAGCTGAGTAAAACTTGGGTGGAGTTCAAATTGTGTACAAGATCTGCAATTGTGGCTTTGCCAAGGGAGCTGTGTCGTTTTCGTTGAAGCCTCTAGTCTAAGACTTGATACTCTCATGACTGACACCGAGCCTCAGAACCCGGCTACTTAAGCAAGCATTTCTTTATAGAGATTTCCCGTATAAGTACTTCAGTATGCGAGCATTTTCTTGGTTCAAGTTTTGTTCATCAATGAGACGGTCTTCTCATCACATATACTATCACACTTCTCTCCAGGCACCAACAAAAACACGCTTCCGCATCCCCAGTCATCTTTCTTGCGTCCAGTCTCACCCACTGCCAAGATGTTCACTAACATGAAACTCGCCAAATCACTCACGGCCGTCATTGGCCTCGCCCACTTCGCCATCGCAGGTAACTTTTGCCTGTCCTACAGCTACAAATCTATGGGCGGCAAAGGGGCGCAAGACTGGCGGACCTTCCCGGCTGGCGAGCCGTGCGACACCACCAACTATTTCGACAAGGACATCTGCCCTTCTCTCCCAGCGGGCGGAAGGCTGTGCGACGTCAGCTACAACCTCGTGTCAGCTGAGGACGACACCATCGAGGACGCCGGTTGCAGCATCGCCCTCGAGATCGACGGGACTGTCTACCACGGGCGCCTGTCTGATGATGAATTCGATGGCAGCGAGTGCGGGGGCAAATGCGGGTTCCCGCCCCGTTTCTTCCAGAGCAGTTACATCTTTGAGGATGTGCCCATATGCGACTGAACATATCAAACGATCCATGATCGCGGCGGTGTAGTAGGCAGCATGCTGGTATAGTGTCGACGGTGTGATCTATTGGCTACAACCGTGTCTGACCCAATCAAGTAGTGGTGCTGAATTGGGATTTATTGAAGGACACACACACACACACACACACACAGAGAGAGAGAGAGAGAGAGAGAGAGCGTTTCTGTGCGGTAGCCTTTTTTTTCCCCCTTCCTTTCAAAATGTGTCAAGGACTTGCAGTGGAGTCAGCATCGCCACCACCGGGCAAATGAAGCTCACGCAGCCCTGCATACTCCCTTACCTATGTAATAAAACTCATGCCATAGTCCCTATAAGACGTGTGATCCGCGCCGGTATACAGATTCACCACCGCTGAGTTTCAAAATGTTCTGTGCCTCAGTGCGATGTGTCAATTCAAGTGGATATCCAGAAAGCTCCTTCTATAAGACATGATAACTCATTTGACATTAAACGCGTAGACACCTTGCCCATTTGTAACATAAACCACGTCTTTGTCTTTCTCGCCACGTCCGGCAGCGCAAGCCGTCGGCGCGCTGAGCTTAGCAACGACGACAGGCTTGCTAGCAGAGCCGCCGGCGGGATCGTACTCGACAACCTGATTAGCCCCGCTGTTCGTAGTAATGTATAGTTTGCCACTGTTTCCGAAGCAGAGGTCATCGCCCATCAAGTTCGACCAGAGTGTAGAGACCGCGCCGGTTGGTTTGGACGTCGCATCGACCGACACCTTGTGGAAGCTATTCTTGAAGATGTTCGTGTACCACACAGTACCGTTGCCGTATTTGAGTCCGTCAATTCCGAACGGGATCGGGCCACTGGGAGCCATGGTCGGGTCGCTGAGGGCGACGGAAGAGTCGCCGGACGAAATTGTCAGCTTGATGAGGTTGCCCTGGGCCGCGTCGCCGAGCAGGACAGTGTCGTTGTTGAACACGGCCAGGCCGTTCATATTCTTGGCATCCGGGATCTTCTTTATGAGCGTCGCCTTGGGTGTACCACCACCAGTGAAGTCGACCTGGTGCACCGCCGTGCCCTGGGGGGAGCCGCCGATGACGATGAAGACGTCTGGCGCAATCTCGCCGATCCCGCTCAGGCCGGCTGCCCCGCTGACGGCAACGGCCGTTGAAGATGTCTTGGCGATGGGGTCGACGGCGTACAGGTTGGGACTGTTCATGTTGGTCACGAGGAGTTGGCCATTGGGGCGTACCGCGATGTTCTCGAGTGAGGATAGCTTCACAATCTCACTTGGGGCCGCCTGGCGGGTATTAAGAAGTGCCGCAGCAGCGAGGCGCTGGGTTGATGCAGAGAGAATCAGGGACAAGCTGCCCAGAAGAGTTGCTAACTTTTGCATTTTGGAAGACGTGTAGATAATCCTTCAAAAGTGACTGAAACTGCGGTGGCTATGTCGATGGATGATGGTGGTTTCGTCCACCAGGCGGTTGTGAGTGCAGCTCCCTTCTAGATATTCAGGTCTGTTTTCCCGGAGCGCGGTTAAATTGAGCAGCCAGTTCATCAGCCACTATGGCTAATCTTGTGTTGAGAATTATGACCACTATACTATGTCTCCAAAAGGGTGATCACACCCAGTTCCTGTCGCCATAGGCTCACATGGTCTATATTTTCTCCACAATCTTCACAGTTGGGCCAAGATGTGTACAGAAAAACATTATTTACCGGCTTAGCAGTTGCACCTGACTAGATTGCCACATCTATTACGTTCGGTGTCGGTGTGCCATCCTCCGATATGTCTCCGCGATTTGTCGCAATCGACTTCGGAAGCGCGCGAGTACCAACATCTCGGCGGCGAAAGCGCAGCGCCGATGATGGCCGGGGAAGCCTCCACAGGGAGTCAGGACTGCAATGTCTCTGTACCTCGGTACGCATTAAAAAGTAGAGCGAATCGAGTGCTATGTGTCCTTCATTTACCCTGCGAATATGACCAAGCCACGCGTCTGGATATACCATCACTTCACATCGACCGGGCTCAAGCGAGTACCTTACCTGCCAACCGACGCACAAAGTTCTGTCACTGGGGGTAAATTTGTGAGTGTAACCCCTCCATGGATATGGCCAGCGACTTGAGACGCTGCATAATTACTCAATTACTGTTTAGTAGTTAGGAAAGGTACTGCGAGGCTTACTAACTAGATACTTTTTAGGACTTACCAGGCTACTAGTACGGCATGACTGATATAGTTAATCACAAAAGCGGCAGTGCGGATTACATTACAGGTATCACAGGCATTCGTTGTTAGACGAAGTTCTATACCTGAACGGCTTTCTACGAGAATAGGGTGGGCCCTGTAGCTCTCGTGGGATCATCCTATGGTGTATTGGCAGCTCAGTTACAGTTCGAGCTCAGGAGGAGAAATCAGAGATGAAGAAGCTCAAAGACAAAGATGAGGATGAGTGAGGCCTGAAGCCTGAGTCCATACCTAGGTCGCCCCCCCCCCCCAACAGGACCCGAAGTCAAATAGCGCAAGAACAAGCAACGGCTGGAACTGGAAAGCCTAATACCAAAGGAAAGACCTTCACTTGTCCCAAGTCAGTGTTCTCTGCCCCGTCTCACCGCACTTACTTGGCCGTTTAATCCCATGGGATATTTTGCTCTTTGTCCTTGAATCACCAGCGGGTGGTTGCACCCACTTGAATCTCAAAATTCTATGGAGCTGATCCTTCGTAATGACTTGCGCATGAGTTTCAGAGTGAGCTGACAGTACTATGTGGAATTTAAAATTTATATCAAACTGGATGAGGCAGAAACCCAAATGAATTGATCTATGCTTCTCTACAAAATTCGCATCCGAATTGTGCGAAGCACCTTCGATTCTGATATTATGTGTCTCTCTCGTTAGTTTAAAAATGGAGTGGCAAAATTCCTGGCCGTCATCGCAACCTGAATTTCATTACGCGCTCCTGAGCTGTGTTATGATGTCTCTGAATGGGAGTACAAGTCTGACTGTTCTCATCTTACCATCCTCCTGCCGCAGTCCTTCCATATCTGGGAGACGAAGCATTGTGGAGTATGTGCCTATTCCTGGGACTTAAAGCTGGCCCTGTTCTTCTATGAACCAACCCCGCCGGCTCTAGCTCAAAAGAATACAAAACCAGATCGAATAAATATAAACGATTACTCCTATAACTGCTCATTTTATTGGCTAGACAGGTGGCCATACAGGTGTTTTTCTTGTGATGATACAAACACTAGCACACCCTCCTGAGATACATACACTCAATTTGCATTGTGCTTAGTGCCCCTAGTGTACTTCCGCTAACAGTATTAATCTTAGTATTTTTTTTATTTTTTTTGAGAAATGGCCGTAATGGACATTGATGGGCAGCTACCAAGCTGGCTGAAAAACATAAATCCGCCCCCCCCCCCAAGGAGAACTACATTTTATATCCTCGACATTATCTCCTCGACATTATATCCTCGACATTATCCACAATGGACAATCACGGATCAGACCAGGTGAACGGCCCAATCCGCCTCTGGCAAGACGGAGACATCGTCTTTCTCAAATACAGCCAACATTTCCTCGACAAAGATTACAAAGAGCTCATTGCTTCAGGGTATGTACACCGGCAAGCTACCGGCCACCCAGTGATTATACTTCAGGCTGGATCCGGTCGAGCTATTGTCACGCCGGTCACAGCCTACAGCTCTGGGCCCGAGATCAACTTCCTCCCGCCTTGGAGGATGGCTGCTCACCAAGAGAAGCACTTGCACGACTTTCACGCCTTCATCGGCACAGAGCTACCACCGAACAGCCCTCATGAACATCTCAAACTCTCTGATCCGGGATCCAAAATGAACAAGCCAAGAGCGTCATGGGTCTATGCCAAAAATTTCTGGACAGTGCCATACAGGGTTCTCCTTCCGTGGAACAAGGTTCCAGGACGATTGCAAGTTTCTGGGGAGAGCCTGGCACGTCTCAGAGCTGACATCAAGCTCAAGTATACTGTCGAGCTTCAGAACGCCTTTGCTAGGCTGACCACATACCACATGAAGACAGGGCCTCTCCAAGCTCCCAGGGTATCTCAGGCTCCATATGCTGGCAAACATCCTAAGGGCCCAGCTATCGCGCGCCACAGCTCATCAGACTCAGAGGGTACATTACCGAAAGCCTGCTTTGCCGCTCACAGGAGCTCAGCCATGAGGTCTCAGCAAGTATACCGAGGAGGCAAGGCCACACAGCACCCCAACTATGAGCCCTTCGGTTGTCGACATGCCTCAATGAAGAGCGTATCGTTTCCTCCAGCAATGCGTCCATGGCGCCAGCCCGTGGCGGCATGAAAACGCGAACGATAATGGCAGACTCTGAACACAGTGAGACTCGGCCTCATCGGCCTCGTCAGCCATACAAAGACCACATGTGGATTAATTCAGACTTCGGAGACACCATCGCTCTCAATCGCGTCGCGGCCCTGGTCGAGAAGCAAATCAATTCTGGTCATATGACCTCTCAGAAAACGGAGTCGATGAACGACGAGATAACAATTGGCACAAGATCATAAGACCAGGAGAAAGAGCTTTTGCCCCCACCAGGGAGGAAAATAGCGCTTCGCCCTTGCCATGTGCGACGTCGAGATGGACAATCGCCCCCGTCAGAACCTGCACTTGAGATATTGTTAGATTGGCAGGAATGAAAATTTAACAAAATCACTTTGGAAGAGGGACTTGAGTTGTTTTGGTTTTTCTGAATTAGATAGATTTCTGTTTGTCCTTGGTGGTAATTTCTTTCGTATGAATATCTATGAAGCCGTGATTCAGGACTTACTAACAGGTATTCGAATTTCGACAAAATATAACCCAAATATCTGAGAACTATGTAACATACGATTTTGTGTTAAACGCTTCGGTCGCGTGAAAAGTATGTTTTGATAACTTTATTATAGTCCCCCTTGCACCGTATATCCCCCTACTTGACGTGCTCTGGGAATGGAGTGAACTTGTAGACAAGCTGCGTTGGATAGTGTATAGACTTGCCCAGATCCTTTCTGCACTTAACAGAGCAAGACCGAGGATATTGAGTAAGGTGAGTTGTCAGAGACCAGCGGATAGTCAACAGCCATCTCTTGTGCTCGAAGAACAAAATTAGAAACTTGAAATAGGGCGATGATACCAAGGACCGAATTTGGGCTTCATTCTCAAGCAAGTCAAATCAGGATAAACGAAGTCTCCCGCGCATCTCCCATTGTCACTGAACGACGCAACTCATGGCAAACATTCCCGCGGGGTATGTGTGCTTATTTTCCCAGCTCCGGATCATCAACTGACGCGCAAAACGTTTAGGAGGTACGCCGCACGCGAGACCAAGACATCCCATGACAACCCGTGGCGTCGTTCAATTGACTAGACCTTCTCCAAGAGCCAACGAATCTTCTGTAGCCAAATTTGATGAGCGAATCAAAACACTTGACATTCTAGTAGGCATCTAGGCGACTGTGTGGTCACGTAGCCACTGGAAGGGATACCGTGGCCCCCAAGTGGTGAATTGCTGTCAAGGAAGTGAGTTACCCTGCAGTTGGCTTGGAGCCACTGCGAGCCCGATATTCCGTCTAAAGAAGGCCTGCTGTATTTCGAGTAATTAACAGGCCTTCACTGTAGAACAAGCAACACCTCGGCTGGCCGGTCACGTACACTACTACAAACCAACTAAAACTTCCAAAATTCAGGTGGCTTTGCATGTGGTGTCGTGAATAGGTGGGTGGATCACAAGTGCCCTACTGTAGCATGAGCCACAATATCGGCTTCCATCAGCAACGACAGGCTGTTGGTCATTTTGTCAGGTTGGATCTGGGGCACATACGGTAGATTGTCACTATACGAGGAGGTGGGGGCCACCGGCCTGTCCTTTAGCGATTGACAGCCTCATCAAGGTCGAGGGCCTGTTGATGACACGAGCACCCACACAAAGGACAATCAAACCTTGCAAGGGAAGGACAAGTATGGATCTCTGAGGCCTGATCCTATTTGGAACTCGACTCAATGGCCATGGGGGCCTAGAATCAATGCACATAAGGGAACACGAAGTACTTTTTGAAGAAGACTGGCTAGAATGTCGGATCTCCCACGGCGAGGCGCAAATGAGTGACTAAACAGCTCCGAAGACCCCAGAATTGGGTGGTGACTTGCGTAGTATAACCTGCTAGGGGATAACCTACTTGGAATGTTATGGGATAACCTGCCTTGGGAACACCTCTTATCTTCTGCGGGAAGATCTGTGAGATACTACCTCGTGCATGCGTTGATAGGGCTCTGAGGGTCCTTTTCTACACTGTTGAGTACCTGACATGTTCTTTGGTGGTGCCTTGGCGACCAGTCCATTGGGGGCTTTTAGCACACAGAGGTTACTTCCTGTAGTGTTCTGGGCCTACAGCTTAGAAAAGATAGTTCACTCGGGGTGGGGGGACCGAGATGTCACTGGACAGTGGCCCAACGGACCGGGACACGGGGAGCCCAGGTGGGACACGGCTGTGGGAATCTAGAGCGCGATGTTTACGGGGTACTGTGCCTGCTGGCCAAGACGTCGTTCCCACGCCCTCGGGACCGCCGAGGCGGTGTGCCTAACAGAGGGCGGGAGGCGGAAACGAGAACAATGGTCAAGCACGGTCTCTTCAAACGACATCCTTCAGCCCATGGCGAGATGAAGACGAAAGGAGAGATGGTCGATCTGATCCAGCAGGAATGAGGCTAAAGCCGTGCCACGCTCTGAAGGACGGAACTATATGTATGGGCGGCAATTGAAAAAGGGCCCGGGGCTGTGCGGCGTGAGGAGGGAGGCGTGCAAAGGACCAAACTCATGTTCACATCTCGATGCTGTGTATGTGAGAGAGAGGGGTGAGATGTATGTGTTTCATGTTCTCATGAGGTGTGAACTGTGCTACACGACAGGTTGGATTAGACAAGTCTCACGTAACTACAGTGGGCAGATACTCGAAGCGATACGCCGGTGGATGGGGCTTGGGTCTGTTGGCTGTTGGCCAGACTGCTCGAGTAGCACGGCGTCAGCAAGGCGATGCGTACTGTATGTTGTTTAAGCATATACTGTGCCGATGGGAGAGCCAAAAATAGCAACAGAAATGGGGAGTGGGGCCAGGGAAGATTCCGAGATGGTTGGAGCTACTGTACCACAGTACTGTTACAGTAGTCCATGTGAGCGTGCCACAGTACACAGCTCCGCAGTGGCCTGAGTCGGATTTGAACAGCACACGTACTCGCACAATACAGAGCCTGACCGAGAGGTGCTATTCACTTGGTGTATGATGCTCATAGACAGTCACTCACTGCTGCCTTGAGGCTCCCGATGGTTTTCGGACGGTGAATGGTGAATGGGTCACTGACGGTGAGTAGTTTGCGACGGGGAAGACGGGAGGCAAAATGGGAGATGGGGAATGGGGGCATGATTTCTCTGCCCAGGTGGGGGGGGAAGCTAGAGAATCCTTCCGCGTTCCTTCGACTGCATAGGGAACTAGCTGCGGCGTCTCCCAATTTACCGGTCGAATGCCGAGGTCTGATAGTCTGCATAGTATTCTCAATACAGTATATGGGGGGGATGAGAAGGAAAATGTAAACACCAAGATCGGAAGAGACAACACCACTATGTGAGAGATCTACACGGCAAAGTGGGAATTCCTGTCCTGTTTATCGATAGTCGAGATCTAGCTTAAACTACAAACCTATCGACCGGCCGATAGGCATGACGTCTCCCAAGCCTGTGTCCGTCCTTTTGGGTTTTTGGGTTTGCAGGGTCGTGCCGAAACAACTGCAACGTTCCCGCCAGGGTTCGAGGTTCGAGGGTCGGGGTTTCAAGGTTGTGAGGCAGATTGGAGACAGAAGATTTATAGATAGGCGAAGCTTTGACATGACAGCCTTGCAAGAGTATATAGTGGCACTGTCTATAACTTGGTGTTTTACGTTGTGGCATAGACATGATGCTTTGAAACTTGTTCATCGACGCACTGCATTTTTTGCACATGGACTCGCAATGCACTTGAGTACCTAGCCACACACATACATTGCCTAAGTAGGTACTGTACAGTATGCCACAGACAATGGCCCCAAACCCACTCAATGCTCATTGGACCATGCGGACCAACACAGTGGCAGCTGCGGGCTGTAGCCTACAGAGGACCAGAGAACCCCTGCTGAGAGACCTTCAGGGCACACCCCAGTGGAGGAGCAGGAGCCCTCTGCCCAATCGACGACGCCCTTCCGTCACCCCTTCGCCGCCAACAAGCATGCTGCGTGCGTATTGCGTGCGGCGTAGACTGCTAGCTCTCTAGCCCACTGTGTAGGTTACAAGGTGGACGTCTAGCAGTGACAGGAACAAGATGGATGCTGCTCATTGCGGCTTGCCATTTCTCGGTCTCATTTACTGCACGGCGCATCCCATTCCCACCACAAGAAACGAAATCTGACCAGTTTCTATCTCTGCAATTGCATCTACGCCTGCATCTACGCCTGCATCTGCATTGCTGCTGCGTTACGCTGCGTGTCAGTGCCGTTGAACGAAACGGCCTCCTCGTGCCCCTCCCCTTGCGACTATTGTCTGCCTCGACTCTTCCTCCTGTCTCCTTCGCGCCTTGGCCACTTCACCTCCGCCCTCAGAGACCAAACAGACGATGCTGTGAGGTTCCACAGCCTGTGTCTCTGGTCTGTCTATTCACCCGTCCCCGTCGTACCACCGTTTATCACCCAAGAGGACATAACCGCCATCTTCCTCTTTTCTCTTCCAAACAGTCTGCGAGGACAGGGTGCCACGAATCATGGACTGAACGGCACGGTGCCTACCCCAGCGTTCCTGCGACTTACACCACCAACCCGGTCGACTCTTGCCTTCAACCATGTCACAGGCCATGGACGAGGCTCCCGTCGACGGCGAGCTCCCGCGGCGCTCCTCCATCGAGAAGCACCCAATATTGTCCGACAGGGACATTGACGATATCGACGATGACCTCGAGCCTAGCGCCCTTGATCGACTGCCCGAGGAGATCATTCAGCAGTGAGGACATGCTCTTTCTGTACCCCAGAGTCCATCTGCTGTCCGCTTTCCTAACCACTTTTGTGCCTCGTTTTAGAGTCCTGGAAGCCGCCGACCCAAGCACTTTCGCCTCCTTGATTCTCGTCAGTTCAAAATGGCGCAGCGCTTCGCAGCAGGGTCGACTCTACGCTCTCCAGTTGATGAGATGTCCATCATATTCCGCGAGTCATAAGAAGCCTCCCAACGGCGCACAGGAAAATCTGCCCGCCCTGAGGAGATTGTTCGCGAGGGAGGTCAAGCGAAACCTCTTCGACGCCTACCTGCGCCCAAATCATACCATAGTCAAGATCGTCTCCAATTCCATCAGCTCCTCATCCTGTCCGGGCGGCGATGGCATGTCCTTCAGCCCCTCGCCAAAGGGCCATTTCCTGCTTGCTTACAATTCTTCGCGCATCAACATCATTGACCTCCGCGGTCCCACTCTGAAAGTGGAGAGGGAGCTCAAGATACTCCGCAGACCCGCCGCGACATGTGTCAAGGATGACGGCTCTCTTTTGGCTGTGCTCTTGACTGAGATGCAGGTCGACCTGTACGACCTTACCCAGACTCCTCCGAAGCGCACTCAGTCCATCATACTCGACCACAGCCCTCGGACCATTGCGTTGTCGCCATGCGGAACTGTTCTGGCTGCCGCCTACGAAGGCGGCATCGAGGTCCAGTCCCTCGGTTCGGGCGCCCTGCCTACTGATAGGAGGTCTGTCAAGTGCGATGCAGTCGATGCCCTGGCCTTCTCATTCGACGGAACCCAGATTTTGGGCACCACTATCCAGTCTGCCCAACCAAATACAGTAGTTTTGACGGCGCCTTACTACGATCCGGGCAGTCACCTGTCTAGCGATAATATCAGCGCTCTGTGGACGACATCGATTCTTTTCCCTAATACTAGTCGGGACTGTAGCCATGCAGTGCTTATACAGGAATCCGCTCATGATGAGGCGGCGTACGCCTTTACTTATGACCGCAGTTTTGAAACTTTCCGCGCTGTGCGTATCGACGACCTACGAAACGGCACCACTTACTTCACTGGCCCGATTCCGAACACTCCATTGCAAGCGAAGCTATTACCCTGCACCCTACCAGCAGCTTCTGTATGCGGCGATCTGGTGTCTGCCGGTTTCCAGGGAAAGGAGGTCTGGCTTTACGGTGTGCCTGAAGATCTTGAGGCGGTTCCGGATGCTTCGAACAACAACCTAGATGTCGCTGCCAACTCAAGTGGAGTCCACCGCCGGGTGAGTGGAGGCTCGATGCGCTCCAGAACACAGGAGGCCGGCGAGGCAAGGGTACCACAATGGCAGCTGTTGTGTGACAAGCTCCGCAACACATTCGTGGAGGGCTTCAAGGTCACGGATCTCAGCGGTGTGAGCACGGTGAAGTGGGTAGCCGGCTTTGGGGATTCATCGATGAAAGAGCGTCTGGTCATTGCTGCGAAGGGTGCTGTTCCGGCCAAGCCCATCACGGAAGAGGATGGCATGGACTTTGAGGATGGAGGCAGGTTGACACTTGTTGATTTCGACTACGGTCTGGAAGATGGTCATGTGGCTGAGATAACTATCGAGGTGGGGCTAGAGGAGCCAGAGATTCTGGAGGAGGAGCACCGCGACATGGCCACAGAGGTGGCCATCGTCAGAAGGCGGACTGTCGCACAGAGGCGAGGTCCTCGCAGTGCGATCATGAGAGCGGCAACGACGGCAGCGCGACCTACGCCGGCCTCAGCGACAGAAGAAGAAGATGACGATGACGATCCTCTTGTACCTCGCCGGATTGGCGAAGCACCGCCGCGACCACCTCAGCCTCCCACAGCTACCGAAGAGACGGAGACAGCGACGATCATAGAGGAGCAGGAAGCTTTGGACGCGCCCTATTCGCACACAGGCCCTCGTTCCATTACCACTCTGCGCCGTGCCGCTACAGCGGCTGCTAATCACAGGCGATTGAACCCCACAACAACGGCAGGGACGCCAGTTGAGTATCGTCGGGCTGATGGGCGAGCTGAGCACCCTCACGAGAGTGACGCCGATAACTGGGTGCCTCCACCTCCGCCTTATCAGAAGGAGGACCCGGAGGAAGCACCCGCCTTCCTCCGTCACTCAATGGTACCGGTGCTGGCCATGGCGGAATCCCAGCCTTTAGATCGGGACCTCCCCCCTGTTCCACCTATTCCACAGGCACATCGAATTCTAGGGCAAGACGGCGCCACACCTGGCACTTCGCAATCTCGGCCTTCAAGACGTCACACCCTTGCTCAAAATCGAATGGAGGGGGCACACCAGCGCAGGTCTCAAAGCGCTGCCCAGCAGCGATTTTCTATGACGGACCCTGTTACCGTGATACCCAGTAATCAAGTGTCACCTAATGAACATCCTTCTAACACTTATGAAGAGGAAGACATTTACAATGTTTCGCCCCCGGAAACGCCACAACTACAAGCCACTCGATCCCTAAGCACCCAACAGACTGCCAGCCCCGCAAGTCCTCAAAGCCTTATGCGGTCAGGCTCGGAACCGTCGCCAGCGCTGACAGAAGCATCTCCTTATACTGGTACTCAACGCGTGATGCCGCTCGTCCCTCGCATTCAGACAACGTCTGCCCGCCCCCTTCAGCCTCAAGAACAACAGTCAGCCGCTGAAAGACCAATACCAGGAGCTTCGCCAGCCAACTCTACTTGGAATCCACACACGGGCGGTGGTTCGTACCCGACTGTGATACACTCACAGACATGGCCGATCCCGCCACCCAGCTCAGTAATGCCTGAGCCGGGTTCTACAGAGTACCCTCACTCAGCGCCCCCGATGAATGTCACTGCCAACGAGAGGATCACGCGGCACCATCCTCCACTCCCTGTGCAGGAGCAACCGCCTGTGGTCCGTGACAACGGGAGACAATCAAGCCTGTCAAGACGACTATCAACAGGTTTCCATCTGCCCCGCGTGCCTACAAGCCGGAGTAGTGAAAGGGCTAGGCCGATGTCTGTACACCAGCCATCTGGGTATAGAACTGTCCAGACTGCTTCGGATCTTCAGCATCAATCACCGCCTCAATATCCATATGCGCGGTCTCTCTCGGACCCATCGAGTATGACCCACACAATCGATCACGCGTTGATGTCTCCAGATCAACCTTTGATTATCAGCACTCCAACGGGGGTCTCGGGTGCATACGATGGCCCTACTCGGCAGCCGTCGGACCGAAGAACAGAGACCACAATCTTCGCACCGATACCTCGCCATCCGCGGCCCTCCCAAAACCCAGGCGTGCTGCGGCCCACGGCCCAACAGCTCGAGGGGCAGCTCAACCCTGCTTTCCTCCCCGCATCAGCTGCCCCGGCGCCCGGCTTGAATTCACGGCTCTCGTCTGTGAACCGCCGATCATCCCGCGCGGAGCGCAGTGCTGCCAAGAACATCTCGGATGCGAAGAAAAAGGGGTGGCGGCCCGGCAGGAGCAAGAGCAAGAAAGGAAAGAAGGGAAAGAAGAAGGAGCCAGATTTTGATGTGATGAGCCAGAGCGCGTGGACGGATGCTACTTGGTCTACGGCCGGCAGGGGTAGGAATAGGAGGACGTACAACTTTGGCGGCGCCGGCGCCGGCGTTGCCGAGAACGAAAAGGACAAAAAGTGCATCGTGATGTGAAGGATTTGGTCACTCGGAGTTCGAGGTGGACGGCTAGGTGACATGCCACCAAGCATCTGAGGACTGGTGGAGGGCATAGTACGCGGAGTTCAGGAGTTGTTGGTTGGAAGATTTGGGTGGAACGACACAATCAACTCATACGACGTTTATGAAATCAGGAGTACAACTTGTTTAAGGGCATGGCGATGCGTCTTTTAGCATGCGTAGTTGTCGATTGCAGACGCGGTGGACGTGCTGGTCCACAGCCATGATCTGAGCTGGTTGAGATTGGGGGTTTTCTTGGTACATACACACTCTTGAAGTTTCAATATTCATTTGTGCTAATTTTGCCATTACCAATCCAAAGTGCAATGCACGGATTCTGATTGATAAAATGTTACCGTTCTCAAAACAGTGTTGATTTGACTGCCCCTCCATATGAGCTCATTGAGAGCTGGATGAGTGCGGAGCGCCTACGCAGTACCCCTCCAAACGACCACATTTCATCTTGAAGCTCGAAAAATATCAGATTGTGTCTGTCATCTACTCACAGTTATAGAATGTTCAGATTGAATGTCTTGACCCTAATTCTCTCTGGGATTGGCCAAGCTCCTTCATATATGTAAAGCTGCATCGGCACGTGAATCGCAGGGTCAAAATTTCTGTCTGGTGAATTTCTCCATCTCGTCGCATCGCCCACTTTCCACTCTCATCAACAGATTCCACTCCACCGTTACGCAGCTTCGCTCAGGAACCCACATTGGACCCTGACTGCTGCGCCCGAGGAGGACCTTCGCATAGCAGACTTTGTCATCCGGCAATATGGCTAAGAAAGACAAGAAGACCTCCGATAAAAAGGCCAAGCTCGCCGAGAAGAAAGCGAAGCAAGAGAAGAAGGCCGACAAAAAAGCAAAGACCAAAGCGGCCAAGGTCGATGACAGCGATGCAGAGGATGTCGACTTGGACGAGGTTCTAGCTGAGTACCAGAGGCAGCAGGAGCAGTTCCTCAAAGTTACCGAGGTCGTCGCCGAAGGCCCGCCAAAGCCTAGGGCGGCATCATGCTTCCTCGCCTCGCCTAGCAACTCCAAGGAGCTGTTATTATTCGGCGGCGAATACTTCAACGGCGCGCTGGCGACCTTTTTCAATGATCTGCACATCTACAATGTCGACAGGGACGTCTGGAAGACGGTCACGTCCCCCAACGCACCGCTGCCGCGGTCCGGACATGCCTGGTGCCGCGGTGGCAACCAGAGCCAGTATGTGTACCTGTTTGGCGGCGAGTTCAGCAGCCCCAAGCAGGGCACCTTCTACCACTACAACGACTTCTGGAGGCTGGAACCCAACACCCGCGAGTGGCTGCGGATCGAGTTCAAGGGCAAGTCGCCACCCGCGCGGAGCGGCCACCGCATGACCTACTACAAGCAGTACATCATATTATTCGGCGGCTTCCAGGACACATCAAATGCCACCAAGTACTTGGCCGACCTGTGGCTGTACGACACGGTCAACTTTGTCTGGTTCTCACCAGCGCTGCCGCCCGCGCAGCTCAAGCCCGACGCGCGCTCCAGCTTCACCTTGCTCCCGCACGAGCAGGGCGCCGTGCTGTTCGGGGGCTACTCGCGCGTCAAGGCGACGGCGGCAGCCAACAAGGGGGCCAAGGCCGGGGCTCAGGGCCAGCGGAACGTGCTGAAGCCTATGGTGCACCAGGACTGCTTCTTCCTGCGGGTCACGGCCCCGGGCGCCGAGGCGCCGCCCAACACGCCGCCGACGGTGCGGTGGGAGAAGCGCAAGAGGCCGGCCAACGCGCCCGAGCCCAAGCGCGCGGGCGCGACAATGGCATATCACAAGGGCCGCGGGATCATGTTCGGCGGTGTGCACGACGTCGAGGAGAGCGAGGAGGGCATGGACAGTGAGTTCTTCAATGGGCTGTTCGCGTGGAATGTCGAGCGGAACCGCTTCTTCCCGCTCGCGCTGCGCAAGCCGCGGCAGCAGCAGAAGAAGGGCGGCGGGGGCGGCGACGAGAGGGTCGGCAGGAGGGGCCGCGCCGCGGCCAAGGAGGAGGAGCTTCTGAAGCAGCTCGCGGCGCTGGAGACGGGCAAGTCGGTCGAGGACGCGGGCGACATGGAGCTGGACGGCGGCAAGAAGGAGGGCGCCGACAGCGGCGAGGAGGAAGCGCCCGCGCGCGAGATGCCCGTGTCCCAGGAGCTGCCGCACCCGCGGTTCAATGCCCAGCTTACGGTGCAGGACGATGTGCTCTACATATACGGCGGGACGTTTGAGAAGGGGGACCGGGAGTTCACTTTTGACGACTTGTATGCCATCGACCTGGGCAAGATGGATGGGTGCAAGGAGGTGTTCAACCGGAAGTCCGAGGAGGACTGGATAGAGTCGGAAGACGAGGAAGACGATGAGGATGATGAGGATGAGGAAATGGAAGACGACGACGAAGAAGACGAGGAAGATATCGAAATGGTTGACGAGGGCAGTTCAAAGTTCACGCCGAGCAAACGCAAGAAGAAGTCACAGCAGGATGAAGTGTCCAACGCCGGCACAGACTCCACGGCACCCTCGACGGCCGCTGCATCAGAGGAGGAAGAGTCCGAGGCGGATACGGTTGCGACGTCAGCCGACGATGGGCTGCCTCACCCGCGACCCTTCGAGTCGAGGCGGGACTTCTTCCAGCGGACGACGGCCGAGTGGCAAGAGGTGCTGATGACGAGCCTCAGGTGGAAGGGCATCCAACCCGAGAGCCTCACGATCAAGGAGATCAAGGCCAAGGCTTTCGAGCTGAGCGAGGAGAAGTGGTGGGACTGCCGCGAGGAGATCACGGCCCTCGAGGACGAGCAGGAGGCCGCTGGCATCGGAGAGGTCGTCTCGCTGGCCGACAAGGGCGAGACTGGGGCGGGCGGTGGTGGCGGCGCCGGGAGACGGAGGTAAATTTGCACACCCTTGGACCTGCCTACCTGAGCAGACAGAAAGACCTCATTGTCTTGATGCTATCCAGTGCTCTGGAGATCTCTGCACTCCACGGCTCTGCGACTTTTGTGGAATCCCTCATGCCGATAGCAGGCTGCAAGAAAGAGAAGCGAGGTCATGTTGGAGCGACCCGGCCTCTGGTTCTTGGGATTTCACTCTAGGGCTGCCCTTTCGGCCCCAGCATCGCATACACGTATATACTACAACTATGTATCGCCATCCTGCTCAAAGTTATGCTACTTGCCAAGTTCCGTCAATTTGCTTGCCTTAGATGCAAATTCAAGAACGGAATTCAGTACTAATGCTACGTTCTTTGAACATCTAAGCCTGAGAAACTCTCGAGACATGCGAAAGCGCAACGCGTTGACCTGCAGCGAAAGGCGTTCTGAGACTCACACCACTCGAGGAAAATTTTCTTGCAGACATTATTTGGTCTGATTAACAGTAAGTCATGTCTGTTGTAGTCCTTCTCCGTATCTGTGTCTCTAGGGCAGTGCCCATACACCGGGTTGGAGGTGCTATCTACCGCAGAAGTCCCAGCATACACATTATCGTTGTGGTATGAAATTGTCTGCATTTTCTCCTGAATCCCCTGAAAGGTTGTCTTTACATCCGCATCGTGACCAAATACATTGTACCCGCGACTTGACCCTTTTCATGTACAAGTCCTCATAGTAACTATGCATCCCAGTGATATTGTAAGCACATCCCATCTCGGCCAGAATGGGTAGTCAGCGGACAGGAGAGAAACAGTGACTTTGCCCAATTCACCCGGTAATGTTGTTTTTTGGACCACAATTATTCCACCTGTCAAAAAAATATCTACTAAATAAAACTTTTGCATCTATCCATTGACTTGTGACACTACGTGCTGGTTGGGCAAACGGGCACTCGGACTTGTTGGGGGGGATTGGTTTGTTGACGTCTTCGAATAGGGTTAAGTAGGGTTTTTGCCACCCATTGTCCCTTTTCCGCAAACCTACGACGCTTCACGACCCAACAACAGCAAGTCGTAACTTGCGATCCCATTTCCTCGTGAAATGATGGTGTAATTACTTCCTTGGAAGGATTCATTCTCATTTGATTATTTCGTTTTACTGATTCACACCTGTACTGGGGATAAAGACTGGCAACACTGAGGCCATTCGCCGTGACGCAATCGCATTGGTCATCATGCCTCTAGGCATACAGCGACTGAATGCGAAGAAGACCCAGCCGAACGAGAGAGTGGTCTTCATCAAACCTCTCAAGGGAAAGGATGAGGCTATCGCGCAGGACTATCTCGAGAGAATTGCCGCACAATGTCGTACGTACTGACTGTCAAGTGTCCCATCAAGAGCGATTCACGAGGTACTGACTATCCCATGTCAAAGTCCCCGTCATGAAAGAGCACCATCTCTCAGTCACCACACTCGAAGAATATGAGCCCAATCGTGAATTTGTTGGGCGCAACTTCAACGCTGGTGAAATCATTCAGCTGGTGCTCAAGTCCAGATCGGGCCACTGGTTGCCCTTCAACTACGTGCAAATGGTGATGATGCATGAACTGGCGCACTGCCGTCAGATGAACCACAGCCGCGCCTTTTGGAAGGTCCGCAACGAGTTTGCAGAGCAAATGCGAGCACTATGGTCTAGGGGTTATACAGGCGAGGGCATGTGGGGCCGTGGAGCGCTATTGGGCAGCGGAGAGTTCGAGAAGGATACAGTCACAGCTGGCGAGGATCTACCGGAGCATCTCTGCGGCGGGACTTACAGGTCGCGGCGGAGGAAGAGGAGGGCAAAGCCGGATTTGACCTACCAGGAGAAGAAGCAGAGGCGCATCGAGAAGAAGTTTGGGAAGAACGGAGTCGCTCTCGGCGCCGATGAAGATGTCAAACTGCAGCTGGAGAAGGGTCGCGCGACCCAAGCAGCTCCCAGAGTCGCACAGAGTAAGAGAGGGAGGGAGTTGAGAGCCGCTGCTGCGCTGGCCAGATTTGACCAACAAAAGAAGGCGCCCGTCGACCAAGGGAGACCCGACGATGACGACGAAAGCACCGCGAGTGAGAGCGACTACGAAGATGCGGAGGGTGGTACGGCTGATGCCGTCGACATTGATGGGCAGAAGCTTCTAGACACGAAGGGCCACGGCATGATCCGGGTGTGCGGCGATGAGAACCCCGACGATCGAGATGCGGCAAACGAGTTAAGGGAGTTACAATCCTCCGTGACGAGATATGTCACAAGCAGCACGAATCAGCCCAATCGCAAGCTCAAACACCCTGGCTCATCAGCTGAGCTCTCATCCACGCAAGGAGAATTAAGTCAGCCCTACCAGGCCGCCGAGCAAGTTGAACCGAAAGGCAAAGACCAGCAGACCCCCAGCATGAAGAAGGTTGAGGCACAGCCTCGCGGCACAGAAATAGAGACAGAGGCGATTCAGGACGCCACTAAACAAGCAGCAGGTGGAACGTGCACGGCATGCTCGCTCCAGAACGAGGCAAACGCCGTGACTTGCAGCATGTGCTCCAATGTTTTGGATCCAGCTAGTGTGCCGGGCACATGGAGTTGCCAGAGTGGTTTGTGCAAAAATAGCACCTATCTCAACGCCGGAGACTGCGGCACATGTGGCATTTGCGGGCAGCGCAAAGGTGATTCCGGATGAAAGGACCGGACGACGTTTTCGGACAGCAATGACAACCCGGCTGGAGTACTGAGCACGACTTGGGTCTTTCCGCATAAAAGCGAGCCGAGTCATGTTCTCCGGCGTCCCGAGAACAGTTCGCTTACACGTATAGAGAACGATATGATCCTCGACAGTGATAGCATGACCCTCTGGCGATCTTGTTCCGTGGTGCGTGCTTTTGTTTCTGGGATCCGCAGCGGGAGGGAAGCTTGGTGTGGTGGGATGTTCGAGGCCGCCCTTGAACCAAACGGCTTCCTAAACGAGTAAGGAACGCACTTTGTGAGGCAGCTCATCGTCCCAGGTTACGGCTTTGCCATCCGAAGCACCGGATGAAGTGTTGCCGCTGCTCTGGATGGGGCGCAAGAGGTGCACGGACAGGCATTCTTCCAGAGACGTCGTGTCATGAAAGCCAAGTCCAACAGTTCTGAGGCTCTCAGCAGATTGGCAAGACGCCACCCAGCAAGCTGCGCCTACCAATGCAAGTATTGCTGCCCATATGTCAAGTAGTCGGCCTTAGACGTCACAACGCTGGTAGATCTGCGGTAGCTTTTGTTGGATTAAAGAAACCTCCCTCATCCCTTTGACCATTATGATACTATTTAACACACAGAAGTAGGCGAGGCTGACAATATGTCTCGGGAAAAAGACGCACCTGCTCAGTGCGCGCGCCCTTGCTTGCACACCCAAAAAGAGAGGTCAATTTTTCGGGGTGCTAGTATCGAAAGGGATTGGCTGGGGATTGGTGCCGACGCACTCTTTGGTCTGTTTCATCTTTTTCTTCTGCTCCCTTTCCATCCTATCGCAACCCCACGCCGTAGTCGACGTGTGGGTGGGGTACTGCTACGCATAAGGTTCGCCAAAAGCATTAAGGTTACAGCAGCGTTCGCGCGCCCTCGACTTGTCTGGGGGCTGCCCTTGCCGTCGACGACCGGGGTGGGCGGACCCCCTTCCCAGAGGGTAGAAGCACAGGTCGTCTGATTCTTCGGGAAGGTTGGAGGGCTGCGAGGATCACCGCGGGAAGATTACTCTTGCAGTCGATGCGGTGCAGATCTCGGCTCGCTGGGCTTTGTTTGGAAGGACCCCAGTGCACGAGGGCCAATGCAGGGATAAAATGTGAGTGCATGGAGAACCCGGCCGATATGTCTTGTTGCCTATATTCAATCAATATCCGTGAGACTCGATAGTTGTTCGGTTTGTATAAGGGCGAGAGGGGGAACATCAAACATGATCTCCGAGTGTTCGCTCCTAACCTCATCTTCATTCACTTTACTGTCGACGGCAACTCGCTCAGCTGAACGACACCTTCTTTTCTCTTGATCCACAGATCTGTGATCGTTCAGTCCTTTCTTCAATCCATTGATCGAATTTCAAATCTTGCTCGACTTCTTCGCGTGCTCTCTTCGTCCCGTCTGACCGAGTCGACGCCTCTCCATCACCCCCTTCACCTCGTTTCAACTTCGTCCCGTTCACGGCTTTCACGCGAAAGGACGAACTTCTCAGTAAAACCGAGGACACCCTCAGCTAGTAGCTCGCCATACTATTCACATATCCCCACAATGTATCCGGTTTCTGTGATCCTGAAGACCTTTGTGGTCTTTGCTAGCCTCAGCGCGGCTAGGCCGTCTTCCTGGAGCGTTCCGCCAGGTAAGTTTGAATGGAGGCTTGTTGACGCTTTTATTCTAATCAAGCCACTAGAGCACTTGGAAATACTGGCTCTCCGTCGAGCCACGCCTCTGAACCCAGATTCCGTTAGTGATGTTCGTTGCTGGAACACCGAAGAGTAAGTCCTGCCCCTGCAATCCACCTATCAATTACGGACCGTATCTGACAAATATCGCAGGAAGATCATCTTCCACGAGGAAAACGCAGCCCAGCTCGCCATCTGTGACGGTATCTCAGGCGCCAAGTCCCAGTGCGGTGGATCACCAGCCGTGACTGTTGGCAGGAAGGGCAGCGCCAAGTTCACCCTCACTGCCATTGAAGACGGGGCCAAGATCAACATCTCCAAAGTCAGGTGGGAGGAGTGCGTCCATGCTGCCCGTTCCGTGTGCCCTACTGGTAGCCTCTCAGCAACATGCCGGGGCGGCGCGACCGTGGGCGACGTGGCGTTTGTTCTGGAGAATCCTGCGGTGGAAGCCAAGCGCTGAACTAGGCGGGCGAACCACCAGGAGCGACACACTTTACAAAACCAATTGCGACCAAAAGGCTTTTTCAATCGAAAAGGTGCCTTATAGGGGGACTCTCCCGTGCCCGCCACAGGAGGCGGGTTCGCGGTGGAATCGTACCCATCTTGGCTGGCCGACTTCACTTCTTGCGACCTCACAGCAAGGCTCGACAGTGCGCTAGGGACATGGCTACAGGGCGGCGTTTACTGGGAACGAACGGATTTTGGCATTCTACTTGATACCTGCCCTTACATTACCCAACAAGGGGCTTTAAGGAGGCAAAATGGATCAAGAACGGGGGAGAGACTTGATGTACTACTACCCGTGATGATGCTAGATATCCAGATACCTGTCTCTGCGGAGACCCAAATTTTGTGATGACGATGTTTAAGATCGGACCCTTATTTTTTTCTCCTTGCATGCGTGACACGGATGCTGCGTTGCGATAAGAGTGAAACACTTCTTGCTTTTACGTTGCATTGCTCAATTTCTTTGTTTCAAAGCCCCAAGGTTTGTCATATAGTCGGCAGACAACTGTCATGGACACTCCGTCCCTGTGTGCCCGAGAACAAAGCGCGTGTCACGCAATTCAGATAATTAATTAAACAAGGGGTATTACACTTCCACTGTAAAGTAAGGTGTCCACTACCAATCTCCCGGTGTTGCAAGGACTGAGTTCATCACGGCCGCCGCTCAAGGTCTCAGTGCCACTTTCAGAACAACCCCGACGCGTAAGCATGCACAGGTATCATTGTCAATAAATCGCGAACGCCATGTCAAGTCATCATAGTGAAAAAATGCCAAAGCACAATGTCATTTGAATATGGGTATCACAGTAATCGCTTTTGCACACAGCCAAGCCTGCCTCATCACATCGCGCCAGATAGGCAGCACCCCCCCTTCATTACAGCATCACACCTCCAGCCGGGCCGATTCAAAGCCCATACCGCGTGACGCACTCCTCGCGATGCACATCCAGGCAGTCCAGCGCGCACACCCTCGTCCCGCACTTCATGCACCTCACCCGGCCCCAGTACCCACAGACCTCGCAGAACTGGCGCGCCGGGTACCGCCTGTCGTCCTCGGTCCACACGCCCCGCGCCTGGTTATAGTTGAGCGGCGGGGCGCGCAGCAGCTCGCGCAGCTCCTCGTCCGTGGGCAGCGGCGGCAGCCACGACTCCAGCAGCGGGTCGGCGTCCCCAGGGCACGAGGGCGGCTGGAAGCGGGTGCATGGTGTGAGGATCTCGGACTGGGCCTCGGCGGGCGGCGCGGCGGACTCGGGCTGGTCGGCAGCACTGGTCGGCGGTGGTGCGTCTGTCATGGCGATGTCGACGTCGGCGGTTGGTGTGGATACCGGTGTTGCGGACTTCTTGTTGCCACCAGTAGATGTCTTGCCTTTTGAACTTGACGCGCCACCTTTCTTGGTCGCAGCAGCAGCCGCTGCCGCCGCTGGTCTTCTGCTGCCTCCGGATGGGGCAGACGGCGCGGGGGTGCCCTCCAAACTCTGTGCTTGACTCCTCACCGGCGCCTCGCTCTGCGTCCGGCACCAGGCCTCGAAGTCGTCCAAGTGATTCGCGAATGTCTTCTGACTGGCCAGTATCTTCCTCACATTGGGCGTGTGCCCCCTGATCTTGCCGTCCTTATCCCTCCCACCACTCGGTATCGGGATCTGGCCATCGCGGCCGCCGAAGTTGTCCCGCTGTAGCTCGTCGATTTCCTTCTGGATCTTGGCGTCGTGTCGTGCCGAGATGCCCTTTTGCACGTTGGCGTTCGAGCCCGGGGCTTGGTTCGCATTGCGAGCGGCGCGCTTGTTCCGGTTGACGTGCAGGTGGACGGCGGAGACAGACTGGCTGGGGGTCGCGGTGGCGCCTGTGTCGGGCACATAGGCCCATCCCGGCGCGTTAGTGGTTTTGGCGCTCGCGACTTCGATGACACCGAAGTTGTTCATGGCGGAATCTGCGAGGTGTGGTTGTGATTGGATTGTCTGCGGTAAGACTGAGTTCGGGAAAGGTGGGTTATATTTTGACACTACGTCGGCCCGCGCTCGGCAGACTGCGCGCGACCCACCGCGAGCTCTAGCTCTAGGTCGAACGGATGCCCATCTTATACTGGTCTGCCTGCAAGTGATCAACAGCGATGGATGCCGCCTGACTAGACTACGGTCTGTTCAACGCATGAATGACTGCTGCTCTCCTACGCAGATATGCAATGAGTACATTGTTTCGTCGCAATTCGGTTGGTCGCTGGGAAAGATTGACAGAGCCAACCTGATCGAAAACCAATTCAGAACCTCACGTAGATCAACCTCTGCTTCAAAACTACCTCAATTGAAGACATTTTCGTTTCTTGAATACGATTTTAGGCTGTCTGATGCGCACCATAAGGTGCATAGGTACTCGGTTATGATTGATACAGCCTCGCTCTTCGCGTCGTCACATGATGACGAGCTCGCCCGTACTTCCCGGCTCGACCTAGACGCACCTCCCCTACTTCCTCTTCTTTTCCATCGTATCGATCTTCTCCTCGAGTGTTGTCAGGTAGTTGCTCATTCGGTGCGTGGCTGCCTGCAGGGCCTGTGTTGATGCGTCAAGGACGGTTAGCGATCCTGCTCTGAGTCCGAGTGTCTTGAATGTGGTAGCAAGGAATTGGGTACGATGCAAGTTTCAAGCTCTGTGAGTCTGAGCCTGGGGGAAGTTGGATGCAGGAAGGGAGATCATCAATGTCTGCAACGCACGTAGATATCATCCTGGAGCAGCTCGTTCGACGCCTTGTAGTCTGTCAAGACGTAGTAGTAGGTCCCAGAGCCGGCGAGCGTTGCGCCAAGCAGGAATCCGAACAGTCTGTTCCAGCTGAGCATTAGCAAATGTTCCCGCCGTCATTGCTTCCGGTATGATCCTGTGACATGACTGACCCTCCGCGGAAAGCGCCCAAGGGCTTGCTGGCTGGGAGCGGCGCGGCTTCGGCGTAGAGCCTCGGAGCAGAAGTCTGGAAAGATCGTCGTGCTGTGCTGCCGGTAGAGCGGAGAGCACGCGCTCCGGATGAGAGTAGTCTTGCGGCCATTGTGGCAAGCTGTCGTGAGGTCGCGAGATGGAGATGGGAAGTTTCGGGGAATAGCCAATTGTCTCGGCGGCTGCCAATGGAGCTCCAACGCTGAGACGTCACCTGGAAGTGGACGTGCCAAGAAGGGCGGGGCCGCTTGGCCAATAGCCTCCTGGTGGTTACCTAGGTACCCTGCAGGGGGCTCAATTGGGTGTCAAGTGCAGCTCTAAGTCTCCAGAAGGCCTACTGCCCGCCGGGCGCATAAATTGCTTGCAGTCAGAATGGTGAACCATCCTTTCCACCACTGCGACGTGAAATGTACTCTGACTGGCTGTTCTGCTCGCGATGACTGAAAACGATTCGACCGCTGGATTCAAGCCCAGTGCTGCCAGCAACGCAGCTCTCGAATATGTGGACTTATGCGAGGCCGAGAGCGACCTCTGGTCGAGTGAGTCGTCCATCACGCTGCTTGGAATCTGTATCGTGGCCGTGGGCGCCAATCCAAGTAATCCTGGCGGAGCTCGCAAAGACGTCTATTCAGGCGTCTGCTAAAAGCAGGCCGGTCTCCCACTAAGCAATTGCCAGCCACGTGAAGCAATTGACTAATGAGGGCCGGGCCAACATGCCTTTGCGCCGTCCTGGCCGCACGTCTGTGTTCCCACAAGGAAATTCTCGTCAGATGTATGAATACACTACTTGACGACAGCCCCAGACGGGTAGGGTGGTATGGTTATGGACCAAGCCGACTTATTACGAAGCCAACGGGAGCAACCTGCTATCAAGGATAGAAAATTCTTTATCCGGTTTGAAGCCAGACATCCCAAGAAGAGGACGGCATACCTGAAGCATGACAATTGGCACGGAAACAAAGAAACGATAATCAGACTAGGGACATCTGCTCAAGTCATGTCGTCGACATATCGGTGGAATTGTCCGACCGGACTCTGCATTTACGCGCAAAAGTAGAAGGCAGTCCAATACGTAAAAGATTCAATTATTCGCATGCGCCAGAACGGGCTATTTTGACCGTGACCATGAATCCCTAGAATCCCAACGAACCAGTACAAAAAAATGAAATACTAAACCGATCTCATGTATTGCGCAGCACGAAATCACGATGGCTCATGACTCCTCTACAGCTCGTCGTGCTCTGTCTCCTTCTCCTTCGCCTCCTCGGTCTTCTCAGTAGCCGCAGGAGCGACAGGCGTCTCCTCCTCATCCGCGACGGAAACCTTGGCCTTGTACTTGCCGTTCTCGGCAATGAAGTCGATCAGGTCCTCAATGGTACGAGAGCCGCTGTAGGTAGCAGGAGAGTCCTTGCCACCAGCCGCGTAGAGCTTGATGGTAGGGAAGCCCTGGATCTCGTCGGGAACATCGTTGGCAGTGGCATCAACCTTGGCAATGACGACCTTGTCCTTGAACTCTGACTTGCCGTAAAGTGTAGCCAGCTCGTCGTACTTGGGAGCAAGAGCCTTGCAGTGACCGCACCAGGGAGCGTAGAACTCGATCAAGACGTCCTTGGTGTCATCCTTGACGATCTCATCGTAGTTCTTGGCCACGACGATGGTCACGGGGCCCTCCTGGGTCTCAGGGATAGGCTCGGACTTGATGCTGGGCTCAATCTTGCCGGCGACGAAGTCCTCAACAAACTTCTTGATATCCTTGGCGACAAGCTTCTTCTCCTGGTCGTAAGGGAACTTCTGGTTCTTGACGGTGTCCTGGATGGCGAAAGCAGGGAACTTGTCGGCCTTGAGGTTCAGGTTACCGGCGTGAGCGCCAAACTGCTTGGCATCGATGCTGGCGAAGTTGACAACACCGCGCTGAGCCTCGGCAATGGACTTCAGCTCTTCGCTGAGCTCCTTGCGCTCCTCAGGGGTCTCGGCGAAGATGTAAGCCAGGGGCTTGCCAGAGGACATGTAGTCGGAGTAGGTCTCGGGGCCAACCTCGCCAATCAAGGGGGTGGCAGCGGTCTTGGCAAAACCCTCAATCGCCTCAACGTCGAACTTCTCAGAGAAGACAGTCTTGCCCTCGTCAAAGTCCTTGTACAGAACAACAGCGGGGGCGGTGACGCCCTCAGCCTCAGCGAGCGCAGCATCACTGCTTGCGCCGAATGGGTAGTTGTCGCGGAGCTTCTCGGCGACCTTGGTGAAGGTCTCGTTGGAGGCCTTGTCAGAAGCATCGAAGTAGGCAACGAGGACGACCTTGTCGGCCTTCTTGAAGTCCTCGAGGGTATCGGCGGTAAGGACAGAGACTGCAGGAAGGCTCTGCTTGATCATGTAGGATGTGATGCTAAGCAGCACACAGTTAGCGTACTGTTATAGAGCTCGGGACAATTCAGAGGAGAGTGCTAGCTTACGCAGTCGCCTTGCGCTGGCCCTTGTAGGGGGTGATGTTTTCAAGGCCACGGAAGACCTTCAGGGTGGGGTATCCCTCAACGCCGTATTGTTGGCACAGCTCAGACTCCTCTGTGCAGTCAACTTTGATGAGCTTAATGTCCTTCTCCTTCAGGGTCGTGGCGGCCTCCTCGTATTCTGGGGCGAGGGCCTTGCAGTGGCCGCACCATGGGGCAAAGACTGGACCAGTCTGGTTAGCTGTGGAATCAATGCTGCGGGCACTTGACAATGCAACGTACATTCTGCGAGGACAATGTCGTTGCCCTTGACGAACTCCTCAAATGTGTCCTTCTTCAGCTGGGTAACATCTGAAGCGGAGGCAACTGCCGCAGCAGCGAGCAGGCCGTAGGCCATGTTCCTGACGGAAGGCATCTTGGTGTCTGATATGCCTGAAGAGAAAGAGTGTCAACTTGTGTGCCACGATCTGATGGTCTCTTGAATTGCATGCAATGCTTCGTGGGAAGCCTGTGCGCGAGGACAAAGCGATGTAGGTTGGTTGGTGGGTGCGTGCAGCAACTGTAGATGGCGGGCGACATACCTTGAAAGCTGGCCTGATATCAGTTGCAGGTGGCGGGGTAAGGGAAGACTTAAATCAGCAAAACAGCCAGACAAAAAGATCACCAGTGACTGTGATTCCCTAGTGAATGGCTAGAAGAGAAGAGTGTATACAATCCTCTTCAGTAAAAGGGTTGATGTTGGGGGAATGGGGAGGAGGAAGGAAATGGTGTATGTGTTGATGCCTCGACCTTGGATAAAAGATGGCGATAAGATGGGGCAGATGGACAATGCCCCTGCGATTTCTAAGCTCACCAAGCGTACCGATTGAACAGGTGTCTTTTCCACTTCACCAGCTCCTTCAGCTCTTGGCGGGCCAGGAACTCCCCAATTTAGCCTTACTGGAGGGTCGACCTAGGACCCTTGTTGCCACCGTGGCAGGGATTATCGCCTGCCGAAATCATGGGGAAACCTTGGGAGACTAACAAGAATATTGCTGAATCGAGAAATCCCATCTTTTGGACCCTTAGTGTTATCCCCGTGCTCAACTTGGTCCCGGCTACCCTGAGAGTGCACAATTCACTTTCAACAGCTTCTGATCTGCAATCAATCTCAATGATAGTAGGTAGGGACTTCTTCTACTCGTCGAGGGGACACCTTGATCTGCTCACCATTGGCAGATAGCAGCTGTTCATGAGGCCACCAGCTAATCACCACAGAGTGCAGTACCATGTAGAGTAGGTATCGCACTCCACTCACAGGGACTCGCCTTACTCGATAGTGGACAAGGCATGGAGCACGGGCTAGCTAGATCGAGGCAGAGGCTCTACACGGAACCACTGGCCCGCTATTGCGAGTGCCATTTAGGCCGGAGACTGCCGCTGTTACCTGCCCGCTTGTTCCGTCCCACCAAACGTATCCTAGTCCCTTGCTGGGTGAAGTCAAGAAGAACATATCTGTCTTCAACTTCAGAAGAGTTATCCGCGAAGCTCTTGTCTACCGTCATGCACCCGCACTGTCTAATGTCGCTCGGGTGTGCTTGGCTATGCGCAATGGACGTGGCATGACGATCCGGGGAAAATATTTGCGGATTACCAAACCCTTGCACTCGTGGCCAGGTCCAAGACGCTCACTTAGTGATTGTGGATGATTTCGTCTCTGGTAGCTTCGATGCTATTATGAACGCTATCGTTTTGGCTCAAGCGATGGGCGTATTCAGAATTCTGGACTGCGACGGCTGACCAAGATTCACACATCGGCCTGCAGGCACAAGCGACCCATTCGGAGGCCAGAGAGGCACGCTTTCGTAATGGACAACTCGGTACAGACTAACTAATTATGTGATTTCCATGGTCAGGATTACTGTTCTCCCTATGCTGAATAGCAGTTTCTAGTGCCCTGCTGACGTGGACTTGTTCAAGACGGCTTGAGGTCCCGTGATGGTGATCAGAGCACTTGCTCGTACTATGCTCCAGAAGGTACCCTCGCCTGCGTGCTGAATCAAGGATTTCAGAGCCTTTCGATTGATTCATACTGTCCTCGAGGACGGAATCCGGGAGGAACTTATGCATTTTGCTCAGCCTCCAGCGATCATATTTATCTCCGTACGTCGGCAGACTTGCGTAGCGAGGCATTGGGCAAATACTCGAATGAATATCAATGAGTGTAAGTTATGGCAGATGTTTTGTATATTAAGAAATTATTTCAGGAGCAGATTAGACGAGTGTTGCATATCACCTTCCATATTGACCTACGGTGTCGAGCTGTATTCATGCCGTCCTTGACCTAAAAACTGACAGCTATGCCAAAGGGTATTGGCCTTGAACAAGCCTTTGTTTACGATGCTGACAGGGGCCTAAACTCATAGTAAGAAGCTTCAACCCTCCCCCTCCCTAAAACCAGTGCAATTCCTGTGATATTATTGTTGACAGAAATTCAAAAATTTCCAGGGCTAATGTCTTGTCACGCGTTCTTCTCTTAACGCTAGAGCATCACGATTCCATGAGAGATTCAACAGGGAATCATAATTTGGAATTCAAGTGGCAGCTGAGCTATTATCGTGCAGCCCAGTGACCTGTCCACTCGAATATGTATGATGCTCGATTCCCATGAGCAGGTCTGCTCTTGGCCCTGTGGAGATCACATCATGGTATCGATATGTATATTGCAATGGCACACACACAGCATCGCACATTCTCATCATTGACATGCCTAGGTAATAAAATTTCACTGCCAGGTATCTGATACAAATGGAAGTATGCCATCTGAGTCTCTTGTTGCTTACTTTCGAGACACAAACCAAACTCAGCACAGAGGTCAGAGTCCTTTTTCCCTCTCATAACAAGACCAAAGAAACTGAAGAGATAGAGCATGTTTTCTGAACTGAGATTGGTCTCCCCTATAGAAAGCTTGGAAACAGGCGGGGCAGGTGCTACCCATAGCAGCAGGGCTGGCGACACGGCTGTTGCGAGCAATGTCCTTCTGTGAAGTCACACCGTCCATTGATGGAGAGCTGGGACTTCATGTCATCAGAGCAACAGAAAGGAAAGCTCGTGAATGTGTTTTTCTCGTAGGCCAGGACCGAGGGAGGAGGTATGGGAGGGGGGGGAGGCCGCTCACAGTACTCGCCAGTCGTCGTTACCGTCTCTTCAACATCAAGGGTAGCAGCAGAAGGAGCACCCCAGCTGCCCGTACCTTCTCCTGGCATTCTCCTCCAAGCTTCACACCCATGGCTTGAAATCGGTGAGGTGGAATCTCCCGGGAACACTCAGTCATCATGGTTCTCTAGCACCCTCTCCGCAACCCGCCGTCGCGTTGAGTCACCGTCTCCATCTTGGATTTTGATTACGAAGCCCGGAGGAACCATTGCACAACCATAGATCATACATATCTGCTCACGTACCATACTCGCGTGATTCAGTATTTTTTTTTTCTCTGCCCCATTTCAGCTCGAATGGATGAAGCTTCGACTGTCCGGTGCCAGCAATCAGAATGAGCCAGCAACGCGTCGCAAGGCGTTCAGCCAGCCATGGAGCGCTCAGCAACTCATACGTCGCTCAAGGACGGGCTGGCTCAGACTCTGGACATTACCTGCCCCCCTTTCGACCGCTTAGGAGCATCAGGGAGCATACCTTCCTGGACCCTGCCGCGTCAGCAGAGGGTATGCTGAGAAAGACGACCGAGACTGGTAACATCGGAATTTTCTCCATCAATGTCACTAGATCCAATGACCAGCTGTTCCGGAGACCCAATGGTTTGCGTGCCCGAGCCAGCTTTAATGACTTACACCGGCCGCCGCGACCTTTTTCACGGAGCAGTGACAGGCTCGCAGGACGAGACGACCGAAAGCAGCTCCCTTCCTACCGCGACAGCACCTCTGAGATAATATCGATGTATGGATCGGAAAACCACAGCAGCAAGTCCCTTTCAAGCTCACTAACCACACCCTGTGACGAATATGGCCCGAGGTCGTACTCAATGACGAGCTGCGGCCCCAGAGGATGTTTCATACCCAGGTATAATGCAAGCCAGCACTTACAGGAGTACCCAGGAAGGATACAGCGCCCCAGGTCCCCCTACCCCTACCCGACTCGTTTGCCACGCCACGATGTCCGTCCTGCATCTCCAGCCCTGACTATAAGTGGTGATGTCGACTACAGCAGAATGGTCGCGATTGACAGGGTCTCTCACGTAAGTCACGCAGAACCAGCTTGTTGCTCGGAGATGGTCTAGTACTAATCTCACAACAGCGAACAACTCACCACCCTTACAAGACGCTTTTCCCGTGCAAGACGACAAGGTCTCCTTTGCCGCTCTCTCTGAGACAAGACGCAAACCTTTCAACACGCTCGTTATCTGATCACCATGTCACATCTCGTGCTAACCCACCTCGACCGCGAAATCAACCACCGCTACCAAGTCATCTTCACGAGTGGGGCGGGAGACCAAGAGAGAGGCTCGAAAGTGGCTCATCGGATCGGAGTTTGAGGACCATGAGCTTGACATCAATGAGTGGCGGGTACGGCCAATTCTCCTCACGGATGCGAGGTATTACAACAGTACCAAAGAAGCCTCTATTCTACGACTACAGCGAAAATTTCGAGGATATCGTCGAACCACCACCACCAGTCGTTCCGATTGCTCCCATCCCACGGCGCGTATCAAATTCATATCGTCCCGCGGCTGCCCAGAACGACAGGGGTGCGAAAACCGAGTGCGCAGACGATGCACAGAATGAATTCGTGGCTTATCTTCACGGGGGAACGACCACAAGCCATCACGTTGATGAATCTATTGCTTCCGCCCATAACCAAGGTCTACAATGGTCTTCACTACCTCATGATTCTGTCACCTCCCCACAAGGCGCCCCGGAGGATCTTTTAGAATCATTTCCATTGACGGAAACAGCTGTCCCAATTAGAGATTGTGATGCCTTGGCACAAGTTCTGGATGATAATGGGACAGTAGACCACGGGAATGCGATGAATAACATTGGCCAAACGAAGGAAATGACAGTCGTTGAAACAAAGTCAGACGCTTCTACCCTGGATGATCTATCCGAGCCGAAAACACCTGGATTCAACGCGAACGTGCCATTTCATGAGGTAGTGCGCTGTGACGAGGCAGCCAGCTCATGTACAGACTGCCACGAGGGCCGTATGTCTAGTCAGGGTGTCGTCCCTTCACAAGAACTGGACAAGTTGCCGAGCTTGACAAGATCCGCGTCCATCAGCTTTTCGAGGCCTCACTTGACTGAAGACGCCTCAACATTACCGAAGGGGAATTATCATCTGCGGCACGACAGCCGCTTTTACTCCTCAGGCTCTGGCTTATCTGATTTGGCGTCTTTCGTACAGCAGGTTGACCAACATTTTCAGACAACGGGTCCGGAAGACATCGACGTTATCTTTAATGAATCGAGAGACTCACATGGCTGGACTCAGACCATGACAGGAAATACTTCTGCCAAGAATAGGCCTCGCCCGTGGGAAGATAAGGGGCTACGATCCGAACAGCGTACAAATGCAGTGCCACACCCCCCTCGAGTGTCGTCGCTCCGTGAAAATCGGAGGCAACCGGCAGCTCTCAGGGTCGACACTGCAGTTGATGAGCCTCACCAGTATCAGGTTGTTTCGACACGCAGTGGCCCAACGTTGACGCCACAGCCGATATCACCTGCAAAGCAATTACGGGTGAAAAATAGCATTCCCCAATTGATGAAGGCTTTACCACCCCTGCCTGGGTATGCACCTGCACCGGAATCGCCTTTTGGGCCTGCTGTCGTGCCAATGGAATTCGAGCCCTTTGAGATCTCTCAGCTGACGGACGCCCGTTCTACCTTAATCGAAGCTTTCCAAGCAGAGGATGCTTCCAAAGGGTACGACGCCTTCGTCTTTGACCGAAATACTCATAAGCCGAGACTGAAATTGAAACATGCTGCTTCATTCGCGGTAGGAAACGAACGCAATTTGAGACGTGAACATATCGTTCCAAAGAACGTCTCCCGACCCGATGCTTCTATCAAGCGACCGGCGACTGCAACGGAGACTGCGACAGAGACTACAACTGAGTACTCTACTGCCCCTGTGAAGCGAAGACTCCCGATCAAAATTTCTCGTCCCATGCTCACATCACTGGCACGTGAAGACGCAGGGACTGTAAAGCGACGGCCAGGGATCCAGAAATCTAGCACCGTGTCAGAGCTCACTTCTAAGGAGCCCATTGATCTTTTCAGTTCCGCGGTTGCCTTGCGAGCTGCAGTGGCAAAAAACGATATGTGCTCAGCTCAGCAGAAAAGCCTCAATGCCGCAGTCCAAGCGAACGAGCCAATTGTCAAGATCACGCCGGTGGTCAGGATCCAGCAAATTCCTGCCGATGCTGACATTAGAGGCACTTCCTTGGACGCGCATATGGATAAGTTGCGCTTACCGAGTGTCGATTCTCACCAAGGCGTGGAACATGAAATACGGAGTTTTTTCTCCGACAACAGCATTGTGAAGCCGCGGCAAGGGTTGAGGAAACGAATTTCAAATTTGAAATCGAAGCTTGCAGAAACCAGAAACCATCGTCGATCGCCCCTAAGCAAGCTCCCGCAGGATGATCGTCACGGGGGCAACGGCATTCTCTTGACTCCTCAAGGCCAGCCAAGCGGCACGCGCAATGAACTATTCAAACCAGCGCAAGCATCCAAAGCACATCCACAAGTCATAAATGTGCGCACAGTAAGAAGCAAATTGGGGAAGTTCATGAAGGGTGCAAAGCACAAGTTTCGAACTTGGGGCAAATCCAAACGTAGGATTGACTGATATACCAATTTACATACCATGGCTACTAAGGGTTGTACAAGCAGGCCATTCCTCATTCCCGAAAATCATGGCGCACAGTTTGGAGAAGGCTTGCGTTCGGGAGATACATTTGGTTCGGTCGAAGCTGACAGCTTTTGGTCGAACGTCATCTCTGGCTCGGACGGTGAAACAAAATTCGTGGTTGATGTGTCGTCGTCAAAATGCTGTCACTCGGGTATGTGAAGATGAGAGGAGAAACAAGCCTGCGGAGGAAACAACGTACGTGGAAGACTTGTATAATAAAGCGTGCGACTTGTCCAGAAATTGCTCACCGCGGTCGACTTCGGTAATGATGGAAGCTATAACTCAATACACAGAAAAATACACATACATTGTTCTAGTTCCCTGCGTGATCTCTATATGATCAGTCTCACAGCTGTGATATAAGGTTGACTGGGAGCATTTTGGTAACTACATGTGCAATTTTTGTGCACCATGGAGATCAGAGGCATTCTAATGCCTGTATAGCGCCAATTGTATACGTAGAAAAGCAAGGAAAGTCATCGATGGTCGTTGAGAGGTCATTCACCCTGCCGTTTTAGCAGCATGCCGCTTCTCTATTGGCCTTGTTGCGTAATTCTTCTGGCACGAGAATGTGCTTGTCTGTCTACGACAGAACATCCTGTTCAAGTCCGGCCAGTGAGCAAAGTGCATAGATCTCGTTCGTGAGGAGGCCTGGCTGGCTATAAATCCCACCATAAAGCTGTAAACAGACTTGGTCCGGAGCTTTGAGAAATCTGAATAGAGAGATGACGTTCGAGTTTCTCACAGCTGTGTGTGCGGAAGGGTGCCTTAAGACGAGTGCGCACCAGAGTACCCTGATGGGCGGACACCAGTTCCGTAAGGGAAAAATTGCAAAATGGTCATTAGGAACCACAATTAGAGTCGCCAAGCGGCCCAAATGGGTATGGACTTTTTGGTCCGCGATATTTCATACTTCCAGGAGCTGTGAGCTGCAAGGCTGACTTATGGGTTATTCAATCGATCGTGTGGTTTCACAAGAACACTATCATGTCAACCGCATCCAAGGGAACGTTTCCTCCCGTCTTTGCGGAGCTCGAAAGATCCATAAATTTTGCGGTAAGTCGTGGTTGCTAGGACAGTGGATTTTATGGTAGACTGACTGAGCGAGCCGTGATGCTTGCTATGGGTTCTGACTATAGTCTACGCCAATTTTTACACCCATCCAGATGGGCGGCTCTCAATCAGGTCCAAGGCTAAGCAATAACCTCAATTTTTAAACACTAGACAAAATTCAGGGGAATTGCAAGCTTTATAATATACACCCCCTCCCGGCCCAAATATCTCTGAGTTTCGGCCTTCAGATTTCACCACCAGAGACTATATGCTGACTTCCACCGGAACTAAACATCAAAACGCACACCAAATACACGAGGCATCCAGAGTCATCTGACAAAGCAAATTTCACATTTAAAGCAGTTATGTTCTCCCGGAAAAGATCGACTAGTGAGAGGCCACCGAAGCGCTGCTTCTTCATGATAGTTTGTGGTCTGCTCAGTTGCAGACTACTGGCATCCTTAACCTCAGGAACCGTTGAAGGCCCTAGAAAGAGGTATGTGAAGGAATGGAGGATATATCAGCAATACATGGATGAGCAGGAGCAGCAGGCTCAACAAAACAAAGAGGCGAGTGCCTCTTCAACAATGCCAGCGAGCCCCTTGGAGAAAGACAGGAAAGCCAGACGCCTTAGAAGATTCCTGTCCAAGATGCGGGAATGCAGAGACCGCATCTGCGAGGTGGCTAGTATCTCAAAAATCCGACAGAAACTCCGCCACAGGAGATATAGAGTCAGGAAGGGCGACCCGGCGCCGAAGCCACCGCCATACTGTCCCCACTGGCATAAACCCCGGTATAAGGTGGAGAAGGCGTATATGAGGATAGGGACAGAGCGTCTCAGGGTCTACACACCGGGGCACAAGACCCGCCTGGAAAAGTACGAGGCACGTATGCGGGAGGCAGCGTTGAAGGAGGCAAGGCTGAATGTGGGCTGTCACAGCAGCCACTCTAACTCACAGGCCACTACATTGACTGCTCAGCAGGCGGATCTCGAGGCGGAGCTAGAGAGCTTATCCAAGCAGCTGCAGGAATCTGAATTTTGCAACGAGCAGTTGGTGAAGGAACTGTTTGCGTTGCACCTCACTGCGAGACGGGACCAGCAAGAGGAACCTCAGGAAGCGCACGCTTCCACAGAAGAGACAATCAGCGGTCACAGAAGTCTCGGAACTGTTGCGCTGAAAGGGAAAGAAGCACCAAACAGATTCGGGCACCTCGAAGCCAGTTGGCAGTCACAGTCAATTGCTCTTTTGAATTGACATGAGACAAGCCGCCACTAGCAGGTTCAAAGGGAAACACGACCGGACAAGATGCCCCAAAGGGACATCGAGCTCTTGATACATTTCTGAAGGGCGCTCTACACGACGAAGTAGAACGGTAGCCTCTGATTGAGAAGGGCAGCGGCAATAGACTGACAGTCATAGGGGGCTGGCCCCGAACCAGGAGGAATGAAAGAGATGACAGAGACTCCACGAGAGATGACTGATAGGGACTGTTCCCTGCAAGACGGATCTAGATCTGGTTGATCTCAACAAGCAGAGGATTTTGAAGAGCGACAAGCGTGTTGTGATTTGGGAGATGAATATTTATGATGATGGTTGGGTATCTATGTTTTGGTCTGTTGCCATCCCGCAACCATTTATATCTTTTAGAGCAGCATGCAATCCAGACCCGGTCGATGCCTTGATATAGGGTACTTCATAATCTCATGTGATTCATGTTCTACTAGGGACCTCAAAAGACGCCACCGCCGATGATAAATAATCGCTCTTCTTCCTTCTTGGCCCATTGGATGATCTTGTTGGCTCCTTGTGTCATTACCGCCCGGGAAGCATTTGGTCCCGCTACGCAGTAGAACTCAAAGATCGGGGTGACCCACGCCAGGCTGGTGGCATCCTGCCCGACGCAGTGCAGTACCTTCAGGTGCGAGTGACGCGCGTGGACCGAAGCGTGCAGCTGGTGGTAGAGCGTCATGAGGCGCCTGCGCGAGACGAGACCGTCACCATTGCTTGCTTCTGCACCATCTTCATCCGCGCCATCAGCAGCGGTCATCGGCGAAACCCCCTTTGACCTAGAGAATAGATCCAGTGATGACATGCAGAATTGCACGTTGGCCCGAGATTTGTACACGAAATGGCTAACCTGGCTCCCGGGTGCAATATTTGCCACCTGAGGCCGGCCGGCCTTGACGGCTGCTTTGATGATATCGAGACTGCCGTTCTTCTTGAGGCTGCTCGCGACCTTGTCGCGCATCTCCTTCAAATCGTAGAAGGACTCTCTATCCGGGCTTATGAGGATAATAGCAATCTCGTCTTCGGGCGCGACGGCAGCCTGTTTGGCCCCGTCTGCCGTAGACTCGTCAAAGAAGCTGACATACATATAGAGGTAGCCGCTACTATTGAATGCCGGGAGGCAGAGAGGGACCCAGTTCTCGCCACCTCCGGCCTTGATCCCACCTGACTCGAATAGCATGTTGAAAATCAACTGCAGGTCGCTGGGGTGGAGGGAATGCCTTCGCGGGCGGATGACGCTGACCAGTTTCCCACCCGCAACAATGAGACCGTAGAGCAGCTTTTCGGTCCGTGTCTTGAGAAACGCATTGTTGACGGCGTGCCTCTGTGATTTCCGTATTCTCAGGCACTCCAGAGCGCCCAAAAGGGAGGTTGGAGAACCCTTCGTAAAACTGTCCGCTAAAGACGAGAGAAGCGATTCTGTCCCTTGCAGTGGAGTCCGCAGATCTGTTGATGGCCGGTTCACAAATATCTTCGTGAGTGTTGGGAGTGTCAGCGTGGAGAGAATCTGCATGTATAATGCCTTCAGCTGATCCCGGAGCTGAGCCTCACTCTCGTCGAGCTTACTGATGGCAACAAAATAGAGAGGTCCTTCCGTCGCAACAACGAAACGGGCGTTTCCAGCGGTGAATCCTTGGAGTGGGTTCTTCATGCCCTCGTAGAATGATATGATGGTCTGCACAACCCCCATAGACGAGTTGATAAGACTCAGGTCCCCGTGACGACTCCAAATTGGTTTACCGGCAGAGGACAGTATCATGTAGTGCTTCAGCTTGGACCTCCATATGGCAAGCCTTCCATCGTCGTTCAGAGCCCCTTCAGCCGGTATCTCTTCGAATTCGTTCTCGAACTTTCCAAACCTGTCGGTTAGACTGGCCCTCTGAAACGGCAGAATAGTGGCGGACTGCGACCTAAGCATTGCCCACGCTTTGCTGTTCTTGTTCATCTCGCCAGCCACGAGACTGGCGAGGTCCGCAGGCGGTCGAAGAGTCGGCGAAAAGCTCATGATGCTGACCGAGTCGTCGCCAAAATCGCTGCCCCGACCAGGGAGTGCAGATCCTGGGGCGAAGCCTCCAAGTTCAACAGGCGTCGCGCTGCCACTGGGCACCCGAGATGTTGACTTGGAGTTGGAGACTCCAGCCCCGCCTTCGAAGGTGCCTCGTGAGCCATCAGGGAATGATAGCGTCTGGATGTCGATGGAGGAAAGGGCAGTGGTTGGCTTCGAGAGGTAGCCAGCATCGACTTGGATCGATGGTCTTCTCGGGGGTAAAGGAGGAGGCCGGTCGTCATCCACATCTGTGGCGATGTCTGTTGGAGGGCTGTTGCCAGCGGGCAGCTCATTACGGCCGGCGCCGTCGTCGGATTGAACCATGTTGGAGATTATTTGATAAATGTGTCATGTTTCAACTGAAAATTCAGCCTGCTGGACGGATTCGCGGCTGACAAGAAGCCCACAAGTATTCGTGCCTTTGGAGCGTGTCCATGCTGGCTCCTGCAGTGCGCGATGCTGGAGCTTCCATGGTTAGCCAGAGTTGACGTCGTCAGGAGAGCTCCTTGTTAAGGGTGCAGCTCTCGTTATAGTCATACACGGGTTTGACGCATAATATGCATCATATCTGCACAACAGCTCCAAGACGGCGATTTCGTGACGGCCTAACCCGTCCACCCGCGTCCCCAAGCAACCTCCGATGCCCACTACACTCGACTCATCTACACGACTCTTCGCAACCTCAACACTGGCGAATCGGGGCCTTGTCATGCGGCTCATTGGCAGCTATTGACTTGCGCATCCTACGCGACCCTGGAAAAGACCCACTCTTTGGTCCAGTGCTAACATGTCCTTCAGCTCCAGCTCTCGTCTATCAGTGTTGAAATTGTGTTCAAAAGTGGATCTCTGGTCTGTGGCCACTTGGATGCTAGACACAATTGCATGGAGAGGGCCTTCTATCTAGTGGGCCAAGACAATGGTCATTGTGATTTGTGCGCTACTCGTCAAGCTGCCCGATCGGCAGGGTATCGCCACATCTTTGCACGCAGATCCCGTTCCTGAGCCCATCACTTTGGCTTACACGCGATTTGAGTACATCTGCTCGACGAGTCTGAGCGAGGGATACCGACCAGTCCAGATCAGTGGTGTTGGTTCTAACGATGGCGCTTGAACTACTCCATCGCCGCGCGTCTGACTGCCGGCGTTAGCGGCACTATGGGACGCAGCCGGCTTCTTGTTCCTCACCATATCGAGAGTCGGTCTCCCAGATATCCTCCAGCTTGCTAGCGGGCAAGCCGTGCTCATCGCCCAGACTACGTGCTCAAATCCCGAAGCTGTGGGACTAAGAAGCTTAGTCCAGGAGTTCGCACCATCGAGACTCGATAGACCTTTCCAGAGTGATCTTTCTTCTGCGACGCTGTTATGTCGTGGTCTAGTTAGCTGTTCCCAGCCTTCTGTGTAGAATCAGAGAGAATTGGCTGACTGACAGGTTGACACTTTTCGAAGTCTTATTGGCTTGCCGCTGAGCACTTTTTGTTATGGGTTCGAAGTGCTTCAGCTGTGGCATCTTTTTATAAGAAGGCGCCCCAGAGGCTTATTCCTCAATTGCAAGCTCATTAGTGACCACTAAATCGGTCGATCCATGCTCTATCACAGCGAGAGGTACAACCTTAATTGCGAGCTCATGGCATCTGGAAAAGTCGTAGAAACCGAGCAGGCCCCGGTTCTCACAATCTGCACATGTGAGTGGAAGCTTAATGGTGGCTTCTACACATATTGTATGGGAAGTGAGCCCACAATCCGGAGTACATAACGTCGGTCGAGCCGGAAACTTGACTGGTAGGCGGACCGGCTCTCTTCCACCAGGCCGGGCCCATCTGTTGCTAAGGGCGAGCCGTCGTAGCTCAGATCTTGTTGCTTGGTTATACTGCCCACTTAGCGAACAAGAACGATGAGCTATATACGAAATGGGAAATGCGTCAAGACTCGTCCACGGGTGACTTGGGCCCGCCCACGGACTGGGACACAGCGCGGTGGTTTCTTGGTGGCCTCGGGAGCCCAGCCCCTTTCGCCTCCCTCTGGCCGCTCTGCCTGTTCCTGTACGATTTCAGAGCCCGAGTGCCAAATAAGAGCCACATGCTGCCAGTCCCAGGATTCTCGCGTCCTCTCTCAGGTCTCGGTGTTTTGGAGTGACTGACACTTCGCAACTTCATCACGCTCATTATGTATCTAACACAGGAAAGGCGGTCCCAAACCCCGGTCAGCCAGATTATAAATGACTATGCCTCTATCGCACCAGAGGACGGACCCACGCGTGCAAACTCGGCGCCACAAAGCTACAAGCTGGTCAACGTCCGTCGGCCTGAAGGCAATGTGATCACAATCCAACGCAGCCGATCAACTCGGGAAACAGGCGAGGGACAAGACGGCATGGTCTATTCTTCGACGTCAGCAGCGGCGAAAGAAGCCCGCCGCACCGTCCTCGCCCGCTCATCGGACGGCAGTCTTGTGAGAGTGCAGCGCCCTGTTCGTGACTCAGAACTGTTTACGAGGCTCAGAACTCGAGCCTCAGACAAAGAAATGACGCCTCAAAGTGAGTCGGTAAGATCCTCGTCGATATATGACGACGATGCGAGCCGAGGCACGATGATATCAACCATGACGCTTGTCGAGACCGCGTTGGCTGAACAGCAAACTTATGAGAGGTTGCGAGGGATTCAAAGAGGTGGGCATTCGGCAAATAGAAGCTCTGCGACTGGTGTCAGCGGAACATCCGGCAACATTGAGATTGGCCATATCGACGAGCAGGACGAGTATGAACGCAGCCGCAGATACTCGGTCAGTGATTATGGAGAAGATAGTGGTCATTCAGCGGAGGTTGAACGCAATCACTATTTGGCAAGTCATCGCAGCAGATCAGGTAAGCTCACATCGCGATGCCACCATATATTGATGTTGACAGAATTTAGCACACGAAAGCTATATTACCTCGAACGCCAGGGCTGCATTCCGTGGTTATAGGCCTACTGTTGATGTCGTGTTGCCTAGCCCACTACCTGCAGCGCGCTATTCAGATGACAGCAACACGTCTACAGGATATTCTAAGAAGTTACGAGATCAGTCAAGAGATGTGTATCTTGGCAATCCAACAGAAACGGCTCCGATGAGACCCTGGTTGCAACGACTTGTCCGCCTCGGCTCCTATATCCTGGGAAGCTGCAGCGTCGTTCTCCCGATTGCCTTTATTGCTTTGAGCATTGCTATGATCTTCACGAGGGGGCAACCAGCGACCTCAAGATGGTCTACAGTGGCAGATCTCGTCGACTTAGCCGCCATCGTCTGGCCTATTGTATTTGCCACAGTAGTGGCACAATGCTTTAAAGCTGGGATCATCTTTCGGAGAAAGAGTATCTCAGATGGAAGTGTCTTCAGTCGCGGAAAACAATCTGCGTTGCCTCGCCTGGAAGCGCTGTGCCTGCTCGTTTTCCTGATCTGGTGCCTTTCGCCCATCGGACAGCAGGCAGCCCGGCACATGCACGGTACCGTCCAGAAGACCGGCCAAAGTCATCACGATGTTTTTTACATTGATAAGACGGGCCACAATCAAGTCTGGGATCCGGAGTCGGCAAACGAGCTGTCATCAACAAGCCGCTCCGAATTAGTTCAAGCTATCGGCGCAAAGTACACCCGCAGCCTCTCACAAGAACACGTCGACAACCCCCTGAGTGAACCGATTTCCATTTACTCGGCACCAAAATCCACGATGAACTCTATTATGTCTGCATCTGGATCCATGGCCGATGCTGCATTACCCCATGGCATACGTTCTCGTGGCGAAATGGTCACCACCACGCACGAAGGGGTATCCATCGCAGCAGATTTCAATACTCTGAACTTCTCGATGACTGCGTCTGCGTTCGAATTCAAATGTGGAGACTGGACTCTCATGACGAGACAGTTTGGCAATGACACGTCGTCTGGGCAGATGTCCTACAGTGCTTCTCAGACTCTTGGACTTAGTATGCCTGGCTACGATGAACTGGCAGCTTCTCCAACCGTACGACTGGTTTCTTTGAACAGGAAATCAGTTTCCAGTACCACCGGGTTGAAAAGGAGGCGTCGCGATACTTCAACCCCGGTTGTCGCCCAATGGGAGTACTCTTCGATCAGTTGCAGCTATGAGCAGGTCTTTTACGACGTGCCCATGCAATGCAGTCGAGATGCTAGCACTGGTCTGACCACCTGTGCGCAGGCAGCCACGGCACAGCTGATTCCATCTGATGATTCTTTGAACACACCTCTTGGCAACTTCGCATTAGACTTTGTGTGGTCGGGCAATTTGCCGACGACGGACACGGCGGCAACAGCGAGTAAGTCCTTCGCTCCTTCGGTTGCGATCTCCATTCCACGATGTCCCTTGGAATTTCTATATGTATTCTTTCTCCGCATTTCTCCTCCCCTCCTCTAAGGACTTGTTACAGATGACGGCCAAGGACAGTGCTAACTTGAATCAGCCGAACGATTCATTCAACGCGGTGGTCCGTCTGACACAAATTCTCTCGCCAACACGAAAGAGGCTCTCAACCCCAACTTTAATCTCTCATCAACCGTGTCCCCGGAGGAATTCGCCCAACGTTTTGGCCAATTGTTCAGCACATGGGTTGGACTAGGCTACTGCCCACAGTGCCCTTCAGGCATCGTGGTCAACAGCACCTCAGTCCCTGCCAACCTGCAACCTCGTTACAGGAAGACTTCCTCAACCGTCACCTGGACTGGCGAGCAGGTATTCAAGATCAACTGGGCCTGGATAGCCGCGTTTATTGTATGCACTTCTGTCCTGCTGGTTGCTGCAGTCGGAAGCGTCGTGGTCGAGACGATGGTCGCTGCAAAGGCCGCTAAAGAAAATGCAGTGAGCCGTGCTACTTTGAAGAATAGTATTCTACCACTGCGTCTTCCGACGATGTACTCGACCTTCAGCAATGGTCAGAGATCACCGCAGTGGGGAAAGGCGGTGATGCAAGACATGGATGCCGCGGCGGGTGCTGGTCGTTCTTGGAGGATGTATGGCTAGCTAGAATCGTCCGAGTGTGCTCGGCTGTACCATGTACACTGTAATCATACAGAGCGTTGTCTAATGAAGAAATGAGATTATGTATCAAGCTATGTGATCACTCCCTGTCTGTTGATGGTTGCATATCATCAGAAGCACCCGTCAGTTGTCCTACCGTCCAGGATGATCCGCCATGGCTTTGCTGTAAAGGCTCTGATGCCTCAAACACTTCACCCAATCTATACCCTGCGAGCTAGGCTACCCAATAATCATGAATATGGGTCCATTTGTGTACCAATCTCGCAGCCGTGACACCCAGGACAGCCTTTAGACAGCACGGTGTCAACCCGTTGAGCCCAACAGTGAAATTAGCACCATCTTGCCCTTCGTAAGACGGGCCCATTTCGTTTCCGAATGTACATCGACTAGCTAGTCCATCCAAGTCCTATGGCGAGGCCTGCCATCATTGGGCCGGATCCCTTTCGCTGGCTGGAGATCGCGGCGCTTGTGAAGAGGGGTTCCCCTTTCCCTGATGGCGAGGAGGGGGAGAAGACGCATCTAGGGCGGCGAAGAACTTGATTCCTTCTGAAGATTAATAATTGAGCGATTGGGCAGACATACTCCTCAGTTCAGAAAAACACATCGCGATTTACCCTCCCAGGAAAGGACAGCCAGGAGGACACTCGACGCAACCATGCGCAGTCAAAGTGAAGTAGACAATATGAAGGTATTCACTACCTCCATTTGCGTTACCCAGCCCATGATAGTTGAATCTTGATACCGAGACCCTCAGACTTGTTCGAAAACAACCATATCTTCCAAGTTGTCACTCCGTGTGAGAGCACATGAGATGCTCTGAAACGAGTCGTTCATTAGTGCTTATGGACGTTGAGTTTAGACCAGAGGACCAATCCAGCGGTTGCATAAGCAGAAGTCAAATTGCATAGCAACAGATTGCGCCGTGGCGCGATAGGCTCGATGTTGACGCCTTGCTCCTGCGGACACCACAGCCCAGTGACCCGCAGATGCCAGCACACCACGTGGGGGCTTTCAAGCTGTGCGAGCAGGGCACAGCAGCACACTCTCTAAAGAGACAAGCAGTTTCATAGTCCTGCGGTATCTCGAGTCGTCCGAGGGGCCACTAGTAGAGACAGGTCTTTTCAGACGATGGAGAAGTTGAGAGGCATCGGAGTTCGGTAGTCACCCACTCACCAATGGCTAGCCAGAAAGGCTCGCACTTGCAGTCATCGTCGAGTCCGAGCATGAATTGAGAAGCCATTGGGCTCACATCGCTGCCACTCAACTCATCTCCATCAAGACTGTCCGAGTGAAGAAAAGAGCACGGCACAGAAACGAAGACCTTGTGTGATATGTCGCACAAACTTGCAGACGCCCAGGCACTGCCTTAGGGCTGCTTATGTGCATCAGTGTACGGGAGGGTTGTACAAGCATTTGATACTCAGCAGGAGATCGTCAGTGTGAAAATGTGTAAATATTACCCCTTCACTGCCCGGAAGGCAGTGCGCATGTGTGCCCCGCTCCCACTTGGGTTCTGCAGGTGCTGTGCCGACTGGCTGCCACAATCTGCAGAAGCAGTTGAAGTCTCAAATTTCCTTCGCAAGGAAAATGATCCTATTTCTTGGCAATTGAGTGGAAATGAGTCGACATGACAAGGCTATGATCGCGGCTGAGGAAAATTTCTTGTACGACAGTGGATGAGGCTGTACATGTGGAAAATTGATGGCTTGCAGAAGCTTCAACGTCTATGAGACAAGATGAGTCACGGAGTTGAGCTGCTGCACTATCATCAGAGGCAGGCGGCAGCACGAAAAGCTGATAAGGCTCAGCATGAGGTGGCTGCTAGCCTACATAATCTCGGAGTGTCCAGAGCCAGGGGCTTTTCTCCCAGGACTTGACGCCAACCCCAAAGCCGACAAGGCCTGCATGCACGGCCTGTTTACTGGAGCTTGGATCCATTAAGCTTTCTGACCACATCCTTAGACTGCTGGGGGGTGGTCACCGATGACTCCACCGGGACGCGAAGTCCTGGGGTTCAAGGCACCCGTTTAGCGTCTAAAGATGGTCCGTCTTACTCCTGCCTGAGTCCTTCTGCGTCCTAGGCAGGGTTGAGGCTGACTGAGGAACCTCAGAACGGTATGCCGACTCCCCATGACCGCCCAGGCACACCATTTTCTTTCGGCTCTTCATGCTGCAGGATCAGGCATCACTTCATGATCCGGGGCGCTAATTGTGGACGTGCCCTGGGACCGTTGTCCTATTTCACTGGTTGGACCTTGCGAGCTGACGAGTACTTTGGTACTCCGAACTCCGAATGTGCACCTTTTGGGGGCTGCACCCAACTTCACGACAAGTTTCGACCCAGCTCCCACGCCGTAGGACTGGAATGGGGCTGTGACTTCTATTTGCAACTATGGCCTAATTTCACTACATCTGCAATCTGACTCAACCTTTAGTTGGATCTCCCGGGGGGTGTACGTGGTGTGCAGCGATGGATTACGTCCTTTTTCAAGTCCGATATGTCTGTGTTGGACCCCTGGATGGTTGACATCCGGATTCTGTAAGAAGAGGTCGACATTCCTGTGCAAGTGCTTGTTTACACACACATCTATAAGAATGAACAGTTCCACTCTCCAAGCTTACCACCAATCTCTTGCTTCCCATCATTCAGATTTACTCAGATCATCAAACACTAGCAAGACTCACTCTAAGTCAAGCCTCTACGCGTATATCATCTCTGTTCTCGGCCTCATCACCAAGATCTTCAAAATTCCTGCCTCAAGCCAGACCACCATCCTAAACGACACAACCCAAGTCACGATGCCTTACCAGACAAGAGACTACACACAGTCGGCCTACTCGGTCTCGACCACGTGCTCATACGAAAAGACGCCCCAAAAATCCACCAAGACCAAGCGCTCCTTCAAGCAAAGAGTAAAGGACGCGGTCAAGGACATCGGCTCATCGCCATTCGAATACGACCAGAGGGAGAAACAGAGCTTTGCCTGGGCCGCATCAATGCCCCCATCGAGGCTCTAAGTCCGATAAATTCCCTGTCGAGTAAAGACAATGTCTTGTTCTTTCCGGCCGTCGATTCGAGAAAATAAACCAGCATGGCGTTCTTTTATTGGAGGGAGTTTTTGATACCACAGACTGCGCGACTGCTTTTCTAAGCATTTCATTTGTACAAGACGCCGGCATTGCTGGTGTCTTGATGCTACTCTGAAAATGCTTCATGGGTACAACTGTCGAGGGAGGGGCGTTTGGCCCCCTGGGAGGATGCATGGGGAAAAGGACTCGGCGCTCTCAATCGGGGTACCCAGAGCTGAGGGAATATGTCATTAGAGGAGGATTTCAAAATGCAGTCTTTCTGGGCGCAGTGCCCAGGTAGTGGGTGATCAGATGACGCTCGGAAGGGGCTGCAGCTGGATGTTGGTATTTTCTATGATACCTTGAAAGCAATGCTTCTTCGGAGCAACAACATGGCAGGGTGCTAGTCTTCATAATAAAACTGTTGCCTTTCAAACTTTCTGTATTTTTCTGAATCGTCTTGTGATGCAATTCATCTCAGCCGAAGAAACATACTTTTCCTGCACAACTAAACCCACAGGCACCTTTTGAGAAAACGAGTCTCTTAACGAGAGGCGTTACGCACATACGCAACACAGCGGGCGTGGGTCTACTATCGACTCCTCCAGGTATACAAGACGCGTCGCACATGCCCAAGAAGAAGCACGTCTGCAACCTGCCGCCAAGCTTCGCATGAAGCTCTCGTCAGCGGTGCCTACAAATGCATAACCCGGCGCTCAGCTCATGGCGCGTGCTACGTGGAGTTGCTGAGTGATGCTGCGTCGTACTAAACTGACTAAGAGCCCCATCGAAATTCGCCATATATATGAAAGAGCGAGACAATAACTGCATGCCTCTGAATCCTTCGACGTGCAATGGCTGGCTGGCTGACAAATGTGTAGGCGGCGCCGAGATGACAAATCTAGCCCCGCCATAGTACTGTAAGGAAGCGTTCTCCAACCGCATCGAGAAAGTCTCGTGTTCACGGCCAGCTCTGAGGTTTCATTAGTGGAGGCCAGGAAATCATGGGCGATTACAGTATGGGGAGGGGGTTCGGTGCTATAAAGCAGTCGAAAATGGGTGTCTTCGGTGCTTGCTCCGCAACCCCTTTACCGGTCGCCAAACGCTTGGGTCGGAATTCGGACACCTAGAGCCCAGTTTATTATTATATTGACAACGTTTGGAATCAACATGGCATCTTCAATACCATCAAAGCATCCCGCAGTGGTCATTGTAGCCCCACGCGCCCCTCTGGAAATCCTCGAGGTCGACACCGTCTCTCCTTCAACGGATGAAGTTCTCGTCCGCGTTGAATGGATCGGCTCTACACCTTTGAATCTGCACCAGGCAGACGGTGGCCTGCTCATCAAGCCACCACACATCATGTCCGGATGCTTCGCTGGTACAGTGGTTCAGGTCGGCGAACTGAAGGACCCAGCTCTCTCTGAGTCCTCCACGACCCTTCAAGTGGGTGACAAGGTCTTCGGCTTCTCCTTCCAACAGGAGCAGCACAAACCTATGCAGACATATATCACCGTCCCAGTGACCTTACTCGGCAAGGTTCCCGCCAATGTCTCAGCACAAGAGGCTGTCACCGTGCCCAGTAACTTCTGCACGGCAATGCACACTATTACCACAGACTTGGAACTGGAGCTGCCATGGCCTGTCCCGGAGAACTGGACACCGCCCGAGGCTGACAAGCCGATTCTGGTATGGGGTGCTGCCAGTAGCGTGGGCCAGTATGTGTTGCAAGTGCTGAAGCACTGGGGTTACCGCAACGTTCTGGCCGTGGCGAGCGCGAAGCACCACCGCTCGCTGAAGGATCTCGGCGCGGCTGCTGTCTTTGATTACAACGACAAAGACGTCATGCTATCACTGTCCTCTGGGCCGCGCATCCCGTACATAATCGATTGCATCGGCTCGCTGGAGGGCACCTTGACGCCCCTGAGCAAGATCGCAGAGAATGGCTCCAAGGTTGCCGTCATGCTGCCTGTCATTGTGAGCCATGCGAGTAGCAGCGAGGTGCCGGCATATGAGATGGACGTGGGCAATGTACTGGTGGGGCAATGGAAGGACGGCGTGCAGGTGAAGGGCGTGAGGACTCATTTTTATCAGAAGAACGAATTCTTCAAGTACCACCTGCAGCCGGATGTCATGCCGGCGTTGTTGCAGGATGGCCTGATTCAGCCAAACAAGCAGAGGCTCGTGGAGGGAGAGACGCTGCTGGAAAGAGCCGAGCAGGCGCTGTCCTTGTTGAGGGATAGATCTGTCAGCGGGGAGAAGCTTGTGTGGAGAGTTGCCGAGGATTAAGAATTGATTGTGTTCAATGTGATGAAAAAAGAAAACTCCCAGCCTGAAGAAGCCTGGTGGATTTGAAGCAGAAGCAAAACAAGACTTTCAGGTTGCACCCCTTACCTTCACTACAACGAGAGGCAGCGTACTTGGCTACAAAGATAGCTCAAGAGATGTTTACACAAACTGATTAGTGACACGCCAGCATCAGTTTGATGGTAATTGTCAAAATCTTGTTGCGACTTTTGGCCTCGGAAGAACTTGCACGGTGATCTGATGACAGGCTAAGGAGTTGTTGCTGTGCAACCCGGCCGAGTACACGGCCAACGGGTTCCATTTCGCGTCACGGTGCATGACGCGATATCAGATGAAAAGCGTGTTGTATCCATCTCGCAGCCGCGCTGGCGTTCGAATTCGGCTCAAAGTCGGCGCCAACGCGCTTGATGCGCCGTTTGATGACGCGCACCGCACCGCCTTCCTCTACGGATTGAAGACTGCTATAATTCGACAATTCGATGATGCACTTATTTGCACAGAAAGGCTCACGGCCGATGGCACCCAACCGTCAGAAATAAGGTTGCGCGAGTGGTGTGGGATTGGCGAGTTACAGCAGAATTCATTGGTAGGGCTGGGTTAGTTGGCTGGCTGGTTGATGTTTGCCCCAGGTTCTTGGGAACTCGGAAGTATCCTATCCAGGGGTCCATTCGATAACGGTTGGCTGTTCCTGCTGGACCGGAATGTGCCCCCCGCGAGAGATGGCAACATGCCTGCAAGCCTGCATGCCTGCACGCCTAGCACCTAGGAAGGGAGCCGGCGCGCTAGAGCTAGGCGCGGCGCGCCCCAAGCAGGCTGCCGGCTGCCTCGTGCCCCGTGCGCTAATCGCCCATGTGCCGCCCGTTTTGCGCAGCTGAGTTGACAACCTGCCAACCCCCCCTCGTGCACCCCTGCTCCCCCAGCAACGCGCCCCCCTGAGGGACCTGAGGAGAGATCTCGAGCCCAATCTGGTGGGCTGGTGATGTGCACTCCGGATCGAAGCAGTTTGCCTTGCCGCCATGTCCACATGACGTGTCGTATTTCCAATCAACTCATTTTCGGTCTGTTCTATGTGACGACAAGACACACATTCTCGCTCGTAGAGAAGTCCTGCAATTTCTGTTTTGTGATTTCTTTTCCTTTCCAAGTTTGACAGCGCTCGCGCAATCCAATTGTGTAACCCAGCTTCCGTTCTCTGTGCGCATGCTTGGCCCGCAGCGGCTCGACTCGACTCGACTCGACTCGACCCAACCGACTCGGCTCGACTCCACTGCCTGTGCGTTCGTTGCCCGGTCAAAGGCTCTCCACGCGGGATCTTGCGATCGTAAACCCAGCGACCCGACCCCACTCTTCGCGCACGAGTGACGCGACTGCGCAGTATACTCGACGATTATCTCGGTGTACTGCTGCGCCAGAACCGCCGTCAGAGCTGTCACGACCCTTCGCACTCAGCGCGTTCCAATAGCCTCGAAACTGGAGGAAGCAGTAGTTAAAGTCCCAGCCCCAACCGGCTGCCGCAGACATTGAGCTGCTGGGTTGGCTTCCAAACCTACATCCAGCGTTCGAGTCTGTTGGTCCCAATGGATTCCGATGGCCCTGAGACCCAGCCGACCCAGCAGGGTACGTGTTCCACCGAATCATGTATGCTCGGGCCAGCATGAGCTCCAGGACTAACACTGTTTTCACAGCTACCCAGAATGTCCTCGATCCCCGCCGCTTGGGGAAGCAAAACTCGGGCTTTTCAGATGACGACATCGCTGATATAATATGTCTCCTCCTGCCTTACTCGGACGGCGCCCGCGCCGAGCTTCGCGAGATGGCCCTGCGAACTTCACAACACATGGTCGACGCGGACGAGGCAGCACATCCCGATCTACAAGCAGCCGAGGGCATGAGCCTCATGCCGCACCTCGTCGGCGAGCATGCCATGGTTCTGCGTCTGTCAGCTCATGTCAAAGACCCTCTACAGGGCTTCACGTTTGGACGGAACCTTACACGTTGTGATGTGTGCTTCCATAACGATCCTATGAGGAGGCTCAGCAACATACATTTTCGCATCTACCTCAACGAGTACGGCGTCCTTATGCTCGAGGACTCTTCCATAAATGGCACGGTTGTCGATGGAACACTGCTGAAGGCCAGGCAAGGTGATCGAGCAAAGACAGGAGAGAAGAAGCTACCGAAGCGCAGGACTATCAACCCAGGTTCGAAGATACAAATCCTCATGCACGAGGGCCAGGATGACTTGGACTTTATCGTTCAAATCCCACGCCGGGAAGGTGACTATGAGGAGGCATACAGAAGAAATTTGACCCGTTACATGAAGCGTCTACAACAGATCCGGGCTGAGAACGAGCCTGTCGACGCGGCCAAAACCATAACAGCTGGACCAGGGGGCCATGTGAGTGAACGCACTCAATTTCTCGTTTTTTTCTCTCTTTGTTCGCTGCTGACAAGCCGTAGGTTGATCTCTTCCCTGTGAACGAAATAAAAGAGCAGACGCCGCGCGCCAAGCGTCAACTTCGACTACCAGATGATCCAACACAGGAGGACATGGGAAGATTACCCAAAGAGTGGAATGGCTCAAACAGGTACAACCGTGTTGGGCGCATCGGCAAGGGCGCCTTTGCTACGGTTTACAAAGTGACTGCGAAATTCGACGGGAAGCCGTACGCCGCTAAGGAGCTTGACAAGCGGAAATTCATGAAAAACGGCGTGCTCGATCAGAAAGTCGAGAACGAAATGAGAATCATGCAGAAAGTGAAACACGTAAGTCGTGTCTGCTCTCTCGAGTAGCACAGCAGTAGTACTGACATCAGCAGTCGAACATTGTTGAGTACATTGAGCACATTGACTGGGGTGATCGGCTTATGATCATTATTATGGAATATGTTCCCAACGGTGATCTTGGCAGCCTGATCGGCGACAACGGACCCCTTAGGGAAGACATCGTCCGGGAGATGTCCAGCCAAATGCTCAGTGCGCTGTCATACCTGCATGCCAACAATATCACTCATCGTGATGTCAAGCCAGACAATATTCTCTGCCAGTCATACAGTCCTTTCATCGTTAAGTTGACAGACTTTGGGCTCTCCAAGATGGTTGATACTGAGCAGACTTTCTTGAAAACATTCTGTGGCACACTCTTGTACTGCGCCCCAGAAGTATACAACGAGTTCGCAGAATACGATGAGTACGGCCACAGGCACCCAAGAAACAGGCAGCGCCGCAAACCTGTCGCTCAACGATACGACCATGCTATTGACATCTGGTCGCTGGGCGGCGTACTGTACTATACGCTGACAGGGAATCCTCCTTTCCCGGCAAAGAACGGAATCAGTTACACCGAGCTTCTCCACCAAATCATGACCAAGAAATTAAATACAGAGCCACTGGAGAAGATGAACATATCAGAAGATGGAATCGACTTTTTGTTGAGAATAATCCAGAGACGCCCAGAACAGCGTGCGACGATAGAGGAGCTTCGGTCTCATGCGTGGCTTCAAGGCACCGGTTTTTCTCAGCAGTCGAACGAGGACGATGTTGATGAAGGCCTCCAAAAGGAAGCCTCCCAATTGAGCCTCCAGGATAGAGATTCTCCGGTACGGATTCCAGCCAGCGACGATGGGGTCGACAACGATGAGGACCTCAACTTGGAGCAGTATGACGGGGAAGGAGTCGATGATGTGGATTTCATTGGCTATGCATCTCAAAAAGAGAATTACACGTTCGGCCAGATGGATCAACAGCGCTCAAAGCTCTTTGGAGAGGTCAACGGGTCAGCCGTCGGTAGTGCAGGAATCATCCCGTCAACTCGTCTGAATCTTCCCGATTCAATAGTGAGCTTGGACAGGACGGAAATCCTCGATCCCGAGGTCCAGGACAGCTACGGATCAGAAGACTCGACACCTCGGCAGACCAAGAGGTCTCAGCCTACTCCGCGCGCTGCCGTTCCAGCAGCTCTAACGCAGAGTCGTCGGTCTGCCAGTCGCTCTCTCGACGAGATCAACAATATGACATTTGATGCCGAATCCCAAGATCTCGCAGGCGCGGAGTCCCAGTTGGAGCATCTGAACATGAAATCGTTGCTTCCATCAAATGGTCTGTCTTATATAAGCAGCTTCAACACAAGCAAGAGGAAACCTGGTTACGACACAAGCGATGAGTTTGACAACACACCTAGAGCGCGACCACCTGTCAAAAAACTCAGATCCGATAGCCTCTTTGGCGACGCCATGAGCTGGGACGAAGACATCGAACAGGCCTTGTACGCACAGATTCCACCGCTGTCTCGCGTCAATTCAAGCAGGCAGATCGATAAGCCTGTGCACAAGTCGACATACTGGGATGCACGCGACAAGGGAACTTGGCATCTCAAGTACCCAGAGATGACTCAATTGCAACACGACGCGTTTGCATCAGCAGCGAAAAAACTCGGGGAGTCTTTTGCTCCAGGAAAATCTGCAATCTGGGACATGGCGATGAAGCATTTTCCTCCTGCAGCTGGACAGACACCACCACCTGACCTCGGCAACAGTACATCCGATGTCGACTCGAGGGCATCAGGGCACAGGTCCGATGCATCCAGTGACCAGATCTTGCCTTTGGAAAACACAGGAAATGAGGACGAAGACATGCCTGACACGCTCCCCCCAGATCACGCCACTGTCATTCCGGCTCACGCGGATCCACCGCTTAACAGAGTCGTTGCCACTCTTGAGTCAGCGGACGGATCTGTCGTATCTGGCATATCGGTACCGATCAATCAAGCCATGATTTCCTGGGGACGAGCCCCTGAAAACACTCACATCTACACACCAAAAACGGAGTCCAAGGTGCCCAAGTATGCTCTCAAAGTTATACTTTGGAAAGATGGCTACGAGCCATCCAAGAACTTTCGCCCATGGAACAATGCAGCCGACGACTTCCATTTCTACGTTTCCACCAAAGCTACCAACGGCATACAAATCAACAGGGCCGTCCTGCCATCTGACGAACCCAAAAACCCTAAAGGCCCCTCTAAGAACTGGATCCGGCTGCATGATGGGGATACGGTAACGTTCTGGAGATCCGGCGACGACGACGAACAGCTCAAGGCCAAACTCATATTTCACTGCAGCTGGGGTGGTTCATCACGGCCTCGGGCCACGCCGGCCGAGTTGGTCTCGCCAGACCTCGCTGACAACTTGGATACGTCTTGTCGTAAGGCTGAAGAACGCATCAAGAAGCTAGCGGAGTACGACCACAGTCTGGAAGCAGCTGATCTTGACGCCCTAGAGCGGCACAAAAACATTGAGAGGGAGCGGCTCCGGTCGCAGAACTTTGAGATTAAGCGACTCGAGGCTTGCCGAATGCTGGCCATGAGGGCCAGTCGTCGCAGCTCACCAGCATGTGCATCGCCGATTGCACCACCGTCCTCGGCGCCACCAGCTGTAATGACCGGAGGTAGCGCAATCGCAAGACATAGGAGTATCCCGGCCTTGAAGCATGCAGCTTCGGGTCTAGACGCGCGTGCACTACAGACCATGGCTGAGGAGTAAAGCAGACCTTTGAGTCAATGCCAGGAATTCCAAGAGAATGGGGAAGAGAGCCCCGGTGCAGCCCCTCCTTCAGTACACATGGCGCACAAAGACACCCCACACTTATTTAGTATATTACACCAGACCGTTTGTTTTCAGCCCCGCAGCCCACGACCATCAACTCATTATACCAACGAGGGGCTGCGTTCGTGTTGTTGTTTTGTCTCCCTTCCCGATTCGCTTTTCAAAGGGCCAAAAGTTCACGAGTGTGTTTAGAACAGCATAGCAAGCAAGGTCGTCATTTTCGAATGACCTGATCTCGAACAGCCAGTATTTCGGGCATTTACTGAGAGACGAATGCGTGGAGTGATGGTGAGAGACCATATCCAGTGACTGTCGCGAAATTCGAGCTATTCGAAGGCATATCTAGACAGGAAGATAGTCTGTATTCATTAATTAATGCACTGTGCCGCAACAAGTATATGTGAAGTAAAGGTCGCCTGTAAGGTCTGCTCATATCCTTGGTGTGAAGTTAATGGGTGTCACGTGCGACGCGTATCCTGGTCGCGTCCCGGGCTGCTCTTGCCGTCGCGTCCGCGGTTGTTTGCGGTTCCACTCCACCTAAGTGCAGCAGGGGTGGGGGGTTCCTAGTGCCACAGTGAGCGCGACACGCTTTACGCGACCTTGGAATCGACTTCGAGGAATCAATTGAGAACCTATTTGGGAAGTTATCGATTCGACACAGTACACGAGACGGTATACACAACAGCACTTTCCAACCGGAGGTCCCAATGACAGCTGCAATGCTTCGGATCTTCAGGTCCAATCCGGATCTATGACTAAAAACAACCTCAAAGACCACCTTGCTTGGTTGTTGGGCAACCTTCAGCTCTCCAACCCTGTTGGTCCGTCTTTCCCGACCGTCCATGAAGGCTTCGAAAACGCACGAAGCTTTGACTCCCTCTCTTCGCAGCCCACTGCCGGAGAAGCCAGCGCAAGGCTGCGCACCCCGACCCCGACCGCGTCTTCGTCCAGGACAGTCCCAGCACCACAAATCGACCTGACTATAGATGACGACTCGCTTGCAGAAATATCGCTGGAGGATCTCACGACCGGACACAGGCAAGAGCAGGGTATGGCGAGGCTCAATACAAAGTCGACGAGGAAGCCATCTCTCGTCTCAAAGCAAGAGCAGCTCCCGACTCCGGCAGCATCTACGACCGGGGGTGGAAGATTGCATCAGGCATACACCGCGTCTCTCAACAAGGATGACCGTCAGAAGGCACCGACCACCGCGAAGCGGCCAAGCATGAGCACGGCTCAGTCGTCGACCAGCAGGCTTAGTAGACCTACAGCACGGGATGTGACGCAGGAGATCCCTGAGGAGGACGACGATGGATTTCATGACCTAACAAGAGTTGACACCGCCAATCCGGATGCGACAGATTCCACTGTCTGTACCTTTGGGGAGCCTGTTCTACTCTGGACGGAAGATCATGCCCTGAGGCCTGAACCGCTGCTTACACCCCGCGGTAAGAAGAGGAAAAGCGGCGAGATAACCAAGGCCTCACCGAAGAGGACGGAGGCCGTCAAAGCTGAGGACGACGAATATCCGGATATTGCCGACTTCCTGGATGATGACATGATGACCCCGGCAATGGTTAAGCGTCGTACTGCTGGGTTTCAATCAGCCAAGAGGAGCCCACCCAAGCTCCAACTCGACGCCCCAGATGCTACAATTCTCACGCAGCGGACGGTCACGCAGACTGTGAGCACAACAGAGACGAGGTTACACAGACCTTCTAGCAGTGTAGGGCAAACACCAAGTCGGACCGGTTCACGAAACATTGCCAAATCCGAGTCTCCGTCCAAAGTTGGTTCTGTGGATCCATCCTCGCGATCAGCCACGCGGTCAAAGGCACATAGTCCCGAGAAGACAGATCCGAAGCGCCGTCCGCAAAGCCCTGTGGGCAAGGATGAAGAATGGTCGGATGACGCTGACTTTACGTGGAGTCCAAGTCCTCGAGTTTCCCGCCGGCGCGGAGGCGGAGATATTATCATGGACTCTGATGACGAATTCCAGACGCCTCCGTCACACAAATCTCCTGATGCGGCTCTTGTCACAGGTACAGAAGGCTCTGATTCTGAGCAGGAGATCCCAAATCGAGCAACAGAGAAAGAATCCAACAAAACTGGCCCTAAGTTATCATCCGAGCGACAGTCGCTTTCATCAGTGCTTGAAAATCAGGTCGTCCCTAGAAGCTCGGCATCTTTGGTTCAGCCCGATGACATGGATATCGATGATCTCGTTGAGCAGCAGAAACCAACAAGCATCGCAGCGGAGGGTGCGACACTCATCATGGATATGTTCCTGGAGAAACCGCACATCCTCATTCGTCTTACAAGATTGGTCAACGAAAAGCTGGCAAAAAATTCATCCGAGTTTGCAAGGTCGCTCCGCGAAAAATGGCCTCCAGAGCGAAAATTGCAAGTCAAGAAAGAGAAAGAGCCCCTTGTGAAGGAAAAGAAAGCATTATCAGATCTGAAGGCTTCTCATGAGGCTCATAAACACCTCATAGGACAAAAGGAAGATCTTGTAACTCAGATTGAGATGGCATACGATGCTGACGAAGACACGACCGAGACCGAGGCCCGCGTAGAGGAAATGGACAGAGAGATTGAGCAGAGCGAGCAAGGCTTGAAGCAAGCGCTCGTGACTGCAGGCATTACCAAGCCTGACATGTTTCACGATTTACCAGACTTGCCACTCGAAGAGCCTGAGCCATCTAATCCATCTGCCAAGGCGAGTTCAGCCATGGCCACACCGTCGTCGTCGAGGGATATTACTCTGATACCGGAGTGTCTCTCTCAAGTCGTCAAAAAAACCCAAGCACTCGCAACAGCCCCAAGACAACAGCCACGTGTTGTGAGCCGCGAAGGGCGCTCAGAGGTAGTCAAGCCGCCTGTGCCTCACTTTCCGCAGCAAGTACCATCATCGTCACGAAACTTGGGAGGTAGCAGTGTTCCAAAGCATATCCACGCACCACAAGATGATCTGGACATGGAAGATTTACTTGATGACGATGAGGACCTTTGGGTGCAGCCATTTCGGCCACATGCCAGGTCTCACGTACCATCTTCAGCCAGAAGTACTGCAGCATTGAAGTCCAGAAGCCCAGCGAAATTAAAACCTCGCCGTCAAGAGAACCACAGCGATTACGGCGATGGTGACGATGATCTTGCAGCCATGTTGGCAATGGCTGAAGAGGCCGAAGACTTCGAGCAGGGTCAATCTTCGGTAGAGAGTCGGAGCAATCTTCGGTCTCGATCAATTCTGTCGGAGACTTCTGGCAATGCAATTTCCACAGCAAGAATCAAAGCTACATCTAAAAAGCCTGTCAAGCAGGTGCCAAAACCCAAGATACCTCAGGAGTTGTTGAAATTTCCCTGGTCCAGCGACCTCCTGAGGGCCTTCAAGGACAGGTTTCGTCTGGAAGGCTTTAGGCACAACCAACTTGAGGCTATCAATGCCACTCTAGATGGAAAGGACGCATTTGTTCTTATGCCAACAGGTGGTGGAAAGTCTTTATGCTACCAATTGCCTGCTGTCATCAACAGTGGCAAAACTCGAGGTGTGACCATCGTCGTTACCCCTTTGCTCAGTCTGATGCAAGACCAGGTTGATCACTTGACGGCTCGAGGCATTGTGGCAAAAGCTTTCAGCGGTGATACAGACAGGCGAGAGAAAGATGATATCTTGCAGAGCTTTAAGCTAAGAAACCCGGAGCATCATGTCCAGCTTCTATATGTCACTCCTGAAATGATCAACAAGAGCACGGCGTTCACCAACGGCTTGATGACTTTGTGGAGAAACAAGAAGCTGGCTCGTCTAGTCATTGATGAAGCACATTGTGTCAGTCAATGGGGCCACGACTTCAGGCCAGATTACAAAATGCTCGGCGAGGTTCGACGCAACTACCCGGGTGTACCAGTCATGGCTTTGACAGCCACGGCAACCAACAATGTCATTGTCGACATCAAACATAACCTTGATATGGAGGGTTGCACAGTCTTCTCGCAAAGTTTCAACCGCCCGAATCTCTATTACGAAATTCGGCCCAAAGAGAAACAGCCCGTTGAACGCATTGCTGATATTATCATCGAAAGGTTTCCTGGCAAGACTGGCATTGTCTACACACTCTCGAGGAAGCAGACGGAGAACATCGCCAAGAAGCTGACAGAACGCGGCATCAGGGCAGAGCACTACCATGCGGCCTTGCAAACAGAGGAAAAGACCCAGGTGCAGCGAGACTGGCAGAGTGGTCGGGTCAAGGTGGTCGTCGCCACCATCGCTTTTGGTATGGGCATCGACAAGCCCGACGTACGCTTTGTCATACATCATTACCTCCCAAAGAGCTTGGAAGGCTATTACCAAGAAACCGGCCGAGCAGGCCGTGATGGACTGCCATCGGACTGCATCCTCTTCTTCGGCCACGGCGACATTCACAGCCTCAGGAAAATGATAGATGACGGAGATGGGAATCGCCAGCAGAAGGAGCGGCAAAAGGAAATGCTCAACCGTGTCGTCATGTTTTGTGAGAATTCGCGTGACTGCCGTCGCAGTCAGCTTCTTCACTACTTCGGCGAGTCGTTCTCCCGAGACAAGTGTGAGAAGACATGTGACAACTGCAGAATTGGCGGGACATTCGAGGTTGCAGACAGGACGAAATACGCCGTGGCAGCCTTGGAGGCCGTCATGTATCACACACGTCTGACCTTAAACCAGTGCACTGACGTGCTGAGAGGCACGAAGAAGCCCGACGGGGATGAAGATGCGCAGTCGTTTCATGGCATTGCAAGGCATCTCAAAAAGCCTGAGGTCAGCAGCGTCATCGTCAGATTGGCTGCGGAAGGAGCATTGGATGAAGAGAATCGAGTCGGCGGTGGGGGGATAGCCATCCAATACTTCATTGTAAGTTTCCGTCACAGAGGTATCTACCGTGATAGCCACTGACTCTTCTCTCTAGCTCGGTCGCGAGGCAGCTAGTTTCTTGTCTGGTGGTCGTAAGCTCGAGGTAGTGGTTCGAACCGGCGGCGATAAGAGCGTCGCAGCCAAGGCCACCAAGAAGAAGACCACGAAGAGGAAATCTGCGACAGAAGCGAACGAAGAGCTGGCCCGACCAGCGTCAACATTGGTATCTTCTCCAGTACGTCGTAGTGCTGGAAAAATCAGAAAGGGCAAAGCCGTTGCAAGTTTCTTTGATGATGAGGCCATAGCTGAAGGCGATGAGTCTGATGGCCTGGAGCCTGGAGCGGTTCTCCACTACAATGGCTACGAACAAGACGATTTCTGTGTGCCGGATGACGAAGATGATTACTTTGGGCCAGCTCAAAAGACGGCCACCAGGTCACGGCGACAGCGCACTCTTGATGAACTCGGGCCGCCTATTTCAAAAGCCACAGATCACGATGCACTGGATGATATCCATGAATTCATAGTCGCAGCTTTCCTTGACGATGCCAAGAAATTAGAAGAACAGCTACGTAACAGCAAGGGCTATCGTCGACCGCTCTTCACCGAAATACAACTCCGCCAGATGGCAATCACGTGGACCACGACGGTCGACCAGATGCGCCGCATACCTGGGATCAAAACCGAGAATGTCGACAAGTTCGGCACCAAATTCATTCCTCTTGTCCTACAATTCTACGACAATTACCGCGAAATGATGGGCCAAGACGATGATGGCGCGATGGCCACCATACCTGGCACGGCCGGACCCTCGACATCGCGGCGTCCCACAGAGCCGCAGAGCGACATCATTGACCTGGTCACCGATGATGATGATGACCAAGACGACGACTACGAAGACCCGGGGGTGCCATCCAAGTACTTTGGTGGTCATGATGATCCCATCAAGAGCCAATTGGACAGCTGGACCGACCGTTTCACTGCTACGACGCAGTTCGACGATTCTGGCCCCGCGTCCCGCGGCCGCAGCACTGCGAAGAGGGGCTCGCAGGGAGGCTCCAAGAGGAACTACTTCCGCAAGGGCGGTGCTGGCAGCCGTGGCGGCAGCAGGTCGTACAGCGGTGTGTCCAAGGGCAAAGGCAGGAGGTCTAGCGGTGGGTCGTCAAAGGCGGGTGCGAGTAGAGGTGCTTCCAGACCGGGACGTGGGGGCAGAGGTGGAAGTGGGAGCGGTATTGGTGTAATGCCGTTTTGATTGCAGTCAAACAAGATTATAGGGACTGATTGGTGGAAGGGCTCGGCGATGGAGTATGTATATACGCTGCGGGAATTCCTCGTCATGGCTCACGAGAAGGCGGCCTGGCATCTGTATGCCCAATATATGTGCTATGGCTACGAAACTACATGAAGGGAGCTTGGCTTTGGCAGCGGTAGCGAACAGTTTTAGAGGCACAAAACTCACATACGCATTTGTTCCTGTACCATTATAGAGACATGTCGAGGGAGAGGCACAGCAAACATGAATAAAACCGTTGTCAATCTTGGTAAATACCAATCTTGATGGTATTTTTTTCATTAGACTTGCAGTACACTGCGGGTATATGGTGGGCTGAAGATCCCGGAGGTCCTGTCTGTAAAGTGCCACAAAAGAAAAATAAGACAGACAAGGCTTTTGTTTTTAACTGATGGGTGTTGTTCGTCTACTGCCCTCAGTGAGGCAGGACCTTCCCCTTTTCCTTCTCCGCAATGCTGTCTGTTCTTTCGAGACAACAGTGGTGTTCCGCTATGCAATTTGGTGTTGTTGGTCTTGGGAAACGAATGGAAACAAAATGATGAAGTAAGAAAGATAAAGCCCCAGCATGAATTTTTGCAACCCCATTCGCACTCCACTCCCAAGCCTCCGCGCCATGCTGTCTGTGCCAGAAACAGACAGCCCAAAAGCCAAACGACAAGTCCCTTCATAAGTGAAGCATATTTCGACTGAGGCGTATCCCCATAGGATCCAGATTAAAACAAAATTATATGCAGCGAATGTAAGATAGTGATGTTGTAGGGCCTGACCTCCCAGTATAAATCGTGGGTGCTTCTGCTCGAAGATGATCCGCGTACCGCGTGAAAGTTGACATGAAATAAATATTCCCGCCGCCCGAATTCTTTGGTTGTTGCGATTGCCGAGGTCTCTCCCTGTGCAATGCTTGTTCTGTCGTAGAGCGTCGGCACATGTAGCATTAAAAGCTTTGTATTTTGCCGGAAACGCTCTGCGCGTTGGTAGGAGAAGCGAATGTATGACTGAAAAGAAAAACAAAGGAAGAATGCACGATGGTCGGCGAGCCCATCTGCCGGAGACGGGCTCAGTCCCATCGCCCTTACTCCTCCGTCAGCACCTCGGGCTGCGGAAGCGGCTGCTTCTTCGTGGGCAGCCACGCCGGAGGCCCGACTCTCGTCGGCGGCCGGGACAGGTCGGCCGTGATCTCCTCTCTGACCTTGCGGCACCACGCGAGCACTGCGTCCTCGAACTGGACCCACACGTCGGAGTTGCTGTTGTAGACCACGCCGAGCGCGTCGATCCGGAGCCCCGAGACCTCCCACCGCAGCTCGGCGGCCTTGGCCCAGTAGCGGAGGTTGTCGGCACACCGGTACGGCTTCTGCGTGTCGGTGTGGAAGGTGCCGATAGCGCCGAACCGCCGGCGCGACTTACGCACCGCCGCGTTGTGCAGCTGGACCAGACGCAGCCCGTTCTGCAGGCTCTCCAGGAAGGGGGTGGGGAGCTCCTGTGAGTCCAGGGGCTTGGAGCGGTCGATGGGCACCCATTTGGGCAGCGCGGGGACCTCCATCATGGTGCCATCCGGCGCGGGGGCCTTGGTCGTGTTGGAGGGCCCGTCCAGCATGCTGAGCATAAATGCGTACTCCCTCTGCACTTCGGTGCCCGCGGGCCAGTCCTCGTCCTTGAGCCACGTCCAGCTCGCGCGCTCTTCGGCCTCGGCGGCCTCGACCTCCTCCTCCTCCTTGAGCATCTGGAAAAGCCCGGTTACCCACGTCACCATGATCTCGACCTCGTCGTCGCGCATCCCGCCCTGGAAATCCCGCGTCGCCATGCGCTTGAGCATCTCCATGACGTTGAAGAGCTCCTTCCGCAGCTCCTTCTCCGGCTTGATCGAGTCGAGCCGCTCGGGCGCGTCATGTGAGGTGTAATAGACTTTTGCGGCGCGGATGGCCAGGGTCATGACGTCCAGCACGTGCATGCCTTGAATCTCGAACCAGCCGGGCGCTTGGATCGTTGCCTTGGAAAGCTGGCGTGCATGCGATGGGGGCGTGGGCGAGTCTGTCAGGGAGGTGACGGAAACGTTAGACGTTGCCCGTGACCGGCCTTCCCCTTCGTACGGGTTGACTCTGTTGTTCTTGGCGTGTTCCACTGCCTCGCTTGCCATGGTCAGGGCGGTTCTCAGGTCGGCCTTGAGCTGTCTGATGGATGGCGGCTTGGGTAAGGGCTTCTCCCTTTGCTTGTACGTGCTGGTTGTGGGAGGCAGGACCGTGGGATCTGGCTCCTCCCAATCGTCAAAGTCAAGCTCGCCCTCGTAGTCATCCCCTATGGGGCTGTCGGTCATGTCGACACCGAAATGTGAACCTCCCATGTCCGGGCTCGTGCCCAGGTTCATATAGCTCGATTCTGCATCTGGTGTAGTCACAATCTTAGGGGTGTTGCCAGAGGCCGTTGCGAAATCGAATGAGGCCAGGCTACTAAAGTCAAGGGTTTGGGCCTTTGCTGCTCTGTTCTTGCGGGCCAGCTGGGCACCCTTCCCGTCTAGCAGCCCTGTGCGTGCGAAGTAGTACTGAAGGTGTGCGATGCTCCCGAGACTTAAGACACTGTCCCTGCTCCTCGCCGAAGCTGCGAAGTCGGTGCCCGTGGGCCTCATGTAGCCTCTTTTCCTAGGCACTGGCCGGCCAGCCACGCCGAAGTTCCCTGTGGAGTGCCGCACATTTTCTGTAGGAGCCAGGTTGAGGGCTGGATTTCTGGCAGTAGCGAGGAAACTGGCGGAGGAGTGGCGGCTGGCGGTGGAGCCAGATGAGTCGCTGCCAATTGATGCTCGGGTGGAAGCCGAGCCATACGAGGCAGTAGAAGCCACTGAGACAGACCGTGGTGATATGTCGTCCAGGTCTGCGAGGTCTGCTCCCAGGGCAGCTGTTGGCTTGACACCGGAAGGAGGGGTATGAGATCGTTCGCGGTGGGTAGCGGCCATTTTGGAGGTGGGCGGTCGGGAGTGCAGGCAGGCAAGCTTGGCAATGGATGGGTGGTGGGCGGGTATGTGTTTATTGGTGGTAGGGTGAGCAACGAAGCTAACCACAGTACACAAATGCCGGCGAGGTTGAAGGTCTCACGAGTTTGATCGATGTGCCAGCAAATCCAGAGAAGCAGAAAACTTGAAGAGGGGAAGAAAAAGGACGGGTGTGTGACGTGTTTCGAGGCGCGACCAGTGATTGCTGGCAACGTGACTGACTGGAACTCGGTGCCTCACGAGCCGGGGGGGATAAAGTAAATAAAAAGGGGCCGATTTGCCCAGCAACGAAGTGGCAGACCACAGGCCGAGGAGGACGGCTAGTGCGCAGACAGAGAACCCGCGTAGCAAGCAGCTGCTGATTGTGCGACTCTGTTTCCTGGTAGCTGCGGGTCTGGAATGGACGGGCAATGAATGTCGTGCTGCGAAATTCTAATGGCAATAATAATAATAAGAACAATAAGGAGAGGTGGGAAAGGCAGGTGCAGGTGCAGACGCAGACATGGAGTGAGGCAGGCAGACAGGCAGACAGACAGACAGACAGAAAGACAGGCCAGGCAGTCTCTGAGAAAGTGAAATGGCACCAAGAATTGCTCGTGAGACGAAGCGAGTGTGGAGCATAAACGTCAAGCGTGAGGGGAGGGGGGGAGTTGCTTATTGCAAGGGGGGCCACCAGCACACGCATGGATCCGCAGCAGCCTTTGGGCATTGGTCACGGAGCCATCGGCGAACCCTTCCCTGCGCAGCCAGCCAGTCTGCCAGCCAGCCCTGGAGCAGGTGGATCTGGATGGGGTCGTGATTCAGAGGTCCATGTTCAGATCAATCCAAAACAATCAGGCTTAGAAATCCCCGATTCGGCCGCGCCGCTGATGAAACAGGCCAGGACTGGACAGCACATCGCAGCACCGCACCGTACGGCACGGCAGAGGACACGGGACTGGAGACACCACTGGACACGACAGAATGGGGCCTCAACACAGGACACGTTGTTGTGGACGCGTCGTATCTGGCTGACCTCGTCTCTCTCTCTCTCTTTCTCTCTCTCACCTGGCTTTCTCATGTCTGCTGTTCTCTGTTCTCTCGGGGACGCGGACTCCGGGAGAATCGGCCTGTTGGACTGATCAACTGGCCACCCGACTCCCACGGGCTCCCCGGATAAAACCACCAGTGGCTGTCCTCATCTCTCGACAACGTGGTCGTGTCATGATCCTCTCCAGTCTTGCCTTGATCTCGACAGCCACTGCATAGCTTTAAGGGTTCCCTTGTTGGCCATCTGAGCTCTAGGCTATTGCAACTGCCTGCTCGACTTGTCGGCAGACAGACCGTTTCGCTCTAGGCACGTTCATGTCCAATCGATACCGGAGACACTCACCTGTACCAAGGCAAGCGAGTCAAGGCTGGCCCATGGTACCTCTGGGCTGCCCGAGTGCGATGCCTACCGTTCCAGCCCGGGCAGCACCGCCAATGCTGATCATCATGAGCCCTGAACGTCTAGAATTACCGTAGAATTGGATGGAATGGCGCCTCCGTCATGGCAATCAAACGAGACGGGGGTCCTCACGAGGCGGCCAATAGGCTCTAGCCTGGCAGCTGGCCGCCAGCCTTGCCCGAAGACAGTCGTGCACATCACCCTGTGCCACAATGCTACATGCTACATGCTACAGGTCCTCCCAGAGACATGTCATGTCTTGACAAGCTATTCTCCATCCCAGGAGCCATGTCGGACTCGCGCCTCGCCAGCAAAGACGGCCGGCGTGTTTGGTAGCATCTTCAGCCCGGACTGGCGCGTGCTCCGTCTGCAACGAGCCGACCCTCGCATGACAGATGCACAATGTGCCTGGAGCTAGGGCTCATTAGTGAGAACCTTGTCCGCCCGCACACGTAAGTAGCGCCGATGAACGAATAGTCTAATCTGCGCAGGTGATAGTCCTGCCTTGGAGGCTTGACAAAGGGCCGGCCAAACAGCCCTCTCAATGTCAGTCAGGCTTGCTCTGCCAGCTTTCTGGCACAGAGTGAGAGTGAGAGAGATTGAGCACATCCTTTGGCACTGTACTGTGTACTTGTCGTCATTCAACACGAAGACCGAGATTGCTGGAAATACTTCTCCACCTGATACAGTATCGAACGGCGGCACGCGTGGTGCAGGTCGAATCTCGGTTCCAGCCGTTAAGCCGATCCCTGACTGTTATGTTCATGGTGGGCACGCCGTTAAAGGTCCAGAGACCGGATGGGGCGGGGACGGGCTCTTGAGAGTGCTGAATCCACATCTCGGCCTCTCAGCCCCTTGCCGTCGCCGTATTTGAGTCGACGATGGGGGTTATTAGATCTGGAGAAGCGGCGCGCAGAGGCCTTGGGGTAGTCACTGCGCTTCACTGGCGCACAAATACATAAAGTGCAGTGTGCGTCGCCAGCCCAAGGTCTTGCGTGGGGCAACGTGCCTCGTGGCGGGTGGCTACTTGGACGGGTCCCTCCATGTGAGCCGGGGCCGTGGCAGCACGCCAGGGGCCAATGACTAGGAGTGCTAGGCTGGGACTTGGTCCAAATTTACCACAGGCACACAGTACCGAACTGGTGGGATGGGGCCACCGTCGGTGATGACCCTGAATGAGGGTCCAACGGGTCTGCGATTGATTGATTGCCTATGTTTGGAAACGGAGCAGGCATTGTACCACTGTATGTGCCACCGCACTAAGATGCGCTGATCTGTGCCGTCTGGACGCCATGGTGCTGTCTGGGGTCTGCATCATCGTGAAGCTGAAGAATGTCATGAGTGTGTCCTCGAGACAGCAAGTAATCCACATGCACACGCACACACATAGGTGGCAGCAGGCTGGATAGGATGGCCGAGTTACCATTGTTGGGCGGGTGACTTGACTGATGCTCCATCCCTCGGACACCAAGACAGATGCGAAACCTGGAGCCCACTTGGGCCTAACCGTTTCAGGTTTCCCTTTCATCTCATCGCGGCGGCTTGTGAAAGGCCGAGGGGCAGGGAGAGAGGGAGAGAGAGAAAGATTGGAGAGTAGAGGCAAGGGAAGCAAGCAGGAGAAAGAGATTGAGAGAATGATTGCAACACACCAAGATCGGATCTGGTAGTCCAGTGTCCATCCAGCATACTGCAACCTCCGACCGTGGTCACTTCGCAGTGTTGTAGGCAATCGCCCATCATCTCGCCTGCTCCCTGTTTGGACCAAGTCACAGCTGCCAATTTGCATCCCCAGGCCGTCACCACCCACCACCACCCACCACCCACCACCACCACCTCGAGGCCTGGACGTCGCCCTGGGCCGGGGCCTCGACAGGCTGTGATCCGTACCACACCATAGCACCAGCACCTGCTCGTCCTCATTAAACTTTTGCGAGGCCTCTCCTGTCCTCCCTCTTGGGTACTACGGCTCTCCCTTCCTCCACTTTCCTGATCTGCTCAGAGGAACAAGCACCAGAGACAAGCAAAAGCAGAAGCAGAAACCAGCCACCGAATCACTTCCTCATCGAGCCACCTGTGGATCACAACAGTAATAACATCAACAATCAAAACCACCGAGTCTGACGACCTGAGCTGAACTCGCCTCGTCTGGCCACTCACCACCCAAGCAGTCGAGCTGTCGACGCATTCGCATTGGCATTGGCATTGTCATTGGCATTGACATTAGCATTTCGGGAGCGGACAGCTGCACTACTGCAGGCGCACGACCATTGCCGTCCATCAATCGATCCGCCCCCCAATCGCAGCCACCAGACCAGGCGAATCCCCCACAGAAATCCGTCCTACCAGCCTATCCGTGCAGCGAACATCCCATTCGGTGGACATCGACGTCGACAATTCTGTAGCCATCAAGCACACTTACAGTAGTCTATTCTTGGCAACAACCACACGACAGGCACATCCACGCTCCGGCAAAATAGATTCACGACACGACGAGACGCCTATGGGCAGCTGGGCCTGACCTGCTTGTACTCGACGAAGCGTTCTGTCTTTCCCTACCACTGGTACAGCCGTTCACCCAGTCACTTGTAGTCTGCTGGACTGCGTTGGGCATGTAGTGGTCGGCACTTGCAGGTGTCGTTCGAATTGCAGCTTGCCCGGATAGCTGCAGCCAGACTGCGCTTTGCCCATCTCACTCTAACCCAAGGTTCCGAAACCCCTTGGGCCGCCCTGGTTTGGGACGGGAGGTTGGGACAGGCTTGCGCTGTCCCTAACGCCCGAGTCAAAAGTCACCAAGAGCCGTGCCCTTTCTCTCACGCATAAAGATAGAGCATTTAGAATGCCTAGTCTGCTCACTGGCCCTGTCCAGTGCAGCGAGCAACCCATTGCGGATGCTTCCCCAGCGACGTCGCCTTCCTCGCCGGCCTCTGCCTCCGCTGTTAAGCCGTACCAACAACACGAGCTGCCCCGGGAGGCCCCAGACGCGCCGCGATCACCACAGCTGACTGGCCGGCACCACGAGCGCGCCGCGGCCAATGAGAACAACCCGAGCCTCGCCGACGTGTCCAGCGATCTTTCCTGGCTTGGGCCCCTGATCAATGACGGCGGCGTTAACGGCAGCGTTTCGCCCTCCACCGTTCCCGCTCCCGCTGCCGCGCAGGAGCCAGAGCCTAAGCCAGTGCCCGAGCCCGACAGTGTCAACAACAGCCCCAAAATCTCTACACAAACACCGCACCAGTCCACAATTAACGATACCTCGTCCCGCCTACAGCCCACCGTCGACGTCACCTCATCGTCTAACAATAACAAATCAATCCACCAACCACGCAAACCATCTCCAGGCCTTGCTGCGCGATTAAAAGCACTCGGCCTAGGAACCCCAAAGAAGCCATCGCCGTCATCCGTCTTCAAGGAACGCGACATTGGCCGCTTGCCTGAAGACCAGCTCCGACAACTCGACGAGTATCACCAACAGCGCTCCAGGCAACTCGCCATAGAACGCCGGGGTCGCCCCTGGAAGGGCGTCGTGCGCATCCCTTCCAAGGCGAGCCTGAAGTCATCAAAATCGAACAAGGACGTCGTCACTCCCGAGGACGACGTTCCCGGGGACGCCGACATCCCATTGATAAAGATCCTCGACAGCCCAGGCGCGGACGACCCCTCTGAGCTACTATCGGATTTCGAGGCGGCTAAACCTCCCGCCATGGATACGAATAAGTTCCGCCTACCCGATCATACAAACGGCAACGGCACCAAGGTTACTTTGGATACGCGAAGAGAACACCTTGACCGCGAAGTGAGACCGCTCCCGTCCCCTGAGGACAGTCCGCCACCGGTACCAGAAAAAGACACCCCGCCGATATCCTCGCAGCCGTTCAACCCTGATGACTACTTCAACCCGCTGGGACTGCAGCGCCCTGGCTCCATCTACACTATTTCTCGCGCTTCTTTCGCCCATCAACTTGCGCAGCTGACCTCGCTGCAGCTGCCGGACGCTGAATCGCTCGCTGGTAAGGTAGCAGCGATTCCTACGGCCCAGGCGGCTGTGAAGGCGCTGATCGGGGCCGCCGAACAAATCCGAAGTTGGATCTACAAGGCCTCTGAGGTGATTGCGGGACTTGACAGCGATGATGATGTCGAGTGGTCTGCGGCCGGCGGCCGCGAAGGCTTGGAGGAGGTGGAGGACGCGACAACACGATTCGAAGAATTAATCAATGTTTACGTGACCGCTATCGAGGAGCTACAAGGTCGCACCGACATCGCACACGTTTCTACGGACGACCTTACCAAGGCAGTCACACAGATGGAGGCCATCACAGAGGAATGGACCAACATACGCACGACGCTCCGTAGCGTTCGAGGCCAGGTCGAAATCGCCATGGAATGGGAAGAACTTTGGAACATAGTACTCGGGGAGATCCAAACCGAACTGGATGAGCTGAGTCGCCTGGTCTTCGAAATGGAGGAACGCCGACACAAGTCAGCCATGGCGATAACAAGTGGTGACGCGGTTGACATCGGTGACTTGGCAACAATCGCGGAAGAGACTCCACCGGCAGCAACTCGGGCGAGGGCTGCTGCTAACAAACGATTCAGCTCGACAGGCTCTCCCGCAAGTCCTACTTCCCCAGGTGGTCCTACAATATCTCAAGATGACTCCGGTCTTCTCGCGTTGTTTGCCAGGATGCAACCGCTTAGAGCCTCGCTGGACTTCTTGCCAATGCGACTATCCGTCTTCGAGGCTCGAGCTGAGAAATCGTTCCCGAGTGCATGCGACGAGCTGGAAATGCGGCGGGAAGACCTGGACGCCAGCTACAGAAAGCTAGAGAAAGATGCCGAGGGGTTGCGCAAGGAGCTTGGGGAAGACAGATGGGTGCTCGTATTCCGTGGTGCAGCCAGGCAGGCCCAAAAGATGACGGAATCCGTGGAACGCAGTGTCGCCAGACTCAGAGAAGCAGTCGATGCTCGCATGCACTTGACAAACCAGCCTGCATTGCTGAAGAAGATTGAGAGCTTTGAGGCCAAAAAGACGCACTACGGACCAGCAATCGATCGCGTCTTGTTCATCATCGATAGGGGCGTGAAAGATCGGCTCACGGTCAATGGTGAGATCTTGAGGCTGCACGCCGAGATGCAAGCGAAATGGGCAGACCTGAAGAACCAGATCAAGGAGATGGACCTCACGCTGGACGAACTGCACGCCGACAAGAGGGGTAATCCTCTGCGCGACTCCATATCAAGTATGCTGTCAAACGATATGGCATCTACAGTCGGAAGTGGAATCGAGACTCCCCAAAGCTCGCCACCTTCTTCAGTGATCATGTCTGGCCTAGGCATAGATACGAGAACCCCAGGAAAGTCCAGCACGGGAACTCGTGCACGTCGGTCGTCGAGCAGTGTGAGTAGCCATATGCTGCAACCCGGACGACGCTCTGTGTCGGCAACAAACACGCCCAGCATTCCTCGGAAACCCGTCTCCAGGCTGTCGACCGTGAACGGTCTCTCAACACCAAAACGCGAGGGATCAGCCACGCCCACTGCAAACCGGCTTGCGGCCAGCATACCGAGACCAGCCACAACGATGGCACAGCGACCAAAATGGAATGCTAACCCAAATCCCACCCATGTTGACACTGGTCACAACTTCAAGCCTCTGTCGCTCACTACCCCAAGCCCATATGCAAAGACAACACCCAATCCCGTGCGCTCACACTCATCCCTCGCTGCTCCTATCGGATCCAAGCTCCCTACCATGCGTAGTCCTTTACGGGCTGAGCCCTCGTCCCCGAGTCAAGATCTCACACCCTCCAAGCCGGCCAGCAAGATGTCATTCAGAGACCGCTTAGCCGCGCCCGGCCCCTACTCCCAGCAGACGACATCCAAGTTCCGACCCGAGGGCCCGTCGGCTCGACGCGCAACATTGCAACCACCGCAGTCCGCTGTTCCTGGACTTTATCAACGCCCAGCAAGTTCTCTCGCCACTACCAACCGGCGAACGAGTCTGCTGCCCCAGCCCAGATTCAAGAAGGAAGACAGTGCGCCTGGCCGAGAAAGCCCCATGCCATCTTCGTTCGGGATGAAGCTCGGGCTCAGGAGGGGAAATAGCACTTCCTCAAATGATCAGAAGGACAAGGATAATAAGCCTCGTTGGCGACATTAGAATTGGCCAAAATTATCAGTTGCCCGGGAATGGCGACCCCATCCACGAGGGGCTTCCTGCAGTATGAGGCCCATATTCTTATATCTTCTTACACAAGTTCCTATTATTGGCTTCAGCACGGCGTTCAAGGAAAGGCTTCGAGGTGGGCGGATGACCACTGCGTGGAAAAGAGGCCACATACGCAAGAAAGAGTCGGTCTATGTGTATCCAAAACAGGGCCGTCGTCGCTCGCTTCGCCGCCACATCCTTCTGTAGATGCAGCCGCATCGTTGCAAACTGGCTCCTGTGGCTTGGCAGGCTCAATCGAACGACGGAGGAAATAAAATGCAGTTGCGCAGGAATTGGCCAGGAAGGTGTGGTGTGATGTGGCTTTTGTTCGTCCTTCATTGGTTCAAGGTTGCTTATTTTATACCCCCTTTGATTTATGTATGTTCTTGATGGGTTTTAAAGGTTGGTTGGAACGGCGATGAAATTGATACCTCGATACGGAAAAAATAAACAAAAGATGCTCTCAACTTGCCGCGCAAGCCGTAACGCGGTTTATAGTCTCTGTCTGCCTGTGTGCTCGGTTGAGTCCCTTTCGCAACCATGGTCCTCCTTCTGCTAGGTTCCGACAAGTCGGCGTCCGTCTTTTCGCCCTGCGTTTTTCACAGATGCTACCGCTCTGTACTACGCTTCTTCCGTGCCGCCATCGCTCTCTCGAACTGTACACGTCGACCACGTATAGCAGCGTATAAACTCAGGCCAAAAGTGAATTCTCGCCGGGTATTTGCTAGGCTTTTTAAATTCTTTATGATGGAACTGCCACCAAAATTGAGCATGAAACGACACATTTGTCAACCTTTGTCCTCGGCCAGCGGCATATTTGATATGATGGGTTGGGGGAAGTGAAATTTGACTAGAAACCGGATTCCAAATCTACCTCTCATGCTCAAGTGAGTTCCTTGGACGTTTTCGCCGGGCAAATAGCCGTCTCCATTATCTCCGTCCCGTATCACTCCCCAACGACGGTCATGAAAGCAGCCAAACGACACGAAACGCGACAAATAGTTGCAAGAGTTCCGTCAAAGTCATGACATGAGAATTCGCAAAACGGCCGTGCAACCAAGGGGACTTGTAAATAGCGCAGTGCCGTCCTCAACCCACAACGTGCCCATTCTTCTTGGGCTCCTCCCAGGCAGATGACTGCAGGGCATGCATGCGGCCCAGCAGAATATCAACACTCTGCTCCTCCTCTCGGGCCCCATCCTCCTCGTCATCCTTCAAGTCATTGTAACTCACGGCCCTAAACCTCCTCACCAGCCGTATCTTCCTATCCCTGAAGCCCGTCCAGCCGTAGCGCTGCCCCTGGTACGTCTCGCCGATGCGCCTCGCGACGTCGTTGGCCTCGTGCAGGCTCACGAGGCGCCTCTTGCCGGGGTGAGACGCCGCGAACTCGGCGGTCAGGTCGTAGATCTGCTGCACTTTTTGTATCTCCTTGGAGGGCTTGCCGTGCTTGGCCTCCCGGGCGAAGTGCTCCGGCTGCCGGTTCAGCAGGACTTGTGCAATGGACTGGTCTTGGTGATGGTAGTATGAATATACCCGCCTGGGCCACTGCGGTGTGCAAGCACGCACAAACGCATCGTGGGCAACCTCGGCAGGTGTAAGGCCCACTGCATTCTCGCGGTGGAGGAGATTTGGATTGAAGTCCAAGATCTCTCTGATAATTGTCGGGTCGGCTTGCTCACGGATGAGTGTGTGAAGTGGTGTGTCGCCGCGGGAATCGAGAGTGTCGAGCTCCTGACCCTTGGAGTACTTCAGCAGCAGATGAAGTACTTTGATGTGGCGCTCTGGCTTCTCCGAGATTGTTTTGACGTGGGTTGCAAGCCAGCGGTGGAGGGGAGTGCGCCCGTCGCCGGTATTGAGGCCACTGCGTTCCAGAAGCAGATGAGCTAAGAGCGCAGGGTCAATTACTTGGAGAAAGACAGCAAGCTTCTCGGGCTCTGGGTTATTTGCGAGAGCCGCATGAACGATATTGTCGTGGCTCGCGTTTTTGCTTGACTGATCGGCGCCGTGGGTAATTAGAAGCTTCACAAGGTCGATCCTACCCAGCCAACAGGCCATGAACAAAGGCGTCATGCCAGCTGTGCTTCTAGCTTCGACAGCTGACGGGTAAGCCTTGATGAGATACTCGACAAGGCGCAGAGCCGTGCCATCGTTGGGGCCAAGTGTCGCGGCTGATATGACAAGGTCGTTCTCAGCGCCCAACCACCTCGTCACGGCCTTCTCGAAGCCCCCCTGGGACTGGCTAAGGTGTTTCAATCTCAAATTTTCCTTTGCCACCTTCGATTTGCCGAACTCGAGATAGTTCCTCAGCGGGGCATCACTCAAGAACCATTCGACGGATTCTATACATCCCTTCTGCGCGGTATGAAGAAGCGGAGATTCTGCGCTATCCTTGGGGCGTGAGATGACATTGCGTCCTGCCGTAGCCCAGTCCTTTCTCTTCTTGCCGTAGACCGTCAGTCCCTGGTAGTACCTGGGCTTCTCCTTCAGTTCGACTCCAGTTTTCTTCACGAGCTCTTCGAGAGGAAGGCCAGCACCGGCCCATTGAATCATATCCGCAAGCATACCGAGACGCCCTTGGTCAGCTGCGCTCCAGAATGCCCACTGTGGAAATGCGACGAAATTGTTCTCCTCGTCGTCCTTGTCCTTGTCCTGGTCCGAAAAGTATACTGTTAAGTCATGGTAATACTTCAAGCCTTTGCGATCGTCATTGCTGATGACATGCTCTAGAAGACAGCGACTGCCAGAGAACTTGTCATCGCCATCATCAGATTTCAGAGTCGGGAAAGCCCAATTGAGAATCGTCAGCGGCTTGACACGACTCTTGACCTGCATCGAGACCTGGCCGACGTTGTCGATGGTGAATTGTTCGTCAACGATTTGGCCGTAGATTCGCGGCTCATCCTCGTCATTTGTGGAGTTTTCGTCGTCTTCATCGTCCTCTTCTTCGCTGGTCTGCATGCGGTACCGTTTGACGGGTTTTTCCTCCGCTACATACTGAGCCTGTGCAATCTCCAAAATCGCCTTGGCAACATCGAGGTGACCGCGCATGTACGCCAGCGAGAATGGATTGTTGGATCGGTCATTCACAGCAATCTGCAAGGGTGGTTCGTTGTTCTGAGGATCCCAAGAGACCAGAGTTAGGGCCTTGATCTTGTCCAGATCGCCTGACCATGCTGCTTCAAACCTGATTTGATGTCAGCGTTGGAGGCGATAGAGGTCCAGCAGATCAGGATTACAGCATAGTATAAGAGAAAGTAGGACATGAGGTCTAGAAAGAACGAGATACTCACAGTTCGATGTACTTATCCCTCCTTCTTTCTGTGACATCAGAAACGCCAAAAAATTGGAACCCATATGAGAACTCGAGCGGTTCCTTTGATGGCTGCCACGGATGATTTTGATGACTTGCACGGTTTTTGTGATCAGGATGAAGCTCGAGGAAGGTCTTCGCACCAGATGAGACCAAGGTTCTCTTGACTTCTTCGAGTGTGGCGATAGCCGAGTCTATCGCGACCTGCTTCTCCTGAACGCCCTCCAAGGCCGAGATTCGTTCCTTTTCCTTCTCATACTTCTCGAGCGTTTCCTTGTTGCGATTCTGTGCGTAGATAACAGCCGTTCGCACAGCAGCGTATTGCCATGTGCCTTGCTTATACTGTTTCATGATGTCTTCCATTCCAAATTTGAGCTCAGGTGGGGTCGCTACCGGCGGCTCGTACTTGCGTAGACGATTGAGCTGCTCTTCAACAAGGTCCAATGCGGTCTGTCCGATTCCATAGCCAAAGCCTGTGGTGTGCACGAGCGAATAAGATTGTTTTGTCATGGTGTTGACATCAGCGCCACGCTTCAGAAGCTCCAGCACGATGGATGGGTTCGAAGATTGGATGGCAGTGATGATTGGTTGCTCATTCTCTCTTTCGAAGAACTTCATGTTCTCTTCTAGCGATAATCTCAGGCGGTTTTCCATACTGGCGGATTGTTTGGCTGACTTCAGCCACGTCTCGAAATTGATTTGTGGCACTGCACCTGCATCGAGAAGCTGCAGGATGAGTCTCACGTCTCCTCCCTTGATTGCGTTTTGGAGAGTTGAGTCCGTTTGACTCCAGCCGGAGAAGGCTATATGATTGATCGAATTCTTGACCCCGATCTCGTCAAAAGCCAGGAGTACCTCGACGAGTTCGGTAGCATTCTCTTCGACAATGCGCTGGAATGCCGTGGATCCATGCAAGTCGGCTTGAGCAGAGCTGGCACCGAGGCTCAATATGGTCTTCGCCATCAACTTTGCTTTCTCGATTGGAAGCTTTGTGGATAAGACCAAAGTCAGAATTGCGGCTGTCGGCTGTTTCTCCTCGTTCAGGAATTTGATAGGAAGCAGTATGTCTGCTCCGTACTCTTGACAGAGCAGTTTGACTACTTCTTCGTGTCCACAAATGATAGCAAAGTGCAAGGCAGAACACGGCGTGTCCCAAGCCACGACGTTGATGTCGTAGAAATCTGGGTCGTCTTCCTTGTCCTCTGGCACCGCTCCAGCGGGTGCGGAACTTTCGTCGTCCTTCCTGACTTTGACAAAAGACCCGGTTGCCATGCTCTGTTTTTCGTCATCATCGTCGGATTCAGCGTCACTCACCATTTCAATGTCCGAATCAACCACCTCCATGGATTCTTCTTCCTGTGAAGGCGATGGTGAGGTTGATGTCGGTTTGGCCTTCCGGTTCTGAACTTGCTTCTCCTCTTCTTCCTCCTCGTTTGAGGTGCTTTTGTCCATGAGGATTTTGACAATCTCGATATTGCCTCGCTCAGCAGCCAAGTGAAGTGCAGTTCTGCCATCGGCTAGCCGTGAAACGAGCCGGGCTCCGTGGTCCACAAGACACTGCACAATTTCCGGGGTAGAGCTTGTCACAGCTAGATGAAGGGGCGTCCTGCCTGTGTGGTCGCGAGTGTTCGGATCTGCGCCGTCTTGAGAAAGCCAATCTTGGACGTGCTCAAGCTCGCCATCGACAATGTCCTGACAAAGGCGAGCAGTGTTGCCAATGTAGGCCATCTCAGTCCAGTCATCCTCGGTAAGAGGGTTGAAGGATCCAATTTGCTAGAATTAGTCAGTCACTGTCCAGATTTAGTTCGAAACATCGATTGCGTACCTGTCTTCCAGGATCGTCCTGAATGAATGAAATCTTTCCCGAGACGTAGATTTTACTTTCTTCTTCATAGACCGCTTTCTCCTCATCTGTTTCGGGCTTGGGACAGAAACCACAGCAATCGTTCATAACGTCTGCGAAGCGACCGAAAAAGGCGGGGTGACGATGCAGGTAGACCTCACGATCCTTAGGCTGATTCCATTCTGCATTGAGCAACAGGTCTCTTGTATAGCAGAGCTTCTCTATCTTCTTCGCATGAAATTTGACTCCATACGGGACCGTGAAGGTGTGATAGTTGGATACCTCGTCCTCATTCACCCACTATGGATGTTGAGCATCAGCTGTCTTGTCAAATGACCCTTGTTTGGTTGGGACAGATGCATAAAAGAAATGTGACGTCGATCACTTATCACACGTACCTCTGCGACCTCATCTTCGTGGTTCTCTTTGATGTTGCCGGCAAGACGGTGAAAGTAGCGGCGATGCAGAGGCGGCCTTCCACGTTCCTCACGGCGCTTGGCGAGATATGAATCTCTTGAGGACGACGTCGGCAATCTTTCCAGAACGAGTAGTCTTGCCAGGCCTAGAGTCCGCTGAAAACTCCTCTCGAAGATGGTAGGATCGATGCGTGAACGATCAAGCTCGGGCCAGTACACCTCGAACCCGCGATGAGAATACTTGGACAATCTGTTCTCGTAAGACGGACTCCGGCGAGAGAGGTCAATATGGTTGATTTGAGTAATATACGACTGCAAGGCTCTCGGGGTGCAGTACACTTGCTTGCCATCATAGGCAGCTCCAGAGCAGTCGATATCAAAGCCCGTGAGGATCTCGGAGACATTCTTGTAGATGCGCAAAACAATCTGGCCCGAATCAGTCCACGCGGGCGACCTGAAATTTGGAGCAAACATACCTGAATATGACGAGTGGGATACTGGCTGCCTGTACTCACGGTAAGCAACCTTCGCCAGAAGTCAAGAAAGCAAGGGAATTTGTACAAATTGTAATCGCATTCTTCGTCCGAACAGTCGTCGTCTCCGTCAGAATTGAATCACGAATTCTTTCTTCAATCTGCTTAATCTTCTCAATTGCTTGTTCCTCGGTCAAGCCGTAGATGAAGAGGTCCACGTCGCTGGCAGGGCAGAACTTCTCGTGGTAAAATTCCCTCAAAGCTCTCTTGGAATCGCGATAGCGCTCAGGGACAGGGAGAAGAGTGTTGACGACAGCCGAGCCGGAAGCAACAACATTGCTCCAATCAAGATCCACAAGCGATGACTCCGAAAAGACGTTGAAATTGTGCTGAAAGTCCTTCAGGGACTGAACAATAGCAGGCGACCCGTTGGGACGCCTCTGCTCGTTAGGAAGCGTCATGACATATCGGTCCTTCTCAGTCTCGGGCTCATCATCCAGGTTCCTGGCACGAGTCTTGACGTCAGACGTCTCCCCGTCGTTGAACAAGGGAAGAACGTTGAGATGCTCGTTCTTGAGGATTTCATTGTGGGGGTCTTGGGCGTAAAGCTGTCGCAGCTGGGCTTCGAACTGTCTGTATGGCTCGACAAGGTCGTTCATGGACCTATCTGCATTGTTCGCGATGTACTGTGCCAGCTCTGCGTGAGGCACTGGCAACTTGGGAAGGTCAGTGGCAGACATGGTGGGCAACGGTCGCAAAAGACGACAGTAGGAATAATGTCAGAGGAATGGAAGGCAAGTGCAAGAGGTGTCAATGGTGTGCAGGGCAGTGTGTACGAATGGGCAGCAGCAGTGCAAGTTGATTCTGAGAGCAGATGTCTGTTGAGGACTTCAATTCCCCACCACAGACGTGGGAAGGGAAAGTTGACTCTTATACACGATGAATTGACGCTTTGTCGAATTCCATATCTAGGCAGTTGCGTGGAAGTGGCTCATTTCGACTTCTTTGACGTGAGCGAAGCGCGTCTTGGATTGACGCTAGACGCTTTGTTGCCTGGGACGGCCTACACGAGATCCCGTGACTGTCAAACATCTTCATGGAGATGGGTGAAGGTTGCCTGGCCCAAATCGCGAACAAATCACGGATGATGCGATCGTCTCCGTGAGGAATCGATGCTGGACTTTGTTTGGTGGGGGATGGGCGGCTGCTGCCTTCTGTTCAAGCCAAAGGATCCAAGCAGCATGGCCCGAGCTTACATCACAGGCGACAGCAGCCCAAAGTGCAAAGACACAAACAGGCACACCAGAGACAATTATCGCATAAGAAGGAGCGAGGCAATTCAGGTAAGTTTCTGACTGAGTTTTCATCATCTCCAAAGAAGGGTGTCGAGGTGTGGCAAAATAGTGGACCATCTGCCAACCCAACACAGAACTGACACCATGGGGCTTTCTCGCATGATTACACTCCAGGTCATCCTCAAAGCACGAGTCCTGAATGGGACATAGACGCAGCGTATGTTCGAAGAGAGAGAAAAAAGATATTCAATGCTAAACTGGGCATGTTGTTTACAAGGAGGTAACAAGCGCTCCAACGCTTCCACTGTTTCGGATAGACTTAAGTCAGACTCTACTCCTTGACGCTTGACCCTCTACCTTTCCTGGTAGATAAAATATCCAGTCGACAATGGCTTGCATCGCGGTGATATTGGGGGCATGGCCTGTATGAATCTTCGTAATGTCGACCTTGCTGCTACTCTCATGTTCGACGGGGTTTTGATCACAATTGAAGCTGCAGCATTCGGGAATACGCAATACACTGTTACTGCACCTCGCCAATCACGTATTTACGTAAGTATGCTCAACGGTGCACAGCACTCACTCATCAGTATGTCCCTAAGGTCGGTTATACACGCTTTTAATACAATGCATATCTGCCCGTGCCTTTCCATCCATAGACATTCACACTTCTGCCACGCAAGGAGAATGCAGCTCAAGACATCCCTGGGCTCGATCAGCCACTCAGAAGCAGATGGCGTTCCAGCGGTAGACACTCCACTTGATGGCGCCTTACCCTTCGGGATGTGTTCCGAGACTCCTGCCTCTTGCCTGAATTTGTTTCAGTCGACCATTCCCTCTGTAATAGTGTACACATGAATCCTTGATGTTTTCGGACGCAATATGCTTTACAACCTGCTTCGCATCATGCAGCCTCAAGCCTCGTTGTGTTGTATTCACGGTCTCTTCCTCGGTCGCTTGTAGCACGCACGCACGCAAACTTTCGCAATGAACCGGAACGCCCTGTCGCCTCTTTTCAGTTATGCAAGCCCCGTTTACAGCGCAATCGCGCCTCGTCGACTCTCTCGCATGTGAAGAAGACCTTGCAGACCACAGCAGACCAGGAAGCCCTATATTTGAAAACAGTTAGGCAAGAATCGTGGAAATGGTAGATGTCACTAGACTTACGACGTAGACCAGGACGGCAACGAAAACGGTCGAAGCTACGGCTGATCCGTCCTCGGGGTCTTCGATGCCGCCGACGAACTCCTCATGGTTGTTCTTGTAGACAAGTCCCAGGACTGACAGTATTATGATGGCGAAGATCGAAAGAACAAAGCTGCACTCGGGTTAGATCATGTGGCGCCGGCCTGGATTCCAGCGTGCGTGGGTGTCGGGACGAACCAAGACCAAGCTTGAAAGGCTCCAACGACGGGCTTCATGGTGGGCAGGACTTGATAACGATGCAGGATACGCGAGGAGGCCGACGTGCTTGCCAATTACGTGTTTCGGGGTCGTGTGGTTTGCGGTGCAGGAGCTGCGGCGTAGCTTAATGGATTGGACGGACTCGTCGTCAACCATCAGGAGCGAGGTAACAGTACGTTGCCTGCCACCACGACCGCAGCGGCAGCTGGGATAAGCTTAGTCACCAAATTGCTTGGCCAGGAATAAAATGTGGGCCTCAGCTTCCCGCTGCCGATGGCATCAACTTGGCCCATCAACAGACTCATGTCGTAGGAGTCTTTACGGATATCTTGATTTCGTCAGTCACTGTGTGGTTTGCTTTGTTCGAGGTGGACAAACCATTGTCTTTCAACTCTCGTCAAGTCCCGAAGGTCTGTCTGCTAGCACAAACCAGGACATCAGCTTATCATCTCCTGCTTCCCCGCAAAGTAGGCCGAAGACAAATAAGTGCCAAGTGTGCAATTCGCTTGTCCAATATATTGTCAACGCACATTGTCAGCCGTGCCGATCTATTGTCATGTTTGAGGTGAGCTCACTCATGCGGAAGAGAAGCCTTCATCAGGCTCCGGATACTTGGGTCTAACCCTTGCACGCATAGGCACTTCAGCCAAACCCGGAGGACCATCTCCATCTGAGATTGCATCGCGCGAGGTAAGAGGGTTTCAGATACTGTTCTCACTCTTTTGAGTACACTATCACCTCAATCGTAGGCAGCTTGATCTGAAGTCTCCCAGCTTCTGGTACAGGCTACAGGCAGATGGCGCCTAATCCCACTTATTTCGTGCGAAATTTCTCTGTTTTATAGCTGACCCCGACTATAACAGATCAATCGTGCTTACCTCTTCCGAGTCAGTAGAGTCCTTCCCTCTTGATCGTGGCTGTTCGAATCTTGAAAGGGCCTTCTACTTGAGGTTATCACCCGGCCGGTCGCTCCAAATTCTCAGTCTCTCATAGTTGCACCGTGGGTTCGCAAGAGATCTTCCCTTGCAACCACTGGCACTTTGGAGACAGGCATTTCCACTTCTGCAACATGCAGGGCTTTCGCATACCTTACTTCATGCAAGAAGGTGTCAGGCCCACGAGCCCGCGCTCTCTTCCCCGGAGGCGTCCCAGATCCTGCCATCGAGTGATTGGAGGGTAACCTGCACTTTCTGTACTCCTCGTCTGGCGCCTGAATTTACAAAATGACCCCTTGTGACTACTATCATTTTCTTCCCGGCGCAAATCTCCCGCCGCTCTGTTGGGACTCTTCCGCAAGGATGCATCAATGTCAAGTGCTTACGCGCTGCGTCTTACCATATCAGACTTACCGAAATCCGAGCTGCCCAGCGCACTTTCGAAGGGGCGTACATGAGGACAGCCCTGTCACAGTTTTCATTTGCACTTATCATCCTGAAGATTTTCACCAGCGAGTTCTACGCGATTGGGGCCTTATTTGCCGCATATGGCGTGGCCGTCCTGGTCGTGGCTATCTTCAGACGATATGAAGGCAACAAGCAATTCTTTGACCAGGAAGAATCCGAATCAGAGAGTGATGACGACGGTGACATCGGGGAGCACCTGCTCAGCGAGAACCCCGGCGTTGCGTCTCCCCGGGGCCGTCGGCGGGTCCAGACTATTAGGAAGAAGTTTCGGACCAGTGGCAATAGCGGTAAGTGATTTCCAAAAAACCAAATTCCCTCCTGGGCGAACCGCATATTTTGGTTTTCTTGGCCTTAAACGGACACACTGCGCGACCACCCGCAAAACTTGTTCACTGGCTGGAAAGAATGGAAACATTTTACTGATTGCGCCAGTTATGCTCCTAACATTTCTAAGTTTGGGAGCATATATCACCCTTCTAGTACTGACATTGAGGTTATCCTCGTGATCGCCGGTCCGGGTACATATTTACGGTTTTCTGGGTCCTCGATCCATGTTTTCTTGCGATTGGTCGCCACCGCCATTGGGGCGAGATACACCTTGTCTGGCAGATCATGTGAATCACCACACACATGCAGTCGAACGCCCACAGCCCGGGAGGACCACTCAGGGCGCTGCTCAAGGGGCAGGAGGCAACCATCAGCTCATTCGAATGGGGTGTTGTGCTGGCCGTCTACTGCGGGGCTCACGCAGCTGAAACGCATCAGCATCCAGAAGCGGTATCAGGAACAGCTCGATGACAGCCTCACGCGCTGCCACCGTCCGGCACCAGGAGGCCGGAATAATACAATGCATGTCGTGGTCGGATAAGTGGGTCGCATTTTGTCGAGCTGTGCGGTTTGGACCTTCATTTACGTTGTGCGAGTACCACGCGGCAGCCTTGTGCAACCTGGCACAACAGGAAGCTTTCTGGGCCATGACTCCAGTCCTCGATCAGCTTATCGATTCCAAAAGAACAAATTCCGGAGTATTAAATAGCAGTCTGCCGAACAGCCACATCGGGAAGACTGGCCGTAGAGCATTCCCAAAGTGAAATGGTCACAGTAAGACCTTGGGGAGCCCCGCAGACTCCCAAGACAAGGCCGTCGCCCTCAGAACAAACTGTAATTCACAACAGGATGCGAACAGATCAGCCGCGTAACAATATCTACCTATACTATTCCCGCCGAGCAGCATCGATGTTCCCCCGTCCCGATCTCCCAATTCTGAAACCAATACCCGCGTCCCTACCGGGCCCCAGTTCCCGAATCCACTCTCCAACCCCCCGTCCTCCCCACACAAATAAAGTTTGGACCGTCCCGCCTGGCGCCGATCCCCGCAGGCCTGGTCCTTGCCCTGTTCCCTTGTTGCCCTGTGCATCCCGCCCGAGATTTACCCTTTTCTAGACGTCGTCTTTTAAAAATTGTTGGTCGCTGTTGGTGCGATGCCTCTCTGTTTCTGGATCTTCTAGTTGTGCTGTGTCTTTAGACGCTGGCAATTCACCATTCACCTCCCCCGTCCGCTGACGCTTTATTATTGCTCGTGCTCGAAAATATCCTCCATCTGGTATGAATATGCCGATGCTGATGCCTCTGTTCTTCTCTGGTCGGCTCCCCCCACGATATCTAAGAGGTAGCCCAGAATCATGTCCCTTTCGTTCTTTCCCTTTCGTCGCCGGTGTTGTCGACTGGTTTGTGGTCAATGATGCCTCGGGAACCCATCCCTCTCGAACACATTCAATAGGGGAGGTCAGCGCAGTAGATGCGTTCAATCCTCTCCTGGTGATCGCGGGCCTGAGTCGGGCCCCTGGCTGGTGGGCTTGGTCTAGTATCCCATCTCACTGCCCAGGAGAACTCGGCCGCGTGACCGACGCCTGACGATGCTGGCTCCGACGGCTTCGCGCGACATCTGCATGAGCTACCTCGCACCAAGCTGGTTCGAGTATCTTCCTCGGTCTTAACTCCGCATTTCGCCTTGCTGCGGTTTCGCGCTCCCATTCCAGTTCCAGTCTTGTTGAGCAGCACTACCTGGGGGAGGCTGGGAAGCCCCACCTTCGCCCTCTGGATACCAGCCTCCGAAGCCCTCTCCCGGTCTCGACATTGATGGCGGGGGGTATGTTTGCTGCCATGAGCCATAGCTGGTCACCTGAGACGAGCTCTCAGGAGGGGACATCGAGGCGGGCTGTCCCACATGCGGCGACCCCATGTTCGGTACGGAAGGGTACATCTCGGTCGGAGACATCGGGTTTGGCGTTTTCCGGCCGTAAGCATCGGCTGTCATCTGTGACATGGCCGTGAATGACTGGTTCGGCGCAGGGTATGAATTCCACTGCATCTGGTCTCTGGCCGACGCGTCCCCTGGAACTGGATGCGCTGACCAGGCCCCAGGAGGAGGAGTCGCGCGTTGATACGGCGAGAAGTTGGGTACGATTGGCGGGGTCTGGCTGTACGGCTGCCACGTACCCGCCATTCCCTGGGCGCCGTAGTCGGGGTATGCGCGGTTCATAGGTGCGCCAGGGGGCACTGCAATATCGTTATTAAATTCGCCTCTTTCCTGGGCCGCCAGAAGCCTCCACATTTGGACGTTGGGAGAAAGAAGGAACTCACGCTTGAGGTCTGGTGGCTCTGCCAGCCCGATGTTTTGGATGGGAGGCATCACCATGGCCACATGGTGGTGCATGCTAGGGGAGGAACCTGCCGAAGCGAGCCTATGACCTGCAGACGGTCTTGGTATCGGCTTGTTCCTGGCGTCCATCGAGCTCTGCTGGTCCACGGCCGTGATAACGCATTCTTTGTGGAGTCGCTGACATTGCTCGCATTTCGGACCGCGCGTCTGCACACACCTTATTTTACGCTTCCGACAGTTTGCTGCAAACGAAGATTAGTATCGACGACCGGGCATGCGACATTGTATGTCGTTTCTGGGGTGGGGGTATTACTTACTACAGGCAGTTCCTGCTCGGTGATAATTCAGCTTTCCTCTCTTCTTGTCGGCATTGACGCCCATGTTCGCTGGATCGTTCCCTTGTGCTTGCTCAGCTGTTGCCAACCCTGGGTCTGATGATGATTCACGCTTGCCGTCGAATTGCAAAGTGGCTGGGTCGCCATCGTCTTTTACCGGTTGGCCTGGTGATCTCATACCCATTCCAGTGGACTGCGAAGGAATGGGATAGCCTGTATCATACGGCGGCGGTGGCGTGGTCGGAGAGGGGTACTGATACGACATTGTATCGCTCCTGGCTCTCTGGCAAATTTCTATGTGTGTCACGAGACGGATATGCCTTCGAAAATTCTGCTTGTGAGTGTCACGTTGGAGCAGCCACAAGCCATGAACAGCTTGGGTGTTTAGCTGCGCGGGCTTTGGGCTTTTGGGCTCTCGTAGTCCTGTGCGATAAACACGAGGACGTGGACACCCGAGATGGGCGTATTAAAAACCAAATCTTGGCTTCGGCTCAGATGAATCCTTTCTTGTCGTTGGCTTTGATGTCGTATTGTCGCGGTGGAGGTCCCTGCGGGAGTCGTCGGGCGTTTCTTTTGGGATGCCAGGTGAGTACCCTGCTCTATTGTCGCGCCGGATTCGAAAACAAAGGCAGCTCCTCAGGATATGAGGAAGTTAATCAAGGACTCGCTGTCAAGTCGCCTTTCTGCAAATGGAATGGCCAAAGACGAGGAGACAAAGAGAGGTACCGATTTCCAGCGAGCCAATCGAGATTGCCGAATGGAGATGGGGAGGAGACTGGGGGACCAAGCGATCTGACTCGTCTTTAAAGGGAGATTTACCTCTGCCAGCCGCAAACTCTTGCAGCAACTATGGAGAACAAATGGGGGTCGGCGTGGAGCTTATTCGCCGTTGTGATCTGCACAATGGGCTGCCATAAACGCCTGGCAACAGCAGCAACACCAGCACCAAGGGCGCGAAAGCTCATGTGGGGTGGACGAAGGACTGCAGTCGGTCTGTGACAGAGACGCGGTTGATGTTGCAGCGGGCTCCCACCCAGTCTTTGTGGTTTTCAGACCGCCGGTCAACCGCAACTCGCCGCTCCGAATACCCCTCGACAGGCCGACTGCGTGCAGGAACCGGGTCAGTTGACAGCGGTTCAACGAGTCTTGCTTCTGGGCTGAGGGTGATTCAAGGCCAGGGAGCCAGGCCCAGGAGCTCAGCAGGTACACTGACCTAGAACTCATTCAAAGGACATGGCCCACCACGAGTCTCTTGGCTTTGAGGCTTTGGATTGTGAACCAAACACAGTGTGTTCCTCCTTCCGAGGATACCCTGGTATCGAGAGCTTATTACGCTGATTTCCGTGAACCGCTGCTGGATACTGTGGCACATGCACGAAATCAAGATTGGGGTCTTGGGGGCGATCAGGAATAGTAGGTAAGTGACCGCAGGAAGACGCGCGAGCCAGTCAGTAGGTAGGTATGTTGAATAGCGAGCGTACCTTTGCTCTCCTCTGTCTGCCTCCCGGTAGATATTCTGGCGCGCTGCTGACCTGAGACAGACCACTTCCTTTTTGACAGCAATGGTTTGGCAGCAATGATGGCCAGCCCAGCCCAGCCCAGCCCAACTTCAAGATGCGCTGTCCCTTGATGCTCGGGTGATTCGGTGGCGAGCCCGAGTGCCTAATGAGATTGACAGGAGCGCCAGAAGGTGATTTTTCCTTGTTTCTCGCTGGCCTTGCTTTTTCGTGTCCTGCCCTACTAGCGCCCAAGAGAAAGAGACACTCGCAGGCCGATCACCAACTGATGGCAGCAATATAGCCCTCCTCGGAGTCGGCACGACCACGGTGAGACTTGTCAGATGACTAAGTCGAGGAGCTCATTCCTCGAAAGGGAACGCAGAAAAAAAGGAAGAGCGGAGGTAAGGGGCAAGGGTCCGACTGAATGAAGCAAGGGAAGACTGGGGCCGGCTCTCGCAGCAGATTGCATGGGGGGTGGCAGCAACTCAAACTGGCAACGCCCAGATGGTGAGTAAGACAGCTTATTTCCCCGTATTGACAAATTGAGTTCAGTTAGCGAACAAAGCAAATGTGAATTGCAAAGAAAAGGCTGGATTTCCCTGCGGAATTGAACGCTGAAACATGGCCGCATCCGGATAAACACAACCTGGCCTGGCACTTTCATGCTAAGTAGATATTCAATATCATTGTGCAGACGCGACACCTGGAGGACAAGTGGCTCCAAGCACCCACGCATCTCTTCCACCGTAGCACCAAAGTGCGTACGAGCCACAGCCATGCTGCCACTGTCCACTTTACTTGGCTATATATCACACCTTTACAAGGTTGGCAGGTCGCCAGGCACGAAGGTGGGGCTTGGGGTTTCTCTGGTTCCTCTTGCAGGCTGAAGTCGCAACATCATGAGCAACAGCGAGGTTAGATGAGACTCAGCGGGTTTAGGGGTGGAGGGTGCTCGGCTATAACGAAACTGGACGTTGAAGGTGACGCATTCCGTCATTTGTGGCATTACCGGCTTCGCAAGTCACCCCATACCGACATGGGACCTACCATCCTGCGGCACTTTCGGTCCAGCATCCATTTGCTTCCTGTGGACCGTCCTCTCCGTATTGCATCTGTTACCGATGATACTGTACAATGGCTGCAAGGGTCCTCGTGACGGCAGCCAAGCCCCAGGGGGGGCCACGACTCGACAGGGCAGGGCAAGGCGAGAGACAACGCTCGAGTGAACGGTCTTTCTGACCTGTCACGCCGCCCTGTGCAGCCACTGCTTTCTGTGTATGCACCTCACTGGGTGCATTGCTGCAGGACACCTCTGCATAGCTGTCAAAAGCGTGCTTGGTGCATCCACCCAACGGTGCAGCTCGGAAGCCTGCCGCCCCTTGACCGGTCTTGTGTGTTCCTTTCCTGTTGGCTGGGGTGGCATTGGGAGCTGACAGTGATGCCCTATTCTTCGATGTGTCTCAAAGTGTATGATCTAGTGTAGTCTAGAAGCACTTCACTCTTCGCCGTCTTGACCTGTGTCTCTTCCGCCTTTGCCGCATTTATTTATTCTTTCCTTCCTTCGAGCGCAGAGCTGAGGGATAAAAGCACCTAGCTAGCACATGCATATTCCCAGGGACAGCTAAATGCAATAGTGTTTACTAAAGAGATTTTGGGCAGGTGCAATTACACAGGGCATGTGGGACGTATGTATGATTTGTGGGCCAATCATGCAGAGAGAGGTCGTCATCCACTGAAATCTGGATCGTTTCCACACCTCCACTCCATCGACCCGATGTCAACCTGGGGAGTGGGGGGCTTCAGGGTCCAGATCCAATGCCTGCGGTATCAGAAGGATCATTGACACATCGTCGTTGTGGAGGGACTGGTTAATTAGGTTTGCTCTTCGGGCTTCCTGACCAGGACAGCCCCTGGAATGAGACCCTGGCCAATATACATGACGTTCGATCTCCATCTATCCATGCAGTCTGGGGCACGGCATCAATTGTGCAGCAATTTGCGAGGTACACGTGGAAAGCTTTGTCTTCCGAGTGACGGAATTGCAATCCAAGAGATAGCTACGTTTAACATCAAAGATTTGGAAAGAAGCCAAATTATCTTGTGTCTCAGCCCTGCAATTCCGAAGTCGTGGCCCCCGAACCCTACAATAGAGACTACGGGTGTAAGTACTACAGTGTAGGCAGATAACCTTGCTTGGAACAGGCATACCACATATGATCTGCTATCTTGCATGATCTCCTCGCTACACAATTCACGCTCATCGATCAGCGCCTGAGGCCGTCATCAAACGCCGAGCACCAAAATCTTGGATGGTCCAGCTTACTGTGAGAGCTTATATCGGCCCCCAATACCAGCCCTCGGGCATCGAGTCTATTGTATCCAAATGACCTTTCTACCTAAGAAACTGAACCCGACGAAAAGAACAATATCTTACGCCAGAATGAGTATGTCTCTGCTGTTTGGAATCATTCAACACTCAGCACGCCAAATGCCTGCACTGGTGAACCCGACGATTGCCGACCGCCCCAGGTCTTGCGAAAAAGCTCCACATTCTGCACTTGGAGGCAATCGACGAGGATAAATAGCCGCTTGACAAAATTTAGACGTTCGATTGCTTCTAATGTATGGTAGTCGCTGGAAGACACAAGACCCGAAAGCCATGGAATAATTCAAGCAAAATGCCGAAAGATCAAGTGAGTCCTCGGCATAATTCCACAACGAGATCTGCCGTTTCAAGGTGGCATACGCGTCACATTCGTGTACATCGTGGGTGGCAGTGGCTTAATAGCTTCAGAGAAGTTGTTTTAATGTGCTATTTGCAATTTAAAGTCCGGGCCTTCAGCCTAGAATACCCTATTCAGCCATATTGAACCTTGCTCAGCACTGCCAGATTTTTTCCGCCACTTCCTAGGTCCCATATCCCCCATCCCTAGGCGATGAAATGGGAATGCCCTTTGGAGTATAATGTCTCTATATTTCTTTGTGCTACAAACTGAAGTAACGTGCAGACTTTGGCCGAGCGTTTGTGGTAGCTGGCTCCGCATCCCACCAAGGTCGGTCGTGCTCAGGTACTGTAACCGTTGCAGCCTTCTTGTAAGTCATAACATTCATTCTGTTGATCACTTGATCACTTGATCACTTGATGACGTCCCTCATTTGAATCCGCCTGGGATGTGAGTTCTAAGATACCCTCTCCTTCGGCCCAGAGGGCAGCCGCGGCCAGCTCGGCTGGAGAGGACGTAAAGTTGAAGACGCCAGGTCTTGTGAAAGCCTGCGCCATTTTTTTTGCTGCCCGTATTGTTTCCGGGAAAGAGTACGCCTCGCCATGCGAAAGACAAAGAAAACGATAAAAAAGGAACACAAAGATAAAAGCACACAACGCGACCTAAGCCCCCGTCCCGGCCGTTGCTAAAGCAGGGCTGCCTATGTCGTAGTCCATATCCTCCACGTACTCCGGGGCACTTTCCAGCCTCCTATCATGTTCAGACAGCAAGGCCCTAGTGGACCCTTGGCTAACAAAAGTCTTCTGCAGGAAGGACACAAACTTGCTGATATCATCGCGTGTGCTCATCGCACCGAGACTAGCCCGTACCACCCTGCGGCAACAACCTCACGTCAGCACAGACCTTGTCAAACGGGCCAGGGGTTCAACCACTCACCCCGTGGGGAGTTGGTGGATCAGGCTTATCCCGTCCGGGCCGCACACGTGGTGGGCCGAGAACGCCCTCTGGAGCTCCCATGGTTCGTAGTCAAGCGCGGTGTAGAGTCCTCCCGGGCAGCAGATACCTTGGAGGAAGGAGTCAGCCGCGACTGTCGTCCATGTGTTCTAGTTTGAAGTGACTCAGTGAACTTACCTCCTGATCTCACGTACACACCGTTGTCGTTCGCAATCTTCTCCACGTCAGAATATGGGATATACACGCCGTCTGCGTCCATCATGTTAAAGGCTATCGTGGCGCCCTGCCTATTGGGGTCACCATAGCCCTGACCGTCGTCGTCTGTGTAGATGTGACAGGCCGGACGGCCATTCGCGTGGCGCAGGCATCTCAGCTCGTTGTATAATATTTTGGAAAGATACGTCGTATAACGCGATATGTTCTCCATCGAGCCATATATCCGGGAGTGGACGTCGATGGCCTGGCCCAGGGCGAGGATGCTGTGGAAGGGGAGTGTCCCGTCCTCAAGGCTGTCGTGTATCTCGTAGGAAGGGCCCTTGTTGGCGGTGGTGCTCTCTTGGGACTCGGCCGCCGTCGAGTCGAGGCCCTTTGTCTTGTGCCACGAGCCCCCAAGCACAGAGACCATGGTGACTGTGCCGCCGCCGAAGTACTTCCGAAGCGTCAATATGTGGCCTGAGTCCTTCCTGACTATAAGAGCACCGAGGTCAGGAAAGCCAAAGATTTTGTACAAGGAGACGCAGGTAAAGTCGGGCGCAGTCTCCACATTTTTGAAGACAGCGTTCAAGGGGCTGGTCATGGCCAGTGCGGCGCAGTCTAGGAGGCTGTATGTGTTTGTCAGATCTGGGGAGGACCTGACCCTCCCAGGCCAGGAAAGGGGCAGCCTCCGTCCGGTCATGTTGGACTGGCCGGGGTAAGCCAGAAGGCCCAAGCCGCCACGCCGAGACAGGTGGCGGAGCCGGGTGTTCTTGCCTGAAAGTACTGAGTCGGGCCGGTGTAGCCAGTCCTCGACCTCGCCGTCGCTCCCGAAGCAGTGGAAGTGCCCATAGGCCAGCTCGCGCATGCCGACGAGGCTAGTGTGCGAGTCCTTGTGGTAGCCGTACCAGAAGCTCCCGTTGCGCGTCTGCTCCGCGAGGTCCCTGAAGCAGTCCGCGACCAGCTTGATGCCTGCTGTGGCGTTGGCTGTGAACACCAGGTCGAAGTGTCTCGGGTCGGCTCCGAAGAACTTCAACACCTTTTGTCTCACACTGTCTACCACGTGCCCGGAGAGCTCGGCTGGAGCATTGGCGCTGTGAGGGTTGCCATATAGGTTGGAGATCATATGGTTGGCGAAGGATTCTATGAGTGTTCTAGCGTAGATGGTGGTGCCACTATGATCGAGATAGACGCCTATGGCTTTTAGTTGGCGTCGTATGGGAGGGTGTCACTGCCTCATCTCACCTTTCTTCATATGTGGATATTCAGTCTCCCGGATCCTTTGTACGGGAGCTGGATAGAAGCCTTCATCGGCAATATTTGAGAGGCTTCTGTCAGCCTTGGGCGCTAATGTGACAAGGTTAGTCTCGTGGCAAGACCACCAACACTGGCAGGATTGGCCGGACTCAAGGGCGAGGGCTTACATGGCGTACTGTTGAAGAGTCGACGAGGAGGCATATTCCCGGTCAGTGAAGATACTACGGGGTAGTCCTTTGGCTGGCGCCATTGCCGCGTGAAAGCCTTTAGCGAAGTCATATCCAACACAGTAGCTTAGTTGCGATGACCCTATGGGGTTCGTATGGGGCAGGACAGAGAAGGCGAGATCCCGGGGGCTACTTATTGATTGCCACCAACTCTCGTCTGAACTAGGAGGGCCTCTGAGCGGTCCATCACGCCCGCGGACGAGGTTCAACCAACTATATCCCATACCGCCCACACCTTATGCACTGTCTTTACACCTTCTCGATTTCCCCTGGCCGTAGCGGCGTCGTTGTGGCTATACGGTGTGTGTACGGTCAATTGGGCACCACAAGCCCCGAAGCGAGAGCGGGCAAGCCAAGACCTGGGAGGGCGAGCCACCGATAGGTGACGGTTGGCGAGTACTTGAAAGGTGACCCCCAAGGCTGTGGTCAGGGGAGCCACCTCGTGATAAGGTGATGCGGATTCCAACCCCATTTGTCGAGCGGGTTGGTAGGTCGAGAACTAGCTCAGCTGAAGGATTTAGAAGTAGTTCGCCGGCCGCCCGGATCCGGCTCCTATGACTTAAGATCACGTCAATGATGGTTCGCGCTTGGTTGAGGGGAGCAAGTTAGCCGACCTGCAGCTTCTCGTGGGCGCCATTATTCAGCCCATGAGACATCCTGTCCGGGGGATGATACTGCGCTACCTTGGCGGTCTGGTGACTTCTGTTGCCGGGCTTGCAGGTTCGAGGTGGTGCTAAGTGTGGTGGTGGCTTGCGAAGCAAAAAGCAACCCAGGTCCCCATTCCAGGACGATTGCCGCACGATCCGCCCAGATCCCCAAGGTTATACATATGTGATCTTAGCGACATACATCCGGGACTTGGCTGTGGAAACATCTGCCGAGCACCATGTCAAAGAATGGCATCAATGACCATTCTTTCCTCCCTCCCTATCTTACTTACCTACCTACCTACCTGACTGCCAGCTTGACGGCCTGGTGCCCTATCCATCGGCCTACCTCTCTGGGAATACGTGACGGAACCTGCTCGGCTGACGGCTACAGCATATTGTGTCGCCCGATCTCGTACCTGACAGGCGGCTAGGGCAAGTGAGTAACCTGACCAGTATCCAATTTTGGAAACACGATCCCAGGCCCGTGGAGTCGAGAGAGGCCATCGACCTGCCAGCTCGGGAGGATGGGTGCGTTACGGGTCGCGGTCGTATAGCATGAGATGCTCATACCACGCCAGAGCATGGCATGGTCACGGTCGTGACTGCAAGGTCCCGGAGATCGGTGGCTCCTGAGCGCGTCGAGTGGTAATCACCGGCCCTGCAGATCCGTGGTGCATTATCGTGGATGCCGTGGCACATCGCAAAAAGTACCGATTTGGTCCGGTCACGCTGCTGATGCCCGTGGGGAGGGCCCAGAAGTACGTGCGAGGGCCCCACAACGAGGCTGCATTTTCTGGCTGGGCCAGAGATGGAAAAGCATGTTGTCGTGGCGGCCTATACTGGAAGTCCTAAGAGGCAAACGCCAAGCGAGCAGGGTGGCCTGGGTGGACGCCATGCTCACCCGCAACTCGATGCGGGCTCTCACGAAAAGAAGGGTGTGATCCGATGCAGGGTGGGCTTAGCCCCGCTTTCCATTTCCATCGTCCTCGCAGAAGCACATACCAAACCGACAGGACCAGTTTTCCCGTTTCGAGCCTCGAGTCGGGCCGTGGGTGTAAGTGAAGGGCCAATCGCAAGCAGAAGTGGCTGGGGCTGGCCTCAGGCTGCACGGTGAGCACGTCTACTGTCCAGGTGAAGCCCAAGCCCTCCCCCCCACAAGCTGAGGGCTGAGCGTGACGGTTGTGTGACGGCAGCCGGGCAAAGCCCTGGACTGGGACGACTGGGAGGCATCTCTTGTCGGAGGATTCGGCGATGACCAGATCAACAATCAATCTCGGGCGACAACGGAGGAGGCGGCTTTCGTAGCGGCCACACTCACATGGCTGAACGCGAATCATGCTGCACTCGCCGCACATGTTTTTGTTTTTTCTGCGTGAACCTTGTTTCATGCGGCGCGGCCTCGATCCCTCGGGTGCAACCGCGATGCCGGGCCCTGCATCGCATCGTGACGGCTGTGATTGGTCTCGTCGAGCCTGGACCGTCCCAGTCCGCCGGGTCGGCCAAGATCCACTTCCGGATCCCTGGATCCCTTGTCCAGTTAATATCCTCTCTCTTCTCCCTTTCCACTCTGCTGCATTTCGCCGCCCGGTCCTTTCAGCTCTCTGATGTAATTCGAGACGTAATTCTCCAAGAGAGCAGTCGAATCACACAGGCCGCTTCTAGCGGGCGCTGTGCTCAAATAGAGGCATCTACAGTGAGAGAGATTGTACCGCGGTCAGACCCCTGACAATATGCAGAGGAGATCAACGCACCACTCCTCGTGAGCTCATCTCAAACCATGCCGTTGCCATACGGCATGAACGACGAACACACTGCTTGGCATATCCAAGACAGTAATTTTCGAGAAGGCATCTACACATGTTCGATGAGTACAAGTTTAAATGGGAAGATGATTGTCAGTAACAGATACCGGCCTTATGCCTTGCTATGTACGTGTGCCGCGCTGCCTGCGCGTACCCAGCCCTCATCACCGACACCGAGATTAAATGTCTGGGATCAGCTCAGCTGAATTATTCGCTTCCTTCCAGAATCTCTTTACATGCTCTGGAAGGGATAACCCTTCACAATATCATATACTTGAGAAAAAACCTGGGCGTAGCCACTACAATGAGGAGCTTTTTCTCCTCTCTAACATTGATCTACAACCTTTTCACTCCGAAGCTGGACTCCTACATCCACTGTCTATATAATATACACACTAGCCTTGAAAACCTTGCCAGCACTCAGAAAAGTTTGTGGCATACGCGGCAACAAGAGGCAAAAGCTCAGTCTGAGGTGTGAAGACATTGTGCCGCGTCCAAGTCGGACATGAACATCCTCGTCCCAACTAGAAAAGTGCACTTCTCAACTCCTCAAAGGATCAACTAGAAAAGTGCACTTCCCTAGTCCTCGAAGGATCAACTAGACAGCTGCCTCGCACTGACCAACAGTTCGGTTCTGACATCCGAAGAAATCGACGTCGTGCCTTGAAACATCAGCGCCCGGGCTAGCACCGTTTGACGTGGGCGTGACATCGAGGCTAGCGTTCGGAGCTGGCGGATCCGATGGATTATTCACTCTGCCTCTTATCTCCATCTTCACCACCTGAGGGTGTCGAAGTCGGTGATCCGCGACCGTGAGGGATGGTCCCCTGCGCTAAAAGCCAGGAACGCGGGCAGATCGTGGTGCACGTTTGTAGGTCTCCTGTCTCCCGCCATTTGCACTTGCGCACGGATAGTTGGGATGGCATTCGCGATGTATGCACACACACAAAGGTAAATGATACTACAGGAGTATCTATTCGCACACATTTGATTCGAGTTGTTTTTGAAATTTTGAAATTCGTATGAGTTTCTCGTTTCTCAAATTTGTTTGGTATTATCCGGAGTGTAGGCACGTATTAGTGACGTCCTTGCTATCACACGTCCATTCTCCCCTTTCTAATGTATCCGAAGCAAATTGCGGCAGATGAGGTATCTTCCCAACCAGTTTTGCGAAAACCAACCATCCATTACCCTCCTTGTCACATTATCTATAGTGACCTTCCCACCCCAAAACGCCGGAATTCATGCAAAAGTCACAGGCAATTCAATGCTTTAGAGCAGGAATGCGAGGGCCGCAGCTCCGGCGACGAGCATCAAAGCCGGGGCGTTGGCGTTTCCAGCGGCCTGGACAAAGGATGTGGTCGACGACGGGCTCGAGCCCGTGGCGGTCGCGTTGCTACCGATCGGCGAGCCGGTAGTGGTAGTTGCACCACCGGTGCTGGTTGGGGCTGTTCCGGTGCTGGACGCAGTCGAGGAGGGAGAGCCGGATCCACTGCAAGTGTTTCCAGCCTCGACAGCCGTGAAGTTGGCGCAAGTGATACGGGTCTTGTTGCCGAAATGGACCACAATACTCCGGTTTCCGAAGAACGCACCGATGCCCTGCTCGAGGGAGGCGAAGTTGTCGGTGTAGGTAGCATCAATCGAGGTACCGGTGATGTTACCATGCTTTCCCGACAGATCGCCAACCTGGCAGGTTTGAGGAGCGCTGGAGTCGCATGGCGTGGTCTCCCCGCGCTGGTAAGGGTCAAGGTGGGCCAGTGTCGCAGTGCAGTTTCCATCAGCTGGGACAGGCTGGTCGTGAAGATGATAGACTGCCGCCTGTCAGTAAGAATTCAGGAGTCTGGGCTGAGAACCGGGAGCTCTTACTGAAAGGGCCACCTTCACTTGGTAGGCCGGAGAAATTGACCTTGAAGATAACACCGGTACCATCTGGGCTGGACAGGGCGTAGACGGCGCCCTTCACATTGCCTCCATTGGGGTACGCGCTCTTGGTAAAGGCAGTGTCAGGCAGTGTTGCCTTGTACACAGCTCCAGCAGGGTTGTTGGTGACGACTGCAGCATCTCCGAGTTTCTGAAGACGAGTTAGCAGGTACAGATGCGGAGGAGGAAGTTCAGGGTTGACGAACGCCAGTGTCTTGAGCTGAGACGCTGACAGCAGCCAGGACGGCGGCAGCGATTGACATGCGCATTTTGATGATATTGGCGGAGTTTGTAGGTGATGAACTTTTGCTCTGAAAGGTGATACAAGGACACGACAGATAGTCTTGAGGCTGTCCAGTTGACGAGTTGGCGTTCTGGGCTTGACGATCGTCGTATAAATAGGCGGGGCTGCCACAGGTCGTGTGACAAAGGAAGTGCTAGTAGGTGGAGTGAAGCTTGTGACAGTCGAGCAAACGGGTCGCGATGCTACTGGCGACGAAGTGGCACAGTTGAAGTTCAATTGGTCACTGATGATGGAAGATCAGACAAACGGCTGTGGCTAGGAATTAAAAGCATCCATGACACGACGAGGGATGACGAGAGGGAGGACGGGGAGATGAAGGACGAGGCAGAAGCCGGGCTATTATATGAAGCTCAATCTAAATTGATGAGGAGCAGAGAAGGCTATTGCTCAGGTACACATGTACTCAGGTGGGTGCAGGGGCCCCTGCTCTGGGGCGACATGGATGCTGCAGGTACCAAGCCGCTCGGCAGTGCGCGAGTTGGTGGAAGGAGGAGGAGGAGGAGTTAGGAGCAAGTAGGAGGGCAGGATGTACACCCGCCTCTTCCTAGTGCCCATTCCTTGCTCTGATTCATCACATCTCCTCTCAGATCACCGGCACCTTAGCAATTCATCCGAGATGAGAGCTCCTTGCAACGGTGCGGCGTGCCTCACTAGACACCTAGGTAGGTCTTGTGTACACACTGAGGACACAGCAGTCACTCTCGGCCTCAGCTTTGGAAATGAAGCTGTGACACATATCGATTGGGGGCAGAGACATGTGCCGCGCCCTGCATGCGAGGCAGCGGCTGCGATGCGATGCGAGGGTCAAATGTCAAAAAGATGCCAAACACATGGCCACCTACCAAGAATCGACTGGTCATTCTTCCCGCTTTGTTGCCAAAGAAACAACGCAGCCGTGACAGCTCAACTGCTTGGATATCTCTTCCAGAAAAGGATTGGAAGGGAACAAGACTGGTAGATGGAATGCGTCAGGGGTGGCCCCTCGAAACAACAATCCAAGCGCCTGTTGGGACCTATCGACAGGGGGTGCCATTGGAGAGACGTTAGCCTGGAAGAGCTGCCCCCTGCCCCCTGGCCCCCTGGCCCCCTGACCCATGATCCCTGGTCTGCCCGCTGGAGGCTCCAGCCGGGAACCTTATGCCCGTCGTGGGTGTCACAGTATCTGTCGTGCTGCGCTGACCACCTCACCGACCCAACCAGCCTCCTTCAAAATCTATTTGCGGCCGACTGACCGCAACCAAGCATAGCCTACCCAAGAAGTCCTTGAGCTCCAACTTCGGATTTTAATTGCGACCCAACCAACCAATCAATCACCCGTGGACGACAGCAGAAGTCCGGAGTATGTGTTTCCCCACGCACTTTCAGTTGATCTTCGGATGCTTCGTACGACGGCACATGTGTGTCCACCACGGAAAAGCAGAGTAAAGCAGAGCACTTCGACAGGACGATAGGACGCATCTAGTTCACAGCATCACGAAATACATTGCATCGCCATGACGTGCGCTGCCAGCCCCCACTGCAACCCAACCATCCCCTCCCACACCACACCGCCGAACCTTGGCCTGCCCGTTTTACCCGGTTAGAGTGGAGGATAGGCACTTGGAACTGTGGGTTTACTATATGGAAACTAGGTCTGCTGGACAATGAGGCCGCGATGACATGGGCTACGATCTACAATGATTCATTAACTCGCTGCAACTGTTGGGGGGCTGATCAAGGCGGGAAAGCTGGCCATCTTGATCGGCCTCCAGTGGCCATGTGGTGCTGCTACTGTTGGCTGCATTAGTTCCCAGTGCAACAGACCAACATCACTTCGTCACATCTCGTCGTCCAGTCGCTACCATCCACGGTGTCCCTATCCACCTCAAGCTCTCCGCAGAGCCCCGCAAAGTTTGGAGCGGCAATTCAACTCCGTGAGGCTGGGAATGTACGAAGTGGAACCAGCCTTCACCTGGAGAACTGGAGCTCCTCCACCTGTCACATGGTCAGGGGAAAGCTCAGTGGAGACAACCTTAACTTGCCCGAGGCCCCACCTCCATATATGACCCCTGCCGACGATCTCTGGCGCTCGCAATCTCACAGGCTCATCGCCGGCCAGCCGGCTGGAGGCTTGGGGGCCTGTTTCAAGCTAAGACAGTCAGCCCAAAAGCTTGGGTAGCCGCGAGCCCGGGATGCAACCGTCCTAGTCAAGGGAACCTTCTCACCCTCCGTCCCGGCATCGAATTTCTTCTTTTGGGAAGCTGAACTCTCTTTCAGAGGCAATCCTTTCCAGTCAGCGCCCTAAACGGTGTTCTACGCCGCAAGGTCGCGGATAGGCCTGGCCGGCAAAGGGGTCTCTTCGACCTCCTCGGCCCAGAGGAAGGCGGCCTGTGATTTTCTATTTAGAATCTCACCAACCCATTCGGAAGCCAGCGCGCTAGCCACCCATAGCAACCACATTCTCAGCCGCGCTTGAACAGCCCCATCTCTGTTTCCAGCCAACGGCCACGGATGAACCAACCTGCGGCCTCGGCTGAGACCGCCCAGCGATCCCCTGAAGTGGATGGGATTATTATTTTTCGGATTTTTTCTAACGTGCTAACAGCCTCTCAGTGCCGCTAGCGGCTCCGGTTTCAGCACGTCTGTGCAGAAGCTCGTATTTGCCAAGACCCGCCGTTCATCCTCACCCGGTGTGTTTCGACAAGTTTGACCATCGAGAGCAAATCAACACCCTCCAACAGTGTTTCCTTGGATCGAAACAGGGTCCCTGGGACCGTGCCAGTGGCAGATGCCAAGCTTTTGACAGCTCTTGGCTGATACCCGGAGCAAAGCACGGTGGGAGAGGAACACAACGCCCATACAGCATCTTCTGTATCTTGTGTTGGGGTAGGATACATCTGATGAATGTGAGCTACGAGCTCGTAGGTCAGCTGTTTGTGGTCTGACAATACTCCGTCGATTTGCCGCCCGGTTGTGTTGTGCTCTCGCTTTCTCAGTTCCTCATTGTCTCTTAAAGTTGTCTGAGTGTGTCAGATAGCTCTAAAGTTCATCTCGTGGAGAACACCCGTCACTTTCACGGCTCGACTAGCGGCCGGTACAGGTATTTGATAGTCTTCAGCCAAAGTTCGGCCGTCGAATGCCGTCCTGTCTACCCTCCGACTCATTCAGGAGAGCTCGCGGCAGTGTCACTCAGGCTGGCATGTTTGAGAGACGGCTCGGAGTGGGCCCACGACGTTGGGACGAGTTGACCGTGGTGTTTCGAAAAGCTGGAACGACAATTTTGATCTGAATTCTTTGCCTCAGCGTCCGCTGACCGGCTGGACAATTACCCGTGTCCCTGGACACAACATGACCTCACTTATCGCGGGTCTTCCTGTCACTTGAACCAGTTGCCTACAGTATATGCAGACCGCTTGCACCGGGCTCGGGCACCTTTGAGCAGCAATTTCACATCTTGATCAAGACTGGCTACATTCAATGTTGACCTCACCAGGCTTGTAAAGCCCTTGTCAATTCAATTGATCTGTGCTTTACAACACAACGATGTGATGCGCTACGAAGTGTAATTACCATACTTGACAATGCGGGCTTTCGCTGCAACTCCTGCTGATGTTCATTGTCTCCAGTTCCAGGGTTTCAAATATGATTACGATATAAATGTCGTAGATTTTTTTGTGTACTTTAGCTCGAATAGAATCCGCGCTTAGCAACTTGGCAGCCCGGTTGTTGCTCGTATATTTCGACAGAGCCTTTGGCGAGGTTGCCCTTTAGGGAGAGATGAACAGCAAGGAGGAAAAAGAAGCGAACAGATATGCCGCAGCGAAATTCGAGGATAAGTTAAAGGACATTCGCTGGATGTCGCAGAGCCTGTGATGACAGTTTATATGGACTGCCGCAATCTCAGGAAGTCAAGAAGCGGAGGTTGTGAAACAAACTAGTGCCGGGCGCGTTGAAGTAATCAATGTTTGGAAAGTGCTCTTGAGAATAATCGTGAAATTGTCCCAAATGAGTACTAGAGTATCTGGTTGTTGACAAAACAAAAGTCATTATGACAATTGTACGTTTTATTGTCACCCGAGAATCTCATCACTTCCCGCCACACACTACTCCGGAAGGCCAAAGTGTAGTACAGCTCTTTGTGTGGCTACAAGAGCATGCGTACACCTAAAACTTCAATCTTTTCCCAACAGGTAACAATGATGGAGCTTCCATCTGGCGGTCCTGCCACTCAGTCTCAGACAAGCAAGAGCTTGCGCAGCATCTGGCTGTCTCGTTAATGGTGTGGGGGCAGACAGCTCCTGACACCCAGAATTTGTATGACAGCAGATCCTCAAGTGTCACCATCACCAGAGCGTTTTCGAACTCTGCAGAACTTCATATTAGAAACGGAACGGGCATACGATGGTATTGAAAAAGTGTGGATTCGTAAACATTTGGGCTTAAGCTCAGTTTTCAGCTTCACGGCCTCAGTATCTCTGGGATGAACAATCAAAGGAAAAGGGGAAGCTGTAGGATACCCAGCCATGGCACACGCTCCCGTAGGATAAGCTCGCTTGGGATAATCTCCGGTGTGATAATCTTTTACAGGATAACCTTCAGTATGTCAATCTCCTGTAGGATAAGCCTGTATGGGAATGTAAACCACGGAGGGCTCTGAAATGAATTGTTCGCACTTTTTCAAATGTGGCAGTGTTGTTCCAATGGTGCACTGTATGTGATCATGAATAGCATCCAGCATTGGCATGCCGAATGCCCAGTATTGGTTATATTCCTGCTGCCTTTCCACCGGCAAAGTGAGGGGGTTTGACCTTGCATAAACGATTAAATGCCCCGAACAGTCGTTGAAAGAAACAATCAACTCGAGAAGTCTGAAATTAACAACACGTAAATAAGTGTTCAGGAGTATCTTGAAGTGAAGTGTAAGCTGTTTCCACTACTAGCCGTCCTTGGTGTACTTAAACCCCCTGCACACCGTAGCCAATCACACAAGCTTGCTATCCGCGGCTCGGACCCACCATTCGTCACCCCAGGCGCCGCTTGTGCAGCAGCCGTGTCAGTTGGAGCTGTCGTGTCGTTTTGGGCAAACAGAGCTCCAGTACACATTGCAGTCGTCGCAAGTCTAGTCAATCCACCACTCACCACCCATCTTACCACCACCTTCGCCACGACCAACAACGCCAATTGACGACGCCACTCTTGAATACTCATCATGGCACCCAAGAAGAACGCTGCTGCCACTGCCCCAGCAGACACACCAGTCTCGACCCCGGCGAAGGCACCCAAGACCGCAAAGGCCCAGTCCTCCAAGTCATCGCTGCTTCCGGAGCAGGTTTGGTCCCACTATTGGAAGACCACCGGCCACCAGACACGCCTGATCGATGCATTCCTGGCCTTCCTGATGGCCGTTGGCGCTATCCAGTTTGTCTACTACTTCCTGATCGCGAAAGATGTAAGGGCGACCCCCCTCCACCCCGGCTCTAGTTAAACAAGCAAGACTGACGTTCGGCTCAAACACAGCCCTTCAACGCCTTCCTGGCGGGCTTCGCCGCCACCGTTGGCCAATTCGTCCTGACTGGTACGTAGCAACGCTCTTCTGGCCCTGACCGGGCTCCCTTGGCTGACATGACCATGGCAGTTTCCCTACGCATGCAAACCGACGAGCAGAATAAGTCCGACTTCCCCAAGGTCACCCCGGAGCGGTCCTTCGCAGACTACATCCTCGGAAGCCTCATCTTGCACTTCTTCTGTGTAAACTACATCAACTGAGGGGGTCGTGGGCACAGTGTGGACGAGGCAAGCGGCAGAGGGGCGGCTAAGGCGATTTCTTCTATCCTCCGGAGGGGTCTCCTGGGTGGCATTTACCTGTACAGTATGACACGGAGCACATGGAGAAGCAGCGTGAAAATCGTCGTGGAAGAGCAAAGGCCAGGGTATATCTCCATTGCGCCCGTAAAACCAATTGATGAGCGTTTCTTCCGTGATCTGGTTTCTATCTATGCATCTGCCGCACCTTCCTCCCCTTCCGCCTGTGGCGTGTCTGCTGGTGGCGGGCCTCCTTTGGGTGGCCCCCCTGCCTTGGGCGGAGGAGCCAGGGGACTCTTGGTCCGCGTCGAATCTGGCCTATCCAACGCCCTGCTCTTCTCCTCCTGTTCGTTGAAGTAGTCATCCATCCCGCCGACTGGGGCTCGGTGCGCCTTTTTCTTCTGGCTTCGCGGAGGCGCGTTTCCTGCTGGCGGCGGCGCGCTCGCCATCTGAGCCGGGACGAGGAAATCACCGCCTTCAACCGGGGGACCTCCGGCCGGGGGTTGCTCAGCTTCGGCGGGCGTGAAGAAGTTTGCCGTGTCGCTTCCGGGTGCCGCCTGGCCATAAAGTGGTGTCTTTTCTGAGAACTCAAACATCGTGTCGCCCGGCGCGTCCACTGGCTCGCTCAAAGGCGCAGGTAGACGGTGTAGTGCCCCGTAGCCCAAGACACAGCCCAGCGCGCCTTCGCCGCCCCATTCGCGGCTTGGCTGCAGCGTGACCTCCCTGGTGACATCGTATTCATTGTTGTAGACGTATAGCCTCAGCGGCCTTCCAATGTGGTCCTCGACAATCTCGCCCAGCCCACTCTCGCCGTGCAAAGTCCCCTCTGGTGAGCCGAGGATGTAGTCGCTGTAGGGCAGGAGGCCGGAAAGATCAGCAGGGGAGTTGGCGGGGACGTCGAGGACGTGCCATATGTTGACGACGGCGTTCAGCGATGTCCACTGCAGGGCCAGCCCGAGGGAGGAGCCGTCGACCGGGACTGGGACGTGAATTGTACGTGTCCGTTGGCCCTGGCCACGGATGTCAGCTCTGTACAGGTGCTATAGTTCGCTCTTGAGGTCCTACTTTTGCGCTCCACAGACCTAGCGACACCATTCCTCCCGCGCAGTTGCGGACCTCTTGCGCAAAGAGGCCGGGGCTCGGATCGTCCTGCGTACGCTGATTAGCAAGTGTGCAACGCCCAGCTGCTCTGCCGACATCCGAGTGGGAAGCCATACGATCATGCGCCCATTGATACCCACGACGAAGTCAAACCATGGCTCGATCGCGAGCTGCAGGTTTGTGTTCCGCAGCACTTGGAATCCGAACAGCCCTTGCTCGTGCTGCTTCTGCCGAGGGTCCTCGCCGTCGAGGCGGGACATGAAACGGTTAAGCGCGTTGAACATCGTTGTCGTCGGCCAGGTGGGTTGATTTGTACTTATTTATACCTTGCCCTGTTACAAAATATTGAGTTCCCAACAATTGCGATCCGTGGACGAATGTTGAAGCTCGAACGCGTGTGTAGTGCACGCCATGCGACCACGTTGCCGCCCTGCGTCTCTCAGCCTTGCCCGCGGCCCCCCTGGCCCAAGCTCCCGTACCTGAGGAAGCTCCCGAGGCCCCTAGCACCGTGCCGCTAGCGTAGAGCTCTAGCAAGGTACTTGGGCACTTCACTGACTACGTGCTAGCGAATTTCACGCATTTCACTTGTTTCTCATGCAGCAAACGATGGCAGCTAGGTTGTAGGCAATATGGAATCTTTGCATTCTCCTCGAATTATTTGCATTATAGTACAAGCAGAAATTGGAAAATGAAGAAGGGGCAAGCAACTCGAGACCTCCCAGTGGGCTCATCTGGCAGCCCAACCAGGCTAGAAAAGAATCTCAATGGCAATCAATACCTCAGCAGCAAATATGGATCGCCAGCCGGTATCATGAAGCCGGCAGACAGGCTGCGTCTTACGAAAGAATGCAAGCACTATTCGTCGTATGACGAGATGCCAGAGAACTTGAAGAAGTGAGTACATGTGAGGTCCTTTGCCTCACTGCACAAGTTACGCATGAAGCCATCTGACGAGGGAAACAGGTACTGGTATCAGCGCAATACTCTATGGCAATACGACGACTACGACATACGAATGACAGACGCCGCCTGGTTTGGTGTCACCCCAGAGCCCATAGCAGTGTAAGCCCGCACTCACTCAGTCACTCACTTGGACACACCTGCTGAATCTCATCCAAACAGAGAGATCGCGAATGAGCTGGCAGCCAAGCACGACCAGCGCGGGCACAGGCCAAGCGTGATCATAGACCTCTTCGCCGGCGCGGGCGGCAACACAATCCAGTTCGCCCTGTCAGGCCACTGGGACCGCGTCATCGCCGTCGAGTACGACGCGGCCACGCTCGCCTGCGCGCAGCACAACGCCGAGGTGTACGAGGTGTCCGACTACATCACCTTCGTGCACGCCGACTGCTTCGACTACCTCAACCGGCTCGTCAACCGGCCCGACACCCTGGACGACGCGCTCAACGTGCGGCCGGGCCAGGGCGAGGGCGGCGTGGCGCTCGCCCGGGGCGTGGAGCTCTTTGCGAGCCCGCCGTGGGGTGGGGTGGGCTACGAGCAGACCGACGTCTTCGACCTGGAGGTGATGGAGCCATATTCGCTGACGCACATAAGCGCCGCGTGCCGGCCGATGGCACATGCGCTGTTCCTGCCACGGAATGGAGACCTGCGGCAACTTGCAAGCTTGATCCCCGACGGTTCGGCGGAGAAGCTGGATGTGGTTCAGTACTGTGTCAAGGGCGCGAGCAAGGGCCTGGTCGCTTACTACCCGCCCGAGAATGAGCATCAGGCTCACGAGATGTCAGGTTGAATAGGCAGGGCATATCACTTTTACGACGCAACATCTTTTCAAGATCATATCGGTATCTAGTATTTCTCGAGGTATCGTCTGGAGACCGATCACAAAGCCCATTTAAGACCGTCACAGCGCCTTCACAATAGTGGACTCATCGAAGAGATCCTTCAGCAGTCCTTGAACACAGCCCTCCCAGTCCATAGGAGTCATCGCATACGTTGACTCGAAAGCAAAAATGCTGAGTTGAGCGAAAAACGGTCTCAGTATCTTTGCAATCAGCTCTTCCCTCCTCTCCAGGTTGACATCGTCCTTGATACCACCAGCTCCTAGTAGGGGCCGCTTGCGAGGGCCTTGTGCTGTCAAAAATGCTGTATCTTCAGATTGTGGGTGTGGTGTCACGATAGCGGACCCCAATTCTTCGGACAGCTCATCCACCAGCGCGATCGCTTGATAGTTGACTGGCCGATACACTGCATCAATCGTGTCCGTCACGAAGAGCCATTCGTGAAGTTGGAAGTCATCGGGGGCCACACAGATGAGCAGGTCCAACAGCTTGCATGCTTGCAGCACCGAGCCGTTGTTATACATTTCCGAGGCAGCACTGTGGTCGGGTGCCGCCACGGATGACACAGAGGCGTGCAGCTCTGCATTGATCACTGGCCAGATAGGAGCCAGGTGTATGGCGCTCGTCTTGAGGACGAGGGCGCGGACAACCATGAACAGCTCTGCCCGCGTGGTCGATGATGGGGATGAAGTAGCCGTTGCTCCTAGTAATTCGACAAGCTTGTCTAAGATATTTGGCAATTCTGTAACAAACGTGTCTTCCGCTGCGGCCAAAATCAGTGTGGCTATGCGGCGGAGATTCAGTTGCGTCTTTCGGTCAGCCTCTAGTCTTGCCGAGGTTGCGCCTACGCCGAACACTATTCCTGCTGTTGTCGGCGCCGTAATTCGGCTGAGGAGTTCTGGTAACCGATCTTTGTCCGTGACTGTCCACTGCTTGAGCAGAGGTAGCCAGTCATTTTGAACCAATGCTACATTCGACCCAAAGAAACGAGGATCGTTGAACGCATCGGTGACGTCCCTCTTCCAGGTCTTCTGATTGTTTGGCAGTCGCGTGAGCTCCTGCAATAATACCAAAGTGCTCTTAGAAAAGGTGTCGGGGAATGTCTTCGCGCGTAGTGCCGGTCCAATCACGCTGGTGGAGATGGACGTCGCAGCCGATAGCACGCGATCATTTTCGACTAGTATTTTGGGAAGGTCTGGAGCAATTGAGGACAGTATGGACACAACATCGTCCGCACGTTCTTGAGGGTTTCTGCTTGGTGTAGCTTGTCCGGAAGCCTCGAGACGCTTGGGCTTTTCGGATGCCCCATTGGTGGTATCTGAGAAATTCACAGGTCGCGTCGTGAATAGCGCAGTTAGTAATCTGAGAAACAAGTCCTGTAGCGAAGAATGTCAGTCATCTAAACGTAGAGATTCTAGAAGGATGTCCCTACCCCCAGTTCCCGACGCATCTTGCGTTGCTCTCCGAAGTTTGTATTGTCGACCTTAACCCCCAGGATGGCAGCAAACTCGAGAAGACTTGGCAGTGTCTGGCGATGTGGAAATGGATTCGTCAACAAATCTTTGAGGAATGTGATGCAATCCTGCCAAATCTCGTCCATAGCATCGTCCTCAAGAGATCTAGCGTAGTCCACCAAGAAAATGACAATGTCGGTGTCCTGGAGGTCCAACGTAAGATTCGATTTTCGTGTTGGATCGAGCGCCGTCGGATTGGTCCGGCTGTAGATAGAGTTGAATATCGCCGGTATAGTGTGTTTTGGTCGTGAGCCGTCAAGAGCAGGGAGAAGGTTGAAGACTTCGACATGGGGCTGTGACGCAAAATCGTCCAAAGACTTGCGCCATATGTCGATGACCGTCTCTAAACATTCTAGCGTTTCCGCAGCGAACAAATGTTCAAGTAGTCTGCGGGCGCGGTTCCTCATACGCAGAGAGGTGTACTTGAAAGAAGCCATAGAACTCGTGGCCTGTGCTGTCGCGTCACCCCCTTGGCCCCAAGACCAGATTCTGAAGCAAATTCTCACGGCGTCCTGAAAAGCCAACAACACGGTCAACCTATCATTCGCCGTAGCACTCCTAGAGTGCAGGGACTCGGTCGAAAAGACGCCGGACACCATGTTCCCAAAGAAACCTTGTGGCTGGTCCGGGCTCTTAACCACCTGAGTACGGGCCTCTTCCAGCAATAAGCTATCATGGCTCCTGGCTAAAACATGCTCCAGCCCATTCAAGAAAGAGATCAATGTCGTTTCTGGTGCATCAGTGTGATCTTTCCAGTCCTGCTCACGGCCCTTGAACATCTGCTGCAAGCTAGTAAACGTGTCACCGATCTGATCGCACAACGTCCCAACGAGCGGAATCAGCACCTGAAATATGGTGTCGGCATAGTATGGCAAGCATTCGGTAAGAAAGCTGATCCAGCTGTCCAATACTGGCCGACTACTTGGCGAAGACAGACCGGCTTGTAGACATTTGAGTAGTGCTGGTGGCGGGGGAGGAAGTCGAGATGTTTTGTCTGCAGACACGGATACGCGGTGGTTTCCGATCTCACCAATTGGCTTGCGTTTCTCCGCGGTCGGCGAAGGTGGAGGCTCGGTAGCAAGCATCTCTCGAAGTTTCAGAGAAGCGAAGACGACATCTAGAAGAAGGACCTGGGCATAAGGATCTGGGCAGTCCAGAGACTGAGAAAGCCGCTCGATTAAGACGTCTTCTAGATGCAATCGTGCCAGAGGCGCAGCATAGGGACTGAGGAGGATCTGGTGGAGTACCACCAGGGCACTTCGAATAAGCTGTGTGACTCGGACTTTTATCTCACTTTCCCCGGATATGTTGTAATGTGAGATGCACCTCAGGCAGACCTGCAACAAAAAGAATTGAAGAGTCACGTCGTCTTGAGTATCGGCTGTAACAGTCAGCATCTGCCAAAGTATCATAGACTCGTGTTACACTCACTGATTTCTGACAAGCCAGGGAAATCATCAGCAGAGATGGTTCTGGTGGCAAGTACACTCCAGATTGCGTCAGGCGCCCAACGGAAAACGTTCGAGATGGTCCTCAAATAGTATAAACAGAGGTCAAGGTCGTCGTTCTCAGTGAAGTCCTTCCTCGTGTGGGATGTGCCAGCGTCAACAGGGGCGCTTCGCAGAAACTCCAATTGCAAGAACTGTGAAGTGAAGATGTAGAATATCCTTCATAGGTCAAGAATTAGCGGCAGTTTTGGTCAGTTGGAATGGACACACTCACTTGTCAACACCAACTAGAGTATTCAGCCACGTTTTGACCGCCATGAACAGCTGAGTCTTTTCCTCGGAAAATGCGTCGAGCATCAGAAACAGCGGGCGGGTCAGCATGATCTCGTAATTGTCTATTCCAGCAAGTCTCGGGAAGGCCGAAAGATCTCCATAAGGAGTTTTTGGGGCTCTCCTATCTGAGGTAGAAGGGTTGTCCTGCAGACTATGTGACCACAAGATACTGAACCGTCGACCAGGCTCTGCAGGTCGAACAGGGAAATTTCCATTCACATCACTTTGGCTCATCAAAGCACAAATAGCTGCCTCGATATCGCGATTCTGCGGAGTCAAAACCGTTTGAAGTTGCCAAAGACTCCTCACAGTCTCAACATGGTATCGCGGCTTGGAAGCAGATAGGTACGACCAAGCATGCTGGACCAAAGGTGTGACAAGCTCGGAAAGGTCATTGTGAGAAATCCGGCCGGAGGCGAACAAATGTGTGGAGAGGGAGAGGATAGACGAATAGGTCACAAACCGCAATGACCCCTCTTCCGAGGCGCAGGTATGAAGGGCTGCAAGTAGACGAGCATTATCGAATGGAGAGTCTTGCGGCGTCTTTGAGACCAGCATCATCAATATGCGGCACTTAACACTGAGGTCTGCTGCTGATTCTTTCCGCATCAAACTCTCGCATCCCAAGCTGCAAGACTTTTGCAGTAGAAGCTCCCCTACATCACGGCGGGTTAATGGTGGTTTTGAAACGTCCAAATTACCCTGCTCGTGGATGTAGAAATCTCGAATCTTCAGCAAAACATCTAAGTTTTGCGATTTCGCTAGTGACGTCGAGTCTGAAGACGTGCCTTCTGACTTGGACGGGAACGCCCGTTCAGGCACAATATCCAGCAGGTCGGCCACAATACCAAGCGCCGTGGTGACCAGGTCATCATTTTCCGAAGACGAAGTCACTGTTGCTTCTCTTCTTTTCGCGTCCTCTATCATGCAAAAGATCGCGAGGGCAGTCAGTGGAGCATGAACTGTAACCATTTCTTCCTCCCTGATGTTGAAGTGTTTGATTATGAATTGGACCAGCGCAAGTTTGTCTGACCGCTCCGATGTGGTAGAATCTCCGGGGCCGATTGCTTGGGCCATTTGACCCAGTATCTCGCCATAAATCAACCCACTTTCCACACCGTCGAAGAAAGTGCTAGCACTACGCAGGACTTCAGAAAAGCCCAATTCGCTCGAGGTTTGATTCTTGAAATTTCTGACACTGTCCACGATTGGCAGGAAGATCTCTGGCACAACAAGACCACCAATTTCCCATCTGTCCATGAGTGATAGGCAAATGCGGTATGGACGGGCCTTCTCAGCTGCAGTAGTCTCCGGGGCGTCTTTGATCAAAGCCAACAATGACTTTATAAGTGGCTCGAGTCCATACTCCTCGAAGTAGCTTGTCCTGGTCGATAGGAGTCCGTTGTGATGTGCCGACGGAGAGCTGGGGGATTCTGGTCCGTTCTCGGCTTCACCAGCCTGGGGTTCTGGGCCTAGGAGCCATGTCCAGAGCCTCCTGTTCAGACTCATCTCTCGCCTGGTAACCACTCCCGCGGCAGCTTTAAGGAGCAGCTCCAAATCACCCGACTTCACTCGCTTCTGGAGAACCTTTGAGTGTAGAGGCAGGTGAGTCACCAGCAGATCTAGAAAACCTCTCTGAATGAGCAGTTGCTCATCGGCGAGCCCCGCGGCGAAACATCGTAATAGTAGTCCGGGTTCTGGCGTGGTCACTAATTGGGCCAGTTTTGAGGACAGCTCGAGCTCCTCATTCTGTATCGAATTGTCTGCGTCCCGTGGCTCTGGCGTCAGTGAATGACCCAGCTTGGGCAAGCTCCGCACGAGGTAAGCAAGAGCCCCAGGACGACGACTTTGGCCTGTGATGGCCGCCAAGAAGAAGCACTGCCAGAAGTAGTCATCTCCAGCCGAGTGTATAGGCGTGATTTCTTGCGACTCTTTTGGTCGTATGGCTTTCTTGAAACTCTCCACGAGCTTCAGTGTTCGATCAAAGTCCTCCGCAGTCTCCTCTTCCAATCCTGGCAGCAGGGCGAGTATGATGGATTTCATGGCAGGGCGAAGAGACCGAGAGTCTAGGTCGAGGAAATGACGCTCGAGGAGGTCCAAGAACGGCGTCCGCACGGATAGGGAGGCAAAGGACAAGGTGGGCGCAAGTCCGGTCAGGTATAGTGGGAGGTCTCGCGAAAGACCATCCTTTCCGATGATCGTAAAGACGTAGTTGTAAACTTCAAGGGCCTTTTGGTGGACGCCCGACGGAAGGGAAGGGTTGAGGCATTGCGACAGGCGTTTGGCAACTGTTGCCTTGGCAGGGACGGTGTGTATGCTTTGGTTCCGAGCTTGGAGTGCCTGGGATTTCGACTGTCAGCTACACGCGCGAGGCACCTAGAACTGAAGGAGTCGAACTTTGAGGAGTCTGTTTAGGAAAGAGATGTAGTCGGCCCATTCCTGCAGCGCAGTTTCGAACAGTGTGAGTGCTCGGTCGACGCCTGCAGCGTATTTCCGGTAGGCTTTATCTTGGTTTGGCTGGTCGTCCTCTGGACAGGGACACACGAGATGTCAGTCAATCGAGCCAGCCCTATGGCGCGTACGTAAATCGGAGCATGGGCTCACCGGCGCTGAGTTGATTCCTCCATTGTCGCGGTGGGTTTGGGGAATCGCGAATCGAGCTCTCAGGCGAGATCGACCTGGGCCCGCCTGGTTCAAGGGACATTTTCCGTGTCGCAAAGCGTAGTCGGCTTGAGGACTGAGAACATGGGGTTCTCTCGGCTCGATGTGAAATCCAATTTCATCGCTACACCAGAGGCCGACGGGGGAAGAGTCGAGGCATTCTGGAGCTCATACACGCAGAGAAGGCTACTTGTCCGTCGAGGGTTTGCTTGCGTACCTCGATGTACGTCAAACACCCTGGCGCAAGGGGGTCCTCAATGACAGAAGCTCCAGACCCCTGTCATACCTAAGTGCCCAGCTATCGACCCTGACATCCTTGTAAACGTTGCCTGCAAGCTGTACCTAAGTACCTGAACTAACGCAGCATTGTACCTGACAGTCGTATATTTGAGCCACTCTTGAGTAACCTGCACCTCTCTACCCAGGTTACATTTAGAATGCTTAGATTTTATCTTTTACTCAGTTCGAGACCGAAGCAAATTAGGCCAATTACTGCCTTGGTGGTCCAACAAGTTCGTCACTGCATCATCAGCCCTACCCGTGGTATCGCTGCAATGGGCTTCACACGGCCTTGACAAGAGATCGGCCAACCGTCGCAAATTCATTCTATGCCGTTTGCTCCAATGTATACTTCCAGCCTAATGAGCGTTGTCTTGCTCTTACGACAGTCAAACCAATGATTCTTGAGCACTGCATATCAAGGCTACTTCCAGGACAGGAACGCCTCCCTTGACGGTCTCATACTCTTACATCGTAGTGGTCACAATGAGACACCAGCAACTGCTATTTAGGGGAGCCAAATATCTCTTGAATAATGGGCGGCCTAAGTAATCGCATTGTCTCCAACATGGTGATGATTCCACACACGGAGAACCTAGGATCACTAGGCAATCCTATCAAAATCACCAACATGCCTTGTGGGGAAGATGATAGTAAGGAATCTCTCAATCTGCCGCAAAGGCTCAAGAGATCTTTCCATAGCCAGGAGTCTACTTGCCTATAGAGACGCAGAACATTATGCAGATAAAACCATCGTGACTTCTCGCACAAGCACTCTTTCAACGTCCAAGTGATATTGTTCAATTCTAACCGTCTATTGACGCATTTGGACATACCATTGTTGTCATTCGAAGCAAGAACCTAGAAGACACTGGATTCTGCGACATCAATGTTGTATATACAGGAGAGGCCATAATATCCAGCCACACGGTAAGACCCTCGTAGAGAAAGGCACGAAGTAAAGATCTCGGCACACCTCATTAGAACTCTGTAAAAGCAAGTTCATATACAAAACCTAGAGTCATCTTGCCATGCTGCACCATGTGAGCATAATTCACAGTCGCTAGTGTGTCATCACTCGTGTGTATGTACGGCGAAGTCTTCTCGAACGGTGCCTCGATGACAAACGCAGACTGGTACCCGGCCTCAGTAGCGGATGCAAAGTCGGAGCTGAAGACCACCTTGTTAGGGATATGTGCGCAGTGTAACGACTGTTTTCGGATTGGGGGCTTCAACTTACCAAGCATAACCACATTTTGTCTCTGTGTATGGTATGTCACAGTAAGACTGAACAACCATCTTGATGAACTCGGTCAAGTCCTTGTTCACATAGTCTGTCACTACCCCAAGGGTCTCCGTCTGCATGCCAGCCGAATATCCAGTCATATCCTGCTCCAGCATGGCAGCCACATCACGGCCTTCGGCAGCGTAAGATTCGAACACAGCCTGCGAGCCCAACAAGCCCGCCTCCTCGGCGGAATACCAGTGGAACTCGACTGTGTTGACAGCCTCGCCAGCCAGGACCTCCGGGGAGGTCAAGTAGACACGCAGCGACTCCAGGATTGTCATGGAACCCGAGCCGTTGTCGTCCGCCCCAGGGGCACGGGACGTCTGCTGGTTGGAGGCCTTCCAGTTGACGCTGTCCTGGTGGGCACCGATAACGATGGTCGATGCAGTTTTACCAGGGATCTTGGCGATGATGGAGTCCTGGTTCCATTTCGGGTGCGGGAACGCCTCGACGGTGGCACCAAGGCTCGATGTCACACCTGCCTCGACGAGGGTGGTGTTCACGAGGTCGAGAAGCCAGGCCGAGGACTGAGCACCGTATCCGCCCTTGTAGTAGCGGTTTTGGAACCCGGAGAAGGTCGTCAGGCGAGACTTCAGGAGATCGGTCGATAGGGAGCTAAAGAGCGGCTTGATGGCTGCACTGTGTGATGCCGAGCTTGGGTATGTGTACGTCTTGGCTGCGGCTGCAAGGCTGGAGGCGCCAAGGTTCGAAGAGTATGTCTTGTCAATGAACCCTGTGCCCTCGAGGCGAAGGTTGCGCTTCTCCTCCTGCGTCACCCATTTCTGCTCTGTTTCGAGCTGGACGAGGAAGGTCTCTTCACCTTCCTCCGGGCGAGCAGGCACTGCTGCAGCAGCAGCGAGGCTGAGTAGTTGAAGGAAGACTTGGGCCTTCATTTTTGTCTCTAAAGAGAGGAATACAGTTTAAAGAATGACGGGGAAGGGATCAGGCTGACACTCCTGGAGCTCTTGGACGAGTCCTGCACAGATGGCATCCCGCAAGGGATTTCCATATTTAAACCCATTTATACCGACACATCCGTACCGCATAAATCACTTTACTTCGATACGAAGGTTGAGGAGTTCTCTCCTGCCTAAAGAGGCATGTCTCCTTCGCAACGGGCCATCTGCAAAGATCATCACGGCCAAGAAAAGCCAAGCCTCGAGGAGCTTCCTGAACGGGAGAAGACAAGGTGACATGATTGTTGAGGCTCCATTCCACGTGACATTCGGCCTGTATTGATATCCTGCGACGAATTAACAGCCGGCTTCTTTCGACTCTGGCAATGTAAGCGAAGGCGGTACCAAACCAATGCCCCGGTGTGATGGCCCGAGGACGTTGTCCCGGCCCCGGCCAGTCGAGGGCTTCCAGTGGGGACATTCAGCTTATCCCATCTTCCTTCCCGGCACGGTTCTCGGACTGGAGGGAGAAATGAGCGTGATAACGTGACCACGCATGATGCTATGATTTCGTGCAGTAGACTGGACACCCGATCACTATGCCGCTTCTTGAATGTCAAGTGGTTAGGATCAGGGTTGGACCCTGGTAGTGTTCGCACCCACCCCATCCGAGGGAGGGAGGAGGCAGTGGCGCCTCAACCAGATTTCTCACAGCTAAAAGTGTGGAAGACATGAAGAGCTCTGGCATCAATCCATTGTCTGCCAGCAGAAAAGACACACTTTCAGGAGGCCACCGAATCAGAAAGCTTCATCCAAGACCCTGAGATTTGATTCATGGAAGTAATAGACACAATTCTTCTCAAGCGTGGCAGTTGGCGGGCCAGGATGTTGCTTCCCGCCTGCGTGGGAAAAAAATACGCATGCACAGATACCTGGTGAGCCCTGAACTGGCGAATATGAGACCTGCAAACAAGAGTTCTCCGAGACATGCATGCATTGGAGAGAGTAGCTGCGTGTCCCCAGGGAGCAAACTTGGCTCCCCTGAGGTTGACGAGAGCAATAAAAGTTGTGAAGCACAAGACACGCGACGGACGAACCACGAAGTTGGCTACGGGACAGTGGGTGTGCGGTGTCGCGCTGTGCTTGGGTTATGTGTGGTGTCCGCTTGCTGGCTTGCCGCTGGGTGCTGGTGGATGTTGTTTGGATGCTGCCAGTTGCGAGTGTGCCAGTGCCAGTGTCCAGTGCTGCGCTGTCAAGCTGCATCATGCACGACCACGTCAACGGGGTTTGCTCGCCCCTCCACATCTGCCCCAGACCGGCATGGTCCATTCCCCACGGCGCGATAGGATGAGAATCCTCACCGAGCATAAAAAAAGGGCGCGAGCGGGAATCTATCTGGGGCCCTGAGGGCGGCGCGAGGGGGCCTGGGAACGGGAGAGAAAGCTTGGGCGGTATGTCGAATGGAATAATAAAAGCACACGTCGGCTCGGCAGCCAATCAGTCGGCGGAGACGGCCTTCTTGCTGCTCTCGCGATGCGAATGAGGACGTGCCAACTCACACTTGCCGCACAGACGGGTAAGACTTCAAGAACCCCCCCCATCAAATCGTCTTGGAGTGCCGTCCTTTTTTGGCCCATTCTCTTCCCATCTCTTTCGCTTTCTCAGGTTCGCCTGCTCAATTCTTTTCAGCTCGGCTGCCCCCCCTTACTATCTTCTCACCTTTCCTGGATTGGAACCTCGCTCATCAATCGCATCGACGTTAGGGTCTCAGGCTGGTCTGAGCTTTGGGCAATTTCCATCTTCGTCAATTTCCCAGGATCTCCCGTCCATCCCATCTCCACAACCACGTTTTTCTCTGCTGTCAACCTCTACGTCCTTTTCTTGCTTCTTACTGTCATCTCGCGTCTGAACTCTACGTTTTCACGGGGACAAGTGTCATCAAGTGATTGAGATTTCTGGTATATAATTCTCATGCTGATGCTGTGTGGCTCATGCTCATGGCTTCGTCATCGTTGATGTGATTACCCAGGTATATCCATCAGAAATCCTCAGAATGTTCAAACTACCCCATGCGCGTCGCAGGCCATGCATAAAAGTTCTTTCGCAAGGTATGTGTGCAAGGAAAACAAGCAAAGACACAAGAAAACCCAGGTGGACTTGATCATCGTCCCGAGGCGACCGCCCCGAGCATCACTCTTCTCGTTTCCGATGGTGACGGGAGGTGTGCTCCCGGCCCGTGGGGGCGTTGCCTGTGATGCGATGGAACAAATGTCGGCAAGTGTCCTCGGGAGTCAGGGAGGAATAGGCGCAACCTAAGGCAGTCCAGATGGAGGAACAATGTTCAGAACAGTCCTCGCAGGCGTCGCAGGCCCTCCGAAGAACCCGTGTGGTGGAATATTTTGGTGTGAAGTGGTCGTTGCCGGCCAAGATGTTGAAACGTCTTTTCGAACCCAGAGCTTGCCCGCCGCCGCCATCGTTACAAGGCCCCACTGCGCCAGAAAGAAACGACCGACTTGATCCTGGGATATTTACCCAAAGCAATGCCGAGTCGGATGAGAGAAAGGAATTGTTCGAGGCCGGTGCCCCTCATCTGCTGTGGGCAAACTTCACCAGCCATTGGAGAACCGCGTCGAGGTTGGTCTCTTCCTTGGCGGAGATGCCATAGCAGGAGACTTCTCGATGGCCGATGCTCTTCAGGTCCATGGCGTCAATCAGCTCATCGACAGTCAACTTGTCCGGAAGATCAGACTTGTTGCCCAAGACGAGAAGAGGGATGCCCTCCAGGGTCGGACTGCTCATGACCGAGTGCAGCTCTTCACGCGCCTGCGACAGGAGGTCTATGTCCGCGATGTCCACAATGAAGACGATCGCGTTGACACCACGACAATACCTCTCCCACATGGTCCGAAATCGAGGCTGCCCTCCCAAGTCCCAACACTTCAGGGTCACATGTCCCTGTTGTACCTTCTTCATATTGAAACCGACCGTTGGAATCGAACTGCGAGTCGACTCAGTCAGTCAGAGTTGCAAGGGGTGCCGCGTTCATGGGGAAGGCGCCGTCAGGAAGGTGCAAGCGTCGCGACAACTGCTGCAGTCTGTTAAGGGACAAAGGAATGCGCTTACTCGATGGTGAATTCTCCGCCCTGGAAGGTAAACTCGTCAGGGTCATGATGTGAGAGCCGGCTCAGGAAGGGTCACTTACCGATAGCACTCTCAGCAGAGAAGTCTTCCCTGCGTTCTGGAGTCCGATCATGGTGACGTCCATCTCGGTTGCCCTGCGAAATATGGTCAGAAGGTTTCGGCTGTTTGAAGCGACGACGGTGGTCCTGCTAGCTGTAGAGCAGCGAATGCAAGTTGCATTTTGCAGCCGTGCACCTGTCGGGGATGTTTCGTCGCCGATGTAGGCTTACCAGAAAGTTCTGAGTAACCAGTCGTACACCTTCCGGAAAAGGCCCGCCATCGTGCAAGTTTATTTGACACTTCAAAACTCGAGTCTGGTTGTCTATGATAGCACGAGGGAGGTTCAGGTTTAATGTGTGTGAGGCGGGTAGGATGAGCCCGAGCGTCGAGTGATCTTGAGCTCGCCGAGAGGAGATGGTGAGCAGGCGCGGGGTGCGCGATCAGCCGGGCTGCTTTCAGGTCCCTGCCCCGTGGTATTCTTTTTTTGGCTTGGCAAAGTGCGCCAGTCGGGGAGGATCGCTAAGGCGAAGGGTCGTCGCAATCTCGCGAACTTTGGACGCTCCCGGGGCTCTTATGCGATCAGCGGACAGTCGTGACTCTATTGTCGCGCATCGAGGATTATTGAGTGATATGGGTGTGCCGGCTTGGTGGGAGCGCGAAAACTCTCCACCTCGAAAAATGGGGGCACAAGTCGATGCCGGACGGGGTTCCTTGTGTTGGGACGTGCGAAAAGGGAGCAGCGGCTAGGACTGGGGTTCTATTCGTTAGAGTGGAGCTGTCAGAACAAATGACGAGACCTTGTAAACGCGGGACGGGGTTTAGAGTAGCAATTGCAGATGTGAGGAGCGCATGAATATGAAATACATTGGGCACTTGGACAGGACAGTCCCGAAATGGCAGAGAGACGCGAGGAGACGAGGTTGGTATTCAGATAGGTAGGCGACAGAGGAGCGCAGCACAGTGACCGGACCGATCTATCTCTTGCCCTGCCTTGCCTTTCGGGCCCGTAGCACAGAACCCGCGGGGCAACACGAAAAGACAACCTCCCCGGGAGAAGCCGCCCCAGGGGGCAACAATCGGCCAGGGTCTGGTATAGTTGCAGTGCAATGCAAGCGAACAAGTGGACGCCTAGAGCGGTTTGGTGACGCGAGCAGCTCCAAGGACGGTCGACGGCGGTCTGGGGGCGTCTAGGTCGAGAGCAGTGTAAGGTATGCAAGAAGACGTGAGGCTGCCGCTGGGCACTCCAAGATACCGCAGGGACTGGTGCAGACGCAGACGAAGACGGAGATGAAGAGACGGGTGCTGCTGGTTACTCGACTCCGGACACTGCTTGCTGCTGGGGTTCGTGGCTTGGGATCTGCGAACTGTCGATACATACACATACCTCGTGACAAGTGGTTTTGGATGGTGAAGTAGGCACCAGAGGGCGTCACCGAAGGGAGCTTGATGAAGATCGCTCTGCTGTGGCGGTCCAGGTGACCGATCTTTCAGGGGAACAGAGAGGGCGTGCCGGGTTGCTGGCCGAGAGAAGTAAAACCGCAGCAAGACCGTCAAGTGAGAAGATGCACAATGTCTAACGGCGGGGTCAAGGAGCTCGGGATGATTGGGCGGTCGGCCGTCTTATGTGTGCGACCCCCAGACAAAGACCCAATAACAACCACAATCTGCGCCTTGGACTCGTGCGTAACCAGAATCACGGGCAGCAAGGGATGGAAGAGGGTGCAGGGTTGTAATACAAAAATTTAAAGTGCTCTGCCCTACCAAGAAGAGGCGTTTCGGCAGCGGCAAGAGAGGACGAGGACGCAGAGGGGGACGGTGGTCGAGCGGGGCCCTTCATGGACCGTGTGGGCGGATGACGAAGGCGATGATGATGGCGGTGGTAGTGGGCAGTTGGAGTCGAGGTGAAGAGAACCTGAAGGGTCAGGCCCGGCAACGAAAATTCGTCAGGAGCAAAGGCAGGTCGGGTAGCGGAGTCTAAGGCAAGGCAAGGCAGGCAGCATGTGTGTGTGTTATGCAGGCTCTCAGGTTCTGGTGCGGGAGTAATCTGCACCATGTCTGCACCATGTACTATTTCGAACGCTGCTGGGGACGGAGCCGTGGGTGCTAATAAGGTGAGGTGGAATTGGGCTGCAAGGTGATGCAGCTTGACTGCAGGTGCATGCATCGCCTCTATGCTCCGCGCAGTGCACCAGCAGAGCCGTGGCAGCATCGACACGCTGGTTGGCTCACGGAGCACCTCGGGACCAGCTTGAGGCCGCAATTCGGGCCTGGGTTGGGTCGACAACTTGGGCCTTGATGTCGCGACGGCTCTTCCTGGCCGGCAGGGCACACGGCGATTCGCCGGTGGCCTTGTGGTTCCATCTGGCATCCATGGATAGATACCTCACCACACCATGCCCTCCATCTCCCTCTCCCAATCCCCTCAGGCCTCGCTGCGAACCTGTAGTACACCAGGTACCCAGCTAATAGCAGTAGCAGAACACCATCGGCGCTGTGGCCCGTGGGGATTAGTGGATGGGCCGACAAGAAAGAAGGGGGGTGAGGTGACACTGGTTGACCCTGACCGGCTGGCTCTGGCTGTCTCGCCTCTTGACCCAACCTGCCAATCTGGGCAGACATCCAATGGCGGCAATAACTTGTCGGACACACGGCTGTCTGGTGGATGCTGAGGTCGGCTCAGATCTCGAACTGGCCCCATGGCCGCCCAGCAGACTAGACCCAGAACAGCATCCTGAGTGGCATGCTCGTTTGGGACAACCGGATGTACCACCCAACGTATCTAGCATACAGGACTCTGCTATTGTGGGCTTGGCAGAGGGATAAAGAAGACCCCTACCGAGTCTAGGCCCCAGGATCGATTCATCGCCGTAGGCGAAGCCGTTCTCGTGAGGGCGTGCTTCCCTCGCAGTGGGGTCATCCGTCTGGTGCTCAAAGTCTCTCAGTTTTTCTGTGGACAGAACAAGTCAAGGCATGTGGCCAGCCTCAGATCCTCTAACGGACCGCGGATGGGACCCTGAATGGAAGAGTACCACAGTACCAATGTAGACTAGAGGCGCAAGGAATAGCTGGCTGGGGCAGTGGACGAGGAAAGCAGGGGTGCCTTATCGTGGCCATGGCCGATAAGGAATTTCAAATCTTTTTTTCCATAGAATCAACTCTGACTTTTTATTCCCGTCTTGCATCGACTTATGGAGCTCACCCGCCCTTCCCCTAGTCTGCTCGGGTTATTTTGACAGAGGGGCAACACTCTACGACGCTTGCCAGTCCGCCTCTCCTAATTCATTGCAAGCATTGCCCCTTCTGTCTGCTACGGCGCAGTGTAAGTCTCTGCCCAAGAACACCGGTCCAACACATGCCTTGACGATGCTGGCCTTGCGGCGACCTTCGAACTGCCCCTCGTAGCTCATCTGACATCTTCGCAGAGCAAGCAGCCGATCATGTCTCGCCCAAAGACCAAGACCGAATGGGACCACCAGTACAATACTCTGCGCCGCGAAAACCTTTTCCGAAACCCCCCCACGGATCACACTGCGTACCCTCTTCTCCAGATCGCTGTCAATCCCCACATCGAGTCTTTCAACGCACTTTTCCCCTCGGACGGAAGGCCAGGTCTCATAGCACATGGATTGGCGGATATTGGAACAAAAGTCTTTTACGACAGTCCCGATGGGTCCTCTGCGAACGCGAGAAACAAGTTGACGGTCCGATACAAGAATGTACAACTTCAAAAGTCAATGCTTCCGCCGTCAAACAAGTTCGCAAAGACTCGCGAGATCTTTCCTGCCGAGTGTCGTGAGAGGCATGCGACATATCGCGGCAAATTGACAGCGACTCTCGAATACAGGATCAATGATGGCGACCCGCACGAGTTCGTCCGAGAACTCGGGAATATGCCTATTATGATCAAGGTAGGGACATTTCTGCCCGCATGAGTCCTCAATAATAATCTCACAAGTCACCAGTCAAACAAGTGCCATTTAGAAAACAACTCCCCGGCACTGCTTGTGCAAAGGAAAGAGGAGTCCGAGGAGCTGGGCGGCTACTTCATCGTGAACGGAAACGAGAAAATCATTCGAATGCTGTTGATGAACAGGCGGAATTACCCTCTCGCCATCAATCGACCCAGTTTCACGAACCGAGGGCACGCATACACTCCTTATGGCATTATTATGCGATGTGTACGACCGGACGAGACATCACAGACCAATGTCCTCCATTATCTGAACGATGGAAACGTGACCTTCCGCTTTTCTTGGAGGAAGAACGAGTACCTTGTCCCAGTCATGATGATTCTGAAGGCGTTGGTCGAGACAAACGATCGGGAGATATTTGAAGGCTTAATCGGTCCGGCAGGCTCCAAAGGCACCGAAAACACGTTCCTGACGGACCGTGTTGAGTTGCTCCTCCGGACGTACAAGAGCTACGGCCTTTACAGCAAGACCAAGACCCGATCATATCTTGGAGAGAAGTTCAGGGTCGTTCTTGGCGTTCCAGACAACATGTCTCACTATGATGTGGGCACGGAATTCTTGCGCAGGATCGTGCTTGTTCACCTGGGCAATGTGAACGTCACTGAGGAGCAAGATGCTGACAAGTTCAAGATGCTCCTGTTTATGATTCGGAAGCTATACGCCCTCGTCGCTGGCGACTGCACGGTTGACAATCCCGATGCGGTTCAGAACCAGGAGATACTATTGGGCGGCTTTCTTTACGGCCAGATATTGAAGGAACGTCTTGATGAGCTCCTCTCAGTCGGCTTAAGAGCTTCACTCAGAGACTACCTGAGAAGGAAGCCTGGCAACAACTTCATGTCTCAACCGTTTTCGAAGGATTTCCCGGCTGCAATATTCCGAAAGACGACAGAAAACCTTGGTCAACTTTTGGAGTACTTCCTTTCCACGGGCAATTTAATGAGTCCTTCTGGATTGGATTTGCAACAGACATCGGGCTTTACTGTGGTCGCTGAGAAGCTCAATTTCCTACGATTCATAAGCCACTTCCGCATGGTCCATCGTGGTAGCTTCTTTGCTCAACTCAAAACCACAACAGTCCGGAAACTGCTGCCAGAGTCTTGGGGATTCTTATGTCCGGTCCACACCCCCGATGGTGCTCCTTGTGGCCTGCTCAACCATCTGGCTCACAAGTGCCAGATCATGACGAGCAGTGTCGATGCTTCCCCGATTGCTCAGCTAGCTTTCGAACTTGGTGTGGTCGGAGTCTCGTCGGCTGCGACTGACGAGAGTGTTGTCGTGATACTGGATGGAAAGATCATAGGCTGGTGCACCCCAAAGGAGTCCAAGAGAATCGCCGATACTCTGAGATACTGGAAGGTACAAGGCTCTCACAGAGTACCGAAGTCACTCGAAATTGGCTATGTGCCACCATCGAAGGGCGGGTCATATCCTGGTATTTACATGTCCTCTCAACCATCGAGAATGGTGAGACCGGTCAAGTACCTACCGCTGGGCCAGGAAGACTTGGTAGGCCCGTACGAGCAACCATACATGTCAATCGCCGTTGTTGAAAATGAGGTTATCTCTGGGGAGTCGACGCACGTCGAATTCGATCCCACCAACATCCTGTCCATCTTGGCCAACATGACACCATTCTCCGACTTCAACCAATCTCCTCGAAACATGTATCAATGTCAAATGGGTAAGCAAACCATGGGAACTCCGGGAGCAGCCATTCGTCACCGTACAGACAACAAAATGTACCGTTTGCAAACAGGACAGACGCCCATCGTGAGGGCCCCTCTCCACAATGCGTATGGCTTTGATAACTTCCCCAACGGGACAAACGCTGTTGTCGCAGTCATATCTTACACTGGCTACGATATGGACGACGCTATGATTATCAATAAGTCCGCGCATGAGAGGGGTTTTGGACATGGCACGATCTACAAAACGAAGAAAATCAGCCTCAAAGACGACTCGAGAACGAGGTCATCTACAACAATAGAAAAGATGTTTGGTTTTGCGCCCAAAGGAACGACTCGGTCATGGCATCGTGACACGCTCGATGAGGATGGCCTCCCCTATGTCGGTCAGGAGGTGAAGGCTGGTGACCTTATCTGTGCATGGCACACTGTCTCTCCCGACGGACAGGGTGGACTCGAAAACAAGGATGGCCAGACGCACTTCGAAAAGTACAAGGAGGACGAAATTGCGTACATTGAAGAGGTCCGTATAATCGGCAGCGAAAATGGCAACGAGCCCGCCCAGAATCTATCGATCAAATTCCGGATACCTCGATCACCTACGATTGGCGACAAGTTCTCCTCCAGACACGGTCAGAAAGGTGTTTGCTCTCAAAAATGGCCTGCCATTGATCTGCCATTTTCGGAATCCGGCATCCAGCCCGACGTCATCATCAACCCTCATGCTTTCCCGTCTCGCATGACCATTGGCATGTTCGTCGAATCACTTGCGGGCAAGGCGGGTGCATTGCACGGCCTGGCACAAGACTCGACCCCCTTCAAATTCGACGAGGAGAATACGGCCGGCGATTATTTTGGCCACCAACTTATGAAGGCCGGCTACAATTATCACGGAAACGAGCCGATGTACTCGGGGATTACTGGTGAGGAGTTTGCTGCAGACATATACATCGGAGTTGTCTACTACCAGCGTCTCCGTCACATGGTGAACGACAAGTACCAAGTGCGAACCACTGGTCCAGTCGTCCCTCTGACGGGTCAACCCATCAAGGGCAGGAAGAAGGGTGGTGGTATCCGTGTGGGAGAAATGGAACGAGACGCTCTACTTGCCCACGGCACTGCGTTCCTCTTGCAAGATCGTCTCTTAAACTGCTCAGACTACACGAAGTCGTGGGTCTGTCGGAAGTGCGGCTCGTTCCTATCCGTGCAACCAACTGTCACGCCGTACGTGGGAAAGAAGAAGACCATCGACACTGTCCGCTGCAGGAATTGTGCTCGACGCCTTGACGATGAGACGGATCTTACCGAGCTGGACGGTGAGATCTGGGAAGACGGCCAAGGTGTTCAATGGGTCGGCGGCGAGGACACGACCGTCATCGTCGTGCCCGGCGCGCTGAAGTACTTAGACGTGGAACTTGCGGCCATGGGAGTCAAGTTGAAATACCACATTGACCCAGTTGACAAGGACCGCCCTGGGAAGCGGGTAAAACGGATTGGACTGGACGAATGGAGACAAGGGGCACCGGCGTTGGCAGTTTCTTCGTAGGGGAGATGGCATATAGCAGACTCATGATTTAGCAATGGTCTAATTTTATGTTGCACCGACATTGGTGAAAGACGCCCACGATGAGGGTGACTACGCCAGGAAAGCCATGGGGCTTGCTGTCAAATGTTAAAATAATGAGTTCGTCATCACTATCACTGACACCCTCACTGACAGCGCCGCAGCCTTTCGCTACCGGCGCACTCTCCCGTCCTAGACAAGGTCGCACATGGGAAGCCGCATAGCCGAGCGTCTTGTTGAGCCCGACACTCATGCGTCCTGCCGTCCGAGGACAGCGCTGCTCGACGGGCCATGTCTTGGAAAAATCTCCTTTTGTCCTCGCGTCACTGCTATCGCTGCAAGTCTCCTATCACACTCCTTGGCGAGGAGGGATGACTGCCGTGGTCTCCCAAAGGGGGGAGATAGAGGGAGTGCCTTACGACTCGGGGCCTCGGCCTCTAATAGACTTCTTTGCTTTTTCGCTAGAGACGGCGTGTTTGATTGCGGAAAAGCACGATCGGCAGTCGTTCTGAATAGATGAACGGCATAGTGGGAGACCACGATTTGCACGGCTTCCGGATGGCCGGCACACCATGCTTCGTCGACCATGTGGTCTCTGCTCAGGTTCGTTTGCGTTGACTTATATCTGGAAGGGAGCACCAAAAACTTCGCTTCCATCCGAAAGGTGAAAAGCCTTCGACACTCGGCTGGAAACAGCGTGGATTTCAGAGCAGCTCCTTCCGCCCTAACTTCTAATGCTCTTGGACATCCGACGGTCACTCCTTTCTCCTTTTGAAATGGGTTTGCGTCTCATTTGCTGAGAGATTTGAGACGACTTGGTCGTATCGTGATCCATTCACTGCCACTGCTCCTGTGCTTCTTTGGCACCTCCACCATCGTTTTTCGTTCTTTGTCCCACTCCTTGATGTCTCCTGACTGACAGACGTGCTATCCAAGGACTTGGACTCGCTCTGTCGCATGCCAGTTCTCAACACGATACTCCTTCATATTGTCTCTCTCTGAACTGGCAGTCATCCCAACCAGTCGCTCTGCCGACCCAAAGATCACGCTCGACGCCCACCTTTCATTTATCGTTCATTCATGCCTCTCTTCACCTAAACACAATCATGTCTCCTTGCGCGCCACTGACTCACGGCCTTTGCATTCTTTGCATTCTGTGCTGCTGCATAATCTCACTGGCTCTGGGCCAGTCCTACAACTATGGTTTCGACGTCACCAGAGCATACAACACAAAGCGCCAGCTCGGAGAGAACTTGATTATCACCACTGGCATGCCCGTTGGCTCTGGACCTGTTCCTGTTCGACCCAATATTCGCGATCTCCAGAAGGACCCTGACAAGTGGGCCTTGTACATACTCGCCCTCGACATGATGCAATGGACAGACCAGTCGCAGCCCACGTCTTGGTTCTCGATCACCGGTATGTTGCACTGTGCTGTCTTCCTTCCGAGGCCCGTGGATCACCCTAATCTTCTGTCCGATTCTGACGCAAAATGGTTTGAAACAGGAATTCATGGCGTACCGTTTGAGCCTTGGAACGGAGTATACCCAACTCCTGGCAATGAGATGGCTGGTTACTGCCACCACACGGATATCCTCTTCCCAACATGGCACCGTGCTTATGTTGCCTTGTACGAGGTAAGTAATGGCATACCATTTGGCTGATTCATGTCGCCATATGACATCTCAAAGCGTCCAGACGCTTTACTGATACGGAGGCAACAGCAAGAGCTCTGCGAAAGGATGCAGTTCATCGCCACCACGTACACTGGAGATGCAAAGAACCGCTTAGAGTCTGCTGCCGCCAACTGCAGAGCTCCGTATTTCGACTGGGCCGCACTGCCCCCGTCTTTGGACAGCATGCTTCCTGCTAGTATTGGGAATAGTCCTAAGATTAATGTGTCCGGGCCGCATGGAACGCAAATGATTGCAAACCCTCTTTTCTCCTACGGGTTCAACCCTCCTAATCGAGAGGTTTTCCAAAACATTACACCAGTGAGCGAAGTCATTCACTTTTTCTGCAAGGGAAACTCATTCTGATACAATCCGCAGTGGGCAGACTGGACTACTACAAGGAGAGCTCCGACTGGCCTCGCACCAGACGCCCTGTCAAACAACTCCGCCATCAATGCCAATCTTGTCAGGTACACCATTCAGAACCAACAGAGGCTCTACAATCTTTTCACAAATTACGATAATTACACCATATTCAGTAATGAGGGCTGGGCCGCAGATACAACCAGCTATGACTCACTCGAATCCCTCCACGACAACGTTCACGCCTTGCTGGGAGGATATGATGGCCACATGACCATCGTCCCCTTTTCAGCCTTCGACCCTTTATTTTTCCTTCATCATTGCAATGTGGATCGCATATTTGCCCTATGGCAGGTATTTCACCCGGATGCATGGGTTGTCCCCGAGGTCGCCCGTTTCAACTCATACACTACATCCGTTGGACAAACTCTGGACTCGTCGTCGGCCCTGACGCCGTTCTACGCCAATTCTAATGGGGGTTTCTGGACTTCAGATATGCTTCGCGATCCTACGGCTTTGGGCTATACTTATAGCGAACTGGCCAACTCAGGGATATCACTGTCTAACAGGACCTCGATTCTCGAAGGGCTGGCTCAGGTGACCAGCATTGTCAACGACCTTTATGGCGGTTACAGTGTGAACAGCATCAGCATCCAGTCCAAGCGCTCCGAGAGTCACGTACGTCACAGCCGACATCGCCACGATAGATGGCACCAGGGTCAAATGTACGGCCGCCGGTCCACGAATTCGCTACCCGTCACGAAAATCATCTCTGAGCAGGGCAGATACCGGGAATGGATTGCAAACATCCGAGTTGTAAAGCAGGCCCTAGACGGGCCCTTTCAAGTCCGCCTGGCCTTCAACGGCCCAGGCGAGCCTCTCGATGTCGGCTCCATGGGCATCTTTGCCTCTCCCCCAGCCATCGCCAGCATGAAGAAGATTGCGCCGGGAGCAGAGTTCATCACCAGCACCGTGCCTCTGACAGCGGCCCTGGTCGACGAAGTGGCAGACGGCACGCTGGCATCCATGGACCCCGGAGACGTCGAACCGTATCTGCGCGAGTACCTCGCGACCAACATCGTCAAGGGGGACAACACAGAAGTCGACCCGGCCAGCGTGGCGGGGCTAAGCATTGAGGTTGTTAGTTGGCCGGTGCAGGCTGCCTCGAGCGAAGCACACCTGCCCACTTGGGGTGAGGCGGACTACAAGATCCTCATCATGTAAGAGACAGCAGGATGGCTTGGGGTTTGGTACATGGAACCTTTTTAATTGCAACTTTTCGGCCTTCCTTCGGAATGAAAGAAAACTCACTTTTCACTAGGGGAAGACTATGTCCCCGCGATGTATCATATTTCACCCTTCTTTGACGATCAGCTCTGGGGAGACCACCCTGAAGTTTATAGTTGAGCCGTCCCAGCCTGGCAAGGCGATGAACTAATTTCAATTATAATCCATACATCGCTGCGATATGTCAAAACTGGGTGGAGAAAACGCTGCAATGTCTCTCCGATGTGATAAAAAATGGAAGTGATGATACAGACCGTGTGTGATACATCCACTCCATTCGTGCCGGGAGGCTTCCGAGTAGGCAATTGACACAAACAAAGTAAGAAGACACGTCAAGATGGTGAACATTTGTTTTTGTTCTCAAGTCCTGTCTGCGGACTTCATTATACTAATAACATAGCGTCGCCCTTGACGCGGGTATCCCAATTGTCCAGCGCCGTAATACAAGCACCGTACTCCTCACAATGTGTTTATACAAGTTTTCTGTCCATCATCCTTTCTTTGTACTCTGCCAAGCGAGCATTCCTCTATAATGCATCCATGCAATGCCATGCAATGCCATGCAAGTCGCGGATCATGTTATGCAAGCCCAATGTTGTAAATCAAATAAAACTCAGTCCAGAGCCTCCCCGCTCAAAATGCTTTTCAGTATGTCGGCCCCGAGTCCGTCGACCGCCTGATTGATTTCCTTGTCACCAACACAGCTGGCAACTCTCTTGTCATCCGCAGTGCCGCCCACAAAAGCGGCCTTTCGTCCACCTTTTCTGCCGCTTGGCGTCCCTGACTGCGAGCCCGCGACGAATGATCCATTCTTCCCATCCACAGCGGCAACGAGTGACAAAGTCTCTAGACTGCCCACTACTTCGCGAAATTCGGAGCTAGAAAGTGGGTGCAGAGCCACCGCATCCGATCGCTTGCAGAGCAGGGCGTATGTGTCGAATAAAGTCTTGATGGTAGGCGCGGTAATGTTGGACTTTGATGATGGCGTGCTGGGGGATGATCTGCCGGGGACGTTGGATGTAGGAGCTCGGAACGCCTCGCGATTTCGCCTCTCGAGGGCATGCAGAGCACACAGTGCTGCTTTTTGCTGCAGATTTAATGTCTTGAGGCGCTGATTGGCCCCGTTGCTGAAAGCTGCCGACGTGACTTTGTTGAGGTGAGAGATACTGACGCGTGGCGCCGTCTCGACCGTGAGGGAGCGTAGAGAACTGGACAAAATCGACGAAACACTCCTCCCCGTCTTCTTTCCTGGCGATGTCTCATTCTTCATCTCCCCCAACACTTTGCGCGATGGCGTCATCTGTAGAACCTGATCCTTCGCATCATTCTCCTCATTCAGTCGTGTCTCGTTCTCGACAAGGTCAAGTGCCCGTCGGCAAATTTCAAAGGCCTTGCGTAGGTCACCTGTTTGGCTGGAAACCTTGCGAGAGCATAGCTCAATCGCGGCAGGGTGAAAGAAAGGAATGAAGTCTGAAGCGGCTTGCTCGCCCGTCAGCAGGCTCTTCAAGCGCTTCGTGATGATCATCTTGACCTGCGCCGCGGTGTATGGCAGGAATGGTAGAAGTTCAGGCTTGAGGTTCCGTGACTTGAGACGCGGAAGAAATCGGTCCGTCAGGTCCAGTGCGTTGGCGATGCCGACCAGAAGAAGGCGGGAAGACTTCTGCAGCGACCACTCGAAAACCTTGTACAGGCTTTCCAAGTCGAGAGACAGGATGTGGTCAATCTCGTCCAGCACTACCACATACACGCTCGAAGACTTCCTCTTTGGCACAAATATCTTCTGTAGCATCGTTGTGGCATCCTCCTCGGTCACCTCAGTCTCGTCGCACAGCAATTCCAACAGGGTGAAGTAGAGGTCCTTAGAAGACTTGATGCTCATGCAGTTGATGTAGGCTTTCCGGACTGTGGTGGACTCGGCGACCAATTCGTTGGAAATCTCGTTGACCATGGCGCTCTTGCCAGTTCCTGGTGGTCCGCTGACATAAAGACAGCCGTTGGGCTGGGATGAATCGCTCCGTCCCAGGAAATTACGCAGCGACTTTCGCTCCTCCTCCCTGCCTATAAGCTGGCCAGGATCTGCGCTTCGCGAGAAGAGTTGTCGAGCTTGGTGGTAAATCGTTTGCGATGATGCAGGCGTCTGGGGGGTCTTGGGCGTCATGCGCCGGGACAGCTTGCCCACAGACATAACCCGGTGACGGGGTGTGACAGGTGCTTTGGCGAAAACATCTCGGTGACGAGGAGTCGAGGGTGTGATTGGGACCTTGGCAACTGTTTGACAGGCGTCAGCAGAGGACACATGGGACTGTGGTGGAGCATGCAACTCACGATAATCCAAAGCCTCGAATTTGAAGACGTCTTTGGTCCGGCGTGCAGACGGCGTGCGGGTGACAGATGGGCTGAAGAAGGCGACTTCCTCCGACTCGGACTGGTCCTCGGCCTCAATGTCGATTGTGGTTTCGGGGTCCTCATTCTCGTCGTTGCCCTGTCGGAAGCTTCTGGTGCGTCTTGTGCAGCGTCTGGTGGTGTGCTGCTGCTGCTCCTGGAGGTCGGAAGCGCCTCGAGTCCTCTTTCCCAGCACACTCACAGCCATGGCAGCCGCGGTCGAGAATACAAAGTCAATTGAGATGCAGTTGCTGTACAGGGAATAAAGAACCAAGGCCAAGGCGCGAGAACAATGGAAGGTGGTGGTGGGAGAATGTATGTACAAGTTGGTGGAAGGAGAGACTGGCAGAATGTGTGTGGGTTGAAAGGTCACGAAAAGAAGGAGCTTGGGTGACCCGCACTTTAACTCGGGCGCGTCGCGATTACCCCGGAGCGCGTCGCGTTCGACGTGAGCACTTACCCTGTTACCCTGAGCCGCGGTGCTCGGGCCAGGTACCCGGGTACATCGTAAAGTGGGCAGGCGGTCATAGCTCTTCGGGTTCCCCACTTCTGATTGCACTTGGCGAGCCTGGATAAGGCCGGCACGGCGACTTCCCCCATTCTTCGGCCGCAAGCGCCCGTCTCATCAACGGAATGAATAAAGAGATGAGATGAGCGGCCAAGATGGGTTTGCATCCGCGGTATCTTGCCGACATCTCCTCGCTGCAATCCTGTGCCGTCTCGGATGGTGAATGCGCCAGAGCAACAACGTGACTCTTAGGCGTGTCGTTGAGCTTCAGGGCCTCGATGTACATCGTGACAAAGACGAGTAGGGGAGCAAATGCAGGGGCGCAGTCGCCAGGATGGATGCGTCCCGGGGATCAGAACTATCATCAGGTTATAATTCCGCGGTCGAGAGGCTGAGGGAGACGGAGTATCCAATGCTCAATGGTATGTTTTGCGAGAGATTATATGGTTCCCCGAGATCCGAGTATGACAGGCTGATCGCCGTCTAGGTTCCATCTACCTCGACCATGCAGGCACGACCTTATATCCCAAGTCCCTGGTGGACAGGTTTGCCAGTGAGATGACAAGCAGTCTGCTTGGGAATCCGCACTCGGCATCGCCTTCTTCTCAATTGTCCACTGCCCGCATCGAAGACACTCGGCTACGGGCCCTACAGTTTGTCAATGCTGACCCGGCCGACTTCGATCTCGTTTTTGTGGCGAATGCCACCGCTGGCATCAAGTTGGTCGCTGAAGCCTTGAGAGCTGTCCCTGGGGGTTTCGACTATGCCTACCACCAGTCGTCTCACACAAGTCTGGTCGGTGTACGTGAAGAGGCTCGCGCTAGCGCTTGTCTGGGCGATGCCGCGGTTGAGGAATGGCTGGCAGGCCAATCGCCCTTCCAACCTGAGGCTGAGAGTGCAGCTACCACAGTCCTTGCGTATGCTGCGCAGTCGAATATGGATGGTCGGAGATATCCAATGGATTGGTCGCGACGCCTCAGGAGCCTTGACTGGCCCTTCGGCTCTTCTTGCTTGACCATTCTGGATGCTGCTGCTCTTGCACCAACCGCGCCCCTGGATCTCGGCAACTCGGATATGGCTCCAGACTTCACAGTGCTTAGCTTCTCAAAAATATTTGGATTTCCTGACCTGGGGGCCTTGATTGTGAGACGCCAGGCATTTTCCACCTTCGATTTCAAAAGGTACTTTGGTGGAGGCACTGTTGAAACAGTCGTCACTAACAAGGAGCAATGGCATGCTCCCAAGACTCACCGACTTCACGAACGTCTCGAAGACGGTACCCTACCTATTCACAGTATCATCGCACTGGATATAGCGATGCGCGTCCACAGGGGTTTATTTGGTTCGATGAGTGATGTGGCATCCCATGTGTCGTGCTTGACACGGCGTCTGCGCGAAGGTTTACAACAACTGCGACACCGCAACGGTACGCAGGTATGTCATATTTACTCACCAGATCATGCCTCGATCACGGATGCTTCGACAGGCCCTACCATAGCATTCAATATACGCAATCAGGCCGGGGCCTGGGTCAGCCTCGCCGAGGTCGAGAAGCTGGCAAGCCTGAAAAGTTTCCACATTCGAACCGGAGGAGTATGCAACCCTGGAGGTATAGCTTCTGCTCTGGATCTCGAGCCATGGGAGATCAGAAGGAATTTCTCTGCCGGCTTCCGCTGCGGGTCGGAGAATGATATCATTGCGGGTAAACCAAGCGGTGTGATCAGGGCCAGTCTTGGTGCGATGAGTAGCATTGCTGATGTCGATGCGTTCGTGGCATTCATCGCAGAGTTCTTCTGCGAGCAGAATTTGCCCAATGAGGGGTCCAATGGTTCACCTTCAGAAACGGAATTGCAACCCGATTTAGTCGTTGCTGACATCACGGTCTACCCCATCAAAAGCTGCGGCGGGTTCACCATCCCGCGGGACACAGATTGGGAAGTACGACCCGAGGGCCTGGCCTGGGATCGTGAGTGGTGTCTGCTTCACAGAGGCTCTGGCCAAGCATTGAGTCAAAAACGTTACCCCAGGATGGCGCTCATCAAGCCGTCCCTTGATTTCGAGGCCGGGCAACTACATATAACATACACTGGAAGGCTCTCGCATCCGAGTCAGTCCAAAACAGTATGTGTGCCTCTAAGCTCCAATCCGGCTTTGTTTCATGCATCATCATTATCATCAACAATATCGCATCGACCATTATCATCGCGCGTATGCGGCGAAGAGATCATCGCCCAGACATATATCTTGGACGAGATCAATGAGTTCTTCACTATGGTGCTAGATGTCCCTTGTATGCTGGCGCGCTTTCCACCCGGTGGGCAGGAGTCCAATAAGAGCGCCAGGCACTCCAAGGCTCATCTGCAAAAACATCAGAAGAATTACAGCGGCAGAGACAGCAGCTATGAAAGGCTCGCTTTACCAGCTGTGCCGACCATCACACCGCCCTCGCCCCCGGAGTCTGATGTTGAAGAACACAAACGGCGGAAGATCTTACTGTCAAATGAGTCGCCAATATTAGCCATCAATACGGCCAGCTTGCGAGCTCTCAACAAAAGCATTGTCGAGAATGGAGGCAAAGAAATTCCGTCCACGGTATTTAGAGCAAACATCATGTTTGACTCCCCCAGCAACATAGAGAATAGCCCTGAACTTGCTTACGCGGAAGACAACTGGAGCAAAGCCCGAATCGGACAGCAGGACTTCAAGATGCTCGGCTCCTGCCGCCGCTGCCACATGGTTTGCATCAACCAGGATACAGCGGAAAAGAGTCAGGAGCCTTTCGTTACGCTGTCGAAGACGAGGAGATTCGATGGCAAGGTCTTCTTCGGGACGCATATGTGTCATGTACCGCAGCAAGGTCAGGCGACGGCAGCTTCGACGAGGGAGTCGCAGTATCCGACTGTGAGGGTGGGCGACCGTGTGGTAGTGGAATAAGCCGAGATGCTTAATGCACTTAGAGAAAATGTACAGCAATTAATTCGGTCCAACGTGCACACGTCGTCTCTAGAAATTCCACCTAGTTTGTGCAGCCGTCTAGTATAACGTACATACTAGTTCCAAGTGTTATGAAGATAGCATCTTTACATTCTCACAGGCAAGAGCTCTCAGCAAGGTCTTCTTGGTGGTGCGACATCGCTCGATCAGTGCCCTGTGTGTTTTAGCTGAAAGTTTGAGGATTAAGGACACTACGCTGACGGTGTTCGTAGACAATATGACGGTTCTGGTGAAAACGACTGCGGACGGAGCTAATACCTCAGTGTAGAATGGCTTGTGGGTGAAGAGTCGGATTGCGCTTTTTGACAATATCTCTATATAGCATCCTTGATCATTTTGCGTCAAATGTATCATATTAGAAAATTGATCGATTTTAAGTAAAATGGTCTATCTCTCCATCTGCTATGGGAATGGACGAGGTATAAGTTTCCGATCTGCTTACGGTGCATTGCTGAACACTTTAGGCAGATTCGTATTGTAATCAGGGAATGCCTTCGATACTGAAAACATATATGCATGAGGAGACAGTATGCCTGAGTTCATGAGATGGCCTCCTTCGTGACCTTATCAGACTTGTCTTTAACCCGCCTCATAATACGGATCTTGGGCACCGTCTTGGGACCTACCCACCATCCGCCTGTCAACTTCGTAATCCTTTGTCGCAAGGCATCAACGTGAGCCCCCATGCCGACTCTTCTGACGCCCTTGGGCTCCTCTTCCACGTGCGAAAAGCCCGGACGCAGGATCTCAGGCCCAGAGAACCCCTCGACGACAGCGACTGTGTCCCAGCTACCGCCCTTGACGGCTTTCTCGTCTTCCATGAGGAGGTAGTCAAACTTGGTCCAGAAGCTGGGGTCGGACAGGATGTCTTCATCTTCTGTCTTGTCTAATACTAGCGACACTGACGGCTTTTTGTCATGGCCACTGAGAACGAGGCCAGGGTCGGTGGCCAGCCGGTGATGCTGAGGGAGACCATTGCCCTCAGCGACACCAAACAGGGTGACTCCCGTCATGCAGCTCAATACGTCCGCGTGGACCGTCACAACAGAGGTGGATACTGTACTCTCGTCTTGCTCTATCATCCCGTGTAGGGCAGCGAGGGCTTCGCCGCCAGGGTAGTTCAAGCTCGAGGCAACAAGCATGACAGCGCTGCTGATGCAGGTGAGAAGGATGGAGCCTGATATAATAAAGAAAATGATGTTTCTGATCGCGCGCCGACCAGTCTCGTCGGCTGCCATTCTGGCGGGGATCTGATTCACCAGAGTCGAGGCTCCGAGGGCGGCAGCGGCCGTCAATGGTGGCACGATGTAAAAAATGAAGCGGGCCTCCTTGTGCGGCTGAAGAGAGTAGATGGCCACAAACAGCAAGTTCGGGATGATCAGGCGTTGGGCTATGCGTCCGTAGGCTGGGGACGAGAGCGAGCACCAAGCGAAGAAGAGTCCCAGTGGAGGTGATATCATCTTGGGCAAGGCCGATGTGAAGTACCAGTGCCACGGAGAGGTGCCCCAGTTAGAGGAGGAGCCTTGAACGACATTATAGTAGAAGCCCCACAGCTCCGGCCAGATTGGTTTCTGCCAGAAGTAGGAATCAACGGGGACGGAGATGACCAAGGCGGCAACAAAGGACACTAGGAACGGGGGCACCAGCCTCTGAAGAGAGATTTGAGGGATGATAAGCAGCCATAGAGCATTTGTGCCCAGCAGAAGTGCAATCTCTGAGCGGAAGACAACGGCTGCAAAGACAAACAGGGCCAGTGCCATGCGAATCCTGGCATTGGTCTTGACAGGATTCTTGGGCGGGAGTAGGAGGCCGAAAGCACAAGTGGCTATAGGTTAAGAATCATCAGCAGTGAGGGTGGTGCAAGTTTTCGAAGGGTTTGGCGGCTTACTCAGTCCGAATGCAAACATATTTGGCAATGTCCTGGAGGCGTAGAACATGACATGGAACTGGGTGACCTGCAGCACTACATACCACCTAGCCACGGCAGGGCCACAAGCATTGTGGAGCTGTCTCCTGAAGAACAGAAGGGAATAGGCATTGAACCATCCAAGGAGTGCACGAACCAAGAGCTGGTTGTACCGGTCGCCAAACAGTGCTGCAAATGGCCTAGCAACACCTGCGAGCAGGACGGGGCCTATGAAAGTCCTGGGCACAGCTCCGGGGAAGGCGAAGTGGTCGTAACTGGTAGACAGTTTCTGGTAGACGTTTGAGAGAGGGGTGCCGTAGACCAAGACATCGTGTGTTGCTTGTATGTTGAATGACTCCTCCACTTTTGTGTATGGTGCTACACACAGGTGGATGAGTATCACCAGCGGGATGAGGCACAATGAGAAGACAGCGTAGTCAAGGTGGCCTGCGAGGCTATGGTCAGCACTCATTCATTTTTTTCTTAATCTGACATGCTTTTACAAAGCTGCACTTACGGAAGAGCGCCATGTTGACTCCTAGAAGACCTTGAATAGTACCTAGGTAGGCGGGAAATGACCCCGTTCAAGCCTTGGTGAGGTGAGCTGCTGTTGACAGAGGGGCCAGCAAGTCATGGTCGTCCAGGAAAGCATATTCAAGTGCTGTAAACCAGATACACCGCACCCCTGAGGTGTTTGGGCCGGCCAAGGGTCTGTGGAGCCCAGCCAGTGGACCCCTGAGCACCTGGGCAGGGCCGACGACAGATGGCAGATTCACCTGCAGGCGCAGGTGCTTAGTCGGCTCGAGCTGCCCCCCTGCCGTCCCCTGTTTGACACCTTACCTCACTCTATTTACTGGGCCTGCCTGGACTCTGCTGCTCCCTGCCGGACGGATTGGACCTTGGATCTTGGACCTTTGGCTTTGGCTTTCGGTGCACCTCGAGGTGTTATACCGTATTTGATACACACGTCCAATCGCATCGCCAGTCTAGCCCGTTCCATCTACCATCCCAGTTGACCGCTGTCCTTTTCGTATTTCCTTACGTCCCATCTGCCATCAGCATTGCGACAGTCATCACTTTCGCCTGGCCGTACACTGAGCTGAGCACGACCTGGCCACATCGGGCAAGCGAGAAACGAGACACGAGACACGCCTGGTGTCTGGCAGCAGCTTCGGCTTCGCCTCGAGCAGTCCAGCCCCGGCCTCAATTCAACTCGACTGTACTCGACTCGATTCGACTTGACCCGTCTTGATTCGATCTTGACTCCACCAGAACCGCATTCTACCTGGCTCTCTCTCCAACCGACTCGGCTTTCGAAAAGCGTTGATGGAGTAAGGGACGGCACACGCCAGCTGGCAGATACAGAAGAGACCGCCTCTTCTCTTGTTCTCAGCCTCAGTCTATGCCACTCTTTCGAATACCTGGCTTGTGAGACAACACAGTCGTACTCATGGCGCGTGCCATGGGGCCGGTTCGTCTCAAGAAGGCGAACCCCATAACTGTCGCCATAGGCACTGTCTTGTGCATCTTCATTCTTTACTTCCTCGCCGCTCCCTCAGGTTCCGGCGGCGGCAGCAGCAGCGGCGTCTCCCTTGCTAACGTCAAGAAGCCGACCGTTGCCAGCCACCCTCTGTCTCCGCCGACCTCACCATTCCGAAAACCTATCGCCGACAAGAATGGCAGGTCTGCGCCGCCACCCGTCGTACATTACAACCTGAACAATGTTACAATCTCTGCGAACCCAATCGAGAACAATGAGAACGTCCTCATCCTGACCCCGATGGCTCGCTTCTACCAAGAGTACTGGGACAATCTGCTGAGACTCACATACCCACACCAACTCATAACGCTGGGTTTTATACTCCCCAAGAATAAAGAAGGAAACGAGGCGACGTCGTTGCTACAGGCGCAAATAGCCAAGACACAGAAGTCCGGTCCCGAGAAGGACCGCTTTAAAAGCATCATCATCCTCAGGCAGGATTTTGACCCGCCACTGTCCTCGCAAGACGAGAGTGAAAGGCACAAGATGCAGAACCAGAAACCGCGGCGCGCATCCATGGCCAAGGCGCGCAACTCGCTGCTCTTTACATCATTGGGACCATCGGTGTCTTGGGTCCTGTGGCTGGATGCTGATATCGTCGAGTCCCCGCCCGACATGATACAGGACCTGGCTGCTCACAACAAGCCAATCATCGTTCCGAACTGCTTTCAGAGGTATTATGACGAGTCAAAGAAGGAGATGGCTGAACGTGCATATGACTTCAACAATTGGAAGGACAGCCCTACGGCCCAGGAGATGGCAGCCAAGATGGGCAAGGACGATATCCTGCTGGAAGGCTATGCCGAGATGCCAACGTTCCGAGCGCTTATGGCCTACATGTACGACGAACGGGAAGATCTACACCTTGAGGTCGAGCTGGATGGCGTCGGAGGCACGGCAGTGCTGGTCAAGGCAGATGTACATCGTGACGGGGCCATGTTCCCTCCCTTCCCATTCTACCATCTCATTGAAACAGAGGGCTTTGCGAAGATGGCAGCACGGCTGGGCTGGAAGTCTACCGGTCTTCCAAATTACAAGGTGAGCAATGGGTTTTAACAGCGTCTCAATATGGCACAACTACTAACATCAACCTCTCTGCACAGGTCTACCACTACAATGAGTGATGCCATCTCACTGAGGCCAACTCCAAACCATTATCATTATAATCATCAAAACAAACCGTCAATGCCCCAGTCGGTGTCGGATCGTCAGAATACAGACTTACAAGTCTGGTGCTCGAAGCAGTCGCACGAGCAGTCTTGAGCCATCATCGGGACGAGTTCAGGACGAGTTCAGGTCGACAAATAGATATCGGGCCGCGAATTCAGCATCACGGCGAAAGGGTGGAACACTGGACGAAAGGTGCCGGTTTTGGCATTCTAATGTATTCCTTATCCAGCATCTGGTAAACAGTGATACGCAACGAACGGAAGGTCGTCTTGTGCAATAAGTTCGGGGGATGCCCAGAGAAGTGGCTGGCTATTTACGAGGTCATAGCAGAAAAGAGGGACAGTTCGAACACTCGGTCATCCGCGCGTGTGGTTCGACTACACATGCGAAGCCTTTGGGAGATCGTAGCCCGATCGACATGGCAACTACAGGAGCCAATATTCGTGCTCTTCGTGCTGTCGAGGCTTGCAATGCACATGATTCACACCAAAAACGTCGCTGACGGCTATTACCCATCGTCTTGTTCCAGTTGAAATGCCATGGGCGAGGTAACAGTGCACCTGTCACGTTGGTCCCGTGGGCGTGTAATCATATATACGGTAGCAATTTGAGCAATCCCTTTGCCTTTCACGAAAAGACAAGACTCCCAAACTCCGTACTTCCCAGCCATTCATTATGCCGACTTCCTAGAGACATCCCGCTCCATATCAAGACCACGTGCCGTATGTACCCTGAATCAAACTCAGGCCCCCTCGTACCTACCCTCCCCGGAGCACCACAGCTCCACCAGCCGCCGCGTGCCGACGGCGTCGCCGCCCCTGAGCAGGGCGGCGCAGTCGACGTTGAGCGGGGAGTCGACCTCGGGGTAGGGCAGCAGGCCGTCGCGGATGGCGCGCACCGTCTCGAGCACGCTGTACGCGGGCGTCCACGCGTCCTTGAGCAGGTCCAGGCAGATCTCGCCCGTCTCAAGCGAGATGTTGGGGTGCACGATCGGCGTGACGAAGCGCACCTGCGGCGGCGACAGCGGGTAGTTGGTCGGGATCTGGATGGAGAGGAGCCAGCGGCCTTCTGCACGATGCGGCGGCGCCGTCGAGGCACCACTCGTCAGTCTCGTCTTTCTTGGGTGTGTGTGGTGGGCGAGCAAAATGGTGGGTGGGATGGGGTTCGGTGCCGCTGAGTGAGTGGACGGATTGATTTACCTTCGTAGCCCCCGCTGATGCCGTGGCCGTTGAACACGGCCTCCCACAACAGCAGGTCGTCCTCGCTCACGGGGCCGAGGCGCTCGATGCCCTTCTCATCCCGCGACTCGGCGCGCCAGGTGTCGAGCTCCTTGATCAGGCGCCGTGTGGCGGAGCGCGAGGACGAGGCCGATGCGGCGGACATTGGTGCGTCGTTGGGGGGGCACGCTTGCCCAGCCGTTGGGACGAGATTACCCGAGCTGAATACGGCAGCCGGTTTGAGATTTCCTAGACAGAGCTTCGCGGTCGTATCCGGAGCGAAGGGGGGTCGATGCGTTCTCCGTGCTGGAATTGAGGCTCCGAATTGCAGGTCGGTCCACAGGTGCGCGCGGTTGCAAGCCCCACTGCCGACCTCTAGGAGGTAATTGAGCTACGGACCTGCTGTAGGTACGAGATGGAGGGGGGCGGCAGGGGTCGAGCTTCGGCCGAGGCACTGTGGGCTGGGACCAAGGGCCCTCTCTCCCCCAGGTTCCACCGCGGCCTTGCCCCATCACACAGAGATTGCCCGAGATTGAGCGACAGCTACTCACGGATCCCGACCTGGCTTTTGCCCAATTCACTGTGTGGACACGAGTCTATTTCCGTAGATCATTCACGGTACCACACTAGACTATGTACTTTGGATCGTCATTATTATGTCTACGTAATTTGCGTATCCGATGTGTCCTCTCTTCCTACCCTCCTTCGAATTCCATCGTCAATATTCTAAGGGGTGAAAGAGGTTGGGTTGGTCCTAGGTGCCGCGCTGAGCAGGCAAGCAAATAAAAAAAAAGACAACATTGATGCCTTCTCCCCTTTTTTGGATTTGTTCCATTTGCTGTGAGGCGGCCGCCTCGACGCCCACCTCCTGTGAAGGATATCTGTCCTTTTGTAGAATCGAAAGTTGTGAACGGTCGATCGCATCCCCGTCTTCCTCAGATCGTTGTGACCATCAAACATGACCATATTTCTCCCCCCGTCTTCCACAAGACTGCTTCGGCGGGGCCGGAAAAGACAAAATGTAAAGTTGTGTCGGCTGATATGCAGCCTTCTGGCGCACGCATCGTTGCAAACGCCGAGTTCATAATTTTGTAAAACACGCGGATGTCCGAGTTTAATTCGTGCCTCGGGTGTTGTAGGAGATGTACTGAGTTGTTCATCCGTCATGTGAGCTCTGGACTGAAGCTCATCCATCCCCCATTGTAAACCGCCTATCATACAGGTCCATGCGAGAGAAAGGTTTCCATGCCGCTTGCGAGAATGCCAATATGAAAGCCCCAAAGTCCTCTAGGAAATTCGTCACCCATTTCATAAATGCTGGAGCTTGGGATGCTCCTTCGATTCTGAATCTGGAGGTTAGGCCGTCGAAAGAGGCCCTTTTAAAAAGTACTCGCCATGGAGTCATGCCTGTGCGTTTTCTTTCGGCCTCCAAAACTGCATCATCTTGCTGAACCGCCTGGATTTGCTGCCCTTGAGCTTTTTCTCGGAATCGCCAGTGAAGACTTCCGTTGCTAGTTTGCTGCGCTCGCCGTGAGAACTGCTGATAAGACGCCCCAGGCTCGCCAGGCTGCCTCGTCGGCCGCCGAATGCCATCGCACTGAAAGACGCTGGACGCTCGCCAGGCGCTGGAGGGCGGTTCATGTAGGCAGCTTGTTGAGCGAAAAGGTTTTCTCTTGGCTGGTTGGAGTGGCTGCTGGAAAGAGAGGGGACATCCATGGACTTTCGAACTTCAGGGCCGGGCTCTCCCATGAGCAGTGACTGGAAGCTATCGTCGGTCACTGACGATGGTGCGGTGGAGATTATGTTCGCGTCGTATGAAACGGGCGATCGTGGTGATGGGAAGGAAGATGACTGAGTGACGGACGAGTAAGGACTGACTGGCGCCAGGGAGGATGAAGTCGTGTGTGAAGAAGAGCTACCGTCCATCGGCGCTCTCGGGCTGACTGGCGAAGACATGGGCGAGTCCGGAACTATCCTCTGCGCTGGGCGCCCAAACTCCACGGTCCTGAACTGCGTTGGAATAGCTGGGGGCTCTTCCTCGATGACCTGCTCTTGCAAAGAACTCAACGAGTTTCTTGACTTCATGCTTGCTGTGCGCTGAGACTTGCCATCATCGGGATCGCTGGCCTTTCGCTTCGCTCCAAGTGATACGTCAGAGCTTCGTCCATCTGCTCTCAGTCTCTCCGCCGAGCTGCGTGCTGAGAAGAAGCCACTAACACTCGAGCTCTCGCTGTCCTTGGGGCCAGTTGACTCGGGTTGAGGGGTTGATGAGCCTGAATTGTCCGAGTCCTCGTAATATTCCTCCTCTTCCTCAAAGACATCCGCCATTGTGGAACTGCTGCCGAACCTGTGGATTCCGCGGCGGAACTCGAATGGAGGCATCTCGGGAGAGCTTTGGGCTCGCTGGTGGTGAGCGTAGTGCATTCCGGGTCCAGTGAACCTACTCAGCCCGGCAGCACTGTGAAGCTGCCGCTTCACGAGCCCACCAGCTTTCTGGGCGGCTTCCCATTCCGGATTGCGCGGCAAAGGAGTGTTAAAAGGCCCCAGCGCCGCATCAAGATCGATCACAGGGTAAGAGGTGTCTTCCTCGGTGACAGGTCTGGGTGGCTTCCAGGCCTCAGCACCTTCCTGGTCCTGGTCCAGCTCTTCTATCATTACCGTGGGCATAGATGGCTCGCTCTTGGTGTCCGCAGAATCTGACGCTGTGTCTTCCTCATCCTCGTAGCCTGGACGGCTTGGGGGAGGTGTTGGACCCCGGCGACTGGCCTTTTTGCTCTTGCTTCGGCGACCTTTCGGCCTCTTTGTTAGTATAGAGCCTGCCCAAGTCTTGACCTTTTTCTGTTTCTTGCCCGACTTCTTGCCCGTTCTTAGCACCGCACATTCTGTAGTCACCGTTTCCTCACTTCCAGGTACCGAGAAAGACAGATCTGTCTTTGAGACCTCGCAGGAGTTCAGACTGGCAGGCCGAGATTTTGACGGTGAATGGGATCCAGAGAACTGGTCAAGTCCGAAGAACGACCATCTCTTTGGAATTTTTGTTGGACTAGGATCGGGAGAACCAGTGGTGTCGGGGGAGGGGAGGGCAACTCCAGCAAGTAGGGGTAGCGAGCCTCGTCTCTTCGGACCAGTAAGGGACGCGCCTTCTTCTTGGGGAGACGTTGGTGCGCTCTCGAGCACCGCACCGGCAGTACTCGGCCTGGACTCGGAATCGGCGGCTTGTGATGGCGTAGCCTCGAGAGGTGCCAGAGTTTCATCCTTCTCCAAAATAGGCGTGTTCGATGCAGATAGAACTGAAGAGATGCTACCTGAGAGGGAATGGCCAGGCCGAACTGTTACGGTACTTGAGGTGTCGCTGGAGACTAGAGAAAGTGGACGCGGTATGAACTCGAGCGTATCCGAAAAGCCTACTCTGGCTCTGCTGAACGACTTTCTCTGAGTCGGCGCGGCGGCTAGTCTTGGGAAGACTTGAGTTGGGTCCACTCCTGCACTTTGTGGCCTGTTGGCACCAACTGTGTCTTCTGCGTTTAATGTGCTATCGTCAGGGCGTAAGATGGGGAACGAAAAGTGTTTGTTAAGCTCTGGTCCAGATGGGCTCGATGGAGCGCTGCTTCCCCGAGAGGCTTCACTCGAGCTCTTGGGAAGATTCAATCCGGTTATGCTGCTGAGATCATGACTAGACATGGCCGCAGACCGACGATGGGCGTGACGATGAGCAGGTCCTCGCCGGTTTGGCTCGACTGGTCGGAGTTGAGGCGAGGCCATCCCACTCTCTGATTTTGTTGGACTCGAGCTTAAGACTTCCATTCTCGCGTTTCCGGATCGGTATTCGCCGCCAACAAACTCACTTCCTCCACGCCTGTGAGTCCCTCTAGCGGGAGAGGGACGCGGTGACTGCTGAGGGGACGGCGCCGTCAGGAACTCGTGGGCGGGTAGAAGCGTAGCCTGGGTTGGAGCGAGGCTCGCGCCAGGGTTGAACGAAAATGCGGGTAAGGCAGATGAGCCCTGCGATCGTGTGTCGTCGGCAACGCTGGCGGCGAATGCAGCCAGGCCTGGCTCGACGGCAGACCTCGGCCGCCTGCCGGTGGCGCGGGAGTATGATGATGGCGCTGAAGCGGACATTGGCTTCGGCGGGAAAACGAAGGGCGGGTTTGGTGGCGGAACGTGAGAGCGAGGGGACAACTCGGGCGTGTCCAGAGGATCTTTGAGGCCTAAGTTGCCTCCATGAATAGGAATCGAAAGATGGCGTGGGTTGTGAACACGACCATCGTGAGGCATGTCAGGAACAATGGTAGTGGCCATCTTCTCCAGAAGCCGCACTGCGGCCAGAGTTCTGATGACTACTTGACCAGAGATGACATGGGGTACCAAAGTGGTTGCTCGGTCCTTCGGGTGCAACGACCCCAGCACTTCTCTTCGGGACGGCGGGCAACTTGGATTGGGTTGAATCGATCTTCGACTCGTTTTGGGTTTCGTGGACCCAAGAGATGGGACGAATTCCCGTGAAATCCGACCTCACTATGCAACCGGACTCACAGGTTAGCCGGTCTGCCTTTTCGTCTGATCGCAACGGTCAACCCAAGTCGGGAAAACGTTGAGAGAAACGGCAAACGAAGCAGGTGCTCGGATGGAGGATTGGCAAGGCCGAAAGCGAAGCAGGATGATTTGTTTGTACCTTGGTGGTGTGGTAATGCTGCCGGTGATGTGTCGTCACCTGACTGTCGTCGTATATCTCGATTGACAGGTCCCGTCAGAGGGCCCGGTGTTGGAATCTGGAATCGGTGGAGTTGGAGTTTGGATCTGAGTCGGGATTCGAGTTCTTTTTGGTCGTCCCGTGTTCCTGTGGAAACGAAGCGACTGAGTTGCTGCACGACGGCGAGGAATTAAGGCAATGCTTTTTCTAAGAAAGAATCTAAAAGGTAAAAAGGATTAAAGGAGTGGACGGTCAAGACCAAGCAGGAAACCTCTGGAGATTTCCCACTGGAATTGAACCAGAGGTGAGGGTGAGGCGAGGATGAGGCCGGGGAAAGAAAGAAGGCGGGCGACAAAACCGGCGGTGGTGTTGGTGGTGATGGTGGGAAGAGAGACAGACTGCAAAGCGAGAAGGCGGCGGCCGCGTGCGACTGGACTGGTCTGACTGGCAGACTGGGTCGGGTCACTGGGCAATGGCGGGCGGGCGACCTTCCAGGTTGGATTTGGGAAAGCAGGGCACACGGCAAGGCAAGGCAAAGCAAGGCATGGCATGGCTGGTACCGCGCTGGCACTGGGCTCTGGGCACTGGGCTCACACTGGGATTGGGGACTGGGAGTGGGACTGGCTGGGGTGGGTGGAGGGGGTGGAGAGGGCAAGAGAGAGAGAGGCGAGAGAGAGAGTGAGAGCACAGAGAGCAAAACAGTGCACAGGCCCCACGCCAACCAAAACCGACTGGATCCACCAGATGGGGATGGCCCAAGGGACCAGCAGGGTGGGCCCCTGCTGGGCGTGTACCAGCAATTGTCAGGGCCGGAAAGGCTGACAAGCAGGCACAAGCAGGGACAAGAGGAGAGAGAGGGATTCGGCCCATGCTGCCTTGCCTGTCCTGTTCCTGTTCCTGTTCCTGTTCCTGTACGTATTTGTGCACTATGCCCGTATACTGTGAAATTTCACCCGGCCAGCCACTCAGACGACTCGCGACAAGGGCCCACCCACAGTTCGAGACACCAAGGGAGACACGGTACCCCAGGCACACTTCTCTCTCAATCCCGTTCCCGGGTTCTTGTCTTAATCAAAGACCCCGATTGCCCATTGCAAATTAGGGAATCAGAGAGGCCATGTGGTCAACCTGCCAGGCCTGGTCGGCACAATATTGCAACTATGGAAATTGGAAGCCCATGAATTTTAATGGCATTACCAAGGACACGCTCGAATGTCATAAAGCAAGGGGGCCAGCCAGCCAGCCCACCAGCCACCAGTCAGCCTGTCCGTCTGTTCTGCCTACCTGCCTCTGTGTCTCATCAGCATGATGGACTCTCGCTGGTGAGGGACTTCGTGATTCCTCTCAGATGAGATCGTGGAGTGAGGGAGTCTTGACTCTGGAGCTCTTGACCCCTGCCAAATCTTGGATGACCCATTTTCAGCGCTCACGACACACACAGTACAGATGGCGGCCCCTGCTTTCCGACGCCAACATGAGACCTTGGACCCAACCTTGAATGGCACTGGGTTCTCCCGTGGCCCCCTTCCAGCGCCCGCTTGACCTGTCAGCCTGTGTGCAGCCTGTGTGCTGAGTACGTGTACCTCCTGCTGCCCTCTCCTCGAAGGTCATTCGATGGCCTCCTCCAATGTTATCGGCCACCGTCGGTATATGCAGTGGGTATGGGTATAATGGATATATTGCCCCGGCAGCAGGAGTGCGACGTCTCGACAGGCTCTGGAGCTTGTGTTATCGTCAATCCAGGGACGCGGCGCTTCTCATTCGCCCGCCAAATACCAAACCCCAGGTGCAGAGCAGGACACTTCCCCTTTGGGCGTCAACGTGGTATCCAACGCCGTGGCACCCCGCTATCAAGTTGCGATCTGACGAAGTTAGGGGTGTATTTGCGGAGGCAGTGCCCTGAAAATCCCCATTTGTCAGGTCTGGGAAGTGCCAGCTGATGCACGTCGCTTCGAACCCCTGCCGCCCATGTTACTCTGTTGTTCCCATGCACTGCTGTGCCTGTGTGCCTGTGTGCCTGGCCAGCACACAGTTCACAGTGCACAGTGTGTGTGCTTGTGCACACCCGCTCGCCCCTGGTCGTTGCGTGCGATGGATGCGCGGCGCCCGCCCTTGCAGCCCGCCTTGCTGGTTTAACGTCTCGTCTCAGCCGGTCATCACTGCTGAGGGCAGAGGCCACCACGCCACTAGCACACCAGCGAGCGTGATCGTCACCACTACAACCGCGACTACCACCACCACCATGACGGGAAGGGTTCGCCATGCGGGAACTGATCCTTGGGATCGACGCCGTGAACAGCAAATCGCCGTAGAGAGGGGGGGGGGCCGCGACTTCGCTTGGGCCCAAAGGGCTGATGGGAAGATCAGCTTGATCGGCTATCCCTGGCTCGGCCGCCCTCCCGCGCATGAACGGCCTGGCCTGAACGTGGTCCAACACTGAATCGGATGAAACTGGCGTTGTTCTGTCCACGATCCAATGCCCGACATCAGCGCTCCCGGGGACCAAGCAGCTCGAAGCGAGATGGAATCTAGACGTCCAGATAAGTCTTGGTCCCAGCGCCTTGACGAGCTGCTATTCTCCTTCCGAAGAGCTAGTAGAGGCTCGGGTTCTGTGCCGAGTCCCGTGGTGTTTCGATCCATTCTTTGTTATGCCGAACACGGTTCCTTTGTCTACCGGATCTAACCCCTCGTCGATGCCTCGACTCATAAGAGGCGCCCTCACAAGGCGTCTTGGACTCGAGTCGTTGAACCTGAGTCGGGCCTGCCGGTGGCGTTGTAGTGTGCAGTGACACGGCCTGCGGCGGTTGCGTTGATGACAGGAAAAGGAAAGGCCATCCGTCACCCATTCACGCTTTTCTGACCCGTCATGTGTATGCATTGCTTCATTGAGACAGAAGACCCGCCTCGTGTTCGTCTTGTCCCTGAAGCGTGCAGTGGCCTTGCAGTGGCCTGCAGGACCACTGCAGCACGAGGTGCCTTGGCTGGCTTGTAGGAGACTTTGCGCCGCCAAGTCGGACGGCCGGCCAGTCCTGTCGCTACATGCCTCTACCGTTGCCATGAGCACGGATTGGTGACTTTGGACTGCATCGCGCTACGGATTACTGTGCCTGGAGGGGTCAAGTCGAAAAGCTAATCTTTAGTCGTCGTCAATCGCGGGCCTGGGAAAACCAGCGACAACGCGACAGCCCGTCTAGGCCGGGCCTTCCTACTACAGTGTAACTATGTTCAGGCACAGCATTGTGTTCGGCTTCGGCTTCGCCTTTAGCCTGGCGTGCTACTGCAGCTACTGCAGCCACTGCAGCCACTGCAGCCACTGCAACTAATGCAAGTTCGGCTGATTGTTCGTTGTTCATTCAGCTCAGCTTGCCAGATCTCAATTGCCCTGGCTACCTGACTGCTTGGTCGACCTCAACAACCGAGATCGAACAGCATTGACGTAGCGGAGACACGGTCCTTGGCAGAGCATCTTGTCTAGTGGGCTGTCAGAAAGTAAGAGTGGGCAGTCAATTCCACCTCGATCCTGTAGTCCCACCCAAGCACATCTGGGCAGGCTTTGCTGAGGTATAAAAGAAAGTACAGGCATAGTACACATATGCCCAGCGCGGGACTAATATCCCGTAAAATTGCTAGCTCGATACATTTCGGTACGCGGGCTGCGGAGCCGAGGTGCAGCCGGATTTCGAATAACCGCAATCTCGGGCGAATGCCGCCCACTAATAACAGCATATCAATCTTGGGACAGATTTATGGGGTCCTGAGCTCAGATTGGATGAATGTCTTCATTACCGCTTGACGATTTTGTCTAAGACTCGTTCATTAAGCAGACTCAACGTTCGGCCGATGCCAGAGAAGTGGAACTTGAAAGTCTTGATAAGTTAAAACCTCGACTTTAATGATGCTCGCTGGCGAAACAAGCAGGTTGGACCCTGCGCGTTTTTTATGTCGATATGACTGCTACGCGTTTATAGTTGTGCTGCCATCTATTTTCGCAGGACTGGTTCCCGGCAGACGAGATTGTGTTCAGGTGTTTATTTCCTTCTGCCGGGATCTCGAGCCTTTTTGAGCGTGAATGAAGCATGCCATCCCCGGCCAGCGTTGAACATGGCTCAAGTTGCGGACTATCTGAATCCGTTCTGTGAACTTTCTATCAACATCAGGTGGTGCCAACCCAAGGGCAGCAAGACAGGGGCATCTGGTCAAGCTCGTGGGATGGACGGACGGATAATAATAACGCACCCAAGTCCTGCAGTCAAGTAGGCAAGTACGCAGTAAAGGGCCGAGTTTGTTCATGACGCTGCAGCTGTCGTCTGCAGGTTGAAGGGGGCCAGATGCAAGCGGTCAGGCGGCCCAAATGTACTACTGTACAGTACGAAAACTATAGTATATGATGCTTCCATTCACCAGCATATCTCCCACCGCCTCGGGGGCAACAACGGCAGGTGGGCCAGCTCCTGCTGTGAGATGCGTGTAACGGCAACATGCGCGTTGAAGGATGGGGAAGTGAAGATATGCACGCTAAATCCAAGGTGCAGACGCGAGATCCCTGTAATTTCTCCGGCGCCCCTCCAAAGCGGTGTGGAAAAAGTAGGCGCTTTTTGGGCAGAAAAATCGCTCCACCCTATCGCATCTAGTTTGCTTCACGCGCATTCGGCGGCACTTGAAGCAATTCACTCACCGTGTCTTTGTCTCCCAAGGCAATCCCTACCGCTGGCCGACCAGAGAAACCTGCTTTCGCAGCCTGCAGAAGCGTCCTCAATTTCTGTGTTCTGGACTTTGACAAATCTAATTTCCTGCGACCCTTTGCGACCATGTCCACCACCGTCGGTGACGCCGGCGCAAAGCCAGCAGCCTCTACAGCCGCCAAGCCGTTGGGCATGAGGAAGAATGGTATGCGCTCCCATGGGACACTGGCAGGCTCGCTCACGGTTCTGACTTGATTTGGTTGATCAGGCAAACAATGGCACGCGCCAAAGAAGGCCTTCCGGCCTGGCTCAGGACTGACATCGTACGCAAAACGGGCCAAGGACAGAGTGGCGCAAGCAGCGATGAAGACGAAAGAGAAGGAGATGAAAGATGACAAGGAGGCGGAAAGACAGGTCAGTGCGACAAACACTCAACCTGAAATCCCGGACTGGTGACGCTGACAACACGCTCGGCGTACAGGCACGGATAACGAAATTGAAGGAGAAGCGCGCGGCTAAGGAGGAGAAGGAGAGATACGAGAAGCTGGCCGAGAAGATGCACAAGAAGCGGGTCGAGAGGCTGAAGAGGAAGGAGAAGAGGAACAAGCTCCTCAACTCCTGAGCGAGGCGATCCGTGACCTGAGACTTGCGAAATCACGATGCCCATCGTCGCCGCCAGGGCCAGGACGGCGTGCTCGGGAACGAACCTTGACCACACCCTGCAGCCGATCACAATGTCACTCCATCTATGGACGACCTGGACTGGACTGGACTAGACGAGGCTTGGCCTGACCGGCCCTACGTATACCACCAGGGACAGCAGCTAAGATGAAGACAACGTATGGGGGTAGAAGCTCCATTGTGATTGTGACACCGAGCCCTGCGAAAGCTTCTCGACAACTTGTCTCAGAAGTCAAACCGGCGCAAATGGCCGAATGCCACGGGCCGCCGGTGCGCAGCGGACCGAATAATTGGAAGAGACACTCAATTTGAAACCGGCTTCGAAGGGCTGGAGTCTGCAAAAGGCAACAAGTTTGCATTTATTGTGTACATAGCATGTGTAGCACAGAGGAATGCAATATGAGCTTTGGTTTCACTTTCCCGCAGGCTGATCTATCTGGTGTCTATCTACTTGGGGAAATCGGCGCTATGAGATTGGCAGCTGGGCTGAGAAAACCCCTACCCGCAAATCTGGCGGCACCCGTGCAGCAGGGACCCTTGCATGCAACCTTGGGGAACTTCGACCCCCAGCTGATCAGGGCTGATGATGACGGACGACGTCCCGGCAGCTGCTCAACCCCCTGAAGAAGCACCCGTGCCGACGCAGTACAATGTGCTTTACATAGTTTCCACATCGTTCGAAGCAAACATTGTCTCTAACAGCCTCTAGCTCAACGCAAGGGACTCGGACGACAAAGCGCAAGCCCGACAAAGTGCCACGAGGCCAGCCGAGGATGTCGGGCAGCGGAGTCTCATCGCTGCCGGCCGCACAGAGGCAGCAACAGCAGCAGCAGCCACTTGCGGCAGCATCTAGGAAAGCATCGTCTCCAAACCGTGCGCGTCACCAGATACACCGGTCTATTACCGAACTCACGTCACCAGTCCGCCTGGGGAAACATCATCAACACCATATACACACTTCGCACCACCATCATAATCGGATGTCACATCACAGGAGGGATCAGAGCCGAGACGAATCTGATGATATAAGCATACCACTGTCCGCGGCCCCTGTGCTGCAGGCGGTCCCAAGAGCCTCGCTTGACGTGCCTCGATTCGAAGGGGCGACGCCAGCGGCCCTAAGTGCCAATCCCAGCCGAGCAGGTAGCATCTTGATACCTCCTGGTAGGGAAACTGCCGGAGGTCTACGCGGCCTGCCCGCCGGCGAGGATGAGGACGAGGCACTGCGACGGGCCAAGGACAGGACTGGTGCGAGGACTAGGTAAGTGACTACGGCCTCATCCCCTTCCCAAGGGCGTTCTCGAGACTGATCGTTCGTTTATTCGACCCACAGTGATCTGAAGAAATCCCTCGCCGACCTAGCCAACATCTCGGCCGGCACCACGCGGCGCCTCGACGAGACCTACTACAGCGTCCTGGAGAAACTAACCTCCCTGCAAAACACCGTTGTTGCCCTGAAAGAGCTCGCGTCTGCCTCGGCCGCGATGAACGAGGGATTCACGGCCGAATCAGAGTCTGTCCTCGCGGAAGCGCAGGCACAGCTCGATGCGTTTGGGCAGTTTGACGAGCAGCAGGCGCGCGTACAAGCTCTACAGGACCGCATCCACGGTGGGCGGGAGCGCATCAGCGCGCTGAGCGAGCGGGTGGACATCGTCAGGCAGAAGGTGGAGCGCTGGGAGCGCGCGGACTTCCTGTGGCAGAACAAGACGCGTAGGAGGATCAAGATCGTGTGGGGAGTGGTGCTGGGCCTCGTCCTCCTGATGCTGCTGCTGTATGTTGGGGCAAGGGCCTATGCGCCCGAGCTTGAGGACTTTGCTGCGGAGCTGAAGGAGGATGCTATGCTGGCGAAGTTGAAGCTGGAGTCCGGGGGCAAGGGACCGTTTGCTGGCCATGGGGACGAGTGGAGCATGGCTCTCAATTTCAGCAGAGACGGGCCGGCTGAGGGAGGGGACGAGGCGTTGAGGGCTCTGGACGAGCTGTAGTGTTGGGTTTGTCGGCGTTTGCAGCATTTACAGGTCAAGAATTTGTTTCCCAAGATACCCAATGTCACCATCAGCAAGAATGCAAGGCGCTTTCAAGCAGCCAATATTCAGCCGGAATCAGCATGCCACTAGATGCCCAGAGCCGTAGCTGGTGAAGTTGCAGATTGCCGAGATGTCTGGCTGTACGACCAAGCAGCCCAAGACGGCCGTCTGCCGGGCAGCTCCACGAGATGGCGTGTCCACTGGGGCGCAGCGCAGCTTGGCATGGGGCGCCCATATTGAGATTCAGCCTGTCCAGGGTCGAGCGATAAATCCTTTTGCTGGGACAGTCATTCCTGTCGCGAAATGAGATGCGGTTGGTGCCTGCGCACCTCTGCTACCGTGGCTGAGGCGTGTGAAAAAAATCCGCGGCCGGGGCAGCGAGCCAGCCTGTGGGCGAGGATGCCGAATTCCGTAACTCGGGGGGCAAAAGATTCGGATGCGGCGACCGGCCCATCCCAGGCGCGCATTCGGGTTCTTGGCAAGATCGCTGTCGCGAGATGTGCCTCGCCGGAAGCGCCGTGGTAAGGCACATCACATCGCATGGCAGGCCAAGGACTGTGGTGAAGCTGGCTGGTTGGCTGGCTGGCTGGGCTGAGCTGGGTAGGGCTACATTACTGGGTAGTGGCCTGGAGCACAGAGAGCCCTTCGGAGAGATTAGGTATTATCGATCAAGGACATCAGTCAGTCATGCTCCAGACCAGACGTCATCGCCTGGCGGGTCCCCTGTTTTGAAGCAGCGACACAACATGACTTTTGCCATGGCATGCCCAGGTTGGCATAGCACGCAGCACATGTATTGGTAGACTAGATTAAAGCATAGTGGTGTAGCAAGATACAGCCTTCCAAGGCTGGAAAAATAAAACCTGTCTGCCGACATGCCGACTGCGACTGCGCCGTCACAAGTAAACAGAGCACACCAGAGCACTCCAGAGCGAGCGAGTGACCTAGTCCTAGTTGCTGCCATGGATACCAAATGATCACGTCTCCCACTCTCACTGCTCCCCTCCCACCTCCCACCTCCCACCTCCTCCTGCGCCCCCGGCCGGTCTCTGACACAAAATTTCCGATTCTGGTCAGCTCCTTCTCTCCTGTGACTCTCGCTTGGGCAGTCAAGCCTGGGCAGTGCAGCGGCGCCGTTCGTCATCCTGACTGATCCCAATTCATCGTCTCGTCCCCCAGCCAAGATTTGCTCCACCCCAGACTGAGCACAAGCATCTTGGGTTACGTACATGTACCTAAGTTGCTCACTCACTCCTCCTTCCTCTGCCGTAGCCGTAGTACATCACCTGCACCGCGCATCATCCCCCACCAACATCCACGACCTTTGTTGGGACTCCTCGGGCGCTTTTTGTTTTTCTTTCTTCGCCATATCCTCTGTTCCTATTCTGTAATACCAATATCCTCCAACTCGCCGGACTCCCCCATCCAGCCTCGAAACCGCCAGAGTGGAAATTTAATACATCCAAGTCTTACCCCGCCGTTCCAGAACCAACCCGGGTACCTGCTTGTCGCAGCTCGCAGATCCGCCGTGCATTTGGGTCCCTGTCATTGCGCCGCAGCTGAAAAAGTGACGCATCTGGGAAATTCAACACACTCTACAGACGCTGTCGAGATGTCCGCAAATGCTGGCACAAGCGAAAGCAGCAACACAAACAGCGGCGCCAACGGCCATGCAGTCGAATCCGGGGATGCTGTGAATTTGCCCATCAGGACCGACAGCAGCAAGTCCAGCTTACCACCGCCAGGGCAGACGCTCACTGGCAAGCAGGAACATTGTTCGTGACCACCACAACACCCTTAAACGCGCAAAACTGGTGCTAATGGCTGGTGCACAGATCTAAAGAGAGAACTCATCTCGGAGCAGGTAGGATGGGAAATCAGCGAGCTCAACTCGCCCACTGCCCTCCGGCGGTTTGGCGCGCCCTTCAAGTCCGACCTGGGAGAAGTCACCCCCTACGACTCCGAGTTACCGATCCTTCGATTCATCTTCGTCCATCATGTCCGCGAGTTCCCATTCCTCGACAAGGCCAGGGAGAAGGAGTTCTGGCAGGATAAGCTGCAGGTCTTCTTGGAGTCCTTTGCGAGCAAGAATATCTCTTCCTCCGAGGACCGTTTGGAGGAGACTAAGCGTCGCAAACTGGCGCAGAAGAGCCAGAAGCTCGTAGAGCTGATGATGGTCTCAGGCATTCCTACTTCGTCTGGATTCGAGGAAAGGATCCGCTTCTCTGAAATGGAGGTCGTGGACAGGGACGCTATCGACACCGGAGTCCTTCATACGCAACCGGAGGGCAATTATATCAATGGCTGGGATGTGAATATGGCCGGCGTGCGTGTGACGAAAGTGAGGGGGAACATTAGATCTCACAAGCATGCTGTCAGTCTTACCTGTCAGGCCCGGAAACTTGACTGTTGACTAACACCAACCAGGAATTCCTATTACGCATCAAGAAGAAGGGAGAGATGGAGTATTTTATTGGCCGCCGCTATGGTGACTTCAGTCGTCTACACAAGAACTTGCGTCTTGAACTACCCGGCAAAGTTCTTCCACCACTGCCCAAGAAGAACAAGTCCAGCTCGACCACGTCCGGCATTTTCAGCTCCGGCGGCGGCGACTCGGACGATGACTCTGTGTCATCGGCGTCTACTCAAAGAACAGGCCGCACCCCTAATAACGGAGCAGAAGAAACCAGCAATAAGAGACTATCAGTGAGAGGTTTGTTTGCCGAACCAATACCCAGGTTTAATATCACTCTAACACCTTTGAAGATGCTCTAGGTCACAAGAGAAAAGGTTCAGCTGCGTCGTCGCTCAGGGGATCGCCTAGGCCGTCAATGGACGACAGGCCATTGAGCCCCCTCAGTCCAGGCAAGACAGAAAATGTCGTGCTGTTCCGAGAGAGCCAACGGATATCGCTCAGATCTTTCTTGCGCTCCCTTCTACAGAACCAGCAGATTGCCCAAACCAAGGCTATGCAGGAGTTCCTCACTCGAGACCCCATCAAACTCAGCGACGATGACGTTGCCGATATAATGAGACGCAAATCGGTGGATGCAAAGCGAGTGGATGAGCAAAAGCAATTTTATGAGATCGCAAGAAAGCGTGCAGCCGAGCTGGACATCTACATGGAGCAGTAAGTCCACTTGTCTCACTCTGAGTCGCACATCGCTGACAATTTTCCTAGATTCCGCCAAGAGATCGTGGACTCGAACGGTCTCACGAAATTGTTCCAGGAGATCAAGGATAAAGAGACGATCCAGGATCTGAGCATTCAATACCAGAAGTTCGCCGAGTGGCTGCGGATAGAAGTCGCAGCCACAATCTATCACTTGTTCTTGGCAGAAGACAATTCTCCGGAATTGTTCGCGCAGGCGAAGAGGATACATTCTCTCATCCCCTACACGATCATCAAGAACATCATTCGGATAGCAAACCCTGCGGCAGTAATGTCCAGCATTTTGGATGTGTTCCTCGCCCAGCCATTTGGGGCCAAATCACTAATGCAGAGGATATTCTCGCTGGCGTTGCACGATGGTATCAAGAGCTTCCAAAAGTCTATAGACGCAGTGGCGGCAAAGATTGGCGATGACGTCTTCGTTGAGAAGATCAAGAAGTACACTGACCTCGAAGATCATCTCAAGATCGCGATTCGCGAGGAGGCCACGAGCGAGGATGTGGACCTGGTCGTTGCCGTCCTGAGATCAGACCTTATCGAACCCGGTCTTACAGGCGAGCAGATTCAAAGACTATACAACGCTTATGTTGCATTCAACAGTGCCGTCGAGAACGTTGATGAGGAGCTCAAGCAGGGCGCACAATTGTTCTCGTACCTCAAGACGCTCATGAAACTGTACACCCGCCAACGGGACAAGGAGATGATGCTGCATCTTATCGAGGAGCCTGTCACGCTGCAACTATTCCGGGATTTGTTCACAATCTTCTACGAGCCTCTTGTCCGGGTGTACAAATCGGCAAACGTCTATAGTAGTGTAACAGACTTTGCGGTCTTTATGGATGATATGATACAGGTACGTTGAGTTTCACGGGATACACCTGACCTCTTACTAATCTTCCTCACAGGTTGTCGAAAAGTGCCGCGAGCAAGACGCTTCGGCAGATCCGAACCAGACCGTGCAAGCTTTCATCGACCTATGTCAAAGGCATGAACACAACTTCTACAAGTTCGTGCATGAAGTGCATGTTCACGACAACGGCTTGTTCACGCAATTGATGGGTTGGATTGAGGGCATACTAGAATTCCTCCGCAAGGGACCCAAGAACGGCGCACTCGACATCAACGCCCTGTTTGAGGGAGCAACCAGCAATAAGACCATAGACAAGGAAGTCGCCATCAAAGAAATCAACGAGCTCATCTCATGGCAAGAGGCGCGGAAGAAGTGGCACCAGGACAAGACGCGACAAAAAATGGCTGCCGACGGCGGCAATGGGCAGCTGGACATCATTCCGGGCGGGATGAACTTCACTAGCGCTGACTTCGGGCTCGACCAGATGGACCTGGAAGACATGGGGTACGACGACGACGACTCGGAGGATGAGGCCGAGGAGGAAGCACAGGACGAGCTGGACCCGATCGAGGCGGAGCGTAGGAGGCGTGCCAAGAGGCAGGACCGGCTGCGGCGGACCGCTGGAGAGCCGCTGAAGCCGGCTGTGAGCGAGGTGCACAAGCTCAAGGAGAACTTCCTGGTCATGCTGAGGCAGACGCTGGCGGAGTAGAAATCCGGGATCGGCCCCTACACACCTCGATAGTCATCCAGAGCAACGTTTTCACCTAATTTCGCATTGGTAGCCGGCCTGTACCAGAGCTAAGGGATAACGACCATTAGCTATGAATTTGAAATGGTTTCAGCATTGGGGAATCTTGACATGGCTTAGATCCTCGTCGAGGGCCCCAGCTCCTAGACTTGTATAGATGCGTTACGCCATTATCATTGCGTATAGGGCTCAACTTTACTTCCTATGCATGATCAAATTTTGTTTGGCGATGTCCGATTTCTATCCGGAACCTTGGCGCTTGTTTGTGCATGTTTCAAATTATCCGTACTTGTCACTGTTTTCTCTATAGAACTTTTATGAACCTGCTTCAACAGGTGCATTGTTACTCGCATTCGTATTAGCCCCGCACAATGTTCTAAAACAACAGCTGTGTCAATTACTCGCAGAGGCCGGTCCGGTGCCCCAAGTCGCTGCACGGGCGGGATGTCCTCCTTTTCTTCGGCCTTTTCCTGGTTGTGGAGACCTGATGAGAGCCATGGTGGTTAGAGGTTGTCCGCAGACACATGGCGGAGTTGTTGAGATGGTGGTACGGACCTTGTAATCTCTCTCAAAATCAAGCTCGAGTTCTTTGCCAGTCAGATTCTGGCCTTGATCTGCAACTTGGCAGAATTGTCTGTTGAGATGATCGTCGTGTCTTCAGAGGTAGAAGAATTTCTTCAGCCGTCTTGGGAGGTGGCGAAGTAAAAGCTACTCATTGTGCCAGCCGAGTGGACCAAGGCCTAAAACGATGTTGATCGGTCGTTCTAAAAAATGCCAACATACCTATGGCTTCCTTGTCGTCGAGACCTCTGTTGTCATTTTCTGCCATTCAGCCATTTTGGATTGAAAAGAACCATTGAGGATCCTGACGTGGTAAAGCCGGTTTTCATCCCGGAGAGCATGGCACAATACAGATGATTCCAAAGGAGTAGGAAACCCAAATACGCATGAGACCTATCCTCTGTCTCTTGGGCTTTTTTATGATGCCACAATGCGAGCAGCCTGCCTCAGTTAAAACGAGGCCGGCGCTAGCACATATACTTTGGCTTGCTTTCACAAACGATGTTTCACAAGCAATTGTCGTCGCACGCATTAATTCCTCTGACATAGAGCAATCGTCCAGTACCACAGCGTCATGGTCCTCAAAGGCGGGAGGAACAATTCAATGACTACTTACATGAGCAACAGCAATTTGTCAATATTTTGTCGACTTTCTGCCACGAAACCTCGAGACTCAGAGTCGGCATACGTGTTGCTTGGGAGCTTTGTAAAAGATGACCGCCCAGTCAAGGCAGTCTCAGAAACACGCTCAGTCTGTCATAGCCGCGAAATATGACTTGCAGGGGCCCCAGAGGTCAGCCGATATTCTAAAGTACATAGAAAAGACATTAACAGGGTTAACACCTACCCAAGTAAAAATTATTCAATAGAACGGTATCTTATTCTATTTTACCAGCCCTGCCGATTTCTCCTTCGAACGCAGAGGGCCGAAAGGTTGATAAGAACTTTCTCTTTGATATACTCATAAAAATCTATAGATTTACCCTGTCTCATGGGAAAATGGTTGTGTACTCGTCAAGTCATTCAGTATATTTGGAACCCTAATGGGATCTGTATCATCTCATTGTTCTAAGTGGTCTCGCACTGGACGGATCTTTGCGAGTGATGGTACAGTTTTCATTTGAAAGCCAGATAATTGACTTCAAGACAGCTACTGCAAATAGTAAAGATCATCTCATAATACCATGTGTCGGGTAGTAGCTACTTCTAAAGTCAATTCGCAGCAAGCGAAACTGGGATTTATGAAATGGGAAGTTGAGAATGGCTGCTTGCTGAGGAACGTAATCTTGTGGTTCAGAGGTGCGTTCCTTAAAAAAGGTTTAATTTGAGTGTCTCTTTTCGCCTTCTCTGGGACATATTTAATCCTGTGCCTGAGGTTCACTTGTCGCATCATTTGATATTCCAAGCGACGGCGACGTTTGACGTTGAATTGGCGTGCAAGGGTGGACCCATAAAAGCTTAGTCCAGTGTAAATAGCGAGGCGGAAGAATCATTGGACCGGGGCTGCCTGTGTTGGTTACCTAAGAAAGGCTCCGGAACCGCTTCAAAACTTAGAGAGATTTTTCGGCGTCCATGCCGCGTCGCGACCAGGTTTGATCGGTCGACTCACACGGCCAAAACGCCCCATTGCATTCCAGACGTCTCCTCGCCAGTCTTACGATTTCAAAATGTGTGGTGTCACCGCCGTCCTGGTTCGTGCCCACCTTACCCAGAGGACTCACTTATGAGGACTAACTTTCTATTCTCAGCTGGGCGACTCGAAAGCCACCACGGCTGCTGTGGACTTGCATGAATCCCTTTACTTTCTTCAACACGTAGGTTCCCTCAGACAAACTTTGCAACCACTATTTGGCAGTGTCATTACCAGTACTGACTGGCACGTAAAATAGCGAGGGCAAGATGCCGCGGGTATCACAGTATGCCAGGGCGGAAGGGTCTACCAATGCAAGGGAAATGGTATGGCCGCCAAGGTCTTTGCCGAAGGACGACGCCTCGAACAGCTGCCGGGCTTTTGCGGCGTTGGTCACTTGAGATACCCTACGGCGGGGACATCATCTGCGTCCGTGGTACTCCTAGGGCCGTACTTTTAAGTATCACTAACAAAGTTGTCAATACAGGTCGGAAGCGCAGCCCTTCTACGTCAACTCGCCCTTTGGACTCACAATGAGCGTGAACGGAAACCTGGTGAACACTCAGTACCTTCGCGAATTCTTAGACGTGGAGGCCCGCCGGCATATCAACTCCGATTCGGACTCGGAGCTCCTGTGCGTTCCTCTTGTGTTACTATGTATCTTTTCCGTGGTCATGACTTGCTAACCGGCTTCCTAGTCTGAACGTTTTCGCACATGGCCTGAGTGAGCTCGGTAAGGCTCGAGCCAACACGGATGATATCTTCACTGCGCTGGGTGAGGTGTACTCAAAGTGCCAAGGAGCTTTCGCATGCACCGCGATGCTCGCAGGTTTCGGTATTCTAGGATTTAGGTATGTCCATCCACATACGTTCTCATGAGTAAGTCCTAACCGAATTTCTCCATTTAGAGATGCAAACGGCATACGGCCACTCTGCCTTGGATCTCGGCCGTCCGCTACGTTGCCAGGAGCCACGGACTACTTCCTGGCGTCGGAATCTGTTGCCTTGAAGCAGCTCGGCTTCGGTAACATTGTGGATATTCTGCCCGGACAAGCTGTTTTCATTCAGAAAGGCGGCAAAATCGAATTCCGGCAGATCGTGGAGAGGAAGTCATACACACCAGATTGCTTTGAGCTCGTGTACTTCGCGCGCCCAGATTCCTGTATCGATGGTTTGTCTGTCTACCGCAGCCGACAAAACATGGGTGTGAAGCTGGCCAAGAAGATGAGGGAAACCCTGGGAGAAAAGGGTATTGCGGAAATTGACGTTGGTACGTAAAAGGCTTCACGCGATTCTTCTCTCTCTAAAAAGTACTAACCGATCTTTTAGTCATCCCTGTTCCTGAGGTAAATATTTTCCTGGCACATAGACATTCCTAGCATGCGAACAGGACACTTACCACCAATGTTATACACATAGACAAGTAATATTGCGGCAGCTATTCTGGCTGATCGGCTGGGCAAGCCGTATGTAACTGCACTCATCAAGGTACGTCTGGACATTTCCTGAGATATCGCAGATCGACCTGAACTAACTGTGAAAAGAACCGATACGTCCATCGTACCTTCATTTTGCCCAGCCAAGCTCTGCGACAAAAGAGCGTTCGCCGGAAATTATCTCCCATCGAGTCTGAGTTCCGGGGCAAAACCGTGTGCCTGGTCGACGATTCAATAGTGAGAGGGACTACCTCACGTGAAATCGTGAGTCGGCCTTCGATAGCCCCCGTTTAGGTCTTGGGCAGATCTCGCATTGGAAGAGAGCCTTGTTTTCCCAGCCAGAGCATTACTGATGAGAGCTTTCACCAGGTTCAAATGGCCAGGGAAGCGGGAGCAATTCGCGTCGTATTCGTTTCGTGCTCCCCAGAATGCACACACCCGCACATTGTAAGTTCAACTACAAGTTTGCCACTACTCATCTTTCTTAATCTTGCAGCTACTCGGAACCTTCCCAGTTTGAAGCCTCTGGGTACTTGTGGACACAGATGTGTGTGTCGAAAAACGAGTGCGCACGAAGCCAGTGGATCAGCTCTTTATGTTCGCCCGGTCAATTGAGTTCCTGCCGTGCTTGTTGGGAAGACGTACTGACTATGGACTCTCAAAGTATGGCATAGATCTCGCTGATCCTGCTGGTAAGTTCAACCCCCCCCCCCTCCCCGCTTCCACAACCCGTGGGAAACCCCTTGGGGACGCCCTTGACATCTTGCTAACACTTAATGCAAAGATTTGGTTGCGCATGGCAAGACGCGGCAAGAAATTGCTCAACATATCGACGCCGACGAGGTCATCTTTCAGGATCTTGACGATATGAAGGCTGCGTGCATTGAGGCGGCCGAGGGCCCGACTGATATTGATGATTTCGAGGTGGGCGTCTTCTGCGGAAGGTATGTCACAGATGTGCCCGACGGGTACTTTGAGCACCTCAGCCGGCTTCGAGGCAAAGAGCGGAAAACCGTGGCTCGTGCGATTGAAGGTGGAGAGTCTGGCCAGGGGGAGGCAACTCTAGTGACCAATTCTGGGCCTGTGAACATTGGCTACCGCCGCCAGGAGTCATCAAACGGTGGTGATGACCGTGGCGATGCTGCTGAGGGCGGCAACGAAAACGGCAGCACTCGTCCAGAGCAGCGCGAGGACATCAGGTATGTGGCTGGCCGTGCTATTCCAGGATCATGTCTACTCACTGATGCTTTGGCAGTCTTTACAACATCGCGAGCGAACTCACAGTTCATGAGAAGTAAACAGGCACTGTGTCAAGCACGACAAACGCTGTGCACTTCCATGTTGCCAGGTGTCCACGATCTTCGGTCGGTGATGGCCTGCCTGGTCTGTTGAAGCAGCGACTGTAGACGGAAAGCTGACAAGGTAATTCTGGCAATATGCAAATTTTGTCGTGATGCTAAAGACTTGCGGATGCGTTGAGGGCTCTAGGTTTCGGACAAGCGGCTAGACGTTCATTGTTCTCTGGTAGGTGATCCCAAAACAAAATTCAGGATTAGAGGATTTAGAAATGGCCCCCAATGGTCGCATACAGTAGACTAAGAAATCGCGCAAGTGCCCCCAAAAGAGTGCCACCCCAAAGAGCAAAAAGTTTATGATGCGTGCATGTTAGCTGTGGCTCTTGATGGGCTGTATAGCTGAATTTGCGGTCCCTGGTGGTGCGCGCGTGCAGTGCTTGCAACGGATCCCGACTATTTGATTTCCTGCAGGTGGATCAGAGAAGTTGACGTGAGCGCTACCCACACACACCCACACCCAGGATGGCGCAGCACTGATCCACCTGGCACACACCACCAGACCTCCCATGCAGTAGCGGCCCGTGCCCCTGGAGACTCAAAGACTCTGCAGAAACTCTGGCGTTGCACTGCTTGTCCATTAGGCGCATGGGGCCAAGCACGGGGCCAAGCCGCAAGCACCCACCCGTCAGTGGACATGCCCACGCAATACGGCATTACCTGCCCATGCTGCCACACTATTATGTACCTATAATCACGGTCCCAACGACCCGAACCGACAGCCCATCTAAATTCGCCAAGCTCTTTGTTTCTTCAACAACCCCTGAGCCTGGTTCCAGTTGAGCGAGCCTCTGGAAATTTGGTGTATGGCCTCACTTGGTGATACTCGAGGGTTGAACAAGGCCTCACCTGAGCAAAGCCCGCGAGCCACCCACGCCTGGCCCTTTCTTTCTTCGTGACGCGATCTTTGAATGTCAGCGTTTAGTCTGGACCTTGCCTCGCATCCAACCATCCGCCCACCACCCGTCGAAACACTTCCAGCCCGGGACCCCACCCGCCAGACACGTCCCAACATTCCGATGAGTTGAGCACCCGGCAGAGGGATAGAAAGGTCTCCGTCATGGCAGCAGGCAACCAGGACGAGGTGCCGGCGACCCCGGCAGCCTCAGCGAACAATGGGAACGATTCGACCACCAAAGAAGAGCCACCCGAGTCCAAGTCCGCCTCACCCGCGCCCGCACCCGCTTCAACTGCAAGCCCAACTCCAGCTCCACCACCTGCCTCCGCCGCATCGACCATGGCTGTCGAGTACGATGATTTCGGCCTGCCCATCAAAAAGAACCCACAGGTCGAATACGAAGAGGAGGAAGCCGACACGGTGCAAGACACCACAGCGCAGCCGGAACGCCGCAATCGGAGTGCCAGCAGGACTTCGTATCGGACGAGAGCCAATGGCAGCATGCACAGAAAGACAAGCTCGACCGCCTCAACAAGGTCGCGGAAAAGCGCACACGAGGTAGCGGACGAGAGCAGTAGCGGGGAGGACGAATTCAAGGATGCCCAGTCTGCGCCCCGGCTGGCGGAAGCTGCGGATTCTGAAGAAGCGCCTCAGGCTAATGGGCCACCAGCAAGTAATGTCAAGACAGAGTCAGAGAAAACCTCTCCGCCAGAAGAGAAGGTTGCAGGCAATGGTGAACGAAAGGATGTTACGGAAAAGCAGGAGGCGCCAACACCAGCTGCGCCAGAGCCCAAGAACGTGGGGAAGGAGGCCGAGAAAGAGAACGAAGTCAACGGCCACACGAACGACGTGGGGCAGAAGGATGCGCCAGAAGCCCATAGTAAGCGCGAGTCAACCGTGGTCAACACCGCCGCCGACGCCAGTGGCATCCAGATCTCCGAATACTCTCACCTGCAGTTGACGACACAAAAGAAGGAGGATGACAAGGACGAAGACGGTGGCTGGCAGACCATGCCGGCCTACGCGCCTTACGATATATACGATGATGACAACAGGCTAATTGCGAAGGAGCACAATATTGAAGAAGCGGACGAAGAGAATTACAGCTACGCGGGGATGGGAGGAGCTGGAAAGGGGTATACGAGGGTCTTGGTGGATGAGGACGATGCCGAGTCTGCGACCAGCATGGACGACAATACAAATTATCTGTTTAAGAATACCGCCGGGACGAGTATGATGGACGACGAGGAGACAAGGGACGCCGTCTCACAGATGCAGGCCACGAAGGATCTCTTGACTGAGGGCCAGAAAATTGCATATGTCGGCTTGACAAGGATAGAGCTTTCACATATGGTCAAGATGCTAGAGAAAGCACCGTGGACCAAAGCTACCAAGAAAATGGGCCAGCTGGCAACGGAGGCAACCAAGATGTGGTCCCAAAAGATCATGATCCGCCTCTATACTCACATGGACATCAGCGCAGCTGAGCAGATCATGATCGAGCAGCTGAGCGAGCACGGCGTCATCTCCAGCGACCTAACGCCTCAGCTCATGGCTAACGCCAGGGTCAAGAACCCTATGGCGGCACGGAAAAGCTCAACATCAAGCTCGCGACCCTCGGTGGCATCTCCCAGACTTTCGGTCACGTCGCCAAGATCATCGAGCGATGAGGCCCCAGCTGAACCACCTCCGGCCTACGACAAACATGAGGGCGAGGAGTTGCCCGCAGTGCGAACTCCGAGTCAGCTGCCAAGCAGCGAAAAGCTGGATATAGACATCCGGTGGACCATATTATGCGATCTGTTTCTAGTACTAATTGCGGACTCCATATATGACGCGAGGTCGAGGGTCCTCTTTGAGAGGATCGGAAAGGCCCTGGAGATAGATTGGATCGACATCTGTCGCTTCGAGAAGAAGGTGACGGAGGCTCTTGAGATGCAACAACAAGCAGAAAGAGAAAACTGGAATGAAGACGAACACATGGAGAGCCGTCGTAAGCTGGCCCTGAAGAAGCGATACATAGCCATGGGCCTGGCAACCGTTGGCGGCGGTCTGGTCATTGGCCTGTCCGCGGGCCTCCTGGCCCCTGTCATTGGCGCTGGTTTGGCGGCGGGCTTCACGACAATCGGCGTTACGGGAACCAGCAGTTTCCTCGCTGGAACAGCAGGCGCCGCCATCATCACATCCGGCTCGGCGGCTGCGGGCAGTGTCATCGGAGCTAAAGCCGCCAACCGGAGGACGGGCGCCGTGAAGACATTCGAGTATCGGCCACTGCACAACAATAAACGGGTCAATCTCATCGTCACAATATCGGGCTGGATGACAGGTAAGGTCGATGACGTCCGCTTGCCATTCAGTACCGTCGACCCGGTGATGGGTGACATATACTCCGTCCTGTGGGAGCCTGATATGCTGACCAGCATGGGTGACACTATCAACATCCTGGCTACTGAGGTATGTCTGACGGCCATCTGAAAGGTGTGTCTATAGAGCGATGAATTAACCGGGTGATAGGCTCTCACACAAGGTCTGCAACAAGTGCTTGGTAGTACTATCCTTGTGAGTTTGATGGCAGCACTGCAGCTGCCTGTCGTTTTGACGAAGCTGTCCTACCTAATTGACAACCCGTGGTCCGTGTCGCTCGATCGAGCTTGGGCCGCTGGTCTGATTCTGGCGGACTCGCTTATCGAACGAAATCTGGGAACACGACCCATCACTCTTGTGGGCTACTCTCTTGGCGCCAGGGTCATATTCTCCTGTCTGCTCGAGTTGGCTCGCAAAGGCGCATTCGGAATTATTCAAAACGTCTATATGTTCGGCTCACCCATCGTGGTGAAGCAAGAGGAGTATCTGAGAGTCAGAAGCGTGGTGCCCGGCCGCTTTATCAATGGATATCACCGCAACGACTGGATCCTTGGGTACCTCTTCCGACTGACGAACGGCGGTATTCGTACTGTTGCGGGTCTGGCTCCCATCGAGGGCATCCCAGACCTGGAGAACGTCGACACCTCGGAGCTTGTCAATGGTCACATGGATTATCGTAGGGCCATGCCCCGTCTCCTTCGAGAAGTAGGCTGGACGGTCGAGAGTGACGAATTCACCGAGATTGAGGACCCGGACCCGGAGAACCACAATCAAAGACAACGTGAGTTGATCAACGAGATAGAGGAGGCAAGAAAGGAGCTTGAGAAAGAAGGGGCGGCCAACAGCAAGACTACCCGCAAAAGCGGAGCGTTTGGTGGCTTCTTCAGTCGCAAGAAGAAGGCGGAAAAGGCCGAGTGGGAGGTGTATGAGGACTCGGCGAAGGCCGCCGCGAACGGGACCAGTTCTTCGGGGCTAGAAGACAAGCAGGGGAACAACCATGGAGTGCTGTTCGACGTCGATGCGATCCGCGCCGAGCTGGCAAAGACACAGGAGGAGGAAGCGTTCCCTGTGCGGGAGCTACAGTCGACGCTGCCTCCGATGAAACTGCCGAGTCCGGGCCTGGCCTCGAGCACAAGCCCGAGAGACTCGTTGACACACACGAGGAGCATGGACGCCTACACAGCCTGGGGTTCTTCAAATTCCTCAACCCCGGAACAAATCCGACCTCCTCGCAGGGACGATGAGATCCAAATGACATTTGACACATCCTTCGACGACCCTCCCCGGTCGCAGCGGAGCCAGACTTTCTCCAGCAACGCGTCGGATAGCGTGTCCAGGCCCGGGCTCAAGCCAACACAGACGGTGCCGAACATAGCGACGGCGAACCCGTGGGCAGTCGACCCAGATGACGATGATTTTGGCAAAGAGAAGGATGAGATTTCAATGACTTTTGCCTAGAATTATTTGGACGAATTTTTAATACATTTTGGGGAGCTGACTGATTGAGTTCGCGGCGTCCACGGGCATACGATTCCTGGGGGTATTGGCGTCATAGCATCCGTCAAACGCATTGAAGTTGCCAAAGAGGACATTCATTCGGTCAGTTCGAAGGGGCAAGCCCATCTTAATGACGAAGAGCGTGGTCGGGAGAGGTACATCTTGTTGTCAGGAGGTTGTATGTATGTTGTGCATATACTTCGAGTACTAAGCGCCTACCGCACTGGAGGCCGAGAATGACAAGGGCACAGATTGCCAACATGAAGCAACTAGTCTACAGTCTATTACCCAATCGACACATGCAAAACGATACTCCGAGAGAGCGGGCCTGGCAAGCGATACGCTGGCCAGAAACGAGACATTCCCCGGAAGGTCTGAGGCGTTGGTGGCTTAGATAACCAACAGACCGCAATAAGGTTGTAGTTGCGCGCGCTTAAGTAAAAAGGGTCTGGGTCCAGTGGCCTTCGTTATATCTCTCCACCTTTGCCTTTGAGGGGCAAATTGCTCCAAGGTGTGGTGTAACATGACTGATCACTACGACAGTCTTGCTCTACAAGGGGCTTGTTCGGATGGCAACGGCGGCGTCGTTGCACAGCAAAATAGGCCTGATCTAGTTGCTCGATGATGACTGGCTTGTAGATCTTACATGCGTATCACTCTGATATGGGTTTGGACTAGACAGGGTAGGCCAGGTAGGCCAAGCCCCCAAAGCGCGTTTAAAATAGCAGGCCTATCCGGTTGGCCGGTGCGGCAGTAGACAGACTAAAAGAAGATGGTGTTCTGCTTCCTGCAGCCTGCCCGTCCTTCTCGAAACATTGTCCCAATTCCCGATCGATATCTGGTGATAAAAAGGGCAAAAAAGCGCACCAGCCGTGCAGACTGCACCACCACCAACACCAACGTGCGTGCACACAGAACGCCAGTCCAAGTGGACGGATTCCTTCTTGCACTTGCACACCATTGATGAGTGTGGATCACAGCATGCCCCCTGCGCACCCCACCCCAGGCTGCGAGGGGAGGAGGAGCCTTGAATCCTTCAGGATGAGCAACGCTGAACCAGAGCTGAGAAGAGACTTTCGCCCCATCTCGGGGCCCCATGCGGGCTCCACGATGCCTCCTCCAAAGACACTTTGGTTTAACATTGATGTTCCATCGGGACACGCGTCTGGCCCGGGGAGGCAAAGTCAAACCAGAAACGTGGTTGACTTGCCCTTTTTCCTTGGGAAGGTAACAAAAGAGACAAACCTTGTGGGAGGGGGCCACGGCAGATGGGGGGTCTCGGTTGTGTCTCCCACCCATTGTGCCGGGCGAGGCTGCGCCAACCAGCTGGCGGGACAGCATCGGCTGTGCCGCAATCTCAATGAGGACGAAGGGCTTTTCCTTGTGTGTGTCCGTCCCACAGAGACACTATCAGCGAGCTGATCGGCACGCCGCCTCTGTGTGCCCATCTGGTGATCCCCAGAGACCTCGGTCTCCAGGACGGACCATTTTCTTACGGGTGCCTTCGGTAGGCTAAGTTGCTGTGGGTGGGATGCAAGAGCAAGGAGCGGCGCAGCCTCGCCGCAGAGTTGCAGTGGCCTTCCCGAGTCTACTTTGCGACCCGTCAACTTTGTCAGACGGCCCAGTCCTTGAGTTGCCAGAAGAAAAAAACAGGGAGCTGAAAACCCCCATGGTGAATGGATATCTTTGTGAGCTGAATGAACGAACGGGGGCCCCTCCCTCCTCACTGCCGCGTCCTACGCCAAATCTGCAGGCCCCCGTTTGTCTTTCGTTCCCAACCAACAGCCAACACACGGTCTCTCTGTTTTTCACTTCCGATTCCTTTCTGTGCTTCGCTTCTCTTTCGCCTTTCAGTACGTAGCTTGGCGGATTTACCTCTCTTTTCTTTGCTTACACTGTTCTTTTTCGCTTCGATCTTTCGCCCATTGCCTATCTGGCACCACGCCTCAATAGCCTCATTCTGGATTAAGTGTGATGCCGCTTAGTACCACCTAATAGTGGATCCCTACATACTTTCACCATGCGGATATACTCACTGACCACATGGGTCATATTCGTCTTCCTGTCCAGCATCGTCGCAAGCCAGGAACAGCCAACGTTTATCTTCGATGGCGGGTCGTTCCTTGGCCAGAAGTTCGCACCAGCTTACCAGCAGTCCTCGGTATTTAACTACAGTCAAATCGAGGGTGGGAAAGACTTCCGATGGCAGCTGAATGGAACGGAAGGTGATGTGACGAAGGTCGTTGAGGTCGATCTCATGAACGGAAACAACGAAGTACTGGCCCAATGGTGCTCAGATACGACGACTTGTCCCTCAAGCCCTGGGTTTACCGGTTCGTCTTACATGCATGTTGTCCCCTAACTGGCGATAGGTTCAGACAGTTGACATGTGGCGGATGCAGCAACACCGAGCGACGACGAGCACGGGACTATCAACTTGGGGCCTGAGATGGCTCAAAAACTTCAAGGACACCTTGGTGAGATGTTGTACTTTCGTCTCGACTGGCAACCCAGTGATGGTAGAGGCAAGCAGTCATCATGGAGCCAGACATGGGCCGTTGCGAGCGATGATACCGAGGCAGGCGTTGTGTTTTCATCCTATTCATCATTGATGACAGCTGGGGGGTCGGTATATCACTCTCCAGGCCCAGCATCCACAACTACGCCCGTAGCGACCAGTGCAACATCAGCATCGGCCGCGTCTGGTCTGGCCACGTCGGCAGCCGCATCACAAAAGACAGGCAGAAAGCAGAACGGACTCACGACAGGAGCTATTGTTGGAATTGTCGTGGGGTGCGTTGGAGGTCTCATCCTTGTTAGTGTCGTGGCAGGATGCTTCTGCTTCCGACGGCGCCGAAACATTGACGCCGACGGAGGCGGCAGCCGGGGCGTCCAGGACATAATCGCAGAGAAGGAGGCCCACGCCAGTATCCTCGACAGGGACCAGCCGGACACGCCGTACTCCGAGCAAAACAGTCAAAACCCGCTGAACCGGGGAGTGGGCATGCCCGGAAGGAACGAGAGCGGCATTGACCTCAGTATCGGGCAGGCCATATCAGGCGAGGGCTGCGGAAGCATCCGATCAGAGAGCGTCTACACCGGCAACGGCGGACACGATCGCAACTCGGCCGTGTACTCCTCGCTGGGCGGGGCTGCCAACTCGGTCCACGGGACGCCTGTCATCGGCTCCGCAGCTCTCGCCAGCGGCAACAGCAACTCACCAACGCAGAACCTGCCCTCATCCGTGTCTATCCAAGACCGTAGCTCTGCGATGGGCTCACCCGTGCCGCGCTCCTCTTTGCAGCAGGACCGGTCGTTCTCGCCGTACACAGACCGGGCAGCGCAGCACGACTACAGCCAGCACCACCACGTCGTTGACGGCGCCGACCTGGTGCAACAGGAGCACTCCAATGATAGCACCGCGCGGAGCCCGTCGTCCCTGTACTCCAACCCTCTCGAAGAGCTGCAGCCCATATCGCCAGAAAGTGCCCGCGAGAACGACGGCGCCGCGGCTGCTGCTGCTGTTGCTGCTGGTGCATCGCAGCCACGGGGCCACGCCCGGTCGACCACGCCGTCTGGGATATCCGGCCAATATGCTCACCTTGTCGAAGAGGGCATGACAGATGATGAGATCCGCAGGTTAGAAGAGGAGGAGAGGGTGCTGGACGAGGCCATCGAGCAGGCAGGGACGGGTGGGAGGAAGAGATGATTGGCCTTCTCGGCGTGACATTTTGGGATTCTCGGGTGTTGCTCTTTTGCTCTTATACCTAGCCAAAGCGTTTTATTCATGAATATAAGTGTTTACTTGCCTTGATCCACAAAACACAGGCTGTGCCCTGCGTGTTCCTTTATATCAGAGAGGATATGGAACTTATTATGATAAAATATTCGATTGATTCTTGGTTGGGACACGCCATCTACCTGCGTAGGTAGCCAACTAATGTATCTGTAATCGTAGATGTAATCATAGCTGCTAAAGAAGGAGTCGCTGCAACTTGTGGTCCTGGGAAGGAGCGACATGTAGGTGACTGTCGTACTTTCCTTCGTCACCTGTACCTTCCATCTACCCTGCACCTACCCTTTCCATCCGCCGCTTCCTCTTGTCTATTTGCAAGCTTCGGTTACTCTCTTGCTCTATTAGATTGTTAAATCCACCACTCTTAATCTTGTGATCAATTTTCATATTCAATTTAGACTGCAATAACCTTTATCATTGAGTTATATCAACTCACAGATGCTCTATCACACATGCCCTATATAGATTATAGGCACCCGTCCATACATATTAGTGGAAGAGATCATAATAGCAACAATAATTTACACACCCACACCCACAGCCGTGTATCTATGAATATATATAATTCAACTTATAACATTACTTTAAATCGTAATCCCCACCATTACGCCTGTCTGTGATGTAGTTGAGACGTATAAGTATCTCTCAATCATCGTTCTCCATAGTAATTACATAATATATATAGGTGAAGGGTGCAAAAGCAAAAGTAACTCCTTCAGGTGGGCTCGAACCACCAACCTCCTGATTAACAGTCAGACGCGCTAGCCAATTGCGCCATGAAGGAATTGTTGAAAGGCGGTATATATCTAACATTATTTCGCGGGAGCGAGTGAATTCGCTATACGCTCTGTAATTTTTTTTTCCCTTGTAATTTTCACAACAGAGTTAAAGCCATGTTCATCGTTATCTATAAGTGAAAGCTACCCTTCTAAGTAACTTTTTATATAAATATATATATACAATGATAATAATATTCAAAGACTTGAGAGTTGAAGTATTTACAAGTATATGTATATGTTTAGAAATATGTATATTGCTGCTCCCTATTAAGAAGGTTCAATTTCACAAGGCAGTGATGAAGTGTGTTGACATATGCTAGAAGTGGTGCTCGGAGCCCGTGGTGGGGGACAAGGAAGGTGCAAGGGTCGTTCCTTCCTAATCTGTGCTCTTTCCTTCTTTGAGCGCCGTTCCTTCCTAACTCTAAGGGTTGCTCTTTCCTACTTTGTGGGTCGCTCTTGCCTTCCTGGCTTGCATCCTTGATAGAATTTCGGCTGTCCATAGAGTCAATGGCCAGTTGTTGGGAATTGGACAGCCTGCTGTTTCCAAAGGGTCTATCAAAGAATCATCTCAAATGTCGACAAGACCATCGATCCACATTTCAAAATACCTGCTGGTAGTGTGTCCCATGGCACCATGGTCCCGGAATGATACTTCATATCGCCCAACTCTGGTCAGGTCATGCAAAAAACCATACCACTGACCTGACATGCAAAACCTAAGTCACAGCTTTAGCAATCCTTTTGAAACAGTCCTGTGTAAAATTTGGCCAGCTACCTGCGCATCGTACGCTCGCCCGAAATATCCCTTGGCCTGTCTAGCGGCACTTTGCCCTTCCATTCGCCGTTGAAAATGCATTCGCGTTGAACCCTCCATGTAGGGAGAAAAGAAAATGAACAAGTGGAAATGGACACCCTTCTGCCAGGAGCCCAACGCCATGAAATCCACGAGCTGCTCTGCGTGAATATCCTACAAAGCCACGCCGGAAAGGACCTGGGCGAATCGCCAGCATGATCACCCAACTATCTAGCCCCTGTTGAAGAACCTCCCCACCATACCGCTCGCGATGTTGCCAGCCATGCCTGTCGCGGAGAAGGCGCCTCCTGCAATGTTGGACGCCTGGCTGAATTTGTCGCACCGGGAGAACGCCAAGGAGTTTGTAATCGTCAATGCCAATGCGATAGCTATCATCATGCAGGTGTTAGCCTTTGCTCATTTGTTCTTCCCCGTCTCCAAGACTGGGCCTATCCGAGGGGGACGCCATATGCAACTCACCAACAAGAGGCAACCAGATGAACATGAACCGCACGAGCGCTAGTATCGCCAAGGCAACCCACAACAGCGGCTGGATGTAGTTGGCGAGCCAGAAGAAGCGGCTGTCCGTGGGGTTGATGACCTTTGTGCCGGGCTCGCTGCTCTCAAACACCCACTTAGAGTCGCCCGACGATGGATCGACCTCGTTCCACCAGCGGAGCCCGACGAGTCGTCGGCCCGCGATGTTTTTCAAGTAGTAGAAGTCGCCTGCGAGGAGGAGGATGGTGATGATGAAGATAAGGACGCTGTGATCGGGGCGCGTTGTGTTAGCACTGAAATCCAGCCCAAAACGAGCCTGGCCGGCCTGGTGCGCGGGCACAGAGGACTGGGAGTAAGGGCAGGGCAGGCGTACAGGTTCGAGGTGAAGAGGAGGCCGAAGAGGTAGACTAGGAGACTGGCTGTGGCTCTTTGTCAGTATCGAGTGCAACCGAGAGCACCAGGTGTGCGCCCCGCCATAAATCAGCTCCGACTTACATGATCGAAAGGCCAGGAAGGTAAGTAATGTGATGGGGTGCGAGCTCAGGCGCCAGCTCAGGGAGCCCGGCGCGGCCGATTGTTGATGGTCCATGGCGATTTGACTATGACGGCGACGGCAAGCTTTCGACTAATGCATATAAAAGAGCGGATGGGGACTGTTATGTGCCGTTGTTCGGGTGGGTCATTTGGCCACAGTGTCGTGTTTGAAGCTGTGGTGATCGAATGCGCGGAGGCAGGTACGTATGCAGCTACCTGGGCGTGCTAGCATTCGACGCGCACTTGGGAGCTCCAGCTGTTCAGTTTCGCAAGAGGCGTCGGCCCGCTAACTTCACTGGCGTCCCACTGTCGCGTTAACGACTACAGGGGTCAGACAGGGGCACGTCGATGACAGCCTTCTGCAAGGGTAGTAGCCGACTTGAAGCTCCCCCTCGCCGGCATAACAACAACGTCCTTTAGTCTCGGCTACATACTTCAACGTTTGCGTTCGTTCGGTAGAATAGTCACTTATATGAAGCGCATGATGAATGGATTCCAGCGTAATTATCACATTGTTCAATGAGGCAACACTTAATGAACTACAATGGCAACATCAGCATCAGTCTTGCGCAGGGCTCTGCTCTACGGCAAGCCATCCCATCCTCAACCGCATTTGAATTATAGACTAACCTCCCTGCAGTCCCTGGCTCCTCGCAAAAGATGCTCACCAAATCTCTGGGCCTCACCTCAGATAATGTAACTTATGATCTAGAGGACTCGGTAACGCCTCATGAGAAACCCAATGCACGGCAAGCACTGGCCAAGCATCTCTCAGCCCTCTCATCATCACCATCATCCCGACCAAAGGGCATAGGCGAGGTCGCCGCCCGCATCAACGCCGTCTCAACGCCGTACGCGCTGGAGGACCTGCAGGCGCTGGGCAAGGAGCCAAGCCTCGAGGCAATCGTGATCCCCAAGGTGAACTCGGCCTCGGACCTGACCTTCGTCGCGGACGTGTTGAAGCACGTCGCGCCGCAGCGGCAGGACGCCGCCCGGGGCGCGCCGCAGCCCGTCAAGCTGCTCGCCCTGATAGAGTCGGCCGAGGCGGTGCTCAATCTGGCGTCGATCTGCAGGGCCGGGACGCGGGACGGCGTCGGGCTGTCGGGCCTGATCTTCGCGGCCGAGGACTTCTCCCTGGACCTCAGCCTGACGCGGACGCCATCGCTGAGGGAGTTCCTGTACGCGCGCTCCGCCATCGCGACGCACGCCCGGGCTTTCAACCTCCCGTCCACCATCGACCTGGTCTGCACCACCTTCCGCGGCGAGGAGGGGCTCCAGCGCCTGCGGGAGGAGTGTGTTGACGGCAAGGGCATGGGCTTCAATGGGAAGCAGTGCATTCACCCTTCGCAGGTCGAGGTGGTACAAAACACATTTGCCCCGTCTGAGAGCGAGGTGGAGTGGAGCGTCAGGATCGTTGTGGCTGATGAGAAGGCCAGCAAGGGGGACAGGGCCGGAGAGGCTGGCAGGGGAGCATGGACGCTCGAAGGAAAGATGATCGATGCGCCCGTCGTGAGTAGGGCAAAGGCCGTGGTGACTAGAGCGGCGAGGTGTGGGTTTGATGTCGATGGCATGAGAGAACGGTGGAAGGACCAAGAGCCCGAGTGAGTGAAATTAAGCGAACGCACTTAGATGTGAATACACAGCGAATGGCGCCCAAGAGATCACAAGATTTTGCAGCATACTTATGGATCATGATCGATCTCATCCCACAGATACACAATTTCGCAACGGAACAAGAGTGAGCTACTGATAGCCGTGACTTTGTTATCTAGACGTAATCGTCTGGCTATATCAAATATTCCCACACATCTAAACCTTTACGTGGGGGTAATCAAAGCTTGCGTCCCGAGTCATAACGTGGAAAGACGATAAACACTCTTCCAATTCAGGCGGAGGGCGCCTCCATGAGTGTGTTCCTGTAAAAACCGACAGTGAACCGACAACGCAAAATCAACATTGTCCCTTCCGAGACGTGTTCATGTTCAGGATCGGATAAGGCGCTCCAGGCTCCAGTAGCAACGGCATTTATGGCTGCGAAACAGTTTAAAAGTCAAAAGGGTGGCGCGCGTGCGTGAATGAAGTCAAACGTAATCGAAATAAAAACTGTGAGTGATCAGTAGTGGAAGTCCAGTCCCTTTAAACGAAAAACTCCGCCAGATGGCCGCCTGCTACTCCCGAGGAAAATGATTCGATACCACCGATGATGCTGAAATTCTGCAAGTAAACCAAGGAGGGAAAAAGAAAAATCCAATAAGGTATCCAGGGGAAGAGAGCCAGAAAACGCGCGAAGAATGCAATACGTGCTGCCAGGTCTAGCGAATATCCAGCTGGAAAGGCTTGAACCGACCACCGATCGTGGCACATCGAGGGCACTTTCTTCTGGCACCTTGCTCGGCCATGAGAACTTCGACACACTGCTGACAGATGCCACAGATGCATTCCGTACAGGCGTATGAGTCTCGTAGAAGCGAAACACTCTGACAGGCGGCACAGTAGATTTGGGTGTTCTGTGAGGAGTAGCTGGGTGAGGAATCTGTCAATCCATGAGCACCCATGTGGAAACTCTCTGCACTCTCGCCGCTCTCCACGGATGGGAAGGGCCCAGGGATCTCTTGCGCGTAGTTTGGTGGCGTCAAAGCCTGCTGCAAGGGGGAAGCCTGGTAGCCTGAGTGACCAAATTGCTGCTGGGAGAAGGGCGGCAAAGAAGCTCGCTGTATAGACACAGGAGACTGAGGCATCTGTGATAAGTCAGTACGAATTTAGCAGCGTATGGAAGCCATGAAAAGACTCACAGGCGTCCGTTCCTCGTTCAGATCATCGGCAACCGATGTGGCAGCCTCAAGGAGGTCCATCCAGGGTGAACGTGCCGTAGGCTCAGCCGAGTACGGCCTTGGCCGCTCCTGTGTCGTTGGTTGCAGAAGGTCCCCAGCAATGTCGATCTTACCTCGCTTCACCCAGTCTTTCGCGTCTCTGGATCGCTGCTTCCGGTGCTGCGTCTCTCTGCCTCGTTTGGTGACGGACTGTTTCCTGGATCGGTTCGGCCCCAGAGGCCGTTGCAAAGGGGGCAGTGTGGATGATCGCCCTGGAGGCGAGGTTGCCATGATAGAGGACAGCAGATCTCTTGGCCGGCTGGAACTAAGCCCAGAGAAAGGCTCACTCGTGATAGCAGAGTTGTTGGGCTGTAAGGGAGGGAGCTCGACGGAGGATCTCGGCATTCTATCTTTCTCAGAATCCGACACCCACTCCTGCACTGGGAGGTCACTAAAGTGATTCATGGGATCAATTTCATAGTGAAACTTTGCAAGACTCACGCCTTCAGCGTCCCAGTCCGATCCCGTCCCCGTCTTGTAGTTGTGGAGGGAGGCCAGCGCGGCGGCTGCATTTGTTGCAGCCGGCAGCAGGCCGCCCGGGTAGTCTTCGTATGGTCTAGGCGTACCAGGGTTGCTGGACTCCTCTCGGTAATATGCATTGCGGTCGGGTGCGTAGGCCTTTGGCTGGTGATTTGGAGCACTGTTCGGCGGCGCCGAGTTCTGCTGCGGCTGCGGTGGCCTCTCGCTAGGTGGTGTGTTGATCATCAGGTGGAAGCTTTCCTCGGTGGCGGGAAGCTTGGAGATGTAGTGCTCTGGATGCGCCCGACGGATATGTTCCTGCATGGAGCGATACCTTTTCTCCTGGCGGGTACACGTTCTCGTTAGCATCCAGCACCATCCTCACGACAATGCCAATAGCATCGCTGGGCCGTGGTGGGGTTCCTCGGCGAAGCAGGGTGCAAGAGGTTGCAATTGAAGCGCATTGCGTGTATAGGGGAGATGAGGGGCAGGACGTACGCCGATGCAGCGCTTCCTACAGCTAGATCCATCCTGGTTGCGTAGTGGGCAGACGACTTCATTGTTGGCATCCGTGATTGAGAAGGACGATGTCAAGGACGATCGAGGCGGCATCTTGATAACTACAATTGCCTTGACCCCACCATTCGAGGTCGAGGTCCTGGTCGAGTACGAGTTCGGGGTCGGGGTCGAGGTCGAGGTTGGGCGTGGGCGGGGGTGGTGGTGGGCTGGAGCTCTTGTCGATAAGAATAGAGTTGAAAGCTGGCGGCGGTTGAGAAGAGCAGTTACTAGGGCAGTGAAGCTGTCGCATTGACTCCTGTCCACCTAATGCGAGGGGAAGCAGGTGGTCAAGGGATGGAATGCAGCAGGATGGGCACCAGAGCTCCAAGCTTGTCCTCAGCTGTCGGGTTGTGACAAGAGGTGTTTCGAAGAATCGAGGGCGGGCGAGGAGGTGGTCTAGGAGGTGGTCTAAGGAGGTGACCGGAAGGGGGGGTGCCAACCTCGGAAGACTGGATGGATTGGGGTGCTCTGCTCGGTGCTGCGGCTAAGACTAAGAAGCTGAGAGCGACTAAGCTGCTACCTGTGTGTAGGTACCTTGTCTAGGTAGTTGGGTTGCGTATTTAGCTAGCTCTTGACTGGCTCAGGACCCGGGCCTGATGGCAGCAGCGCTAATTGCAAGCACGATCCCGACTCGATTTGTCAAAGAGGGTCGGGGGCAGCAGGAGGAGGATGAGGAGTAGCAGGAGGAGTAGGAGGAGCAGCAGTAGAGCGCCTGAGAAAGGCAGGATAGAGGTCAGAGAAGGTCAGATGGTCGGGCTGGGTCGTGACAATGTGGGTGGTCCGCCTAGTGCAAGGGGCCAGGCGAAAGGGGGCAGCTGGACAGCTGGGCAGACCTGGCCTGGGACGGCTTGAGGACAGGAGAAACAAGGCAAAGGGACAGAGGGGACATGCAGGCGCATGAAGACATCATAGGGGTCTCAATCAATGCTTCCGTCGTGGACTTTGTAAGCGCAAAACTTCTCTCTCCTGCAAGACAGATGCACGACAGGAACGGCTAACGGCCCCTCAAGTCAAGCAAGCAGCCACCCGAAGTCTTTGATGGCTCAGCTGCTGGGTAATAAGGTACATGTCAAGGTCCACGACCATGACCTTGACCATGTCCAGGTGCAGATCCGACCCGCTCACTCAGGTACCCAGTAAAGGCAGAGGTAGGCCCCTTGAAACTCCACCGAAATCTTGCCATCGTGGGTCCCGTCGTGAAGAGCTTGTACAGTGCCCAAGTACATAGTAGTGCGGTGGCAGGGCTGGAGGTCAGCTTGTTACTGTACGTTCCTCTCGAAGCTCGAAGCTGTCGCCGGATAAGACTATCTAGCATCTTATCTGGCTGCCCAGGGCTTTGTGGCAGGTCTTCCGAACAGAGACGGGCTTGCATGAAAGCTCATTTGACCTGCTGGAAAGGTACAAGCCTGGTACAGCAGGCATGACAGGATAGCTAGATACGGAGGCACTGAAGGTTTGACCCAGGCAGCGCAACCCTCCCTGTCCCATGGCGATGACGCAGCGCAGTGCCGTGCCGTTGGGAGAGCCGGGGGACAGCTGCAAGCTCTCAGCTCGAAATGCGATGCGATTAGATGCGCGGGGCTACAGCAGTCACACGCAACGCTGCCGTTGATTCCTTCAAGAACTGCCGGGGGCCTGTCCCTCTGGCAGCTCTTCTGATTCAATCGAGCTGAGTTGCTTCCTGTTCGTCCATACGCAACGGCACAAGGCAGTGGACATTTGATTCCGAAAACAAGTTTGGCGCTATCCTGCCATCCGACGAACCCAGAGCACAACACAACCCAAGGTCTTCGACCCGTCGCATGGCGAAGAATGACCCAATCGTCAGTGGCCAAAAGTCATGACTCAGATCAGCGCTCAAAGCAGGCTCTGCTCTGCCTGGCTCTGCTCTCACATCCTGTGTGCTCTGCCCTGCCCTGCCCTGCCATGCTTTGCGCCGCGCTGTTGAAGCTTTGGCCTTCGGGTTATCTTCGATCCAGACCAATGTCTGCACAGTACATAGTGCGCCTTTGCCTCGAGACAAAGGAGTTCCCACCGATTGGACGGAAGCAGCCTCGAGAGCTCGAGGAGCTTCGGCCAAGCTTGGCGAGCTGCTTGCTCGCTGCACACGGCGACGCCGATCATCCAGCTCACCCCTGAGACAAGCTTTCCTTGCTGTACACGTAGGAGCTGGGCCCCATATGCTCTTTCCCACGCATTTCCTGCCATGTAAGTCAATGTCGACAGGAGTGAAAGCCCAGCAGCATCGGCTTTTCACGGCGGCCGCTGCACTTGTGTCAGGAGGGCGGGGAGGGGTGACAGGCCAGACAATTAGAGGCAGATTATTCTGCCGGAGCTCTACAGCAGCAGGACTTCTCGCCGCTTTTGGCGGGGCATTTTTGGGAAAGGATTCCGACACCTGGGGGCGGCAAGGCACAAAGGTATCCACTTGGGTATCGTCGTCAGAATGATCAAGTGGGCCCGAAGAGCGGTGGGGCTCGGATCCAGTACGCATGCTGCAGCCAGACGCCAGACCTCCTTCACATGCCTCTGTGCAGTGAGGCTTGAGCAACCCGCCCGTAGCTAGCATGCAGCCGCAGTGCTGTGCTTTGCATCCTCTTGAACTTGCCTGCATCCGTGGTAGCTCGCTCTCACGGCTGCTTGAGCCCGTCAGAGTTCACTTCCAAAGCACCTGACACACACCATGCGCTTGCTACCTGCCGCCTGCGTGGTCTAGTCGCGAACCTTCTCAGCAAACTAACTCCCTTGACACCAAGACACGCAACGCCGACTAGTCCAGTCGCAGATTTAGTCGGTGTACCCCATCCAAGTGCCTGCCTTACTCGCCTTTCCATGGCATCTGGTCGGTGCCCGGTGCCCGGTGCCTTCAGCCCTCGGCGGCGGTGAGGTTGTCTGGGAATGTCCTTGGGCGCTGACAATCTTCTTACGCACTACTAACAAGAGCTCTGTCTCCTGTCCACGAGGACGGGGTCTTGGCTCAAATCGTCCCTAATTGACCCGTCGGATTGGGTTCGCCGGACGTTGGAATACCTGTGACCGCATGTTCCAGAAACTTTGGCAGCATCGGCCACGCAGCACTTCAACGGCAACCGCCCTAGGCACGAAACGAGACCATCTGCATGCAGTTTCAGGCCCCATGCGCCCCCAGGTTTTGGCGGCAAACATCCGAAGCTGCTCCGCGCCCGCCCAGATCTTCAGCAAAACCAGACACGGCGGCTTTTATTGGTAACATGCGGTAGCCGCGCGGACTGACCTGCCCACGCTGCCCTGCCGTGCCCGAACTGAACAGCTGTTTCAGGGAGCGCCATTAGCATCGACAATCCACCTGCTCGACACGGCAGCTGCTGATCAGATAAAACACCAGCGCAGCCCTACGGGCAGAGGGTGACAATCAAACAGGACACTGGGGACAATACCTCGTCGCTACTAAGGATACTTGACACAACACTGCCCCCCACCCCCTTCGGCGCTCAGCCGGGAGTCAATTACCAAGGCATCCAGTACCATCCGGCGCCGACTTTTGATGCGTGTGTGTCCGTGTGTGCGCCTCTGTCACAAACGATTGACTCAAGGTTCGGCACGGGAACAGCAGCCCAGACGCGCATGACTGGAGTGAGAGGCCGAGGAGTTGTGGTGTACCTGGCCGAAGTCTCATCACACAGCATCTGCTCGGGGTGGCCGAACTGACATCAGACGGCTGAAGGAGACCTAGTATGCAGCACCAAGCCTTAGAACAAAACGTTCTACCGCAGAATATCCAGCAGGAAGACCTGTGACGCGATGGCAGCAGCCAACGGTACAGTATGCCGCAAGACAGGAGGTCATAGGCAACCAAGCCAACAACCAGTTTCTATATGCCTCCACATCGCGGGAGGGCCAGCTCAAGTGAAGCAATACTGCAGGTTATGGCAAGAGTTGGTATCTCGAAGTTTTTGAATGTATCGGCCGACTGGCTCTCCTTTCACCTATGTATTATGGCAACCTAACCGGGGCATGAGTTGGGTGGGACACCTCCCTGCAAGGTACGAAAGTTTGGAGGCAAGCAAGTGCTTGTCAAACCACATGGCACTAGGTTCTATGCGATATCGATAGGCCTTCTCGTTCATGCGCAACCGACACTCCAGGCAAATTCGTCACTAGACAAGGTTACGGTGTGCCTCATCATCCAACATGTCGCGTTGACCTGCTCGTGATCTTCATCAGAGGAGGGCAGGTGCTCCTCAGTCCATTTCAATTTCGTTCCATGTTGGTTTCCATCGGAGAGAACGTACTGGTCCGGCCCTTCAAATGGGCGTGACTCCGTCTCGCTCGCGTTGTATCTTGTCCTGTTTGCCGAGTCGTCAAATGTTCTAGAAAGACGTTCGTCCTCTCTTCTCGACCGTTTATCTGCGTCGCACGGACTCACAAAGGTCTATCAAGTGATCCTGGCCTGTCTGATTCAACATCACACTTATTCAATCCTTAAGATTGTCTTGAACTAAGGCATGTCTTGTGGGATGTCAAATTTGGTCAACCTCGTCTACTCCGTACAGACATATGTAGTGGGACACTATCAGTATAAGAAGCTGAACTTAATATATTCCCAGGTTCAGCTAGCATTATGTGGCTGATCGTGTCCTGAACTTATGCTTGTGGGCCTCAGGAGCTCGACGCAGCTACACAGGCCCCAAATAGACGACTCGAAGGTGCCCACCAACACCCAACATTGCCCGTTGTGACACCCTGCTCTCCGCCCGTTCAACATCAACACGCCGTTGAACCCGAATGCCCATCATCCGTCACATTTTCTTCACTCTAGAACGTGTGCTTGGGCAATCCCTCGTCTTCACGACCTCGCACCTCGTCACGGCGAAGCTACCTACCTGACGGCGTCACTTCTCGATCCCATGTTGGCCCGGAGACAAATGTGTCGCAGGCCGCGCCGGCACACTGGGAGACTGCTGCCCGCTTGGGACCGAGTTACTGAGTTGCTCGTCATGATGGGGAGACACATCGGAACGTTTGATATGGGACGGCTGAGGGTGAGGAGGTTGGGCAAGGGCAAGAGTGGGAGGTGGGTGAGAGGGGAAGATCCCAGTGGTGATGCAGTTCAAGCTGGTAAGAGAGGAAGTATTGGTCGCTTTTCGATAGCGGCGACGATTACAGGGAGCTTCATCGCCCGTCCACGGTGCTGTGATAAGTGCGATGAAGAATGCGGGAGTCATATGAGTAAAGAGAAGTGGGATTTCATATCAGGACATCACGCGAAACGGTGGCATCAATCTCTGGGCATGGAATGCCACTCGCAAGAGATGGAGTGAGGGAAACGGCAGCGAGGATCACCTTCTGTTGCCCAGGGTCAAGCGAGTGGTCTACTTTTTGGGACGACGTTGCGACTGCTGAAGCTACTAGGCAGACGAACACATGACGGAAATCACGAACGCTTTAGCACAAAACACTCCAGGTCGGGAAACACCTCTAGGCGGTCGTGAGAAAGGACAAAAAAAAAAGACTTGTATTGCCAGAGACGAGAATCGAACCCTGGTTGCCACCCTCCAGCTTTTTCAGACTGGACCACAATTGACCCGCAGACAACTCGGGGACCTAGCCGCCCTGCCATGTGGTGTGAAATGGGATGACTGGCAGGTTTATAAAGGCATAGCGAATGCCCTGTTTGGGAAGGGGGAGGGGGGGAGGCGGGTCATATTTCCAGAGAAGACTTCGCTAGAACACCATGGGATGTATGCTTTTTAGTTCGTCCGTCACATCAAAAATACGACGCCGAAGTACAATTTGCAACCCTCCTTCATGAACGACTTGAACGGCAGAGTCCATCAAACCTCTGGCGGTTGTTAGACGAAGAAGAGTCTTTCCACGTGTCATTCGTTTCCAAGCCGCGTGGAACGGGACAAATGGAACCCTCTCTGGGCCACTGTATGCCTAGTGAAGGCGTCTCCCGTTTGGGTCTCGTTGGAGGACATATTTGCGTCTCGTCCACCGTGTTGCAACAACAGATCAGGGGGCTTTGTGACTGCGGAGATGTACGTGGGCAAGACGAAACGATCATAGCAATCAGGAATTCGTGGTCTCGGGCTCTACGGCAGAATGAGGCTGGAATTGTATAGACTTTTTAGCGACGAAGTCCTCAGGGTCTCGCAAGAGCTCCTTGAGACAAGGAAGCTGCCAGCGCGTTGCCCAGGCAAAGGATAGAAATTCGGCTCTCCTCGTAGCGTCTCCGTGGAAAATCCGAGTATTAGCCATCGTTTGATAGACGTGATCATATTCTCAAGGGTATCAACTCTCGTCTAGCCACTACCTGTGATCTTGGCCGTGTCAGATACCCCATAACCCCCCACCTCTATCGTCGTGATGCATGGCACACAAATCCACCGCGAAATTCAACGTGATTATGGTCAAAGTCACAAAAAAAAGTAATTGGCCATGCTACGGCGTGGCTCCAAAACTAACCCTACCCACCACCGCCTCCAAGCAGCCAACCAACCCCGGAGCTGAGCTCACTTGAGCTGCCTCAGGATCTCAGTCAGGAAGTCCTCGAAGCTGAGCGTGATGTACCCGTCGCGGTCGTCGTCGTACTTCTTGAAGACGTCGGTCATCCTCTTGAGGCTGATGCAGGCCTGGACGAAGAGGTCGAAGCTCAGGACGCCCTCGTTGCGCTTGTCGTAGGTCTGGAAGAGCAGCTCGACGAAGCGCTCCGACAGGCGGTAGCGGAAGGCGACGAGGGCGTTGTTGAACTCGTCGAGCGCGATGTTGCCGCTCTTGTCGGCGTCGAAGCGGTCGAACAGGGTGCGCCACGACGCCAGGAACGACCACAGCCCGCAGAACTCGTCGAAGCCGATGGTGCCGCTGCGGTCGCTGTCGAACATCCGGATCATCATGCGCACCGTGTGCGGGTCGAAGGCGGTCCAGTCCCCGTTGACCAGGGCGGCCGAGAGCTCCCTCTCTGAGAGCTGGCCGGTGCCTGTCCGATTGCGCTGTGTTAGCTTCCTTTCCCTTGGGTTCCTCGGCGGCTCATCAGAGCGCCGTGGTAGGTGTGATACGCACCATCCTTGTCAACAGCCCTGAAGAGAGGCAACAGAGTGGGATCCGCCCCGCCCTCAGTGGGCGCTGGGCTAGGTGGAGGTCTCGATACGGGAGGGGGCCGGTTGTGGTGTATGGGCTTTGGGCCGCCGGTGGGAGGTGGGGACATTACGCCTGAGTGGGTGTTAGGGTGTCCTGCTGGGGAGAGTCGTCCTGCTGAGCCGGCGTGTGGGCGTCCGTAGCCTTCCTGAGGTCGAGGGGGCATTGGCTTGTTCTCGTAGTGGGAGGGCGCAGGTACCGAGCCATGCGACGGGGAGGGTTTTCGCTCAGGCTCAGCGAATCTGGAGGGGACTGAGTCAGTAATCGTCGCTCTCGCAGCTTTCGAGCAATTTCACGGCATGTACTACTCACTGTGGGAGAGCATCCGGATTGTAGGGTCTGTTGTAGGCCATGGTGAATGATCTGGCTTGGGCGCGGTGTAAGTGGAGAGGGACGGGACGAGGGGCTTGAGCGAGGTCTAAAAAGGTGTCGTGTCGGTTGGTTTTGAGATTGTCGGCTCCGCGGCAAGGACAAGTGCCAACAGAAGAAATTCACCCCGAGACTCGAGGGATCAGAACAATGATGTCGTTGTGGTTGTTGTTGGCAAGGTGTGTCCAAGCTAGAAACAACAATAAATAGAATTGATAAGGGTCGCGGTCAGTCGGGCCCTGGTCAGGGTCGCGGGTGCGGTCGTGGTCGTGGTCGTTCTGGTTGGCTCAGCCGCCGAGGTGCAGCTCGCTTGGAAAGGAAGCTTTGGATTTGTTCCTTGGGTCGTATTCAGGGCCGGCACACGCTTTTACGTATCAGACTGACCCGTTGGCGTTTTGGTGTCTTTCGAAGAGCGGTTAGAGCGACTGAGTGCTTGTGGTCCAGGTCCAGGTCCAGCGTGTCAAAGCGCGGGGGCGCTTATATCGGAATTCTCGAGACTCAAGAGAAGTTGGCAGGGGACGACGAGAGGGGCCCTGAGATTGCGGCACAGTTGCTCTGTAGTGGAGCTGAGGGGCAGCGGTGGGGAGCAAACGCCAAGGGTAGAACGAGGCTGTGTTGGGCTGAATTGAAAGTTTCCCTGCCTTACCTCTTTTCTTCTGTGCCTTGAAGGGCCACTCATTATATTGGCTACTGCTAGACTATATGGCCACAGGAGGAGAGGGCAGGGGTGTGAATCCGCAAAGAAGCAACAGCTGTGAGTTATCGTCTTGCAGACATCACCTGCATCTGCTGCTGGTCACACTGGATCAAGGTACCCCTTTTCAAACCCGGGGCTCATCAGACGACGGAACCACCGTACTGCATTCTATTCATGCTCATGCTGATACTCGTGCTCATGTTGGCGCGTCAGAGGGTCTCCAGAGATGGGGTTACACAGACGTCGGTCACTCTGCATCCGACCTCCACTGCACGCGTAGGCTGGTCTCCCGTCTCCCTGCCGCAGCCGAAATGCTGACTTGGATGCGCATGCCTCTGCGCGACCTGTGACGTGGTGTGTCCTCCACGTAAGAACCTTGGTCCCTCATTGCCGCAACATCGCCTCGTCAGGCCGCTTCAGCCATCAGCCATCGCGTTACCCCAGATTTTGGAATAGATCAGTGCCGAACAAGCGGGAGTTACAGTCAATCCCGGCCATCTCGTGCAGAAAGTCATGACAGGAGACGGGCGAGAAGAGAACAAGAGAACAGCAGAGCAATGAGGTGCCGGCACACAGGCCCGACTCAGAAGGTGACAATAGCCCTGTGGGTCTGGAGCTTCCCGTGAGCTGGTCCGTGCGCCCGGCACCGAGTCGGAAACGCACCGGCGGTGGCGGGCCGGATAACGAGCATTACAAACACGGTCAACATCTGCTCGTTCGTGCTCTCCGCCACTGCCCACTTCTTGCCCTATTCGGATCGCAGACATAGTTGAACAAGGCTTGGACGGGAGAAAAATGACTGTAGAAGATCCTGGCGCTCCTGCTGCCGACAACGGCGAGTTCTGGCTCTTTGGCTACGGGTATGCTCCTCTCTTGCCACATGTAGCAACCCTCTGCAGGGGAACATTGTAGCGATTCTGACAGATTATGTCTGCAGGAGCCTGATATGGAAACCACCGCCACACTTTGGTAGGTGCTCGCTCCAGAGGCTTTGTCACCACTGCCTCGACCATTGTGCAAAGCTGAGAAGATCCTCTCGATAATAGATCGCAGGATCCCAGGTTGGGTCACAGGCTACGTTCGTAGGTTTTGGCAAGTGAGTCAATGCTTTCTGTTGCTTCGCCTGCGCCTTCTCGGACATAGTCTTACTGACAGGTCTTCGACAGGCAAGGTATGGTTCCTATGACTGGCACATGTTTCCTGTTGCGAGGGCCTGGGGACGACCCCCCTTCGAGCCTTGTTGCAAAATCCATGAATGCGCCGATGTGCGCGGCCGAGGGAGAGCTGATCTGCTATCCGTTCCCCTCGACCATGTGGCAACAATAGCTGATCCAGATGCTCAAATAAAAGTCAGGACCACCGCGGGACCCCCGAAGCACCGGGCCGCGTGGTGACCCTCATTGAGCGGTCCTTTTGGGAGACTCTGCCTGATCCGCACTCGTCCGCAGACAAAGTCTGGGGTGTCGCGTACAGAATCAAGGCAGAACATGTCGAAGAAGTCAAGGAGTATCTAGACATCCGCGAGATCAACGGGTACACCATCGTAAGTCAACTCTAGACGCTACCCGCGTCTTCATGTCCATCCAGGTCTTCTTGGCGCGAAGAGAAAACCTTTGCGTCTCCAGAGCAGAATTCCGCTGAGAGCTCTCAGGATATGTCTCGGGTAACTTCCCTTGCTCTCCATGATTTAACCCCGCTCGCTCTACTCAGCGATCGTCCCTCTTCATTTTCTGTTCTTGTTCATGTTCCCCTCGCCTGGCGCCGAATAGATGTGGCGTTGTTTGTTCAAGGACCACTAACTCTTTCTGGGTATAGCACTACACACCCTTCTCCCCAGCCTCGGACCCAGAAAAGCCCATCCGGACGCTCGTCTGTACGTATAGTCTTTCTTCTGTTAAAATGTCTTCTCGCTGTGCTCTGTGATTCTCCCGCAAGAGTCCTACAGCTATCATCACGAAGGGCGTCTCGGAAGTCTGTTGACACATCGTAGACATCGGGACCCCGGACAACGACCAGTTCGTCGGCCCACAAGACATCCAGGCCCTGGCAGAACACATCTACCGATCAGAGGGGCCGAGCGGGCTGAACCGGGATTACCTGCTGGGTCTCGACAAGGCGCTGGAGGAATTAAGCCCCGAGAGTGGCGATGAGCACGTCACGGATTTGTCGAAGCGTGTCAGGGCGATAATATCTCGCGAGGAGGAAAGTGGCAGAGGCAAGGGAAGTGTCGAGAGTCCGGCTACTAAGAATGCTGTTAGTCAGGGGAGTGACGCAGCTGCGGGCGCTCTTCATGATTTCAGGAAAGTCAGTAGCGTAGACGAGCAGGAGGAGACTGAGAAGGCCGTTTGAGAAACAGTCCAGACACAGACACACGGAAGCACACACACAGACGCACACAGATACACACAGACATACACACACAGTAGAAGCATTCCACATGATCAGTCAACACCGAATTTTGAATTTCCTCCTATAACACTATACTCCCTTTTCGGGCAATCGAATTTGCCAGAGCAATAGTGTCGTGCGCCAAGCTGCGAAGCTCGTGCTGGACCTAGCCCCAACGCGTTGGGGCGCCATTCGACGCGACGCGCGCATCTGCTGACTGCAATTTTATACAAAGAACGTGTTGTAGAGGATCGGGAAAGGTGCTCTTCCCCGCCCTCAAACGCGAAAATCATCGTCAAGTAGAAGTAAGGAGGGTAGGAAGGAAAAAAAATCATACAAAGAAAGGGAAAGTTTAGGACGAAAACAGCTAGTCGCAGAACGAAAGCGCCACCCGAGAAAAAAGCATCGAGGATCTGAACTCGGTCAGGGGGTATAATCTTTTGTCGTAAACAAGAACGATGGCAACTTTTTTTGACAATCGCGCATGCTTGGGGCTCGTTTCCTTTTTTCCGTCCGGGCGTTTCGTACCATGTCTCGCAAGTTCGGCCGTGATCGATTCTTTGAAATCGTGTGTAGACTCGACGTCGACAGCTAGTTCCGCCGGTCGGATGGGGTATCAAAGAGCGGTCCGCACGGTTTGTGTGTCGTGCTAAGAGTAAGCCCAGGGGCTCCATCCCTTCAACGCCTCAACTCCGGCAAGTCCAAGAGCACGCCCAGCCGCTGAGCATTGGAGCGACTCTTATGCCTCTAGTATCCGGGTGGTCCGCCGGGAGGAGCCTGCTGCTGTCCTGGCATCTGCTGCTGGGGGATCTGCCCCTGTGGGATCTGTTGCTGCTGTCCCTGCTGCTGCTGGTCTTGTCCGTAGACGTATCCACCCTGCGGCCAGGCTGTACCGATGGTTACATTGTTAGCTACTCTATTGAACAATAGCTACTCGTGTTTGTGGGCCACGAGAAGCTCGAACAACGTATTGTGGGTGGCCCGACTTACCCTGCTGCGGCATGGCACCGTAGTTCATCGCAGCTGCCTGGGGTGGGTATCCACCACGGCCGTACTGCTGCTGCTGAGCAGCGTACATTTGCGGATGAGCAGCCATCGGATAACCCTGTTGAGGATGTCCATAGGCCATCTGAGGCATGCCGGGGTTCTGCATGCCACCGTAGCCACCGCGCATGCCAAAACCGCCGACGATTCCACCGCCTCGGGGAGGGTAGCCACCCCGGGGGCCGTTGTCAGAGGCCTTGTCGACACGAATGGTACGGCCATCGAACCTGAATGCGGAGCTTTAGCATCTATTCACCACGAGCTGCGAATACTACAGCACAGTTATAGTCTGCTGCGGTGGTCTTACTCGACGTTGTTCATCGCGGCAATAGCTCGCTGCGCATCGTCCTCGTTCGTGTAGCGAACGAATCCGAAGCCACGGCTGCGGCCAGTGTCACGATCCTTGACCACGACCTAGGGGCAAGAGAGAGTCAAATCAGCAAAGGTGAAGCTTTGTGCGACGTGCGAAGCAGGCCGTGAAGAACTCCGGCCGAGCTTGCAACGCGATGTCAGGAGCACAACATACTGCCTCGTCCACGAGCCCAAACTCCTCGAACTTTTGGCGCAAAGTCGCCTCCTCAGTGTGCCAGGCGAGGCCGCTGTCGCCAGTTAGCAGGCAAATCATGGTCAAGGTAGGTATGATGGGCGATAACCTACCCGATGAAAAGCTTCGTTGTCGAGGTCATCTTGATCACACTTGTCTCGATGTTGGTAGCTTCCTCTGGGTCCTGTGATTGTTGAAATTGCTTGAGATCACAAAAATCAAGACGGTAGTCTCCGGGATAGATGGAAGTTGATGCGCAAAGTGCGAAAGTCTTTCCCAAGGAGGCCACAGATTGTTGAAGCGAGAAAAAGTCTGGTTGCGAAGCGGGAAGGAAAGGTACCCCTCTTTGCGGCGAATATCTCGTTCCTGACCGCGATGTCGGTGGTTCGTTCCCAAGACACTTTGTTCTGTCTCCGACAGTGGCGAGGAAAGTTGCAACTGCGAGCAAATCCACAAAGCAACAGAGACACTGATGTGCTACCAACAGGTAATAGATATCGTGATGGCGACACCCTGCAATTACAATGTAAAATCCACACAACAATCCTGTCTGGTTCGAAGGGAAGTTGGAGGAAATGACCGAATCTGGGAAAGGACTGGTGGGGTGGTATCGCAAAGCTCGACAAGTAAGGATCAGGGGTTCTCCGGAGAGTGCTCGTAGACTTGAAGAAGCATTGGAGGAGGCCAGGTTCTTGACGGAGGTAAGTGGTCACTAGAGAGTCGACGCATATTACTTATATGCAATAATGTGGTCGAGACGCGCTCGTCAAGCTCTATCATTAGCCCGTCATCTCATTATAAATGGCTCATTGTCTTCGCCCTGAGCAGGGAATTCGATGCTTGACTGGTTGTTTCGAGGAGCATAAATGTGGCAGCAAGGGTGACTCGACCAAACAAGCATCAAACAGAGAGACAGAGAGCTCGTAGCAGCACCCAAGCAAGGCCGCCAAGCTGATTGGGTCTAAAGGTAGCTACCTGACTGCTACAGAAGCTAGTCCGACAGGAGGCGGAGACCACAGGAGTATCACCTACGGCCCCAGATTGCCGTCGACTAGGCGACACAACTCACATAGGGCTGATGTGGGAACAGATTGTTGACATGTTTCCCGTTGTCGCGAATCCACAAAGTGCGCAGACTGAGATGGGTAGTCGGCTCGCCACGGTGCCTAGCTGTGAGCGCCTTCTCTCCATTTGCCGGTGACGCGGTGGGATTACGAGTCGTGCAGCTACAAGACAGTTGGTCAGAGGCAAGGCGCTTCTTCTCTTGACAGACGCCGCTGCCAGAAGATCCTAGCTTTGCACTGAGGAAAGCGAGCAGTTCGCGACTCTGTCCCGGATAAATCCACCTCGTGCGATCTGTGTCATGTTCAACCGAACAAAATCTGGCTCACGATGCCACATGCGTTGGAGCAGGAATTGAACCAAGAATGTAACAACTTGGACCCCTGCCGGCACCCCTGCTCGTCGTGCCTGTGCGGCGGAGCAACCCCTGGGTGGAGGTTCAGTCTTTCAAGTGCGCAAAGCCAAATTGAACGACATCTTGTGGAGCAGGGGTTGGCATTCCACAGTGTTTCGATGGCAGCAAGCTGCATCTCGATGACACTTTTCTCAATCGTCTCGGACGGTCAGCGAGTTGGTAATCCAAAGACTCTCCTGGTCGACGGCTGGTCGCCGAGGTCAAGGCTTCCGGGCCCCCAGCGAGGAGCGGGCAGACCTTGGGATGACCCTGGCCGCATGCGAAACTGACGAAGCATTTGCTATTGCAGTGACGAAAATGGACGGAACACGAGATGAAACTGCTGTCCGTACCTCGCTAGCTGCGTGCTGTAGGTCCAGGGTCTGATATTGCCCATCGCGTTTGTAGGTGTCAAAGAAGTTGCCAGTGAACTAGACCTAGTAAGGGGTCCTGCCAGATCCTGCGCCGTGCCCCGCAAGGCCTTCAAATAGACTTGCGGATCCACAGCACTGCAATCCGAATGGACATTGCAAATTATTCCGCTGACGCACTAGTCCTGCGGGAAATTCCAGGCTTGAAAAACTGACAACTCAACGGTCCAGGACAGCTCGCCAGCTCATTTCCGAGACTGGAAGGTAGTGCTATTCTTGGAGAGGGGCAGGAGTAGCTAGTGAGGATCTGGCTTCCAGCCAGGCACGCCAGGCTCCAGATACTGATCGCTGGAGACGCCAAGGTTGGCCTTGAGACAGCCGCTAGTGTGTGGACATCGATTTTTCAGAATGCCATAATCCTGCCAGCCCGCTAACAAGCGTTGCGAAGTACAGCAAGAGGGTCTGTAGAGTACCTAGGTAAGGACGGCTGATGGCAGAAAAGCTTGCCCAATCTTACCCTACCACGGGACGGACCTCTGGGGACTGCGAATCTCCATGCCAAGCAAAAAGCACACTGGAGGGGTCGCACGTGTAATGCACGGACCTGGAGGTTGTACAGTAGCCCTGGCCGCGCTCGCTTGATGCAAGTTGACAACCCTGTTGCCGATCGTGGCGTTTGAGCCGCACCAGCCCACCAGACCCGTCATGCGGGGGCACATGGCCGCGGGCCTTGAAATCGGCCGCGGATGGTCACCCCAGTTGACGAAGACACGAGTGGTGTTGCATCCTGGGCGACGCGGAGTAACAGAGGCCCAGTTACGCAACGCTGGACGCTGGGCGGGAAGGCCGAGGGGGTTGGATTGGCAAATATTGCTCATAGTCCGTATCGTCTGCCGCGTCTATTGAAACAAGGATTTTGGTAATGGCGTGACTCTGACGTGTGCCACCTTGTCTCGCTCCAAAAGAATGCCCTGTGCTTTTGAAACCAGGATCTCTTGGAACACGATAGTGGTACATGCAATTATGCGAGAGCGAGCGCAGCATGCACGGCGGGGAAGAGGCGATCCTCCACTGCTCCGCGGGGCGGCGGCGGATCAAGTGGGAATTTCGCGGTGTTAGAGGACGGGGCCAGAGACACATACTGTACTCGTCCGATGTGAGCTAGCAGCCTACCAGTGCACCTGCGACGAGGTCCAGGGCTCTGTGTGGGCAATGCTGGGCCCCAGAGCTCGAGCCTGACACATGGTCGGGTGCGAGGAACATCTGGGCCTCTGCAAGGTTGCGCCAAGGGTTGCCAGAAGGCAGATTTCGTCTCGGCGGCACTGCGATGTCACTTGCAAGTTCGGACGCCTCGAGTCAGTGCGTCTGAGCTCCGCAGTTGCCCGTAGTGGGAAGAGTGGATGTAAGACGTCGCAAAATGGAGAAAAGTGAGGAGGGTGAGGATGGAAGGAGGGGCAAGGAGAAAGAGAAAGAGAAAGCGAGGGAGATGGAGTGATATGGAGCTCTACAGCTGCATGGACATGACCCTGATGAGATGGGCAGAGTTGACTGACTGAGGAGTGATTGATGGTGACTTCGGAACAAGCTCTTAGCATTCGACGAGCTTGACCTGAAAGATGGACTGACAGATGACAGATCAGTAATGCCAAGCGGTGGCCTGAACTACGGCACAATCCCCGGGCACATTAATACCAGGTATGCACAATACTTACCAGAATATACCCAGGAAACTTCAAGGCAATCGGTTGAAGCTTTTTCGGTTCGTCCTTCTGATTTGAGATGGATGGGTACGGGGAGATCGCCAGCCTCGCTACTTCTTTCCCTTTTCCCTTTTCCCGACTCGACGCGACACCACCTGGGAAGGCACTGTACCTGGGCGTGCTGGGCATCTAGGTAGGTACCCACTCGCCCACTTACCCACCTGCCTGCCCACCTGGCCCAGTCGCGCGTGTCGAGTCTATGGGCCCCGGTGCAGGTGCAGGGTGCAAGGTGCAGGCTCTCAGATGCAGGTGCAGATCCAAATACGTTTCGACACTCCATCATCCTCGGCATCGAAACGAAACCATCAAGATCGATCACCGTTCAGATGCTCAAGGATCTCGCCGCCGTAGCCGTAACCAGTAGCCGCTCACTCGCTCACTCGCTCACTCGCTCGCCTCGCTTCCCAGCTGCCGAGCTTGATTTGATGTCTTCTCTTCTCTGCAGAGGCCCTGGCTGTCCTGCTCCTGTCTCCACAGCCAAGGGCTGGTAAACCCATGCACGAAACGTGACTGCAGAGGTCATCGTCATCCCTCGAGTCTATTTTTGCTTTCTGTCGTTTGCACCGCATTTTGCTCGTGTCGAGTCTTGGGTCCTGCGACGCGCCTGTCGTTGCTCACCTCCTGTTGGCCGTTACTCGCCCAGACTGAGTAGGGAGGTTATGGAAGTCTCGGACAACTCCGCCCACCCTCACCATCGTCAAACACGCCGTAGCAAACGCCAGGACAAGCATCGAAAGCACCATGTGGCACATGTGTCGCGAGCTCTTCCCTCAGACCATTGGAGCTATCTCACATCGTGGCCCACTAGGGATGCCCACGCTCGTGATGATGACAAGGAAAATCTGGTCCACACTTGGCTAGAAGACATCGAGACACCGAGGTTGCAATTCAACAGCGGAACTTTGTCCAAAGAGTCCAATTCGAAGGCGCCATCTCGGTCCAAGCCTGCCCGTCGATCGCCACGTCTATGGTCTCCAAACGAAGCGCGCTCTCAAACTAGCCACGATAGAGAGGCCTCTCATGACTGCAGTCAGAGAGAGCAAAAGGTTCCTCGGAAACTTGTTCAAGACAAATCAGCCCTTGGGCTTGGTGGCGAGCATGACCCAATCCGAGTCGCCGCCGAAATGTCCAGAGTTTTGCGACCAGCGTCAGTCGCAACAGAGTCCTGTCATGAAAGTGGCAAGAAAAGGCCACAGCAGGATTCCGGAGGCAGTGTAGCTTCGGTTATCTCGTCCGGGACACACTACCACTTCGCAAAAAAGCCCCGGCACAGGACGAGAAGCGATCGCTACGATACCGCGAAAGTCCATGAGCCGCGAAAAGCAAGGGGGAGAAAGAAGAAGTCTGGAGACAAGAGTAAGGGAACTGCTATCAGGAGGGCTTCAGGTTTCTCATCTGCCAGGGAGGTCATGGAAAAATTCGACTCGGGGTCTATTCTTAGCGATCGTATCACTGCAAGTGCGGCTCCCTTCTCGCTTCAAAATTTGGACTAATTCTGTGGTCAGATGCAGCCTTTATTGAAACCTGGCTTGTTCGACAACGGTCGGGCATCAAAAAAACAGCGTAAGGTTTCTGATTCAGTTGCTTGTCCCGGAAACTAAGTCTGAGGTAGTACCCGACCTCACATTCCATGAGATGCAGTTCCTGAAGCGGCCTCGTCCACCGAAGCCGGTGCCGCGTGACCGCGAAGGTGCGAAGAGGCGAGGCGAAAAACAGCTGGAAGAGGTTTCGGCGTTTTTCCTACAGAAGAGCTTGCCGGAAGGTTTTGGCGCGTCAGGTCGGAAGAAGCCTGTTGTCAGTTGTCCATCGAGCCTAGATGGAGCAACGGCAGACAGCTCTGCCTCCAATCTTGAAGCGCCACTGCATCATTTCAATTTGAGTCAAAAGAATGAGCACCAGCCATCTGACCAAGTGAGAGACATGAGCAGAGGAACAACTCATTACACCTGGTCAAGTAGCTACGCACCGCTTGACCCAGGAACTGCCAGGATGAGCGAGGTTGAAGTGCAGAAATCTGTACAGAGTTCTACTCCGCCACGAATACGAGACACGCTCGAAAAGACCGCCATGAGTTGCAGTGACAGACGCCCGAAGCTGATGAACGGAATCATGTCCCGCTCCAAGGACGTTTCTGATGAAAAGCCACAGGCTGTATTTGCCGATAGTGTTAAGGTTCGACCAAATGCGCCGAGGCAGGAAGTCCGCATTGTTCGATATCACGATCGAGGAATGATGGCTAGCGAAGAGGCTGAGGCTACTGCTGAGAGACGCACAAGACCCACAGAAACCCCACGAGATGCTATGCAGTATCCCACACAGACACCTGCCAGGTTTGAGGCTTCCGCGGGTTGTGCCAAATCTTATGAGGTTTCTCCTGAAGATGAAGCATTCAGTCGCCCCTATGAAGCAGAAGATACTCAAACGGCGAAGGGTTTTCATGCGGCAGACCATGGTACCAGACCAAAACGCCCAAAGTCGCCGAAGTGGACCATGGTTGAGCAGTTGGAGGCGGCAGTCGAAAATGTCGAGTCACAGAAATCGCAGAGTGGTCTGCCTAGGGCTTCGAGTTCTCTGGCAGTCCAGGAAGGCGTGCACTTAGCTCCCAGCCACTACAAAACTTCTGTTCCCGGAAACTACAACGTCTCTCAGCAAGGCCATCTCGAATTCAACCCGGCTCTCTTTGGCGATAGGCAGCTAGATCTGTTCGAGGCAGGTCAAGAGCATAGTCACCTTGTAACAGTCACTGACCTCCCACAAGGCGGCCAGCAAGCTTATAAGGTCAGCCTGGCTCCGAAAGTCGCTTTGAAGCCGACGTGTGAGGAATCCGGTCAGGTGCACAAGGCAGGATGGCCATCATCTGACGCCCGGACATTGTCGAGTGCTTACCGCAAGCCATCGAAGGTTTCCCCGATGGATCGTTCCGCACTAGAAAATCATTACACTGTCCAGACGATTCCTTCCGACAGTGATAACAACCCGAATATGGTACCGCTGCTGAACAATTTTGGCGCTGGTGGGTATGGACAGCCTGTGAGGAACCACGTCTCTTCCAAAGAACAATTTATGTCACCAGGAGATACCGACTTGTTACAACAGAGGTCAAGTCGGCGGCAGAGCTTGGAAGAGTACATTGCTCAAATGGAATATGAAGTGTTGAGTCGTCCGCAGCAAGATGACGTTGAGAGCGCTTCTCCGACATCGAGGTGGTGTGAGCTGCCAGAAGGCAGTGCGGCACATTTAGAAGATACGCCCCGGGCACCTCACTCGTACGTCGGCTTGCATGGCCAGGGTCTGTGGCAAGACGGTCATTTCAACGACCGATCAATCAGCGGAGTTTATCATGGTGGTCGGGATGTGATAAACGATCCGGAAAGTGACCAAGAAGAACAGAGATTCATGTCGACTTTCTGGCGGCCGAATCGATGTTGATCTTTCGTGACGCAATATTTGACGGTGTGCAACCGCCTTGTCTCTACGTCTACGCCCTGTGGGAACTTCGCGGCCACTCAGTGCCGTCCCTCATCGCAAAATTGTGGGCAGCCATGCTGTGCCTCCTGCAAGCAGACTTCAGCCAAGGGTTTCTGGGGTTCGCACTGTTTAAAACGCCCGTACATGAAGCCATGATCAGGCTCTACGAGCAATCTCGGCAGGACGGGCGTGAATCTGCTTTGCATCTCCAAATCGCCGCTTGTCCTCCCGGGCATACGTTGCACAGCAGCATACGTTCAGTAACAGATTTGTCGGAATGACTAAGTGCCGCACAACAGGGTTTGTGGGCACGTCAGTGACGGCCTGAAAGTCTATGTCGCCCTGTCCGACGAAGCTCATCAAAAACCATGAAGTTTGTCACCACACGAGCCCTGGCGCGTATTTTGAAAAGAAGGCGCCGAGGCAAAAGAGGGTTCGGGCCCATGCAATCCCAACGAGCTTGGTAATTGAATTTGAGGGCAAATTCCATTCCAGAGCGTGTTTCGAAGTGTATTTCGAAGCGTGGGCAAGCGGACATTATCAGGCCAACAGAGGTAGCACAACCCGGTGAACTCTCTGCATCTGAGGAGAAGGTCTTCTCCGATGAGGCCGGATTCAACGGGCAGACCCTGCTTGGTTGGAGGGAATTTTGACTCAGTCGCCGCCTTGGCTGGGCAATATCGGTTGCCGAGCATGGTGCAGATGTCAGTCATGTAATGATCTCTGGGCGATCAGCCTGTGGCAGCTGACTAGTGCAGCCACACAGGGAGAATGAGGTAAAGGATCTAAAACACCTCCGTCCGGTCTGTCTTAGATGCCCATGCCCCCCTCAACGTTTATGCGGCCGTTCCCGGGCACTTCCATTTTGCGGGCCAGAGATCGATTGCGGAAAGTGGTTGTTTTTCGAGGCCAAGGTAACAAACAACCTCGTGGTGTTTGCTCGCAGCCCTTTGCAGCACAGCACATAAGGTCATGTCAAACATATCGTCAGGCTACTCATCAATTTGTAGTCGATGAGCTAGCTGTCTGGTGGACTGCAGGTCCCATCAGACCCAGCCTTTAAGGTTTAGCTCCAACGACGCGCCCCTGCCCAACACTGCGTGCCCCTGGATCTCGCCCATGCCAAATGGCCCGAACGGGGCGTCAGTCCGAAGTGGATGCTCAGCCCGGCCTCGACTTGACCCTGAATGGCACTATTACCCAGCAATCAGGAACTACTGCATCCTTGTGAGCGCCTCCTGCGCCACTTCGACCAATAGCGGGCTCTGCTTGAATTGCACGGCCCATTTCCATGCGCCTTTGGCAGACTCACGATGGTTCGGGTAATTGCTTCACCCCTGCAAGAGGAAATTGTGCTGAGGCCTTGAGGCAGAGGCGCCACATGATCGCTTCCTTCGCTCGTAATCCTTTGTGACCGCCTTGGCTAACCAAATCACATCATGCCAGCGCTGCCAGTGCGCTGCTGGAATGAATGTGTAAGTAAGCGCAAGGTTACAATGGGGAACACGAGAGTAGTCAGCAGGCAGCACACCTCTTTTTTCTATCGACGGTCCCCCGAGCCAAAGAGCAAATTCTTCTTCTTTTCTCACCTCTCCGCCTGCTCCTGCCTACACAGCCCGGATTCAAAGTGTTCGTCTCGTCAACTGCCTTGCGGTGTCGCAGCCTTACCACCTAGTCACTCCTTCGAAGCTTATAATAATAGTCCCTCGTTACATCCCCCTGACCACAGTCAATCTTTTCTGCGACAGCACGTTTCGTTGCCATTAATACCAGACCCCGTCTAGTCATTCACTCAGAGACACAACTAGTCCATCATATCCTCCCTTGACACGGCCGCCTAATATCAGTTCGAATCTGACTATCATCTCTCCCTCATAATCATACTCTACAACAATAATCAGACACAATGCAGTTCACATTGTATGCCGCCACTTGCCTGGCTCTCGTCAGCCGCGTGTTCGCACAGACAGAGGGCTTCGATGCCATATCTGCACCAACGAAAGACCAGACCCTCGCAGCTGGGTCGAGCACGACGGTCACCTGGGACTACAACTCGAAGTACGCCGGAGCTGTGACCATCACTCTCCTTCAGGGCGCGACTCCTGAGACGCTGCAGCTTGGTAGCGCCATCGCAAGTATGTCTCCTTTTAGATATCACCACCATTCTGATGCGCATTCTGAATATGAGACTGACAAAACAACTAGCTGGCATCGATAACAGTGCTGGATCTTACACCTGGAGCATCCCCTCCAGCCTTGGGGCTGACGCGACCTATGGCTTGAAGATCAGCCTCGACTCAGATCCCGCAACTTTCCAGTACTCTTTCCCATTCCACATCGCTGCCTCCAGCGGCACGAGCTCCAGCTCCAGCTCCATCTCCATCTCCAGCTCCAGCGCCAGCGTCTCCGTCAGCAGCACCACCAGTTCTGCGTCGGTCTCGTCTACAAGCGCGTCCTCGTCTCTCTCTTCCAGCGCCTCGTCCACCGTTTCTACCACCACCTCAGCCCCAACCACTTTCCCTACCTTGACTCCCACTGCAGGCAACGGTGTGAATTCGACAACCGCGACCGTCCCAGGGACGACGTTGACCTCCAAGGTGACACCCACTGGTACGGGCTCCGGTACTTCATCGAGCTCGACTGCCGTTGCGACTGCTGGCGCCGTGAAGGTCGTTGCTGGTTCCTTCGCTGCCATGGGAGGTCTCGCTGCTGCATTGTTTGCCCTTTGAGTCATCTAGGATCTCTACCTTTTCCCTCTTCTTGCGTAACAAAACAAGCGCGGGTTCCGGTACCGGCGAACGGATAATGAATTCCACCAACTCGGTTGCATGATTTTTCGATTCTTCATCTGGGGCATGAATGTCTGGGCATAATCGGGTCTCTCGTATCAGTAGCATGCAGCATGGGCTGGACTAACTGCTGGGTTGAACCTGTGTCTTCTTATTTTGAACATAGAAAAGTATAAGTGCGTTTCAATCGAGTCACCTGGCACACCAACCTGGAATAGGGGGAAAGCCAAATCATTAAATCCATACCTCTTTCCGTAATGGGACATTCGGGTGAAACCACTGAGGCTTGACAAAGCGATCGACAATCTCATCGGCTGAAGTGAGATGGGAGCAACATTCACACAGCCTTGTGAAAATAAACTTTGGTCAGTGCAGAGCGGTTCATGCAACGCTGGCACCCTACCCTGGCATGACACCCCTCGGTCTGGCCGCTGCTGTGCGACCGTGACTGGCCAGGTAGCCCGGCCGATGGCTCTCGGCCCCGGACCGGCGGGGCCTGCAGGTTGCTGACGCTGGCCACCACCCATTCGCCGATGCAGCAGGACCCTAATTGCTTACCTGTGAGCCATCCGGTGTAACCATCCTCTTGGGCTTCCAGTGGCTTCGAACAGCCTTGATCGCCTTGTTGGGCAAATGTCGCACTCTCGGCTGTGTTGTTTGCCGCCGTCGCTTCCATCCCGTTTCTCTGCTCATCCCTTGCCTTTTTGGAGAGGAAGACATTGTCTGGCATGTTTGTCAGGTTACACGGGCGTTGCCGTCCCGCGTTGTCGGTCCAGGAGAAACCAGATGCTGGTCCGTTTTGTTTGCAGATGACGTCCTTGAGCAGCTCCGGTAGTGACCTCGCTGGTTGAGCGGGGACCCTGGTGATTCGCCCTCGCATCTTTCCTCATGGCTGCCTAGGTCGTATTGCCCAAGACAAAGTCGCACGAAGGATTCAAAAGATTCCAAACTCTTTGTACTACGTGACTAGTTGGAAGTGCATTAGTGAAGACTTAATTAATTGCACATGGAATCAACATGGCAGCTCTTTAGGACTGAGTGCGATCAATTTTGACGCTCACAGCTCATTCGATGCCTGATAACGTGCGCTTCGTATAGTCAACTAGCCTCAGATACAGAACCAGTATTAGCAAAAGCAACCTATCCAGTCAAGCGAAGACGCACACTAGAACATGGAATATGCATGTGAAACATCAAGTCATTCATCAACATTTGGTAATTGTGGTATCAGTGCTCTATATGCGCCCAGATCATCCCGAAACTGCAACATCATTCTGTACTACGTTGCCACACTTTCATTTTATATAGTGTTCCCGACCAAAACTCAAACGCTGGATATTCAGAAAAAACGCAGGTAGCCAAAAACAAAAAGCAAACATCATGATCATGTCCCACGCGGCAGGGATACCACTGCGCTAGTGACCACCGACCTGGCCCTTGGGAATGGGCCTGATCCAGGCGAGCAGAACATTGATGCCAACGTGGATGCAGCCAATGATCCAGAAGGCCTTTGCGTAGTCGGAGCCGCCGCCCATGAAGCGGAAGATGATGGCGAAGATGATGCCGCCGAGGTTACCGACGCCGCCGGTGAAGCCGCTGACGATGCCGTTGGCATGGGGGTGCACGTGTGGCACGAGGGCAAAGTTGGCGCCGTTACCGGCCTCGAGGAAGATGGCCATCAGCGCGACCAGGCCGGTGAAGGTCGGCAGGTGGTGGGAGTTGACCTGGCCGATGATGATGAGCAGCACGCCTGTGATGACGCCGCACGTGTGCATCCAGCCCTTCTTGAGCCACACGCTCTTGCCGAAGTTGTTGTACAGGATGTCGGCGATGATGCCGCCCAGGGGCCGTGTGACGAAGTTGAGGAAGCCGAACATGGCGGCCCAGTTGGAAGCCTTGGTCTGGCCCAGTTGTGGAAAGTTCTTGATGTAGTAGGACGACAACACTGAGTTTATGGCCAGCTCAGCCCCGAAGGAGCAGGCATAGCACAGCATCTGTACCCACGTCTGTGGGCTGAAGAGAACCTTCATGGCCTCGCTGAACGATGGCTTCACAATGACCTCGCCGTGGGCTGTCCGGATCAGTTCGTCCTTGGACAGCACGGCCTCGTTGTCGGCATAGTGGTTCGGGCTGCCGTTACTCTCCAGCTTGGCCTCGTCCTTATCGTCGTTGTTCACGGAGCCCTGGGTAGTAGCTGCGGCGGAGAGCGGCTTCTCGTCGATGCCGCCGGGGACGGCGACGATGGCGTCACCCATGACGCCGTGGGAGTGGAGGTTCTCCTGAACGTGTGTGTTCCTCTCGCTCCATTTGCCGACGGGGGTATCAGGGCAGAGAAGAAGCAGCGACGTGCCAGTGAACAGGAGCATGATCAAGGGGACGATAAACGTGAGTCGCCAAGCCTGGTCCATGGAATGGCCATGGGCAACGAAGGAATCGTAGACAGCAGGCATGATGAAGTATGTGATGCCACCACCGGCGTTTCCCCAGCCGCCTGTGAATGCGTTGGCAGTGCCGACAACATTCTTGTCAAAGAACCCCGTCGACCATACCTGGCACGGGACGAAAGCCCCACCCAAGATTCCGATGAAAAATCTGCTTGCGTATAGTCCATGTGCATTCTGGACCAGTGGAGCAAGACCTATTGGCAGGGCTCCGAGGAGCAAGCATCCGGCAAAAACCTTTCGGGGGCCGAACTGGTCACATAAGGGGCCAGCAATGAACCGTATTATAAGTCTGTTCGAGGGTTGTTAGATAAGTTCCCAAAGGGTATTTACCAATGTATCTTACGTAGCACAGAGCGACACAATGTTAGAGTTGGCAATTTGTTGAGGGGTCAGGTGCAGGTCGGCTTTGATCGTGTGTGTCAACTGTATGAGCATAAGTCAGCAAATGTTCAGAACAAATGAATTAATTATTCACCAATAGTCACTTACCAGAGGAGGAAATGTGTACCATGCCCAGAACGAGATCATGAATCCGAACCAGGAGAAGAAGAATACACGTCCGTAGATGTTGACGACATTGAGCATAGGCACAGTTCTGGCCTTTCTGTTGACAGGATTGATCGTGGGTGCCTTCACGAGGTCCGCGAATGTGAATGGTAGCCCCATATTGAAGAATCTCGCACACAACCGGAGAAGAATGTAGACCTGTCCAATTCAAATGTGGATAGTCTAGGTGTGCAGGAGAAAATTCAGAGAAGTTTGATAGATCTGTCGTGATGTAACACCACGATGTTTTCCGGGAGAATATGGCAGACTCAATATATCAACCTGCCAGGAATTGTCCCTAATGTCATAATCAGCAAGGGTTCTACCGCGATGGCAGCATCTCCGGAGAGCAGAGCAATACCTGCGCTAATGGGACTGTTTCCGCGGGCCCAGCCTTGTGGAGATGCACAATCCCACCCCGGAGAAGCCTAATACAGCTCGAGACAGCCAGTTACCGGAGCGCTGGATCACGCTGAGGGTCTCCTAGCCGAGCTGGGCGTCTCGATTGGTGGCTTGGGCCTGGATGTATTGAAGGTCTCTCCTGATAAGGGCCTGATGCTGGGACGAGAGATAGGTGGGTATCATGCACGATGACAAGATCGAATTAGACTTCCCGGCGCGGTGTCGAGCTCTTTGACTGTCGTTTCAATGCGCATGCGAAATTTGTTATATATTGCGGCCGCGAGATGCTTCTTGTATGCGAAGCGTCCAACGCAAAATAACATAAGAGGTGACCGCAGCCTAGATGTTCAATATGCAGACCTCAGAACGAGGTCAAAAATGCAGCCGAATCAATCAAACAACGAGGCGAAGGGATGGTGCTCGAGCTGAAGTAGACGGGGCAAGCTTAAGGGACCAGAACTAAGAAGCTGACCACCAGCATTAGCTTTGTCACACCTGGGCGGCCACGGCTGTAAGATGATATTGCAGCAAGACCACTGGCCGTTACGGTGCCAGTGAGGAGACAGAGAACTGCCGGCAGAGGACAAACCCGAGCAATGTGCTATGTGCCTCGTTGCTTGCTTTTCGTTGCTGCACTAACAGCAGACACCAGGCCCGTCTGGCTGGGAGATGGCGTGGGCGTATTGGCTTCAATCAAGCGTACCCTAGCCACGACTTGGCTTATCGAGGTGCTCGACAATGGACAGCAGCTGATTGGAAAACCAGCACGAGGTGTTCGCACGCAGGGCCATGTTGACGGAGAAAGGCAGATCAAGATACGCGGGCTGCCGCATTGGCTGAGCTGGGTCGCGATAAGGGGGTGAAAATTGGGTGCTAAAAACCGTAGATTGATACGGGCAAGGGGGGCTGAGAGATAAGAGGTCCGACGTGAATGGCCGTCCGCGCTGAGGTTCGCACTTCGTCTCAGCGTCTTGTTCCGAGGGAGACAGGGTCTGCCATGGACGCCTATCATGCAACGCTGTCAAGGCCTTAAATCTGCGATTCGGATAATCGTCCTGCTTGCTTCTTGGGAACGAACGACGGACATCTGTGGCGTTGCGTTGCGTGGTTGCGCTCAGGGAAGCTGGGCTTGTCTTATCATGGTGTCGAGGTCGCTTTGGGTGATGTCAGCCATGGCCATCTTCTCTGCTCACGCTCGAGACGTTTGGTTCGTTACCCGTCTAGCTCCCTTGATGAAGCTGAGCCATCTCAGTGAGATGGTATCTGTATTCAAACATTGTCGTTGAATTCAAGACTCGACGTTGCAGAGCCGCGTGCAAAGACGTGCCGCTGAGAGAAACCAATGTGTCACAAATTGCCAGGGGGTGATATGTAGCCTCTATCATAGCAATAAGAAGGAGAGGTTCGAAAAGGTTAAGGAGCTACATCCCACTCTGTTGAGCTTCGGCCGACCCCCCACGGGCTGCCCACGGCCCACACGAGCTTTGACGATGGTTCACCTCGGAGATGTCAATTTCATGTATGTCGACTTCAGCCTCAATCCAGGAACAGCGAGCAGCCTGTTCGACGCTGTGCCTCCCACGCTTCACATGCTACCGCATTCGCCCGGTCGATCCTGGCCACTCAATCTTCAACGTCTTGGCCGTTCTGCATCGTTCTTACTCTTCCATGTGACTATCAAAGCCCGGTGTTGAGCCAGGCCCATGTCCTCGGGTTGCGGTTGCACCGGTGTCTAGCGTCGCTGGTATACTGGTGTTGGAGACAAGGCGGACTGCTCTCATGAGGGAGGCATAATCAAAACATCAATCTTGTGTTCGATGTTGTCTCGCATGCGAGACTTCCTTCAGTTTCTTGTGAATTTCTCTTCTCTCCTGCTCTCCCTCCTCTTTCACATCCTCTCCTCGTCCGAATTCCACTGCAGAACGCTGGCAAGGCCGCGTATATGCACGGGACCAGTATCGGCCAAGTGGCTGATTCGAGGATCATGAGATGGTGACCTGCGAAGCATGAATTTGAGGATGGCATAGGCAGGCAGGTCGATCTTGCCTGTGATACCACACAGCCAACTAGACCTTTTCTCCGTCTATGGTGTCCGTGGTGGATAGAGGCTGAGCTGATCGGATTCTGAGCACCTCCTCCCACTTCGGCTACCGTCTTTCAGCCCCTCAGCCCTGCAGCCCCTTGAGGTCGCCGTCGTGGGTAGTGGCACTTGCGGATACCCACCCACAAGATCCCGCCCACACGAAAGGGCCCGGTTAGTCAGAGGCGATTATCATTGTCCTGTTCCAAGTATTGTATGGATGGCTGGCAAATACACAGACTGAGTGATCTGGCCCCCTCTGGAATGTGCCATCTCTTTCTCGCATATGTTGTCTGAGAAAGTTCTCTGCAACCCGTTCCGAAAATGGAAACATCAACTTCTTTCCTGATGCGCTACAATTGATAGTCAAATTTCAAGTGACCAGCTCCCTAACATCGAATTATCACATGAACTACCACGCTCACGTTCTCGGCCTCAAACTTTCTAATCTTGGAGGATTGCTTTGGCAGATACACTTTGAGGTATTACGTCCTCGCCACCAGGATTACTTCAGAAACAACACCTTGCAAGAATGCCAAGCCGCTCTGCCAGAATATCACAAGTGTGATGTTCATAATCTGCTCGACCGGCAGCCGGACTCGGGCAGGGACGGAGCGAGGGTGAGAGGTACCTTGGGTTGCAGGTCAAGTAGCTCCTCCACTCTCGTCAGTGAGAGTTCTTACGGTTATGAGATGCGCGGCAGCCTGCAGTGTCATGAGTCTGGCTAATTAGCATGCAAACAAATTTTGATCATCTTGTTCATTCTCCTCCAAGTTCGGTCATGGCTGTTTGTTCTGGCTAGTTGCCAAAAGATCTGTGCCAAGCCTTTTTTCCCCTTTCTCCCGTTACTTTGCCTTCCCTTGCTTCTCTGGCATTCCTCGTGAATCAGTTGAATAATCTGATGTCACTGTTTGTCATGCCAATTGCCTAGTCGGAGGATGGATGCATTGTTGCACAGCCTATGTCGTTGATGTTGGCAGGTTCGGAAGTCGGGGTGCTGTCTTCGGGACTCGGTCTGACTTCAGAAAGTGGACGGATATGGGTCCCCGAGCCGTTCCCGGCGGACGCCGGCTGAGCGGCCGAACGACTCGGCGCCCTCAATGCTCATGACAACGAACAGTCTTTCAGCAAGTGGACGAAACCGGGCAGCGTCAAGATCCTGACCAAGAAACGATGTTATGCGGTCGACGTTAAGCATCGCTGGACACCTTCATTAGTGTCAATATCGGCGCACTTTTTCAAGGGACAGCTTCAGCATCGCATAGCCATGACGAGGAGCACAGAGCCAGGAGCACAGAGCCAGGAGCGCCGAAACGTCGAAGCCGAATATGTGGGACAGGGGGTGATCTGCCCTCCGCCGCCGCCGTTCCGTTGTTCCTGTACCCGCGGCCTGTCACAGCACAGTTAATGGAGTCTGCAAGGACGCACACACGTGGAAGGACCCATATTCTAGGCTTTTCGCCCTTCTGGAGCAGTCTCAATACCCACCGCACCCTGGCTTTACAATGAGTCGAGTTCCCCGTTATCTTCCACATGTGTGGTCGGCGACCACTGTCCTAGCGGCTCCTATACGGCCAAAGACATCGGGAGTCGGTATGGGACCAAGCTAAGGCACCAATGTCACAACTGCAGGGCACGATGTCCCAGAGTCGTCGGAATGGGTTTGCTAGCTGGCTTGACCGGTCTCTGAGACAGCATATAATGCATAAAGAGGGGTATGAAAGCCTTCCTCGCCATCATTGACTCACCCAGACTCAACAGAGGTTCTCAAGACAGAATCCCACTTGTCAACTCTTTATCCTAGAATTCTTTGTTGATCGTGGTTCTTCACAAAAACATTAAATTCCTTGAGTAGGTCGGATTGACAAATCATCACGTCCACTATACGTTCCAATTCTCATCAACAGAATTTAATTACTGTCCACTCCTCGAAATGCCTAGCTCAGACACAGAAGGAACGTTACAAGGCTGTGAACAAGATATAGCTACGGAGGCAGTCTCTTCCTCGTCACCGTCACGCAGGCAAGAACAAGCATCAGCAAAAGTACCACAGCAACAGACCCTGATCTCAAGATCTAAGCGACATCTTCTTGCACCCGTGAGGTCATCAGCTTTTGCGGAGCTTGAGTTGCTCCTCTTGACGTTCTGCACCGGCATACAAGGTAAGCAATTATAATGATCCGAGTATCTTCCATTACATTGCAGCACAATCTCAAGTGGTACAACTCTGGCTAGCTTTTGACTGGAGGCATAATCGCCATTCTATTATTTGGTTCAACAGCAGTTGTCGACTAACACAAGTCCTCGTAACCGAAAAGATGCAATCTCCTTCCCCGACTACCACTGCTTCGCCTCCAACCAGACCGGCAACACCGTCTTCCTCGCCGTCTCGGTCGTCGTGCCTGAGTTCAACGGCGACATGTTCTTCACTGCCAACATCGGCGTCGCGCTCGGCCTGTTCCTGGCAGGCGGCTACCTGACCGGGCAGCTGAGCCACATCGTCGGCCCGCGGCTGCGGCTGTGGCTGGTCCTGTGCAACCTCGCACAGACGGCCATGGTCTTCGCGGCGGCGGCGATCCAGCTCCGCTTCGGCGTGCACCACACCGGCCCGCGGGACCTGGCCGTCATCGCGCTGCTCGCCTTCGCCAGCGGCAGCCAGGTCGTGCAGAGCCGCAGCCTGCGCATCACCGAGATCTCCACCGCGATGGCGACGGCCGCGTGGGTCGACCTGCTGATGGACCCGCACCTGCTGGCGGTCAAGGAGACGAACAGGCCTCGGAACAGGAGGCTGTTCTTCCTGGTCACGCTTGTCGTTGGGTCGTTGGCGGGCGCGGGAATCTACAAGGCAGCTGGCTCGCACACAGCTCTTTTTGTGAGTGCTGGCGGGAAAGCCCTGGTGACGGTGATGTATCTGTTCAATGGCACGGAGAAGGAGAAGGTCGAGACATCTGCAGCGTGAGGGATCTATGGCGACACGGGCCTCATTCTTTGTGGGCTGTTTTACAAATTGCTACCTGCTTCGCGAGCGTCTGTTTCGGTATTGATTGACGGAGGAGCTCGATTTGTTGTACCGCGCGGCGTTCCATATACCCTGGCTTTGATATGCGTGGAGTTGCAGGTATCTGATATCATCGAAATCGACTACATCTTTACATATGATCGACCTGAGTTCACGTATGAACCTGTCTCTGCTGCCTCACAGGGTCACCAATGAACGCAGACCCTTTCCATCTCTTCAGACCAGACAAGAGTTGGAAACAGTTGAGCTAGGGAGACAGCATACCAGTTGAGTTTCTTGAAAGTTGCAACACCTGATAAGAGCCTATCAGGCCTTTGAGATATAACCCTCCCTGTCTTCCCTTCGGCACTTGCTGAATGACACTCTCCCCTGCAGACTTGCCTGGCTCCATTGATTCGCCACTTGGAGCCGCAATATCCGAGCTGAACCTCAGCGCTACTATTTTCGACCTTGCCGAGATATTGAACGCGATTGATACAAGGTATTGAATTTCAACTGCCGAATGAAATTGGGGGTACAGGTATGAGAATTCCAAAAAGTCGACCGCCAAAGATGAATGCGGCGGTGAGTGTAAGTGCAAGTACTTGCGAAAGACCAGACGTACGTGATCAACTGCAAATGACGCAGACGTCGAGTCCCGTTGAATGCGTAAGACCAAGTGACCACCACCAAATGGTCGAGGTGCAGCCGACGCCCGGCGATCCATTCAATGGTGGCCAGGTCGCTCGTACCAGAACGGTTCATCAGGTTGCATCACGTTTCGCAAGAACGAACCAGCCCATGCGAGACGCAGGCCACGACAGAAAGACATTGCGCCGAACGGGACAAATCACAGGCCGCGCCGGGAAAGTGGTCACTTGACCAGCAAAAGAGAAGCCCGGTAAATTTTCCGCGGCCGCGTGGGAGAGATGATGTGAGAGCACGGCATAAGCCCTAGTCTCTGTGTCGCGTTCCCGGAGACAACACCGACGAGGGTTCGGGATGCTCCCTCGTCCACGATAATCAAGCCGTGCAGGGTACACCGCATTTCGGGCGAGATCCAACCCAGATACGTTCGGCCCTCGCGTGGGTCCGTGGCCGGTGACCTCGATATGAGGTCTAACAATTGAGCTGAGATTGGCCTCGAGATTAGGTTTGTGTCACCTGACGGGGAACAGCAGCACACGTGTTAGGGAGTTCGTCTCTGGTTGCATTCTGGCCCCCAGTTATCCAATGTTCTGGGCAGAACAGGCCGTGGAACGTGATCAAAAACGCAACCATCCAGTTTCCAACCCTGGCGGGGAGCTGCTGCGGGTGGGAACAGGATAGATCTCGGGAAGAGGCTCCGATCGGAGAAAATGAGACACGTCCAGTGATACGGGGCACGGCAGCGGTTGACGGCGGTCTGTCTCGAAAGCGAGCAGTATAATTAGTCGCGAAGTCTTGATGATTTCACCGGTGCCTGTGGGATTCTTCGCATCTGCAGGCCAGGGTCAACGTTGGTGCCAGGGACGGAAGGGGGTTGCAGGTCGAGTCAGGGGGAAGAATCGATATCGCAGGGTATCGGCAGTTGCCGCTACCGCAGATGGTGTGGAGACTATGCCCAACATCTGCGTGCGTGCTGCTGATCCATCCACTCATCTCCAGATTGAGCTGTGGAGTTGATTTCCTATTTTAGGTCTGACCCCATCCTCCCGGAAGACTGGAACTCTGTACCTTTAGACGAGCCCGCCAGAGTCCGCCAGGCGAGGCACCTGATCCACCTCGCGATGTCTGCACACCGTCTTTCCACATTGCCATCAGAAGTCCAAGTCCGTGACTCAGGGGCGCATGGCGGTGTCCCATCGTGGCACACACGCCACATCGCCACATCGCCACATTGCCTCATCAGTACAGACTTGCAGACTTGCAGACTTGCAGACTCGCAGAGGTGAGGTGCAGACGTGCAGAGGTGCAAGATATGCAGAGATGCAGAGGTGCACACTCGCAAGTGTTGCCGCGGGAGGCAGGTTTCCAAGAACCGTGCGACCCAGGACTGCAAGTGCGGAATGTACGCACTGCATTTGGAACAGCCAGTAATGTTGGATTCCAAAGTTCTCGACTTACACAGCAGCTGGCCATGCTGGCCGCTCCCACAGTACCGCGGGACGCAGGATCGGGCAGGCTCATTTGGGTCGACCTTGACGTTGCATCATGCCATTTGCTTTTGTTTGACAAGGACCCGGCCGTACGGGACCGGGGATTGCTGTCGGCCAGTCAGACCTCCCATCCTCCCCTACAAGACCCCCCAGGGCCCCGGCGAAAACTCCGCCGACTTCGTTAGCGGTCCACACTTGATGTGCAGAAATATCCGGCGCCAGGTGTGACTGCAGCGCGTCCAAAGGGCTACAGCTGGGCTGGCTCACCGTTCCCAAGCTGGACCTCCCCCCAAGGTGTGCGACCAGCTGTGTGGTAGAGTAAACAGTCTTTTGGCTGGCGCCCGACCCTTGTCTTTGTATGGCATGTACAGTCGTATCGCCCTCGGCCAAGGATGGGTCTGAAGGAGCTGGATCGACTAGCAACCCCGGGATGAACGACCAAAGTCTGGGTCGGTGGTGACACCGCATGGATTATGGATGGCGGCCGACGCTCAGTGGTGATTTTCCCCTTAAATGCTGTTGGTTCCTCGAGGACATGACATGAGTCGCTGCACATTTCGATGCCACGAGCAGACCGTGTTTTTTTTTCCTTTCTCGGGGCTCCTCTCCTGGTGATCGATTGCGTGTCTCGTCCGACGGTAAAGCCTTGACCTCCTCCAAACAAGGCCCCGCCTCGACGTGCCAGACCCTGTTCCTGCTCACCTCAATACATCCTCATCAGAGACGCCAAATCTGGAGTCGAGGCTTATGGTGCCATAGATCTCGCCTTTGTGGGGATATACCAGCAGCAAGAAAGGGGAACGAGAACAGACGGTGCGTATCCACTCACATACTCTCACACATACAAATCCACATACACATACACATAACACATATACCCTCTCTCACCAGCCCAAACTTGGCGGGCGGAAGACGTATGCTTATTACTGCCGGTATGACGTGCAGATTCCAACAGGGCGGGGAGGGTCTCCATGTGACAAGCGCACGCGCAAGACTAGAGGCGTGTAAGCAATTGAGTGAGGCTCTGCAAGCATCCTACCTGGCGTGGGCTGCATGTTCTGCATGCCGACGTCGTGTGTGCGAGAAGGTGGGTGCCCCAAGCAGGCAACCGGATGAGGCTGAAGAGACTATAACACGTAAGTTCAATCCATCTGGGGACTAGCCCAGCTAGCGCGCCCCTTTCCACCCCTCTTTGGCCGGGATGGGCGTACTTTGACGTCTGGCGAAGCTTGTCCATGTGCCCGTTGAGTCGCTGACCGCGGGCGAGAGAAGGTGTCGTCGCCGCTCCTACTGAGTCACCTAGGAGCGCGTTCCTGAGGGCTTGGATGAGGCTCTTGAACATACGCACACACACACGCATACGCACACCATCTGTGCCATTCTGACTGCACTGCACTGCACCTGTAGCACTGCCCAGCCCAGGCAGACAGGCACAGGCACAGGCACAGGCACAGGCAACGGCCTCCAAATCGTACTAAAACCCCTGTGACAGAGACAGAGGAAAAGATGATTTGATAGCCGCCTGGGAGGTATATCTTCTTCTTTACACCGCATCGTCATCGTGTTTGCCGCTGCCCGTGTTCCTGGAGGTCAGACTTCTCCGAGACTGGGATTTGTCATCTTGATCCTCCAACTCCCAGAAGACTAAGACGGGCGTGAGGAAGTGTGCGGCCGCGCAAGCTGTGACTGTTTTGCTGACGGTTCGGTTCAGTTCGGTGCAGTACTGTGCAGTGCAGTGCTGTGCTGTGCTGCGCTGCGCTGCGCTTTGCTGCTGTCCTGTCCTGCTACCGTACTGAACTGTACTGTACCGTACCGTGCTTTTCTGTGCCGTGTCGTGTTGTAAAAGACTGGGTCTCTCAGCCATCCTATCTTATTTCAACTTTACTACTCAGGGTCACGCTGGGAGGCGCGCCGTTTGACACTAGCAGCTGGGCAAATTGGCGGGACAAAGAGTCTCTGCGCAACTCAGAGCTCGATCCTTGAAGCCGGAAGGTGCGCTCGGCCTGGGTCCCAGGACAATCGCAGTTGCAGATCGCAGTCGAGCCCCGGTTACGGCTTACCTCTGATCGCCTCTCAAAACCTCACCTTCCTGCCCCTTGCTGGGACTTTCTACACATTTCCCATCTTCCAGCTCGAGGAGGCCCCAGGAAAAGGACTTGAGGAAAGGACATCGGGGTACCAACTTGGCCCTGCCTTTTCCGTCCACTCCCTCTGGTTCGTCGCGCACTGGCTCGCGCACCACCTCCGCCTCCTCGGCCAACGTCTAACAAGTCAAGTGCAGGCCACCGCTTGGCTGCTAGCTGCCTCCCCTCGATTCCATCTTGCACGTTGTGGTGCGGTGCTTGGCTCACTTACTGCTCATAGGAAGGCACCAACTCCATTCCATCTGGCTGACTGTCTTGGCCAAGGCAGAAGCTCAGTCAGAGAGAGAGAGAGAGGGAGGGAGAGCATTGCACAAAGAGTCACCAGGCGCAACCCATACCTCACCTCCAAGTCACATAAAGGGCGTCGTTCTGAGGCACCCCGGCCTCACCTGCGTCTTTCGCCCCTTCTTCCCTGGTCTCTTCGCCAAAACAATCCATTGTTCTCCTTTCAGACCGACTGTCGCATCGCTGAGCTCTCGGTCTTCCGTCCACCTCCTCTCTACGTCTATATCAACAGCTGAACGGACCTCTTGGACGAGCCGATTCAGACCTCAACAACCAACAGCCCAGATTAGGCCTTTTCGACATCACATCCTTTCAGTCCGAGAATCTGAAAGCCCCCCATCCTGAAGAGCATCGTGGTAACGGCAGAGAGACCCTGCCAACATGGCCCCTTCGCTTGAGCTACTGCTCAAGATCTCCTATTATGTGTACCCGACTCTCGTCTTCGCTTACTACATCGTCTGTTACGCATTCGCAACATGCACTCTCCAGACAACGCCCTCGAAAGAGCAGCACCCTCGCCGCCGTCTCATGACAACTCTGATGCTCTTTGCTATTCTCACTTACTTGTCACAAGCGGTGCTCATCCTTTTCTCGCCCGGTCCCGTTCGACAGGACGCCATCGTCGGTCTTCTGGCTTGTGTTTTGGTCTATGGCCTTGAGTTGGCAATCTTGCACGACACAAAGTCCCCTCTGTGGTATATTTACCTGGGCTCATACGCCGTCGCACTTATCTTCGATCCTCTGCTGGAAATATCGTCTCTATATCTCAACCCAAGCGCCTACTTGAAATCCATCTACTTTGTGGATGCCTCGCTAGTTGCCACACGACTTGTTTGCATCATCACCGCTCTCATCACCTACTTCGTTTGGAGGGAGGGAGGAAAGGCCCGGGAATTCGGAAGTGACGCAGAGCGTCAGTCTCTGATTCGAAAGAAGGCTTTAGGAGACTCACAGGACACTCTTGTCTCAGACTATGGCGCCACCGACGGCAACTCGGATGATTCTGCAAAATCGTCAGGCAAAGCCCCCGAATGCGAATGGGAACGCCGCCAGCGTCTGGCCAAGGAGCAGAGAGATAAGCGCCTCAAGGAGACAGGGTCCTGGTGGACTTATGCACTGGGCTTCAAACTTTTCATCCCTTATGTCTGGCCCGTCAACAACCGAGGCCTGCAAATGCGCGCTGCGCTTGTCGGAATTTGTCTTCTCGCCAACAATGGACTCAACGTCTTGATCCCGACCCAGCTCGGCACTGTTATGGATACCCTCACAAAGTCATACCAGGGTGACGAGGCGCCCGCAACTTATTGGGACAGCCCGTGGGTCCAAGTTCTTATTTTCGCAGGTCTGAAGTTGAGTGCGTCCGAAGCTGGTATCAGCCTGCTTCGACGGAGACTATGGATGCCTGTCGAATTCTACGCCGACCGTGCGATAACTGAGGCCGCGCATTCTCACGTCATGAACCTTGATGCCAACTTCCACGACACACAAAGTCTATCAGACGTGCTGGTGGCCATTCAGAACGGCCAAAGCATAAGCAATATGCTGGAGACTATCTGCTTCGAAGCCCTGCCGAACCTCATTGACTTGGTCGTTGCTTTCATCTATCTTACCTTCAAATTCGGCCCGTACGAGGGACTCATCACAATCAGCACTTCCATAGTCTTCCTGTACATTTCGACTACTGTCATAGCGCGCCTTCGCTCCGCCCGCGAGACCGAGATCTCGGCTTATTTCGAGGAACATTATGTTCTGCAGTCGGGGATATCTGGATGGACCACTGTCAGCTCGTTCAACCAAGTTCAATACGAGGAGAATCGGTATTCCTCAGCAGTTCAGGACAGGATCGCCAAGCAGAAGGTTGTTTGGGTTGGCTACTACGCTGCTCACGCCTTCCAATACCTCGTCCTGCTCGCTGGTCTGCTTGCAGGTCTATTCCTGGCCGTTTACCAAGTCTCCCACAAGATCACTACTGCTGGGGACTTTTTGACACTCCTGACCTATTGGTCTCAATTGATGGCCCCTCTCAACTTCTTCGCTGGCCTGGGCCGCAACATTTCTCGTGATCTGCTTCAGGCCGAGCGACTGCTCGATATAATGCAAACGAAGTCGAGCGTCGTCAATAAACCAAACGCGCCCCCCTTCCAATTTAACGCAGGCGCTGTCGACTTCAAAGGTGTCAAATTCTCTTACGACAACAAGAAGCAGGTGCTGAAGAATGTCAACTTCTCCGTGGACCCGGGACAGACCATCGCCTTCGTGGGACAGACAGGCGCCGGCAAGAGCACCATTCTAAAATTACTGGACCGCTTCTACGACGTGACCGAAGGCGCCATCGAAATCGATGGCCAGGACGTTCGTGAGGTTGACCTACACAGTCTTCGAGCCAACATCGGGGTGGTCCCACAGAATCCCAGTCTGTTCAATGACACAGTCATGAACAATATCCGGTACGCGAGGCTCGAAGCAACCGACGAGGAGGTTTTCGAGGCATGTCGAGCCGCAGCTATCCATGATCAAATCCTTGGTTTCGCGGAAGGTTACAGCACGCGTGTTGGAGAACGCGGCATGAAGCTGTCTGGCGGAGAACTCCAGAGAGTGGCAATCGCCCGGGCGATTCTCAAACAGCCAAAGATAGTCTTGCTGGATGAGGCAACGAGCGCGATCGATACTGAGACAGAGTTCCAGATTCAACAGGCTCTACGCCGTCTTTGCAAGGGCCGCACCACATTCATTGTGGCTCACAGGTTGTCCACTATTGTCAACGCCGATCGGATTGTCGTGGTTATGGGCGGCGAGATCTTGGAGCAAGGCAATCACGAGACACTCATATCAGCCGGAGGCAAGTATGCCGAGCTGTGGTCCAAGCAGGTGAGATCATCTACCTTCTCAGTAACGAAAAGCCGGTGATGCTAACTTTGCGCCAATAGATCTTTGTCAAGCCCAAGGAACAAAATACGGTTGAGGAGGTTGATATGAGTGATGAGGATAGGCTGAAGACCCCTCAGGCAACAACCAAGTCGAATGCAAACGGTGACGCTGCAAACGGTGACGCGGCAAAGGGCGAGGGATCTACCGAAGATGGCGTGAAGCAATCTACGGAGGCCAAGACGCCGTCGGGACACAAGAAAGAGGTATAGACTCCGCTAAAGAATCATTACTATATGCATTCTTTGGCAGTTTCTAATAACCTCTTTCTTGTAGGGATCAAAGCTAAATCCGGGCGCCCCCGAGTTCACGCCACGCTCTATGGCTGCTGGACCATCGGAAGTTCACAGCCCAGTGTCCAGGGCTCATATGGGCGGCCTCTCACCAGTGCGAATTACGGCACCAAAGGCGATCACTCCGACCAAGGACCGTACCGTCGACGATCCCATGTGTTCCCTGTCCCCAGCGCCCATAGAGATGACATCGGCCACGCCAGTCAAGATTCTGGCTGAGGGTGGCCCTATTGTCTCACTACCCGGTCTAACCCGCCGCTCCTGGACGCAGAGCACTTCCGAGGGAAGTGTCGACAACGATTTCACGCCGGCCAAAGACGCGACGAAGCCAGCAGCTAAGCCAGCAGCTGAACAGAAACAGCAAACCCGAAAGGTCAGCTATAAGATACCCCGATATACTGGTGGTCGTCGGAACCAGTCCCGAAGCGAACCATTCGACAGCAATACCAAGCCTTGATCTTCTATTATCGATCGGGCTGTCATGAAGACACGAGAACACAGTATATATCGACGAGACCAATCCGAAAGAAGACATGAAGTAAAGTATGGATATCGTTGGAACATAAGCAACCGTAGCAACAGAGGCGGAGTGAGTGACAGGATGCATTGTTATGCTTACCTGTAATGGTTCTCTATTATTTAGACTTCGCTGTTGGGACATAATAAGGTCCATTGACGACGACTTAGGATGTCTTATCACAGCAACAACTCCATCACTTATTTACCTTAGCAGCTTTTGTCCCATCCGTGACTGTTCCTCTGCGAATTCCAAATGTAGGGCAATCGTATGAGCTCATTGAATTTGCTCCCTGAAAACGCTGTGTGATGTTGTCGAGCCGGAGTTCTAGACTCTGGGTAGATGTGTTCGCTGTCAAAAAGGGCTGGCATAGTGGTTGTAGGTTGCCTTTCAATCCATCATATTTTGTCATTTCCGTAGCCAAGCACTCAGTCGGCCCAAAATGACGCAAGAGCAACGAAGGAATGGTCTAGCTCAGCCAAAGTCAGCATTGCAACCTTCCCACCATAAGGACCAACAATTAGCATGACACCCTGTCTGAGCTCACCAGCATACATCCAAACATACGTGTCGAAAGCAATCCATCTTTGTCATCTACCGTCATAAGCATCCCCTTACTACGTACCTAGCGGTCGGGTATCCGCTCTACCGTCTCCGGTCCCACCAGGCCCCGCCGCCCACGATGTCCTCGGCACACGCCCTGGCGCCAGCAGCCGCGGACGGCTTCAAGGACGCCTCGGCGTACGACGAGCACCGGCCCTCATACCCCGCGGCGGCAGTGCAGAAGCTGCTCGAGCACATGCGGCTGGCGGACAGGCCGCACGCCAGGGTCGTGGAGATCGCGGCCGGCACGGGCAAGTTCACGGAGGCGCTCGCGGCCAGGCACGAGGGCTTCGAGGTGCGGGCCGTCGAGCCGCACCCTGATATGCGCAGGGAGCTAGAGCGCAAGGCGCTGCGCGGGGTCGCTGTTGGGGACGGCGCAGCTGAGGATATGAGGGCTGTGGTGGAGGACGGGTGGGGGGACGGGTGTGTTGCTGCTCAGGCTTTTCACTGGTGAGTGTGTCAAGGATTTCTTTTGGAAGGGAGGCTCATGGTTTCTGATCTGCTGTGATAGGTTTGCTACGGATGTGGCGCTTGACGAGATACACCGGGTGCTCAAGGAAGGGGCGGTGCTTGGGATGATTTGGAACATTGATGATTGTAAGACTGTCCGATCCGAAATCCGACGATGGGACCAAAATCTCCTCTGAACCGTGGCACTGAAAACCTCCCCCCCACAGACAACAAACCCCAGTCCTGGACGGCATCGACGGCGTGGGCCCAGCACCTCAACGACTGGGTGCACAGCCTGGCGACGAACGACGCCAACCCGCGCTTCCGCGAAATGGAGTGGCAGGACGTCTTCTCGGCGCAAATCAAGTCGAACCCGGTGCAGGTCCTCCGCGACACGCTGACCAACAACCTGCCGCGCTTCTCGGTGCCCATCGGGCAGGACACGGTCGAGTGGACGCACTGGCTGGGCGAGGACGCGCTCTGGCGGCGGATCAACACGCTCAGCCACGTCGCGATGCTGAAAGGGAAGGACAGGGAGGCGGGGGAGAGGGTGTTCCGGGAGGCGATGGCCATGCCAGATGTTGTGAGGAACGAGAAGGGCGAGGTGGAGTGTCATGGGCAGACGTATTTTGCTTGGACGGATAGGATGTAGATCTTCTGGTGCGCGGTGTTGAAAATGGCGAGGAAAGGAAAATGGCGGGAGATGAGTCGCTACAAGACGAGCAGCCCTCACGACATGGCCGGACTCCTCCTGGAGATTCCGCTACAGCAACGGCTGCCTAGGGTATAGAGACCAGTGGTCGCAAGAAGGATGAACGAGCTGCAAAGGTTAGACATGCCAGGAACGCTTGACGCGAGGCTTTTGGATGCCTGAACAATAATCGTAAAAGGCCAGGAACGGCACAAGCAGGCCTTTGTCAGAAGACCTTGGTATTGATATCATTGAGGCCTGATCACCTCGGGACTGTTCTAAAGTGTTGCGCTCGCCTTCAGACCTTCTTCGAAGGAAACATTTAGTCCAGGAATGGTTTCCGGAGCCACCGCCGACACTGAGTTTCCATTCGTGGCCTCGACCAGCACGGCCCGCTGTTCAGATATCATCCACGACATCGCGTCCGGGCATGGGGCTCCTTAGAGCAACCCGTCATCTTATCCCCGATGCCTTTAGCCCATCCAAAAGGTCGTCGAGCGACAGCCAATCCGTGACAAGTCCATCCTATCATTCGTGCATTCTGCGCTACGAGTCGGCAGAGATGTACATAACTAGGCAGTACTGTAATGAGCCGATGGTTGTTCTCAGGGTGGGCAGGGTCCTGCTTGACTTACCGTTGTTGCCTCTCACAAAAGCGTCCCCGTAGGATCGCCTCTTCTGGCCGTTGACGTACTCCTCAGTCTTCTCGAGCGCGATGTTCATGTAACCATCAACAGACTGAAGCTCGCCTACCTAGGCGGTCAGCATCTGCACATGTGAGATCGGACAATGAAGAGTGGACCGTGGCGGCGATGAGAACGAGCATAGGGCCGAAGGTAGGGACATAAGAGAGGGGCCAAGCAGCAGCTCCAACTCACCCTTGTACACGACGCCAGAGTTGAGCTTCACCGTCACCGCGTTGCCGATGATCTGGCTGAGGAAGCCTGATGGGTCCTTGCCCTCGTTTTGTGGCGCTCCGTTCTCCATGCTGGCCGCGTTTCCTTCACTTCGAGTTCTGAAGGGTTGCTGCTGAGAGAGAGAGGGTATTGAAGAGAGCCAATGTCGGTGTTTTGATCCGCAGCCTGCTGGTGAGAATGAGTGCCAGGTACTCGGGGTGCCCCACATATCTTCTGCCGCACGGACTGTCTAAATGCATATCTACGGTATTGCATTCCCTAAAGTCAGAAGATATGCATTTCCTGATGACATTCATGTGACATCCTTCTCACTTCTCAATTCATTTCATCATGCCAGAAAAGCTCAAAACTCGTGGCGATGTAAATTTCTTGTGTTTTGTGTGCTGTTTACCAGTATCCATTAGTTCCCCTCATTTCAAGGAGTCGATCTTTCTGCAATCCTACCAACGGCATCACCACCAAGACCATCAGGAATTCTCCTGATAGCTGAGCTGCAGCCATGTCTTAGCCTGCTTCCCCTACTAGCACCATTTTGATTGTTGAAAAGTGATTCATAGGCCACAATATTTCCTTTAAAAAATGCATGAGCGACTCCCCTCCGTCTTTTCCACTTCGTTGCCGTAAGTTTGACTGTGCAGAGCCCTTCCCTCTCTTCCGTGTTGGGCAAATCAAAGCTGGGCCGTTGTAGAACTCTGTCTCTTCTTCAAAACCTTGGGCTCAGTCTCCTCTTGGCATCTCCTCTTTCTCTGGGTCACCTTTGGGTCTGCCACACGAAGTGCGAAAGCCTTCACAACCTCGGCCTTGAAGCCAGGGTCGAGATGATCGAAGCACGTGGCCACGACCTGGCCTGGGCATTTCGCACAAGCAGTGACGAAATCCTGCGCGAACGGGATCGACTCGTTGACACACATGGTATAACCCCTCTGCAGCTTCGAAAGTAACTGGCGCATATGGGCCTCGGGGAACTTGACGTACACCGTTTCCCACTGTTCAGCAGTAAACTCTCCAAAGTACTGCGTCATCAAAGCCTCCTCCACGCACAGGCGCAAATTGGAGTTGCGAAAGCGCAAGCAAAGCTGCCAGAGTCTCAAGAGGAGATCGATGTAGCCGGGGAAGGTTCGTGCGGAGGACAAATGGCGGCCTCGGATCCTGAACTTTGGTGCGAAGGCTGATTCGAAGAGCAGGTTGACGTAGATGTTGAAGAGCTCAACATCGAGGTCGTCAAGGACGAGGAAAAACTTCTTTGGCTCGCCTTGGTTCAACTCTTCTGCGAAGAAGACCGAGGTAGCAATCAGTAGAGCTCGAGGGACTTTGAAGAACTTCTGCTCAGCTCGGATAGTGACGGTGTCGGTAAAGTCGCTGTACGAGCGTGAATACTCTTCCCCGGCGGACTATAAGTCTGGAGCACTCTTACCTGGCAATTCGAGCCATTCCGTCAGCCTGCTGTTTTATTTCTTCCTGCTTTGTAGCGGACGGATCATCTTTGTTGGCCATTGCGCTGGGCTTGCGAGCATCGGATTCCAGGGGATTGACGGTGCCCTCCTTGTCGTCCATTGCCGATCAAGGGCGTGTTGGAGGATTTTGAGAGTGCTAAAGGCAAGGTCGTGAGAGCTTTGGAGGGCTATTGAAGGATGTCGAACCAAGATGTGATGTTTTGAAAAGATTTGGTTCGGAAACGAGAAGAGAGATGCCGTCTCTAAAATCCAAGCTGCCCCTCGTTTCCACTACAGTCGGCAGGCAGGCCATGGGTGCTCGGCTGGTCTGCGTGAGCTACCCGTTTGTGGGGATATTGTGGCGGGGCAGAGAATTGGACGGAAACTAGAGGTCATACTATGCGATGGAAGTCTTAAGGAAGCTTCAGGGTGAACTTTTGTATTGTTTTCCTGGGGCGCGGTCTTCCGCAGGTCGTCATCGGTGAAGTCTCCGGTGGGGGGATCGTGACGACTCAAGCGCAATGCTATGAAAGGAAGCCATAATAGATGAATAGCACAAAGCTTTGGGCAAAAACAAAGAAGCACACAAAACTTGTTACCATTCCCGTGTCTGGTAATCGCACGCGTTCAGGGCTTTAAGTGGAATGGTCCTCATGTGAAGTATCCGCCAGGAGGCTGGCTATAAGGAGGCGACAGTGGTGATGTTGATCTAGCTTGGGAACAATACTCCAGAGAAACATCGAAGCACACTCAGTTCTTGCATCAAAATAAGGTGATGATCATGATTTGAAAATTTGTTGTCTGTCGTTCACAAGCAATGACAAAAGTACTTGGCACAGCATGTCCGCAGAAACCATTGTCGGTATGCATAGCATGACCAGTGCGCCCCTTCTGGACCTCATGTGAAGATTTACGAAACCTTTCACCTTGAAAACTTCCTGAATGTCTCAATGGTCCCTTACTTTGCTCTTGATGAGAATCGGTATGATATGATACACGTCTGTTTGGAACTTCGTCCATACTTTTGTCGCAGAAAACATTCGGTAAGATGATTTGGCCTAGGCTGATGATAATCCAAGACAGTTCAGTGGTCCTTCCCACGTTGCATTGGCAGGGGTCCAAGGGGATCGCCCCCACTCGCTGCATGACCCCTGCGACACATCCACGAGGTCAGGCCAGGGCCCCTGGTTGGTGGCGCCGCTGCTCGAATGTAAAGGGGACATCTGTCGACCTTATTGACTTCTTTCTCATCGGCGGAGCATATGTAAATCACAATTCAGCATGCAAGTGACAGCATATTTTGAGCCTTGACCCCGATTCCAGTACAGATTCAGGCTGCATTGCTTGCGCCAAGTCACCAGGTACTTACTGGATCAGAGGCTTGGCTCGGAGGAACAGGGGGATTCTGAGTTCACCTCTGACACTCTTACTCCCACTCAGCCGCACGGCCATACCAGTGTTCGTTGAAAAGATGAGAGTGGCAGCTGTTGGAGCTACTTGATCAGAGCGTAACGTTGGTTCCGAATACCCAGCCGCCGTCCAAAATGGGCGACTACAAGCAGGTCCGCTCATCTTCGCCTTCAAACCACCATCGCGACAGCGACGAACTTGAGCTACAGGAACATGATATCCCGGCAAAGACGCCGAATCCAGGCGACGAGCAGCATGAACGCCTTTTGTCGGATGACGACGAGGAGAAGCTGAAGGATGATCACGATGAGGACGACGACGAATCTGCTAGGAAGCGACGGAGAAGATGGTGGCGTCTAGGGCTGTATGGTCTCACCGGACTCCTTGTCCTGACAGCTATGGCCGTAGCGCTGAACTATTTCTACCTTGAAGAAGTGGAGGACGAGCCAGCCAGCACATTTCGTCGTCCGTCGTCCGACTATGTTATCGATCCGGACTGGGACTACGACGCGCCTCCCACGGTGCGCGAGTATCACTGGGTCATTTCCGACATCACAGCCAATCCAGATGGAGTCTTCCGGCCGATGATGGTGATAAACGGACAGTTCCCTGGCCCCATGATCGTGTGCAACGAAGGTGACACCGTCGTCGTCAATGTGGTGAATGAGGCAAGGAATTCCACCGCCATACACTGGCATGGTCTCTTCCAGAACGGCACGAATTGGAACGACGGGACTGTGGGTGTCACGCAATGCCCCATCGCATCGGGCCGCTCATATCGCTATGAGTTCGTAGTGAAGGGTCAAGCTGGTTCATGTAAGTTGATGGAAATTCATTTATTTGCTCTCTGTACTGATTTCTAAATTGTATAGTCTTCTATCATGGGCATCAAGCGGCCCAAAATTTAGATGGCCTAGCTGGCCCGTTGATTATCCTTTCTCAGGAGGAAAGAGATACTCAACCGATTGCATATGATTCGGACCGTGTAATAATGGTGCAGGACTGGTACCATGATCTATCAGATGGCCTACTGAGGAAGACACTCTCTCCTGGGAGCGAGGCGTCGCCAACCCCGAACGGAGCCTTGATCAACGGGGCGAACAAGGTGGACTGCTCCTTGCACAAGAATCGTCGATGTGATGCATCGTCGGCACTAATACCAACGATTGACCTCGCGCCGCACAAACAACACCGACTTCGGGTGATCAACGTCGGCGGTTTCGCCTGGTTTGAAGTCAGTGTTGACAAACATACGAACCTTCCTGTGACAGAAGTCGACGGAGCAACCGTCGAGCCGCTGTCCGACTCAACCTTACTCGTCGGGCCTGGTCAACGGTACAGCCTCGTGCTCTCCACCAACCAAACCGATCCTTCTAATCTGTACTGGTTCCGAGCACGCATGATCAACCACTGCTTTGCCGAGAATGTCCTCCCTGATGATGGCGTAGCTACGGCGCAGGCAGTTCTCAGGTACAACTCAACAGGGCCCGCGACCAAATCCAAAGGCCAGGCTGTTCTCCCCCACACCGAAAACGACAGCGGGAAATTTACAGTGATATGCAAGGACAAGGCCCCAGACACCTACAAACCTGTACCTGCGCGGCCGGCACCGGAGTTTGCGCACCACTCGTGGTATTTACGAGTGAACCTGGAAATCGGTGACTGGCGCTTAGAGAGAGGCTTCGTGAATAAGAGCACGTTCCGGCCGCAGCTGCAGTCTCCAACACTCCACCGACTGGTGGAGGGTCTGAATAACGCCAATAATACATTCGACGTGGAAGGCGTGAACGATAAGGCTTTTGATACTAAGAACGAGCTGGTCGTCAGCTCGGGAGGAGTCGAAGTGGTGGACTTGGTACTCCAGAATTTCGACGAGGGCAACCACCCCTTCCATTTACATGGTGCGCAGATGTTTATCCTGGCGGCAGGGCACGGCTATTTCCCAGGATACCAGGCACTAGGCCTCCAGGAGGAGGGAAAGGGTCTTCTGGACCCTAACAATAACACCATCATCGCGAACCCTGTCCGGCGAGACGTCACGACCATCGAGGCCTTTGGATGGACGTTGGTCCGTTTCATCGCTGATAACCCTGGCGTGTGGCTCTTTCACTGCCATATGATCTGGCACGCAGAGGCGGGCATGGCGATGCAATTTGCATCTAGGCTTGATCTGATGAGGAACTGGACAATTCCGGCGGAGAACACACAGTTGTGCGAGGCACCTATAGAAGAGCTTGAGAAGGGCTCAACGCCAAAGGATAGTATATGGTATGGACACTTCGAGGATGATTCCTGAATTTTACGGGCACATGCATGGCAAGGAGTTACTTTTTTATATATATCTATTGAGTGTATATACGCATAGATGAAGAACAGTACATCTCAAAGTCAGCCTTCAGAGAGAAGACAGGCGATTCAATGGGGACAAGAGCAACCTCGCTTCTCAGGTGGGGTTTCGCTCAGTTGTCATCGACATTTAGCTGACACTCGCGTAGGAGATTTGCTCGCGTGACGGCGCAAGAGTCGTGACACTAGATACTATTCCGTCCGAAGAGTTGCAATTGTGCTGTCAGTTGACGTTCTCTTGGTACGGTGAGCAGTCCTAGACAAAGTGATTCACTCTGTACCTGTACGCAGTGAATAGAATATGTCAAATTTCCAGCCCGGTGAATAGCCGTCGTCGTCGTCACTATTTCAATAAACACAACCCTACGCCCCCAGATATCTGACCTGCACTCAGTGGTATCAGAGACATATATATATTTCCCCTTTGACACGCAAACTCATTCTTGAGCAGAGTGCAAACCCAGAGCCCGAATCACTTTTAGCTTCCAGTAGGTACCAGCAATTTTCAAGCTCCCTCAGAATTCTAGACTGATGTAAGGTCATGAAGCGCAGCAAGCTCTCAGGAAGATTGTCTTCGTTGAGAGCACCCAAGAAGCTACACAGAGAGACACCCAAGCCCCAGCCACGATGTGCCACGAAACAATAACCCACTTCACCCGCTGCTCCCACAGCACCTCCACCATAAACACCTGCGAGCGCAGAAATCAGTACGGGCCAACCATCTACCACCCCTCCATGCGCCACGTCCGGCCCTGCCAGACCAACAGCCATGAGGGTCTGTTCGTCCAGCGCGACGCGCTGTGCGAGGGGTGCAGCAGGGTCAACTCTTGGATTGCTGGCGGCGGCGGCGATAAGTCCAACGGCACGCAGGGGGCTACGGCCTCGAGGAGGAAAGCAAGGCATTCATCAGTGCAGATGGCGAGGAGCTCTCAGTGCTACCCTCACGTCACACAGGGCAAACCGTCACCGAATATAGCTGAGTCGGCGTCCCCGGTGCCCATGACGGTACAGAGTGAGGGCCTGTGTGCGTTGCCCGAGGCGTTTGAGCGCGTCGTGATTGGCGATGATGAGAGAGAAATGACAGGGTCAGGAGGGGTTTTCTGGGCTGACGAGGGAATTGTCATTCATGGGAAGGCCCAGGAACAAAAACTGAGGTACGAGCCGTCCAGGCCTTCTCGGTTCTCCTCCAACAGGGGTGATGGAGGCGTGGAGCACCGCCTGAGTGGCTTGTTTTCTTTGTTGGGTGATCGTGGCGGAGGTATGAGGAAGCATCGTGCGGCAGTGAAGAAACGTGTACGGTTTACACCGAATATCGAGGTTGTCTACTTCAAGAAGAACTGGCCTACCTGGAAGGTGAGCAGGGAGTACAAGGAACACCTCTAGGTGATACTGACGCCCGTCTCTGCGTCTGAGGTCAAATTTCATATTTCGCGCTGTATTCCAGCCTTCGCTTGCCGTTGAGTGATTGAGAACTTAGAACGATGTTTTTCAAAGTATTGATTCTCTTCATTGTCATGCCCTTTCTCCATGGTCGGGGCCTTTTAAATATACATCTAGATGTATTTGGTGGCTCAGCTCGTAAGTCACCAACTTAAATATGAACTTCGCTCTCTCTCTCTGTTTCAACCACTGTAGTCATGCAATCAAGAAGTAGTCCATCACCCATAAAATAAGAAATCAACGAGACCAGCTCTGCTGGCCAGGTCTGGACTCGTCATCTGCGCCTCTAGTCCCAAACTGTCTGTGAGAAAAGAACGTGGGCAACCGCCCACACAACCACATCGGAGGTGAGAAAACCATCCAGCGACGGAAAAATAAGTCCTGAATGACGTGAACGGGGATAGAGAATTAGAGAAATTCCACGCCGAAAAGTGGACAAAATGCCTGGTAATTTTCCAAGGCCGCCTACTGCTCCGTGGCACGGGGATATATGATATGCAAATGCCAAAATATCCAAACTCCCGCGAAAAGGACATAACAGAAAATGTCGATCATTGAAGTGCTGCATCGAGCCAAGAACGCCTTCGACTTTACGAGCTTGCCATTCTAACGTTTTGGCTGATATGGCTTGTAGCCTGGATACGCGGCGGGCTCCTCCTGCTGGCCGCCGCCACCGCCTCCTCCTCCTCCTCCATTATAGGAAGTGTCGAATGTGTTTGCTCTGGCTGGTGGTCTGCTGAAGCCGGATTGGAAATCGAAGCCCCCGTTGTTCATCGGGCCAGGTGAGCTGGGCGCGGGGCCGGCGTCAGCCGTGTATTGTCTCCGCGGTCCTGGTCCTGGTCCTGGGCGACCGCCCGGCCCGCCGCCACCTGCTAGAGGTCGAGGTGATGACGAAGAGTACTGTCGCTGGGGGTTGGGAGCAGAGTCTGCTGAGAACTGTCGGAATGGCTGCCCACGTGGCGGCATGGGTCTTCGCCCTGGGCCTGGAGCTGAGTCCGCGGAGAATTGCCGTTGGGGCCCCCCGGGCCCGGGGGAAAAGTTGCGTTGAGGCCCGGGGGAGAAATTGCGTTGGGGCCCAGGGGAGAAGGTGCGTTGAGGAGCAGGAGAGAAGGTGCGTTGAGGAGGAGCAGGGGAGAACGTCTGCTGAACCGGAGCTGGTGAGTAGGTTCTCGGGGGCGCATCGAACTGACCGCCGCCGAACCCGTAGTCCTGCTGTGGCGGCGGGGCCGGTGAGCCACGTGGAGCGGGAGATGCGCGAGGGCCAGCTCCTCCTACGGCGCCGACAGCCCCTCTGGGTGGTCCTCGCCTTTCAGGCTGCGCACCGGCCACCCCGTACTGGTCCGTGGCTGGTTGAACAGGACCGTTCCCTTGCATACCGTATTCGCTGTATGCGCCATGTTCATCGTATCCAGGTGTCTGTACTGGGGATTGATTATATCCATATTCTGTGGGCGATGGCCCTGGCATTTGTCCATAATCTTGCCCACCAGTGATACCCCAGCTTTGCCCCGTGTGATATGAGGCCTGCGACTGATCATACCCATTGTGCATCTGGTTGTACGGTGGGGCCGGCGTTCCATATGCACTTGCTCCCGAGCCAGCACCCATGTAGCCACTGGCAGCGGCTTGGGCTCCTTGTGGTCCGTAAGGACTTCTGGCGTTCTGCCCAACAGGAGTGGTGGCGCCAGGTGTGGCTGCTGGCGACATTCCGTTCATAAGGGGTTGGTTCGCGCCGTTGCTCTCGGGCTTCCTTAGATTTCGCAACTCGACAGAGTCCGCCTCGGCCTCTAACCTCTTGCTTTCCGAGTCTCCCCAGGTCGGCATCGCTGGCAACGAGTCCTCTCCTTCCTCCTTCTTGGACACGTCGAAAGTCGCATACTGCGGCGGATCGGCAGCCTTCGGTCGCGATGTTGGTATGGCTCCCGCTGTCATGGCGGGTTCTGATCGATATCCTGAATGATCGGCGGCAGGAACGTAAGGGTCGTCGAGGTACTTCCGCCTGTGTTTCTTCGGAGTATCGCAACAACCGCAGCAGTTTCCACAGCACTTCAGGCAGTAACAGCACTCGCAACAGCAGGAGAGGCCGCAGCAGAGACATCTCGCAATACACCAAATGATGGAGAACACAAACAAACCCACCACTATGATTATTGCAATCACTGGCCATCTGGAGAGGAGTCAGCACACCAAGCACATCCACGGAAGGAGGACTTTCCACCTACTTGCAATACGTTGCCTGCATGCAATTATCCCAGCTGGAAAATGCCAGTTTGATATCTGATATTTGTCCCTGGGCCTCTGAGACCACGCCTCTCTTCTCGATTCCTGCCTGCAAGCTGCGCGCGATAATCTCCACCACTCCTCCCCTTACACTCCTCGCCATCGCGACGTCTATTGAAGGCATTTTCGCGTCGACACAGCAAACAAAGTGCTGAAAAGTTGCCCAAACTCGCGGATTCGAGAGACGTAGCACCTCGGGCGTGCGGCTTTATTGCGTCTCGTGAGAAATGCCGATTTTGCTGCTCCTTTCTCAAAACTCCATGGTTGGGTCTCTCCCACGTGGTCGGCAGCTTCAGTCGTCTGATGTTTCTACTCGCAACAAAATCTCCGAGACAGCCCCCAAATGCAGTCAAATGCGGTCGGTTCAATGAACGGTCGGACGATCAGCGGCTGGGTCGATCAGGGTCGGTTCTCTGTGACCAATGAGAATGTTGGGCGCGGCAGGAAGTCCCTGGCCTCTTGGGCGGCGTGAAGCAAACAGCGAGTGTCGTGTGGTGTTCTCAATCGAGCAGTAAAGACAGAAAAGTAGTCAAACAGGAAGAAAAAAGACAGACAGGCAGGCAGACCAACGAACAGAGCCAAGGCCGAAAGAGTGACTGTCGTGGAAGGAGGCAGTGCCGTTCAGGAAATGAGACGTCCAGTCTCTGCTGAGAATCGTGGGGGAGGCTGCACGCAAATAGGTGGGCGTGCGTGTCTGAGGAGAGCTGGGCGAAACCCCGGGATCCCTAGCGCAGATCTTGGTGTTGAGGTGCGCGCAAGCGGTCACAGAAGCCGCTGGGTCAAGCCACTCGAATGATGAATCGGAGCCCAGCCTTTTGGGGTGTCTCGCGAAGATGGCTCAGCCCCTCCTCGGCAGTGAAAATAATCCTTGACTCGCCCGCTGCGATTGCCCAGCTGGCCGCGTCGGATGTGATACAGAGAGCAAGCAATGATGCACGGGGGCTTAGATCTCTTCTTTCGATCTTTGAAGTCGTTTGTCGCAGTTGCAGTCGCAGACGAAGTCGAGCTCAGGGGAGCGCTGTCAAGTATATTGAAGGGTTGGAGAGGACTCCGAGGATCGACGTGAAAGATGGTCGTGATCAACGGCCAGCCCCTTTACGGCATGAAGATAGCCAGTCCCAAGCCTGGATGCACAAGCACAAACACAAGCACAACGACAAACACTGCTGAGCTTTGCGATAAAGTTAATAAACGACAGACTACTGGCAGTCAACCCCTCGCGACAAGGCAGGGGAAAAAAATAGAGCGGACGGGTGCAGCCCTGAATCAACCGGGCCTTTGCTCCAGGGAGATTGAGTGAGTGTAGCGAGCGGTGCGACAGGAAGAGAGGGGCGAGGGAGGATCCTAAGAGGCCTGCTGTTACAAAGAAAGACGGCAAAATGCCGAGTCCATACTTCAACGAGCTGATGGGGGCGCCAGATCCCAACCAACGACGACAGGGGCACTGCGGCAGCGGCACCAATCCATGGGCATTGGAGATAGATCCCCTGCAGGGCAGGTAAAATTGCGATGGAGCGCTTCCCGCGACGCTGACATCCGGAGATGAGCATCGACATGCGCGCCCAGCCAAAAAGACATCTGACAAAACTCGGTTGCTGGGCGTCTGAAGTCATTGCTTCCCGCCCGTCATTCGTTTCCCGTAAAAACCTACGTCAATACGGCCTGCTTAGCGCGAGCTTTGCCTCGTTGAACCTCAGGTTTTACGTATTCAGTCCTTGCCTTGTTGCCGGCAGCCGAGTCTTGACAGCAGATCCAGCTGAGCTGAGAAAAAGGCACCTGAGACACACCCGTCTCCTGTGACAGACAGGGGCACAATGATTTGACAACGAGTTATTTAATAGGTAGCCAGCCGGGGCAACAACTCTAAATTGCATGCTTAGGTCCAGCGGCCTATGGGCCAAGGATGCACCGGTGATGCCTTGCCCTCTTGACTGCCGCAGGTTGACGACAATGACGAGCCACCGAATGGTGTCCATTTCCAGGGTACAGGGGTAGACAGCGCAACATCCCATCTCAAACTAGCAATCTAAGCCTGCACAGTAGTCCCGGAGTCGAGAACGCAAATTGGCGGATTTGTTTGTTGATGGCGCCGAATACCTTCTATTCTACCTTAGCACCGTCTTATTAACCAGTGATGCCGCGATGGTGCAGATAGCCTTGCGCAACGCACTCATCACCTAACTTGGCCGCCCCTGGTCCCTGTTTCAAAATGACCGCCATACATTGCGCGTCCCCGGAGAGCCTAGACGATTTCGAGGGCCCTGGTGGTACCTGACGGGTGTCGGCTTCAGTATTCCCAGACTCGGCCTGGCCCCAGCGTCCGGTCGCACGTGCCGAGAACAGATGGACGAGAAGACGTCTCTCAACCCAAGAATTTCATACCGCCCTTGGTCTTTGTCCCAGACTTGACGATGCCTCCGGCCTGGGGCCCAAGGTGCGGCGAGTAGCCGTCGTCACCATTGCCTGCGCCGCTGCCAGACTTGTTGCCTCCCTTCTTGTAGTTCTTGCCTTTGCGCTTGTCATTCTTGACAGCTGCAGGCCTGATCTCCGTCGTGCTCTTGCGCACCACGACCGGGTGGCTCTGGATATACTTGCCGTTCATCTCTTTGGCCGCCTGGAAAAAGTCGTCTGGGTCGCTGAAGCTGACGAAGCCAAAGCCCTTGGACTTGTTTGTCCGCTTGTCCCGCACTACCTTTGCCTTTTGCACCGACTGCCAGCGGCCAAACGCCTTCAGCAGGGAGTCGTCTGTTGTTTCACCAGCCAGGTTACCGACAAAGATCCGCAGGTGCGAGGGATCCCATTCCAGTAGCGAGTCGTCAGCCCATTTCTTGCCTCCTCCTTCACGGTAAACCGTCTTCTGTTTGTCGCCCGCAGTGTTCGCGGCTCCTTCCTGCGCAGCCTTGGCAGCGTTTTCTGCGTTGAACGTCGGTCCGGAAGCAGTGCCAGGCTTGCCGCCGGCTGTCTTAGCACCAGCAGTGATGTTGGCTTCGGCCCCTTCCTTCGGTAGGTACGCGCTTTGCCACTGCGCGATCTGCGCAGCCATTTCGGGATCATAATTCGGATCGCTGCGGTCGAAGGGGTTCTGCGCCGCGGCGGTAGCAGTAGGGGCGGCGGCGGCACCCGGTTGTGGAAAAGGGTTGCGGATTTGCGGTGGCGTGGAGTAGGACGCCGTAGCCGGCGCACCGTAGTAAGCTGGCTGTTGCGAGTAGCTGGCTGAGTAGTTGTAGGATTGGTTTGATGCCCCGTAGCTGCCACGACCCGCACCTACGGCGGGTGCCTGTGGGTAGGAATAGGTAGAGGCAGCGGCGCCATACTGGGGTGCTGAGACGGGTGCTGCACTGTATGATGGGGCGCCGGAGTAGGGTGCGCTTGCAGCGTAGGTCGGAGCAGCACTCGTGGTAGGAGGGAATGCTGGCTTGAATCCGCCGCCGGTCTTGCTCGCTGGCGGTCGAGGAGGTAGAGATCCGAAACCTGGGGGTCCCGGATAGGACATGATGAATTTGATGTGCCTTTGAACGAACTTTTGTTTTGTTTCGTTGTCACGTACCTATGAGCCCAGCCCGGTGTCACACAGACTTTGCTCCTGATGCCCTTGCTCTCTCCAACGACAGAGATTTGTAGGATCTCAACGGCGCTGCTTCAGGCGGTTGAAAAGTGAGCGGTTGGTTGTTTGGTTGACAGATGGATGGGCAGTTGCTTGATGCGTATCGGGAGGCGAAGAGAAATCGTCGCAGCAGAGAGGTTTGGTCATTTCGACCTTGCTTTCGCTGAGGCCAATCAGAGGGACCGTACGGATCAGTCAGCAGCCGCCTAGAATTAAGCCGAGACCCCTGCCTGCCAGGCGTGCCTTGGGGTCGGTGAATCTGAATTGCAGCCGACCGTCGCACTCCGTCGCACTACGAAGGCGGCTAGCTGTCTGGGTACGTGCCCAGGTATCTGCCTGGCAACTCCTAGGTACTCACACAGCACACACAGGCTAGGCTATACTAGACGCTGTACATCCAAGACACACGTAAGTCGATAAGCCCCTCCAAAGCAGTTCTGAATGCATCTCCTTCACATGTGGTAGCCGCTCTGGCTGCTGCACCTGGTAAGGTCGAGGAATCTGACAGCTAGGCCGATGCCTTGGGCTGTTGAAGACTTATGCTCTGTCCCTGCTTGAATGACGCACTTTGGCGGGGCAGCCCACATCCCACTCTCAGTTGCGCCCCCATCCGCCCCTCTTTGAAGTCACGGTGTTGATGGCATTCGATCAATTCGCGGCTGTGGCATCTACTAAGAGCTGCTAGTCCTCCGTATCCCGGAGCCGCGAATAGCGATGTCGCTCGACGAGATTGGCTGGCTGTCTTTGCCGCTCGAGTATTAATAATGTTGAACCACTACGAAGACAGTACGCTGCAACTGTGGGCTGGCCTGGATAGTTACAGATGTGGTTCATGAATTATCCGGACTCGGCTCGTCCGGACCTGCAGCCACAGACGAATGTCATTGCATGAGGAGTACAACCTGCAATATGTTGGTCATGACACAAAAGTCGGCTAGAAGTGACCTGTCATGGACGCCTTTTTCAAAGCAGCCGGCGAGGCAGGAAGACACAACCGGAGGCAGGCAAAAGTTGCCCAGAAGTGGCTAGCTTGGCAATTGATCACTGCATCAACGACATCGACCGGGCGAGTTGCCATGACCAAATAGGAAGAAGGGGGTGTTGACACGGAGGCGCCCCGACCTCCCAGGGAGGTGTGTGGTATGGATAAGTGCAAGGCCCGAGCCAAGCACAAAGCACTTCCGGAGTTGCGAAACGCGAGAAGTGGACACCAGCACTCATGTGTCTGACAAGTTCCGACGAGATCGGTTTGAAGCATCGAAGGAACCCCCACGCTCCTCCCAGAGGGCCCAGAGGGCACAGTGGGAGGTGAGTTCACTGAAGGATTTCCGTGAGGAAGCGAGGAAGGGTCCGCAGCTTGGACGGGGCGGCGAAGGGGTGCGCCGGACATTTTGACCATGATTGTCGAAGGAAGTGACAAAGTGAGAAACCAAACCGTAGGCCACAGACAGAGCTATGCTCCTTGGCACTGGGCCAGAGCTGCGGGACCCGGGTAGAGATAGGTACAGTGCCTATTGTACCTAGTCAAGATCCTGCGCAATGCCTGGAGTACCAGCTGCTGCTGCTGCTACTGCTGCTTGCATTGGGACCTGGAAACGTCGGGACTCGAGCTTCTGAGTAAGCCCCCACCTACTTTAGCTCTCTCTGCTGGCACGACGACGTCTTCCCAGCTCCCCCGAGGCCATTCACTTATTCCCTCGAAAATTTCTCTCTCTCTCACCTCTTCAATTCCATCCATAACTTGGCCAAACTTCCTCTCGGTCGATTTCGAGACAGTTCATCCATCCAGAGAGCCAGCCTCCAACCCAATCAGTCCCCCTCTAACAACATCCCCTCCGTCGACCTCGCAATGTCTGGCGCAGTGTGAGTCCTCTCCCATCCGTCAACCCCACATCCTACCCCTCCGATGAGCCATTTCGCTGCTGCAGCGAACCCCTCCATCGAGACACAGTCCAGAGGCACAAACTACAGAGATCCGAGTCCTGCCTTCTGGTGCCTGATGCCCAATGGCATCCAGGTTCGATATAACGGCATGCGCAATTCTTAGATTGCTTTGACGCTGAGCGTTGCTTTCCATCCACATCTACCTTTGAAATCACTCGAGGCTGAGGGCTTGTTGCAGCGCCCGGCTCGCCAGCATTGCTGGCGGTATGACCACTTCAGGACCAAGCAATGCTGACAATGATGTATCTCCAAGTGCTGATCTCGGCCTTATCGGCCTGGCCGTCATGTAAGTCTCCGAATCCCTATATCGCGCTTGCTCAAGCGCTGTGGTGCTAACTGCTCCCCAGGGGTCAGAACCTGATTCTGAACATGGCCGATCACGGCTTCACCATCTGCGCTTTCAACCGAACAGTCTCCAAGGTCGACCGTTTCCTTGAGAACGAGGCCAAGGGCAAGTCCGTCGTCGGTGCCCACTCCACCGAGGAGTTCGTCTCCAAGCTCAAGAAGCCCCGCCGTGTTATGCTTCTCGTGCAGGCTGGCAAGGCCGTCGACGACTGGATCGAGACCCTCCTGCCCCTGCTTGAGGCCGGAGATATCATCATTGACGGTGGAAACTCCCACTTCCCCGACTCCAACCGCAGGACTCAGTACCTCAAGACCAAGGGTCTCCACTTCGTCGGCTCCGGTGTTTCCGGAGGTGAGGAGGGTGCCCGTTATGGCCCCTCTCTGATGCCTGGTGGTGACGAGGCCGCCTGGGCCCCAATCAAGGAGATCTTCCAGAGCGTCTCCGCCAAGAGCGACGGCGAGGCATGCTGTGACTGGGTCGGTGACGAGGGTGCTGGCCACTACGTCAAGATGGTGCACAACGGTATCGAGTACGGTGACATGCAGCTCATCTCTGAGGTATGTCGTCCCATAGATCTAGATGCGTCGCATAAAGACGGCGTGGGCTGACTGTCACATAGGCCTACGACATCATGAAGCGTGGCCTCGGCCTCAGCAACAAGGAGATGGGTGACGTCTTCACCAAGTGGAACAAGGGTGTTCTGGACTCCTTCCTCATCGAGATTACAAGAGACATTCTGTACTACAACGATGAGTCGGATGGCAAGCCTCTGGTCGAGAAGATCCTGGACCAGGCTGGCCAGAAGGGAACCGGCAAGTGGACTGCCATCAATGCTCTGGACCTGGGCATGCCCGTCACTCTCATCGCTGAGGCCGTGCTCGCTCGCTGCCTGTCTGCCATTAAGCCAGAGCGTGTTGAGGCTTCCACGAAGCTCGAGTTTGTCGGCCGTGCCAACAGCTTCGACGGCAACAAGGAGCAGTTCCTCGATGACCTCGAGCAAGCTCTCTACGCCTCCAAGATCATCTCATACGCTCAGGGCTTCATGCTGATGCAGGAGGCTGCCAAGGAGTACGGCTGGAAGCTGAACAAGCCCTCCATCGCCCTGATGTGGCGTGGTGGCTGCATCATCCGATCCGTGTTCCTGAAGGACATCACCAGCGCCTACCGCAACAACCCTGACCTCAAGAACCTGCTCTTCGACGACTTCTTCAACAAGGCCATCCACAAGGCTCAGCCCGGTTGGAGAGATGTCGTGGCCAAGGCCGCCCTGCTCGGAATCCCGACCCCAGCTTTCTCCACTGCTCTGTCATGGTTTGATGGATACCGCACCAAGGACCTGCCAGCCAACCTGCTGCAGGCCCAGCGTGACTACTTCGGCGCCCACACCTTCAGGGTCAAGCCCGAGGCTGCCAACGCCAAGTACCCCGAGGGACAGGACATCCACGTCAACTGGACCGGTCGTGGTGGAAACGTGTCTGCCTCCACATACCAGGCATAAGCTGGATGCATCTTGCTAGATAGTTGTAGTCAGAGATTGAAACGTCCGTTTAGAGAGTCAAAACGAAGATGTGCCACATAGCATTCACCTGGCCAAGATAATATGGAATATACAAACACTACCAATTCTGAAGACTATCCGCGCCACTGTGAGAAACCCAAGGAGATGAGGGACGTCTCAGGGAGCGCTTGATTCCCAACACACTAGCGTCTAGCTTCCAAGAGCTGTCTGAAGCTGTCTGGAGGACCAATTCGTTTTCAAGTGATGAATGCTGAATTGGGCAGCGTCGAACATGAGGCCGACATGGTTTTCTGCCCAGAGGCGTCCGATACGGCGCACAGAGCTTTCAAGGTCGTGCGTGGTGTCGTTGGTCGTAGCCGATCGATGCCGAGCTGGAGCTTGGTGGTTGACTATAAGATACGTGGTAGCTCCAACACGAGATTCTCATCAGATTGATGCACCTTGTGCTGTTGCTCCTCGTCCAGCCTGACAAAAGCCAGCAGTGTCTCGTTCTCCCTGAACTGTTTGGCCTCTCTGCCCTGTCCTTGCCCCTACCTACCCTTGCTGAACGAGGCCGTCCCAGTGGCTGGCACATCCTGCATGCTTACGTAACTGCTAGCTTGCAATTTCTGACCCGCTCCGTGGAACTGGGCGCGCATCTCTTTGGAGCGCGCGACCGACGCCTTTGCACCGTGAGCTGCGAATCTTGGGAGCCTGTCGCGAACACATTCAACCACAAGCGTCCTCCAACCATCAACGAATGCGCCAACTGCAATTGTGAGCCAACGGCATCGACAAAGTACGTCGTCGACAATACATACTGCATGTTGAGCAGCAATTTGAATCGCCATTTGAATTAGACAATCCAAGCCTCCCTCGGGAGCAACAGCAGCCAGGATGGGAGACCCGAGCCATAACATCAACGAGAAGATGGTCAGTTCGCAGCCCTGCGCGCCCATCGTGCCGTTGGCGGATCGCGCAATGCTAACATGTATTCTTCTTGTCTAGCTCCATCATCTGCATCTCATCAGCACCTATAGATATGCCGCGATGGCTGATGTTGGCGTTCCTGATGCTTCCAAGTGGTTGATGGCTGCCCCCAAAATCGCCCGCGACACCGCGCCTTTCTTTTGGACATACCTCGACGCCCCTGCCGACGGCACCATCATGCTCACGTGGCAACCTTTACAACGCCTGGATACAAACTTTGCAACTGATGGATACATTTGGCCATATCCTGAGACATATTTCCAGCAGGATCTTGGCAACGGGCTGGTCAGTTCTGTCATTCAACCTAGCCGCAGTGCCTTACAGAGCTGACGATACATTAGGTGTTGGAGATGTTTTTCCAAAGGATGGGATACCGACAGGGGGAGCAATTCGCCCAACACTCGAGGAAGCGCTTTCGCCTGGTCCCCAAGCAACCTCAAGTTCCTGGCGCGCCCCAAGTCGACCCCAGCCTCTGGATCGTCCACTACGGGCCCAACTCGGCTCAAGACCGAATGCCCGTTAACATGATACCTATTGACCCTCGCACTCATGCCATGATGCAGTCTCGCATGCAATTGCAGAGGGGCGGTCAGATTGCACGTAAAGAGTTCATGCTTGCTGATCGACTTAACTGGCCCACCATCAATCCCCCACGGGAGGGCAGAGGCCACCCAATGATGGCTCAGCAACCCCATCCGCGCACCATCCCACAGCAGATGGCCTACCCTCCCCAACCGCCAGTCCCAAACAAGCGGGCGAGGACTAGTGCCCACCAGAACCAGCAGATGATGAGTGCGGCCCCTTTCATACCTTATGACGATGAAGACGACACCCACCAGGGCGACGTCTTTGATCACATGAGTCCTCGCGACGTCAGTATGGCCAGGTACACGCGCAACCACGAGTGGATGGAAGAGGTTCTGGGCTCTGCCTACCGGATAGGGCAGATCACACCGGCAGACCTTGGCCTCGGCTTGCAGGGAGAGCTATCATCTTTGACGCAAGGAATTTACGAGGCCTCAGGTGTCGATGCGCACAAGAAGCCTCCAGCCAAGCCCGTGGTCGGCCATCTCGATCCCAAGCAGGCTGATGAATTCCGCAAGAGAGTCTCAGAGAAGATCGAGAATGACAAGGCTGAGATGGCGCGCCTGAAGGAACAGCATGAGAAGATGATGGACAAGTTCAAGTCGAACTCGATCCTCAACCGCGCCGAAAAAGACTTGCGCGTTGCTGTCGATGAAACAGGCCCCGAATTTTGGCGGCTTGAAGGAAAAGAGGAAGACGAAGGGGAGGCCACGACCCAATGGAACGGGAGTGAGCACAGAAAGGTCAGCGATATTGTTGCTGATGTTGAGTCAGCTCTGGGCCGGCATATCGCGGTTGTCAGTGATGTTAGGCGCATCCAAGACGGCGGATACCAGGAGCCAGCGCCTGAGCCCGAGAGTCTACCACTGCCTCCAGCTGCACCACTTCCGAACGCTAATGGCGCTGGGCAAGGCGAGCTATCCCGGCAAGCGTCACAGGCAGGCTCCCAGGCAAGTGGGGTCCTGGCTGGCGATTCTGATATCGACATGGGAGGAACCGCTGCTGGTCTACTGGACCAGATGCAGGGTGGAACATCATCCACTTCTACGCCTCAGCCTCAACCACCCACCATTGCGTCAGATGCAGCGACACCAGCCAACGCAGCGGCCACACAGGTGACAGCTGAGCAAGCCCCAGCAAATGCTTCTGAAGATGTCACAATGGAAGACTCTGACCAAGCCAAGGATGTGAGTACAGCTCCAGACCAAGGAACTGAGAGCGGAGATTGGGTCGTCGTGCCCAAGGGTGGTGTGTCACCAAACGCATCTGCTAGTGCCGCGCCTGTAGTGGACTCCGCCCCGATACCGACTGAGAGCATGGAAGCCAACAAGTCTGTTGATAACGACGATTTCATGAACTCTGCCGGTGAGGCCCTCGATCAATCGGCTGCAGATGACACGCCCGGGGACTTCGGTGACATAGGCATGGAGGATTCTGCCTTCGGTGAGGCCATGTATGGCGCCGAAGTGTCCCGGGACTCTGCGTCGAACACGCCTGCAGACGGCGGCGTGTAAGCCCAACTTGTCATTATACAGGGGGAGAAGGCTTGGTCGGCACGGTCTCAGAGCGACATGGTCTAAACAATAGTGCAAGACACAGAGAAGAGCGCCGTGAGGCGCATTTTGAGCCCTAGGCAATATTCCTTGAGGCTCACGGTGCTTATTTTGTAGTCTACATCCAACGTGGACTCTGTATTTGAGGATTGGTATATGTACGGTATATTTGAATGGAACTTCAATCCGCAACAGCACCTCGATAAGTCAGCGAGGTTGAAGGCCAGGTACTTTGCACCATGAAGAGCCATATGGCCGATTCCCAATGTAAGCCGGCAAGACGATGTCACAAGGCAAGATGCGTACCCAGTAAAAATCGGTATGGCCTGTGAACATTTGAAGACTCATCTAAGGCGATGGGCCGACCATGTTAGTGAAGCCGCGTGCCGAGCAAGGGGGGTTCGTTTGATCTCCAGAGACACTACGTGTCAGAGCTCCAAAGCCCCGGCCCAATTGGCGGGATTGGACTTGGGTGCCATCCCAACTCGGAGTCTTTCCTCATGCTTAAATTCAGGCTTAACTATCTGCTGCCATCTGATACGTGTTCCTCGCGACTTCTAAGCCCCGCGGGATCTCATGATGGCGAGACGAGCCCCCTTCATTCGAAAGCCCCTTCATTGTTCCGAGCCGGGCAGGACGTCCCTTGGCTCATGGCACGGCCAAGCTGGAGTGAAGTCACATCCGCGCGATCAGGGATAGCTGCCGTCTAAACATGAGAATAATAATGAGCAATCGTGAATGCTATAGCCCCAGGTTTCTGACCGTCAGCCCAGCTATCGTTGGGGCGAGCCGATTACCCGCCGGTGGGGATGGTTCGTGATGTCTGGTGATGTCTGGTGTTGATGTGCTCCGGCATCTGGGACAAGGAAGGCTCCTCGAGCCCGACGCATCATGTTTTAAGCCGTCATCCCAGCGTTGACAGTCTGCCATCGCATGTCTCGACCACACGCACGCTAAGCTCTTGTGGGGCGGGAAAGCTTATTGCATGATTACCCTCGGGATCCGGTTGGTACTAGCAAGGTAAATCATACAGAAGGCGTCGCGAGTGGTGGTGACTATGGCATTGGCATATATCATTTCTGCCACCACTCCCGGCGCCGACTACAACTGAATCCTATTGAGACCGTCCGATTCCTTTCCGTCACCCGTTCTCTTCTACACCCACTCTCTTTCTCACACCCAGCCTGCAGGCCAGCTTGCGACGGTTACATTCTTTTCTAATCTCACCTCACCAGCTCTGGTAGCCATTCTTTCCTTCTTCTACATCGTATAATAATTACCAGCATGCGTGTGTCAAAGGTCTTAGCAACGGTGCTGCTGGGGTTCGCTGTGGTGGAGGCAGCGAATAGTGACCAGAGTCAGGGGGGCCAAGCCTCAACGGATGTCAGCGCGGACAGCAACAACAATGGAGGAGGCAAGGCGAACCAGAAGCAAGCACAAGGGGGCAGTGACAATGGCGCCAGTAATGCGAAGAATCAGGACAATAGTCAGGCTGCCGGCAACGACAACCAGCAAGGCGGCAAGAAGTCCCAAGACCAACAAAACCAGAACCAAAAAGGAGCAAACCAGGGCAACAAGAATGGCGGCAACAAGAACAATGGAGACAACGGTCAGGGCGCTCAACAGAATGTGACACAGGGTCTTCAGCCTCTTCCTGGCAAGCCAGAAGCGGTACAGCAGTTACAACCTCTGCCAGGCCTTGCATCCGCACCGCCCGGCGCGCTGCAGAGCCTCAAGCCTCTGCCGGGAGCCCAGGCGAACGGGACCGCAAGCCTCAAGCCCCTGGGCGAGAACACGGCGCCTCCACCGCCGGGATCGGCGTCTTCGACCGTTGACCTGGCCCAGCTGACAGCCATCGCGAACTCGGCGAACGGCGCCGGAGCAGCCGCAGCGACTCCGGGGACGTTCTCGAACAGCACCGGCACCGGCTCCGCGGCGGCACCGCCGCAGCTGCTCATGCCCCCAGCCGAAGCGTCCGCCCCGTCCGCGAGCACGCCGTCCGCCACCCCTGCCGCGTTCATGACGATCCCAGGCGGCGAGGCCCCGAAGGCAACGGCCGCGCCGCCCGCCGAGATCCTGCCGGGGGCCGCCCCGCAGCAGGCCGCGAACCTGGAGCCGCTGCCCGGCAGCGTCTCCTCGGATGCGAGCCTGATGGCGCTTGCGCCGCAGACAATGACGACCATGACCCTCACGGTCGCCGCCACCGACGGCAGCACCGTGCTGGCCACCATGACCGCCCCTGTGAACGCCACTGCCGCGCCGGTCAGGAACTCCAACTCCACCGCTGCGGGGACGGTGCAGGTCGCTGGGGCGTCGTCGTCGAAGAACTCCGGGACGGCGGGCGTGGTGGTTGTTTTGAGTGGTGTGCTGGGATTGCTAGGGTACTTGATGGGATGAACGGAGACGCAAGGGCATCGTTCAGGTGTGGTAGCGGCGACAAGATGGAACAAAAGAGCTGGGTGTGGCTTTGAGGAGCTAGGTCTCCTTGGCCGAGGTGTAGATATGTGGAGAAGACGAGCATCGCTTCTGTAATTTCTATTAGCCAAATATCACCCAATATGTCTAGGACAAAAGTGGTCGTCTCTGTGATCTCCTGCCATGCTTTGTCAACATTGGATTTGAAGCCAATTTCTTATGATCTGCATCTATCTATTGCAGAGAGACCATCGATTGATTCAGTTGCCCGGAATGCATGTAATTATCCACTCAGGCGTGTACTTGTTCAGGGGTCATATGGAGAATTTGCCCTCCTTCCAGTCAAGGGGACACCGCCTTTCTCGGTGACCAGAATGGGATCTTCGAGCCTAACTCCGAAACCAATACTCCTCCCGACCTTGTACGCCTGCTCACTTGTCACGTATATTCCCTGGGCCATGTCAGTGGCATCATTCGAGAAGCAGCCCTTAACGGCAGGAAGGTAACTTACTGGCTCGTTTGTGACGACCTCGCCGATCTTTAGCTTCTCACTATTCGCTCCGTTCAAATAAGGATGTTCATGCATCTCCAGACCCAGTCCGTGGCCAAGTCTATGCGTATAGAAGTCGGCATAGCCGGCATCAGAGACGGGCTTCCGTGAGGCAGAATCAACTTCAGAGCAAGTCTCATTGGGGTGCATGAGATTGAACCCCGCAGACTGGGCCTCGTGAACGGTCTTCCAGATTCCTTGAAGCTCGTCACTGACCTCTGCTCCCGATGGCAAGATGGTCCGCGTCACGTCGCTGCCATAGTCGTGTAGTTTGGAGCCAATATCAATCAGCACATACTCCCCTTCCTCAAGCGTCTTGCCGTGCTTGCCCCCGTGGGGGTAGGCCGCTTGGTCACCGAATAGGACGATGGACCAGAATCCCTTGCCCACACCGGCGCGTGTGAAAAGGGCCTCGGCCGATGTCACAACCGTCTCTTGTGTCAGGCCAATCTTGATGCACTTCTGCAATGAGCGCACCAGTTCCAGCGTGAAAGCGTTGATTCCCTTCAGTATCTTGATCTCGGCCTCTGTCTTTACAGATCGGAGGGACTGGATCGCGTCGTTCATCGGTACGACGTCAATGCCCACTTTTTGAAGTCCTGCAGCGATCATGAATCTCGCATGCTCGTCCAATATGATCTTGGAGTAGCCAGTCGCCTTTGCCAAGACCTCATACGGCGATTCCTCTTCGGCCCACTCGATAACTGTCTTGTCACTGTATACCATCTCCAGGCCGGCGATGCGACCAGCCTCGAACTTGGGGACGAGGTAAGAGAACTGGGCATCCTTGTCCAAGATAATCAGAAAAGGGCGTTCTGAGAGATCGAATTCGTAAGAAACATTGGCGTAGTAAGCCGACGACGCCGACGGCTCGGCGATGAAGGCATCAGCGCCAGCAGCCTTCAGTTCGCTAGCCAAAGTGCCCTGTCGCCGCAGATACTCGTCCCGGTCGATAGGGGCCACGTCCAGGAGGCCGACATGTGATTCGAGATGAGACCAGGCGCACGTCTCCAGTGAGGCGGCAGACAGGTCGGACTCGGGCCACCAGACATCGCGGTGGAAGTACATGTCTATGAATGCGCAGAGGGCGAAGCCGAGGAAGAAGGCCCAGGCTATGGTCTCGCATACGCGGCCCAGCGCCTTCTTGCTCCTCCGGTGCCTCGGCTTCGGGACCGGCGTTGACGGGAGCAACGGGCGGTGTTCATCCCGGGATGTCTTGTCGACAGTATATGTCGGCATTGTGGGCTTCAGACACTGTAAAGAAAAGCCACTTTTCGGGCTTCACTTTTGACTGATGATGATGGTAATAGGTGGTAATCTAGTAAGTTGATAAGAGAGGGTGGATGAGTGAAGTCATCGAAGGTGAGATAAGGTGTGGGTCGCCGTGTGGAGGTCGCCGTTTACAGGGTCGCAGTGTGCAGAGACAGGGTGGTGTGCTTGAAAGATGACGGGTGTGGGTTTATCCCAGCAAAGCAAAATCACAGACCGGTGTTTATTCCTGTCCATCCAATTCACTAAGCTTCTTTATTTATTAACGCTCACTTCTTACAAGAGCCTCGACTCTTTGGCTTTCACTCCAACATTGTCTGGTCGAAGGAAATCTAAAGCACACTTCACGCTGATCAGGAAGGGACCTAGCCACGAGTAGTCTAGCAGACAACTCTGAAAGTATCCCACAGGGTCATCACCACTGGCACCTGGGTTTCCAAAGATAGCCAGCCTAGCAACTCATCTGATTCAGTCTACTAGTGTAGTGGTCTTCTACCTTTCTACCGTCATTATGCTCTCTCGTTTCCCCTGGAAAACTCCAGTCTACCAAAACACAGGCTCTACGGCTCGGGACCACCTAGCCAGCGAGCGCACATTTCTAGCATGGATACGGACAGGACTCGGCTTCATAGCCCTTGGGATCGCTATCGAGCGTTTCTCTCAGCTCGATCTGAACGAGTTGTTGAAACCTCTAAGGCCACCGCAGCAGCAAGGCCAGGACGCAAAGAGCGAACATGTTGATGTCGATGATGAGCCGCAGAAGGAACAGTCGCAAGTCATCGTGGGCACTTTGATGGCCCTCGGCTCGGGCTCGATCGTATACGGGACGTCACGGTACTTCTCCAATTTGAGGCTGTTAGAGAAGGGTCTTTTCAAACCTGCTTATCACGGTTCCGCATTCCTTGCCGCCTCCGTGGCTGGGATGGCTGGCGGTGTCTACGGGAGCTCAATGTCGAGGCGGTGGCGGGCACAGCGCGAACGTGAAGATATCAAGGATTCATCGTGAGGAAGTCCATGACACAGCGGCTTCCTAGCTCAAAATCGATCTTGGGTGTTGGAGCTGGATCGCGACCTTAAGCTCTCGTATTTAGAGACATCTCCTCTCATTGCCAGCGTAATCTGAGTATTATCAGCGTCTTCTGGATGAACCCATGGAGCCTCGCATTGCTTCGATGTCGGATGGGTCTCACAGTCCTGGGATCAAGGAATTGCGACCTAATCAGGCATGGTTTGGATTGCCAGAGTTCACAATTGCAAGGACAGCATTTGCTGAACAACTACAAAAAGGGCCTGGTAGCACTCTCGGGATTCTGCTTGACGGGGACCTGGATAGATGATCCGCAAGAGACATTCCATTGCTATCTATGCATCAAAGCTGCAAACACAAAGAGGACCGTCATGAGATGCAAACAGAAAATGCCAGGCAGATACACTGATGCGAAACGCCTGAGCTCCCAAGAAGCAAATGCCGCTCGGAGTCAACAAAATACAACTTATGCTCCTGCCATCCCGTTCTGAATGTTGACATACTGGCTTGTCGGATAGTTCAACAAGTTCCATCGACTATTCAGTGTTCCGAGTTCCTGGGACAATGCTCCAACCAGACTCTCCGTGCCCTGTTTGTCACCACTCGCCTCCCAGAAGAAAGAGCCCGCCAGCCCCTTTTGTTTCAAGTACACGCCCTTCTGTCTAGCGCTCGCGACATTGTCGTACGATATCAGCTCTTGAGACGAGGGATCATAGCTGTAACTCGCGTTGGCCGTCTTATCGTACAGCTCAGTAGCACCGGGGCGCGGCAGGTCTTTGTACAGCCAGAGGCCTGGGCTCTGGAGCGTCGCAGATCCTGGGCCGACCCCGTGGAAAGGCTGACCAAGGCCAGCTGTCATGTCGAAGGCGCGTCCGTACGTCGGCAAGCCCAAGAGAATTTTCGAGGCGGAGACACCTTTAGCAAGATAATCCTTGACGGCCTTGTCGGTGCTGTACTTGGTGGCACCCGGGATACTTGGGTTGGGGAAGAGGTTTGCCTGGTGCCCCGAGGTCGTGTCCCAAGATCCAGCGTAGTCGTACGCCATTAAATTCCAGGAGTCGAGGAATTGATCTGCTGCCTTCAGATCCAGGACGTTATAGTGCTCAGGCCCAGCAGAGCTGGCGACGGTGAGAAGGAAGTGGTATCCCCGCGCGTTGGCGGCCGTCCAGGCATCGAGCTGTTTTCGGAGCTCTCCAAGCAGCTTGACGAAGTCAGATGCCTGTGCCGCGTTCTCTGGATATTCCCAGTCGATATCGATCCCGTCGAAGCCCCAGTCTGTGACGAGCTTCACGGCGCTCTGTGCAAAGGTCTGGCGGGCCGTGTCGCTGGAGGCCACTGCCGGGAATTTGGGCGAGTCGTTCCAGCCGCCGATGGATAGGATGACCTTAAGCTGGCGGTTCTGCTTCTTAAGTAGGTACAGCTGCTTCACGCAGCCATATGCATTATTTCCCACGTCGTTCCACGAGTCTGTGGGATAATGCTTCTGCAGGTCGGCATATGGGTCCGACGAAGCGACTTTTCCATCGCTGCCAAATGAAGCGAACGCATAGTATACACGAGTGAGCTTGGAGGCAGGGAGGGATTGTGGTTGATAATTTGCGCCATATATTCCCCTGGTCAATTTTAGTTTGAAGCTCCACGTGAAAGGGGAACACAGAGCCAGTAACCAGTTGGTGAAGTATAGAGAGTTCTCGTAACCTGAAGAATTTGATATCGCGTTGTCCGAGGACGGACTTACGGCCGCGGTGGAATAAGGCTTTGGTGGAATTGAGATGTTCGGTAATCCCGACGAAGAGTCGCTCGTGGGCAGAGAAGAGTTGCCGTAGGATACGGGTTGCGTTGCATCGCCGAGGGGAGGTTGAACGACGGGGCTTGAAGAAGCGGCTGGTGCTGTTACAGTAACTGTCTTTTGACCAACACAAATAGGATCGTCACTCCGACGTTGAGGAATGGCTCCCCCAAACACAACAGCCAATATCGATAGAGTCAGAATAAAGGGAGTAAAAGCGATCATGCTTGTTGTGCCACTGCGAAAGCTAGAAGGAATTGAGTCTGCAATTCCATCATGACTGACACTCTGGGACCGAGAACGACTCCTAGATATCGTCCTGGGCTCCCTCGATACCAGCCCTTAGAACTCCTCAGCCTCGCCTCTGGCTGTGAGAAGGAATGCAAGTGCGTGTCGTTAGCCTCGCCGAGCAATCGATAGGAATGCCGGGGCAGCGCACACCCACGTGAGCGAGCGTAAAGAACAGTGAGACATCTCCCGCTCCCTAGCCTCTCGAAAAGCTTCCGCCATCCCTTCTCAACCCCCTTTAATATTCAGAGAGACATGATTGACTGGATACGAGAAAAACTTCAGTCATAGGATAGACCGTGGCTGGGCTAACATGCCAGATTGAGGGACTTACGGAACATGGCAAAACAGAGGATACCCCCTGGACTCCAACAATTAGATTAAATCGTATGACCTACGCACGTGAGCTGTGTTCTTGTGATCGTGGAAGACAATCTTACCAGGGGAAGTGAGCATCTCTGCGGTCGGTCAAAACGAGGTGAGCGAGCATGCTCGCGCCTGGGTTTGCCCTGAAGAGCTTCTGTAATAAGGACTGCTGGAGGAGAAACACCAGTGAAATTCATTTCCATGTCTTGAATACTTGACTGTGGTTTACAATTGTTATTTCCATAAGCGCCTAGAACAATCACTGGTAGCATATTACCAACGTCCGTACAGTACCTGGGCCTGCCAGTGGAGCATCCAAAAGGGTGTGTCAGGAGCAGGATATCCACTTAGCAGAAGGGAGAATGTAGATAAAAGAAGCATGCAAGAACAAGAACACGTCCGTACAGATGGACTTTCGAGTAAGAGAATAGTTGTGAGTGAGAGGCAGTGGAGTGGCAAAGGCTATTGGCGAGACTAGCAATATGAGCACATTGATGGAAGTTTTGAAGAAGGATTTGGTTACAGATTTACTCACTTGTTCTATCTAAGCCTTGACCGGTCTTTAAAAAATCCCACACCAAGTTATAGAGCACCTTCGCCTAACCGGGAGGTCGTATTGTATTCGGGTATCGTCTAATCGTTCCTAGCCTGACCTTTTGACACTTCTACTCCTTCAAAGCATGGACAGCCGTGCGTTGACGCTGTCCACTCTAGATTGAAGTCTTCTCCAGACTCTTGGCCAGATCGTCCACCTCCTTGTCCTTTTGCTGAATGACGGGCTCTTCTTGAGCCTCCTCGGCTTCCTTGACAAGCTTTTCGGCCCGCTCCTCAGGTCCGACATCTTCCTCCTCTTCCTCCTCTTCTTCCTCTTCCTCGTCTGAGTCTTCACTTTCGAGGTCGCTCAGACTGTCCAAGCCCCAGTCGTCTTCGATCACGACATTTCCGCCAAGCTTCTCCTTGCGCTCCTCCAGAAGCTCTTGCAGGAGAACGATGCCCTCATCGTCCTCGCTTAGCTTATTGCCGTTGAGTTCGACCTTCTTGAGCGCCGGTAGAGCCTGTTTCGCAGCCTTAGCCAGGCTTGTCACGCCCTTCGAGGTGATGTCGTTGTATTGCAGGCGCAGAATCTCCAGGTTCTTGTTGTTTCCTTGAGCAAGAGCATCACCAAGGAGAACGCCACCCTTGGCACCCAAAAGCGAGTCTCCAACGCCCAACTCCTTCAGCTGAGCCCAGGTGGGCGTGACCTTAGCAAGGGCCTTTGCACCCATTAGCGTGAAAGTATTGTCCTGCAGATCCAGCGTGACCAGGCCAGAAGCTTTGTTCAAACCATGGCTGAGAAGGTGCGAGATGCCCTCCTGACGAATACCATTCTGTACCATCTTGACCTCCTTGATCTTGTTGTGGAGGCTGAAAGCCTTGGCCCATGCCGTCATGCTGCCGTTCTCCAAGCGGTTGCGCCCACAGATCACAGTCTCCAGGTCAGGCACCGTCTTTCCTTCCTTGCGCGCCGCCTCCTTCTTCTCGTGGAGCTCACTCAGCGCGTCGGCGACAAGGATTCCTGCATGGGGGCCCAGGCCATTGTTGTTCAAGTAGAGGTGTTGCAGGGGCACGTGTGCCGCAAGGAATGCGACAAGAGGCGCTTGAGTGTTGAGACCGAAGGCATTATCGTTCAGGTTTATCGTGTGGAGATTTGGCAGGTTGAGAATGGAAGTGAGCAAGTAGGACAGGGCCTCTGGGATCTCGCTCAGGAGACGGCCGGTGAAGATGTCGGCGAGGTTTGCGACCTAGCTTCCTGTCAGTATGGCTGAATCAACTACCTCAAGAAGCCGCGACACAGGGTCGCTTACCTGCAATGTCTTCTTGGTAGCCAGTATCTCTCCCAGAAGCTTACATGCGCCAACTCCCAGAGTGTTTCCAAGTAGTCTTATCTCCTCCAGGTCGTCCAAAGCCCTCAGGTCTTTGATGTGAGGCTCAAGGTCCTCGGCTGTGGTCAGCTTTAGGCCCTTGCCTTCGAGCGAGAAGACCTTCTTGGAATCCGCCATGGTTGCAGTAGGAGCACAAAGAGCTGGGGCGCGAGCAAGATGAAAGAAATGTACACAGTTGGTCTGTTTCCACTGGGACTTGACAGGAAGCTGCAGCAAGTGTGACTGACTTGACAAACTTCAAAACAGAAGGAGGGCGAGCCCAGTGTCACTGGTCTTGGTGGGGGTGGGGCAAACAGTGACTTCAGGGGTTGCCCCTTGCAGGGGATCTGAGGTACTTGGAATGGTAGACGCTGACGCTAGCATTTACTCAAGCAGCTGCCGCCAGCCGTCGGCCTGGAGTTCTGATGGCAGCCAAGCTGCCTCACTTAGCACCAGGCAGGCATGTGCCTTTCGCAGGCCCATGTAAGTCGCGTCGCTGGAATGCAAGCGTCAAGTCTTTCCGCTACTACTATTGTCCTTTATGTAGGAACTCAATCATCGTACGAGATTTACTCAATTGCCTTTTCCTTGATTCTCTAGCATCAGAGTCGTCAAGAGCATCATTGAATCCACAGAAGCGATGTTATTGTGATACATCAATCAAGCCTGCCTCCGTCCCAGCCCTGTTGCTCGCCCAAGAAGAACGGCGCGTTGACTAGGCTGTGCGCTCAATCCCATCAACACATGAACACTCTGTTACGACAGAAAGGAGCCCTACAACAACTTTTGATGGCCACAGCGCATCCCTGGCCCCGTGATTGAACCGAAGATTGGCCTCATCTGCTGTCAACATTGACTTGTTGCGATCAACCCTGGCAGAGGTCGCTTACGACTTACGACGACCGCCTACGTTTCCTCCACTCGACCTTGACACAAGTTCTGCACCATCAGCGCTTGACGCCGCGCACGAGAATACCGACACGTACAATGTCCGACTCTTCTTTGTCCTCAGTGTCCTCCTCGGAGGCGGGCGATGAGTATGAACAAGTGACTCATGACGTGACGATGGACGAGACCGAGCACCCGGCGAAGCGCCTTAAGCTTGGTGATGTAGGCTCCGCGACACCTTCGGCCGTTGTCGCCGAAGCAGATCCAGACCCAGAACCAGAAGTGGAGACAAAGGCGGACGATTTCGACGATGCCATGTCGATATCCTCCGATTCCTCGAGCGACATACCCAGCTCACCAGCTAACGCGCGTCTTGAGGACGAAGACTTCCAACCGCAAGTCACGCAGTGCGTATGGGAGGATTGCGACGCTGGGGACCTAGGTACAATGGATAGACTGGTCAAGCACATCCACGATGAGCACATAGAAGGTCGGCAGAAGAAATACACCTGCCAATGGATTGGCTGCAGCAGGCAAGGTGCCAACCACGCCAGTGGCTATGCTTTGAAAGCTCACATGCGAAGCCACACACGAGAGAAGCCCTTCTTCTGCTATCTCCCAGGTAAGCCCCCATCTTGCAGCACGCGGCGATAACATCGTGGGACAACTCTGACATGGGAACAGAATGCGACAAATGCTTTACCAGATCCGACGCGCTAGCTAAACACATGCGAACGGTTCACGAAACGGAGGCTCTTCGACCCTCCGACCCTGTACCAAAAGGTCTACAATCTGGTGGTGCCGCTGGCAAGACCCCGAAGCTAAAAATCATCATCCGCACGCCACAGTCACATGCCGCGGGCCAGGATGACGCTGTTGAGGACGGGCATAGCGGGGACGAGAACTCTACAGAGCACTTGACCCAGCTGACAGAGAAAGACGGTTTCACAACACGGGAGCTGGAAATGCAGTGGCAGAAGCTCCATGCCGTGTGTAGAAGTCAATTACAGTGGGCGCAGGAGGACGCTGAGACCCTGAGAAAAGAATGTGAGAAATGGGAAGAGATAGTGAAGAAAGCTTGGCTGGAGAAGGAGGTCCTCTTGGATCAGACTGTCAAGAGTGAGCTCGGCTGGCATGAACGCAGACAAGCGATTCTGACAGGAGCCACGGATATTGTCGTTAATGGAGGTGCTTCCGAGGCGGTCTCTGCACCTGCGGACCCTTCCACTACCAACGGGGGTGCCAGCGGAGGCAATAAAGCAGAGGACTAGGGTTGCGGTTCACCAAAACAACCAGCCTTGCGACCCGGTTTGAGAATGTTCACCCACTGCGGGCAACACGATCCTTCAAATGACATAAGGAGTGCTCTGTCCTCACGCCAACCCACTCCCCATCACCCGTTCTTTGTTTGTACACTGGCTCCGCCCATCTTGTGCGAATCGCACATTTCTCTGGCCCAAGTGGAGGTGGAAAGCTCAGGATACATACCCTTCTGGATAGCCATCAGAGTAGCGTACAGAGGGCGGCGAGAGAAGTACATCCCTAACTACTGGCAATCAAAAGGCGTGATCAGTTCAGGTTGGCCCACGCGCAGGCGAGGGAGACAAGCCTGCAGGAGCGGAGAGCTTCTGTCGAGTGACTACTTGAGGACAGACATGATCATGGATGTCCAGGCGTCTTGTCGAAGCACGTTCATGAAACGGATTGATGGGCGTTGACGGTTCTGGTTCGGAACGGATGTGATAAAAATGCGAGAAATGCTTCTGGAGTTCAGGAGTCGACGTGGAATAGGAGATGGCTGGCAGCTTTTTTGATACACATGATCTCAATGTTTTATTTCTTTGCCTGCAAGATGTGTGGGGAACCATATTCTCAGGGCAAGACATGCATTCACTATGGCATTATTCTTGGTCTTTTGTACGAAGAATTGAAATTCAGAACACGCGAGCATATTAGAGCACGTCAAGCAATCGAAACACGAGAGGCTTCCTGCCTTTACGAAAGCCACAACACCGGGACTCTGGCGCTTCTACAGCTCTTTGCCTTTTCTCTTGCTCGCCTCTCTGTTCTTGAACGGGAATCCACTGGTCCTCTTGTCCGCCCCTGTCCTCTTGCTAATGTGGCTGCCAGCACCGAACATGAGACACCACAAGCCAAATGCTGCGAGAAATCCGGACCCCGCGGCGCCAATTAGGAAGCCCCCAGTGTTAGTTGCGTTGAACCTAACGTAACTGTAGAAAGCTGTGGATGAATGATATATGGAGGACAGGAGAATCACGGCATTGGCGAATGGAGAAATAGCATCCGCCGGGGCTGCTGTATGGTCAGAACGGTATACATCCTTTTGTTGCCTCATGTGACTTACTGTCAGTTAGAGAAGTCAAAGGTACGGCTCCTGTCAGACAAACGACGACGAGGCCGAGAGTGAGCTGCGCGAAACCTAGAGATCGCGCGAAGTATTGCTCAACGACTAGTTTGGGATTAGCACTGATACATGATGTGACACTTGCATTCGGTCACGCACGGTTGGCATGTTGGTAGTTCGGAGTGAGTAGTGATGCAATGAACGTCGGCCACACGATTAAAGGCACAGCTTGGATGGACAGCCAAGCCAGGGTCGTGAAGCTGTATGTCGAGACCGCCTACGGGATGTTGTCAGGAGGACTCATGTGTCGTGAGATTGATTTCCACTTACATCCATTCTTGCGGGTTGCCTAGGTAGCTCTGAGAGTCTGTTAAGTCTAGGTTCTACAGGCCGGAAAGCAAATGAGGCTGATACTGGCTGGTGGTGATCTCCCTCTTTCTCTCTAATAGAAGAACGGCTGATATTCACAAGCCAGACAATCAAGAAGCTCATTCTGCGGGCAGCTGAATTGATGACCAGGGTACGTCATCCTATAGCGTACTCAGGGACTGTGCAGTGAATCAAGAGGGGTATGATTGGGCCTGTTCTCTCTGCTGGTGGATCTCCCTACAGGGATACCCACCTGAAGGTCGCCACTATCCGATGTCGCATCGACTTTTCGAGCCTCTCGAAATTTCGCATTATCAAGCAAAATGACTGACTTAGGTATCTCCGGCAGGAACCAAACGTTCTAATCGATGCATTTCCTTCACTTCACGTACACACGCATACACATACACAAGCCAAACTTTTGAATTCCTAGAAACTCGCACGTTATGACACGACAGTAATTTTTACCACATCTCATGGATTACGTTTGAACCATCGTCTTTACGGCCCCTACTGTGCGAAGCTTCCCCTCGCCACCCGCGTTGGTCGCGATTCTCAACCTCCCCCCGACCCCACGACAACCCCTCTCGTCACTATGTCCGCGATCCTCTCAACCGACGCCCTCAACGACTTCATTTCACCTTCCGTAGCCTGCATCAAACCCATCGAAAACCTTCCTTCTCAGCCCCAAGACGACCCCTCCGCCCTCGAAAGCGAAGTCATTCTCGGCGGCCAGCAGCAACCCACAGGCTCTACAGCCACGTCCAACGACGGCCCTTCCAAGATCTCCCTCACAGACTGTCTAGCCTGTTCTGGCTGCGTCACCTCCGCCGAGGCCGTCCTTGTCAGCCTACAGAGCCACAATGAGGTCCTGAGTGTTCTAGATGCGGCCCCGGCACTAAAGGTGCGCGGGCCTGATGCGAGCGGGCGCTTCAGTGTCGACGGGCTGGAAGACCCGAACGCAAAGCTATTCGTGGCCAGCGTAAGCCCGCAGACCAGGGCGAGCCTGGCTGCCGCCTGCGGGGCCGGCACGACGGAGAGCCAAGCAGGGAATATGATTGAGGAGCTGCTGAAGGGCGAGCAGGGGCTTAGAGCCGGTGGCAAGTCCAACAATGGATTTTCTTGGGTGGTCGACACAAATACGGCACGCGAGGCATGTCTGGTGCTCGGGGCCGACGAGGTGCGGGAGGGCGACGCTGTCCTTTCAAAGCCAATTCTCACGTCGTCATGTCCGGGTTGGATATGTTACGCCGAGAAGACACACCCGCACGTTCTGCCTCACTTGTCCAGAGTGAAGTCGCCACAGGCGCTGATGGGCACGCTCTTGAAGACGACGCTCAGTAAGAAGCTGGGAATAACGCCTGATCGCATATGGCATTTGGCGGTCATGCCGTGCCTTGATAAAAAGTTGGAGGCCAGCCGGGAGGAGCTGACTGACAGTGTATGGGCAGGCGATGGCACGCCCGGCAGGGGAGTACGGGATGTCGATTGTGTCATCACCAGCAAGGAGGTGTTGATGCTCTCAGAATCGCGAGGTATTGACTTCTTTGGTCTACCCAAAACTCCAGTATCACAAACGAGCCCTTCATTCCCCGACCCACGGCTCCACAAGTTCCTCTTCCCCCAACGAAAGGGCCAGCGCCAGTCACCGGCTTCGGGTACTTCGGGCGGAAACCTTCATTTCATCCTGCAGGACATGCTGTTCAGACATCCCGGCGCACAACTCCAAGCTGTGAGGGGTCGAAATGTGGATGTGGTTGAGTATGTTATCGTCTCCCAGTCGGGAGAGCCATTATTCAAAGCGGCGAAATATTACGGATTCCGCAATATTCAAAATATCGTCCGCAAGTTGAAACCAGCCAAGGCTTCAAGAATGCCAGGGGGGAGGCCTTTTGGTTCCGCGAGAAAGCCCGCAGCGCAGGGCAAGAGCCTAGACTATGGTTATATAGAGGTCATGGCTTGCCCGGGCGGTTGCACCAATGGTGGGGGCCAGGTGAAGGTGTCGGACGATTTAATCGTTGAGCGCAACGGCTGGACTTCTAACCCGGGCCCGGAGGAGCAGAAGCAGTGGTTGGCGCAGGTCGATGAGGCGTACTTTTCTGCTTCTGACTCAGAGATGGAGGACGCCGATGTGTGTGCCTCGAAAGGAGGCGGCGCAGAAGATTTGGTTGATGGAATTTCTCCTTCGTACATTCGAGATACCCTTGCGCATTGGTCGGATATCACGGGCATAGATCTGGCGAGACTGGCGTGTACAAGCTTCCGGGAGGTGATCAGTGACGTCGGGAAGGATAACGACGACAAGGCAAACGTCGTCCAATTGGCCGGAAAGATTGGCGGAGGATGGTAGTTCAGCACAGATACACTGAATTGAAATCATCCCTCTTTGGCGCCGCGATTTGCAAAACCAAACCCGCCTCGCCCACTGTCATCTGGCCCCCTCGGCGCTCGAATCGCGTGTTCTGGGCCACGAGGAGGCGAAACGGTGCCAGCACCGCGCAATTGACGAGAGCCTGGCTTCGAGCCGGCGTCAGGGTCAAAGAGTTCCCGAAATGGACTCACATTGTTCCCTGGTCGTCGATCCTGCGCCTCGGTCTTGTTGTAATTCTCTTGGTTCCGCTGACCACCACGCCCACCCCTCCCACCTCGCCCACGGCCTCGGCCGCGATAGTTTCCTCGACCGCCCTCTCCTGTGAGAGGAGGTGTCGTAGTCCCTGGCGTGGACGCCCCTGACGACACCCCTGATGGAGCCTCGCCAAAGATTTTCGCGCGCGCCTCCTCGTACTTGCGCTGCTTCTCCTCGAGTTCGCGTTGCTGGCGCTCCCGAATCTGCTCTGGTGTTGGCTGCGGCGGCTTTTCCTCCTCCTCCTCCACGTCGTCTTGGATGGTCAGCTTCTCCATACCCGTCACCGGGTCTTTGGTCTTCACTGTCTTGGGCGGAGGCTTGCGACTGAGGAGCTTCATTTGGGGCTTGAAGCCTTGGGTGAGTGGGACGTTACTGGTGGCGGCTACGTGATATAACTCTGCGGGAGCCTCACTGGTTTTGTGTGTGATGTGAGTACAAGTAGTCTGAACGGTACACGTCTGAAGGAACTGAGTGAACATACGCTGCTTCCCATATTTGGCGGTTCAGCTCGCGGTGCTCGGCCCAGCGCTCCGCTTTGGTCTTGGGTGCTTGGGTTACAGGTGGTTCTCTTTCCTCTGCCTTGGCGGCCCTGTCGGCCTGTGTCTCCCAATCCTCGTCCCACGCGTCGGGTACTTTCTGGCTCCCCATTTTGATTTTTTTTCTTTTCGCCGGTGCTTGTGTAGTCGAAGACTTCTATGGTTCCCTGGTGTCGTTATAGGAGGCGGCTCATTGCTAGCAATATATTCGATCCCTTGTATGTAAGCAATGTCTTGTTGTTCCGTAGGTGAGCATCGAGGGAAAAGTTGAAAGTCGGTGTTGAAGGCCGAGTGTGGAGAGGACGGTGGTCCAATTTCAAGCACACACACACATACTTGGGAGAGAGCCAGCCGGGCATCGAGCCTTGAGAGCGCGCCAAACCGAGGAGCTAGGCCCGCAAGTGGGCTGGCTCCCTGGCTCCCTCTTTTAGCGCGCCGGGGGTTGCAGGGTTGCCAGGTTTCGCGGGGCTTATCGCTCAGGTGCAGGGTGATCCAACGTCGCAGTGGGTGCTTATCAGTGACTCTACGGCTGCCCCTCCAAACTTTTCCATCTGAGGCTTGCAGCACTTGCAGCTCTTGTAATTAAGTACACCGCTGCAGAGCACCGATCTCGCCCAGGGATTTTTGTTGAAATTTCGCTGGCCTCCGTCTCGTGTTGTTGTCATAAGTCAGAACTTCTTCCTTCCCAAGTATCTCCCAAGTTTCAGTCAACCTTTCTGTACCCCGTTCCTTGCTCTCTACAGCTCCACATGTGAGTAACTTGGTGTCATTGAAATTCGAGGCCCAAATATTCCCATCATCCGTTCTCCTTCTTCCTACGCGTCGTCTCGCTCTACATCTCCCCGCCGTGCATCAATTGACATCCTGTTTAGCCCATTACCTCAGAAACTACCATAATGTCCAAGGGCAAGGTGTGTTTGGCCTACTCTGGTAAGTCAATGGCCTACGAAGGGAGGTGATGGACACGAAAACTAACCAATTGTCTAGGTGGCCTTGATACCAGTACCAGTGAGTGTGTGGAGATAACTCTCAACTACAGCAATTGGACTGACACCTCGTTCTAAAGTCCTCGGATGGCTCCTGGAGCAGGGATATGAGGTTGTCTGCTTCCTGGCCAACGTTGGCCAGGACGAGCCTTGGGATGAGGTTCGGGCGAAGGCCCTGAAGATTGGTGCCACCAAGATGTAGGTTGCTTACAAGAGAAGTGCACACTGCGCTACATTAGCTAACCTCAAATGTAGGATCATTGAGGACCTTCGCAAGGAGTTTGTGGACGAGCTCTGCTTCCGTGCCATTCAGTGCAACGCTATCTACGAACAGCGATACCTTTTGGGAACATCTCTGGCCCGTCCAGTCATCGCCCGCGCTCAGATGCGAGGTGCGTACACATAGCACAGGATGACTCACCGAACCATGCTCATCTTTACTGACTGTTTCGCCAGCTGCTGAGCAGGAGGGTTGCGACTTTGTCTCCCACGGCTGCACTGGCAAGGGCAATGACCAGGTCCGCTTTGAGCTTGCGTTCTACACCATCAACCCTGACATCAAGGTATGCACTCTCGGAAACGGGCCTCCCAGGGATATTTCTAACCAAAGGTATCACAGGTCATTGCACCATGGCGTGACCCTACCTTCTTCAAGCGTTTCGCTGGTCGTAACGACCTGCTCGACTTCGCCGCCGAGAAGGGCATTCCCGTTTCAAGCACTAAGGCCAAGCCATACTCCATGGACGCCAACATGGCCCACTGCAGTTACGAGGCCGGCATGCTCGAGGATCCAGACCAGACACCTCCCACTGACATGTGGACGATGACTGACGATCCTGAGACTGCCCCCAACAAGCCTGAGGACATCAACATCACATTCGAGAAGGGCATTCCCGTCAAGCTGGATACCCTCGCTGACGGCAAATCCTACACCGAGAGCGTCGAGCTTTTCACTAAGCTTAACGCCCTCGGCAAGCTCCACGGAGTTGGCCGCATCGACATTGTCGAGAACCGCTTCATCGGCCTGAAGTCCCGTGGCTGCTATGACTCACCCGCCATGACCATCCTCCGTCTGGCCCACCTTGACCTCGAGGGTCTCGTCCTGGACGGCCAGTTGCGCTCTCTCCGTGACACCTTTGTCACCCAGAAGTGGAGCGAGCTTCTGTACAACGGCATGTACTTCTCCCCCGAGCGGGAGTGGCTCGATACCTGCCTGATCGCCGCACAGGAACGTGTCAATGGTCTCGTCCGCCTCCGACTCTACAAGGGCAACGCATATGTGCTGGGCCGAAGCTCAGAGACTGAGAAGCTGTACGACGCCGAGGAAGCCTCCATGGATACTCTCGACAACTTCAGCCCCGAGGACACAACCGGCTTCATCGGCATCACATCCATCCGCCTCAAGAAGTACGGTCTGCAGAAGCGGGCTCAGGGTGGTCTCACCTACACCAAGTAAAATTGCTCAGTTGAAAAGTCATTGTAGAAGATCTGAAAACTTGGTGTTCCTGCAACTGTGTATGCTGTGGTGTGCCTGGTAGGATGTTATTGTAGGCAGAAACAAAATTTCTAAGCCACTGCTGTGCCCGTAGCGAAGACTGTGAGATGGCTGCCATATCTCCAATGCCGTGTCCATTGCCAAGAAAATGGGGAAACTTTGTGTTCAAGGTCGTTTCAATGTTGCCTTGCGAGCCCAGCCATGTGCACCTAGACCATCCAGATGGGAGCAAATATGCGGCTGTTTAGATGGCAGTTTCTAGCAGATGCTTAAGCAGGGATCCCTTGTCGAGACCCGCAGTGGTGGGGCTGCCATCAGGGTCCCTCTCAACGTCACTTCATGTACGTACAAGCCTCAACTCCATTGCACTTCACTCAGGTACAGAACTGAATCCAAGCTTCTGAAGCGCCCGTGCACCTCTCCTCTCAACTCATTCCCATCTCACAACTAGTGAATCCCCGTTCCGACACGCGGGCAAGAGTTGAGACCATACCTCGCCGTGAAAACCAAAACCACACTTTACAATGAGTACAGACGCGATCATGCTTGACAGCCCAGCGCAGACTCCCACCCCCACCCCGAAAAGCCATAACCCAAGCCAACCTCCGGCCACTAATGGCGCAAACGGCGACATCACAATGTCGGAGACTGCAGCACCCACCAACTGGCTCAACAACCAGAAGTGGAGGGACGAGTACACCACAGCAAACAGCAGGCTGGAACACCGATCTTTCAAGACTCGTAAAGCCTCCCCCCCCCCCAATCTTGCTCACGACCCCCCAGGTCAGTGCTGCTTCTAACACAAGAGACTCATGCAGCGCGTGATCCCATGTTTCCACCCATGGCTCAGAATGTGCCGGGCATGACACCAGATCTAGAGTCTCGCCTCCGAAATCTCGTTGCGAAGCTCAAGGATCACGACAAGGAGATGACCACCTAGAAGCACCATCATCAGGATTTATGTCTTGAATGAACAGGGAAAGTCTGGGTGTTGGCCCCGCAAGTCCGAGGAATGTAGAGCAAGTGGATGAGAGATGGCCACATGATTGGAATCGAACACATCTCGCACGGAGCAAGCCTGGCAAGCAGGGTCATCTGTATGATCACGAATGGTCATGTGAAAGCTATCTCAGAGTCAGGGATTTTCAATGCAAGCCTTTGGTACTCTGATGGACCTAATTATTTCGGAGCCGGGGTCGAGGGGATGTCAGGCATGTGGTGTTCTGGTAGCAACCTCTACTGTGTGCCATTCTCAATGCGAGGCATGAATGCTTTGCAGTGGAGTCTGCAATGAATGAGATCAGACATATCCAAATCGCATTTGATGACCATGAGATACTGTTTTCAAAGGGGTCACGGTAATTTTCATGTCGAAAATGCTCCTCGGGAATGGGACTATTAATTCTCTTGGTGTCTCTCGACATTCACCAAGTTTTGTATAAAGTCTTGCTTCAAAGTCCCGGTGGTGCTGATGGGGTAAAGTTCAGCCTTCAAAAGTTGCACCGATGATGGACATCATTTGCCTGAACAAACTTTTCTTGTCCTGATTTCCAGTGCCTCATGTTCCACTACCCTTTCAAAACTTGGGGTGTACTTGTTTCTTGAGTTCCATTCCTCACCCTAAGTAGCGCGTTCCTTGGTATGTCATCTCATGAGACTGGGTCCCATGTGACAATGTTTCATTGAATGCCATTGTGATGAAGAATGTCCCTCAGCAGGCACCTCTCAAGGAGGACACACCATTTCTACTGGTCAAGTTGGACGGCGACGCATGTGATCCCCATGGTTGCTGTATGCTGGTCCGTACTGGAAAACGATGAAGCGTTTCAGGCGCTTTCTCCTTGATATGACTCTAGACTTGATTGTGAGTGTTTCCCACAATTTGAGTGAGTTTTATGCCCTCCCTCCACATTATCTTGGCATGTTATTATGCCCATCCTCATAAGAGCCCTCCGGGAGCTACTCGTTTCATCGAGCCCGAATGCTTGGCTGTATTCTGACCTTTTGATGTGAAGCCTCCTAGTCCTTCACAATTATTGCAGTTTCTCCACACAAGAAGGGCAAGTTTTGAGTGATAATACATTGTTGCCCGTAGAATGAAAAACGAAAACCTAGGGAAACAACCAGTAGCGAAGGCAAATAAATGGGTTTTCTAGGTTTTGTCCTTTGCAGATGATTTTCAATCGGTTACTTCCTCTCCTAAGCTTTGTGACATTTGGACAATAGTGTGGAAAGCTATTGTCGAGTGACTTGGTGTACTACGTGCAGGTTTCTATTGGCCCTCCTATTGTTTCCTCTGGTTTGAATGGAGCCTTGACGTGCCACAACTTCCATAAGAGCGAATGTATATAAGAACAGACTCCTCTCATCCTTTCTGAATTACTGTCCTTTGTCCAAAGAAGCCGAAATCCAATCACGCAACCCCTCTTGTCACCTGCTTCAGCCATCACACTACTCAAGATGAAGCGAGCCGCCGAGGAAGAGTACCCTACGCCTGCTCGGAGCAGCAAGAAGATTCGTGTCCGCCAGAGCCCCGACGCAGCAGCCATCAAGGCCATCAAGCTCCCAAATATCAGGGCTTCGCTGGAGCGAAATATCAACCTCGACCCAATCGACGTACCCGACAAGTGGGAGAGAATGGAGAAGATGAAAGCAGTCCATAAGGTCGTCAAAGCACCCAAGGGCCTCTACCAAGAAGAGCTATTCGACCTATCATCGCGCCGCCTCATCAATCCTCTCCCAGTGAAGTACGAGTGGCAGGCTCAAAAGAGCCCCCTCACCGGAGAGACCCTCCCCCTCAGCCCCAGTCCGTCCCCGGAAGTCGAGGACCGGTTCTGGTACCCCGCCCCTATCGCGGACAACATCAAGAAGACCCTTTTCCTCCACCCCAGCAACCGAGGGATCGTCTGGGTCGGCCCGTTCGCTGAGGCCAAGCTGAAGGAGGAGATCAAGAACTATCATCGCGTCAAGGACCTCTGGCTATTCCAGGCATCGGACGCATTCATGCCCGGCTACGACAAGAAGCACGAGTTCATCGCCAGCGTCTACGAGGACGAGATGCTGAGCCCCTGGGTCGTTTGCTGGCTGAGCGAGCTGATCGGAGAGGCAGAGGTGGGCAAGATCCTCGACCACGTGGAGGTGAACCTGAAGAGGTCTCTGGTGGAGCTGGAGTGAAGATGGTCACTGAGGGATAGGACTGGCACAGAAAGACCTGGGCGGTTGATATCAGTTACGACCGAGGCCAGTGAAAATGAAATGAACCGTGGAATCGAAATTGGACAAAGACGTCGAGCCATGTCGGTGATCTACGCAGCCCCCAAGCAGGGCGCAGGAGCCTCTCCCGATGACTTACATGATTTTCGTCCATCGAAACCTTACTCCCACGTTGATCGTCCCACAGGATGTACAAGGTTGTCCCACATGATTCTATGCTAGATACCGTTTAGGCTCTCAACGCAGCTCTGCTCGATTCCTTGAGACCGTCTGTGCCATACAAGTCTTCAAGTTTGGCTGCTCACTGCCAGGCAGAAACGAAGATCGCCTCGCGACGGAGTCTCGAGTCTACAAAGTGTTGATGTGCGCATTGGGATGCCCGCTCCGCAAGGTAATACACACTTATTCTTTCTGGACTTGTCATTTACAGCAGTTGTAATGTGTCCCATCGGCCACAACGTCCCCAAGTAGGCAAGTTTTTTCACGGTCGGATTCGTCTTCTCAGCTTCCGAGTCGTACCATAATGTTTCACAATACCTCATGCTTCGTCGTTGGCAGGCAAAGCCACACGTACATGTTTGAGCTGGACGGGTAAATGGCACGTTCCGACTGCTCGATTCTGCGCGTAGGTAATAAGACGGTGTGATATTGTGTAGGGGGCGCACGCGAGTCCTGCCCCTGCCGTCGTGTAATGAGCTGTGTTGTGCGCGCGGAACAGCGTGGTGGCGATACCACATCCGCCCAATGTCGCGTCGACGGCCTGCTGCGGCGAGAAACATGTGCTCCGTGGCGGCCCTCACCGCTGTTGCCCCCGGAGCTCAGCTTGGGACTGCCTGGGAGGCGAACAGGGAAACCAGAGGCGGGCACGGGGGAGGGTCTCCATGATCGGAAACGTGGCAACCTCGTGGGCGATCCACGCGCGATGAGACGTACACACGAAGTCAAAAAAAGGGGGGAGGATCTCCAAATCCCAACACTGAGCGCCCAGATGCACGGGAACGCTCCCGGCGTCCGGCTCGGAGAACGTTTCCGAGTGCTGTAATTGGACTGAAACTTCGTCCTGAACCTTACCTGGGCACGATGACAGGTGGGCAGAGGCGAGGCCCTGGATACATGTAAAGTTTATACGCTCGATGGCCGATGGTGGTTCGCGATTTGGGTCCGACCGTCGGGTCGGGTCGTGCAACCGGCAGTGGTGTGCAGCACCACCAAAAAGCACACACGAAGCCCCCTCGCTTCAACATCTTTGCCTGTGTAGCATGGAGTGCATCACAGTTGCCTTGCATTATCGAGATGCGGGCACTGGTTATAGGGGCAAGAAGCTCCGACTTGAACACAGCAAAGTTAACCTTGGGGTGTGGTCATACAGTGAGGCGGACGTACAAGAGTGTTCCTAGTATCCCAGTACATCTTCCCACAGACTGCACCGGAACGTTGTTCAGAGTTCAGAGTGGCCTGAGTGGCCAAAACTCATATCACCCGTGCTTGACCTTTTGATGGACTAGTCTCGACCGCTAGGGCACTCAAGATTTGGAAGAAGCAAAGATAGCCGGAGAAGAGCGTGGTCAGCTCAACGGATTTCCAGGCTAAGGAAGTGAACAACCATAGTATGACTATGCGTTGCTTGGTGAGGCGGGAGAGCTTCCAGATTGAGGTTCGGACATCACCACCATCGGCCTGCACCTCCCGTCACGGGCTGGCTCGTGTACACTAGGCAGGCCGCTCGCTCAATGCTGGGGGCGATGAGAGATGAGGAATGAGATTTTGTGGCTTTGCATGATCTGGTCTCTCGCCATCTGACTTGCATATACGATTTGATTGGTCCTACCTCGGGAACGGCGGTCGTTCCTTTGTCGCGTCACAAGTGTCACGATGTATAGGCACGCAGAGACACGGCCGTCCAGGACGGAAAATAGACATGCGGCCTGGCTTCCTCCGTCAGCCGTATTCCTCACCCCAGCCCAGCGCACGGGGCTGCCGCGCCTCGCTCCTCCCCGTCGTCCTCCATCTACACAGAGAATGGGGGTGGGTGGCTTCGCCATAGACACATGTACCGCGGCTTTGGAAAAGGGGATCGCTGTTCACTCAGTCACTGAGAGGTCCCTGTTGTGGTCGAGAAGCTGTTCTGTCCAGCACAGCAGGCATGGGCTACAGGCTGAAACCATGGGGACGCGAGCAGGTACCGTACTTGGAGTAAGTCGTAGCGAGCTGGTGCTGGGCGGATAGGGGCAAAAATAGAACTTGGAATTATCGATTCCTAGCTTATGGCCCCTTAGCTCGAAGTTCGAGGTTCGAGGTTCGAGGTTCGAGACGCACGGCACGACATGTTCGAGTTCGATTGGATTGCAGCGCATTCGGGCCTTCAGGCTTTGGCCGTCGTCCAGGGCACGCAAGGATCCTGGACGGCCTGGATGGCTGGATGGATGCGGCTTGTCTGTGGCAGGGGCTTGACATGTCGCCCCAGGCCGCCTAGGCGTACTGCCGTCACATGGGAGGAATGGGGATGAGACCAGACGCAGTTCTTTCTGTGCTTGCTGACATGTCAGCTTTGGGGGCCTCTTTGGGTATCCGGCACGCCTAGTTAGGTAGGTAGGTGCGCACGTAGGCACGCAGGCAGGCGGATTAAGCGAGTGAGTCCAAACAATCTGGAAGTACTTTGCTTCTGCTGTGGTACGTTGACGGTCCTGCACAGGCAAGTCGCCGCTGGCCGGCCAGGCTACTTATCTTGTCACTGTTCGATCCCTCCCTGGGCCCCCTGCTCTGCCCTGCCCTGTGCCCTGCCCTGCCCTGCCATGCCGCCTGCTGGTTTTGTCGCGTGGGAGCCCAAACTGGTTCAGTCGGGCCCTTGTTCGTGAGGCCTGCCCCACCTTCCCAAAGCGCAAGGGCGAGCTTGGGGGGCCCATGGACCCAAAGTTTCCCGCCCGCTCCCCCAACTTTTCGAATTCCTAGGCCCATACCCCCGTGGACCAGCACCAACAAAAAAAAAAGCGACAGTCCCGCCCACCCGTCCTGCTGCTCCCACTCGAAGCGTGAGATCAGACGGGCGGACAGATGTTACAACCAACGGACGAATATTCATACATGGCCTCTAGTCCAGTAGTCCTTGCTAGCGACAGACCTACAGACACATAGGTTCAAGACCAAAAGTCGAGACTCCAACCCAGAGTGAAGTGAGGTGAAGCCAAGTGAAGTGGAGTACAGTAGAGAGCAGCCAAGTGTCAAGGGAAGTGGAATCCGAACTGCTCAAGCACAACCAGACGGCGGGCAATCCCCTCCCCAGCATAGGCACGGGCACAGACCACAGACTACTACCAACACTACCAACACCTGTGCAGACAGACACAGACAAGATACCGCAGCTCAGTACCCACATTGGGAATCCCACGGGCCCGTGGCCTATCACAACCGCAATTCGCCACACACACGCACACAAATTACATCGACAGTGTCTCTGATCTCAGCTTTGAGCCCAGACACAGACACCACCGCTCCTGATTCGACTCGCCTCGACCCGACTCGACTTCAGCCTCCTTGGCGAGGACACAGAACTACCTGCCTTGAAATTACCACCCGTCACCACCACCTCTTCCGACGACGACCGACCCTCGGTCGGCAGCATACCTACCTCGAGTGGACTGACTGCCTCTCAAATATCTCTCTCCGTCCCATCCGGTCCCATCGCACCACATTGCAAGGCAACGCATCGCACCTCAACGCGTCGCCTCGCATCGCATGGTGCCATCGCCTCCTCCAGCACCTCGCACCTGGCCTTCATGACTCTTCGCCTGCCGTCCACAAGCCAGCAGCAGCATGTCGACCAACCCAGCTGAGGCCGCATCGAGCGGCAGTTTCGACCTGTTGCGAAGAGCGACGGCAAAGATGCTCTATAATCGGTCAGTCATCAGTGTGCCTCCTTACTCGCTCTTCCCGTCAATGATACACCTCACATCAACTTGACACCCGGTGATGGTCGTCCCAGGTTCCAAGTCTGCCCAGTCTGCCCGTCTGCCCCCAGTGGAGCTGCTCCCCCCAGTGGAGGGGTGCACCCTGCCGTCATGGCAGGACTCCCCCGCCTAAACTCCTAATTGCACTCCTTTGCTCTCAACATTACATTACTGTGTACGCCCATCCCGCGCGCACGCCCTGCCCTCTCCGCCCCATTGCTTCCTTCTAGAACCCCTAGCCTGCGTGGTACACACGAGCAATGCGCGTCACCACGCAGATGGACTGCCTTGTTTATTCCTGTCGACCTGTCTGCCTCTGCCTCCGCCTAGTCTACCTCCTTCACCTGCAAAGGCCAAGTCCGAGTGGATGACTTGGTGGCTGAATGGCAGGCAAGCAGGCAGGCTGGCTGGCTGGCTGTCCTGGGCCTTGTCCCATGTCCTGTCCTATCCTGTTCAGTCCTGTCCATTTACGGGCTCGACTGTCGCGCAGGACCCTTCTTGCAGCTTGCCGCGGCTGGCCCAGTCAGCTATTTTGCGAGGTTGCGGAATCTTGGAACAGAATTGCCATATGGCAGCAGCATGGCATATGGCAGATGCGGCAGGGTCCCCCTCCAGCATTTACCCACCAGCCCACAACAGAGTCCAGGCTGAGTGGGGGGCGACTGGATCTCCCCTCCAAAGAAGCATCCAATGGCACGCTCCACACCAGCGTTTCCGGCGACAATTGTATCAATTTGTCGCTGTCGCGCCGTGCCTGTGGTGCGGGACTTGCCCGACGTCGCCAGCTAGCCGTTATCACCTCAACGTCACGGATGGGTGAAGCTCGAGCAATTGCCCGTTCCCCCAGCCTGACTCGGTCTAGTACCGGTTTCCCTGGCCATTTTCTCCGTTCTCCCGGCTGCCGCGTTACCAGCCTGGGACTGGAGATTGTGCGATGTTTCGGGTCGCCTACCGCACCATCCATGGGATAGCACCACAGCACCACAGCAACATAGCACCATCCCATAGTGCCTGGGC